TCCGGGTCCTCTGCATCCCTTCTCATCCACAAGGAAGCAAGTAATTCCTTGGCACGGCGCACATTACCAATGCCAAAGTTATCTTGCAATTTATCCAGCGACTGCGTGACAACTTCGCGCTGTACCGCTGTGGTGCTTTCGCAGCCTGCAATGAATAGCGGGAATGTCAGAGCCGAGTACTCGCAGTGGTGATCGAGGTGCAGCGATTCCACGCGGGAAAGACAGCGGTGCACGGCAGTGGCTTTGGGAGTCGATATGAGGTCGATTAGTTGGTTGGGAAGATGAGAGGGTGTAGTATTATCACGGTCGTCGATGGACGCTATGTCATAAGAATCATTTCGGTGAGTGATCATGCGCTCGAGGATCGAGTGCAGATGGATGAAGGCTGCGTCGCGGAAGCATTCTGCGACGAGTTGGAGGCGGGTTAGGTTGGCCGCTGTTAGGCCCGGTGGGGTGATGCAACGAGCTGAAGTGTGAGACCAGGTTGTGAGAGTTTCATTACTATGAAAATGTCATTACATATTCTCACGTGTATCGGGGCTCACTCACATGGATGCAACGGCCAATGGCAAGGCCAAGATGTCATCTTTTAAATATTGGAGCTGAGAGATCCGACCACAGGTCTTTAGAAGCTCCTCGGTGTATCCGATATAAATATCCAATCGGGGAATACCAATATCATCGTCAACGGGTGAGGCATCTGCTGAAGTGATGCGTTTCCGATTGGTTATTTGAGCCATGCTGTGGGCGTAGACGAATCTGGTACCAGTTAGTACCATGGCAGTGTTGAAGGGTCGCTCGCACTTACAATCCCCGCAAAAATTCAGCTGCGTCTCGATCCATCGAGGCAAACCCTCCACGGGAAACCAGCAAGCGCTGCAGAGCATCAAGGTGGACGGACCACTGTGTCACACTCCCGCGGACAATTTCGTATTTGCACAGTAGTCCCACTGCCAACATGGCATCGTCAGGAAGCAAATCTGTGGGCCGTTCCACGAGAGCTGTCCGAATGCCTCTAAGGGTTCCACCGTAGAAATTGGCGGCGGCTGTTTGCGCACGAAGGCCTTGAGAGCGGTTTGCAAGATGAAGTGCGGATACAGCGCACACAGCTTTCATCAGCAACGGAGAAGATAGCGCACGTGGGATCAGAATTGATCGCAGCGGATTTCCATCGCTCTCGAGATTGGCTAATAGTCGTGAGCCCTCCTCCATGTGGTATTGCAGGTAGTGCAATTCGTGTTCCGAGAGATGGTTGATATATCCTTGAGGTCGAGGAGTCATGGCCAATGTATTGGAGAGGTGATCGCCCATATCCGGGGTCGGGCTGACAATTTCAATCTCGGGATCTCCATTCAGACCCTGTGGTGTTGACGGCTCAGACCATCCTGGCGGCGTTGCCGACCCCGGTGAGCGCTGCAGCCCTAGCCATGGGTCGGAATAAGAAATTGACGGTGACGATGCACTGAGTCGCCGCCGCTTGGATCCTTCTACCTTGAAGACTTGCGCAGACGGGCCAAGCGGCTCTACCCACATGGAGCCATATCCCTCACATTTTCGGCCTTGCTTGAGGCAATTATTGCAGCTGGGTATTGTCAGGGTTTGTCTTCGATCCAAAGTTTGCATCTGCATACCTCGGTTTCGCTTTATCACAGCCTTTCCGACGTCGCTTGCATGTCAAACAGCCCGATCGAGTCCAGGCTGTGCTCGTTTGCCGGCCCCTGCTCGTCTTCTGGGCTGATGCAGGCTGCGCTGCGGGCAGGACGGGCGATGGGGTGCGCACCAGTCCCGGATCGGAAAGCGCATCCATAGTGTGAGGCAGAGGAGCGCTCACCTCCGCTGCATGCTGGAGAATCGTAAAAGGCACCACAGGGATCCGCACAGCATAGAACAAGAAGAGTCATCCCACGCGAGTAACTATAGACGATGGGGAGGCGCTATCCCTGAATGGGCAATTCTTGCGCTGTTGATGGTCACGTGATGACTCTTATCTATAGCGGGGGAGAAGAATAGGGTATGTCGTTAAGAGTATGGACACCCCTAGTCCCATCCTCAAATCAACTCGTGGCGGAACATAAAGCCCAAACTCCCACAGATCCTTCGCTTCAAGGCGTTAATACGAGATCCACCCCACGGCCCAAACAGGCAAGTCCATCCCAGGCCCGCCTTATGTAACGCGCGCGATAAGAAAGATGCGCCGATATTGAAATTCCCCACGCTTTGGCTCCCTCTGCTCCCCACGTTCTTTAATACAGCTGGTGGCCTGTGATTCATTTCCTCTTCTTGTCTGTCATTCATTCACCATGTCTTCACCACACCATCCCTTCGACCCCATCACCCCGGACGAGATCAAGCTCGCCTGTCGTATTCTCGAGGCCACTTTCCCCGGAGTCCCACTACGCTACAAGCGCATTGACGTGAACGAGCCGATCAAGAAGGATGTCCTGCCGTACATTGAAGCCGAGCGCCTGCGACGGCCCCTGCCTCCTCCACCAGCCCGTCTTCTCTACGTTCTTTTCCACCGTCTCGATACTGGCGCATTCTACAAGGCCATCCTCAATGCCGATAGACGGACTATTGTTTACGCCAAGGAACTCCCCCGGGAGGTACAGGTACGTATACCACCGGAAACAACCTCCGCCACGTAATGCTGATCATTGTCTGTCTGTAGGGCCCCGTGGATACCGACGAAGTCATGGCAATCGAAGAACTCTGCATGAAGCACCCCGCCGTGCTGGCCGAGATCGAGAAGTTGCAGCTACCCCCCGGCATGACCGTCTGCAATGACCCCTGGATGTACGGCACTGACAACGAGCACGAGACCCGGCGCCTTTACCAATGCTTCATGTACATGGTCGAGGTCGACCACCCCCAGAATAACCACTACTCCTTGCCGTGCAAGTTCTCACCGGTTTTCGACTGTCTCACCCACGAGTTGATCCGCATGGACTATCTCCCTGGCGGCGCTGATTCCGAGACTACTACCACCCAGCCTTGGAAGCCCGTCAAGACGATCCAGTATGCCCATGACTTGTTGGAGGAACCTCTCCGCACCGATCTCAAGCCCTACATTGTACAGCAGCCTGAAGGTCCATCATACACGGTTGACGATAGGTCTGTTTATTGGCAAAAGTGGCGCTTCAGAGTCGGGTTCAACATTCGTGAGGGTCTGATTCTTTACAACGTAACATACGACAATCGCAATGTTTTCTACCGTCTTGCCGTTTCGGAGATGACGGTCCCATATGGAGGTGAGTGGTGGCTACCTTTGCACTGAATAGCTTATTGTTGACCGTCCTTGGCCAGATCCTCGTGCCCCCTACCATCGTAAGCAGGCCTTCGACGTGGGTGATACCGGATTCGGTGTCAATGCGAACCAACTCTCGTTGGGCTGTGACTGCTTGGGCCATATCAAATACTTTGACGGTTACCGCAATGATTCCAAGGGCAACGCCGTTTGCCTGAAGAACGTGGTATGCATGCATGAACAAGACAATGGCCTGCAGCATAAGCACACCAACTACCGGTCTGGCGCCGCGACTGTGGTGCGCAACCGGCAGCTGGTTCTGCAGATGATCTGCACCGTTGCCAACTATGAATATATTTTTGCCTACATCTTCGACCAGGCGGGCAACATCGAGCTGGAAGTGCGTGCCACCGGCATCCTGTCTACGGTCCCATTCGATAATGAAAACGGACAGACCGTTCCCTGGGGCACCAACGTCGGCCCGGGAGTCATGGCGCCGTTCCACCAGCACATGTTTTCATTCCGAATTGACCCCGCGATTGATGGGTTCAAGAACACCGTGTACTACGAAGATAGCGTCCCCATGCCAGAAGACGAGAACAACCCTTATCTGGTGGGTTACACCACCGAAGAAACAGTCGTGAACAAGTCTGGCTGGGCCAACACGAGCGTGGATCGCCACCGAGTCTTCAAGATCCGCAATGACTCGATCACCAACCCCGTCACTTACCGACCCGTGGCATACAAGCTGCACGCAGCACCTAGCCAGATGCTCCTGGTCAACAAGAACGCCTTGGGCTACAAGCGCGCCGAGTTCGCCACCAAGCCTATTTGGGTGACCAAGTACCAGGACGATGAGCTATACGCGGCCGGCGAGTTCACCAACCAGAGCACCAAAGCGGAGGGCGTCGAGACCTGGATCCAACGCAAAGACAATACGGAGAACGAGGACGTAGTGTTGTGGCATAGTAAGACCCCCCATCTTTCGCTCACGGTGGATGCTAACGGACAATCATAGCCTTCGGACTTACACACAACCCACGCGTGGAGGATTTCCCCGTCATGCCCATGGAACGCATCAGTGTCATGCTCCGACCGGATGGGTTCTTCACCAAGAACCCGGCGCTGGATGTGCCACAGTCCTCCCAGATGTTTAATAAGTCCACGCTGCACCCAGAGCAAGCTCGTAGTGGTTGCTGCGCTCCGTCGGCGGGGACCGGAAAGGCGCGCTTGTACAAACGCGTTGACTGAAAGCTGAATACCCTTGGTTGTTGATAGTATATATTTGAGTCTTAGCATCATACAACGTACATACCATTCACATTGCATTCATATAACCTACCGACTTACACACATCTATATATAACATTACTGCGTGTTTCCGCTATTCTCAGCTGTTCCAGAAGGACCAACTTGGGATACTACGTCTGATCGTCGGCGGCGCGACCTCAGTTGTGGGGTCCGTGCTTTGGGAGCTCCACAGCAGAGCTTAAAAGTGGATAGGGTATCAAGTGAGTATGAAGCGACTCCAAAGCAGAAATGTAGGAATTGACATTCTTAAAAGATCGTTGCAGGAGTCGGATCTGGGCACGGCGTGCAATAGCCGAATGCTAGTTATTAATAGATAAGATAAATCGACGTGTCGGGATTCCGATTCCTTTTTGGGCGTCAGGTCGTCACTCACGTGTACATCCCCCACCTTTTTTGCCACAATCTTCGTTCTTTGTTATCATCATCACTATTACCGCGCAGAGCTATGGCAGGGATTGAACGGGTCACAAAACGATCCCCGAATGCGTGAGTAGAGCAATCTACGAGGAATCATCTAGCGATCCCTAATAATGTCCTCCCGATTAGTTGTGTGCGATGCCGGAGGCAGAAGATCAAGTGCTCTGGGTCGCAGCCGTGCAATGGGTGCAGCAAACGCAATCTATCCTGTATCTTCGATGATCCCGATCAAAAGATATTGGTGAGAAGGGGGTGAGTGGCAGCGAAGCACACAAAAATCCGTCGTTAGGCCAGGCTAACGATCAGTCCAGATATATTTTGGAGCTACAGCACAAGATTGCGCTCATCGAACAGAATAGAAACCACGATATCCAAGCTCTTGGTTCGTTTCTTTCCATTTTCCAAAATAATAATCAGTGCTGATGGATCATAGATACCAAGGACTGCGAAGAAGCACCTGCACTGAGCAGGGCCCATCTGCCCGATGGTCATGATGATTCGCAGGAACTGACAGAGGCGTGTCTGATCAATCCACTGTCAGCCGGTCCACCGGCTTTTATGTCTACGGCAAATGGGAGATTGGGTGCGTTAGACTTCATCCCAGAAACGCGCAGACCTGACAGACCCTATAGTTTACCTGGGAACATCTTCGAACTGGTCATTTACTCGGCGTGTTCTTAGTATGGCGCACGAACATATATACCAGGAGGCGCTGCCTACAGAAACATTGCTGTTTGACGGCACGACCTATGAAATCGGTTGGGACGGACAGCGAACCACCACAAACCAGGATGTTCCCGTTATTCCGACCCATGATCACACATTGTATTTGATCAACGCGGTCAAATTTCGCTGCGGACAATTGTATCACCTCTACAATGAAAGCGATTTTATGGAATCCCTGCGGCAGTTTTATCTCGAAGATGGGCAGACAATGACAAACGGTTTGTGGTACATCCATTTCCTCCTTATCCTCGCTTTCGGAAAAGGATTTGTTCAACCCAAGATACAGGGGAAAAAACCACCAGGGATCGGCTATTTTGTGAAAGCGCTGCAGCTTTTGCCAGAGCCGAATGCTCTTTGCCGGGATCCCATGGTGTCAACAGAAATCCTATGCTGCATCGCCTTATATTATCAGTGTCTGGACTGTCGATCATCGGCACATAATTACGTATGGCCCTCGAATATATCCAAATTTGGTGAAATGAGCTGATTAAAAGCCACAGATTGGCCAGGCAATGCGGATGGCCATGGCACAGGGAATGCACACTCGCATGCCGGTCGAATATTTGGGCGAGCATGTAGTCGAAAGGTGCCGGAAGATCTGGTGGACCGTCTATATTCTAGACCGAGAAATGACCTCCTTAATGGGTTTACCGCAATCTTTTTGTGACCGCTATGTGCAAGCCCCACTGCCCACGTCTTCGGACTCCGCGGGCAAACCAACATCTTTCGGCATGCACATTAAATTGTCCCAGATTATTGCCGACATCAATACAAGTACGAGCCACCCACCCCCCATTCATTGTGAATACTTTCTGATAGTACCACCAGCGGTATACGCTATTGACGGGCGAATCAACCGAACTTTCCTGCTCAGCACCAAGACTGCATTAGCACATATAGCGGGGCTTGCCGATGAGCTCCGCGAGTCATTCCCGCTGCATCTGGACCGGACAATAAGCGGCGTTTCTCGAACATCAGCCTACCTGAATCTATTGTATCATCAGGTTCGTTCCCAAACCCAAGTATTCACTGCCTTGAAAACAGACATCCGAGGCTGACTGTATGACTCAACCATATCCAGTGTATTATTCTTGCGACCAGACCTCTTTTATTTTGTTTTCTGAAGATCAGATTCGAGTCCCCAGAAACCTGCATAGAGTCACTCAATGCATCCCAGAACGTCCGGAATTTGATGCAAATGTGCTTGGAATCTGCTCAGCATATCCTCAACATCCTCAACAGTCTCCAGGCGGAAGGTCTTCTCGGTAAAACACCCAAAAAGCTTGCATTAGCTCCCGAGCCCGCTAACCACTGAATGGGTCCTAGAAACATTCATTCCATTCGATCTAGAATCAATATCTGTATCGACCGTAATCCTTCTCATGGGACTAGCAGTCGATCCTCGCTTCCCAGAGAGCAATTCTATCTGGCTTGAGCGAGCGTACGCAATCTTCGACGAAATGGTCAGAGACGGAAACCAAGTCGCCAATCTCCGGCGCTCAGAGCTCCAACAGCTGGACGAAACTCTACGCTGTATTTCTCAGGTCCAGTCTCAACCCTTGCCAGCCCCCGCTTTCCTTCAGCAGAACGGTGTCTTCCAACATGACCATTCACCTGACGCTGCTTCTCTGGAGGCATCCATGACGGAACCTCTTCACTGCAATTCCCCACTTAGACCGGATTCTTTGTTGGATGGGGAGTGTGATTTTGGGGCATCTTTGACTTCTGCTGGGATTATGGCTATGGCGGATTCGATTGAAAGTTATGAGACTGAGTGGGTGTCTAACGCTATGAGCGAACATAGTATCTGGTAGATTTGGCTAAGATAATTTTAATGTAAACTCGTCACATTTTGGATTGCATCAAATGTTCTATCCGATAACAAGGAAGATTGAAGAAAACCAGAAATTAGGATTGGTCAATATTCTCTTTACCTCTACGACACATCCTATATTCTTCAGTAGTCTGTCTAGCCTTGGATTCATTCACAGTCTAGACGATCTCTTAGGTAAAATCTCAGAGATCTCCTTCGACTCCCCAACCCGCCAGCTCACGTCACCACCCCAATTCGCCTTCCCATCGCTTGGCCCGGACTTCTTCCACCGCCACCGTGTAACAGGCTGTTTCTCAGCCCTAAGGAGATCCAAAACCCAACTCCCAAATATCGGGAACATCTTAAACCCATGCCCCGAATCACCAGACAGCAATATAACCGACGACGTCGTGCCGGGAACATAATCGATAATGAAGTCCGAGTCATTGGTATCAGCAAACCAGCAAAGGCTCTTTCTCACGAGAGGCCGGTCGCTAAGAGCCGGAAGGGTTTGTGCTAGCAGCCGCCTCATTTGCTTCTCGTCCTGTTCAGGTATGAAAGCGCTTTCTTCTAGGGAGCTCGGCGCAAGGGATACGCCCGTCGCTGGATTAGTGTTGATATACCCTCCTCCCATGGGGCAAAGCTTGAGCAAGTTGGTCTTTGGATCTGGTTCAAAGAAGAACCCCAGGTCGCGGGCGTAGGTAACGGGGATTCCGCGCAGTGCTGAGGTCTCTTCGTCCGTAAGATGGACATGGGCGACAGACCAAGACTTGGCCACGACATTCTTCCCAACTTCAGGAACTAGGTGTCCAGCTGAACCACCCGCTGCGATGATTACGAGCGATGCAGGGTGAAATTTCCCGTCTTTCGTCCGGATCCCCGAGCTTTTCTTTCCTTGCCGTGTACTAACATACACTACTTCGTCCACAGCTCCGTGCTCCCCTAGATGAAACCGTACACCAGACGCTTGTATTGCTCGATATACAGCCGCAAGAGCATTGGCAGAGTGCGCGTAACCGTCGTAACGGTTCAGGTACCCATACCATCCAGGTAAGGGCCCCTCGAGCTGCCAGCATGCTTGACGGATATCGGTTTGGCCTGTAAGCGGAGTGACATGTGAGCGGATTTCAGCGTGTTCTTCCGCTGAAGCCTGGAATCTCTTCAGAGTATCGACTGCTTTCTGCGGTGCATTTCCCGATACGCAGTGAAGGAATCCCGTCTGGTGGAAATGTGGCGCAAAGAGCGGGGTTTTCCAGGCCGCGATGGCTTTCTAATTCAGCCCAAGAACACTGGTTAGTATCGATTTGAGCAATCCAACTCTTCCCGAAAGAGCCTCGTGGATTTAAGCACGTACAATTGTCAGGTTTGTATAAAATGGGTCTTCATATTCCGCCCGCACAATTTTGTTCAGGTCATTGGCAGCTGAGTACCGAGGAGGAATCTGGTCATCTTTATCAAAGACAGAGACATCCGTAAAACCATTGCGAATCAGGTGAAGGGCGGTGGAGAGGCCAAAGGCTCCCCCGCCAACAATGATGATCGCGTCGGACTTGGAGACACCCATTTTGAATCGGCGCCGTCAGCATGCGAGTACGTCAAACAACACTGTATCGACCAGATCATTTGATTCATATAGATATAAATGCAGGTTGCCGTTTTCCAAGCAGCGTAATGTCACCCGATTAGGATAGCTCTGTATTACTCAGGCTACGGCTGGGTTGCCGATCCTTGGCGCGGGGATACTATGAAGCCTCGGGAGGATTGCCGGTGTGTATCCGTGTCTTATGATAAGCGGTCAAACAACGCAACTGATCTTGATATTAATATTTTTGATGATAAGAGAATAGACAAGAGCCGAAAATATCGAAAAAGAGTAGTTTGTATGGAAAGGCTATCGAAATCTGGTGGACTCGGTTGTCGATCCAGTGACTTCTCTCTACCTGGCCTTGGACGATTTTTATTACTATGAATCGAGTTGCTTTTGCCTATCGAGCCTCAAAGCTATGAAAAGAAATTCAAAGAGACAAGTATTTCTAGCAGACATTTATCTGCTATTCTTATCCCCACGTTAATATCATGATTAGTATATGTACCTATGCGTTGTGGCAGAGGTAGAGGACGTGTTTTGAGCCATTGTCTCAACTATTCTTGCACATTGTTGATTAAACATTGAAATAAATTCAAATCTGAAATATGAAGAATTGGTAGTTTGGTAACGGCATGAATGAAGGACTTGGAGGTATATCTATACAATGCAATGTCTTTTACTGTAACCAATATCTCATCGCATGCATGTAATCCCTGCCCACCTTCAATGGTTGCTGGGGTATGTGTAGCCAGTTTGATGGAAGAATTCTTCCTTGATCAATCTAGGGCTAGTGAACCGGCGAAGAGCATCAGAGCTGCCCGCCTTGTCATTTGTTCCACTCGAGCGCGCACCACCAAAGCTTTGCTGACCGATCAGCGCGGCGGTCGTCTTACAATCTAGAGCAATACAGTTTAGATTGGATAGAAAAGAGTAAAGGGATCATCAAACTTACTGATGTAGAAGTTGCCGGCCGAGTATCGGAGCGCATCCTCAGCTTGGCGGATGGCAGCACGATCCTGGGCGAAAACAGCACCCGTCAGAGCAAAGCCGCCTCCAGATTGATCAATCTTCTTCAGTGTCGGAGACCATTCGGCATCCTTGTACACGTATACGGCAAGTACAGGGCCAAAGATCTCTTCGTTCAAGAGGCGGTGGTCTGGTGATTGGACCTGGTAGACGGTTGGATGCACATAGTAGCCAACCGAGTCATCATAAGTGCCACCAACAAGCAGTTTCAATGCCGAATCTTTATTGCTGGAGTCTATAATAGACTTGATCTTGTCGAATGACTTGCGGTGAATCACAGGGCCCATGAAAGCGCCCAGATCTTTATCGGGGCTGCCCAGCGCGATGTCCTTGACGCCTTTCTTCAATGCAGTAAGGAATTCCTCCGCCCGAGACTCAGGCAGGTAAAGACGAGACGTAGCAGAACACTTCTGGCCCTGATATTCGAATGCCCCACGAATGGTATGGTTGACGGCGCTGGGGATATCAGCGGAGGGATGAACAAGATGGAAATTCTTCCCGCTGGTTTCGGCGACCACGCGTGGGAACTCGCGGTACGATTTATTCGCAACTCCCTGGCCAATCTGGCCATATAAAGAGCGGAATACATCAGAAGAGCCGATAAAATTTAGGCCCGCAAAATCGTGGTGCGAAAGCGCAACGTCAGTAATAGTTTCCGGGTCGCCAGTCACGAATTGGATCACGTTCGGGGGGAGACCAGCTTCCAGTAAGATCTTATAAATTAAGTAGCTGGCATACACATTGGATGGTGATGGCTTCCACAACACGACATTGCCCATCAGCGCTGGGCCTGATATCAGGTTACCACCAATTGCTGTGAAGTTGAAAGGCGAGACTGAGTAAACAAATCCCTCTAGCGGACGGTATTCTATACGACTGCAAAAGACATCAGTTTGAATCTTCAATGTTCGTGCGGAAAAATCTTATACTGACCTCCACATGCCATCACTACCACGTGTGGGCTGTCTCTCAAGAATTTCTGCCGCCAAATTGCAATTGAGTCGGAAGAAATCGGCCAACTCAGCCGCAGCATCGATCTCGGCCTGCCACATATTCTTCCCTTGCCCCAGCATTGTCGCCGCGATTATCTCATACCGATATTTCGTAGTCACAAGCTCGGCAGCTTTGAGAAATATCGAAGCTTTATCGACAAACGGGGTTTCTTCCCAGCTCTTTCTTGCGCCCAGAGCCAAGTCAATGGCTAGCCTGGTTTGCTCCGCCGTGGCTAGCGGGTAGTTTGTGAAGGTAGTTGCATGTTCCGCTGGCATTAGTTGATCCCACGATTTGGAGCTATCTTGCGTTTTCCCATCGTAGATGATTTCACTCCGCACAGGAAGCTGAGAGCGAAGCTTGACTAACGCTTCTTCTAACTTGGCCCTTTCCGGAGAGCCTTTCGCGTACGTAGGCTGGGTGTAGACATGGTTAGCTTGACTGCCATCCATATTGACTGACTATCACTGACATTTGGTTCGTTTCTAGGATCAGGGAGGCGGAATGGCATCGTAGCTTTGGCACGAATCTGGACTGATAAACCGCCCGGAAGTGACCGTACGTGTGGCCCAGCGGGTCGTGCGAGCCGCGACCTCAGCAGAGTGTACGCTGCCATGGCAAATACTGAAACTGTGCTTGGCTAACAACAGTTTTGTCTTTGAAATGAAGTCAGAAGACGAAAAGCTGGTTTTAAGGTACTAAATATTAATACCTCCGCAAGGATATAGCTCCGGATCGGTGGCTCCACCGAGACTCCACCAACCCCCCCACAACAATTTTTGATTTGCTATCAATAGAAAGTGAGAAGATTGTGGTAAAGTCACAGGAGCTGGGGACATGCAGTATCGGGATGATAGCCGGTTCTCATGTCAACAGATAATGAGACCTTCTATTCAGTATCGTAGATAAGCCGCTCAAAATTCTACACTATGCAAACAAGCTCTTTATCATGCACCACGAGTCTCAAGTACGCAATGCTTATTGGAGTAATCCGCATATTCCACGGCTCGCAGGTGACCTCGCTGCGGCAACATCATCAGCGATCTTAGTAACTCCAGCAGTGGCAATCATCGACAGGTAGGTCTCAATAACACTATGGAGTGCGAGGAGGCCGGCTGCGGGGGCTAATGATACTTAGAGCAATCGTGGAGAAATCCTCATTCAACCAGCCACTTCTCCACGGCCTGCGACGGCATGCAGTTGCAGCACTCCGACAGCCGGCTTGTTTTGTCTTCCAACGACCATTCGGCATTGTTTTCGCTCTCTACGCTGCCACCTACTCTGTCGCTAATATAACGGACACCCTCAGTCACAAATTTCAAGATGCCACGGCCAGAACTATTACATTTGCCACCACTATGATGGTTAACGTCCCGCTGGCACTGTGGAAGGACATCCGATTTGCGCAGGTATATGGCATCGGCAGAGGTTCCGATGCTACGATACGTCACGATAAGGTCAATGAAATGATCAGCAAAACAAGACAAGGATCTGTTCCCTTCAAGCAGAACCGGATATTTGCACGAGCCGCAGGGGCGATTTTTCTCATACGGGATGGAGTGACCATTTTTGGATCTTTCACCCTGGCACCGTGGTTATCGGCCGCCATTCCCGACAGCTCCGTTGCGCATCCCAATGCCAAGCCGATCATCACGCAGCTGACCGTGCCTGTGTTCACCCAGCTAGTAGCTACCCCGCTACATTTACTTGCCCTTGACATGTACATGCGGCAATACACTGTGCCATTTGTGGATAGAATTAAGCATTCGCAACAGCATCTGCCCTCGTCCACGGCGTTGCGCTGCGTTCGCATCATTCCTGCTTTTGGAATCGGTTGTTTGACTAACTTAGAATTGCGGTCATTTTTTCATGAGAAATTTCGAGCATAATTGGATAACATTGTTGTTTTATTGCGATATCTGTTGTTAGACAGTCTTGCCAATAAATGAAAATCTGACTGAAGATTAATCGACCTGACAAAACCGTCTGGGCTTTTCCACTAGTCAAGTTATTGCAAAGCTTGGTCTTGGCTTTCCTTTTTTTAGAAAAGGTGGCATGGTCATATATGGGTTGAGAAAAAATATTAAATTGGGATATACAGCAGACGGAATCGTAGGAACAAAATGCAAAGCCATTAACAAAGGAAGTCCACCTCTGTGTGAATTGTGCGAATTTCGATTCAGAATTCATGCACTATGACGGCGGTGGAAAGGAAAAGGGTCTCGTCAGTCGGCGGAACATTTCGTTCTTTAACGCACGATACTCATTATCCGTCCGTAGGACAGCATCACGATTCTCAATTGCTCGACGCAGGAGATAGGCCAGACACTCTCCCATGCGGCCCCATGTCGAGCACTTATAGACTTCAGGCATGTCATTACCTTCCTTCATTTGAAGAAGTGAAAAGCTAACTTCATCGGACATACCGTGAAGCTGCGCGAATCGAATGGGAACTGTAGGCAAGCCCGATGCCACACGCTTCTGGTGAAGCTCATAAGCTGCCACCATACTCTCCTTGTTATGGCCAGCTAGGAACAGGTTCACAGAAGGGAAAGGGCGGCTGCCGTTGGCTCCAAACTCTCCAATGCTTTGTTTCAATGCACCCTGGGCGAATGAATTATATGCGTTGTCCGTGTCTTCTTTTGTATCGTGAATCAAAGACCGTTCGTCTGAGGCCATATAAGCACCCCTCACTAGCTTAAGACCAAGTGTGAAACCTTCTTGTTGAGCGGCAGAGAGATGACTCGCTAATGTGGAGGGGGTGCTCTTCAAGTAGGCTTGGTAGGTATTGTAGACAGAGGCATAACCGTCGCGGTTGTACTTGCGCATTAATTCCAAGGTCACGCGCGAGATGCCCCGTTGGAAATGCTGGGATTCAGCATCGACAAGCATTCGAACCTTCCGCTCTTTACATCTCTCGCAAATCTCGTCCAATGCGTCTAGCATTTGTTGCGGAGGTAATTCACCTGCGGCGAATGCCTCAGTGACTTTAACACCGGCTCCGGTCAACCTCAATAATAGTCAGACATCGTTCGCCAGATAGTGGTCGGCCATAGACTCACTTAACTGCCAAGTAATCATTTTCCTCCATCATATCGACAGTCTTCAGCGTTCCGTCCCGCCAGGCCTCAATGCTAGCACACTGCGGGACCCGAGAACCGAGACGCTCTCCTTTTTGCGCGCCCTCCAGAGAAGAAACTCCCATTCCTTGCTGCTCTTGACTTTTATGATCAAATACAGTTTCTCTGGCGTATGTCATAATCACACCGCGAAATCCCATATCCTTCAATTCTCGGATCGTAGCTTTGGTCTCAATGCTATTTTCTCCAGCACAAAATTGTTCATAGAATGTCTTCTTCAAAATTCCATGAAGAATTGGATTCCGGTCCACATTGAATAGCCAAGGTCTGTTGGGCTTGGAGAGGATGGACATGAGCGAAAGAGCGGGGATGAGCAGATACCGTTTCGACGAGATCGTAGCGACCAGCAATGATCTGATTAGGACATGGGCTGGTAAAGACGAAAGAGGCGGAAGTGAGGTGCTTGGTGCAGCCTTCACCGAAATAGCTGAAGTGGAAATGAATCGCAGCATCCGTAACTCCCTGGACAAGTTACTGGTTGGTAGCCAGGATCGTGCAAGTAGAGTTAGAGGCTTTCTGGCGAATATGACACCCATTTTTTCGAATGAATCTTCATTCAACGCTCGATACTGCTTGCGTCGATGTAAAAGAAGGCAGCCTATTTAGTATTAAGCCATATATACGGTCTCTTTTCATGGAAGTAACATCTCGGGCGTCTACCCGGCATCATTACAATCAAACTCTAAACTGGCTCGATTGTGCAGGGATGATAACCATAGTGAGCTGTTACTTAGGTTCCTTGCTTTACAATTAAACTCTGGGCATGTCTGTCCGTGGCTGTTCATGATAACAGGAGACGGTGGACCGGGGATACTTCCGTGCGGTAATCCCAGACTGGATTCCGCAGACCACCACACCGAAGGAAGTTTGCCACCGCATTATTATTCCTTCTGGGACGTGTAACTAGATTTAGATAATAATCGCGAAGTCTCATGACAAGGTGGAGCTTTGCTGTCTTGTGATGTCGTTCTGTTATTTCTCGAAGTGATGCGGGGAAGTGTCAGTCGTACAGAGGTCAAAGGTTCAAGATAAGAAAGAATAAATTCTTAGCGGTTTCTTGGAACTCATACACTATGATAAGACTCTAGTACACTGCTGTCTTCGGGTTGCCTATATATCTCTCGCTGGTTTTAGCCAATAGATTGCAGTACCGGACCTGTGCTTGATGGGTGGAACCAGGCATCCGTCGCACAGCACTAGGATATCCAACAAGGCCAGAAAAGCAGACAAATTATTTAATGGTAATTCGATGGCTCTCATCCCTGATGCGGGTCAATCTGGTGAAAGATGCTAGGTCGGCACGACTTCCGAAAGAACGATACGTCGGACGGGTCGTGGCGCCGTCACGATTGCGTCAACCCTGTGAGGACAAGAAGATAAGCTACTGCTTGAGGATTTTGAATTTACTTTTTTCCTTGGTTTCTGTCAGCGTTAATGAACACAAGCTTGTCATGGAAGACCCAATTTGCAGACATCCTCCACTACGCGCTTTCTACCCTAAATGTAAAGATTATCATCATGTATATTCCTTTTAGTTGAAATTTGCCAATCTTTTCAATCTGATGCTAACGCTAATTTTAAATTTGAAAAGCTGTCATAGTTCCACGTAATTGCCCAAAAGTAAATGGACGTATTAGAGCCACATTGTTGCATAATTTCATCACCAAGCCAAAATCCCTTTCTGGATCCCGCAGCTGAGAGCTGCGCAGATCTCCTCATCCTTCTCACTCACCAGCGCGTTGCATGGCAACTTCGGTTTCGCCGGCCAAATCTCCCGTCCTTCGGATTTCTCGCGCTCAAAATGTTCTGTGATTACCTCACGAACTGTGGTCTGGAAAAATAGCGGCGCCTTCTCATACTTAGGGTGAAGTTGACCGTTGGTAAAAACATTACGATCGAGGTTCTTTTGTGTATTGTTGCAGAGAACCTTGTCTTCTCCCATGACGCGCGCGTACATGTCGCTGATGAGCTTGAAATCAGCCTCAGAGGAATTCCTGTTTCGGTAGATCTCGTAGGCCATCTGGGAGCTGTTGGGGCTCTTGGGGAGGAATTTCTGGACCATTATAAAATGAGGCCTGCGTGTGTCAGGAACCCTTCCATTTCCAAACAGAGATCGAAGAGACAGGAATGAGGGCACTTACGAAGCAACCATGGCAGACACGGGGAAGTAGTAGGTACTAGCAGTATAAAGACCTTTTGCAATTTGCTCTGGTGTAGAAACGCAGTGGTGTTGAATATGTCCGTCTTTCAGGTCGCTGTCGAAAGATTCAAGATTGAGAAACTCAGGAATATCGGCGTGTGTCGTAGGGCAGTGGTAACATTCATTGAAATTATCGGCCAGAATCTTCCAGTTGTAGTGGCCCTCTAGCTCATAGGCATGATCAAAATCGTAGTCGTCGAAATTGTAGGCATTGTACCGCTCTTGCTTGTCAACATCCCGGAAGTGCTCCTCCCATGACACTTCGGGGACTTCCTTCGCATCTAGGTTAACCCAAATAAATCCATTGACATCGACCTTGACATGGATCCGAAAAAGACCATTTTGCTCCTTGTCAAATCCATCCAGGTCTTGATATCCGGTAGCTTTGGCGAGTTTGCCATTCAATCCATAGGACCAGCCGTGATATCGGCAGGCCAAGATTTTGGAATTTCCCGAACCCTGCTTTTCGATAACCGGGTACGCACGATGTCGGCATACGTTGTGAAATGCATTGACGTTGCCTTGTCGGTCACGAGTAATGATGAAATCGAACCCCGCAATCTCATAGCGGAGCCAGTCACCAGGCTCCTTTATCCGCGAGCTGTGGGTCATAAAGAGCCATCTCTTGGAAAATATAGCACGACGCTCCAATTCATACATCTCTGGTGAAGTATACCATGATGCGGGCAGAGCGCGCACTGGGGCGGCCTTTACTTCTCCCTTGGGGGAAGGAGAAGAGGTGTTGCCGAAGCCAAAATAGTGCAGCATTGAAGTCGCCATAAAGATGATGTCAGAAGGAAATCCAAGGAAAAATGTCTTTAAAGCTCTAGTACATTGAAAGTTATCATGAACGCCCTTTATATTGGTTACACTTCTAATAATAACCCGGTACTCAGGTTTCTATTCCGATCAGGTGAGCAGCTCCTCGTTCCAATTTGGCAATGCAACCCAAACTCAGCGGGTTGATTCGCCAAGACCAGACACCGGATCCGTTATCTCAGTCCTACGGGCCCGGTACTAGAAGCCGACGATACTTAGCGCCATAATCGACAGGGGTCAAAGTTATCTGCTGACCCGAACGATGCTCGGGCAGCATCCCGTTGCTTGTGTTTCCGCCACTCAGATTGGGGCTAGGCACTTCACGATCTAGTAACCCACCAATAATCCCTCGCATCCTGGATTAAGCAACGATTGCATGACCTCTAGACCCACATTCTCCACCATGTCAAGAGCCCCATTTTTCGGCTTTGATACCGGTGGGGGCGGGGAAGTTCGGCATTCCCGAACTATTAAGATAAGCAGTCATAGAAGCTGAGCCAATTGGCCACCTTTGCTATTACTCGTAAGTCTTGTCATCATATGCATTGTCGGTCCTCCATCGCATCCGATCCGTGTCTCTTGAATTGTGAACCATTGTCTTCAATACTTGGAACACCAGAAAGCAGTTTTGGATATGTGGTCCTATCTCGTGGAAAAGTATACACGGCTGTCACACTCGCAGTAGATATTGAGCAGTTGACAGTAAGGGACGATATGAGAGTAGAATGATAGTAGATCAACCGTGGTGCCTTGCATTAACGTCACCGTACATTCTCAAGTGTGTATTACCCCTCGATGCGACAATGGCTGAATCAGAAGGGAAACATGGTCCATTACCAACGCAAATTTGTTGCATACAGGACTAACACTTCAACGTCGATGTTTCACCTTGTTTCTGGAAATCATGCCAACTTGTCAAGTTGAAACGTAGCAAAATTCAATCTTCTTAAAAGAATCCACTGTAACCATTTCCTCTTGTACCGATTTAAACAGAGGCGCAGGGTAACATTGGGATACCTATGCTGCTGATGATTGCCGATCCAGAGGGAAACTTGGTTGAGATCCAGCAGCAGGAGCAACCAACCGGCGTCCTGTGAATAAGTACGCAAGAGAGTGTGGAGGAGGAGTCGGGGAGCTTAATGCGACATGTAATATGGCTAAGGCGTAAATAGTTAGCAAGGTGTATATGGTGGTTAGATACCTGATCAGTTCGAAATCTGTTTTGGCGCCCCGGGGGGGGGGGGGGGGGGTGTTGTATTTCATCAGTGAATCGTGGGTCTTTGTTCTCCATTCTATTAGAATAAGGTTGTTCGAAGGATGTGTAATAATAATAACAGGCACATTTATTATGGATATCATGCGACGTATAACAATAATAGCCCAGTTGGTTTTTATAAGTTCTGAATTTAGTGGTTTCAGGGCGGGTTCAGTCTCTGTACTTGGAAAGTTAAACGATGTATCCTGACATGCCTCTCGCCCTGGCATAGCCTTTCTTGCATTTGTACCCCGAGCTCGACGCACCATAGCGTCCTTCTCTGGTAGCTTGATATCCCATTGGATATTGGAGTGCCGACTTCGTAGCATGATCCAAGCGCACTTTTAAAGCCTCACCTAAATGGCAGACGTACTGTGTAATGCGCCTGGCGATTCCTGGGTACTCTCAGCTGGAACCCCGGCGCATGGTCTGAATGGAAAGGCAACGCGCCAGTACGGACGCGGATTTCAATGCCTGAGGTTTCAAGGCAGCATTTTGTATTGCGGCGGCATAGTCATCATCTAACTGGATAATCTTTGACAAAGAAATAGACACAGCCCCGGTAAACAAAATCACGTGACTGGACATCTGGACGCCGTCAGCAGCTGATACTACTAATTGTACCACAGACAGATGTTGATGGCTTTGAGTGCTTCCCAGCTCCTACAGCCGCCTTGCGCAAAACAAGAGAGCTAACGGTCTGAGCCATATTTTTGCACAAATCGACAGGGTCACGTCTTGCTGGCGTAATCTAGAGGAATGGTCCCAACGATCTCACCAGCTCCGAGCATGACGTCCCAAGTACCATTCAGACCTCGAGCGAGTAAGCCGAAAGTGCGGACGGGATGCATTGTCTGCAAGTAAGTGGAAGCAAGCATGCCTTAACCCCATTTTAACTCCATCGAACGTGTCTGACCTCAGACTCTAATTTGTTGAGCAGGATCCGACGAGTTAAATGTGACGAAACAAAACCAGCATGTCTGAGATGTACTTCCACAGGACGCAAATGCGAGGGATACGCGCAGTCTGTCCCCATCCAGCGGAAAGTGATTTCAACAACAGTAGAAGATAACAGAATGGGCCTTGCGTCAAGTCGCAACTCCATATTACTCCCTGGCCTTTCTGTTGCATTCGAAAACACCAGCGAGAAGCGGTCCCTTTACTTCTTCTGGTTGGCAGCGGAGAACGACATCTCACGGCACTTCGGAGACAACTTCTGGGCGAGGCTAGTAATGCAGACGGCACACGCATACCCAGTCGTACAGTATGCCGTGCATGCCACAGGTGTTCTGTACGAGACCTATATAACGCGGAGCGACGGGGACCTTTTGCGGGGGTTGTTAGACTCTCCTACTAGCCACACGGCCATGCTTCGAAATAAAGCACTCAAGCTCCTTTCGGACCAGCTGCAAATGGGTAGGCTCCCACGCCAGGTCGTACTGATGTGTTGTCTTTTGTTTGTGTGGCTGGAGCTGTTGCGGAACGATTTCGAGGCGGCCATCACCCATCTCAAGAGTGGCCTACGTATTCTACAAGATATGGAGCAGCAGCAGCAACAGCCACAAGCACATACCTCAGCTTCTCACTCGGGGTCCAACCCCCCGCTCAAAGATGTCGATCGAGCCATCTCGCACATGTTTACGCGCCTACAGGTCCAGGTTACCATCCACGGATGCCCCGGTTCCGAGGTAAAATTTATGCCAACAACAAGTCCTTTCGATACCAGCATTCAACAAGTTCCGTCCTCATTTAGAGACGTTGCCGAAGCACGAGACAGTCTCGACAATATAGCAACGTACGCCTTCCGACTCATCCGACAGAAGCAACAGTTCGAGCCGTCTCAAAGGCCCGAGCCTCCTATTTCTCGTAACTCTAACTGGCCGCTGCTCATTCGCGCCCGCGATTCGTATTTAGCGCACCTGGAACAATGGCACACCGCGCTCCAAAAAAGCATGCACTTGATCCCCGAAATCAAGGCAAGCTCGCCGGCAATTCTCCTCCTCAGAATTAACTATACGATGGCGGTCATGGTGATGAAGAACCTGTTCACCGAGTCAGAACTAGCATACGACCGGTACAATGTCGATTTCGATCAACTCGTCGGGCTTGCAGAGGCCATCCTCCGGAACTCACGACGCGAGACATTTGGCTCAGCCCTCTCGCTCGACACTGGTGTTCTGCCGTGTCTTTTCTACACCAGTCTCAAGTGCCGCGACACCGCGATACGGCGTCGGGCGCTGCACGTGTTGGAGTTGGCGCCCGAGCGCGAGGGTCTATGGCATCGCGACAGCATAATCGCAGCTGCTACCTGGAAGATGAGCATTGAAGAACAGTGGTGGAGCATGGCGGACCCTGTGGCACAGCAGCTGCCCGGGTCTCTAAGAATATACCGGGAGAAGGTTACTTCTGCAGGAATTCAAAAGGCCCGAGCTAATGTACGCTTTGCAGGCGGGCCACCAGGGAGTAGTGATATTGAATGGGAGGTAAGCCGGCTCCTTTACCGGTTCGGAGATACGATTTGAGTGTAAAATGCCGCACAGTTATTTATCACATTGGTTGTTAAGAGTCGTGAGCATCATGTTATTTACGGAATATCCTGCTCGTAAATAGCGAAGCCATGTAAGCCACTCCAGTGTTGGTGCCCACGCCATGGTGGAGACTGCAATAATTGGTACTAGCCTTGTATACGAGCAGGCGAATCAGAGTGCGCGGCTGTCTCCGCTGAACGGCATCATGTCAAAAATATGAGTTCAATCCAGGCTTCCCCTGGTAATCTTACGAGCCGCCAAATTGGAATGCAAAACAGAATGTAAGCGGGTGAGACTGGACCACCTGGATACCCTTCAATCCAGGACTGAGATTCTAGGGCTGCCCTGTACGTGATATGCCATTTTTTTTCTGGACTATATATAACCAAGCAATGCTGCCCTTTACAACTCAGAGCTAACAGGTTATGCAACTACCTTTTCTTACACTCTTGGTACCCTTCTTTGCTCCGCTTCTCAATACGAAATGTTGCACCGCAAATCCACCCTGACGGCGGCGATATTGCTGTTGCTCTCCACCAACGGCGCTGCCAAGGCACCCAGCGCGAAGACAATCCGCTGGGTTGACTGCTCCGAAAATGTTCCTTCGACCCTTGATCTTACTGGTGTCAATCTTAATGATCTCCCCACCACTCTCCACTGCGGCCAGATCAATGTCCCTATGGATTATTCCAGGCCCCTATCCCCTAATAATGTTGTCACGCTTAACTTGGCCATGTATCGTCCGGTTAAGCCGATGGGCGTGCTATTTGTGTTTGTTAAGCCTGCAAATTATCTATGTATACACAATACTAATATTACTTCCTGGGCTACAGTAATCCCGGAGGTAGCGACCCGGTAGCAGTGGAAGCATGGCAGGTTGCACTGGGTCAGACCTCGGCATTCTCAGGTCTCACAGACTACGATTTGATGAGTATAGATTGACACCCTTTCCTTATAGCGTGTGCAGAGCAACTGATTAAACCCACTGAAGTGATGGACGTCCGGGGCACTTACGGTTCAACTCCACTGAATGTCTCCCTCGAAGTATTTGGCGGTTATCCCTCTGCATAGTCAGTCGTGTCGCAAATAACCTTTTCCGGATACTTGATGCTAACATCACCTTTACTCCTCCAGCCCTCAAAACGAGTCTCAGTTCGAAGTTTTTCGACAAGCTTCAGCCAAGATGTTTCAGTCTTGGATCCAGTCAAGTCACCCGCCTGGTATCATCCAGTTCGTTGGGACGAAAGAAGTCGTGCAGGATTACGAAGAAATCCGCAAAGCTCTTGGATATAAGAAGGTCCATTTTCTTGGGGAGTCGTAGTAAGTAAAGTGACGACATGGTTCCCCGAAGATTTAGGGACGTATTCTAATCAAAACGTATCTACTGCTTTTAACAGTGGCTCCTTCAGAGCTCAACACTATGCCCACGCATTTCCAGAAAGGGTCGGCCACTTTGTTCTCGATGCTATTGTGCCCTGTGGACGCGTATGTGAACTCACCCCTTATTTCGATCTCCGGTCTATTGCTAATTATCGTCGACATCTAGGGCTCATTCGACGAAGCACAAGACCATGTCGACGCTATCAACCGAGCAATGTTGCGGGCAGATGCATATTGTCAGGCCGAACCTTCATGCCACTTTCGAAATCAAGGCATAGGGAGCGTGCTCAAGGTAACTTCTTCAGGCCTGTTCTCGATCATTATGCATTTAGGCTGACACTAATGTTAAAAGGTCTTCCAAACGATCCTAAAAAATGTCGACCAGGTTGTAAAGTCGTGCGCAAAAAATAATGCCTGCTCCGATCCAGTCACCGTACCAATGATCCAGCAGGCTATGCTCTCGAGCCTCCAGGGTCAACCCAATTTTCCCCATATCATAAAGGCCTTAGAAGGTGCGGTACATGGCAATTACAGCTATTTAGTTGGAAATCAGCAAGCCACTACCGTCGAATCGGTCGTGGCCTTACCGCTCGAATGCGGTGATGGTGGTAATTATAATCCGAAAGATTCCTTCGCATTGAGCTGATCGCTTTGCAGTTTACAGTACAACCAAGTATTCGGATTTCAAAAAATCCTTAGAAGTAGGGATAGCTGTAAGAGGGCTCATTTCTGCTTGCTTTCGAGAACATAAGCTGAACAAATCTGCCAGCGAGACATAACCGGGCTTGGGATAACACCAACTTGGCAGCTCCAGGTAGGAGGCATTGATTCCCTTTTACTCTCCGACACTTAGCCCCGGCTTGTCAAGTTACTCTGCAGGGTGCAAACAGACTGATGTTGAGATAGCTCTACTGTTCTGGTTTTCCATTTCCAGCATCCAGCCCGCCGAAATTGTCGCTCGAGCATCAGATGTTGCTGGTAACCGCGGACTTTGACGTAGAGTAGGTATCATCTCTCGACATAAACATGATCCTTGTTGCTGATAGTATACAGCGCCCCGACAGAATGGGCTGATTTTGCCTGGGGGAAGCGCGTCAGTCGGCATTAGTCGTCCGCCACGGAGACGGCCACGTCTCCTTTCTGCGTAAGGACTCTACACAACTCTTTTGCGCAAGGCCATTGGAGACTGAAGATATTCTAATAATCCATACTTATAGATCAACATCAGGAATCGACCTCGGTTACCAAGGAGTTTCTCCGCTCAGGAATACTCCCAACAGCTAGGTATGACACGAACATATCAGTATATGCGCCAGATATGCATAGACCTCCCATTTCGAATCCATACCAAGTCCCCATCCTCCCGGCTCTGGAGTAATGGGTTCCTGTTAAAATTGGCTCGTTGGCGTTAGTGGTCTAAGAGATCGATTTAAAGTATTAGTAGTTGGCTAGGTGGGCGATCGCTTGGGAAGCAGTAAATTTAAGCATTAGACAAACACTTCGCTGTCGCATGATGGGTGTAAATAAATTAGCATCCTGACATGATATGATACCCAGCGAGCTTTGGGTGGCTCGATCAGTGTAATTCGGAGTCTTTTGCCAGGTAGAAGTCTGCTACGTGCTGCCATCGGTGCCTTGGCACTTAGGGCTGCCGCAAACAAAGATAATGTCCCACACTAGATGAAACAACAGGGAATAAAGCTGCATATAGCTGGTTTGCAACAAGTGAGGTTGAGCCCGGAATATCTTAGGCGCTGCAAGGGAACCGACGTTGATGTTATTCGAATCTAGCGTCGAAGCGGCTCGTCAAAGCTGTCTTTCATTCTATTAATACACATCGTATCAACGAGTTCGATCAACTACGCATCAACACTTTTCCCCGCAGAGAGAGGATCTACAGTCAGCCGATTGAGATCTATCTTAGCCCGTCTACGTACCGCCGGTACCTATAGGTCTAGTTTCGATTAATTAGCTTTGCCTATCGTCCTAGCCACCTAAGGGGTCTAGGCATTCTACGTCAGTAGTTGAAAACACCCTAACTAGACGTACTTGATCGGGTGGAAGCATGCGCCCGGCAATATCTCGTAAGATCGCACATTAGTCACTAGCTGAATGCTGATCGGAAGGAAAGGGCCGAGTCCCGCTCAGGAGGCCCCTGCGCCTCACCAGGCAACGTCATTGTAATTCCCCGAGTCTTGTTTTGCACCCTTCACCTCACAACTACAATTAAACTCGGAAAACCAAATGACGGATATACCTGTGGAAACTTCACAAGAACAACTGGAGCTTTGAATAACACCTGCAGAGGTATTACCGATCAAGTTGGCTTCTCCGAGTCACTAAATGACCTAAAACCTCCACTGCTATCTGGTTCAATATACATAGAACAAAATGACAGGGCAACCTGTAAAGCGGACCTATGCAGAAGCGGCCTTGGACTATGTCGGAGCACGCTACGTTGGCGTAGGCCCCGAAACATGCAGCTACACAACACAAGCGATCCAGATCCCCATGCGGGACGGCGTCGAGCTGGTTGCCGACTTTTACGCACCAGAATTACCCGACAACCAAGCACCTGCTGGTCTAATTATGGTCCAGTGCTGCTATGGTCGGGGCGGAGGCATCACCTTCCTCAACGCCCGCGCCTTCGCTGCTCGAGGCTTCCAGGCACTCTTCGTTAGCACACGCGGCACGCATGGCTCCGGTGGCACTTTCGACCCCCACAGCAATGAAGAGTCCGACAGCCAGGACATCGTCATCTGGATGCGTCAGCAGCCCTGGTATCCTGGCTCTTTTGCTACCCTGGGTGCCTCGTATCTCGGTTACAGTCAGTGGGCGCTGTTGCACAACCCGCCTGACGACTGTGTCGCTGCTGTCATTCCCGTTGGTCCTCATGATCAGGCCTGGCACGCATGGGGTACCGGGTCTTTTCGGCTTGATCGCGCAGCCTGGAGCGATATGATGTCGAGGCGTGACGGTGAGCGAGGAAACTTTCTCTCGCGTCTGTCAAATATACCTGGTTTGAGCTTTTTGCGGCCGTCTGGGCTCGAAAGAGCTGTGGCCGGTCTGCCGCTGGAAGCTAGTCTGCAGACATACTTCGGCGACAAGGCCCCGTGGCTCTTTGAGTATTTGAAACATGCCAATGTTGATGATGCTTACTGGACACCACGGCGACACCACATTGCTCTTGACCGTGTGAAGATTCCTATCTTGTTGATTAGTGGTTGGTACGACACCTTCACAACGCAGACGATGCACCAGTTCAAGCACCTACGCGATAGAGGTGCCAATGTAAGCCTCATCGTCGGTCCCTGGACACATGTTCAAGGCTCTGGTCTACATTCTATGCCGGAGATAATGGAATTTCTCGCTGAACACCTAACCAAAACTGGAAAATACAATCGCCTTCCAGCTCACGTATTTATCACTGGCTCCCAGGAATGGCGCTCGATGCCAACCTGGCCTCCAGCTACTCAGCCGATGACCCTATATCTGCAAGAAAATAGCGTTATCGGATCGAAGCAGCCTGTCCAGGATGCAAACCCCGCCTCCTTCGTGTTCGACCCCCTGAACCCTACCCCCAGCATCGGTGGCAACCAAATGTCTTCTGGCGGACGAGTAGACGACAGTGCCTACGCCGAGAGATCGGACGTCCTAGTCTTCACGAGCGAGCCCCTTTCAGAGGATCTTGAGGTTCTAGGCACTCCATCCGTTCATCTGATACATGCAAGCGACCCGCCCTTTGCAGACCTATTCGTGCGACTCAGCGAGGTAGACGCTCAGGGCGTGTCCCACAACATCACTGAGATGTACCAGGCACTTGATGCGTCCCGCGACATGGCCCAGCCACTACAGCTAGATCTACAAGACTGCGCGCATAGATTCCGAGTGGGTACGCGTGTGAGACTTATTGTCGCAGGCGGGTCTTTCCCGATGTATGCGAGAAGTCTTGGAACTGCTGAAGATCGTGTGCGTGGTGGGAAGACTGTTCCTCAAAGACATACTGTTACTATTTCCGGTGGAGTGTCACGACTTATGTTGCCTATTAGCGCTGCTGTTTGATTTTCACAATTCTCCGCTAGTTGTTCATATACATTGTCCATTGAAGAGCGAGTAGCAGCGGCATAGTATATAGATATTCTATCCTTGTGCTCATTGCATTGTTGAACTAAGATTGTTAGATTTCTACAGGGGAAAACCCACTATCCGGTGGAAAGACGGACGATCGGTGAAGAAGAGAAATTCGACAGAATGTGTGCAATATTTCAATCCTCCTGCGGTGGGCCGGTTTCCTATCGTTAGGCCGACCATTTCCAGACGTGTCGAGCTTATCCTTCCATTGTATACCTGCAATGCATACAAGGTGGTGAATCTACCTGAAGGCTACTAAGATAAATCAGAACGCCTCAATCCCGTATTTGGCCGCGATGGTCAGCGCAATATTTTCCCTCACTCGGCGTTGTGGCGTAAAATGTATTTTCCAGCCACCATACGTCTACTTTCTTATTGTTCAGTCGAGAATTTTCGTTGCCGTCCCGACCGAGGTCAATACTGGGGCAAACCCCGGGAAGCTTGACGTCACTTGGGAGCGTGCAATTACTCCATTTAGGCAGTGTGAAGCACCCTGCTGTCAGGCCGTTCACTTCTTCCTAGCTATTACTAACGTCTTACATATCGCGTTTTCAGGGGCTGTGTGCATATCACGTTGAAAGGGGCTGTGTGCTTCCCGAAAGTTTATGTTGTCTCATTTCAAGCTCGCATTTACTGTCTATGCCTAAGATCGGCAATGCCAAGCATCCTCACGGGGACGCGGCGGAGTTTGGTTACCCCAACAAAGGAAGACGTTGGTAACCACAATCCCAATATAGTCGGCAAGAGTCTCGCGACAAATAATCTTCATGTCTGCGGCATACAGATCCCAACCTAGAAGGTGCCTGTCAGCCAGCGGAGGAATTTCCATCACGGTCCAGAAGACCGTGTGGGCCGAAAGACAGGCAAGTGCATCGTCTCCCGAATGTTTCATTCGCTGTGGGTGGCATAAGTGGGAAAGTAAGTTGGACGCTAGTCTTGGTATAGATAAAGCTGGGGATCTTCGAGGATCAGATTATTTTGCCGGGTACGAAAACGAGAGCGTACTCAAACCTTGACCTGGCCGTAGTGGAGCACCCCATCTAAAATAAGGCTCAGTACGGGATTCGGGATGTGATTGACGAGCGATTAATTGTCATCATTTACGCTGGTATCAAGGTTAAACTGACGCGTACAACAATGCCAAATAACTCCTCATCAGTGGCTATGCTCATATAAAGTCTAGATATAAAGCTAGATGTCTTCGTACCTTTTTCTTCGGCGTCTTTCTTTTTGGACACTATTTGATCTGCTTCTCTGAAATATGAAATTTTCAGCCTGTCTGACGGTTCTCGGTCTTAGTAAGTGCAATATTCCCTTCTATCTTCTACAAGATATCTAAACTCCTTTGAAGCATCAGCTGCTAGTGCCGGTATATATACATTTCCTGCCGCAGCCCCGAATGTGGCCTATAGCGTTACCCTAGATACGGGGGTCCCTTTCTTCCAAATCGTCGCATCTACTTCCTATCAATGGGTTGCTCTCGGTGAGGGATCGCAAATGCCCGGCGCCAATATATTCGTCATCTACGCATCTGGCAGTGGTAACGTCACCGTGTCGCCCCGACTAGGTGTTGGCCACTTCGAACCCGAGTTCAACCCCAACGCTCAAGTCTCTCTGCTTGAAGGGAGTGGCATTCAAGATGGCTACATGACAGCAAATATCCGATGCGATAGCTGCCTTCACTGGCCAGGTGGATCTCTCGACACTGCCAGTCCAGCAAGCAACTGGATCTGGGCTGTTAAAGAGGGCAGCCCGCTCGACACTACAGATAAATCTGCCTCTATAGTCCAGCACGACACTGAAGGCAACCAGGCCATTGATTTGACTCAAGCAACCATCTCGTCCGCAAACACGGCCGATAGCAACCCCTTCCATGGATTCAACGGGACACTCGCCGTCGCCGCCGCCGCGGTAGCCTCGTCGGGCGGCGGGTCTTCTTCTGGGACTATGATTCTGGTCGCTCACGGCTTTCTTATGGCGTTTGCCTTTGTTGTGCTGTTTCCCAGTTTCGCTGTCAGTATACACATCATCCCTTACTCGAAGACCGTGCCCCGGATTCATGCACCTCTACAACTGTTCACGCTCTGCGTCGCGCTGGCTGGCCTAGGCCTTGGGGTCTACCTGGGTGTCACCGGTGATTTGATGAGCAGTTATCACCCCATCATTGGCCTTATCACTGTCGGAAGTATATTGCTCATCCAGCCTCTCATGGGCTTGAGCCAGCATTTGCACTTCCGCAAGACAGGGCAGAAAGCTTGGTTTGCTTATGTCCATCGATGGTTTGGTCGTTTCATCATCCTCCTGGGTATTATTAATGGGGGACTGGGGTTTATGCTCGCTGGCATTGGAACATCGGGTGTTCCTAAGGGGGCAGTGATTGCCTATTCGGTTATCGCGGCAGGAGTTGTTTTCGTATACATTGCCGTCGTGGGTTCCCAAGCATTTTTGTCGAAGCGCTAGACTATGCGACCACCACAACTGATGGTAGAACCCTAGCCAATGATTATCCCATGTCTTAGTAATGTGTGCACAGCGGTCTGCTGACTCAGCCGGCACTGGGCTTCCGCCCGGCAGCCGAGAGGCACGGAAAAAGACATTTCCCTTTCCTGCGTAATCCAAGGCTGCCGGTTGAACGGCAGCTTAAAACCCCAACATGCCGCCACCCGGCACCTTAGGAAAATTGAGCTGAATCGACCAACCACACCGCTCGGCATCTGGCCACTGTATCTACCGTTGCCCGCACCGCCTCCCCCACCCTCTCCCCATACAATGCGTAGCCGAACGCTTTGCCGTCGCCATGATGATGAGCCGTATATATAGACTTGCGATGTCTCCTCTGGGGATTCTCCATTTCTCTCCATCTCTTCTCCCTTGACACTCCGATATCTTCCACCTTAATCATGTCTGCCCATCGCCAGTTTGACCCCAACTTCACGCCCTATGTGGTGAACGCCATGGGCCCCAAGACTCCCGAGCGTGCTCGTGTGGTCCTGGGCTCGCTGATCCGCCACATCCACGACTTTGCGCGCGAGGTTGAGCTGACCTCCGCCGAGTGGATGATGGGTGTGGAGTTCATCAACTCCATCGGCAAGATCAGCACTCCCGTGCGCAACGAGTGCCACCGTATCTGCGACGTGATTGGTTTGGAGTCGTAAGTATACACACACAAAACAAAAGGAAAAAAAAAATGTATATTAACAGGGAATCTAGTCTCGTCGACGAGATCGCCAACAAGATCGTCACCGAGGAGGGCGTCTCCCCGACCTCCAACGTCATCCTGGGCCCCTTCTGGTCTCCCAACGCGCCCTTCCGCGCTCTGGGCGACAGCATCATCCAAGACCCCAACCCCAACGGCAAGGTCACCTTCATGCACGGCGTGCTCAAAGACATGGAGACCGGCGCGCCCATCGCCGGCGCGGTGCTGGACATCTGGCAAGCCTCGGCCAACGGGCAGTACGACTTCCAAGACCCCAACCAGTCGGAGAACAACCTGCGCGGCAAGTTCACCTCAAACGAGAAGGGCGAGTTCTGGTGGTACTGCTACCACCCAACCCCTTACTCCCTGCCCACCGACGGCCCCGCCGGTGTCCTCCTCAACCTCATGGACCGCTCGCCCATGCGTCCCGCCCACATCCACCTCATGATCACCCACCCCAACTACGCGACTATCATCAACCAGATCTACCCCAGCGACGACCCCCATCTGGACATCGACTCCGTCTTCGCCGTCAAGGATGATCTCGTCGTGGACTTCAAGCCCTCGTCTGACCCCAAGGCCGACCTTGACCTCGACTACCCCGTCAAAATGGCCCTCAAGAAGCACCACCCTTACCCCAACTCGGCCCCGCCGGTCTCGTCGTTTGAGCGCTTTAGCAAGGGCCAGAAGGAGCAGAAGCTTTGAGTGGTGATGATGCTTTGGCGAAGAATTAACGGCGTTGTGATGATCTCCATGTACAGTTAGCATTTTCTTATTTGCGAAATTTCCATTGCATATCCATATCCATGATAAATATCATTTCCAGTGTTACGTAGGCGGCTCTCTGGCGTAGATCTGCGTCAAGTTTGCATCCGGCCTGCATGGACAGGGGTCGGCCACATGGCTTTTCAAACCGCTCAATTCGTTTGGTCGGGATTTCAATTCCTCACAACCTGATTCGTTCCCAATCTCAATGGTCGAAAAGCTCGGCTTTAGAAACTGTTTCGATGGATCTACTGCAGATCCAGAGCTCACGTTTGCACCACCCCTCTATCAAACACAAAACAACCAATCCTCCAAACAACGCCCCCATGCAAGATATTTCCCGCGGACGAGGTCGCCAGCCATCTTCCGACTGAACAGTTTCCGTTGTCCAGGATGCAGTCTGTCCCGCTCAAGACAGAGCTCATACGTGATCTGCGGCGCTTTTCTCACATCCGGAGGGCTGCCGACGAAGTAGCGTGGATCACGATCGATCAGGTCGTCCTTATTTCCAGGCTCCATACTGAGTGCAGGCCATTGAGTATCAAGTAGCAGAGCCTCATCGCTCAGGACGAACTCCACCCACGCATCCTGTGCCATTTCAAGTACTGTCTTTCCAGAAGAATTCTCGCAACGCAACATGTCTGGACGTCGGTCCAGGATTACCTTCAACAAACCTGGAAATTGTTTCGTCACTGCGATATGTGCAGGGGTATTACCCCTCGCATCGCGCAGTTCTAGCTGGTTTTGGCTGCTGGATTCGCCGAGGTCGAGGAGGAATTCCGCAATGGCGGGCCGGTTGTCGCGATCGGGGTCATTATCCCAGGGTGGGTAGCGAAGTGGCCGATAAGACCCTTTGCTATAGGACATCCATCGTGTAAGAGGGGTGAGATGTCTCTGACATCGCTCGTTGACCAGGGTTGGAATGATTTGTCGATCTAGAAGACCGACCATCTCTGTTAGGAGGTGTAGATTCTTGCAGGTTTCCCATTCGAGCGACACTAAAGTCAAATGCAGGACGTTATTCCCGAGTCGATCACGGGCTGTTTGGTGTGCGCCTGCATCGATGAGAATGCGAGCGAAGGTGGCTCGTTGGAGTGAGAACGCTAGCGCGAGAGGCGTGTGGCCTTCTGTAGATCTGTTGTTCAGATACGAGGGAAAGTGCTGAATGAGGTATCGGACTAGATCCTCTGATTCCTCGCACGGTTCGGATATTACTGCACAATGAAGAACCAAATCATCTGCAAGGTGTTAACCACTGCTGATGTAAAATGCCCCGGGACTTACCTCTCCAGCTCAACCATCTCTGCAGTGCCTCCTTCGTGCCGATTCCAGACTGGGAAAACTGTTGCACTCTATCCTCTTCCTGATGAGTAGAAACATAGTGAAGATAACATTCAGCCGGATCTGCACCCAGGAACCATTTCGTAGCAGCGAGATTTCCTTGTGTCGCCGCTGCTAGAAGGGGCGGCCGTTCACTCCTCTTGGGTTGATTCACTGCTGAAGGCAATACCTTCTGCGGCCTTTCGTTTTTCCCGATCTTGTCTTTTCTCAATGGGATCCCAAACCCAGTTTTGGTGATAATCTCAGCAAGACACTCTACGCGGCCCAGTTTCATAGCAAGAAGGAAATAGCGCGCGCATAAAGTTCCCAGACGTCGACCATGGTGATAAGGGCTTGTAAGTTCCCCTATCTCCAAAAGAAATGCCAACAAGGGCAAATCATTCTCAACGACCGCATGTTCCATCAGATTTATATGTAGGCCGGAATCCGGATCAGTGGTCGACATTGACATACACAGTTCGCTGTGGTTAACAGCTTTGAAAGCGTCTCTGTCGAGCGATAGATCCCCGAAAAGATATCCACGCTGTACAGATTTTGGAGGTTTGGCCTGATGGATTCGGACGATTAGCCTTGCGACATCCCAGTGGCGTTTCAGGGCGGCAAGCGAAAGAGGTGAGAAATCTAGTCTGTCGCACTTGGAGACTTCGAGTCCGCTGTCGTCCTGTTTTTCCAGGGTCAGACGCTTGATAGTCTCCGAGTCGCCTTGCCATGCTGCTTCGAATCTGTGAGAATTAGTATACATCCCTTCTTTTCAACAATAGGGAAATGTCGTACAATTCCAAATATGCTTCCTGGCCAGCACCAAATGGAAATAATGCTGGCCTATTGTATATATCGCTTGTGAACTCTGGTCTTGCTTGTGACTCTTTATCCGACGTAGGAGCTTCGGGATGAAGTTCCTTGAATGACTTTGCGGCTCGAGCTAGCAGTTCTGCTTCCAGTACCTGGTAGTCCCGAATCAGACTCTGGACACTTTGTCTTTTCACATCATATCCTTGAGGATGGTTGGTTTCTTTCTTCTTTTCTTCGTGTGACCTCTGCATATCTTCATAGCAACTACGTGCTTTGCCCAGGATCACCTTCCCAGCCCACATTTGATATGTACCCTCCGTAAGGTTTGAGAAATATTCCTTGTGTTCATCAAACGGCCTTAGAGGCTCCTGCTGGTGTGAAACCGAATTCAAAAAGTCTTTCAAGCTGTCAAGTTTCTGCCGCACCGCGTCCAGAACTGAATATCCACGAGCATGAGAAGTTGACCTATATCTCCAAGTACACGGATCCGCCCCTCTCCTAAGAATCTCCATTGCAACTCGCGGCAATTCATTCTCAACAGCAGAGATAATAGGCTGTCTAGCCAACCGATAATACCTCGACAACGGATCCTGCCGCTTAGGGGCACGAAGATTTGCGAAACCGACATTCTCGACAAAATCCTCATACTCAATGAACGGCTTCGCCCCAGCCTCGAGCAGCTTCATTGCCGTGGAGATGCTTTTCAAATCGAGAGCCGTATTCAAGGCCGAATACACACGCGGAAAAAGAGCTGCATTCACGTATATATAGTCCAGTGCGAGTTTGAATCCTTTTACGTCGGTCTGCGAGTATACATCGAAAAGCTCGTCGTATCCAGATGCGACGATGTATTGCAGTAGCGTCTTCCTGGCCGTATCAACCGGAGCAATGGAGATGCCGCTTACTTCAAGTAGGATCCGCGATATCTCTCTGGCCTTTTGGCGGGGGAGAAGCAAGGGCAGATAGAGCGTTGGAAGTATAGCGGTCTGTGGCCTGAACTGGGCGATGAGCAGGTTGTTCGCCAGAGGCCATGTCCTGAGCGACTTATTGGGATTGGCTCCAAAGGAAAGTAGCTCGACGACGGCTTCGGCGTGCCCGTGCAGGATTGCAAGATGCAGCGGCGTGGTGAAGTCTTTCCAGGATATGACGTCGGGATGCTCGTAAACATCCGCGCCGACTCCGTCTAGGTCTGCTGGTGCAGGGTCGGGAGAATCTATTCGCAGCAAATGGATCGAGTCTTCATGTCTATCCGTGTCCAGCTCGTTGTCTAACTTCTCTCCTGGGCCGGTGTCATGACCACCCTCTGGGTTCGCTTTGCGTTTGGTTTCAGCACTCTTAGACAAAAGAATTCGAATCTTTTCAACATTTCCCCGCTTAGCAGCCAGGTGTAATGAGGTTTGTCCATCTTTTGTCCGCAGGGTGATGTGGGCACCGGCTTTGATGAGGCTCTGCACGATCGCTGGCGAGGAAGCGATGCAAGCTAGGTGCAGTGGTGTCCTTCCTGTGCGGTCGCGATGATTGGGGTCTGTATTTCCCTGTTGCAAACATTCTTCGACAGCCTGGACATCGGCGAGTGAAATTGTCTGGCATAGGGTCTCCGTGTCAGGATTGGCCATAATACGCAGTGGGTGTCGAAAATGAGAAAGTGAACGGGCTTGGACTTGGACCCCACGTTACTATTTTTGGGGACGCTGATTATTGATAAGATGGTGCATTTCGCTCGTTTACAAGGGTGTACCTATACATTGCAAGGTTGGCATTTGCTTTTACATATAATGCTTCGTTCATTGTTAGATAACAACACACAACAGGAAGCCCTGCCTAGCATACAGATATTCAACAGGTACGTGCCACGGGCAGTTACAGTATTACTGCATTTAATTGCACATCACACATGTCTTGATGCTTTTTCTTCGAGTGTTTACTCCTTCATCCATCGTGACTGTACTAGACGAGCTCCCTCACTCGTCAGGTACCGGTACCAGCACCAGTGCCGTTCGTTTTTCCTCTTTTCACACACCCCTTCTTGCGAATCTCATATATCCAAGATGATGGACTCGACGGCTTGGACATGGATATACCACCTCCAAAATCCCTTACAGATCCTTCTTGACGACGTGGGCGCTAGGGAGAGCACCGGCACGGTCAATAGCAGCCTGCCGAGCTCCAGTGAGACCGAACTGGGAGTTGATGCCCTCAATACGGTGCGTCGAGTTGATGTTCTTGACGAGGGTAAGCTGCCAGCAAGTGGCACCACCCTGGCGGGAAGTGATGGTGGAGGCGGCCAGGAAGTACTCCCAGATGCGGAACCAGCGCTTGCCGTACTTGGCCTCGACCTTGTCACGGTTGCCGAGCCAGTTGCGGTACCAGCGCCAAAGCGTGGCGGAGTAATGGACGCCAATGGTGTCAACGGCCTTGATCTCGAAGCCGGCGCCCTCGAGGCGGTCGACGACAAACCCAAGAGGGGTGGATGCGTCGGCGCCGGGGAAGACGTACTTGTTCATGAACAGGCCCCAGATCAGATCCTCGTACTGCCATGACTTGCGCAGACCGGCGATCTGCAGGAAGAAAACACCGTCGTCGTCGAGCATGTCATAAACCTGGGACAGGAACGAGGAGAAGTGGCGCACACCGACATGCTCCGCCATCTCCAGACAGGTGATCTTCTTATAACCGCCGTCGACGCGGGGCGCGTCGCGGTAGTCCGAGCACAGAATGCGGCTCTGCGTGTCCTCGATGCCGGCGCGGCGAAGTCCGTTGTTACCCCATGCGGTCTGGTTGCGGCCGAGAGTGATACCGGTGACATGAGCGCCGTAGTGGACCGAGGCGTACTTAGCCAGCGTACCCCAGCCGCAGCCCAGGTCGAGGATGGTGTCGCCGGGCTGGATGCCGATCTTCTCACAGACAACGGCCAACTTGTTATCTTGCAGCTGTTCGAGGGTCTCTTCCTTGTTGATGTCGCTAATGATACCGGAGGTGTAGATCATGCGCGGGCCCAGGAACCAGGCGTAGAAGTCATCGCCGCGGTCGTAGTGATCACGGACCTGCTCCTCATCTAGAAAAGTTTAGAGAATGAAAAGAAAGTATGGGAGAGACGCAACGTACCCTGGGAACGGGTGTGCAGCAGCATCTCGGGAATGAAGCCAAACAGGAAGTGCTTGAAAAGACCCATGGTGAAGCGGAAGTTGGCCCAGTCATGACGGTACTCGAGGCACTCAAGGGCATCGCCCTTGAAGTCGACCTCGCCGTTGAAGTACTTCTCATAGAAGGTCTCCATGGGGATCTTGCTCTTGCCACGGTAGGTGGCACGGTCATGTTCGCTGTGGAATTGCAGGTAGTGCTCCACGGGGCGGCCGGCGTACTTGGCCTTCTCGGTCTTACGTGGGGAGATGGTGGAGGAGACGGTCCAGAAGGCCATCAGGACTGGGATCGTGGTGAAGATAGCGAAGAAGATGGTGGTGTACAAGCCTCCGCGGACCTGGCGGGCCAGGAACCAGGGCACCACGATGAGCAGGAAGATCATCAAGCCATTGGAGAAGCTGTCGCTACCCGGCGAGTCGGCGGGGACCGGGGCATTCTTAATGGCCGGGTACTGGAGAGAACAGAAGCTAGTCAGAGCTAGTTCCCGAGCAAAGAGCTTGAAGAAGCAAGCCACTTACTAGGGTGGTCGGCACACCGCAGTCAAAGGCGGGCTTGGACTGCTGAGGGGCAGCCGGGGTTTCGATGAACTCGAAGTCCTCGGTGGACTCCGGGTGGACGGAGGACATGGCGGCGAGAGGAATTGGAGGAGGGAGGGAGAGGTGGTGGGAGCGGAAGAAGGAAAAGGAGGAAAACAACAAGAGTAAATAACTAGGCGGTGAGGCCTTGACGCCGAAAGATAGTACGTGGCGGTACCAGACCCTGGTCCGTGGGTTGGCGGAGCTTGTTCCTGAATTAACGGTCCAGAATAATAATTCAGCGGGTCTTGATTCTTCTTCATGTGCGTTTCGCCTGTTGGCTTGGCTGAGTGATCGTCTGGCGAGTGGAGATTCCTGAAACAGCACGATCCGCGGTTGCATGAGATAATTGTAGGAGTAACATTATCATTCTTCAAACAGTAATCAATAATCAAACGCCAGACCCCTGTCGGCTTGCCGACACAGTTAATACCTAAACTGTCCCTGCCGATATCCCTCCAATATCAATACAAATATGTAGACACGCAATAATCAGCCTCTACAGTGTCAGCTGGAAGTTCTGAGCCTCCTCGTCTTCTTCAAAGGTCGGCAGCACCTCCTCCGGTTCGGTCGGTGTGACATTCTCATCAAAGCAGCCAGCAGTCTTGCAGCGCATCCACATGTCCGAGCCTAGCGGAGGCGGTCCATACACCTGCATGTATGCCTGCGGAGTCAGCGCATCCGGAGGACTGGCCGGCTTCTGTTCGGCGGGCTTCTCCTGCAGCGCGGACGAAACACTTCGTCCCTTGGAGTATCCAACGGTCGAGTTGGACGTAACTGCAGCGGCCGTGTTGCGCATCGATGACGGGTTGCTCGGAGTGCGAGTCTTCTTCTTCGGCATCAGCGGCATTTTCACTTTGGGCGCGGATGCAGTCCGAGCCGGGGCTGCACTGGGTTTGAGCGAAGCAAGGGCAGCAGCCGCGTCGCGAGCTCGAATAGTAGGGATGTTGCGAGCTTGTCTGGTGGTCGGCGTAGGTCCCTTGACACGGCGAGTCTCGGCCGGCAGTGGCTTCGGCGGCTCGTTCTCCCCGTCAAATGTAACCCCATCCAGCTGCTTCATGATCATCTCATCCACGAGCTTGTCGCACGCCGCCGAGTCTGCCTGGAACTTGCGCTGTTGGGCGGTGAGGCCATCGCTGCCCACTTCCTGTCGCCCGTACACGCTCTCCAAACCCAGGGCGCGGTTCCTCGGGCGGAATTGCGGGAAAGTCGTGTCGTAGGTCACATCATCTGGAATATCGGGAAGCTCCGTAGGCTTGGGGGGCATGTATTCAATGTCGGGCACATCATCCTGGACAGCTTCCGGCTGAACCTTTGGCTGGGCGTGCTGCGTGACGGGAGCCGTTTTCTTGATTCTCTGAGCGGTTGACGCCCTGCGGTTTGTCTTCTCCGGCTTGAGGGTTCCGCCAAAGGGAGCGGGTGTCTGGAGGCCCTTCGCTTTGGCATTGGTGGTTTTCATGCCCAGAGGCGCGCGGGTTTTCGTGTCTGTCCTCGCGTCAGTCTAGTATGGTGGTATATGATATCAGAGGGTCCCTACCCATCGGAGTCACGAATGCATCTTTGCCGGGTTTGCCATTCTCCTGGCGATTTCCCTTGATCGTGCGTTTTCCAAAAGCCACGGGGTTGTTCTCATCGTTCAGCGGCACCTTGAAGGGGGTCTTGCCAGGTGTCTTGGGAGGCAGTTTGTTGACGCCCTGGTTCAATGGCTTGGCAGCCGCAGCCGTGTGGTGGGTGTTTACCAGGTTTTCCTGGTCTCTGAGGGCCAGCATGATGGCGATGGTGGTGTCATGAAAATGGATGTCTCCAGCCAGGAAGTAACTATTGTTTTGTTGTTGCCCGTGGAGACGAGCGGGTGATCAGCAGCACGTGATTGGCTGCCGGGACGAGGGGCTAGAAGGTGCCGGTACACGGTACCTGATACTGTGTGCACGGGGTGCCCAGTGGATAAGTACCTGGTACCTGGCTGCCACACCACACTACTACTCTCTCTTGTCTTGTCAGCCCGCTTTCTTTCTCTCTCTCCCTTCTCAACCCCTACTCCTCCACATCTCCTCCACTCACTCCTCCCGACTCCCCGCCTTCCACCTCCTTTCGGATTATCCCTTCTCCCCTAACCAAGTCTTTCACGATGGACAAGATCAAGGAGGTGAGTCTCCTGTCAATACCCCTGCCTGTCTGGCGGGGTAGCTCGATCCATCCCACCATGTACAATGCACACACTACACCACTCCCACACCATACCACACGCACCACCCTCACTTCTCACATCCACAACTAATGCGAACAATGAAACACTAGCGCATGAACACCCTCCGTGTCGAGGCGGACGAGGCCCACGAGCAGGTGGAGGAACTCAAGACCAAGATCAAGACGCTCGAGCAGGAGAACCTGTCCAAGGAGCAGGATATCACATCCCTCAACCACCGCAACCAGCTGCTGGAGGAGGAGGTCGAGAAGCTGGAATCTGCTCTCAAGGAGGCCAAGGACGCCGCCAGCCAGAGCGCCCAGCACGACACTCAGAACGAAGCCCTCCAGCGGCGGGTGCAGCTGCTGGAGGAGGAGGCGGAGGAGAACGACAAGACTCTGCGGGAGACGAACGAGAAGTATGCTGTTCTGTTTTTTTACATGTCTTGCGTTTGTGCTAATCTTTCCCCGCTTTCTAGGCTCCGCCAAACCGACGTCAAGGCCGGCCACTACGAGCGCAAGGTGCAGGCCCTCGAGACAGAACGCGATCAGTGGGAGTCCAAGTACGAGGAGATGGCGAAGAAGCACCAGGAGCTGCAGAAGGATCTGCACGACCTCGAGGTCTCCATCAGCAACGTTTAGAGGTCGAAAGATGTTGGGTTTCTTTCTCTGTTTTCCTATTGTCATAATGTAGCCGCCTTGTGTGTTACGCCTATTTTTTGTGTTGTTGGCCCGAGAGACAGCGTTCTCAATCGCAACTCCCATAACCATGCAATTATTATGTTCGTGGTAGATATATCTATCAATCTTCTTCATCACCGCTCCCGCCGTGCCTGGGCCTTTTTCGCTTTCGACAGTCTCTGCTTGGTCCGCGCCAATTTCCGGTCCTCCTTGCTCTCGTACCGGAACTTCTTTTTCTTCTTTTTGGGCTTGTCTGTAGCGGCCTTGCGTGATTTGGCGGGTTTAGTCTCGGTCTCGGCTGCTGCGCGTGCAGCTGTCTTCTGTTCACCCTCGCTGTCATCCTCTGAATCCTCTCCCCTGACTGACTTGAGAAGTCCTTCCCGGGATGTATCCATCTCCTCGACCGTGACCGTGGTGTATTTGTCTTCGTCGATATATTCAGCCTCGTAGTCCACCGCGGGTGGCTCCTCAAAGCCTTCCCATTCGTCATCTTGATCGCCATCATTCCCAGCATTCGAGCCGCTGCCATCACTGTCATCTTCTTCCTTCAGGCGTTTGAGCTGTCGCTGGTGCTCCTCCATCGCGCGCTTGAACTCTGCTGTCCGCTCTTCACGAATCTTTTCATGGCAATTAGTATGTTGGCAGACCACTAAACCAGACATAGTAGCATACCTTCTTGCGTTCTTGTATGCGTTCTTCGCGGGCTCGTTTCTCTGCGATTTCCTGGGCATGCTTTGCACGCTGCTTCTTTCTCTTGCTGAACCCGGTTAGGAACTCATGGCGGGCGTCGTCGTCGAAATTGACCTCTGCGACTTTGGGGTTCGGTTTGCGCCGTTTTAACTGGGGCGCCATTTTCGAGATCAAATAATGGTCTTGGTTGTCAAGTGCGGAGTCCAAACGAAGAAAGAGGGAAAAAAAGTGGATGGTCAGCCAAAAGGCGGGATCTGGTCGACCGCCTCCGAAACAACCAACACCCGAACACCACCTAGCAACCTACACCTCTCCCCCAACATCACCCACAATGCATCTCAGCAGGTTCGGACTGCTCGCCCTGGGCGCAGCGACAGCCGATGCCTTCCGAGACACATCGCCCTTTTTCCTAGCTTCAACCTCCGAGTATGTTGGGATTGATTGGCCCCCCGTGTTGGAAGCTGCGGCCAGCTAATCACTTCTTCTGCACAGAGTCCTAGCGAACTCGGCGTACATCAAGTCCGGCGCATCGCTCCTTGACACCCTTTCCACATCGCTCAGCTCTTGTCCCTCCGACTACTATGTCGTCGTCAACCAACCCGGCGTACACAGTTCGGACTTCTCAACTCGCAAGTCGGCGCCCCGCCTCGGCGCGAAGATGCTGGGCAAGGATAAGGCGATTCGGTCGAAGATGACGGTGAACGAGGTAGCGGGTTTGTTGGAAGCTAAGGATGTGAGCGAATTCTTGGAGACGAAGTGCAAGGCGAAGATGACCGCCATCGATGGGTCCTGTGAGTTCCGATGTTGGCCCGTGAGGGATGCTCGCACAAACTGACACCGCTGCGTAGCTGGATCATATCCTTCGTCATTTGAACAGGGTCCTCGCATCATCTCCGTCGATTTCCCGATGCTCTCGCTGGGCTCCGACCGCGCCCAGCAGCTCTCCGACAACGGTTCGTGGACCATCCACCAACTACATTTCGCGGTTGCTGACAGAGACTAACTAGACGGCCTTCTCGCCGACATTGTTGATCGCATTCCCGCATCCTCCAAGTACACCATCCTCTATGTCACCTCCCCCGGGAGTTCCCCGAATCCGACTCTGTCGTGTATGACTCTGGCGAGGGGTCCTATCAGGACGCCCTCCACATGGATCTGAAACGCGACTACTCGTCCTGGTCTTCCAACGCCGACTCATCTGATGATTCCGGCTCCCGGGGCCTCTTCGAAAAATACCAGTACTTCACGCCCGGTTGGTGCTCCCCACCCAGGCGGTTTCTTACCTTACCCGTTCTGACGTCTTGTCTAGGCATTTTCATGGGCTTCATGGCGTCCTTTCTGTGTCTTATTATTCTCTACATCGGCGTCAGTGCCCTCAGCAGCCTGCAGGTGCCGTATGCTGCGTTTGAAAAGGACACATCCAGTTCGGTGCAGAAGAAGCAGCAGTGATAGGACGGGGATGTGTTTCGGGGAGGGTGACCATTGAATATAGGCTATTTATTTCCCTTGCTTGCATGCTACAATTATTTTTCTGTTTGAACTTCCCTTCCTACTTTATACTATTGTCACGTCAGGTGATGGGGCCTAGCCTGAGGCACTGACCCCTATTCGTATCATGGCGCCGGCGTCTTTTTCCCTCCTTACTGTTCTCGCCTTCGCTTAAACCCTCGGACTTTGTCTCATTGCCATTGGAAAGTCCGTCATTCGTTTGTTTCCCACACTTCTTACTATCATTATCACCGAGACTTCCTTATATGGAAATCCATTGACGGTGGATCCCCCCCGCGAGTATTTGTGCCAGTCTATCGTCAGCCAGGCTTCCCCGTCAGCTGCGCCTGAATCGAAAGCCCAGTGCTCAACCAGACCAAAATCTGCGCACAGAGTCTCCAAGCGTCCAGATCAAGGTCTCACTAGAATTTTCAATCGGAGTCCTTTTTTCTTCGCCACATTCCTCGCTGTCGCTGGATCTACGGCCCAACCCGACTGACCCGCAACTCTGTGGAGACTTAGTTGAGATTGGTTGTTTACCGACCGATTCGTTGCCATGCGACTCCTGCCACGGGGGCTAGCATCAGGCCGGCGACCGTCATGTCTCCTTCTGGTGCTGCTAGTTCTCCTGGTCGCTGCTCGTGTGTCCGAGGCCGCGGGCGGTGCTACTAAGGCCGCTGACGCCCAGACCGCCGCCGATCCCGCAGCAACCCAGGCACCTGAGACTTCTACCACGCCGCCCGAAACTTCTTCGACAACCACCGACTCGACTACCACCACCGACTCTTCGACGTCGACGTCTGAAACTTCTACCACCACGTCGACGACTGAGTCGACTACGACCTCGTCAACGATGGACCCGACCACGACTACCTCCACAACCACCTCGTCCACTTCCTCAACGGACAGCACAACAACAACATCGTCAACCACCACATCCTCCACATCATCCACATCCTCCGGAGCCGCCTCCTCAGGCGGATACCCCATCGTGACTGTCCCTCCCACCGCCGGTGCACCGTACATGCAAACAACCAACACGCCGGAGGGCACCGTGTTTATCGCCGTCGGCGCGGCACTTGGCCTGATCGGCCTCGCCCTTCTAGCCTGGCGCGCAATGGTCGCATGGTCAGTCAACCGCTCCGTCCGCCGCGCAGCGATGATGCAGTCCGAAAACAAGCGCCTCCTCCGCACAAACAAGAAACGCTCCACCATGTACTCCGCCGCCCCAACAGCCAGCATGTCCTTGGATCGCCTCGGCGCTGGCGCCAAGCGCTCCAGCAAAGCCCGCGTCCCGAGCACGCACAGCGGCCTGTTCTTCTCGCCCACGGCTGGAGGCGGTGTTGGTGTCGGCTCGCATACAAGTCTCAACGCTGGAGCCAGTTCAGCCGGGAACCGCGCCTCCAACTATCTGCCTGCGGGGTACTATGCTGCTGCTGGCAGTTCTACACCCGCCACCACCAGAGGAGGAGGACCAGATCTCCATGCGGGTCTGTCGTCGCCGGGATATCCGCCCAATATTTCGCCCACTCTCCCGCCGACAAGCACGTTCCATGACCCGCCGCATAACCAGCGCCAGTCGTATGCAGGGGCCTCAACGAGTTCGTTGAATCTGAACCAGGTGCCACAGGGCCGGGCTCCGAGTGCGTATCTTGAAGATCTATTCGAGAGCCATGTTCCGCCGCATCATCCGGACTCGGGCCGGAGGTGATATTTGTGTCAGGCGTGCGTGCGGTTTACCATATGAAGGGTTGAGCATTTGCCATTTTATTTTATTTGTTAATTGGATTCTTTCTTGCACCTACAAGGTATATTCTTGCCATTTTTGTGCCATATCTCTGATATCACCTGATTTCCTTTTGTCTTGTTTTTCATTTTGGACCTGGCGTTAATATTTGCCTCGCATGCAAAGCATTAGTACTATTCGACGGAGTTAATCTAATCATATCAATTCAATTCAACCAGCTATTCCTTTTGTATGTCCCAGTCTGTGTCTGCATAGACTAATTTATGAAGCAACGAGAAAGCAGTCATATTGGAGACAGATTCCTGTGATCGAGACGCAGGCACATTTCCATCCAATCGAGACCAATTAACAACAGAATAGAATACAGAGCAAAGAAAACAGAAGGAAAGAAAGAAGAAAAGGTAGGTTATATAATATGCGTGAAAGGAAGGATCAATAAAGAACAAGTCCGGTAAGATGCATCAGTCAAATCAATCAAAGCAGAGAGAGAGGTAGGCGGTATCTGATACAGACCAAGTAAAGAACAAGGAAGGGAAGGGCACACGAATGCAATGCTAGCCTTTGGTGAGACAAGGCAAATAATCGATCGATCAATCGATGGATCCAGACAGACAAACAAACTCGCAAACACCATCGCCCGGATTCGACGATTCCATTCCACTCCTATTCACACCTACACGTACACGTCACACACCCGCACAACAAAGAGCCAACACCCGAAAGAGGAGGAGAGAACAGGAAAAGAAAAAGCCAAGGATAGACAGGCTCCATGCAAACCCAAAAAGAAAAGCAAATTTCAGAGGAAAGCAAAGTACAGCCAACAAAGCCCGCTAGAGATGCGGGAGAGGAGCAGAGTAAATGAAAACAGATGGGGCATACAACGTGAGGGATGAGGGTTTCACTTCTTCTTCCAAGGGAAGAGTCCGGGGCCTCATAGTATCTATGGTGAGTCTAGAACAAGCGGCGGGTAGGGGATATTCAAATCAGTCAGGGAGGTTGTAGGTGATTTTTCGCTTGTTTGTTCCTGTTCTTGTTCTCGTTCCGGAGGATCGACGGCATAGCATGATATGCTCAGTCCGAATCGAATTTGCGGTTATATTCGCCGAGGAGAACATCATCAGGTCCAGGTCCGTGGGAATTCCGGACTGTTAAACACAGATCGTCAGTGAATTATGATCAATGAAACCGGGGGAATTGTTGACATACTCCACTCAGCCTCTGTCCGGAAGAAAACCCACATCCATCGCCGGCCAACCTCGAGGAACATGAGCGTAAAGTAGCCGCTCTCGGTTTCGGACAGCCACGCCAGCCCGGGAAGAGCGCGCCACAGCCACGAGAACCGGAGCGCCAGATCCGCGATGATGACGTAGTGGTATAACCGGTCCGAGAAGTAGCGGTGGCGGCGGAGACCGTACGGGTGCTCTTTGTTATGGCGCTCCGGGGTGAGTAGGGTCAGGTCCCAATCACGGACGACATCCCAGTAGAAGGAGTAGGCGGAGTTGATAAAGCAGAAGACGAACCTGGGCAAGTGTCAGAAACGATTTCAAGACAGGTCAGTAAAAGGTCGGCCGTCTACATACAGGAATCGCATCAAACTCATTTCACTGAAACCGTAGAAATCCAACGGGCTGTAGTTCCGCACTTTGGTGGACAGCCAGATGACGGGGAACGCGGTCGAGTACTTCAAGGCGTTGAGCAGGTGTCCATTGGCGCGGTTCTCATCTCTCCGCAGGCTCGTGTTCCGTGCGCGCACATACTCGGTCAGACACTGGCGGAGTCGGATGAGACTGGGGATGGCCACGATCAGCGGCACGATGAAGCCCCTGCCGCAAGAGCGAACCGGTTTTTCGGTGGAACTGATGTCCGGCATGAAGAACATGCAAAAACTGGCGTACAGATCACCGAATACACGGGCGTAGCTGGTCAGGGCATCGGCCAGTAGAATATCGCCGAACTTGCCATCCTTGCTCTCGGCCAAGCCGCCGATGCTGACCCGCTTCAGGGTCCGGAGGAAGTGAATGCGACCGGACCGGGCGAGGCGGTTAAAGGGCCATATGAGGATCAGGAGGAGAACGATGTAGCATGACTGCGGGATGAAGTCTAGTCGCTCGACGAGTTCGACGGAGCGTCTCGTGGCGAACCAGAATACCACGATCCAGATGCCCAGCGGGATGGACAGCGCGGTTGCCAGACGGTAGGCAGAGGTATGGTGGGAGGGTTGTGAGGAGGAGGAACGGGCGGGATATCGGATGAGAGCCGGAACGTCCTGAGGGAAAGAAGTATGAGTGACCAAGAGCGCGTCAAGAAGGTTTGAGCCACTTACAATGTTGGCCGCGGCAAGATAGTGGAGGTTAATCGCCCATCCCCAGAAACCTGTACCACACAACACTCGATCAACTCTCAGTCCGTGGAGAAGGAAGGCTTGTCACACATACCGGCGACTAGGATGATGGCCAGTCGCAAGGGGAAAGGGAGGACAAGGCCAAAGCTGTCCAATTGAGGATGTTGATCCGGACCCATGTTTCCATGCGCTTGGGTTAGAGGGAAACCCCAGGAGAGAGCTAAAAGAGAGACTAGGGGTGAGAGAAAGTGGAGGGAAAGAGGTAGTAGTAGAGTGGGAGGATGAGGATCACAGACGGCTTTGGGGACTTCTGCAGTTAATAAGCGTCCGCTTCCAGCAGTGGTGATGGTCGACGGATTGCGCGCCGATGACTGTGTGACAGGTCGCGAGCCATGGGTTACGGGGAGCAGGTGCAATGTGTCTACTAATGTTGATAAATCATCTATACCATCTCTATGATTGATCCTGTCTTTACCTCCTATTCTTCTGTCTATGGACCGCACACACACACACACACTCCTGATCATCCACCAAGTGGGTTGGCTGGTTGGGCCCAGACCGCAAACGTCAGTGGCCACAGGGGGGCCATCATGTGACCTGGCTCTGGTCATGTGATCTGGGTTCGATGCCGAGGTAACTGCTGGAGTCGATCCCGGAGTAGAGCAGCTCGCCGTCGCTTCTGCCGCACGCTCTCCCTCCCACCACATTTCGCCATGGCAGACGAGTCACCACCATCAGTCTCCCCAGGGAGAGCCCTCGGTGCGCCCACCTCGCATTTCTATCCCTTCGCCACCTCCCCGGACGTCATCCGCTCTCACGAAAAGGATGTCTTCATGACCGGCAGTCTGGTCCAGCAGGCCCAGGGTATCATTCGCTCTTTGCGCGGTGCTCGCTTTGCACACACCCACGCCGAATCCATCAAGCATCTCACCGAGATCCTCTACTTCTCACTCACGACTGCCATTGGCAACCGCACGCTCGGCGAGGAGTACTGTGACCTGGTACAGTTGGAAGACGATACGCTACGACTCCCCTCGATCACGCGGCGCGTTGGTTACATCCTGAGCAGCATCTTAGTGCCATGGACACTACAACGGTTCCTGCCGAAGCTACGACAGCGCCTGCGCGCTAAGCTCGAGCGCAGCATCGCGCGACAGCAGATCCGCTCCGCCCAGCAAAAGTCATCACCGACAACCCCGCAACCATTATTCTCCAAGCTGCGCATACAGCAATATATCCTCGAACATCTAGACTCAATCACCTCTCTGTCCCCGATCTACGCCCTCAGCATCGCAACCTTTTACTTTACAGGCTCATACTACCACCTCTCCAAGCGGCTCTGGAATCTCCGGTACGTCTTCACCAAGAAAATCGAAGATGAAGAGCAGCGCGTCGGCTACGAAGTGCTCGGCGTGCTTCTCGTGCTCCAAATTGCCGTGCAAGGCTTCCTACACGTCCGCAAGCTGGCGTCGAGCGTCGGTGAGGACCAGAGCACCACAGCGGACGCCGCCGAGTCCCGCTCCGAAGCGGGTGCACTGGTAAAGTCGATCCAGAACCCCGTCTCCATGCCTCTTTTGCCGGCGTCGACGCCGAACTACGATCTTGCTGAGGACCCCGGCGCCGTCTCGTGGATTCCTGATGGCCAGCAGCGCAAGTGCACGCTGTGTTTGGAGGCTTTCAAGGATCCTAGCGTCACTACATGCGGGCATGTCTTTTGCTGGGTCTGTGTGCGGGATTGGGTGCGGGAGAAGCCTGAGTGTCCGCTCTGTCGGCAGGAGTTGCTTTTATCCAAGGTCCTGCCGCTGCGAGGGTAGCATTTGAGATGATTTTGAGCGTGAAGACCTATCTGAATATTACGGCACAATGCTAGGTGACGGTAGATCAGGCGCGGAAATGGCTACATTTATAGGAAGAGAGGTGTTAAGTATACCTCCTACGGCATGGATTAAATATACCCCCGTCTCCATTTATAAGGTCACTATAACTAGGTCTACGCCACTATATGCAAACTCATATCAGCACTATGGCTGCGAAAGGGGCAACAGCCTGTATTTAGCACAACTGCCAATAACTTCCGCGTTACGGCGGTGGCGGCGAGCAACAGCACCAGCACCGGCTCGGCCGCTAGCAGCACGTCCAGTGCGGCGGCTATTAAGATTGCAGCCGGCGGAAATTATTATCTGGTGGGTGCACTGGCCCTGGTTGGTACAGCCGTTGCTACTATTTAAGTTTCCTGTAGCTTATCGTCAAAAAACTTTGTAACGTTACCTATACCTAGTTTGGAATGCTCTTCGGAGTGAAAAAGTATCATGCAGCGATCTGCACCAGGTACGTGTGGGACGCCTAAACCAACATCCCGCTTCCAGTCCATCCTCAGCCTCTGCCGGGCGCAAGACTGGGAATTAGATCAGGATTCAATCGTGCAATGGGGGAAGTCAACTGCCGTGTAAGATAGATTATACTTTGGCTCTATATATAAAGGCCCCCCATTTCTAGAGTCTCTCTCGAACCCCGTCTACTGTGTTGTCTACCTGAAATAAACCGTAAACCTGACAATGACCTCGTCGACAATTGAGTCTCTAGCGACCACCATCGCCAAATCGGCCCAGGAGCTGCGCACTCTGCTGGCTCAACATGACCTCGAGGAGCCCTCCTTTGCTGCTGACTGTCCTCCATCGATGGACCTACCTCCAGCGGTAGACGAAGCGCGGAACACTTTACTACATGCAGCATGTGAGATTCAGGACCTTCTCCTCGACCCGGCAGATCTCCTGCGATCATATGCCACGGTAGGACAACATGCCCGCTTTTCCCTCTCGTAGTGAGCCCAGTTGCAACCGTCTAACCATGAGTCCTGCCTACAGCATGCCCACCTAGTCTCCCTACACTTCATCCAACAGTTCAACATCGCCCAGCTCGTGCCCACCGGCGGCAAGACCACCACCTTTGCGGTCCTTGCCAAACAATGTGGGCTACCCGAGGCGGACGTGCGTCGTCTCCTCCGCCACGCAATGTCAATCCGGGTATTCGATGAACCTCGCGACAACGAGGTGGTCCACACGCGGGCCAGCATGCTTCTCCGCCAAGAAGGCATCCATGGTTGGATTGGGTCAACCTGCGAGAATAGCTGGGTTGCTGCAACTAGAGTTAGCCCAATTACACCTCAATACTCACGCCACCATTTCTAACGACCTCTCACAGGCAGTCGAATCGCTAAAACGCTTTCCGGGCTCTTCAGATCCTGCTCAATCAGTGAGTCCTCCCCGTCTACATCCGCTCAACTACACCAAGGTGGCGTTCCTGGAGCAAAACCCTAGACCCCGGTTAATGAATAAACAATGGATAGGGTTTCGCCCTCGCCAACAATAACCTCACCCTCTACGAAGCCCTTGCACAATCTCCCGAAAGAGGCGCCACTTTCGCTGCCAACAAACGTGGCTACACCTCTGGCCCGGCCTTCCACCCCGCCGCCTTTCTCGAAGCCTACCGCCCGATCTTCGCACCCCTTCCCCCGGGCTCCCTATTCGTTGATGTTGGCGGCGCCCACGGTGACATCGCCCTCGCCGCCGCAGCAAGCTACCCACATCTCCAGTATATTGTCCAGGACCTGCCCGAGGTCATTGCAACCGCACCGCGCGATTCTTCGCCGGATGGCAGGGTTGAATTCTCCGCGCACGACTTCTTCACCCCGCAGCCACTCCGCAACGTCGCCGTGTTTTATCTAAGGCATATATTGCATAACTTTGGCGATGCACGCGCGATCAGTATCCTAAGGGCTTTGGTTCCCGGGATGCGCCCGGGGACGCGTGTGCTGCTTAATGAGCATGTGCTTGATCCCCAGAAGCAGCCGATGTGGAAGAGGAGGCAGGATAGTGCGATGGATATGAATATGTTGGTGTTGTTCAATGCGCGAGAGAGGAACGAGGCGGAATGGCGGGCGTTGCTGCAGAGCGCGGATGCACGGTTTGCGTGGGTTGGGGTACGAAGGCCGGCTGGGAGTGCATTAGCAGTTGTGGAGTCTTGCTGGGAAGGCGATTCCAATGATGTCAGGTAAGGGAGTGTGGACCGTAGCCGAACGGTACGGGCCGTAACACCCTAGCCCCCGTACATGTGAGTGTTGCGGTAGCTGTTTTATATAGTAGACCCTAAGAGGCTCCTGGAACCGCACCAGGTTCTCATGGGTAGTTCAATCGTATAACTAACATGACTTGTGAATGAGTAAGATCTTGGTAAAAAGTGCGCCGAATGGCGTCGAAAGGTAGCCATTTTTGACGCCCGATTACCGTCCCCTAGCGTTGTGGTGTAGTCTCAGAATATAGTCAAAACCAACAAGATAGAAGAAGTCTGACATTCTGGGAATAGTCTAGCTATCTATTTTATAGTACCAAATCCATGATAAGCGAAACTCTGAATGTCAAAAATCAAGCAGTTCGTGCTGTAGAAACTTTTATCCATGGCTTCAACCATGTGACATAAGGGCATATAACAATATGAAATTATGCTGCAAGTCAAGAATCCTCCAAATCAATCTTTACCTTCTTCAGTACTGCTGCTTGTCTCTGAACCATTAAATTGATCATAGTGAAGTTAACTCTGGAGCCCCAGGTGCAGGGGGATTGGAGTACTTGGTTTGCAAAAAGATTTTCTGCATTCCTTGACGCTTGTCGAAGGCTTCGTACACCTTTTCAATATCTTCGAGGCGAAGTCGGTGAGTGACCATGTCGAGGGGCTTGATTTCATCTTTTTGAATGAGTTCCATGAGCTGCTGCCAGTACTTCTGCACTGGAGCTTGGCCATTGCCAATAAGCCGCACCCCGGTCTGCATCAAGGCCCCAATGTTGAAATGATTGGTCTGCCAAAAGCCTGTTAGCATACTATCCTCTGTTTTTGTCTCTTAGAAATCACTCACGTATCCTGCATAGACACCTGTTACGCCAACCCGTCCGTATGCGTGGACAGAAACGATCATCTCGTTCAATAGTTCAGATGTATCCGTTTCCATTCCCAACATTTGTTCAAAGTAATGTGCCCACCCTTTGGCGTACTCACCCGCAGCGCACTCAAGAGCGACATCAAGACCATCGGGAACCAGCTCCTTCAGTCGCGATGTCACGGAATCGCCTTTTGATAACTGGGTGAAGTTAACTGTCTCTAGCTTGGGCAGTTTTTGTTTGACGAAATCCAAACGCCATGAAGCCTCACCACCATCAATCAAGATAACTCGACTGGCTCCATGGAAGAAAGAGAACTGAGCACACATCTGCCCAATTGGGCCACCACCCCAAATGCCAACGACGTCGCCTTTTTTAACACCAGTATCTACCACACAATTCCAAGAGGTAGCAATGACATCAGAGAGGTAGAGAGCTTTTTCGTCAGGCACACCAGCGGGAATGGGGAGCAAATTGACATTGCCATATGGAACCCGGATGTACTCTGCCTGGCCACCGGCAAAGCCTCCCGTGAAATGCGAGTATCCAAAGATCCCTATACTGGAGTCAAAACTAGTTCTGTAACATTAATGAGGGCAGGATGCTGATCCGCATCGACATACCAGCAGTTCGCTTCCCATACATGGCATTTGCAATCGTATTTTCGTTGGTTCTTTCACATTGGGAGAACCTCTCATGTCGACAGTTCCGGCACTCCCCACACGCAATTGGGAAGGAAACAACTACGCGATCACCAGCTTTGACCTTGTTTGCTTCAGGTCCAGTTGTTTCTACTATGCCACAGCATTCGTGTCCGAGAACATCGCCCTTTTCGAGTTCAGGAATGACCCCTATCAAAGGTCAGCAGCTTTCTATCATTCCAAATTAGCACCAATTCTAACATACCATGATATAGATGCAGATCGCTTCCACAGATCGTGCTCCCTGTCACCTTCACGATCACATCTCCTGGGTCAATTATTCTTGGCTTCTTCATTTCCACTGATCATACCAGTAAGATTTTATGAAACTTATGAGCATATTATGGTTAACTCACCGAGTTTTATGCTTTTTTTCCCTTGCCAAGTAGTGGCTAGGATCTTTTCTCCAGTTTCCATGCCGTGTTCATTCTGGTAGTTGCTGACATCAGTAGTGATCGATGCGTTATCACCATGTCCAACTGCTTTCTCCACCAAATTGGCAGCTCGTGAGGCGGCCATCGTATGTTAACTGTTAAGCTGATGGGGTTGCGTTGGAGTAGAATTGGCGAACACTCTTCGTGCACAATCAACTTGCTCGATGTATATTCTCTGTGGCCGAATAAATTATAAAGAGGCTTTTTCTCAAGTTTCCTAAATTTGAGCGACTTTCCGGTTTTCTTAAATGTTTAAATCTTGTTTGTTCGCGGTTGACATCATCATGAAGCTATCCGACCCGAGGAGGGAAGTTGCCTGGTTTTCTTACCGCAAGTAATTTCAACACGCCACCTGCGCGACCATGACATGGCCGACTGTGCCCCAGGAAAAGACGAATAGACAGATCCTTGACAGGAAACCAGAGTTCACGCATTTTTGAGAATTTTGTCACACGCTTTTATTGACTTTGCCAAATCGCAATGCTTCTTCCAAGCGAACAAAAATTTATGTGTAACAATAGCCGACATTCCGATGATCATATGCACCCCAGCTGCGGTTAGTAATAGGATATTTTCTCTGCGGCTAGTGGGCGTACGTGCGAAGCATAAGAAAAGCTAGATAGAAGATCAATTTTGGTGGAAGCTCTAACAAAGTGAATCAGATAGGCCAGCAACTTGTTCTGACGAAAGATTACTCAAGCCATTCAGAAGCAAAGGCAGTAAGAACAGAGCATGATATCGTCAATTTGATTAATATGTTCATATCTCTTGCGAAGCCAACTACCAAGCTCCAAATGACTTGTGGGGCTATCGTAGGCCGGTTGGCTTCTACAATCACCTTGAGATGCACCTAATGGAATCGACCGCGAAACATTTCCGAAGGCAAAGTGAACTTGCCCAGTATTTCCTATATCAGATAATGATTCCACTGGGCGTGCCTTCTTATAGATGTTGCTGAACGGACATTGTCGAGCTCTAAAATATATTCTCTCAGCGAACGTGATTCATCGCGACCTTAATCCGAGCAGTTTTCATTGTAAACGAGCTGAGCGCAAGATAGTATCCGGTTTTGGATCGACCTTAGTTATGGAACCCTATACTGCTAGCTGCAGTTCAACAAGATATTATAATTCTTGGGACTTCATGCTTCACGTGGCAAGAGGTATGATGAGCTGCTCTCCGCGACTTGACACATTGGTTTTTCGCATAATTAGAGGAGATTTGCTCAATTGAAACTGTCAAAAGTGCTACTGGAATAATCCCCACGCCCATGGCTCGAGCCTGGGGTAATTATTGAGTCATTTGAGAGGATACTGGGCAGACTAGCGCGTAAATTCTCATACAGTCGAACGCACCCAAGTCCCAGGCTAAAAGCCACAAATGCCCCCATAGGACATAATTATGATTCTGACCAATTTTTGGAATGCAGGGTGTTTACCACCACCGTTCGTGGTCGGAAATTCGACAAACTAAAATAAAGGCAGAAGAGAAGACCCGGGCTGGGGACTGACAATAATTTTCATGGACGGAAGGAATCGAAACCAAAGGAAGTTCGACAAGTTCTGACTTACCCAATCATTCCCCTCCGGTTAAGAATATATTATTAACCCTATCGGCTCTCAGAGATTCTGACATCATATATCCTATATTAGCGACGAGGGTTCCCGGCTTTCATTACGCCATATCTACGCAATGACCTTTTCATAATCTATATGCAGGCTTATCGACTAGCACCAGCAGGCGTATATAACGTCGTCTCAATATTTTAACACAGAGATTCATTCTCACATACCAACCATAGCACTACTATTTTTTGATACTCAACATTCGTTGAATAATCAGTTGAAATGGCAGTAAGTTCCAGTGAAAGAGAGATGCTCCACTTCAAACAGCGCACAATGATATTCCTAGCTTACATATAGCCTGTCACTATCTGTAGAATACTCGACCTCGTCCAGATGAAATCATTGTCAAATTAAGAAGAGACCCAGCCGCATCTAGCGAGCAAACATCAGCCGAAGAGAACCAGCTCACAGGGGACGTGCTGGCAGTCGGAACTGGAGAAGTTCGTGAGGACGGATCTGTTCAAAAACCTTTGTTGAAACCCGGAGATTTTGTCTCTGTTGCAAAGGTGCGTATGAGAAATCGCTGACTTTTCAACCTTCTATATTACCCACCTAACTCATGACTTATAGGACGCGGGCACTGAGATAGACCTTCAAGGCCAAGAGTATCTCGTCGTACGCGAAAATGAGTAAGTGTCTCCCCGCATATTACCTAGTATTTTTGAAAAGTTAACGAAATTATGAAGGATCTTGTCAAGTAACAGGCCTTCCTAAAAATACTAAACACGATCTCGAATATGAGCGGGTGCCTTTGGATTTATCTGATTCTCTTCAATTAGTAAAGAAAATGAGCATGACCAAAGTCACTTAATACAGCGTGTCCCTGTCGCTTAGTATCTACCCGTTTGGGAGAAGAATAGGTCGCTCGATTCCCATCATGATGGGTCTGTATTACTAGTGTGAACGATGCAAGGTTCTGAATTTCGCCAAAGTCACTTTAAGTATGCTCTCGGAAATACTTTCGCGTTGGGCTTTCCGACATTGAGATAAACAGTTTTCTCAAGGAGAGTGAACAAGGCATCAATAGCGTCTTTCAGAAGAGCATAAATAAGTTCAGAGCAGTAAGGATAAGCATAGCCGAAATTTTGTCCACGAGAACGAATTTTTGCATCCCTGCAGTCGTAGATTAAGCCTTGAGTACTAACAGGAAGAATTGGAGGTTGGAGGAGATTGAAGTTACATCTGCAAACATTCTTTTTTTTAAAAAAAAAAAAGATCTATCCAAGATCAAAAACAGTAGCGCAAAATCTACTTTTTGACCGTCACCCTTTGAGTAGAGAGAGATAATTTCAATGAGAAATATTTGTCAAAATCACCACGTCCCTACCGACTCGGTATTGGACGAGCTTCTTGCTAAATATTTTCAAATTAGAGTGTTAGGTACATGTTCTAAGATCCAATAATTGCAGAAAATACAATATAATTGCATTACTAGTATAGGCTAGATTATAAGCGCTAGCCGTCAGGGGCCCATAGTCTCCACAGCTTTCGGCATTGCAGAGGTCCACAGGTCAGCAGCTTGCGCTATTTACCTTGAGAGTATTCAAAACCTGTAGGAGCGACGTTAATGATGTGACCAGTTAGAAAATCCATAGCTGACGAAAATCAGACACCCCAAGGGCTTTGATTGAGTCTGGCTCGGCACCCCGAAATTGAGAATAGACCCTTGCCAAGTAGTAGTGAACGCGTGCAGAGTTCAAGAACCACGCGAGGTCTATGAGCGATATTTGGCTGCCTAGGTTTTCCAATCTAGAGAAAACGAAACTTGCAGTTCATATCTCCCCATAAGAATGTGTATATCTAAGCTTACCGAAGTTAAAGATATTTTGATGCGATAATGTGATTATAATATCCACTGTGGATATCTTGGCATGTAAGCAACTTGCATATGCCTCAAAATCCTGCTGCCTTCCAAAGTCACGATGTAGGTCTCTACTTCAGTTTTATGAAATGTCAAGCTATGTTCAATACTCTGGAGGAGGCCAATCTCTGTCGCAAGACGTCTATACTCCGGATGATCAGTCTTATTTGAGATACCGAACCTGCTGGACTTGTGCAACTGTCTTGGACCAAGCAAGCATATAGAGACGAAAATCGGACCAAGTATGCTTAATTCCGTGCCAAGCCCGTCAGCAACTTGACGCGCTATCGTCCAATAAGCGCCAAAAGCATCCTTTAATTCTGATCTACCAGGTCTAACCGTGTTGCATTAAGAGCGGCACATCCTTTCATGGTCTGCAAACTTGGAGCTCTTCTTTCTTTGACCTATTCAAGGCTCAAGGACCAATACCCAAGGTCGCATTGTTGCAAGGCTGAGATATTTCTCGACCATATTGTGAAGCAGAGCTTACCACCGCTCGCTCGTTGATCATTTCCACCTTTCTGCACAGAAAAATGGGATTTCGACCGTCATTCACTGTGCTTTTTGTGCTACTTTCGAGTTTCCATGCTATGTCCGCGACTATAAAACCTTCGTCTAGGCAAGACTTCGAACCCTATAACTCTCTCGACGGTGCAAGTCAGCCGAAGTTGATTTCACCGCCATCAATTGACGAGCCTTCAACATCATTTGCCGCCCTCTATTCTAAATGCAAACGCAATGATGAGAATGACGAAACTCATGACACCCACGTGTCAATAAACGACTGGAGGGGAGACGAGTCTCTCAGGCTAGAGTCACTGCGCGAGGCTGGATTGCTTCCAAGACCCTTTGAAGAAGAAGAGTGAGTATATGTTACAAACTTTCGGTAATCAAACAATTGCTAACAACACTTTGTTAGTTGTGAATATCCTTCCACACCGGTCATCTGGCCTTTATTCCAGTTCTGTGTGGTTTCAGCAATAGTGATATGTATTCTCAAGGTCACAGGGAGCTACAGGAAATGACAGTATCCGACAGCTAAAAATCGATTCAAAAGGATAGGGCCTTGATGCTTCTGACAGTGTGCATTTCTCGCACCATGGAATCATGCATAATATAGCTTTGACCCATGACGAAATCCCTTGGTCAAGCCGAGCCTAAGATCAACCAGGAGAATAAGCAACATGTCAGCCAGCTTTAGTGCAACCTTTCCAGCCTCATAGGAGCTTGTTTCGTTGAAAACTCTTTGAGTTGGAGCAACCTTGGCAACACCCGGTTGTGCTGTAGTCTTTTGCCTATATTGTCGAATAGTCTTAAAGATAATATCTTTACAATTCCCTGATCAGAAAGTTGAAACGGACACTGATCCTAGAATCGTAGGATCGAAGATGGTACAGGATGTTGGATGCGGCCCAGCCCGAGATCTCAGAATCTTGAGGTATATATAATCTAGCCCGGACCGCCGAACATGCAAAAGATTGAATATTGGATATCGAATGTTAAAACCAAACACAAAAGTGGAATCTTTAACGAAATAAAACACCAAACAGCACGCTAAATCAAAGGTGAAAAACAGTCTATACACTGTCCTGGGAATCTATGATGCTTGGCGCAATGGTCAGTTGCCTCTAGGGTTGTTCAACGGCATCTGCATCTGAAGGCAAACCAGAAGCTTCCTTTTCTTCGGTATTCACAGCCTGACCAAGGGGAAGGATGATGGGGAGATTGAGTTCAGCGTGAGCAGGGCGCGGCGGTACAGGGTCCATAGCCAATCTCTTGGCTTCCATTGCGTTGAAGAGACAAATGCAAGCGTATGGGTCAGCGGCGGCATCTAAAAAGTCGGGGGAGAGTAATTAGCTAGGCGTGCCATGGAATGCAAGACACAGGGAGGATTAAACTCACATTGGACTTGGCGATAGTTTAAAGCGCGAGTCCAATCGCCACAGCGAACATCGTCAGTTTTCTCCAGCGGCAGACCAAAATGCTCTTCCACTTGATCGCTGAGATTGACGCTCCGCTTGTTAACCAGCTTTGGGTTAGTCTGGGCATACTTGACAAGTCTGTACAGGTAGCTGAGCTCGAAGATAGAGCGGGCCTCGATGCCAAGATACTTGCGCAGCCGCGTGCAGTCTGCCTTGATGGAGACGCCGACCTTCGTGATGTCTTGACACTCGAGGATGTGCTTCAGGGAGGGGGAGATGAAGTCCTGCGGATCGCGTCCTGGCTTGAACGACGCGAGCTGGAAGAGCGCGACGCGCTCCTCGTTGGCGACCTGGATCAGCGAGACGTTGTTGCGGATGCTGTCGACGCCAAATGTCTGCGCTTTCCATTCCATGTCGAAGCCAACCACTTTGCTGTTTTGGAATAGTTGGGCTACTTCCTCGGTGCTCTGGAGGGTCCGGCAGTAGTGCACGATGATACTTTGTCCATTCGGGCCGGGGTGCGAGCTGTGACTCCAGAATTGCGGCGCTTCAGCGTCCTTTTCAATGGACTCCTGTTCTAACGCGTCTGGTGACTTGGGCAGAGCTTCGTCGTCCGTGCTGCATTGTGCAGACCCTTTCAATGCCACCACTGGAATCCCGAGGCCATCTGGTTTAGGCAATATCTCGTGATTACTATCGTCGGGCCCCTTGGGGTTGTCGCGAACGGAAGTCGTTATGTCAGTGCAATAGGGCCTTGCCCCAGTCTTTCCAAAAGAATACGTAGGCTGCCATTTCGGGGCCACACGGACGGATGAGCGAGGAAGCTTGGGTTTGGAAGACTTGGCCGGTTTGCCCTTTGGTTTGGGCCCCGCCGACTTTATTCTCACGGAGTTCCATTTCAAGGGAGAATGTTGAGGGGCATCGGCCTTCTTAGAAACCCGGTCTTGCAGTGTTTGAGCGGGTGGTGGTTGGGCAGATTCGGATCTGAATTGTTTCGACCCCCATGGAGGTTTGGCCTTCTTCATGGGCGAACTCTGCTCCGAGTCTGGCGAAACGTTGATAGGCTCTTTGTCCGCAACTTTCTTGCTCCCTGAAGTTGGTCGACTGTCCGCGCCGCTCTGGGCACCCTTGGCCTTGGATGACTTGTCTGATGCTTTGTCTGGAGCACGGCTTCCATGTTGGGAGTTTCGAGCTGAGACTCTAGATTGTTTCCGGGCTTTTTTGATCCCCAATCGTTTGGCTTTCCAAGACTGCTTCTTCTTCTTCTTTTTCATCTCCTTGGATTCCTGTTTCTTGCTTTTGGACCTTCTGATTGGTCTTCTCATCAATCCAAACCGGCGTAGCTGGGCCGACGAGTAGACACTCGATATGATCCTCTTCGCAGAGGTGGACAAATTGCGGGGCATCGTATATCCACTAATTGTGCTTCGGATAAGCATCCTAGCAATTGATTCTTTTCTCGTATTGCGCGACAGGCGAAAGAGGGCCAGATATCTGGAATTCGTACGTCGCTGCCAAGGTCTGGATGCCCGGAGAGGACCAGGCTGTTGGCGGGACATTCGGAATGGGGATCGTTTATCTTGGGTTCGGATACGGCCGTTTTTCTGGGAGCCTAGATTCATGACCAGAGAGTTATAAGGAGACTGGATCAGCGGCGGATCCAAGCGCTTGTGCAGGCCTTGCCAGTATGACGGAGGCAATTGAAAGACGAGTGTCAAAGCCCACATATGCCGCCATAGCGCCTGTATCCTGTAGGTCCATTGACGAAACCGCAACATATCTTCACTCAGAGGGTTGTGCGCTATGAAAAGTCCCGGTGCACCAGTGTCGCCAGGCAGGCCGAGATCGCGCAATCTGTCCGCGCACTTGAGCCGCATCCAATTGATGTGCATGAGTTCGTCAATATTCCTGTTGAATTGGTGGTAATGTGGCTTGAATTCAAACCCCACCTTGGAGATATCAACTTTGAATTTTGTTCTGGTTTCCCAATCGAGCGAGGACCACAAGCCACAATCAATGTTCAGGCTCTGCCTAAGGAACCACACTTCACGTATTATTCGTGTTGTTGACATTTGAAGAAGTAACAATGGCGCCATTACATCCAAATGCCGCCAGTGTATGTCCTGTTGCCGGTGTATGTCCCTATCGGGACCGTGTGCCTCCTTGAGGATGCTAGACTTGTGCGTGTAAAAGATCCAGAGCCTCCGCGGTATTCGGTCGAATTGCCGTTCCAGCAATTCCCGCAACTTTATTATTTTCTTGCTCGCTGAGTGGTGGAGCAGAAGGCTATCCATTTTTTGGCTTATTGGGTATTTCCGCGTGCTGATTGCCCCTTTTGTGGTAAAGGACATGGCCCTGAATTCACTGTCCGCTAGAGAATGGTTTGCTTTTCTCCATCTGCGCCACCACAAACGATAACTGTGCGCGCAGAAGTCGAACTGTTGTCGGAGGGATCTTGTTTTTCGAAGGAGATCTGAATATTCCGCTTCTCGCCGCTTGCTGCCATTCCAGTGGAGGTCTGCAAGGGCCTCTCCTTGAAGTGCGATGATCGAAAGCGTCTCAGAGACCGGCGCAAATTTCGACCGCAGCTGCAGGTAATCGTCCTCGAGCTTTTGCGCTAGACCAAGCTGGAGATCCACTTTCATTCTTGCAGCCTTTCGCGGTTCCAGATAATCTCGTTTGATTAGCTCATGCAGCTTCAGAGACGAGGCACGCAATTGAGAGAGCTGGTGCGAAAAAATCTGTGATAGGAGCAAGAGTGTTTGCCCGCGTATTTGGGAAATGTTCTTGACAGCTTCCGATATGCTTGCCGTCCAGATTGGAGTTTGCGCGAAGACGATTTCGCAAAATTCATGTTCCACCTGTTGGATCGCTGCCTGTGCTTGCAAAAAGCCAGCTTCCACGCGAGCAAGCACGGCAGATCTCACCGCGAGATATTCGGCGGTGAGATCTCGATGAATCTTCGCCCATTGTTTGAGGTCATCATCAAATTTATGAAAAGAGCGTTGGTAAAACAATTGTACTGCCAATTCGATCCTCTCGCACTCAATTTGGCAATGCAGGACAGCTTGCTCGAAGGGTAGATACTTCAAACGAACGTGGACAGAGTCACAGCAATCGAAGATGTGAGGTACCTGAACTTCCCAAAAATGCTTGAATTTCTCATTGTACTCTTGGTTCATCCGCACTCTCTCAAGATGCAGCGTTTTGGCACTTGTATTTCGTTGCGCGAGGGTCTTTCTTGCTCGAAGAATGCTGCTAAGATCCTTGTCCGGAGCGATATAGATATCACCCGATCTTCCAGGCGGTTTTCTCCTCCCTCGCCGCTGGTTGAATATCTCTCCATCTTCGTCTTCGTCCTCTAGCAGCACAGCAGCGCGAGAGGTACTGGAAAACGTCCGCTTCGGGTGGAAGGCAGCGATCGGTCGGGCAGGCGGTTTTAGGGCGGAGGTGGCGCAGGAACTGGATCGATTTTGTTAGAGAGCTGAAGCTGTGGGGTTGCAAGAGTGTAAAGGAATCATACCTCCATGTCGATACCCGCGGAGCAGTCGCAAGGCTACCTGAGTCCCAGACGCGGGGCCTTATGGCTGAGGACGGGTACCTCAGGCATGCTAAAAGGCTTTCCCGGGTCGGCATGCTCTGCAATCATCATGGACGGACCACAGAAGAAGCGAAACAATCGTGAGAGAGTTGCAAGTTATCAAGAACACCAAGAAGCAACAGCCAGTCTGGGGTTCGCACTAGACCCGATGGGGAACCCCGGCAGAACCTATAATCCGGGACCCGACGTGATCGGCGACTTGGGAATTGTCGTCCTGCAACTCATTTGATCCTCGTCAAGACCCATCCGCAACAATGGCGTCGCAGCTTCTTCCTTTGGGTTGGTTTCGGACAGGGCGGTAGGCCGAGCGGACTAGTACTAACCGCTTCGGTAGAGCTCATTGACAAGTGTGTCGGTTCCCGGATATGGGTGATCATGAAGGGCGACAAAGGTGAGTGCTGCATATACCTGTTTCGAGTAACGATGCGCCGATGCTGATACCAATGAAGAGTTTTCGGGCACATTGCTCGGGTTTGACGACTACGTGAGTAAGTATCCCTCTCTCTAGCGCCGTGGGGGTCCAGCAGGGTGCTAACCAGGACTCTAGACATGGTCATGGAGGACGTGACGGAATTGTACGTGTTTCTCATTCCAAATCAATGCAACTTTTGCGCATCTTCCAATTTTTGATGCTCCAGCTCCCATTGTTCATCTGTTTCTTCTCTAACCGGCCTTCCAGCGACTACACCGGCGCCCAGATCAAACTTCCCAAGCTCCTGCTGAACGGAAACAACGTTTGCATGGTACGCACATCATCGGCTTTACTTACTGCTTGCAGTCTAATCTCTTCCCTCTAGTTAATTCCCGGTGGTGAAGGGCCCGTGGCCAGCTCGTGAGATGGACTCAATGCAATTTCCATCGCGAAAAGAACTTTGTACTTCATAATACCGAATCAAATGACCTGAGATCGCCCTCCTCGCATGCACAACTATCTGTCTTGACATACTCTATCCCATGGCTATACCCCCAGATGCAAGATCTACATTTAAAGCGTCTTCCTCATGAATGCCTCCCACAGCGTGATAACGCCCCCATCTAAAGTCTTCTCTTCATACAGCGGCTCCTCCTTCCAACTGACATACCCAATATTCTCATACCACTCCTGAATACTGAACGACGGCATCGACATGCCAATTCGCTCCCACATGCCCCTCCATTCCGGGCCCTCTTCATATATATACCGTTTGCTCAAAGCAGTCAGTGCAATAGACCGACAGTTTGTGCTGCCATACGGCTCTCGAACGGCCATTTCCTCGACTAAGCTCATGGCACGTCGTCCCAGTCCATACGCGCGATATTCTGGCAGAATAAAAAAGGAACTGATAGTGAGCACGGACTTGTCTGCGCGCACGAGGTCTAGTTCGGGTGGATCGCAGTATGCGTCGAGGGAGATGTGGCCGGCTCGGATAGGGTTGTTGCTGTTGTTGGGTTGTGGGAAGACTATCCAGAAGAGGTTTTTAAGGCCATCCTGTTGTTTTGATTTCCATTTCTGTAGTGTTTGTTCGTCGTAGTGCCAGCCGCAGATGACACGCTGTCTCCGAAGCTCGACGAATTGATCTGTGTCATGGAGACTGATGGGTTCGAGGTCGCACAGTTGAGACATGGCTGACATGGCTGCAGGACATAGGATAATAAGAGCTGGTTTGCGGCTTTGAGAGATTATTCCATTAGTCACTAGTGCTTACAGGGCTGCCTTCTACAAAAGGGTGCTTGATTCAATAACGAAGTGCGAGGTACACAAAATTCCAGATCTGGTGAGAACGAAGGAGACCAAATTGATCCCTGCTTGGCCCCTGCTTACTTCCCGGATGACAATGCGCACCACGCAGCTTATTACCGGCTACAGCCGGCATGGCATAGAGCCTTGCAGCAGTACAGACATGGGAAAAACAAGGTTAACCGCCATGCCAAACCTTCATGAGCTTGGTCAGTGCAACCTCTTCTCCGCAAGGATCACCTACTGTATTGCCTCATCCCCCCACGGTACAACTAACACCATGAAGTCATTCGTGGAGATGCGCTTGCAGCTATTCTAACCAAGTGGGTCAAGGGAGGTGGAAAATGCCGCTCTGTGCTAGCATGAGTCGGTGAAGGCTATTGACTGTGGATAAAGGCATAGAGTCTAATTCTGTACACCGGGCCGGTGAGTGTGGAGCAGACAGAGCCGAGGTATAGTATTAAGTAGTATAGTGCTGGGTATGTAGTTGTCCGACATGTTGAGTCTGGTAAATGCGCCCCCTGACGTAGTAGTTAGTTAGACGTGCAAGACTGCAAAGAAGACATTCGATGCATAGTTAGATGAAACAAGCGAATCGTAAGACTGCTGACAAGTCAGACAGCAGCCAACCGGGACCCGAAACATCAGTGACATTCCGGCGGACGCTGATTCGTCGCAGGGAGGCGATCTGAATTTGGAAGGTTCACAGCGAGATCGCGCCAGAAAAAAAACCTTTACTCTGGTTGGCACACTTTACCGGAAGGATCAGTCTGTTTTAAAACTCGGGCACCGTCAAAACACGAACACGAATAAATGCCGACCCCGATTGCTTACCCCAGACTCTCATCCGCAGACCCGAGTGGAAACTATTAAGTAACAGAATGGTCTATTCCCCCGCATTCTGATCATGATGGGTCAGACAATCGACAACTCTAATGCGACAGAGTCGCCCCCAAAAATAAATGATTAGTATTTGAAAGTCCGTGGTAAAATTCCCGAAGTGAGCAATAAACATCATGATCTCTACTTATGACTAACCCACGTAGTTCTTTTATCCGGATCGCCGCTGTTGACACTGAACTCTCTTTGCGCCTTTATATGGGGCGTGGCAGACGCCGCCATGGTTGACAGGAAACTCAATCCGACCCAGAAGAGAGCCTCCCTCGGGGAGAACTCTGGACTGTGCCTCCAGGGTCATGATTATTACTAGGGTCAGCTCGATGCTACCGTGGCTGCTTGTCGTGCAGGCGCAGCCAGTCGCATGGGCGCCTGAGCGCCATCCGCCCGCGTGGCTTCGGTGGCGGATACCCCAGAGACTCGCGTAATATTTCTACGCCAGATCGTAGTCGCTTGCTCGAATCCTGTAGCTGTTTGTAGTTAGTTCGGGGCAACACTAGGTCGTCTGTATGTCAGAATCTGAAACCCGGACATGTATGAACCTCGATTTGCGCGAAGGATGGAATCCTCAATTTGGTTGACCAGTATACGGAGAAGGAGTGGTTGGGGCAACCGAAATGCAAGCCAAGGCGTTGCCAGTGGAAGGAGCGCCGGTCTAGGATGTGGTTCCGGAGCCGGTGTTTGGGGAGATGCGATGTCCTCGTAGTTTAGGAACTACGTAGTTATACGAATGAACGGAACACACGGGCCCGGCCAGGGCGTGGCACACCGCGTGATGGTCGGTTCTCCCGGGGTTCCATGCAGGTCAGTGTGTGCCAGGGTCGAGAGGGTGGCGCTCCGAAACAGTCGCATTCGAGAAAAAGTATGCCCCGGAACTAGGCCTATTCCGTGCGAGGGCTGAACTCTTTCCAGCCTCTCATGTGGCCATCCGTTACGCCATCAGCCATTGCGTGCAGCGTACCCCGAGTGCGCCTCGGACGCCATCGGACAGGGGGCTTGCACTTGTCCAGACTTCCGGATGTGCCGGGCAACCGTGGTATAGTCAGAGCGATACTTCACTACATAGACTAACTCGATAAGAGCAATCCACCAGCACTCCACAGCAAAGTCCTACGATCATCCTGGCCCCCTTTTCTCTTATCTAGGGTTGGCTGGATCAAATGATTGGCCAACGGGCCCTGTTTGAACATTGCGGAGAGCGACCGGGTTAGGGTTAGCGTCAGTGATCCCTGCCGTCTTGGGGGCGAAAGCTTGGCTGTCAGTTGTACCCGGTCGGTATGATCGGGGAACACGGTGACGAGAAAAGATTCAGGGGTTATGAGAGAGTGAGTGATCACTATAGGGGGAAACTAAAGAGGTCATTGTCAAGGAGAATCTTCAAAGTAGTAACTCTTGTAGTGATCATAGACCAACGGGGGAGAGATAAGAGGGCCCCATCCATAGCAGCTGCCCCATCGGTTACTCCAGTATTTCACCATGTATCAGCATACGGCCCATGCGCCATCGACCCAACCAGCGCACATTATCTCGGCGAGGCAACATGCACATTCACTGAGGTATTAATTCTTTCAGATCTGCCTGGTCCGACTATATACTGCTGGTGTCCCCCCACCCCTCTCCACTTCTCTCGGTCTCCCGTCTTCACTTCTTCATCACTCACTCACTTCCTTCCCATCCTTCCTCTACGCTTCTCCTTCCCGCTGGCAATCATGGAGGAGAAAAAGGGTATCACAGAGTCGAAGGCGGCCATCGCGGAGCCACCCCCAGCTTATGCCTACGGCGACTCCGTGCCCACCCGCGGCACGCTGGGCCAGCGCATCGTGGATAGCTTCAAGCGCGATCCCAACGCTCATGTCACCCACGGGGCCCCGGCAGGCGCCGATGGAACGGGCTTCGATCTCGAGGGTGCCGCGCAGAACACTGCCAATTCTCCACTGCAGCGCAAGCTGAAGGCTCGTCACCTGCAGATGATTGCCATCGGTGGTTCGATCGGTAGGGAATTTCTCCTGGTTTACTCAAGAGGTCGTCTGCTAACGTGCTGCTGATAGGTACTGGTCTGTTCGTGGGTTCGGGAACGGTGCTGGCCTCGGGCGGTCCGGCCTCGGTGCTCATCGCCTACTGTCTGATTGGAATCATGCTTTACTGCACCGTCCACGCGCTGGGTGAGATGGCCGTCCTCTTCCCGGTCGCGGGTTCTTTTGCCCACTACTCGACTCGGTTCATTGATCCCGCCTGGGGCTTTGCCATGGGCTGGAACTACGCGCTGCAGTGGTTGGTGGTCTTGCCCCTAGAAATCGTTGCTGCGTCCATCACCATCGGCTACTGGAACTCCCCGGTTAACAATGCCGCCTGGGTGGCCATCTTTTGGGTGTTGATTGTCGGCATTAACATGTTCGGTGTGCGAGGCTACGGTGAAGCCGAGTTCGTGTTCGCCATTATCAAAGTCACCGCTGTCATTGGGTTCATGTGAGTAATCTCTTGATTGCCTTGATCTTGACATGACCCACTCACACTCTTGTCTCTAGTATCCTAGGAATCATCATCGACTGTGGCGGTGCTCCCAAAGGAGGCTACCGGGGCGGAAAGACCTGGATCAATCCAGGCGCCTTCAACGACGGCTTCAAGGGTCTTTGCAGTGTCTTTGTCAACGCTGCCTTCGCCTTCGCTGGCACTGAGCTGGTCGGTCTGGCTGCGGCTGAGACGGCCAACCCGCGCAAGACTCTACCGACTGCTGTCAAGCAGGTGTTCTGGCGGATCACTCTCTTCTACGTGGTCTCTCTGACTCTCGTCGGTCTCCTTGTCCCATACACCAATAAGAAGCTTGTTAGCGGCAGCTCTTCGGCCGATGCCCACGCTTCGCCGTTTGTCATTGCCATCGAATCCGCTGGAATCGATGTCCTGCCGTCCATCATGAACGTTGTGATCATGATTGCAGTCTTGTCCGTCGGCAACTCCTCGATTTACGGCTCGTCCCGTACCCTCGCTGCCCTCGCTGAACAGGGTCAGGCGCCTCGATTCCTGGCCTACATTGACCGTAAGGGCCGTCCCATCTTCGCCATTATCTTCGCCTCTCTTCTGGGTCTGCTGTGCTTCCTTGCCGCGACCCCCAAGGAAGTGTTGGCCTTTGAGTGGATGATGGCTCTGTCGGGTCTTTCCTCGATTTTCACCTGGGGCTCCATTTGCATGTCCCACATTCGCTTCCGCCGCGCGTGGAAGCTTCAGGGCCACAGCACGGACGAACTGGCCTTCAAGTCTCAGGCCGGTCTGATTGGCTCCTGGGTCGGATTCATCTTCAACTGCCTCGTGCTCATCGCCCAGTTCTGGATTGGCGCCTGGCCATCCGGCTTCGGTGCTTTGAGTGCGGCAAGCCGGGTGAAGACCTTCTTCGAGGCCTATCTGGCTGCCCCCGTCGTGATCGCCTGCTACATCCCCTACAAAATTTACTACAAGACCAAGTTCCAGCGCGCCGCCCATATCGATCTGGTCACCGGTCGCCGGGACCTGGATGTCCAGTATCTGATTGAGCAGGAGAAGGCCGAGCAGGCCCAATGGCCTGCCTGGAAGAAGTTTTACAAGTTCTTCTGCTAGACTTTTAAAGGGCGTTGTTTTTAATGATAATGCTTCAATTTGTGGGGGTTCGGAAGGGGATTGGAAAATGTGCTGTATATCCATAAATTACTTATATCTACTGTTTTGCTATCTCCCAGCTTAGCTTGAAGATCGATGTTTTGATGAAATCTCACTCGCCTTTGCTGATGAATGGACATGGCTTGCCATACTTACTCTGGTTGTCTCTGTTTGCCCTTATACATTACTGTAGCGTGCCGACGCTCACATGCCAGCCATCTTCGATGCGCCGCCGATCCTCGGCCGCCATCTCATGGAAAAATGCATGTCTTCTCCAGACTTGGCATGTTTGCACCATTCCAGTACTTTCTAGCAACCCTCGGTAGGTACCATGGAAGTACACCATGGACGCTGAACTATCCAGGGACAGAGCAAGTACCACACAAGTACCTCACGATCGATATCTTATTATTATACCCCTTTTTGTCATAACACATAGTAGTTTTTCCGCTTCACCAGGCCGTGCTCTCCGGATCTCTCGGATCCCCCAATGGCAAGACGAGAAAAACAGAAGCCAAAAATAGCACGAAATGGGAGTTTTGCTCTAAAGGGCATTAGTCAGTGGATCCCGTCGTATCCATACGGTAATACGAGCTGATCTGCACCGCCGAGCTGCGTCAGCTTCAAACGTAATATTACCGGGGCCCAGGGCATGACGCCGGGGTTCCAGGCAGTCACCCGGTTCGATCTCCATCTTTTCTCGGACACTGCCTTCGTACCTGAGCAACCCACAAGGTGCTGCTTCTGCTCTCGTTTTGCTTTTCCATATCGGTTTGCATTGCATCGCCAGTTCCCCTTGGGCTCGGCCTGCTTTCGTTCGTTCTCTTCCTTGACTCCCTTCTCGTGGTCTCGCCGCAGCCGCAGCCACAAGCCACAGCGCTTACCCTCGCCGTCAACCTCCCACTCCTAGCCTCGCGCGTTAGACTTCTCCCCTGAAGGTATCGCCCAGCAGCTCGGCCATCCGTTTTAACATCCTCTACTTGGTACGGTCGCTGTGCGCGGATCTGGATCGGACCCCAATTGCTCACGAAGCCAGCTGGTCTGCTCTCGGTGAACGAACAGCCACGAAGTCTCAAATCCCCCTCAAAAGCTTCGACGCTACGAATCTCTTCCTGGAACCTACGCGACACCATATCCTCGCTCCCGATTCCCATACACGCCTTCTGGAGGAATCAATTGCGTGACTACGATTACGTGTCCAGTGGCCATTGCGTCAAGCGTCTGAGTTTCGCCGATCGCCGTCATAATGCCTGGTTTTTCGGATTCATTCTGGACGCCCGACTATGCCACCGGGCTGGGGGTGCTGTATGGCAAACTGCAGCAGGGTGTGGTGGAAAATAGGCAGATCTTGACCATCGCATCGATGCGCGCAGATGCGGAGGAGCAGTATGGTCTTCGCATGGGCGATATTGCTCCGAGTGTCGATCGGTTGACGGGAGCTGGGTTTGGCAAGGATGACGGGGCCAGTGTTCGCAAGGTATGTGGAATCGAATGGATTTGCGCGTTGACATCACAAATGCTGATACGATTTCCCCCTCTAGGCGTATGAAGGCGTCCGCACTGAGATGATCGAGGCCTCGCGGAATCATCGGAAGATTGCGAACAATATCCGCGAATTGGTTGTTTCGCCTTTCCGGCGCTGGAGCGATGGGCATGATATGCGTGTCCAGCAGTCGCAAGATAGCCTTCAGTATCGCATCAAGGAGCACACGAAACAAGCTGAGCTAGTCCAGAAGCTGCGTAGCCAATATTTCAACAAGTGTCGTGTGGTTGAGGACCTCGAGGAGGAGAATAAACTCGCCTTCCAAGCGCCCGAGACGAGCCCCCCGGTCAAGACGCCGAAGCTTGTCCTGCCGACTGCTGAGGAGGAACCCGAGGAGGAACCCGTGGAATTGGGCGATCGGGTTTACCCTCCAGAGGAGGTCAAGCAGCTTCTGCTGCACATGCTGGATAATATCAAGCTCGGCGATGCGAAGGTGCCCATCATTGGGACTTATCAGAACACCTCAACCGGCGCGGATATTGTGGAGTATATCCAGGCGAACATGAATGCGCAAAATCTTGCACAGGCGGAGAGAATTGGCCAGGATCTGGTGGATAATGGCTTTCTCCGCCTGGTCGGCAACATGGGCAACGTCTTTGCCAATAGCTCTAAGATGAACTATCAGTGGCGGTCCAAGGTCTTCCAGCTCACCGGCATTCCGGAGAAGAAGAGGCCTCTGCTGCGTGTCACGTCCATGGCAGCAAGCGAGGATGGCAGCGAATCGCCAATCCAGTCCGTTTCGGATATTCTGAATACCTGGAACCCGCTCAACAACCCATACCCGAACGAAACGCCCGCCGAGAAGTTGCGGAGAGAGTCTATGGAAGCCGATGAGCGATACAAAGCCGCTGTGCGGAGACTCGACCAGATTCGGTGCCGCCTGGAAGAGGAGGTCGTCGAAAACCTCCGCTTCATGGAGCAGTGCGAGCTGGACCGCCTCAAGGCAATCAAGGCCGTGGTCCTTGACTTTTCTGGGGCGATCAGCAATGTCATTCCTAATCTCCAGAGTACCGTCGACAACATGCTGCTGTACCAGGAGACGATCCAGCCCCTGGCAGATCTGCGATATCTACTGGAGAACTACCGAACAGGTGGCTTTGTCCCTCGTGTTCAGGCGTACGAGAACTACTATGGCTCCGTTGAAGGTATGATATCAAATGACTGGTTAATTGGAAGGACGCTAATTCGTGGCAGATCAAAACTTCGGTGTCGACCTCGAAGCCAGAGCCCGCACTGATCGCAAGCGTGTTCCAATCCTGGTGACCACATTACTTACCTACCTCGATAACCGTAAGTTCTTCAACCCCATCACAACTTTGCCCAAATCCTAATCATCCCCAGGCTATCCCGAACTCGAGGGTGATGAAGCACGACGGGGCATTTGGCTCCATGATGTCCCATTGGGTCAAGCGCACCGCCTGCGGAGTATTTTAAACAACAGCAAAGTGGACTACCGGGAGGAGCTGCCCAGATACGATATACCCGTTGTTGCGAGCGTTTTGAAACTTTATTTGCTTGAATTGCCAGGTCAGTCTTAAACCCGATGCAGTTCACCATTCTCTGCTAACTCTTAGGCAGACTCTCTTGTCTCTTCACAAGTCTACGAAATCGTGAAAACAATCTATTCCACCACCGCTCACGAGACCACGGAAGAAGGACGCATCAAGGTCCTCCAGAGCACTCTGGGGCAGCTCCGTCTCGTCAATATCGCCACACTCGATGCCATCATGACCCATTTCACGCGGCTGGTCGACTTGACCTCGGCCGACGACAAGTATATCTCTACGCTGGCTCAAACACTGTCCCCCTGTATCTTGCGACCTCGCACGGAGAACAGCTTGACCATGGACGAGCGACACAGCTACCGGTTGATCCGGGATCTATTCGCCCACAAGGAAGCCATCTTCGGTGAACTGAAGCGCCAGTCCAGTGCTGCAATGGGGACCTCCATTTCTTCCCCGCGGCCTCGCGCGATCAGCACGGATGAGAGCAACCGCCGCGCAGCTATGGAAGCCCGCCAGCGCGCTATCGTCAACCGCAGCCGAGCCACCAGCCCCGCTGCTCGCCAACGACACCGCCGTGACCGCTCCAGCGGCGCATCCGAGTCCACCCGCTTCCCCATAAACGTCTCTAGCCCTCCGGGCAAACACAACGTGCGCGGCGGCAGTTTAGACGTGCCCAACAGCGCGACCCCCTCCGAACCAGATGACAACAGCCCTCCAACCGTGAACGTCCAGGCCGCCGCCGAAGCAGCCGCCACCAACGGCACGTCTGTCGACTCCCCAGCTTCAACAACCGGAGGCCCCGCCAGCATCGTGTCGGAGTCCTCTAGCCCACCTCCTCCACCAGACACCGCCTCCGACGGCTCTCCCACCCCAACCCCAACACCAGCACCTACCTCCGGCGAGTTCGACAGGCACGCCTCCATCCCCCGCTCGGTCGGTGCCCGCTACACCCGCAAGCCCGGTCTCGGCAGCCTGTCTAGCTTCCCGACTGGCGCGGGCGTCAACTCCCCGGACACGGATAGTAAGCGGAATAGTCTTGCGGAGAGTACCAAGGGCGTGACTCTGGAAGACAAGCCTATGGATGATTAAACGGGAAGGGAAGCAGCGGTGGAGTTATCATTGTTTTGGGGGTTGCCGCTTATGCGTCGAGCGAGTTTTTGCAATCTGTATCGAAGAGCAAGGCAAGCAAAGCACAAAGCCGCAAATCTACGTCCTGTCATGTTCTGTCCTCTTCTGTCCTCTTCTGTCCTGCCTAGCCTATGAATAAGTATCGGTCGGCTCTGGAGATGGCAGAAACGAGACTTTTCTTGTCTGTTCTTTTCTTATCCTGTTTACTCTGGTTTTCTCCTGTCCCTTTAGGTATCTGAGCCTTGTTTCCTCCGAGGCATGTATGCATCCATACCCTTTTCTTCATTCTTCTTATATCTGTTTTGCTTGTGCGTCTTGTATGCTCATCCAATATATGCGTCCATGCCTTTTCTCGCCTTTCTTTTCCTCGGGGACTTGGACTCCATCCATTCGCTGTGTTCTTAACCAAGGTTGGTACATTACATGCATGTATAATCTTCTCTTCTATTATGAATGGTTTCATTGAGGGATTCATCTAAACGCATAATCATACTCCAGACATGCAAAGCAAGGCACAGCACAAGCATCAACACCAAACTAACAAATGAGAACCGTAATGAGAAAAAGCTTAGCACATAGACAGACGCTAGACATGATAGAGGTAATGATAAGGTCAACTCCAAGAATGAGGGGCAACACAGAATAGACAGTGTTGTACAGAGAGTGATGAAGGTTAACACCGTTTGGAAAAGAATCCGTGGATGCAGGAGGAAGGACACATGTAATGGGAGAATGCCATCCAGAGAAACAGTCAAAATCAAAGACCCTCGCCTCGAAGCAGCCGACGCAGGATCCCTTCGCCGGGACCGGCGATCTGGCTCTCAATTTCCTTTTGGGTAACGAAGCAGACAAGACCTTGTTCGTCGAGACCCCTGTGAGGCGTGGCGGGCATATTTCCCGATTTCGAGGGCGTGCGGCGAATATCAGAGCCGGCCGCGAGAGTCCCGCCGCGGCCGCGGCCTTGGTACTCGCCGACCAGTCCCATTGTCTCCAGATTCCCCAGAACATCCTTGAACTCGGTAGCTGTTAGAGGATGGAGGATGTTGTCGTTTCGACAGAGGGCACAGTACGTGTCGAAGGCTTGTTTAATGCTTGGAGCTGCCATTCGGGACTTGGACGGCGTGCTGGGGATGTCGCCTTCGCGACGCTTGCGTTCGAGGGCGATCAGAGCGCAGATTGCTGCTTTCTGTTGAAGGTTCAAGCCCTGCAGTCTTTGGACGGTGCCTTGTCCAAAGGCCGAGGAGGTCACCTTGGCAATGTGCGCGATACTGGCGCGGGGTGCCGTGACTGCAGTGTAAGATGACATTGTTGCAGCAGCCTGCGGGGCCGAGTCCCCTTTGACAGGAGATGCCAAATTCATGTTCTCTGCTAGGATCGCAGTCTCAGATTCCTCGGCTTTCTTCTTCTCCAGCTTTTGCTGCGTCTCCAGCTCAATAACATCGATGGCACGCTTGATCAGCTCAAAGGCCTTACGAAGATCACCCGTTTGGGAGGCCACCTTTTTGGAACACAGCTGGATGGCGGCAGGATGTAGGAAAGGGACAAATTTGGCGTCGGTCTCCGTTCCAGTTGGAAGTAATGACCGGAGGCGGCTGGTGATCACATTCGCGATCGAGGCAGCGTTGTACGGCAAAAACGCCAGGAGAGTCGGCTTCAGGTTCTTTGCTTTCAGCTGTGGGAGAGACCGGTCGGTTAGATCCAGGGCGTTGGCGATGCCAATCAGCAGGAGGCTCGACTTGTTATGTAGCGACCATTCAAACAGCGACTGTAGAACCCCCGAATCTCCACCCATGAGCAAGTGGTCGATTTCATCCAGACTGACCAAGAATAAGTCCTCTCTTTTCTTGGAGGGAATGAACATTGACTTCAATCGATCCGCCTCGCTCTTCTTGAACACTTCAGACTCTTCGCCAAAATCCTGGATCAGCTTGCTGTAGACATCGCGCGCAGCTCGCATGCTGACACAGTTGACGTGGGACACCCGGACGTTGGAGAGATCGAGACCTCGGCACACCTCTTGGACCATGGCGCTTTTCCCCGTTCCAGGAGGACCGCTCACGTAGAGACATCCTCCTTTTCTGGATTGGATTCCCTCCTCAATAAATGAGACTAATTTTTGTCGCTCCGTGTCTCGCCCAACCAATGTGGTCGAAGTGGCACCGCGTGCAAACAGTTGCCTAGCCTGCGAATAAACCGACTGCGACACATGAGCCGCACTGGGAGTGGCACTTTTCCGAGGCGTCGGGAGAACGTCGCTATGCCGAGGGGTGCGTGGAGTCATGGACTTTGCGCCCACCTGCACTCGGTGCCTGGGCGTGACGGGCGAGTGCTGCAGTGCATCCCGGAACCTCGACTTCTGTGGTGTTTTGAACTCGGTTTCTCCACTCGGTTTGGTGTTCTCCTCTGTATCCATGTGTTAGCCTCGATGATCCAAGACATCTCTCCGAGGCTCTCAGCTTACCCTCCACCGGCTTTGAGCTGCGGAAATGCGAATTGATCTTGGTCGGAGACCCACCCTGGCCATCACGAAGGGTGTGCTTGGACGGCACGGTGTCCGCAGCACACTTGTTCTCGTCGCCATTCTCCTGATCTGGCTGAACGCCCTTCGTCCTCGATCGCAGTTGGCGTTTTGGGCGCGGCTCGTCGTCCTCTTGGTGGACTCGAGGGATGCGAGTGCGGCGCTTACTGGCGGTGCGCTGCGGTAGCTCTGGAGGTTGGGTTAGTTGAGTAGAAGAAAAAAGGGCAGTTGCAGTCACCTTCGTCGACTGCCCGAGAGCGCTTTCCCAAAACACTGGCTGCCATATTTGGTGGGGGTGGGTTGAGATTGACCGAGAGGAAGAGCGACCGACTCCCGGGTTGAGTTGTTCCTGCCAAACACGCGCCTTTAGTCGTGTTTCGCGTCGCGCGTGCCCATTTCTGCCACAGGCGGTAAAGCGCTGCATTGTTGGTCTTCCTGGACACCCAGAGCTTAGTCAACCGCAGTGAGGTCACAGGCAGATGATCCGCGCGGTGTTTTGTAGCCTGCGAGCGTACTCCGGATGATTTCTCTCTCACTGCTAAACTTCCACCTCTCCCCTCCTCCTCCTTCTTCTTCCTCTTCCGACTTTCGTGGGTTCTTAGCTTGTTAGCCGCGTTGGTTCTTCTTGAGTTTGCAGCGGTCTTCTCCGGATTCGCTTGCTCCCACCTCGACTCCATCTAGATCGTTTCTCTCGCTGCCCTGAGCGCAGGATATTTCTCGACTCCTCGACCCAACCGATCTGCCCGGAAGCTTGCCTGATACACAACCATGGCGGACGACGTGGTGGCTCAGTTCACCGAAATCACCGGCTCGTCGCCAGAGCTGGCAACCCAGTACCTGCAGCTGGCGGACTTGAACATTGAACAGGCAATGCAGCTCTACTTTGAAAATGGAGGCGCCCCTTTGACGGATGAACCGACGACACGGCCACCTGCTCCTCAACCAGTACCTCGCCGCTCCGGATTCGAAGACGAGTCGGGGGTGGTGCATGTCGATTCGGACTCGGAAGATGAGCTTGCCGCCGCGACTCGAACCCAACCATCCGCTATACCGGATGCCGGAACAACATTTGACGATGATGCCGCCATGGCTCGCCGCCTACAAGAGGAAATGTATGGTACTGCACCGGATGGTGAGGCTGAGGATGGTGTGCGCGCACCGATGGCACGGACGACGGAAACACTTGTAGGACCGGGATTGGATTTTGACGAGGATGATATGCATGCCAATATTCTCAGTCAACTACGTACTCGCCAGCGAGGAGGTTCGTGTCTAGTTTTCTTTATCAACAACATCTGACTGACATTGTGGCTCCTAGGGCGACCGGGCATTTTCAATCAGCGCGAGGACCCATCGATTTGGACGGGCGACTCCGAAGAGACACATCGTGAACATTTAGCTGCAGCCACAGGAGGGGCCTCCGAGGCTTCGTCGAAATCCAACATGCTTGCGGAGATGTATCGTCCCCCGTTCGAGATCATGTCAAGACTGCCGTGGGATGTGGCTCGCCAGGAGGGGCGCGATAACGAAAAGTGGCTGCTGGTCAACATTCAAGACTCGTCCGTCTTTGACTGCCAAGTTTTGAACCGGGACCTGTGGAAAGACAAGAGCGTTCAGGAATCCGTGAAGGAGCATTTTATCTTCCTACAATTCTCCAAGGATGACCCTCGTGCTTCGCCGTACTTGCAATACTACTTCCAAGCGAGCAACGTCTCCGACAACTACCCTCACATTGCCATCGTTGACCCTCGTACCGGTGAACAAATGAAGGTCTGGTCTGGGCCCCCAGTGGTCAAGCCTGCCGAATTTCTGATGCAGCTTCACGAATTCCTCGACCGATACAGCCTGAATCACAATGTGCGCAACCCTGTCGCGAAGCGGAAGATAGAGAAGAAGGAAAAGAGCATTGATGCGATGACTGAAGAGGAGATGCTGGAGATGGCGATGCGGAACAGCCTCGGCGAAGGTGGTGCTGCGGGTCCAACTTTGGAGGACCCGGATGACCTGACCCGGAGCACGGAGGATGTCAAGGGCAAGGGCCGGGCTACTGAAGAGGACGTGGACATGGCCGGGACAGAGCTAGTCGCGGAAGAAGAAGAAGCCTCTCCATTTGGCTCAATTCCAAGCGATCGTCCGCACACCGAACCCGATGCTGACCCGGCCACAACTACGCGCATTCAGTTCCGCCATCCGTCCGGCAGGGTCATTCGACGCTTTGCACTTTCGGACCCAGTCCAGCGAATCTACGAATGGCTTAAATCCAGCCCTCCACTAGAAGATAAAGCTGGTGTGGAATTTGAGCTAAATGCCATGGGCCGCAATCTCATTGACCAGCTGAGCACCAGCATTGCAGACGCGGGACTGAAGAACGGAACTGTGATGATCGGATATCTGGAAGACTAAATGCAACTTTTCTTTTGTTTTCGGCGGTCATCTATTCTCGTTTTGACTGGGCGTTAATGTTGGATGATTGCGATGATGTTTCAGACTTCCCCAACTCGCATTGTTTTGCTCTCCTGCCGAGTGTTTTCGTGGCAGGGCCTACGGGTCTCAGATACAAGGATCTTCTTTGCATCTTCTAGGGGGGACGTGATATTCCTAGATGTTATCACTGAACAGATCCATAGAATTCCTAGACATCTTCGAGCTACTATTTATTTCTTATAGATCTAGATCGGACGCGGACCTCTTGTCGCCAGATCAACGCGCTCACCGCCCTCGATAAGCTTCACCGCCTGGCAGAATGCCCCTCCGGTAGATAAACAGAACGCAAGGGAATGACTTTGTTCCCTCTTCCTCACCCCATTTCACACATTCCCTCGCTATTGTCTGAGCCGTTGAGGGTTTCGGTGCGAGTTGATGATGCACCACGACTGATGATTCTTTACAGGCCCTGACCAATCTCACCCACTGCGTAGAGAACTACCCGCCCACATTCTTTTGTTGACAGGCGTGTCACCTGTACGTTAACAGGCCACAATCGGTGAACAATGACTTACCATCCTATTCACCAGGCACATTCTCTATTCGGCTCCATTTTCGCTCGATGTGGAATACATCGCTCGTGTCTCACCCCATCCGATCGATCCATTCACACGGTATGTGCTACACGATGAATATGACAATACCACAATACCGGGTCATATTCGTGGGCTTCTGGACTCGGACTCCAGACTATTTTTCCGCCTTGCATAGCTATCATCCCTGGAAATCCTCGAAGCTGACACCTAGTCCAAGTTCTACACTGCTACATGAACCTCGATCTCCTCAAGCAACTCCACTAGGCTGCCAAAATGCCAGCACCAATCGACCCAGAGACAATTTACACTAAGCAGACCTGCATTGGTATGTATTACGGCCTTGATGGCAACCGCAGCTGCTGACTGTGCTTTAAAATTACAGGCGGGGGAAGTTTCGGCAGGGTCTACAAAGGGTAAGCGGAGTGCTTGGTGTAATTCAGACTCGAATGCTGACATTCTGTCACAGTGTAGATAGACGGACTGGAGAATCAGTCGCCATCAAAATCATCGACGTTGAAAATGCCGAGGATGAAGTCGACGACATAATCAAGGAGATTGCGATCTTGTCGGAACTGAAATCCCCCTATGTCACGAAGTACCACGGCTCGTACTTGAAGGGTTCGCACCTGTGGATTATCATGGAGTTTTGCTCGGGTGGGAGCTGTCATGGTTTGCTGCGTCCCGGAGTAATCCACGAAGAGTACATTGCCATCATCTTGCGGGAACTTCTGCGCGGCCTGGAATACCTCCATGGGGACCAGAAGCTGCATCGTGATATCAAAGGTGGGTAGTTTCTCCCTGGAATGGATGGATTGATGGACTAACAACATCGCAGCGGCGAACATCCTTTTGAGCGCCAGCGGTCAGGTCAAGTTGGCGGATTTCGGAGTATCTGGACAGCTATCAGCGACAATGACCAAGAAGAACACCTTTGTCGGCACCCCATTCTGGATGGCTCCCGAGGTTATCAAGCAGTCAGGCTATGATTACAAGGCGGACATCTGGTCCCTGGGAATCACCGCAATCGAACTAGCTTGTGGAGACCCTCCATATGCCGATATACACCCGATGAAGGTGTTATTTTTGATCCCGAAGAACCCACCTCCTCAGCTGGTCGGTAACTTCAGTAAGCCATTCAAACAACTTGTGGAGCTATGTTTGCGGCGAGACCCAAAGGAACGTCCGTCAGCTAAGGAGCTGCTGGAACACCCGTTCATCAAACGTGCCAAGAGGACGACATACCTGACGGAGTTGATTGAACGCTCGGAGCGTTGGCAGGCAACTCATCAAGGGCAGGGGGATGATGACCAGGACTATGACGAGTGGGAAGTCAACCAGGAAGCAAACCCGAAGCCTGAAGATGAAGACCTGTGGGACTTTGGCACCGTTCGCCCTGCTGGTGGTCGAGCTCCAGCCCCGCCTCTGCGACCATTGAAAGACTCTGATACGAATTCACGAAGTAATGAAGCAGATGACTGGGATCTGTGTGGTGATGACACGCCCAAGAAAGCCCCAGCAAACAGCAACCAGCCAACAAGCATGGACGACTCCGGCCTCAATCTCTCACCATCTAAAACCCCTCTGCCTCCCTCGGCTCCATCCTCGCCTACGAAGAAGCCTTCTACGCAGGCCTTGCTAAACCCTCTCTACACTTCACCCACAACAACCAGTGCAGTCTCCGAGCAAATCCGCACACCAAGTGGTCAAATAACCAGAAAGCCAGCACCTCTCCCCCAACCCGCCTCTCACACTGCACTCTCAAAACAACCTGAGGCACCATCATCCCCTAAACCAGCAACAGGCCTCAAATCCAAACGCGCCGCCGCCCCAGTCCTCGAAGAGACGTGCACACCCAACGTGGCGGGGAAGTCTTCCTTTGAAACAGACCGCGCAACTGCCTGCGGAACCGTGATCCTTCCCGCTCTCCGCGCAGCCATGAACCGTCGCAGCCGCAACCTGGCACGTCTCGATCCCGGCCGCAATGCTGCTAGTAGCGGCAAGCCCGCCACCGAGGACGAGAAGAAGCAGTGGGAGCGGAGTGTCCGTGTCCACCGCGGAATGGAGCAAGTGGCTGATGAGATTGCGCGGTCCTTCTCAAATCTTCATCGCTGGGATTCCGAGATTCCCGTCGATATGGGCGGTGGTGTCGATGCTGTCCTTGATGCGTTCTTGGAAGAGGTCCTGGTGAGGCTTCAACCTGCTTCTTCTTCGTCTCACTCTTCATGAGACTCGGTTCTTTTGTGGTAGAATTTGTGTTTCCTGCGCTCTCGCTGTCTGCTTCTTAACCTTTTCTGTTCATGGGAGTTGCGCTGTGATTGTTATGGGAGTTCCGCTGTGGTTGGTGTCTTTGTCTGAGTGGGCATTCCTTCGACGCGTACATGTTTCTTCTCCTTTTTGTTCTCGTTGCTGCTCCTGTTGATTTTCTATACGTACATGATCATGTCTGCGTTCCTGTCATTATTTATGTTTGATGTTCGACCAACTCCCCACACTCTCTCGACATGCCTCCCTCGGCGCCAAATAGTCAGTCAGTTCACAACCTGTCTTCTCTGTACGGGACAGTACCTTCGCGGACTGGAACCGCGAAGATGATCACTGATTATTTGCTCTGGGGCATGCACCTATCTTCTTCTGTTCTTTGTTGATTACATTTTAGAGCTTAGTTTCGAGTCAATTGAGTTGATTCCGGCTTCGCCTGCTCCCCGCTCCCAACTCCAACTCCATTGCTTCCTATTACTTTCGGAATGAAGGGAAAGAAAGGGATATATACACGACAGCAGGTAGGGATAACACTATATACTAGGTAGGCATGGCTATTAATTGCGTAAAACGTCAAGGGCGAAGGTAGGCAGGACATGAGACGTGTTTTGTAGTGTTCGGTATGTGTTGGAGATGAATGTCATCCACCAGGTCGGAATAGCCAGTCCGTTTCAGGCGTCGGAATCAGATAATTCGTGATATTGAATTCATTCGCATTCACCGCATGGCCTCCATCAACAACAGGCGTCGGTTGCCCGGCGCCAGTGAGGCCATGGATGGACATGGGATCGGACACAGGCTCGCCCATATCGAGCTGGGCCGCAGCCGCAGCGGGTTGGTCCGGGGCCCGCGAGGGCGGGACGCGAGGGACATTGAAGAAGCCGAAGACGTCGAGATACTCGAGCTCGTTTGGGGCGAGGTTACGCGCCGGCATGACAGGGCCCGCGGAGCCGGGTTGATGTCCACCGCCGCCCCCGCCGCCGCCGCCGCTTGTGGCAGTCGGGGACTCGCGGGGCTGACGCGAAATGAGAAAATCAAGGTCGAATGCGCAGCGGCGCATGTCGGCTAGGATTTTGACGGTGGATGGCGTGGAGCGCTCGCCTTCCATCAGCGCAGCAGACTGCTGATACTCGCCGTACTCGTCCAGGACGCGCTGCAGTATGGTGCTGTAGCGCTCCGCGACTTTCCAGTAATTGCCCATGCGGGCGAGGGTGTCGACAAAGAAGAGGATGTCTGGGCTGACGGTGTGGGCTATAGTAGAGCCGTGGACGAGTAGGAGGCGGGCAGAGACCCAGAGGGTGAAGGCGAAAGGGGGGCCGAGCTTGTCGAGCATGTTGTGTTCTACGACGAAGCGGGTTACGGAGAGGATGTTGTCCACAGCGAGGAGACACCGTTGGCTCGCGCTGTAGGATGGGGTGAAAATTGGGGATCGCGTGGTTGGGTAGGCGGCTGATGAGTGAAGGCGGATCACAGCTCTAGATGGGTGTGAGTATTCTCTTCCCTGGGTCGGAAATGGGGTAGACTCACGTTTGATAGGTGGTATGGAGTTGCACCCAGTCACTGTGAAGACCGCGACTGTTCTTCGACCCGCTGAAGAGCCGGGTTGAGTTTTCATAGGCATATTCCGCAGGCAGATTGAATTCCCACGTTGTCAACTCGTTGTCGAGTTTTCTATATGTAGCCTGCCACTCTTCCACATCCGAGAGAGCTCCAATATCGACGGGGCGTTTCAGGAATGTGTGAATACGAGACAGGATCCCGAGGATCTCGACGTAAAGCCCGAAAGAGCCCACATTGTCGGCGTGACTGAGGTAGTCAGCGCGGTCACCGGAGTAGTGGAACCACCGCGTTTCCACGGGGTGATTCTTCATGAAATACTCGTCTTTGCATGGCAGCTTGCGGTCGATATCTTTGTCATCCAAGGCGAAGTTGAATGCAGTGGCGAGGGTAGAGTATCGGTCTAGCAAGTATACCATCCAGAATAAGCGACGCCTACTCTCATCCTCGATCCACGAGTCTGGTTCGGACAAGGTGACGGCTCTGAGGGTATAGATTGAAGGGTAGGCGGGAGCAATGAGGGTCGACTTGGACTCCACGGCCAGTCCTAGTTGGACGACGGATCGTGTAATGAGAGCCAGTAGCTTCCAGCCCGGTGGACCATTAGATGAACCGACGAGGTCCAAGGCAAGAATCACAAGCGCCTGGAGTGCTTTGACAGACGAATTCTCGAGTCCATACAGAAGAACCTTTTGTTTGGAGGAGTCGTGGAATCTTTTGCGGTTCTGTTCGTTGAGCCGGGTGTCTGACGAAAACCGAAGTGTGGTTGCCACAATCGAGTACAGAACAATGCGGTCCGCCTCATCCAGCGGAGACGGCCCAAAGAAGGTATCCAGAGTGGTTCGACGATGGAGAATCGGACACCAGGGGTTAATATGCTCAAAATAGAGGTCAACCAAGGCATACAGCAGATCATACGGCGGAAGATCGAGATCTGGGTCGGCCAGTGATTGTTCTTGATTTGAGGATAGAGTGAAAGGAACTTTCAACGACGATTCATTCGCTGTGTAATCACCGCCATTGGAGGCTTGCGCTTGCGGCACTTGGCCTAGTGACTGGGGTGCCGGAGGCCCATTTTGTAAGTGAGCCGTCTTGACGGAGGCCTCCGAGGGACTGGGCATGGTGGCATCTGGGCGGCGTGAGGGCAATGTCACAGATGTGGGGTCGTTGAAGTAGAAGGCCGTCCGGGGACTCGGGCCATGCACAGCTGACGGTTCTGATGGAGAACTATAGGACAGAGGACCAGCCTGGGGCAGATCGTGGCCGGCTGCCGGCTGGCTCTGAAGGATGTGCATCTCGATGAGCCGAGCTTGGGCATGGATGACTTCTTCCAGGCGATCTAGAAGGGCTGTTAGACTTGAACTCCTCGAACACCAGGTCATTGCGGCTTACCCAGTCGTTGCTCCAATTCCTTGCCATACCCAGCCCGGAGGCCAGGCTTCTTCCGCTCTCTGTACTCACATATCTGACCATTGCGCGTACACCACCCACAACTTGGCTGCGTGCGATCGCATTTGACTTTCCTCTGCTTGCAGACTTCACAGCTAGAGTGATCATTAGCCCGAGAGTCATCTAGTTTTCATGGCCGGGGCAACGTACGATACGGTGAGGGGACGCTTGCGCTTCAATGCGCGGGAAGAGGAGCCATGGGAGTCAGGGTGATCGTTATCCGAGTCTGCACCGGACCATGACTCTGCCGCGCTATGGTCTTTGTCGAAGTGATTGGAGGAAGGGGTCTGTTGGACGGGAGACCCTGCATGATTCGGCATGGTGATTTAGCCGGGAAGGCAATCTCCCATCATCCAAGCCTCGAGCCGAAGCACGGAGTGATCTCCGGGGAGGGACAATCACGGGGATAGTCCGATGGAGGGATTGTCGTGGTGGAGTGGAGGTCAGGAAGGAGGGAACGAGATGGGGAACTTCAGTCGAAAAGTCGGAGTCGTTGGGGCCGAGCGGGTGCCTGAGGCAGAGGCGGGGCCCCGCAAACACTGCAAAGGGTGCATGAGAGTGCCTAGTGCCTTACTATGTCCAATAGGTGCTAGGAAGGGGATAGTGATTACTAGACGGTAATAGGAAGGCTCCTAGGACCAACCGGACAGTACACGTCCTCGTGGTGGCGTACCTCCTGCTGATCGCATGCCTTTTCTCCGGCCGCGTCGCCTCGGGCCATTACGTACCGAGCTGCCCGCGGCGGGACATAGTTAAACGCCAACTCGGCCTTTTCGCTTTCTTCTCCTTCTTTTTCTATTTTCTCGGTTCAAGAATCCTTCCTACAATCCACTATGAGCGCAACAACCAACTTCCCTCGCATCAAGGAGGTCCGCACCTTCATCATTGACGGTGTCGGCTCCGGCGGCGACTACCACAATGTACGTGATGCCAATAACGAGCGGACAATCGGTACTGACCCTCTCCCAGGTCAAAGGCGGCCACTGGCTGATCGACAGTAACATCTCTACTCCCATGACCAAGTGGGCGCAGTACCGCGGCTCGCGGACATCCTGGGGGATCAACGTGCTGGGCTCGTTCTGTGTCGAGATCGAGGCCACCGACGGCACCAAGGGCTTCGCGACTGGGTTCGGTGGTCCCCCCGCGTGCTGGCTGGTGCACCAGCACTTTGATCGGTTCCTGGTCGGGGCTGGTACGCATCACCCCAAGAACTAGCAGTCATGGGCACTTTCTAACTGTTCTGTGACAAATAGACCCCCGCGACACCAATGACCTGTTCGAGAAGATGTACCGCGCCTCCATGTTCTACGGCCGTAAGGGTCTGCCTGTGGCGGTGATCTCCGTCATCGACCTGGCGCTGTGGGATTTGCAGGGCAAGATCCGCAACGAGCCCGTGTACAAGCTCATTGGCGGGGCTACACGGGAGCGCCTGAACTTCTACTGCACAGGACCCCAACCGGCCTCGGCCAAGGCAGCCGGTTTCATCGGAGCCAAGGTGGCGCTGCCGCACGGCCCTGACGAGGGGACCGAGGGCCTGCTCAAGAACGTCGAGTACCTGCGTCTGCAGCGCGAGAACGTGGGGCCGGATTTCCCGCTGCGTGTCGACTGCTACATGTCTCTGACGGTGCCCTACACTATCCAACTGGTCAAGCGCTGCGAAGCCCTGGGTCTGGACATTGACTGGTGGGAGGAGTGTCTGTCGCCCGATGACTTTGACGGCCATGCGCTGCTCAAGCGCGCTCACCCCACCGTCAAGTTCACCACCGGCGAGCACGAGTTCTCTCGCTATGGCTTCCGCAAGCTCGTCGAGGGCCGCAACCTTGATATCCTCCAGCCCGACGTCATGTGGGTGGGCGGGATGACCGAGTTGCTCAAGGTCTCGGCGATGGCGGCCGCCTATGATATTCCCGTGGTGCCTCATGCCTCCGGCCCCTACTCCTATCACTTTGTTGTGTCGCAGACCAACAGTCCGTTCCAGGAGTACCTGGCCAACTCCGCCGACGGCAAGTCCGTTGAGCCCGTGTTTGGCAATCTCTTCCTCAACGAGCCCATCCCCACCAAGGGCTACCTCGATGTGTCCATCCTGGACAAGCCGGGCTTCGGCCTGGAACTCAACCCAGCCGCGCCACTGATCCCTGCTGCCAACATTCTGACCCCAGCGCCGCAGAAAAGCCTTCGTGCCCCGGACAGCGAGCAGCCCAACGGACCCGTGGCGTAGATTCCCAGAATGAACGTATCGCGTGTGCGCATGACCCTTGTCCTTTTCCTGTTATGTCTCAGCCATGTACATATTCCACGAACCAAACAAACCCAATAGACTGAATGAATGGTTACGGATAAATCCAAGACTTTCCCCCGCTTTAGTCTTAATCATTTTTCCGTCCGGTAAATAACGGCTTCGGCCTGCTCCACTCTCGGCCAAACATCACCACGAGATCCCCGAGCCGGTGGGTTATCTTATCTGGCGGGGGAATAAATGAGAACAACCAGCCAGCCCTCCTCAACCCAATATCACGTCGAAAATGCCTCTCCCACAGCTGCTGGTCGGAAAGGTTGCCGCCATTACCGGCGGTCTCACAGGAATTGGCCGTGTACGTGCCGAATCCTCGAATACCGGGACAAAAACTGACTGATTGACGTGGTTAGGCAATTGCCCTCGAATACCTCCGCCATGGAGCGAAAGTCTCCGTCAGCCATCTGGGTGGTGCCAAGGAAGATGACCTGCTAGCTGCCCTGCACAAGGACGTGAATGAGATCGAAGCCGGCGCAGACCAAACGCGCTTCCTCACCGTCGCAGGGGACATTTCCAAGCCCGAGACCGGCCGGGACTTTGTCGCCAAAACGGTCGAGAAATTCGGCCGCCTCGACGTATTCGTGAGCAATGCAGGCGTGTGTCAATTCGCCGAGTTTCTCGAGTATGTAACTACCCAAATATTCAGAACGTAACTGACACTATCTATCCAGCCTCGAACCCTCCCTCCTCGAACACACCATCTCAACCAACCTCTCCGGCGCCTTCTACGCCACCCAAGCCGCTGCACGCCAAATGGCCCAGTCCCAGTCTCCGCCCGGTGGCTCCATCATCGGCGTCAGCTCCATCTCTGCGCTCGTCGGTGGCGGTCAGCAGACGCACTACACGCCCACCAAGGCCGGCGTCCTGAGTCTCATGCAGTCGTGCGCCGTTGCGCTGGGCAAATATGGCATTCGCTGTAATGCGCTGTTACCGGGGACTATCCGCACGCAGCTGAATGACGCCGACATGGCAGATCCAACTAAGAGGGAGTATATGGAGGGCCGGATCCCGCTTGGGAGACTCGGTCAGCCGCCGGATTTGGCAGGGCCGGCGGTGTTTCTGGCTTGTGAGGAGTTGAGCAGTTACGTGGTGAGTTTCTTTCTGTCTCATTCTGGCGGATCCATGCTGATCTTTTCCATTTTTCGGGGATAGACGGGGGCACAGATCCTGGTTGATGGTGGGTTGTTTGTTAATCTCCAGTAACACTTGCATATACGATGTAGATTTTTTTCATCGAGCAAGCCAATAAAAGAAAATAATTATATTTGAATACCGTAGGCCTCGACGGCCACTCCTCCCCAAACACCCTTCTTCTGCTCCTCGGACAACCCCCTTCTCTCCAAAACACCCTCGACAATATGCCGCCACCGATTCCAGGCGATATCGCCACTGCCACCGGTATTGCAAACCGGCCAGTCCGAGCCAAACATCACTCGCTCTGCGCCGAATGCATCAAACACCGCATCTGTCCAGGGCCTGAGCCGCTCCACCAGGGCAGAGATGTCGATATCAGACTCAGCATCTAGCGGTGGTAGCTCCGTCAATGCCCCAGAGAGCTTCATGTATGTCCGCGGATGGGCGTGAGCCATTTGCTCCGTGAGATCCTTCCACTCGAGGTAATCAGGGTGGTCAGGGACTGACTCTGGCGGGAGACGGAGATTGGGTTTGCTGAAGTGGTCTAGAGACAGTTAGCGAGAGAGAAATCACTTGCAAGAACAAGAAACTCACTGATAATAATGGTCACTGCCTCCTTCGAGTCCTTTGCAACCCCACTATACGCCCTTTGCATCATCTCAACCGCTTCTCGCAGCTGTCCCAGTCCGCCCTGTCGCGCATTCACACCAAGCTCAAAGGCCAGCCCCTTGGTACCCAGCCAACGTAGACCATCCACAAATGCGGGAGCGAGCATAGTGCCGGCCGGTCGGTTTTGCGTCAGATACCGCACCCCGCACACTCTGCGCCACACATCCTCCGTCTTCGTCCTCTCCTTCACCTTATCCATGTACGCTCTCAACACCTCCGGTCCGCCGGGAACAGGCGCCCACGCCACGATTCCCAGACAGAGACTCCGGTGTGCTGGCTGGTGTCCTTCTCCGGGGATCGGCTCACCCCGCGCAATCCGCGTGAGGAACGAGACCTCGTCCAGCGCATGAGTCCATCCGGGCGGGTCATGCTCCGCTACAGACGAGATGCGATCTACTTCAACGAAAATAAACCCGCGCAGGTATTTTGGACCATTGGCTGACGCATCAGTGGACACCGACGAGCTCGCTTTCCGGTATTCCTCGACGCTGTGCTGTGCGCCGATGGGGTTTCCGGGACGGTACCAGGCGAGGGTTTGGAGGTGTGATGCCGGGAAGAGGTGGACGTGGGAGTCGACTATGGGGATGGACATGGTTAATTTGATTATTGAGAGTTGAGTCTTGTCGAGAGGTTTAAGTACTGTACTCAGTGGATCTCGAGTCTTTGGGAATCGGGGGGCATTTTCCCGAAGGATGGCCGCGCCAATCTGCCGTCAATTACCCGAAGGGTCCTTGGATCGAGCTCTGTAATTAACTATAAAAGCATCCCACTCGATCGCATTCTTCTTATATTGATTATTTGAATCCCGCTATATGCGTGGCATCCAGGCATCTACCAACTAGCGACTGCCGAGGTTGGTCGCCAGTGCTCCACATCACCCCTCACCCACGCCTATGAATGCCTATTATGATGCTCTAGACAACATTTAGTTAATAATGCTAGACCCGGGGACCCGAGGCTTCCAATAACTTGGCGCTCATTGGCACCTTTCCCCCGCGATTCTCTCTCTCCACATGCCCGTGATTAACCTAGTTAAAACATATTAATAGTCCATTACCCCATCTTTTGGTAACACACACTGACAACAGTCATCCTCATCCTTACATAACTTCCATCCTTGACATACCGCCATGGCTGCTCCTGACGTCCCTAAGAAGCAAAAGGCCGTCGTCTTCGACCAGCCCGGCACAGTCTCGACCAAGGTCGTCGAAATCGACGTCCCCGAGCCTGGCGCCGGCGAAGTCCTGATTAATCTGACACATTCCGGCGTGTGCCACTCGGACTATGGCATCATGACCAACACATGGAAGATGCTCCCTTTCCCAACCCAGCCAGGCCAAGTGGGCGGCCACGAGGGCGTGGGCAAGATCGCCAAGCTCGGCCCGGGTTGTGAATCGTCGGGCTTGAAAGTCGGCGATCGCGTGGGTATCAAGTGGATTTCCAGCGCTTGCGGGCACTGCCAGCCCTGCCAGGCCGGCGCCGATGGACTGTGCTTCAACGCAAAGGTCTCCGGCTACTACACCCCCGGCACGTTCCAGCAGTACGCTCTAGGACCCGCCAACTACGTGACTCCGATCCCGGACGGGCTGGACTCGGCAGCTGCGGCGCCAATGCTCTGCGCTGGCGTGACCGTGTACTCCGCACTGAACCGCAGCAAAGCACGCCCGGGCCAGTGGGTGATCATCTCTGGCGCCGGTGGCGGACTGGGCCACATTGCCGTCCAACTCGCGAGCAAGGGCATGGGCCTGCGCGTAATTGGGATTGACCACGGCAGCAAGGAAGACCTCGTCAAGTCCTCCGGCGCCGAGCACTTTGTCGACATCACCAAGTTCCCCGCCGACGACAACGGCGCCGCGCTGCAGAAGCACGTCAAGTCGCTGACCGACGGGCTGGGCGCCCACGCCGCAGTGGTGTGCACGGCTGCGAATGCCGCGTATGCACAGGCGCTGCCGTTGCTGCGCTTTAACGGAACACTGGTCTGTGTGGGCATCCCGGAGCATGAGCCAAAGGCTATTGCGACGGCGTTCCCGTCCAGTTTTATCAACAAGCACTACACCATCACCGGGTCCGCGGTTGGGAACCGGACAGATGCTATCGAGACCATGGACTTTGCGGCGAGAGGCATTATTTCCGCCCATTTCCGTACTGAGAAGATGGATGCCTTAACCGGGGTCTTCCAAGAGATGGCCGAGGGTAAACTCCAGGGTCGTGTGGTGCTGGACTTGTCGGGTTGAGTGTGTTGATACTGTATATCCTGTGGACAGTTTCGATTAAATGAAGTTGATGAATAAATGCACGGTCTATGTACACTTAGTAACTTGTAGGCAGGTACAGCCTGGGCTCCTTCCGATAAGAAAATCCCCAAAAGGAATGTTGCGCGCAGTGGTATATCATCAGGTATTCCTATTATCATTAGATACCAATCCTCTGTCCCTTGAATCCCAATCAAACCCAAACCCCCCATCCCTTTTCAAGAAAGCGAAGTAGACAAATATCCCGACCAACATCTTCACTCACCGCCATACTCCCTCGACCATAACTGTTTTCATAGCATGATTGTTGGGCCTCAAAGTATAATCTTGACTGCTATTTCTATCGCCACGAGGAGCCTGGGCACTGACAACACCAGATGGCATATTTACATCGTCTCGCGATGTCATCTCAATGCCACCTCGGATATTGGAACAGCTGCTCAACCCGCAGGGCGATGTTCTGTGCTACGGCTATGCGAACGTGGATCACTGATATCGTGTTTAGAATTTCGACTATGGACAGTGGGTCTTCTTGACTGGATAGTAGTATAATAGTTTTACTTTCGCTTCGTTCATATACCATTTTTAGCACATGTTTGTAGATAGGTCGAAACTACCATATTTTCTTTCTGTCGTTCATTCCTCAAAAAAATAAAAAACAAAAAAAATAGCCAACGCCATATAATAATTAGCGGCGAGGGGAGTGCATTAGGTCCGTCATCGTCAAATTCAGATGTGTTCACTGCCAATCAAAAAATATGTAAATTTGAATGCGGGTGCCGCGATTTTCTATTGTAGCTTGAAAATTGATACCCACTCTATAAAGAGTGGAGCAAAAAATGACCGACGCAGGGGTCGAACCTGCAATCTCTTGATTCGTAGTCAAGCGCCTTGCCATTGGGCCAGCCGGCCAGCTTATGAGAGATGATCTGTGTGGGCCTCTATGACTAAAAGACTCGGCGCCCGCATTTTGGTGGGCTATAGTACCTCAATTGTATTGCGAGTAGTCAGGAAATCAAGGCAGAAATGATTTGAAACATATTTAAATCAGAAAAAGAGCTAAAATTCCAGCTAAGCCGTGCATAAATGGGTATGACGAAGTTAAGGCTGACTTAAGTCCCAAGATATATATTTAACACTAATCTACCGATGGGTGTCATTGCACTATGTAAGCTTCAGATCAACAGAAAACCAACAATTGACAGACAAGAATATTGAATCACAGTGAAAATGCTTCCTACCTGCAATTGAAGATAAGTAATATTCAAATTCCACAACTCGACCCATCGCACGACTGCCCCCATTCCGACTTTCCGCCTCCATGTTGAGCACACACCCTAAGCCTCCATTGTGTGCCAACGTCGGTAGACTACTTGATCGGCGTAGGCTATTTGTTGTCTAAAGTCTGTTCCTCTTTTTTTTTTTTTTGGCTTTAACAAGCTGAAGATCTACAAAAGACTGGTAATTTTTAATCGAACATATCAGGAGGTCTCAGTGTTGCTTGAAATCCAGTACTTTTCGAAGATCGAACAAATCCGATTAAGAACGCCGTTATTTACCGAGAGACCGGCTTCATTACAGTCCCTTTAAGTGACCATTTCTCACTGTACCAACCCAATCCGCCAACTCAAGTGCAGATTCGTGACTTTGGGGTGAGTGCAAATAATCCCCACGATAATAGACGATTAGCAAGACAATAATAAAACATTCGGAAACCTGTCACCCATATCTACCCGTCAAACTATCCGACATAGAACAAGCAGAGCAACCATCAATCCAGAATAGTCCCGAAAAAGGCCCGAATTAAACTCTCCGCAACAAACTTGTCGCCTCACACATTCCGATCTTAATCCACAATAGAAAATCCGCTTTTCTCCCCCCACCTCCTACTCCTTGTAGACAGGTGTAAGGCGCAGGTGGGTCAAGCCAAGAAAATAGCCCCGGTGCAGTTCCACGGTTTCTTGCAGCTAGTGGCCGGCTGACACAGTTCCGGGGCCCTGGTTTGGGTTATCTAGTGTCTAGGTAAGACAGTGCTTGTATTTTGAATTTTGATATAAGTTATCTTAGACGTTTCCGTAGATTGCACTATGCAGACCAAAGACAAAATCACATCGGGCACTGCATCAAGGAATGACACGAGCACCGACTTGAATCTCGCTGATGATGATGGTATGATAATAAGAACCGAAATGTAACAAAACGCAGGGATCGGGGGGTATTAGAATGGATGGAACACACGACAGCCGCCCGACATGACTATAGAAATCAAGGAGACCTCCCAAAAAAAGGAAAAAAAAAGAAGAAAAGAGAAAGAAAAGCGTAAAAGCAATCAATCATCGACTTCGTTTCGTATTGCCTCCCGAGTTCCCAGCAGCTGGTCTCTTCTGCCCCGACCCTGGAGGCGCAGCCCCCGTCTCAGCGGCACGGACCAACGCCGTCAGCCGCAGAAGATATGGCTTCGGAGCGCGATCAACCTCGATCTTGTGCAGGATATCTCGCAGGTTGGTTTTGAACTGGCTCAGATCTGACGCGCGCAAGATATCCAGAGCATCAAGAACGAAGAATTCCGCGTCAGGGTCGTTGTCCAGGTCCGGCGACCCGATTAACTGATGGTACAGATTGCGCTGGTCTTCATCCTCACCGTGGAAGGAGACCCGGCCCCAGCGGTTGCCATCGAGTGGGTCTTTATTGCGGGCCGTCACGGCTTCAAGAATGGAGATGAGAGCTTTTGCGGCGCCTTCGGAGCCGTGCGGTGCGCGGGCGACGATGTTGACGCGGATGCGATTGACACACCGGCGCAGTTGCGCGATTACCTCGTCGACGTTGTAAAAGCCTCCGCCGGGACTGGAGCTATCGGACCGCTCGCCTGTTGCGCAGTACCGGTCAAAGTCAGCCAGCAGCCGGCGTGACTGTTCCTGCGCCTTGTCGAAATAGATGGCCGCGCATGCGCCAGCGGGCATGGCCTTGCACAGACTGCTAAAGACCCCATTATCGTGCACCGCCAGCCGAAAGATAGTCGCCTCAAAGTCTCCCTGCACCACGCATTGCTCTGGAGTGCGCGCCTCCGCTGCGGTCTCCACCAGATCCTGGCGAAAATCCTCTGCCACTATCACGGGCCTGAACGCAGACAGGATATCGCGCACTTTTTCTGCACGGGTCATCCCCGCACCGCTGCCATTACCTTCAGCCCGTAGCAGATGCCAATTGAGCCGGCCAGCCACCGCTTCTAATTGGCCCTCCAGGAGCCCTTCGATGCGCGGGAGCACGCGCGGATGACCGTCACGAGATAGTTCGATTTCCTCTGACGGGGGTTCCTGGATGAAGTAGCCGTGGAGCTGATCGAGGATCCACTGCACGAAGGAGGTGTCAGCCATATCTCGCCCTTGGTTGTTGGAGGACTACCCACGAAGATATGCTGGCACGCCACGTCCGGCCGGCTCTGGAAGGTCGGACAGGTGCAAACGTATGAGTCCGGGCCAAGATGCACCTGCGGTCGGTCCGAGAGCTGGAATTCATATCCCGAGCGAGTGGCACGGCAATTAACGACGTCGAACTGGCCCGTCAACCCCACGAGTGCTCTGGCCTCGGACTCGGAGTCTAATTGCGCCAAGTCATAGGTGATTCCCGACCCGGCTAGCACTGCCGAAGCGCTAGTGGACTCGTCGTCGCTCTCCTCTGCCTCGCTAGAGCTCTCGTCCAGCGAGCTGTCGTCTCCCCCGTCGTCGCGGTCACTATCGTCGTCGGAAGGATCCGGCCCCGCGCCGCGGGCCGTCCTGGCCTGGGCGCGCGTCCCAGCCATATCTCGACCGATAGAGAGTCTGTGGAACTGCCTGGTCGGGGCCGACATGGCCGATCAACAGAGGACGGGGGGGGGAGGGAGAGTCGGGAAGGGAACTTGGGGGAAGGGGAAGGAAGGAGAAGCTTTCCACACGACGGAGAGAACAGATATGGTAAATAATAATGGTGTCGCCGACGAGAGTTCCTTTTCCGACCCAAGGGGAAAGCGGGTACGCCGAACCATGGAACGGCCTCCCTGGCACCCGCTTTAAATAATCGCGGGAAACAAGACTCAACAGCCTCATGTTCACTGCGCCATCTGGGCCACAGACACTGTGCCGTCCGCTCTGCGGTGAAAGGTCGACCGAGATGATTCATTCATTCCCCTGACCGAGCCAAAATCTGCGAGCGACTGCGGCAAGATGAAAGGAACAACAACGCCCCAACGGCGCTTAAAGACGAATAAAGAGGGGTTCGGCTCACCGAGGTGGCAAAGGGAATGGCCGGATCTCCCATGACCGCAGACGAGAGTCGAACGAAAGAAGTTGATGCGTCTAAAAGGCCGCTAGACCGTTGACTTATGCCTGGGATGATGACATCGATCCACGGCGCAGAGCGCACAGACACACCACCGTGCGAGGGCGGAATCCCATATCTGGGGTTGGTGGATGCATTGACACCCGAGGACGGCCCTACGGTGGGCAAGGGAAGTGTAGGAGCGGCCTGCTTGTGTCGGCACAGGAGGGCCCCCATTGGTAGATAAGCAGAGACTCGGTGAAGAGGGAATGATCTGCTCTACAGTTCGCCAATGTGATCAAAAAGGGTAGGGTTGGGGCTACACCCCGTATTTCGGCAGGTCTAGACGGCGCTGTGCCAGATCGGGAGCCCCGAGCAGCACCGACCAGAGCTTGAGTGAAGTGTCGAGCGAGCACAGGCGCCGCAGCGGTGGAGCCATCGGCAAAAAAAGGGGAAAACGGAGTTGACTCTTTGGAGAAAAGCAAAGAGGTACACGCTTTTTCTTGGATGGCCAATCTCACAAATTCCGCAGTCAAGGCTTTCGTGCTCGCCGCAGACCGTGCGCAAAGGAAATAGTCCCACAAAGAAATGGAGTACTGTATGTACAGAGCTTCACGGCAAATGACTCGTGAACCATGCGGCGACCCGCTAGTGGGATCCGCTTGGATTTTGGTTGGCCATGGATTGTCCCCTGGCAATGACACTAACTAGCGGAACACGCGAGGATACCCTTGAATCAGACAGGAATCAGACTAGGGTGTGCTCTGTCATGACGCTACTGCGCGTCACAAGCCCACGAGACACTATCCCATCGTGGGGAAATAAGTGATGCCCCAAATAATGAATGGATGAGGGGGGTGGCGGCTGCCGGTTGATCGATACTTCAACCGTCGCGCAAGGCCGAGACTGATTGGGCCCCGGAGGGGACAACAAGGGGTGAGATTGCGGAGGTGCCTCGCTAATACTCGAGCGCTAGGGATGATTGAAGCGGGTTTTGATCTGCGCGAGCGAGCGACATGTGCCAGGCCGGAGGCTCGGAAGGAATCAAGGCGCACTCTGGGTTGCTGCGTTGGTGATTCCAGTGCCACCTCGTGCATAAGCCTCCGATCCATTGGCGGCTCACGGCGCAGGAGCCGAGACAGAGCCACACACGCTATGCTGTGCCCGATCGATAGGTCCGTCTCGTTGTCATTGCTGATGATCAGCATTAGCGTCCTGCGCATCGACCACAGCGAATCCGAGCGCGCTTCTCAGGCTAAAGAGCTGCGCGGCACAGCAAAGCTCGTCGGTGTGGCCTTTATGGAAAAAGCGAAGAACTCCCAGATCCTTGCAAAAAAAAAAAAAAAAAAAAAAAAAAAATGAGGTCCAAGTACGGAAGTTATCCAGCAAGACTGTGGTGACAGACGTGTTTGCGCCGCAGATGGATCGGCACGCATATTTGGCGTCTATTTCTCCCCCGCTGTTCATCGTCCGCCAATCGACATCCCTGGGCGCCTAAACGTCAGGCTCTGCGCCACGGAGACCTGACTTCATATCTTTGCGGCGCAGGAGGGCTTTGTGTTTGACTCATCTCTTTGACGTTGGTGTCTCCGGGTGCCTGAGCGCTGAATGGCCGCCGTGCAGGCGAATTTAATCACTTGACCACGTTTCCCCCCTGTTTATGGCGCAGCCGCATCTGGTGGCAACCCGAGCTGGGTGGTCATTATTTCGCACAGCACAGAGTCGTGACTATTGGCCGGTTGAGGGGGATGGCGCAGCAGGATCAAAAAAGTTGTCATCACCCTTCCCGTGTTGGTGGCTTCGTTCATCGTTCTGCGCTCAGGAAGCGATGTTGGGTGCGGAGACTTGCTTTCCCATGGTCTGTGTTTTTTCTTTCACCGGATAAAAGGAGGAAGCAAAAGTAATAACGGTTTAGGTCACTTCTTTTTTGGGTTTGGCCCATGAATCCTTTGTGTAACATGGCGCAGGGGAAAAAGTCTCCGACCTGTCCCTTTTTGACTTATTGGTCTGCACGCTCACCGACTCCCCCGGCAACATACTCGGGAATGAGGAGCTGGATTATGTGGGAATGGAAAAATAAATGAGGACAATAGGAAAAAGGGGTCCTCGAGCGAATACATTATTTCGAGAATGAATCTACCTAAGAAAAAGCAACGCAAGTTGCCGCTGATAACGAATGGGGTATCCGCGAAGAAATGCAGCTTCAAGCAGAATCGAAGACGATAAATGGCCCATGACTTCAAGGGGCAGGTTGTTAAACGACAGGCAAGAAAAGAAGAGTATTACCGCGGATGCAAGAAGGAAATTCGTCCAGTCGTGTCCCTACTATACCAACAGTATTAATTCCATCCATCCATTTTTTTTCAAGTGTTGTGTCGAGCTGCATTGCGCCGCTTCGCATTGGGCAGCGCCTTCCGCAACCTGTCTTGGTGATCCAGGCTGAGCTGGAGTGGTGACGAGCTGCCTTGCCTGTTCACGTTCACTTCTTCGGCGGGGGCGGCGGAGGTTTCCCCCAGAGACTGCAAAAGATGCACAATTGTCGTCTCAATCTGGGCGGGGCATTTCCGAATACTTTCCAGCCTGGCGCGGGTGTCGTTCTGAATTTTGCGGTCCTCTTTTTGTTTTTCAGCATCCAACCGTTGAAATACATCGGGGTCCGAGTTTGCATACCACGCTTCGGCGACGGAGACGTCGTAGTCCGCATCGTTGAGAGCCATGCCTGCATCTCCGAATTTGTGTAGAATCTCTTCGGAGTCGGCGCGAAGCCGCGCGGCAAATTTCGCCACGGACTTGAGGATCTGTTCAACTTCAGAATCCGGGAGTTCAGAAGAGGAGCGGAGGGTTGCGAAGTCCAGTTGGGCTGCCTTTGCGGCGAGCGCGTCTAGGAGACTTTGATTCATACCTAGGCCGTGAAGAATTGCTCCATCGAAGGAATCCATAAGCCGGTTGGCTCGGTCGTCGCGGTCCCGGGCCGCTTCCAGAATATTCCGTTTCTCCATCTGGTCAAAGTCTCCGTCGAGTTGTCGGAGCCCAAACGTATCACCAATAACCACCAGTGGGCGCCGCTCAGCCTTTTTCCGGCGCCGCTCACAGTCCAGGGCAAGCTCTAGGCGCTTTTGGAATCGAATCTCAAGCTTGTTGTGAATTTCATTGACCATCTTGATAGTGCCAAACGGGCTGCACTGTTCGTGAGCCACAGCTTTGCCTTTTTGTTCGCGGTCGAGCTGATTAAGAGCCGCATCGTAGGACTTGCGCAGGACGGAGATCTCGGTTTGCAAACGGTTATCCAACGGTTTAAAGACCTCTCCAATGAAGCTGTCCACTTCGCGCCGTTCCTCGTCCAGTTGAACGCGCGCTTCGCCTTGTCGGAAATCTTCTTCCCTCGTATTGATATCCGCGTGTCCGATTACTTTTTTATTCAAGAGGCTATCAACGTGCCTCTGCGCACGATCTTGGCGCTTCATGCGTTTCCGGTCCAGCCTCTTTCGACGAGCCAACGAGGATGATTCCCAGGTCTGGATGATCTTTTGGATGTACGTAAAGTCATCGGGAATTGCGTTCAGTTCCTCTTTTGTTGTTATGTACCATGAACTTTCGGCCTGTCTGTCCATAGGCGCCCAGACCATGTACCGTAGATCTTCGATGGGATTTTGAGGCCAGCCTCTGTGCAAAGATTCGGGTAGGTGTGTAGGAGACGTAGGGGTGGGTCGTGACAATGTGTGGTAAGCGCTGCTTCTTTGGCGGATAGCCCCCAGGAAATCTTCCTCTTGTCTTCTGAGTTCCTCGGGAGAAGCCAAAGATTGGGACCTCCCGCGAGTATGCCCTGAAACTGACATGACTCGACCACCCATAGCGGACTGTCGCCACTGATCATTATAGCCTTGGTACGCCGGCCGATCAAAGGTCAAGTTATCTGAGCCTCGTTGAGGTCCCTCAATGTACCGGTATGGCGTATAAATGGGCTGCGGAGGGTTCGTGACTAGAGGGCTGAAGCCTAGTTCAGCTCGCAACCCATCCAGTGAGGCCGGAACAGAGCTAGACCGCCGAGAGGTGTTCCTGGGCTCTCTATCCGCCACAATGGAAGACACTCTCACGACAGCGTTTGAAGTGTGACGAGCTCTCTTGGCGAGGATCGGCCGCCCTCCTGAGCTATATTCACTTTCTTCGCCTTCTGGGTCATATTCGTCGTCTTCCGCCGCTGTAGGGGAGACAGGATCGCGCCATTGGACGGAGCCGAACTTGGGATCAGTTGTAGGTGGTAACGTTTGGCTTCGCACAGTGAGTTGCGGAACCATCGGCCCAGCTTGTGGTACGTTGTCGATACTGTAGAGAATCTCCCGAAGCTTTGTCTCCTTTGCCATGAAAGCCGCGAAAATATCGAATCTCTCCTGATCCGAGTCGGCGGTCGCCTCTTTGTGTAGCATAGCCACATAGCGTGTGAGGGAAGACCTGAGCCAGGGATCAAGATCCTTGTGAGGGTCTATATCCTTTACCAAGGCTGCGTTGCTCTGTTCTTCTATCAATTGAGTGATTTCGAGATCCGCTTGCACATTCTTCTCGAAAAACGGTGGATCTTCTTCTGACTCCCTCGTCTCTGCTGGCAACTCAACGGGGCTCCGTTCATTTACCGGAGTCAGCTGATCCTCCTGCTGTCGCAAGCTGGCCGAATCGGGGTTTGGAAATTCCGCGATTGCCGTAATTGGCTGAATCCATGCCTCGATGATCCCGTCGATGCTTTTTGACCTTCCTCTGTCCGTGGATATGGAGGGCTCGGGGCTGTGTGATGAGGGAGCACTAGTGTTTATTCGTATCGATGGAACCGGTGGGAACGAAGACTCCTGCTTGCTATTCACAGTGGCTGGAGAGACGGGAGAATAAGAAAAGTGGTGTTGCGAGATGGAATCCATCTCGGAGATAGGGCTTCTGAAAGAGTCTTTGCGGAGCACATGTGGCACAGGAATGACGGAATGACGACCTGTGCCTGGCAGACCCGTGGAGTACCCCGGAGGCGTCAGGACTGTGTCTTGAGATCCTGTTGGCGTTTCAAGCCCGCTCCTGGGGGGAAACCACGGCCGGTCGTCGAACTCTTCTTGGGCCGGGCTACCCAAGTGCTCCCAGTCCGACGGCGTGCCATGGCCCAGGGCCGAAGCAGTCGGTTGGTCTGCATTTGGATCATCATTAGCGCAAGGTGGAAATCCATAGCCGTCGCTTTCCTCTCCTGATTCATCAGGGGATCTTGGCGCCGGTGCCGGGACCGGGCTGATGGCCGGCAGTGGTGTGTATGGCGGTGCAACCGGTGCAGCAAACGCCGGATCTTCCGCCGTGGGAGGCGAGAGCAGTCGCTGATTTGGGGCAGCGGGCAGAGGCTTGCGATCCAATGGAGCTGTCGTCGGGGAAGGTAGTGGTGAGAATGACTGTGCATGCAGAGGAGCATAGGTTGTGTGGGGCTGGGGATGCTGTGGGAACAGTCAGTTTGGTTCGCGCGCCACTGTCTCCCTCACTTACCAGCACCCCCCGGCCGCGTTGGTGCTTCTTGTTAAGCCGTATTCCCCATGATGTGTTGTCCTTGGAGCTACCTCGCCCCGAGGGTGCTGCTACGGAATAGGATACCGGGTGACGCGGTGGGAATCTGGGTTCTGACTGTGTGGTTGGAAGATCGGGACGGTCTGCTTGTCCGAACATCGCTGGCGCTATCCATGTCAAGAGGAGAGCGAGAGGAAAAGGAAGAAGATGCAGGAGAAAACAACACGTGCCGGTGGGTTAAGAGTGTGACATGGAGCCCGCAAGGCATACCGGCACTGCTGCGACCTTACTATTTCTGGCGTTGGGGCGAAGGAGAGATCCATCGACTACAATTCCCGGCCCCAAAATCCCCGATCGTCCAGGGGGCGTCCGGGGCCTCCGTATGTACTAATAATAATATTTTTTAATTTGATTTCTTGGAGACATAACGACTAACCCGAAAGCAAACTACAAGGCACATGTGCCGTACCTGACATCATTGCCCCTGAACTGCTCCGTAATAGTCGAACTCCCGATGCCTCATACTTGCCCAAACCGGAACGGGAGTAAGGCTGGCTTCGTTCTGTCCCGTTTCAAAAGAAATATTGGTATTCATGCCCATTGCCCTACCTTGGCCCTACCATGGCCCTACGACGAAATGTCCACCCACTGACGAACTAGCTATTTAGCTGCTCCGGCTTGTCCACAGCTAAGGCCGCCTGTCTTAAGCGAGTTCTGCCCGTCTAGTTAATGTCCGATATCTGCTATGGACGGGCCAGTAGTGATACTCCATCTAATTTGCACTCTGCCCGAGCTCCAATAATAGATGAATAATTCGGCTTTGTTACGTTAGAAAGCATAATTCCTTCCGCGCTAGTAGGCCGCGCAAATTGGCTTGGGATCTGTTGGCAAACGCCACTTTTTTTTTGGAGTCGAGTCTCCGGTCGCGGATACTCCAACATCTTTCCAACAAAGGCGCAGAGCGAGATTATACGGTTGCTATCCGCCAAGTCTGTCTTTTGTGGCGCCCGCATAAAAAAGCCATGGATCCGAAAATCTATTTATAAGCTCAAAGAATTAGTTAACTACGTAACTAGCAAAACAGATCCGGTCCTCGTTCTTCTTTGTTTTCATGGCCTCGTGCCGGCTTTCCTAACCTGCCTCAAAGAGACCCGACCCTGTATACCGCCATTTTTTCTTTGAGACCAATGCCCTCATGCCGCTCAAAGAAAGGCCCAATTCACAGGGAGCGTCAATATTTATAGCCGTAGTCCGACCAGCAATAGAAATGACATGACTCCGTTGCCTCTATTGCTTTTGATGACCCGTTTTTTCCTGGGATCTTTGTCCCCGCGACCGATTTAGGTATTAACTCCGAGTATCTACCTTCCCCAGCAAGCCACCATGGCCTCCAAACCAAATTACTTCATAAATATCCCACCGGTGCCCAAAACAGAGCGACAGCCCCCTGACTACCCGCCACGGCCTGACCTATATGGCAAGGTTGCATTCGGCCCGTACATCAGTGCCGATGATGCAAGACTTGCATGTCGCGCGTGGTTCAAGCAGGATCGTTGCCTCGGAAAGGCATGGAAATGCCACAAAAATCGTGGCTTCCCAATTCAGTTACCTGATATAATACCACAAGATCATGATCCGCGCGTGATCAATGGGTTGGCGACCAATGTCTACGAGCATTTGATGAGCGATCCATTGTTTCCCGTTACGCGATGGGAGGAAGATAACCCAGTTGACCAGACCTTGAGGTTGTCGGAATTGTTCAAGGAGATCAGAGATAAAGTCGCTATTCGCGACGAGAATGTTCGCAATTCGAAGTACTGGACCAATCCTGTCTTGAACGCCGAGTTGAGGAAGAGAGGGTTACCGGTAGCCAAACCGATGAAAGAAAAGCTGTCAGCAAAGGATGCGAGGAAAGAAAACCAGAACTGTCTCATCAATGACGAGCTTGCCAGATGCTACTCCTTTCAGTCACAAAGTGATCTGTCGCACTGGGGAATCGATCGACCGGAGAAGTATAAGGTAAATCCCGCCACGGACACGGATCTGACGCCGCTTGACATGTACACCTTCGCCATTCACTTAAGTCCATACAACCCAACCTACTGGCTCAGCCGGGCATACTGCCATTACCAGCAGAAATTTTTTGATCTGGCCATCGGCGATGCCTATCGCGCCCAACTTCTCTGCGAGGTGGTCATGGACGATCTTGCGAGAAATAGGCAACTGGGACTCTACTCGCGCATTTGGCACGCAGTTGAACAACACTTTATAGCAATTGCGCAATATGGCTTTGACTGGAAGCCAGACATTATGACCTACATGCGCAAGAACGGCATCACCAACTTCATTCCAACAGTTCAGAAGGCGGCCATTCACATTACGAGTCTCAGCCTCGCGTCGCTGAATTGCTGGGATGATGTCGATGCACAACACCGACTGTTCCGTTCAACTTTCTCTTCCTCCGAGTCCGATCGTGACCAGAGAGTAGTTGAGGAGCGGAGACGACTAATCAAGCCCTCTGCGGAAGCTTGGCAAAATGAGAAGGCTAAGCAGAACATTTTCCTCTTTGAAAGACGATACGGATCAGTCAAGGGCACCCGCAAATACCCATATGAGGAGGAAATTGATCGTGTTGACTCGAAGTTCCTCGATATGCTCACTCGCTGTTTCTTCGAAGCGCCTCCACGGACCCCGAAACCCCCAACATGGAACTGCGAGGTCAAACAAGTGCCTGGCAATCAAGGCATAGGAGTTTTCGCCACAGAAATTATCAACCCAGGCGAGATTATCTTTTGCGAGGAGCCTACTATCCGAGGTCATCTGCATACTCGAGAAATCAACGGCGATAAGACACAAAGTTTCATAGAAAGCGGACCGGGATGCGAAACCTGTCTGAAGACGGTTGACGAACCCATCAAAGCTCAATATCAAACAAGGAATATTCTCGACGGAACACATGAGTTTTACTGCAATTGCATTGTTGGGAGACCAACACGCGGGGACGGGAAGGGGAGTCTCTGGTGGTGTACAGGTGAATACCCTGCTGACAGGCCACCCAGAGAAAAGGCGTGTTTGGAGATTGCGCGCGAGCTGTTTCACTTTGGCAGCTGTGGAGAAGACTGGTTGTGGTTGCACGATGCCATGCGGCCGATGGTTAAAGTCCACAAGGAGCCGAAAACAGTGGAACCACCGCCAGGGTCCAAGGAACCGGTAACAGTCAAAGACGAAGATGTTGACGACATACTTCAAGTGAACGAGATCCATGGGACTATTCTGAGTCTGCTTCTCAAGAATGTCTTCGAGATCACACTGCACAGACGTCAGCAGGGTACGGACCCGCACTTACTTCCCCACGAGATCGATGAATTGCTTGTGCTGGACGGTTGGTCCGAGAACAATGACTACTGGACCGGTAGCAATTTCCCGTTCAACTTTGCCGCCAACATCCAAGTGCCATTCGACATTCTCTCCAAGCTGGGAGTGGACATCTTCCGCGACTTCAGCTTCGACACATGGGTCATCCAAATTGTGCTGCGGAAACTACTCACCAACGTGGTGCCATGGGATGGACAGTGGAGAGGTAGGACCGAAAGCATCCGACCAGTAGACCAGGACAAGCCTCTGAAAGAATTCAGCGAACAGCAAGCGATGAAACAAACCCAAAAGTCGTTCACTCGATGGGACCCGTCTTTCTCCAACCTCTACCTCTTCCCGGGATTCAGCATGTTCAACCACTGCTGTGGCATCAAGCAGGTTGGGGACCCCGCAAAATACAATGCCGATTGGGCATATGACAATGTGGTCCCCAACCGTGTGGTTGTATGGGCGCAGAAACCTATCAAGCCAGGCGAAGAGATCCGTCTCCGGTACAGACATTCCGCGATCCGGCCAGACAGTCCCAGCGCGATACACCTGTTCGGAGGGCCTTGTAAGTGTGAACAGTGTGCATGTGCTGGAGACGCTCGAGATATTGGAGGTTTTAGAGGCGCTGTCGCTACAGGAAAGGACCCAACACCGACAAGGGAAAAGCAAGCGACGGAAGGACAATCAAAAGAAGGACGAGGCACGTTCCGAAAAAGAAACTGCGAATGTGACAGACATGCTGACAATTCAGAAAACACAGAAAATGCCGGAACCAATACGAAAGAAGAAAACCAGCTGGAATCTCTGAAGCGAAAAATGACCCAAGCCTTCCTTATGGTTGAGCATGAGGAGGAAAATGAAGCAACGAGGACGTTGAGGGAGGGCAAAGTACGCAAACTCGCTGGAGAGATTGTGTTTTCTGATTACCCTTTTTGAGGGAGGTGTGTGCCTTGCAAAAGACGGGGATGCTGATTTGTTGTTTGGGGCTTTTATTTCTTTTCTTTTCTTTGCTTAAGGTTGCTACTAGAGGATCGCTTAGTGTGGTATATTTCTGGTATATTTCCACGAAGACACGCATGAATATAGATATCGATTCTACGCTTCCAAAACTCAGCGCAAATCAAGGCCGACGATCTGCTTCGGTCCCCGCTAGGCTTGCAAATTGATGCTGGGTTGGATTGCTAGTGGTGGTGCGTGGGCTTTATACACCACGGAGGCGAATGCCAGATTAATTGGAGCGGCGATGATCCAGAATGCGAACAGCATGGAGGAACGTTGCAAGGTAATTGAACAATTGCGGGGCATCTTTTATGCAGACCCCAAGGAGTGTCCTCACCTGGATCTGCCTTGACGTAGGAATTGCGATGACACCCAGATATCCTAGATTTCGATTGAGATGGAATGAATTCAGAATTATTAATGAATTATTTCGCTCATTCGCTTATTCAAATGCATCCAGGCGAACATACATTTGCGCAGCATGATCAAGTATATTGACCACTTACACCTCTCCATCCCTAGAAGGTATACTAGTTATCCGAAATTTGCGCGTGGGAATCAGTAGCAATAAAACTCCAAAAACCAACAGATGGGTGCCATCAGGATCCCTAGAACTATTCTCTGAGATCCTCCACAGGCACGTATTTATCGGTCTTGCGAGGTGGATTGGGGTGACGACGGCCTTTACAAAAACCCAGCGCTCGGGGATTGGAATAACCCGAGTGGGAGCCGTTCGGACAGTAGGAGGTCCGCCATAGAACAGTATTTAATGCGAAGATGCTCTGCAACTGATCATAATTGTTTTTCTATATGTTCAAAAGGAACCTTGCACGCAAAATTATGAGCAAACCTACAGACGTCATCATCGCCGGCGCTGGTCCGGTAGGGCTATTTCTAGCATGCGAACTGGCTCTGGCCGGAGTCTCGGTACTTGTTCTGGAACGAGATACGACACCCGAGACGCCATGGAAGGAAGACTTTTTCGGTCGCCGAGGTCTCTTTCTTCGCGCGACCGAGGCCTTTTACCGCCGTGGTATGCTGGACAAGATCATCCACGGCGGCAACCAGCGTCCGACGCAACTCGACAAAGGTCCCGGCTTCGTGTTTGGGGGTCACTTTGCGGGCATGATGCTCAATGCAAACAAAATCGATTTTTCACGATGGAAGTATCACCTCCCAGGACCTGCGTTTCTCCCTGTAGGGTCTTCACTTGGTCGTATTGAGAGGGTGTTATCGGAGCGTGCGCAGACACTCGGTGTACAGATCATCCGGGGCGTGGGAGTCACCAAAGTCAGTGACGAAGGCGATATAGTGAAGGTATGGGCTGGAGACAAGTGCTTTGAAGCCCAATGGCTCATCGGATGCGATGGTGGACGAAGCACTGTTCGCAAGGCCGCTGGGTTCCAATTCGAAGGGACAGGCTCTGAGTTCATGGGCTACATTGCTAGTTGCGACCTGGACAATCAGGAGCTTCTGAAGCCGGGGTTTAATCGCACAGAGTCCGGGATGTATATTGTTACTGGGCCTGGACAAATTTACGCCGTTGATTTCGATCTGAGCTTCGACCGGTCGCAACCCGTCACTCGAGAACACTTCCAAACTGTACTCCAACGGGTCTCTGGACTGGATATCACTGTCAAAGCGCTGCATTTGACCACCACTTTCACCGCTCGCTCGAAACAAGCCACGGAGTATCGCAGAGGCCGCGTTTTTCTGGCCGGTGACAGCGCTCACATCCACTCTCCACTGGGGGCGCAGGGATTGACTGCTGGCATGGGCGATGCGATTAACCTGGGCTGGAAGCTGGCGGCTACCATTAAGGGCTATGCACCACCTGGACTTCTCGACACTTATCATCAAGAACGGCATCCGGTTGGCGCGCATGTCCTCGAATGGACGCGTGCTCAGGTGGTCAGTCTACGGCCGGATCCATATGGCCGAGCCGCTGCCAAAATCATGCAGGACTTGATCAACACAGACGAAGGAACCACTTACTTTGCGGACCGCATCTGGGGGCTTTCGCAGCGCTACGAACTGGGTGATACCCACCCACTTGTTGGTTGTAGTGCCCCGGATTTTGAATTTGAGGATGGAGTGCGCCTGGGGCCTAAGTTGGAGAAAGGGCGTCTCCTGATCATTGACTTCTTGAGTAACTCATCCGTGGCACAGCTGGCCCAGGACTTAGAGCCTTTTGTCGACTACTTTGCATCTGATGCAAAGGAAACATTTGGCCTCAAGGCATTGCTGGTGCGGCCTGATGGCACTGTTGCGTGGGTGACAGAATACGAGGTTGATATCGGCGCGCTGACGACGGTATTGTCACGCTGGCTAAGTCTTCCTGGACTTGAAGGCCGATGAGAGCCTAAGTGTACATCAAATATATAGACAATACATCTCCAATCAGCCTTGTAGGTTTTCGTTGTAGAGGGTTGAAGTATAGGATTAGCTTTTCTAAAAGTCTAAATAGCACGCAATCTTCAGTTGACACCAATGTTTGCTTTAGTAGGCACTTCTTTGTTGTCTTCGTGGTTGTCACAGAACTCTATCAGATTGATTCGGGGTGACTATATTCAAATTTCTGTAAGGAATGTCCAGAGCGGCATTTTCCGCACTTTTGCGCAGAAGATGACCTTCAAATAAAGTCTTGATTGAGTTAGTGAACAGCCGGGGTGCATTGGCCAATCAACAGATAAATTTTACCATCACCTGCCTAACAAGCCCCATCTTCCGCTGAAGGGGTCGGAAAATCTCCGAGTATCTCTGAAGCAGAAACCATCGGTGTTAGTGTCCGGGTGCGATGTAAATCCCGTTATATCCGCCTTGATTGGCTAGATATCTTCCTTCCTATTTTATCAAAACCCCTCTGTCGCCGATTATAAATCTCAGCAGTCGTCTTTCAATGCTTCGATAAAGCATAGACCCCACTCCAAGCTCTGACTCGTCGGGCTCGGGTCAGCACAGTGAGCCCAGGTGCCAAGATATCTGCCTTCCTATTTCATCAACACCCCCCTGTCGCCAATTATAAATTTCAACAGTCGTCTTTCAATGCTTCGATCAAGCATAGACCCCGCTCCAAGCTCTGACTCGTCGGGCTCGGTCAGCAGAAGCGAGCCCAGGTGCCAAGATATCTGCCTTCCTATTTCATCAAAACCCCTCGGTCGCCAATTATAAATCTCAACAGTCGTCTAAAGTTCGATGCTTCGATCAAGCATTGACCCCGCTCCAAGCTCTGGGCTGTCGGCTCGGTCAGCGAAGCGAGCCCAAGTGCCAGCGGAGTTTAGTAGGAGTTTGGCTAAATCCACGATTAATAATGGGATTTTCCTGCAACATCAAGTTACATCATTTCCCCGCAGGGATGTCAAAAAAGCTATATAAGACCCCTCGTCGCTGTAATAGAATAATAGAATTCAACACAGCACTGAATATTCACCGCAAAACCTACCAAATAAATCGATCAAAAATGTTCGCCGCTGCTGCTCCCCCGAAATCTCGCCTGGGGCGCTACCGCCTGCTTGCTCCCACGGCTGGCGTCAAGGTTAGCCCTCTGTGCTTAGGGGCAATGAACTTCGGAGAGGGATGGTATGTGACGAATTCAGTAAATGCATGGCCGGATATTTGCTAAAATGAGACCCGATGCTCAACAGGCAGGGCAGACTCGGTGAATGCAACAAGGAAACTTCCTTCCAAATTCTGGATACATTCTACGAGAATGGTGGCAACTTTATTGACACGTAAGTAGACACTCCAGCTGAATTGTTGGGAAATACAGCCACTCACCCATCGAAGCGCCAACAACTACCAAAATGAAGAATCTGAAGAGTGGGTTGGCGAATGGATGGAAAAGCGAGGCGTGCGCGATGAAATCGTTTTGGCGACCAAGTACACCTCCCCGTACCGCCTGCACAAGAAGAACGAGATCCAGGCGAATTACGTTGGAAACAATGCCAAGGCCCTCAAGGTATCCGTTGACGCGAGTCTGCGGAAACTGAAGACCGACTATATCGACCTTGTGAGAACCCAACTTCTTCTCAAAAAACTTGCAATAACGCTGACCAAGGAATAGCTGTACGTGCATTGGTGGGACTTCAGCACCTCCATAGAGGAGGTAATGACATCACTTAACTTCCTGGTGACCTCTGGAAAGGTGCTATACCTGGGTATTAGCGATACACCGGCATGGATCGTAAGCCGAGCCAACCAATGTGAGTATATGTCAACCTCATCACGTTCAATGCCATATGACTAACAGGAAATAGACGCCCGCGACCACGGACTGCGCCCATTTTCTGTTTATCAGGGCCAATGGAATGCAGCCAGGCGTGACTTCGAGCGTGATATCATCCCGATGTGTACCTCTGAGGGAATGGGTCTGTGCCCATGGGGAGCCATCGGCGGAGGCGCCTTCAAGACTGCCGCGCAGCGCGAGGAGATCGCCAAATCGGGCAACCCAGGCCGCGCTGTCGATGCGACCGAGACTGATCTGGCAGTGTCAAAGGTGCTGGAGACGGTTGCAGCCCGCCATAACACCATCATCACCAGCGTGGCTCTGGCTTATGTGATGCGTAAGACCCCTCATGTCGTGCCCATTGTGGGTGGTCGTAAAGTGGAGCATCTGCAGGGAAATATTGATGCTTTGGCACTGGAACTGTCGGACAAGGATGTCGAGGAGATCGAGTCGGCGTATCCGTTTGACATTGGTTTCCCCATGACGTTCCTTTTCCGTGGCGAGAAAAAGCAGGCGCACCCTGGAAACTCACAGTTTATGAATGCGGCTGCCAGGTTTGATTATGTGGATTTGCCCGCCGCTATCAGGCCGAAGCCCGTGGAGGAGGTGTGAATATCTGGTGGTTAAGGTTGATTGATGTTGGTATTTGATAACCAGGTATTGACTGAAGATTTTGTCAGTGTTGAGTACTTAAGAAAGTCGAATCCATCCCCATTCTTTTGGCTGTTGCCTTGTGTAGACTTATACACTATCTAAACTACTTTGAAAATCTAGCCTTTTTCACGACCTGAACCAGGAGCGTACTAACCCTAATGGGGATGTCATCGTCATTTTGACATCCAAGAAAGACAAAACAGCGACTCAATTCCTTGAAGACTATCAGTCACTCACTTCTAAAGACTTCAAATTTATTGTGTTTGAGACCACATATTCAATATGGCCCCTGCAAACCTTGCAAAAGTTCCACCAGCGACAAAGTCCAACGGCATCAATGCGGGCGTCCTTGTAGGGGTTCTCGTCGGGGTGTTAGGCCCTCTTATCCTAGTGTTCGTTTTTATTGCTTTCAAGTCAGTCTTCTGCCCCGGAACTATTGACATTACAGTATTGCGTTTGAAACTAACTGTGGCTGTTGGTCTATAGACTCGTCTATTCCAAGAAGGAGATAAATGGGGGCAACAAAGATCACAACAAACCACTTGATCGAGCAAACCCGGTTGTTAAGACTCCAGTGCCATTTATCCCACCACCACCAGTTATCATTCCAGCGCCAGTGCATTGCACCACCTCCTATCACTGCTGAAGAACCTGCATTCAGAATGAGCATTTGCATCGCCATGGTATCTGCCTTGCTTTAAAATTGGGCCCCGTAACTGCTTGCACGATTTTCGGTGTCTTTCATGCATTTGTTATACCGGAGTTTGCTATCCTAGGATTTAAGTCTATTTCTTGTTTACGACACCTTGTATATTTGCTAGAGCAGTCTACAGAGAAAAGGCCGAAGATGCATCTTCTATTATTGTCAGAGCCTGTGCAAGAAAAACATACTAGTTTAAAATCACAGAATACTCAAAGACAGACTAAAAGTTATGTTCTGTAAGAACTTAGCACTCTCGACCAAATTCGGAGTGGGAGCACCAAACTAAACTTACTCAAGGTCCCATCGTCATGTTGACGCCTAGAAAGGATAGTTATTTCAAAATCTTGAGGAACAAGTTTTGAACAAAGAAATCATTTTCAACTTCAATTTATTTCGCTAAAACACCCACGGTCAATTGTCTAAAGATGCCACCTCATCTAGAAAACCATAACTTCGCGTCTCTGGTATATCACCTAGTTCCACCACCACAACCACCAGCGGATTCATGAAGGACAGTGGACTCACCCTCGGTCTCATTGACGAACTTGTATTCGGTGCTCTTCTCATAGGTTTGATCATTTCCCTTATAATTATCTCCCTGAAAGTCCTCCGTTTCAAGCTCGCACAATCCTAGTTAGCTAACAGTAGCTCCTTTCCTTTCCTCATCCAGACGAAGGAAAGCGAATCAGAACAACTTGCCTGCTCAAGCTACTCAGGCACAGCAGGATGGCCAACCGATGCATGTTGTTCTAAGACTAAGAACAATATCCCATTAATTCCAGTTGTACCAACGCGGTCGCATTCTCGAGTAAGGCCTGCTCGACCTGCAGCAGTGCTCATTCAGGATCGTTCATATATTGAGCCATACCACCATGATCGTCATCCATAATTATCACCCCAATTATCACGATATCGTCACCACGATGTCGGTTGCCCCGATTTCCACCACTGATCATCTCGTAGATCTCTATGACTAGAGGGAATACTAGGCTCACTCGCCTGCATGCAACTCGATATCAAAATGCAATAATCCAAGCGACTATTTTCTTCAGTATGCAGATTTGAAATTTTAAAATATAGAATCAGGCCTCAAGATCACTCATGATATGCACACAGATACGCAAAGGAAACGACACAAGTAGTTGTAAAATACAGTGAAGAGAGAAAAAGCCCCAAGCCCAAATACATACAGGACCTGAGGACGGACAGCAGACACTGGATCTCTATGCGGTAGCGGTAGACACCTGAGGCCTCGACAACTGAGGCCTGCGCAGGACCTTCTCCAGCTCACCAATGACGCCGCCACCAGAGAGACTCCATTTCTCGCCAACTAGCTGGTCATTAACCACCTCGCACAGCAGGCCGCTGCGAGCGAAATAGGTCACGTAGCTCCGGGTTTCGTCACGGGTGAGACCGCTGAGGGTCTGCAGCTCGAGGAGACCATCCTTGGACTTGGAGGCCTGGAAGAGGTCCATCACACGGGGATCAGCGTTGCTGTAAGATTCCGGCTGCGGGTATTCCGGGGAGGAAGGCTTGACGCCTTCCTGACGGGCGGCCAGCTGGTCCAGGCCGACTTCGAGGCTGTAGTTGGAAGGGCTGTTGGAGGTGGAGGTGGCGTACAGGACCAGGCCGCCGTTGCCCAGAGACTGGCCCGGCGTCAGCAGCGAAAGGAAGTGTTTCACGAAGACGAGGTCGTGCGAGTGGATCGTGGTGTAGTCGGCAGCGCGGTAGACGCTCTCGCCCATCCAATGAGCGAGACCGTCCAGGGTCACAAGCATTGGGGGGCGAGGCTGGAATTCATTCTTCACACCTGGGGCCGCCTTGGTAGCGTTAAGCTCGGTCCACAGAGCTTGGAAGACGGGCCAGGCGACGGCGGCATCTTGCAATCCGAGTTTGGCGAGGTCTGCCAGAGTCGAGCCGGGCTTAAGTCCCTTCAAAGTCGGGTGTTGCTGAGAGATACGAAGACCAGCAAGAACATCCTGGTTGGCCTTAACAGTGCGGGCTAGCAGCGTAGACGTAGCATTGGGCTGGACATATTGCGTCGGGTTGGTGCCTTCAATTGGGGAGTACGCGGTGTCGCCGGAGACGAGTTCCCGAGCTATGAATGATCAGCAACCGCAGGAACCTAGAGACGATGGTGTAGGCCTTACCGTCGGGTACTGTGATCACGACCCATTTCTTGATGAAAGCCATAGTCATGGCCTGCAGCAGATGCACCGTCTTCCCGGAGCCCTTCGGCCCCGTCACGATCTTCTTGACAACCTTGCCCTGCTGAGCACCCTCAACACCACCCGTGATCTGGTCAATCAGACGGCCCATCTCATATGTACTGCGACGAAAGACTGTGCTCGGCCGACGGAACAGTGACCAGCTCTGCTTGGGCTTGAACGCCTCGACGGCTCTCAATTGATCCAGCTTGTCCACAGGAAGACCCATAATAGTACCGCGAAGACTGGGATCGGACATTGTTTCCGCAGACAGATCAGCCATACCCTCGATTTCCAGCGCGTTGGGGTTGCTGAGCACGATGCGCTTCTTCAGAGCCTTGCGCTCGCCGACGGGCGGCGGACGCACACGGTCAACGGGCTTCTTCTTCTTCCTCCGGATGCTCATTGACTGACGATGCTTCAGCATCGTTTGCGTATTGGCCTTTTTCTTCGCCGGCTGGGCATATTGGACTGCGGAGGAGTGGAAGGGGGCGCTTGCGACTCGGGGCGCGGAGGAGGACGGAGGGAGAAGGGCTCGCGTGGCTGCAGCCCGAGGCCGCAGGACGCAGTTCCAGCAGGCCGAGGGGACCATTGTGGTTGTCAAGAATACTGGCACGACGGCCAGAGACGAGACAATGCAATGGGGGGCTTGGCAATGGAGGGTGGAATGGGTAAGTGATTGTGGACTGGACGAGCAACGGAGAGACACATTTCTGAGCGGTGCCTGTTCGGGACTAGCGCGGTTTAGATAAGCAACGTTTTTTTCTTCGCTATCATTTTTCGGCGATTAGCAGTTCAACAACAGCACAACGCATTCGCAATGACAGACGTCGACATGACAAACTCTGCCGATGCATCGGCCTCGAAGCCCCAGAGACTGTACGTTTCATTCTCCAGTTCTTCCCCACGCTCAACAACCACAACCCAGAAAACTAACAAAACCCGAACCCAGTCCCATCACTGTCTCCAAACCGACACCCTACACATTCGACCTCGGCCACCTACTCGCCAACGACCCCAACCCCCTCGAGCTCCCCAGCAACGCACCAATCAATGCCTCACTCAAAGCCGTTGCCCGCGACGGCGCCCAAAGCCTCCTAAATCAGCTGCTAACAACGTGCGAAATCACCTCAACCGCCGCAGACGGTGTGCTGCTCAGCCTCCCGGCGCCTGCCACAGCGCTCCCACGGCACAAGCCACTACCGACCCCCAAACCGCCCACGAAGTGGGAGCTGTTCGCGCGCAAGAAGGGGATCGGCAAGTTCAGCAGGAAGGCCGGCGGCGCGCTGGAGGATAAGGAACGGCGCAAGAAGCTTGTGTACGACGAGGCGTCGGGCGAGTGGGTACCCCGCTGGGGCTATAAGGGGAAGAACAAGGCGGATGAGGATCAGTGGCTTGTTGAGGTGGATGAGAAAGATTGGAAGAAGGAGGAGGATGCTGCTGCGAAGGGCGGGTCGATCCGTGGGATGTCCAGGGCGGAGCGGAAGCAGCGCATTAAGCGGAATGAGAGGAAGATGCGCTCGAATGAGTCGAGGGCGAAGAAGGCCTGATTTGATCTTTTCCCCTGTGTATCGATCGATATTTGTCATGGCGTTGGTTGGAGTCCAGCGGTTTTGGGTACATATTTATGCCATTTACACTACCAAAAGCACTGCTTACCTGCATTACTATCACTACGACTTATTTTTATACAATTCCTCCATGTATATACCAAATGAGGTCTTGATTGATCAAACCGAAATAATGCCCTCCCAGGTTCCCAATATATCGTACATGCATATCTCGCAAAACGTCAAAGAGATACAATAAAGGCAAAGCATAGAGACAAGAATGAACATGCGAAGTGCAAGTGGGGATATCTGAAGATGCCGAACATCAAAGCACAATTTCATGAGATGGACTTGTCGCTGGAGTAAGAAAAAGAGAAAGGCATGAACAAACAGCTGAAAAAGAAAATTGTCCACCAAAACAGTAAGTACGTTGAGAAGGGAAAGATCAAGATATACAAATTGAAGCGAAAAAAAAGCCAAAATGTGGGACCGTGGGCAAAAAAGGAGAGACCGTGGACGCCAATATGCACTGTCAAATGCTGGTTTAAGGGCCAGAGACGAGGGAGACCAGTCGAATCAGAACATCCCAGCCAGTGGTCTGTTCGGATCCGGTATGTACCTCATGATCGGGCCAGCCGAACAAGGAAGTATCTCGGCCAAGAGCCCACGTTGACGGGGACCAAACCCCCATCATCAAGAAATGTTTTATATTTTGATAGGAGAAAGCGGCGGACCAAGTTCTGGGAGCTGAGACGGATTGCGGCCGTGCGAGGTGTCAATATCCTTGGGTCTCTGCTTGCGGCTCCGTGAAGTGTTCGGGCGAGAAGACGGTTCCTCCACGGTGTGTTGGCTGCTGCTGGAAGACGAGACAGCGTGCTCATCAGCGGTGGAATTTTGCGCGCTGCCCTGTGCCTTCTCCGTAGCAGCAGAAGCAGCAATCTTCTCCTCTGCGGCCTGTCGCTCCTTCTCGTCCATCTCCTTTTCTATCTGAATGAAGTCCTTCTCGGTCCAGCATCCCTGCCAGCAGTTTTTCCAGTCACAGACTAGGAAGTTGAAGCAGAAGGCGTCGATCTTCATACACGGCTGAAAGCAGATGCACAGGTTGCGGTAGTCCATCTTGTTCTGATCCACGTAGGAGTGGAGGAGGTTGAGGTGGCAGGTGATGGCGAAGAGGAGGTAGTAGTTGTACGGTGGCAGCTTGGACAGCTCATCCTTGAGCAACTGCGGAGCGGTGGTAGCGCCCTCGCACTTTTCTGCGATCATATCCTGCGTCGCCTTGGGGAAGAGCTCGTCGGGTAGCTCCCGGAGCCAGGCCTTGAACATCGACCCGATTATGTTGATATCGTAAAGATCGGGTACGTCAAAAAGATCAATATCCAGTTCCGAGTCGAACCGTCTCTGCCAATGCTTCACTTCTCGGCCACTGCCAGGAACCCGATACAGACCTTCTTCCTCACAGCCCTTGAAATTGAGATAATCAATGCAGCGGTAAGGTAAGGCAGGCATCCAGAACTCGGTCTTGTCTCTGCAATCTTCCAGTTTCTTCGCAATGCGGGTCTTGCGCGCCTGCTCAATCAATGGCAGGTTGATCACGGAACAGACGTAGGTGTCATCGGTGAGTAGCTCGCGCTCATTGGTGCTCCCACTGCGTGTCATCTTGCCGAAGAATCCCTTTCCTGCCTTGCCGAGGCGACCAGCGGCACCGGTCGAGGATTGTTTCAGGTTGTTGAACAGGGCAGCAGATGCACCAGAGACTTGGCTCAAAGAGCCCGATGTGACCATGGATCCGCCGTAGCTCCTCTCTTTTCGGAGAGTAGCGCCGCTGCTTTCTATCGTGGGGGTTCTCAATGTGTCTTGGACAGGACGATGATCCAGTCGTGGAAGTGCAGACTGTGGGGCGGTCGGCATGTTGCTTTGGGTTCGAAGCTCCTCCAATTTCGCCAGTCCGGTTGACGGGCGTCGACCAGCTGCTTTGTTGGCCGACGACTCATCCACGCGGATAGAGCGAGAGCGTGTCAGAAGACTCGCAAAGCGCGGCTTGCTTTTCTTCGGACCCGCTGATTCCGTATCGGTGCCGGCTTTTCTGTAATCGCTCTGAATACCCCTCTCGCCGAACGTGCCTAATTACGAAGCGTTAGACACAATTGCCAGCAGCGAAGATGTGAGATTGCTTACCCTTTTCGTTATCAGCTGCCCCAGCAATGGCGCCTGGCAGATCTGGGGTCGACTCGTATGACTTGGGCGACATATGCGTCTTGCGATCTCGAGAACTACCCCGGCTCTTTGGAGGCTCGGTCGTGGAATTCTCGGAGCTGTCAGACCGGTGGGCTCTGTGAGACGACTTGGGTGCTTTGAGATTGCCGAAGAATGACCGTGACGCATCTCGGCCGTGCTTCGTCGCGGTGGGGAAATGCTGCGGAATAGCAGTGAATCCAGGTGTGGGGGGAGGGTCGGTTGATTCAGCGGCCGGATCTGCAGAATTGGGCAAAGAGGGGCTGTTCGGTTTGCTGCTCGAGTCTTGCGTAACGGGACGGATCGTAGCACCCTTGAGGAATGGCGAGCTCGACGAGGACTTGGGCGAACGAGGTGTCCGCGGACTCGGGCCGTCGGAGCTCTGGTCCCCTGGGGTCAACGGAGACGATACTTTTGCGTTGCTCGACGCTGACTTGGAAGAGCTGAGGTCCAAGTTGGGTACGGGCGAGTTCCGGACCGGCATCCTGAAGGTCGGCCGAGCGTGGAGAGCCTCCGAAGAAATTGATATATGATCTGAAATAAAATCTTTTCGTAGGAGTCAGTCGTAAATGCTGTAGCCAAATGCGATCCTGTCTGGACGATAATTCGCTCAGCATGACACTCCAACAAGGTATCCAGGGGGGCTGAAAGGAGGAATGCACCTGGAACAATTTGGACCAGTGGTCTTTGTTCCTCGGGATTGGCACAGGGACTCACTTTAATATTCAAACACCGTGCGATATCGCGTGACGGAATCAAGTCTCGCCAATATGCCCCCGCGAGCCGTCGAAGGGTTCCGGATCAGGGGTCTGGGCGTTCAGACGAGTATAGACTATCGAGGGAATGAGATCTGACGGATTTGTAAGGTCAGCGAGGTTACTCAGGACACATGTTACAAGGAGCCAAAAAAAAGACAGGAGGGGCCTGGTGAAACCGCAATGACATATGCAGGGGGGATGCGCCATGGGATGTTCTAAGAGCGAAGCCACACGGGTGGTGCTCCGGATGAGGCATTTGTCTCTTGATGTGGATGCGCCAACCCCCGACCGTTCGACGACGAACAATGTAGAGTGGGTTCAAGGGCAAACAGCGGAGAGCACTCACCGGACTGGTTCGCTTCATGATCAGATCCAAGATCTCGCAGTCGAGGAGGGAGGGAGAAGTTGTGGGAGTGTGAAGGAGAACAAGGTGTCGCTTCCCCCTCTTTTTGGCTGGGGTTCCGGTGATCGGCAGAGGTGGGTTCGCACCGACAGACCAACTGGAGACAGATGGAGAGGGAGGAAGGATCACGAGAGAGAGGGAGGGAGAGAAGAGGAGAGGAAAAGAAAGTGAGTGCCGTTGAGGATTGAGTCTTGAGACAGTGCCAGAGGAAAAAAAAGGAAAGCAGGCGACCAGGACTGCAAGTCACACCCTCCTAGCGCAGGTGACTAGCTATCTTTGTCGAGCGCTAGTCAGTCTCCGGTGTATCTTATCCGACGAGGAAAGATCAAAAAGGGGGAAGCAGAGAGCGAAAGAAAACAGCAACCACTGTGAGTACGGCGTTGATAGCACGTCACCCATGGGCCAAATCAGAATGGATTATTGTGACGATGGGTCGGCATCATGGCTCCATCTTGCTCTTTTTGCCATCATGATCGTCGAGCAATTGCATGTTTGGGGTCCGTTTAATGGTACCGGTACTACTGCCCAGGTACTGGGTACCTTCGTCACGCTGGGTCCCAGTGTGCCTGGGCGGGTACTGGGTACGCCAGCGTCCCCACTGACTCGGAGCCACTGGGTCTGGCAGTTGGAGCCACGGGTCGGATGAGATTGGCGGGAGGAGGTGGTGTGCCTGGCAGTACAGTCCAAGGGGGAGGATTCCATGAATTCTGAAGGAGTTAGCTGTCTGTATAGTGGTTGTCTGGTGATTCGTAGTCTGTTCTTCTCCCTTCTCTCACTTCGACTACGGCGGCCCATACGTTATGTGACACAGGCGCGAGAGCTGTCAACGGTATACATAAATAGCAACGCCCATCTGAAACTGACCCATCCCCCGTACCTTTGTCCATTTGATTGACCCGGTCGCATCACAACCCACACTGCAATGGTGACCATGGCTCCCCTCACTAACTAGTGTGGATATCATTCTTCTTTTACTGCATTGGTATGGTGCGGTGTACCTCTAGTGCCACGCTAAAATTGTCACTGTCCACTTTGAACAAGAGATCCTTCCCCCCGGCCATCTCCGCTAGTGACAGTTGCGTCGTAGCTCGAGATGCAGAATGCAGGGGGAGCAATGAATGGAATGATGCCGAGGGCTGGGCGAGGCGAATGTCGGTGTATGTAACCACGCACGTAACTAGCCAGGAACAATAGTATTTCTGCACAGCGCATCCTTCGCGTTGTTCACGTTCCATCCATGTCTCAGGCCTGCTGCTGTTTGCAATCCACTCGGCGGTGGGCTTTGGCGAGTCACGTGACCACACAGCTTTCGTTCTTTCCTCCTGGGCCGATGGAGAGCTCCAGCCACAACCGCCCTGGTCAATGATGACCGCATGATCTTGTAACCACCTCGGACAACCCATGGACAAATCCTGTGGCTCGTTGCCTGTTCCGCACTCCCCGGATTACTACTGACTCCAACTGACCATCTAACCCCCATCAAATGGCCTTGGTGTCGGGTCCCGGCAGAGCCGGAGGCAACCTGTCCAGCCAAGACCTGTGTACTGCGAAACATGTGGCTTACATCCAGAAACTGGACACTGTGCGTGCTCCTTTGCTAGGCAAACAAACAAAACTCCAGAAACGATGATTGACGGTGAACCATTAGAGGAAGGACGAACTGGAATATTGGCTAACGGAGCACCTGCGACTCAATGGCGTGTACTGGGGCCTGACGGCTCTGCATCTCCTGGGCCAACCCGATGCACTGCCTCGGCAGGAGACCATTGACTTTGTGCTGTCTTGCCAGCATGATAATGGCGGCTTCGGCGCTGCGCCGGGCCATGATCCACACATGCTCTACACCGTCTCTGCGGTGCAGGTTCTGGTGATGGTGGACGCGGTGCACGAGCTCGAGAAGAGTGACCGAGGGGGCAAGGAGAAGGTCGGATCGTGTACGGTGCTCTCTTCTGCTCTGCAATGCCTTTGCTAAGTGAATTGCAGTCATTGCAAATCTGCAAGATCGGGAAACAGGCTCTTTCATGGGCGACGAGTGGGGCGAGACCGATACCCGCTTTCTCTACGGCGCGCTCAATGCGCTGTCGCTCCTGGGTCTCTTGAATCTGGTCGATGTGCCCAAGGCCGTGGCCTATGTCCAAAGCTGCGAGAATTTGGACGGTGCCTACGGAGTCCGCCCTGGCGCCGAGTCTCACTCTGGCCAGGTGTTCACCTGCGTGGCCGCATTGGCTATTGCAGGGCGCTTGGATCTGGTGAACAAGGACCGGTTAGGGACGTGGCTATGTGAACGCCAGGTCGACCCAGGGGGCCTCAATGGCCGTCCCGAAAAGGTCGAGGATGCTTGCTACAGCTGGTGGGTTGGATCCAGCCTGGCTATGATTGATCGACTTCACTGGATCGATGGCAACAAGCTGGCTGCCTTTATCCTGAAATGCCAGGTCAGTCGTCTCGATGGAGGTGTCTGATCCAAGTTAACATTGTGCAGGATCCCGAGGCAGGGGGGTTTGCCGACCGACCAGGCAACATGGTGGATGTTTACCACACTCATTTTGCCATCGCTGGATTGAGTCTGCTGAACTATGCGGGCATCCAGGAAGTAGATCCCATTTAGTAAGTTTTCCGTGGTTATTTATTGATGGACTTTGTTTGCTAACTGCTCTTCAGTTGTATGCCTAAGACAATTATATCTCGATGCTTAGCGCGCTGAAAGAACTGTTTACTTGTCCTTTGTTTATTCCCTCCCATCCTCCTGCCATCTAATAACCCGTGAATGCCCTTTTCCTCCATGGCTCATGGGATACAAGGCAGGAGAAGAGCGATGTCCACTTTGACTTATTTCCGCTTCATATCATCCCACCATGGCCTGACCATCGGCCATTAAGACATCGTGGCACATACTCTAGTCCATTATCAAGTCTCAATTCACGTACAATGCACTTGATCCCGTGACTTATTCACTCCTTTTGTAGATGTGAATTGGAGGCAGGCACCTCACCCGCACCCGCACCTTCCCCATGTACGCGTGTGGCCCTTCCCTGTCATCTTTTCGGTTCATCCCATCTTCCTCCCTCTCCCACTCACTCCCTGTCCACCGCTCCTTCACCCTTCCGCCACTCCCGTATCTACCGGCTCAAGGGAGAGTCTTACTTTGTTGGTGTATTCCCCTTTTGATTTGGTCAATCTGCCTCACCACCCAATATCGCGGTTGGCCCATCGGGGTCCTGTCTGGACACAATGGAGATTGCAGCCCTTCAATGCATCATCTGTCCGACGCAGCCCAACTTCAGCGACAAGTCTCACCTGCTGACGCACGCTGCTTCCAAGGCCCATCTGTCCCACTACTTCAAGCTCCAGGTCCGCAGCCAGAATGAGCCTGAAGCTGTGAAGACTCTCAATCGGTACGATGAATGGTTCAAGGACAACAGCCTCGCCAAGCTTCTGTCCGATCGGATGACTTTCAAAGAGGCCCGCAAGAGGAAGTCGCTGGGAAAAGAGACTCCCAGTGGTGAGGCTCGATCCACCAAGAAACAATTTCCCAGGGCCACAAAGCTGGTTGCTACTCCGCCAAAGACTGCCCCTCTGCCTGATTTCTTGGACCCTCGTCTCGTTGCTCCGTGCAAAGAAGAGCCGGGCACGGAGCAATCGATTTTCGTCCCATCAATCGATGCGTCCGTTCCAGATGCTACCCCTAAAACAGACCCTGCGCGGTACCCTACGCGGTCCAAGGCATCGAAGCCCAACCCGTTGATCCAGGATGATGGAAGCGAATCTGCAGATAAAATAACCCCAGCTGTGCCAGTTACGCCAAAGCGCCCACGGAGCAAGAAAATGGCAAAACGTTTGCTGTTGACAAAAGAGGACTCTCATGATTCCTTTGTCGACCACCCCGAGCCAGTCGGCGATATTGACTCCGACAAAGAACGAGCTGACGAAATGACGCGGCTCAAGGGGATTCTGTGGCCCGGAATGGACCTTTTTGATTCTGCGACGAAGCAAATGCGGCGCATGCGAAATCAGAAGAAGGGTGAAGATGTGCTGAAGTTGATGGAGATGAAGTCTCTGTGTGTGGAGCCTACGGAGCTTGTCTTTTCGCCCAAGGGCACCCTGCAGAAGGAACGAGAGATCACCGGGAACCTTGAAGACTACAGCCCGCTGAAAGGAGAGAGCCCGAATCCCATGACCAAGCCGCGTTTTGCACGTTCCAAGCGTCGTGTCCTGCGTCAAACCGACCTCAATGTGAAACTTCGAGACCGAAAGGGGGCCAGGAAGGCTGCTTTGCGTGACTCTAGCTCTGATCCTGAGGAGTCCGCTGAGGAGAGTGCAGAGTCTCCGAGTCTCATTCGTCGCCACAAGGGTCTCGACTCACCTTTCGGTTATGACGGTGAGCTCGGCTTGACCATGCGAGCGTTTGAGAATCGTCCCCATAAAGGCTTTACCATATTCAACGACGTGGGAAACCCCTACAAAAAGAACATCAAGGACCCGTGTCCCGAGCCTAATGTGCACCTTGGCACTCTGACCCCAACTCGTCTTATTCTGGGCCATAAACCGGACATGCCTGGCCGCCACGGCTCTGCCGTTGATCGTGCTTCTGTTGGCAAGGAAAACATTGAACCTATTCTGAACTCGCAGGGCCGTGTTGATACTTGCCGATGGCCGTCTCCGTTTGCCAAGGGCCGTGACCCCAATGGATACGCGTCCGGCTATCTCGACGAGCATGATAAGTATGGATATCGACCCAACCCCCTCCTGGCTCCGACGTCAAAGCTGGCCATGGTCGAGAACAGCGCATACGGTAGGAATGATTCGACTTGCAGCGATGACTGGTCTGCGATTGCGCGCGCTGTTTCGCCGGATGGAACCATTTCCGGGAACGAAGTCGAATTTGACCAGCTTTACCTGGATGGCAGTGCCAACTAAACAAAGCAGCTGCTCATCTTTCTCTGACATTATGCTGATAAACGACGATCACGGTTGACAATGAAGTATGGATACAACGGCAACGACTCTATGCTTTGATAATGATTGCGTGACCTATTCTCTGTGGTTGCGGTGAGCGAGTCACTATTTATGTCGGTGCTGAGTGTGGGCTCTTCACTGTCTGGGAGTTGATATCCTTTCTCGTGGCGGGGGATGACAGACATTGTGTAATTAGCATGATTATTCCCTGTATGAATACTTTTTGTATGACCCGGTCTTCTCTACTTGTCGTGAGACTTGAGTCGCCGCGAACTGTAGTACCGCTGAGTCAGCCCATTAACGCGTCTTCGGCGCGTCGAGCAAATGAAATGCGGAGTGACCCTTCACATCTGGAACAGTTTCGTTTTCGCCCAGCAGTCTCCCAGGCTGCTGAGCACTAATTGAAGCAGCCATTACGACATCATGCCTCCGCATTCCTCCCCATCCTCAGCGCCATCGCCATCTCTGAAGCGCAAGCAACCAAGCATCTCGAGCTTCTTCACCCCAAAGCCATCCTCAACACAACCACCCCCATCCTCCGCTCCCGACGCCACACAAGACAAGCGACCTCCAAAACGGCCAGCCTCACCAGCCGAGAAGATAACCAATGGAACCAAAATAGAGAAGGCCACACCTGACGAGGAGGAAGATGAGGACGATGTCGTCGCCCCGGCCCCGAAAAGAGCCAAGACCCACGGCACCGCTGATGAAGCCAGCGGAGAGACAAGCCTACCCATGAACTCTCAACCTAACAGCAGTCTGCGAGCAGATCTCTTCAAATTTCAGAGCTCCCCCGCCGGCACTGCAGCGGCCCCCGATGAACACGGAGAGGATGACGAGCGAAAGAAAGAAAAAGAGAAACTCCACCAGAAGTTCGTCCGAAAGCTTGGCGGAGTTGACTGCATGGTCGGGATTGGAAGTCGTGTGATAACCGACACCATCCCCGGTGATGGCGAGGAGGGCGCCGAGGCAGACGAAGACGACGAGCCCGCCCCTCTGCAGCCGGCTGCCAAGGGCAAAGGCGCGGCCAAGAAGGGCGCCGGCAAGCTCACGCCTCTCGATAGGCAGGTTATTGATATCAAGCGCAAACACGCAGACGCCGTGCTAGTTATCCAGGTTGGGTACAAGTTTCGCTTTTTTGGAGAAGATGCACGCACAGCGGCAAAGGAGTTGGGCATTGTTTGTATACCTGGGAAGATGAGGTTCGATGAACATCCCTCCGAGGCTCATATGGACCGATTTGCGTCTGCCAGTATCCCCGTCCATCGGCTGCATGTGCATGTAAAACGACTCATTACCGCTGGTCACAAGGTTGGTGTGGTGCGCCAGATTGAGACTGCGGCTCTTAAAGCGGCGGGGGAAAACCGCAATGCGCCTTTTGTGCGTAAATTGACCAATCTGTACACGAAGGGTACATATGTGGACGATGTGGAGGGCGTCGAGGGCCCCGCGCCAGCTGTTGGAGCTGCCTCGCCAACAACGGGCTACATGCTCTGCATCACGGAGTCCAACGCCAAAGGCTGGGGCAATGACGAACGGGTCCATGTAGGGATCGTTGCTGTTCAGCCGGCAACTGGGGATGTGATCTATGATGACTTCGAGGATGGGTTCATGCGGAGCGAGATCGAAACTAGACTCCTTCACATTGCACCGTGCGAGATCTTGATCGTTGGAGAGATGTCTCGGGCGAGTGAGAAGCTTGTGCGGCATTTATCCGGCAGCAAGATGAATGTTTTCGGTGAAGCGGTCCGGCTGGAACGAACCTCGAAGAAGGAAACTGCTGCCGCGGAAGCACACAGCCATGTCTCGAGCTTTTATGCTGGAAAAATGAAAGCCACGAGCACCGACGAGGATGTGCAGGCGGCGAAGCTTCTTCAGAAGGTTTTGGATTTGCCCGAACATGTCACCATCTGTTTGTCCGCCATGATCGAGCACTTGACAGAGTATGGTCTGCAATATGTCTTTGACCTGACCAAATACTTCCAGTCATTCTCAGCCCGTTCGCACATGCTTCTCAACGGAAACACGTTGGTAAGTCTTGAAATCTTCCAGAACCAAACCGATCATTCTGCAAAGGGGAGTTTGTTCTGGACTTTGGATCGGACACAGACACGGTTCGGCCAGCGTCTTCTGCGGCGATGGGTAGGACAGCCATTGCTGGATAAAGCGCGATTGGAAGCGCGTACCGACGCCGTGGAGGAGCTTACAAGTCCTGTTCTGTCTGGTCCTGTGGAGAGGTTGAAGGTGCTCTTGGCAAAGGTCAAGAGTGACTTGGAGAAAAGCCTGATCCGAATTTACTATGGCAAGGTATGTGATCTTGAGACTTTTTTCAGCATTCATACTGACGGTTGCTCTCAGTGCACACGGCCTGAACTTCTCAATGTGCTTCAAACCTTGCAAATGTTTGCAACAGAGTTTGCACATATCAAGTCCCCATCAGACACTAAATTCAAATCTTCCCTGGTAGGCGAAGCAATCGCTTCCCTTCCAAGCATCCGAGAAGACGTCATTCGATTTCTGGACATGATCAACCTACATGCCGCCCGGAAGGACGACAAATACGGCTTCTTTCGAGAGGACCAGGAGACCGATGAGATGAGCGAACAGAGGCTCGGCATCGCGAGCGTCGAGCACGAACTCGAAGAGCACCGCACCGAGGCGGGCGAGCGGATAGGGAAGAAGAAAGTGGATTACGTCTCCAAAGCTGGGATTGAGTACTTGATCGAGGTCGACAACAAGTCCAATTTTATCAAGCGCGTCCCAGCATCGTGGGTTAAGATCAGTGGAACGAAGCAAGTTTCTCGATTCCACACCCCGGACGTGGTTAGGCTGCTGCGGCAGCGCGACCAGCACAAAGAAGCGCTCGAAGCTGCCTGCGACAAAGCTTTCAGCGCGCTCCTGGCAGAGATCGCCACGCAGTACCAGCCGTTCCGCGACTGCGTGCAATCCCTCGCAACCATAGACTGCCTCCTGTCTCTCGCGGTCATCGCCCAGCAACCGGGCTACATCAAACCCGAGTTCACAGAACACCCATGTCTCAACATCTCGCAGGGCCGCCACCCGATGGTCGAGCGCCTACTCACAGATACCTACGTCCCGAACGACACACACCTCGACCACGACGGAACCCGCGCCCTCCTCGTAACAGGTCCAAACATGGGCGGCAAATCGAGTTACGTACGCCAGGTCGCCCTGATCGCGATCATGGGCCAGATCGGCTCCTACGTGCCCGCCGCATCCGCCCAGCTCGGCCTCCTAGATGCCGTCTTCACGCGTATGGGCGCCTTCGACAACATGCTCGCCGGCGAGTCCACCTTTATGGTCGAGCTCTCCGAAACAGCCGACATCCTCAAACAAGCGACCCCGCGCTCGCTCGTGCTCCTTGATGAACTGGGCCGCGGCACGTCCACCCACGACGGCGTCGCCATCGCCCAAGCTGTCCTGGATTACATGGTCCGCTCCCTCCGCTCCCTGACACTCTTCATCACGCACTACCAGCATCTCTCCCGCATGGCCCAGTCGTACCCCGACCATGCCCTCCGCAACGTCCACATGCGCTTCACCGAGTCTCCTGCCAAGCAGCCCGGCTCGGACGAGGAAATTACTTTTTTGTATGAGGTTACCGAGGGCGTTGCGCACCGAAGTTACGGGTTAAATGTGGCGCGTCTGGCGAATTTGCCGAACTCAGTGTTGGATTTGGCTCGCGAGAAGAGTAAGGAGCTGGAGGTTTCTATTCGCAGGAAACGGTTGGCAGCTCTTGTTGGTTCTGTTGGGGTTGTTCTCCAGGGGAATGGTGGTGGTGATGTCGGGGAAGGATTGCTTGATCGGCTTGTTACCGGTGCTGAGCAGTTGTAGCTGTATCTTATGTCGGAGTGGTTAACTCTCTCGTCGCAGAGCATATCTGGAGTATGCGTGTATTTGTATGAAGGAATCAGGAATATCCATCTATGAAATACTCTACCCTTTCAGGCACTACTTGTAGGCGGCATAATAAGATCTTCCACTTGAATGAGCCCAGGGCTTTGTGGACCCACGTGACATTTTGGATTCACAGCGCGTTTAGTTCCCATGTCGATCTAGATTGACTGCGACAGAGCGTACAGTTACGCCTACTGTAACCTACAACTGTCCCAGCCGTCAGAACAGCAGGAGCTAGGAGATTTTCAAATTTTTTTGCTTTGCATTTCCACTGCTCTTGTCGTCGATCCGGACCTGGCTCGAAACTCGGGACGTTTTGACGGCCAAAAATAAATCAATCAAACAAAGGATAGCACATCACAACCTCATATGTCGCATTGAGCCCCATGCAAGCACGTCGATCGACGTGTGTATGTTGTATGTAGTAAAACACCGGAATCCAAAACCAGACCAGACCAGACAGACACACACAGAGCAAGATTCCCCTTTAATCTCCTCCACACAACCTCGATTTTCGTTTCTCATGCTTTTTTAGAAAGGGTAACAAACAAAAGGGAACAAAAAACATGTCTTTTCTCATTGCTCTCATTCATCTGCTCTCTCCCGCTCGGAATTTGTGCTCCAGTCGTCACTTCTCAGAACTTCGGGGTTGCCGAAGTCACGTCCCGACCCAGATCAGCAACATTACATTGTAACCGAGAGATGCGAACTAGGCGGGCCGGTGGCGTAAGAGATTTCATGAGGGGAGATCAAGTGGGTGGTGAAAAGGGAAAAAGCGGTTCAGCCGAAGAACGATAGAGACTAAATGCCGGGCGAGAGGGATATGCGAGAGACGAGGAGAGATAGAAAAGAAGACATGGCGCGAGCGAAACGTCGCTTGGGGAGGCGGTTTAGCGGAGACGGCGGGCCTCGCGCTCGGACTCGAGCAGGCACAGGATGTCGTCGACCTTGACTGGAGAGTAGGGAGAGAATGCGTTAGCGGTGTGGGTTTTCCCTTTTTTTTTTTTAAGTTTCTGTGTATGTTTCCCAAATCCCATATTTCTTGTCCAACCAGACTTCCTCCTCTTTTTTTGGGTTCGATAATCCTCCGGACAGAAAGAAAAAAAGATCGCATACCTGGGCCCTTGACGTTGCGGATAATGCTGCGCGAGGTGTCGTCCATGAACTCGACGCGGACCTGGGTGACACCACCACGGGAGCCTAGACAGCAAAAAGGTCAGTATTTCCAGATCAAGAACGTAGTATTGGATCTCCATTTCTTGTGCGGCTGTCATATAGTGCCAGAGCTGCGCCGCAATGGCTCATGGAGGTCGGGTCGTGGAATTCAACGAAACGGGAACTCAGGAAGTGCACGTACCGGTACGGCCGAGGACACGGGTCACCTTGACGAGCTTGACGGGCTGCTTAGCGGAATCCATCTTGGAGAGGAGGCGAGGGCGTTGAGCTCGAAGGGAGTGCAGGAGTTGGTGGTGGGTAGACGGGGGTGAGGAAGAGTTGATGGCGATGGACGATTGTGCGATTTTTGGGTTGGGCAAATTACGCGAGAGCTGGGACACCTGAGCCGTCAGGCATAAGATGAGTCAGCAGGGATGTGGTGCCTGACTGATGAGGCAGGAACTGTTGATTGTGCTTTTCGACGTTCTAGAAATCGTAGTTGATAGTAATAGTAATAATAATAGTAATAAACCTTGGTCACTAAGAAGAGTGAATCCAATCATCCCTGACTCTAATCCTCGCTGTTCATCACGTGGGCCAAACCTGTGCCCTCCTTTGTTCCCCTCGGGAGTACACCGTGGTACTTGTCTCTGCCACTGATTCCGGCCGGTGTCGCAAGTAACCGCCCAAGTACCGCCCTGACGGCCCCACCAAATTCTGCCTCGACAGCTCCGGTGAGCCCGATTGACTGTCTCCCACTCCCTTCAGGCCTGACGTGTGCCCGATCCCATCTCAATTCCTCCAAGACAGAGTTGCCCTTCTCTGAACTGCCTTCCAATTGATCTTCCCTTCAGTTTCACTCCCGATTTGATCTTGTCAATCGCTTCCGATATCGCATCCATCTGTCGTGCCCCGCGGCGCAACACTCGATCGTCATGGATCTCGTCAACCAGTGAGTCAATGCCTATTCCGAAGCTCTAGAGGCGAGTCTCTAACGGTCAATTCCCCCACCAGCCTCGAAGGAAGGCTTCTCTTCGCCGTGCCAAAGAGCAAGTGCCCCCCGCGACCATCTTGAGTCATACTTTTTTTTACCACACCCATTGCGACGAGACCAAGGACCAACACAGACTAACAGCTGACTATAGAAGGACGGCTGCAACAAGCAACCCTTGACCTGCTCTCCGGCTGCGACATCCAGTTCCGCCGCGAAAACCGCCTCGACATCGCCCTGGTCAAGAACCTCCCGATTGCCCTCATCTTCCTGCCCGCAGCAGACATCCCGACCTTTGTTGGCGAAGGCCGGGTCGACCTAGGTATCACAGGTCGCGACCAGGTCGCCGAGCACGATGCCAACGTGGCAGCCGGCGAGGCATCAGGTGTGGAGGAGATCCTCGATCTCGGATTCGGCGGCTGCAAGCTGCAGGTGCAGGTCCCCGAGAAGGGCGGCATCTCCGAGGCCAAGGAGCTGATCGGCCGAAACGTCGTGACCAGCTTCACTGCGCTGGCGTCGACCTTTTTTGCCAAGCTTGAGGGCGCCGAGTCAAGCCAGAAGCTCAACACGAAGATCAAGTATGTCGGTGGCAGCGTGGAGGCCGCGTGTGCGCTGGGCGTTGCCGATGGAATTGTTGACCTTGTCGGTACGTACTATTCTTATGAATTCTATACATCACCTGTGCTAACGGCCACAGAATCCGGCGAGACTATGAAAGCGGCCGGCTTGAAGGCCATCGACACCGTCGTCACAAGCACTGCCGTTCTGGTGAAGTCGCGCGATTCTACCAATGAACTCCTGAACCTGATCACCTCGCGCATTCGCGGTGTAATCACCGCACAGAAGTTTGTTTTGTGTCAGTACAACATCCCGCGGGCCGAGCTGTCGACCGCGTCCAAGATCACCCCCGGCAAGCGTGCCCCTACCATCACGGCACTCGAGGAGGAGAACTGGGTGGCCGTCAGCTCGATGGTCGAAAAGAAACGCATTGCTACGGTGATGGATGAGCTCAGCAAGGTCGGGGCGACGGATATCTTGGTTCTGACCATTGCCAACTCGCGGACGGATTAGACTAACCATCCTACTTGAGGCTGTGGGGGTTTTCTTTTCTTTTCTTTACTTTTTTTTTCACATATTTGAGGCGGGATTTGGTTTGATACTCATATATACCTCGACACTCTTCTTGTCTTGATAATTTTTGCCTTTTAGGGCTCGATAGATTGGGAAGACGCAAAAGCCAATGGATTCTGGGATTTAAGTTATGACCTCTATATCATTGACTGACAAGAATAGATGCTGGGCCTCTAGTTATGACTTTTGGACCCCAAGGATTGTCAAACGACGTGGCTCAAGGCATCCTCGGCGTGGGGGCGGGTTAGGACATTCTTAGGCGGATCGGCTACGGCTTGCTTCTTTCTCGTCGGACTATATTATTCTTCGCACGGTCGATCAGAATGCTCGCCGTGCGGCCTTCTTTGAGATACCTGCTGGTCGGGTCTGTGATTTTGTCCGCGTGTGTCTTCTTTTTCCTCCTGAAAACTGGGGAACCCATCGGGGTTGTCGAACACCCGATCTCAAAACCGTCAGCATCACCACCACCGTCACCTTCACCAGCCTCAACCCCTGAACCGTCCTCCACACCACTTTTGCACGACCAACAACCAGATTTCAACATCACTTCTGCGCCTCCACCGAATTTGGACGACCACTGCAATGTAAATATTGAACACTTGCGTGAGCTTGGGTACAATCAATCGATCGAATATGGGCGGTGGGACATCGCGGTCGTGCGAACACCGGATTTCCAGGATTTCTCGCTGGATCTGAACCTGACCTTGCCAGCATTTGAACCAATTGACCTCGATACCGCAGTCGAGGTTGCCTTCGAACACTGCAGCCCAGATGCCACAATCCATGCACCGCCACGGCAACCTCGCGCCGACGCGTCGCACATGATCTTTGGGTTTGCGACTTCAAAGGAACGGCTCATCGGCTCACTAGAGGCATTCCAGTATTGGGCGGGTGGTACCGGGGCGCGGATGTTCGGCTGCATTGACGGTATCACGGAACCCGAGAGGAAGCAAATCGAGCAAATGGCCCGCGAAAGGGATATCCAGCTCACGATCATCCATTCCACTAAATGGCTCCTCGATGTGCAGGACATGTACTTCGCTCTTGTCAAAATTCTCTGGGATAATCGCGACGAAAACACCAAGTGGGCAGTCATAATCGACGACGACACTTTCTTCCCGTCCATGCGGAACCTCATCAAGCGAATGGAGACGTACGATGACTCGAAACCGCAATATATTGGCGCGCCGACGGAGGACTTTGATCAGATGAGGACCATGTGGTTTATGGGATATGGCGGGGCGGGAGTCTTTATGTCTATGCCGCTTCTCGAACAGATAAACGAACATTACTCGGAATGCTCTCTGAGCATGAGCTACGGCGACCGGCGGGTCGCTGAGTGTATATATAAATACACCTCCACCAAGCTCACATGGGACCGTGGGCTCTTCCAACTGGACATCAAAGACAATGCCGACGGCTTCTACGAAGCCGGTCGACCGTTGCCGTTATCTCTGCACCACTGGAAGTCCTGGACCAACGTGGATGTGGTTCGGCAAGCCATGGTCGCTGAGGTTTGTGGAGACGACTGCCAGCTTCGGCGCTGGCGGATCGACAATCACTGGTGGTTAATCAACGGGTTCTCGATCGTTCAGTATTCAAAACCCCTGACCAATCTGCTGTCTATGGAACAGACTTGGGCGTTGGGGCCCATGGTCGAGGAATTTAATTACGGACACAGCTTGGGGCCACTACGGGAAGCGGACTCTGGCAAGGTCTCGTATCGGCTGAAGTCGGCCACCGTGGACGGAAACGTTGTACGGCAAATCTACGTCCATGACCCGGCGCTGGAGGGACTTCCGCGCAGAGTGTGGGAGGTTGTGTGGACGGTGATCGAAGAGCAATGAATGCATTTGGCGAATCTGTATTATACTGTCCATGTTGGAATATATGGCGTCAATTATGTTGTGCTGTTTAGCCATGTTCGCGACATTCATACTACAAAGCTTGCATGCATACCCACTGTTCCAGGGCGACGTGAAATTTTGTCCATGTTGTCTTCTTCTCTTTCTCGCTCTATGTATATATACCGTTGTGCCATCCATTGCTATTATGATCCAGTCTCATACCCAGTGATCCCACCTCAGGCCCCCTCTATACACCAACCCGTGCGTGTCCCACATCGGCCCTTCTGCCTCAGGAAGATACCCATTCCAACAATAATTGTACTCGACACGCTGCTGCTCAACCTCGTAGAAATGATCAAACTGAGCGTTTAATGCGTCTTCTAGAGTGTGGACGTCCCCCTCGGGATGTAGGACCTGCCAGGGCCGCCTGCAGGTGCTCCCAGTACAGGACTTCATGACAAGCAAAAGAGAGTCTAAGCGAGCGACGACCTTGCCGATAGGAAGACTGGCGACTGTTGACGAACTGGTGTTGGATGATGATGAAAGGAGGTTTTCAAGCTGCCCCGGATCGACCTGGAAACTCATGGTCAGCATCAGCTTTTTCTGTCTGCGTGTGCACAAGATATATTCGTGAATTCATACATCCATATCGTAAAGCTCGCGCTCGTTGTTGCACCATATCGAATAGTACAAATTGTAACCAGAACCCACTATCCTGATGGCTTTGTATGTGTTGTGTTCATGGAGCTCGCCTGTTTTCATATCAGTAAATATAAACATCAAAAGGGGAAGGCAAACCCGTCCATACGTCCATATATTCCTTCGCCACCAGCGAAGCCCCAATATTCCACATTCACATGCTCACGTCTGCGCTGACTAGCACTCTCGATGTCAAGATCAGACCTCGTCACCGGAATAGCAGTTCCATCAAAATCCTCGCGCTGGGGGATCCCCAACAGGTCAAAGAACGTCGGCGCGAGGTCTGTGTGGCTGGTTATAATGTCAGTTGTGTGGTTTGCTGCCACTCCGGGGCCGCGAATAATAAACGGAATGTTGATATCTTCCTCGTAGCCGCAAGATTTCCCCGGCTGGAGGCGATGCTGGCCAATATGGAATCCGTTGTCGCTGCTGTATATGATGTAGGTATCTTCCATGATGCCGTGCTGATGCACTCGCTCAATAAGGCCATCCACCATCTCGTCTACTGCCTGCAGAGCTCGGAGCCGCTGGCGGTAGAAGTGATCATTCCAGTCGACGTTGGTCTGGTTTTGCTGCTCGAGATGCAGGAGCCAGTTGGCACCAGATGGCTATGGACTCTGGTCAACTAACAGAGCCGAATGTGGGTATGTTCTGTTTACGTACCTGGTCAGGATTGAAGTTCTTGGTCCGAGGAACCTTCACGTCTTCAAACAGATGCTCGTGTCTCTTGGCAGAGACGGGTGCACCGTAGAGGAAGACTGGATCTGGATCTAAGATGCTCCCGCTCATTTGGATGTCTGCGTGCGGAGCACTCGGGGCGATAGTCAAAAAGAAGGGCTGCTCGGCGCTAACTGCCTCGTCGAGAAGGCTGTATGCCTTTTGTGTTAGTACGTCGGTGACATACTCTCCTTCGTAGCTTCGAGGCTCTTCGCCTGTGCGTCGAAAAGTGCTGTTGAGGTAATTGTACGTGAACGGGTCTAGGAGGAAATCCTAGAATGCGGGATCAGTAGACTTCTCTCATGGAAGATGAACACATCTTACTGAGGTGGTGAAGCCAGCAGCATAGGGCGAGTTGTAGTTGTCCACGGTGTGGACATTGAAGAGCTTGCCCGTGTAATATGTATTATATCCAGCTTGCTGCAGCCAGACTGGTAAATAGTTTTCGTTGAAACCCTGCGTGACAAACTTGGGATAACCACCTAGGATATATTCAGCTTATGATTCCCGTAATAAGAGCGAGATCTGTACCGTATGGAGGGTTCACATCGGTGATGTTTGTATTATGCGCTGCCTTGCCAGTCCAAAGAGTCACTCTCGACGGGCAACAGACCGCCGTGGTGCAATAGTGTTTGGTAAAGGATGTGCCTTGATCCAGGAGATGCTTCTTGACATGTGGCATCCATTCCAGTGAGTCGAGATGTACATCTTGATCGTCTGTCAGAACAAAAATAATATTCGGGCGACGCCCATTGACTGTGCCAGGCCCCGGACGCAGGGAGCTGAGAACTTCTTGACTCGGAGCAAAAAAGGCGTGCACTCCGACAATGTCGCCGAACCCCAAGAGCAGACTTGCGATGTGGGGAATTCGCATGGCGGCTTTTGTTGGAATCTGTCACTTCCGGATTAGCGCCAATGGGTTGCTGCGATGCTGTTCTTGAGCATGCAAGCGTGATGCCGTCTTTTTCAAGATGGATGACGAGAGCTCGGCTTAGAAAATTTCGTGGGAACCTTCCATGAGCCAAAATATTAGAATTTAGTCGAACTTCGGAGCGGCTCCGGGTTAACTAAAGCGATGGCGCAAGCATACCCCAAGCCCCGGGCGGATATAACCGCCATCTACAGCGGGGTACATACACGCGGTCGCCCTGCTAGTGGCCATAGCGCAATCCTTCTTATTACCTTCGGAAATGGTTTTCCATGGTGCAACGCGGTGTAGGCATGGCGCAAGCTACCGAGGGTAGCCACTTACTGGTGGACTCGCCGCCGGAAATCGGACAGGCCCAAGTACAAGAGTTTGGAATCTCGAGTACTAGACTGGCCTTTCCCCTTTCCCCGCACAAACTTCAGTTCTTCAATTTTGCATTATGCCGATTTCTGAGGCTTTCGGGGAGCAGCAGGCCACAGCTACAATGACGACAGATGTCCGTGTGGCCGGTATCGAAGACGACGATGAACAATTGACTGATCTCAAACCGCAAGTGCTCAACGCTGAGGCTAAAGCGGCCACGGACGCCGAGCATGCCCTGAGCCTTGGAGAGGCCATTAACAAATTCCCCAAGGCCATGGCATGGTCTGTTTTGCTTTCGACCGCCATTGCAATGGAAGGGTATGACAGTGTCTTGGTGAACCAGTTCCTCGCGTTCCCATCCTTTGTTGAGCGCTACGGCACGATTGGGGCGGACGGAAAGCCGGCCATATCAGCGGCCTGGCAAGCAGGTCTGTCAAATGGAGCCCGCGTGGGTGAAATCATGGGCCTAGCTCTGAATGGTTGGATTGCGGAGATCTTTGGGTTCAAAAGGACGATGCTAGGTACTCTCGTCCTGCTGACCTTCCTCATTTTCATTCCTTTCTTCGCGCAAAATATTGCGACTTTGCAAGCGGCTCAAGTCTTGTTGGGCATTCCATGGGGTGTCTTTCAGACTTTGACCACGGCTTATGCTGCCGAGGTCTGCCCGGTAGCTCTTCGAGCCTATCTCACCAGTTACGTGAACATGATGTGGGGATTGGGACAGCTCATTGCCTCCGGTGTGCTACGTGGATTCCTCAGTCGCACCGACCAGTGGGCGTATCGTATTCCTTTCGCGCTGCAGTGGTTGTGGCCGGTCCCCCTTATTATCGGTATCTCCTTCGCGCCAGAGTCGCCGTGGTGGTTGGTTCGCCAAAATCGAAACGATGATGCCCGGAAGGCTTTGGCACGATTGTCGTCCGCAGCCACCGAAGCCGAACTCGATCATACCGTTTCGATGATGATTCACACCAACGAGATGGAGAAGCAGGTTTCAGTTGGAACTACTTACCTGGATTGCTTCCGGGGGGTCAACCTGCGCCGCACAGAGATTACATGCATCGCCTGGCTGATCCAGTCCGCAAGTGGCGCGAGTCTCATGGGTTACGCTGCCTACTTCTTTGAGCAAGCAGGCCTATCTACTGACGTTTCATTTGACTTTTCCATCTCCCTATATGCCCTCTCCATGATTGGTGTTCTTCTCTCCTGGTTCGCCATGACATACCTCGGCCGTCGCACGATTTACTTAACGGGTCTCATTGGTCAATTTGCCATGCTGATGGGCATCGGCTTCGCGAGTCTCGCGTCGAGTGCCACAAACACGGCTCCTTCTTATGCTATTGGAAGTCTTCTTCTTGTTTACACCCTGATCTATGATATCGGCGTCGGCACTGTCGCGTACTCCATGGTCGCCGAAACCCCATCGACTCGACTGCGCACCAAAACTATCGTCCTCGCCCGGAATCTCTACAATGTCCAGGGAATCATTAATGGAGTTATTACACCATACATGCTCAATGAAACTGCTTGGAATTGGAAAGCAAAGGCCGGATTCTTCTGGGCGGGCACGAGTTTCCTGTGTTTGGTTTGGACGTTCTTTCGGCTGCCAGAACCGAAAGGACGTACTTATGGGGAGCTTGATGTGCTGTTCGAGAACGGAGTCAGTGCCAGAAAGTTCAAGACCACGGTGGTTGATCCATTCGCAGTTGATGGCAGCCAGGCGTTGGATGTGGCGGTGGTTGGGGAAGAGAAGACTCAGGTTGCTGTTCAGACCGCCGACGCCCCTCGATCATGATCGCTGTTAGAATCAATTACTTCCCTCGATATTCGAAAGCATATAAGATGAGGATCTCATCATAATATATTTATCTTGATGATATTTATACCTGCCCGCAAGTGTCGGGTGGTTGACAACCTAGGATGTATATTCTGATCCTAAGGCCGCTATCGCCTGCCGTACCCAGCGCCCCTCGTAATAGGCCGTGAATACGAGCTCGCCAAGCAGAAATAACAGGCGAAGCTAAAATACCCCTCTGTGGTTGACTTCCTCACAAAAAAAGACAAATCCACTCCTTTTGCACCTCCAAGTCCTGCACAAGTCCAATGGACCCTCTTTCCCTCGCCGCCTCGCTCGCCGGCGTCATCACTACATCAACCCAGATTCTCGGCATCATCAACACCGTCAACTCCAAGAACAACGAAGAGCTAGACTCCCTCTCCCGAGAGGTGACAGCCGTCCGTGCTATTCTCTTCCAGATCCAGCGGATCATCCAGCTCCAATCTGCGAAACCAACCAAAAGCTCTGAATGGCTAGAAGCGCTCAATGATACGCTCGATGACTGTGGGGATCTGTACCTCGGCTTGCAGAAGGAGTTGCAGGGATTATCTTATCATTCCAAGTTTGACGCGCTCAAGAAAAAGATCAAATGGACGCTCAAAGAGAAGAATATTCTCGAGACGCTGAGGAAATTGGAGAGCTACAAGCTATCATTGGACTTGTTGCTTTCGGTTCAGACTAGGTAGGCTTTGGCTAATATTCTGCGATATGGAAGCTTATAGTGGACAGCACGACAACGTCGAATATTGAAGACATACTTGTCCAGGTGCAGAAGAAGCTCTCGCTGAAATCTGCTGAGTCTCCTGCTGTGCAGACACCTCTTTCCTGGAGAAAGAACCTAGCAGGATTCGTTGCAAAGCCTGCGCAGACGCAGAACCAAAACAACTCAGCAGCATTCAGTGATACACAGAGTACTCTTGTACCCGACGACTTGGATGATAATATGTCCTCATTATTCCTGGACCAAAGACAACGGGCTGGAACGGACCAGGCGCCTACGGTATCAATCAAGATGAAGGTGCCGATGCGCCAGATCTTAACAGCCCAGATCTAACGAGCGTTTGCGAAATGTGAGTATCTCAAGAAAGCAGAAACTATTAACTGCAGCTAACTCAAATGTGTCAGAGAAATCGGTCACCAAACGATCAGCCTCATCTGCGGCTGGGAAGAGTCATCAATAAACGCGGCTATCAAACCAATCCGGGCCCATATCCTCTTCAAAGGGCCATCGCAGAGTGATCTTTACTTTCTGCAGCTGGGAGAATGTGAGTCAGCATCACCAAAACTCATGGCACTAGATACTGACCTCGACATCGTCAGCCTTGAGCAACAAACTCATCGAGCGATTCGTCGTTCCAGTCGGAAACTTGAGTCTTATCATCGCCCGCTGTGACGGGAAAAACTCGGCCTGTCTCCTGGATGACCTAGCTACGCGTGACAATTGCGAGGACTTCCAGCTTTCGGTGGATAAATATGCACTCCAACCTAGCCTAGGAACTCAGCAGATCCTGGTGAACTTTGAGAGTGCACAAGGTATGCACGCCCGTCAAAACCCCCTGGCATGGATTGGGTTCTTACTCCGCTAGATCGTAATAAGTTTCTTGCACACCTATACGGCCTTAGATACCTTCAGCGAATGGACTTTGCATTTGCTTCGATCAATAAATTCTATCACCATTCTCCTTATACAAAGAGGTCAGTTTGCGCAGGGTCTTACATGTGATATAGGAAGAGCTCACCAAGACCATCGCAGGATTCAACACATCCAGCTAGGCTTCATAGATGGAACCGAAAGATCCTACATCTATCCATACCTCGATATCGACTATAGCGTTTCCAATGAACCACCTAGGCTCACGTGTCGAACGAAGCCAAATGGCACAGCCGTAATATTCAGAGAGGACCGTGAGTGAGATATCCTTACGTGGCCCTAGAACATTCACTAACAGCTACAGTATCGACCTTACATATGGAAATAGTCTCAACAGAAACCGTTCTCTGCACGACGCCGGGGGGAAAGACCATCTCAGCTACATTCGGATCTCTGAATGGTAAGAAGCACATATGATTGCACACTCGTAGATAGCTCTAACAACTTGTAGAGTTGGTTCAGACCTTCTATCGCTTACGAGATGCCGTCGAAGAGTGGAGATTGCTCAATACCAAAGGGCTTGATGACTACGAGACAAAGGCAGAATGGTAAGACAGCCGGCAGAGCACATCCCCGACGATGTATACTGACCAGTTTATTAACAGGGAACTCGGAAGCTTCGAATTCCTAGAGAATCTCGGAAGCCGCGAGTTCCAAGAAAGTTCCAAAAGCCAAGTCAGCCCGTTCTGCATGGTTCGCGCCGTTGCAAAGTCCGACCGCGTCTACAAGCGCTTGAAGATAGATATCTTTGACGAAAAGACCTCCGAGAAGCTGGCTTCTTGCTTTGGTAAGCGACGATGTTCATCTGTGCCCAGAATTCAAACTGATAGACTCTAGTGGTTCTTTCGGCCGTCCTCTTTCATAAGAAGCATTTCAGACGGGCGGATCCCAAATTCTTCACTATACCTATGTTCGTGGCTGGGTTCTGGGATTTGAGGAATGGCGGTACGGAAACACCTGATAATTTCCGAGCTGGTCAGGTTCGGATGCATACTAGTGATGACAAGAAGACGTGCGAAGAGCTTGAAGAATTGGTTGAGACCATAATCGAAGGGACTAGAGATGCGCAGAAGCGTTTTCTGTGCGAAGTGGGTCGAGTCTAGCGGAGATGGAGCAGGATTTGCGTTCTGCTAAGGTACGACTGGGATAAAGTGTCTGGCCAAAGAATCAATCAGACGGATACCAGCATAGAATATCAATACCATAGAAAAGGACTTGATTATTGGCATGATATCCTCTTAAACTCCGTATGCGGATAATGAATCCGGGGGAAATTGACCGGAATGATTACTGGCATCTTGTGTCTATCATTAATCGAAGAGTTGTACCAACACGTAGTATCGTAAACAGACAATGGTTAATAGATCGTTAATGGATTGCAGATCCCGTAGCCAACCGCATCCCTGTGGGGCATAGCCAGGGACTAGATCTACATGGACCTGACTTCCTGACTCGTCGGTATGACTCAGCGCCGCAGCGACCTTTCAAGGAATAGTTATAAGACGCAGCAATATCCTAGTTTATCAGTGATCAAACACATTCGAAAATGACCAGCTACACCCATTCCGACACCTTCGATCAAGGCTGGCTCAAAGTCAGCGACCTCCACACGCTGCACTACGAGCAGTATGGCAAGCCAGACGGCAAACCAGGTATGTAGCAACGCAATAAGCTCCCCATGAACGAATTCCTTAGCAGTAGCTGATCCAATGCACAGTCATCTTCCTCCATGGCGGTCCGGGAGGACACACGTCCAAGGGCAATACAGTCTACTTCGACCCTTCCATCTATCGCGTGGTCCTGCTCGACCAGCGCGGTGCTGGCAAATCCACGCCGGTAGCCGAGCTCCGCGAGAACACGACGCAATATCTAGTGTCTGACATCGAGGTCTTGAGAAAACACCTCGCCATCTCTAAATGGCATATTGTTTTCGGCGGCTCGTGGGGTTCCACGCTCGCACTGGTGTATGCGCAAACCCATCCCGAGTCGGTTGGATCGCTGGTCTTGCGGGGGATCTTTACGGTGAGGCGCTCAGAGCTAGAATGGTCGCGTGGACACTTTGGTGCTGCGCAGATTTTTCCAGAGGCTTATGAGGCTTATGTGAATTATCTCCCCAAGGAAGATCGGGACAAGCCTAATGAAGCCTACTATAAGCTGTTGACTTCTGATGATCATGCGGTCAGAGTTGCCGCTGCGAGAGAGTGGAATCGCTGGGATCTGAGCATCGGGGAGTTGAGGCCGGATCCAAATGACATGAAGCGCTTGGAGGATGATGATTGGGTCCTGTCGCATGCGAGGATGGAGGCGCACTATTTCATGCATGGTGCTTGGCTGGAAGAGGGTCAGATCTTGAAGAAAGAGAATCTGGACAAAATCCGGCATATTCCTAGTAAGTATCTAGAGCGCCAAGTTACCACTGTGACTTTGAGCTAACTCGAGGAAATAGCTACTATCGTCCAGGGCCGCTACGACTTGGTTTGCCCTCCCCAGACGGCTTGGGACTTGCACAAGGGATTGCCTCATTCGCGCTTGTTTTGGACACCAGATGGGGGTCACATTGCACAGGTAAGATGGGAGATTTATTCTTCTTGTTATCACTTCGCTAATCTTTTTCATAGGAGCCGGGCACTCACGCAAGGCTGATCGAGGTGTGCGATGAGTACGCAAATCTCGAGGTCACCCAATGAGGGCAATTCAAAACTGTTCACCTACAAGAGGAACAAAATCAAAAACAGATTTTCGTCACATATCATGCAGATTCAATATATAATCTATCTTCTTTTGTTCTCTATGCATGCAAGCATCACCGGACGACCACTGTCACCGGTATATAACAAAGATCAGAAGCCAGCAGACCCAACCCATATAAAACAGACGTAGAAAAATCATAGAACATGGTGGTGGTATCATCATCAAATCATCAAGGAGCACACCGCCAACGGAGAGAAACCAAATATGACAAAATAATGAAGGATATGCGGTATCTATTTACTTCCCCAGCCCGACGCCTTCTTTTCTCCCCCTTATAATCGCCTTCAAGCACTGTCCCACACCATCCAGGTCGCCCAGCAGTCCGACATGACCCCGATCAGTCTTCACCAACCCATCGCGGATAAGGCGATATCCAGGCGGGAGCATCGCAGCCGAAGCAAGACACACACCGTCACCAGCCGCGAAGGCTAGATCATCGTACGAATCCTGATGCTTGATGCCATCACGCGAAGCGACGCGAGCCCCGTACACAGTGGGTACGCTCTTCCCGTACAGCACTGCGGCAGGGGGATATCTGTTTTCGGACTGATGGGCGGGTCGGAAGGCTAGGTTGGACTTGAAGCGTTTGGTTTCTGCAAGGGTACGCTGTAGGTACTCGATAGCCACAGCGCGGGGGATAGTACTCGTCGTAGCAGGTTTGGAGGTTGCGGCACTGCCACGAGGACTTGTAGTGGGACCGACGAGGCCCTCCACGGGTGCCGAGAGCAAGGGGTGTGTTTTTTCAGAGGTAGACGCTGCGACGCCGTTAGGTGTAAATAAGGCCGAGACTGGGCGTTCGGATGCGATGGTGCGCGGAGGATTGCGGGCGGTGATATGCTCGTCCGTCGTGGTCATGGCATGCGAGTGCCGAATGTCCGGAAGATCTTCTGGTTCGTCACGGTTGCTGAGAGAGAACCGCTTCCCGATCAGAGGGAAGCCCTTGCCGGTGGTGGGAGGCAGAGCCGGGGCGATGCAAGGGGAGAGCCGGTACTCGTCCCAAGTACGGGCGTCGAAGAAGTCAATGCGGTATTCCTCCTTGGTATTCTGGTCAATGAAGCAATGTCCATCCTCTGGTAGAAGAGCATAGCTCGTGCGGAAGGTGAAGTTGACCTGAGCTGTCAGGACACGCGAGCTGAGCAGGACGTCGTCACCGTTGCGCATCGGACCCAGGATGTTGACACAGTGCTGGGGCACGCCAGCATACACCACACCCGCAAACAATTCCGGCCGCTGGTTCACGGCATGCCGGGTGATGAGGCCGCCCAGGCTGTGGGCAATGACTGTGGCACCGCGACTGTGTCGCGAGGGAGGAACACCTTCGGGTGGTGGCTGGTTGGACGGCAGGTTCTCCAGAAATGCAATGAGTTTACGCGACAGCAGCTCCGGGCTGAGTCGCCAATCATATCCATAATCCCAGACGCGCAGGTCGCCGCGCAGGGCATTATCGCACTTGCGCAGCCGTTTCATCAGTCGCCTACACACGTCGACCGGCCCAACATGCGACAGCACACCGGACGGAATGATCGTTTCCTCCATGCGCTCCTCAGCTTCAGCCGTTAGGCCGACCTCCAAGTCAACCCGACGCAGGTTCAGCCCGACTTTCATCGGTACCCAGAGCTGCCGGTGTGGCGGCTTGGCCGAGCGCAGAACCGACCCTCGGTAGCCACCCAAAATGACCACATCACCCGTCAGCTCCGCCATTGCCTCTTCCAGAACTGGATTTATTGAGGACGCGATATTCTTCGGAGGAGACGGGGGCGTTTCAATGCCGCGTGCTCGATTGTTATCACCAAATGTGGCCGTCGACTTCGGGCCTCCCAGTTCCGGCATGAATGGCCGAGTACTCCAGTCAGTGCGCATGTCCTGCAGATGCAAGGTCGGCATATTTAGCAGGCGGCTGCTCGAGTCTTGCAGACTGTCCTTGATTGCCTTGAACCGGCTGTTTACTTGCGAGTGGATATTCTCATACAGCGGCCGCTGCTCTAGTGACGAGGCCGTCGACGACGCCCGGAGATACAGCGACTGATCGGACGATGACCGCCGCAGGCTCGGTGGGCGTCCGGGAATCGCTGCGCTGGGCCGCCGGTGGAACGAATGTTTTGCAGCGGAGGCCCTATCCAATGGTGGTAGCTCCGAGATGGGCCGGGAGTCATCACCTTCATATTTATCTTCGCCGTCAACAAATGAGGGGTTTTGTGGGAGCCGCCGATCCAAGGAGTAGGTCCTCGTCTGCAGCCCGGGGCTCAGTTTACTAGGATTCCCAAGTGTTCGACTGCGAGACCGAATTTGATTGCCCGTTCGGAATGGCAGGGAGGGCCGTTTCGTGAGAGAGCCCAAGTCCGGCAGAAATCTTTTCAGCTCGCCAGACCATGCACGCGGCCGTCGCGGCAGCGTGAGCAGGGACCGGGTGAAACTCGACCGTTGGTTGAGAGCTGCAGCATCTTTGGCATCGGGTACAGGAGACTGACGCTCCCCGGGAACTTTTGCAGACGGATATGTCGTCGGAGCTCTGCTTTGCACTGCTGCTACTGCTGCCGCGTCCGAAGCGGACTCCACGGAGTCTGGCTCGGCTGTAAGACCCGACACAAACAGGCCGTCGTCGCTCACGATATCCGGTACTTCGGCAAAGTACCCGCCATTGCTCTCCAGTACTCTATTCTTTTCCTCGGCTGGAGTTGCATGGGCCTTTATGCGGCTCTGGGCACGACCGATGCTCACACCCACGATGTTGCTGGCGGCATCCTCGTCGGCAGGGTCGGCCGGTTGCGGTGGCAGCTCATCGCTATCGGAGCTCGAAGAGGACGCGTAGTTTGACGGGGAGTCGTCGGAGGCGACCAGATTGGAAGACGAGACCGAAGAATAAGAGTCATGGTGCTCTGGCAGCTGTCGTAGGGCCTTGGTGGTCGTGGATGTCTGCTCCGGCAGACCGCTCGGGGAGCGGTCGGCGGAAACGGAGCTCATCGTAGCTGCGCCAGAGTGGCAGTAGCAGGGAGGAACCGATCAGGGTATGAGGTAGTTACAGGTGCGACGGCTTGGACCCAAAAACCTGGATACCGCATGTATGATGCAAGAGCTGTCTGAGCGGCCGCGGCGAATCCAGATTTGACAGATAGAGGACGAACTGCTGGTTTCGCGCAATGTTTTGTCTCTGTGTGAAAAGAATGAGGACATCGTCGATTATAAGCCGTTGCACGCCCGGAAACATGTGGGTGGGTTCCACCGCACAGCCTCCGGGACAGCCGGGAAGAGATTGGGCCGTTCGTCGCGGATTACTACTGAGGCTGAAAGTTTAGTCTGGGGGCCAACCGGGCCCTCGGATCCTTCGGTCGATTTGCACATGGAAATAATCTTTGCTTCATGATTTCCAGACCGACCGACCGAGTTTCTATCGGCGCGAACAAGATCGGCGAGGCACCGTGGACAGGCACGGGAGATCGAAGCACTAAATTTCCCAATTGACCTTGATCTACGACATGACGCTGTACCCAATCAACTCCCCGCCAAGGCACGAAGATTACAGGGAAAAGACAGCCGAAAAGAGTTACAGTCCAACCTGACCAAGCACGGGATCCCGATTGCTGCACAAATCCGCTGCTCTTCTATTAATAATACATCCACGCGAATCAAGCTAGCTTTCGTCGCGCTTCATTGCTCTCGCCCGTAAATTGGCCCGACTGGATCTCTTGCTCGCCCTTTCGCGCAATCTCCTGGTTACGTTCAACACCCTCCTGGTGTCCAACTGCCTTGTCGACGGCCGCATTGAACGTGCCGCGGAGCGCCTCGCCCACGCCCTGGGTACGCCGGATCAGCCTGGGCATGAAGAACCCTAACGCATGAATACATATACTTACATGGATTCCTGCGGTTGTACCGATTACCCCGCGCCCGAATTCCTCGCTGGCGGCATTCGCCCGCCGCTGCGTGTCCGAGCCGAACTTGCCGGAATCCGAGCCCTTGGTTTGGGCTGCCTCCTCCTCCATCTTCACTCGCTGCGCCGTACTGGGTGCGTGCTCGATGCGACTGTCCTGGCTGGCGGCCTGGTCATAGCTGTTTAACGGGGATGCCGGCTGATGGTGGTGGTGATGTGGCCCGCCTGCCGACAACGTCGAGTACCCAGCGCCAGTCGCTGAATTATACCCTGTAGTCGACGGGTCGTACTGCGATCGGGAATCCCGTAGACCAGATGGGTCGCCGGGAGCCCCGGTTGAGGAGCCAGGAGCGACGCCTTGGTTGGAAGTATCGGTCGCTTTAGTAGCACTCATATTTCAGTTTAGTAGATGTGGTGGTGCAAAGCGAATTATTCCACGTCCCTGTCGGCGGCTATATAGATCTGTCGACAAATGACGTCAATATGAACGAAGAACATAAATACTCTAGTCTGAACTTCTGTATGGTTATCTCTACCTCTGACAACTACATATGTAGTTATCTACTGTAAACTATCTTAATAATAAAGCAGAATAATGTCCATGGTAATAATCATTGCTCTGAGCCGAGGTCCATCCAAGGACCTTTTCCCCAATTGGGCCAGCTCCGATCCTCCTCCTCGGCCTGCAACAATGTCTTTTCTCTGATCCTCCTTTCCTTCTCCCTCCTTTCTACCCTCACACACCATCATGTCCTACAAACAAGTCATCTACAACACCCCGCCGGCCCCGGCCATCGACCCCTCGCTCAGCTCAGGGACCTTCCGCCTACACACCGTCCCCAAACCCGACCATGTCCCCGCCGACAAGGTGCTCGTGCGCGTGCACTACCTCTCCCTCGACCCGGCCATGCGTCAATGGCTAACTGCCAAACGCTCCTACATTGCGCCCGTGGAACGCGGCGCCGTCATGCGCGGACAGAGCATCGCGCAGGTCGTGGGCGTGGGCAGCAAGCTGTCCTCTGAGTACCGGGTTGGTGACTGGGTGGTCGCATACTCCGGATGGCAGGAGTACGCTGTGCTAGGCGCTAAAGAAGCAGAGAAGGTCATCGTCCCGCCGGGCGGGCGTCCGACGGACGCAATGTCGGTGCTGGGGATGACGGGGCTGACGGCGTATTTCGGTATGCTGGAAGTTGGCCAGCCGCGCGCGGGCGATACCGTTGTTGTCTCTGGCGCGGCGGGAGCAACGGGTATGGTTGCCGGCCAGATTGCGCGCATCAAGGGCGCCAAGCGCGTCGTTGGGCTGGCGGGTAGTAAGGACAAGTGCGAGTTCCTGGTTCGCGAGCTGGGCTTCGATGCGGCGGTCAACTATAAGGATGCCGATTGGCGCAAGCAGCTCAAAGAGGCTACGCCCGAGTACATCGATGTGTTCTTCGATAATACCGGTGGCGATATTCTCGATGCTTGCTTGGCTCGCGCGAACCGGGATTCGCGATTCGTCATCTGCGGCGCTATCAGTCAGTACAACGCTGCGAAGCCGCAGGGCCCGGCCAGCTTCATGAATGTCATTGTAAGTTTCATCGCTGGGTCAATACTTGGATAGCATTTCCCGCTAACAAGGTCGCAGTCACAACGTGTCACGATGAAAGGCTTTATTGTTTTCGATTTTGCCAAAAAGTACCCGGCCGCACTGAAGGAGCTGGCCTCCTGGTTGGCTCAAGGGAAACTCCGACGCAAGGAGCATATCGTGCCCGGTGGACTCGAGGCAGCGCCGCAGGCTCTCGTGGATCTCTATAAAGGTGCAAATACGGGCAAGATGATGGTGGAGGTGGCGCCAGTAAGCGAGGCCCTGAAGGCCAAGTTGTAGATTGATGGCATATATAGGAACATTTAAGTCAAGTCAAACTCTTTGGGTCAGTGGAAGAGGTGTAGAGCTGCCATTGCAACAGCGACATGTATTCCTCGCATCATTAATACATCCAACACTTCAATGCCCACAACAACATATCAGGATATGATCAGCAGCGGGGAACCACCAGCATCACAGATGGCACAAGCTGTCGGCCGCAACAAGCGCACCATCCTGAGTCTCGTCCAGCATACGGTTGTTATGACCTGGATTAGTGCTATGCCTAGTCCGAGTGTCTAAATTTCACCGCGATCATATGCGCAAGTTAGTACAGTATTGTCCTTTCTTGCGTATTCCGAGGTTCGATTGATGCGTTCGCCTTTCAGGATCCCATTGCAGAGGTTCCGAAACGCAGGTTACCTACAACCTCGGCTCAGAATAAGACTGAATATGCAGCGCCTCTCCCTGGGCAATCAGCTCCGAATCTTCTCCTTGAAGGGTAGCTTTTGCCCAGATCTTCCTCCCATCAACCCTCTCAACCCAGCCTCTGCAAAGAACTGCTGACGGAGTTCTCAGCGGCTGACGGTATTTGACAGTAAATTCCGCGGTTTTTGGGCTCTCAAACCCAGGATTAAGAATCACGGCTGTCCCAGTTTGCTGGTCAAGTAGTGTAGCAACAAATCCGCCATGGGAGATATGCTCGTGGCCTTCAATGGCACGACCAAGGGAGTAAAGGGTCCAGACTTCACCCGTTAAAGGATCAAGTTCGTGCACATTCTCTGGCGGAGTAGTAGACTTATGCCTGAAGAACGATTGGATATGGCGAATTGAATCTGTTGAGCGCAGGGTATCTGCCATAAAGCGGGAGGTCATCCCAGGCCAAGAATGTTGGTGGGTGGACTGGATAGGGAGCAAGGATGAGTCGGTGAATAGTGGGCTGGTCCAAGGATAAGAGGTTGTGAAGTGCTGTTGAACTTCTAATGAAGGTGATTCAGGGATAATCTTTTTCGGTTCCATTTTTCTTCTATAAACAAGCGAACAGGTTTTGCCAAATGGGGAGGAGGTGGTCGTGGAATGATGGAGTACATAGTAAGGTTGCGGTTCTCGTATTGAGTCAGCTAGACCATCATGTGATTGGGGTTTAATGCCGGCAGCGGGGAAGCCCGACTAACTTGTTAACGAACGTAGTTCACAAGCCGATTATGCCAAATACACCATATAGTACGTGGTAGTTTATAACTCAATATCTCAGCAACCACAGCTTGATATAGGGCCGTACTGTATCCTAGAACTCACTATGCCATGTTTTGTATATTTATGAGGTCAAGAAAATCTTTCACTTGACAGTGATTTAGATATATATCTTTTCACTCGCTCGCAGCGTATTTTTCGGTAATATGATAAAATAATATTCCAATTTGAATTTCAGTCAAACTATGCTAGATTCAACTTATGCTTGTTGAGATCTTGAGATGTAAGTAAGTTATCGCATTACTCTGGTGGACTAAACTACATCACCGAGGTAGATCATCAGCCCCCGAGCTTATCTGCTCATTACTCCTCATTGGCCTACAATGCCGAAACTCATATCTACTCCTCATTCGGTATTGATCTTTAACGCCGAAATGCCTCTCTCAACGCTCTATGGCCTGTCTTTTTGCAGACGAAGGTGCTACTATAAAGCAACACTATCCTTATGGGCCACAAGCGTCAAAAGGGCAGTGGAAATCGAATCGAAACAGGAATGAGAAAGTTGAGAAACAAAAATCAAAACAGAAAGCTGATCCGTACAACATGCCTATTTCCCTTCGACCTATCACCAAATATGACGTCCCACGGCTTGTTGATATCCAGTTTGCGGCAATGAGATCTAGCGGTCACTTTCGCAGCATAGGCGATATCCCCAACCAAGATGGAACTACAGACGCATTTTTGGTATCTCCTGAGAGAGCAAACAAAATTTCCCGCATTCTAGATGGTTGGGGTGCGGATCCAACTCTCCACTTTTTGAAAGCCGTTGAAGTGGATTCGGACGAAATTCTTGCGTTTGCAAAATGGCACGTATATCGTGGCGAGGAGGGCTTAAAGGAGTGGAGAGCGTCTGTGCGGACGGATGCGAAGATGAGGATCCCGAGCGGAGCAAACAAAGAAGGGTTTCGATTCTGCAAGACCAAATTTTTTGAAAGAAGAAAAGCCTTCTTCGGAGAAGGCAAAGAGCACTGTTGTAAGTGGCCTAACTATTTGAAAGCCTTTATATCATTCACTATGTTCCCTTACCATTTCCCCGCCCCCGCAATTTTCATTTTCATGCTTCATGCTTTTGATTACATTCTATAAATACCCTTCACCAAGTTGCTTCGTTTCGCTTGCCGATACTGACAATTTAGTGCTGGCAATGCTTGCTACAGATCCACTATATGAGCGCCAGGGTGCGGGCTCCCTTCTAACTCAGTGGGGCTGCGATCTTGCCGACAAATACGGAATAGATTGTTATCTCGAAGCGTCGAAAAAAGGGTATCCCATGTATAAGAGAAAAGGGTTTGAGGAAGCTATTCTAGAGCGTGGCGAGAGTGGACTGCACTTTGACGTTCGTAACTTTACCGGGAGAGGAGGAGAAGAAGAAGAAGAAGAAGGCGATTGGGTCGATTTGACTTGTATGATCAGGAAGGCTCAGAGAAAGAAGGGTTTCTAAAGACCACTCTCATCCGCTAGAAGGCCTTAATGTTATTAATTAGGCATTAAGTTGAAACAATACAGCAGAATTAGCAGTGCGCTCAATTCAAGATGCTTAGCAACAGCACCATTTGCCGTTGTGATGACCTTCTTGTGGACATGCCCTAAGCGTCTTGGCGGAGAGGATTCATGACGCATGGAAAGAGTACAGACATAGACGGTCTCTATCTATTCACCAGAAGCGACTGACCGTGCAAGACGGTCCATTTGCGTCTGTTGACAAGCAGTCACCATCGCCTTCATGATAATAATGACCGGCTTCAGCTCGACCCGTCCCTCAGCGACCATTTCGACATAGTCGCATACCCAGGTCACAGACACGAGATCTTCATCGAGGTTTTCATGGTCAGGATTCCCAATGATGTCTAAGCAAAGGATAAAAAAGGGGATGAACTGGTGTTGTGAGATTAGACTATATGTGTGGTTAATAATGTGCACAACGAAGGCATGGATGGGATGTGAGGCTTTCGATACCTGATTCCCCAGAACGCATGCGATGAGGACCCCAGGAGCGACTGGAAGATCGTCACAGACTTCCTGGCCAGATCAACGGCTTGATAGGGTAGGATATGATCCTGGCCACATTTCTTCGACTGATACAGCACGATAAGCATCTTATAGCTGCTGAACAGCACGTCGACGCAGAGCCATGTATCGACAAGATTTATCGCCATTCGAAGAAGGCTCGCCTTTTTTGCTATTAGCATGGCATTCCAGTTTCCATTATACTACTAGAGTAGGATACAACGCACCGTATCCCAATCCGACAGTATAGACTGCACCTCATCGATATAGCTCTCAATAATAGCATCATGCGAAACAGGATCCGGATCCGGACCCCCATCAATCCAATCGAGATACTTCATAACAATAAGAGTAAGTCGCATTGAAACAAGGAAATGAATCTGTACAAAGCGCGACGATTCGTCGTCCACGCCGTTGATCATTGAATCGGGAAAATTGACTTTCCACGACCCTGCGGGGATGAGAGTTGGTTTGCCGAAAGCCATTCGGAAGAAACAGTCTGTTCGAAGGATGTGCCAGAATCCGAAACGTTTGCGGTTCCGCTCGACTTCGGCTTCGTGAAGTGGCGTGCCGGGTGGTGCGGAGAGTTGCTCGTCCCCTTCACTTGGTGTTTCGTCGACGCAGAAATAGCCTAAGGCCTTTGATATCCTGCATGAGTGACCGAAGGCTTTCCAGGATAGATCTATGTTGCAGCCTTCGAGGGCCGTTGACATCTGTTGGTCTGTTAGCCGTGTGGGTTGGACGCTTGGGATTTATATATGTGATGCGCTTGCCATGAGGGATGCGGCCAAGAGGTCGACGGGGGTATCTTGGATGTTCTTCATCCATTCGTCGCTTAGTGCAGCACACTTTAGATAAAGATTTCGGATAATGCTACCCCTTCTTGGATGGGCTTCGGGATCTACAACAATGCCCCGAAGGAGAATGGAGTGGTAGATGATTTGAGATGTACAGTCCAGTTGGACGTGAGGGATTTCGATTAAGTCGGGTATTGAAGTTAAGAAAGATTTCTCGAGAGGATATTTGAAGCCTTCGAATTTGTGACAGCCATAGTAGTCTGGAAAGGACGTTAGATCATCGACAGCTGTGATAAAGGGAGGGGAGACACTTGCTTTCGATGAACTTCTTTGCCAGGTCTTTTGGGATAATCGGGGGCCCCAGCGGCTCGATGCTCTGCGTACTCTGCATGGATTCAATCTCCGATATAGCGGAGGTGATTGCTCTGATACATCGATTGTTTTCGAAAAAGCATGAGTCAACTTGTCGCAGTTGACAAAAGACGTTGGAGAGAAGCATAGATCGACTGCCTTCAGCTTTCATACGGCTGACAATATCTCGAATCACGGACGGAACGACTTGAGCCAGATTGTCGTCTAGGGGCGTTGCCCGAGCTGCGCCTGATTTGACCAAAAAAATCGACATGGAATCGTCTCCATTATCTTCGGTTTCTGGAGCATTCTCCAGGCAGAATTTTTCTTCGAGACGGTTGAGACGGTCGAGAATCTCCGAAAGCAGATGCTTACCGGATGTTTCGTTTCTGTCATGACTCGTCAGTTGCCTGATGGAGTCAGGAGCCCTTATAGGTAGATAATAAATACCCTTGCTTCTTGGATCGGGGCTTCCGAGGCAAGTAGACGCACTCAGCTCCCGCTGCTTCACATTTGTCACATCGCGGAGCGACTCGATTGCAGCGAACCTAGCAGGTTGTTATTCTGGCTGCTCTGTCCACTGGGGATGCCAAGATTATATCGGGTTACCTTCTTGGACTGGCAGCGATTGCACTATTAAGGTTTCAAGTCAGGGGTTGATCAAGTCAGGCGTCAAGGCAAGCATAGACATCTCACCGAGATATTCTGTAAGGCATGCCCTGCACTCATTTTCTCTCGAGACTGCTACCTCTCGACATAAAACGGGCGTAGCGGGGAGAAGAAGAGTCCGAAAGCCCGAAAGCCGGCAATCTGGCAGCTCTACTCTGATTTGCGGAAACGCTTCACCCCTGGCAAGTGGATCCGGGATCTCCCTAACCCCGGAAGACCGAATGACCATTCCAAGAAATTATCGAAATACTGCTAAGACGGCGGGCGAAGAATAAATTGGCCACAAAAGGTATAGTGTGGCAAGACAGAGTTCGAGAAAGTATCAATGAGAGTAGAGAGGTGGAACTGATTTCAAGCACCTCTGTACAGAATCCGCCATATATAGGCAGTGAGTGGATCAAGCGCATAGCTATTCTAAAAGCGCGCGAGAAGTTCCCTTTGAGATCAGCTCAGATTCTTGTTAGCTTCACTTCACTCTTGCATCTTCCTTCGTCAAAACTCCATGATTTAATGATTCTAGTCAACCTCCTCCTTGCTATCTCTTTTAACTGTGACCTTACGACCGTCTGACGACTCTGTTCTCTCCTCATACACACCATGGCTGATGCGCGGAACGGCGTCAGCAAGGACGAATTGATTTCCACCTACGAGCGTCGGTCGCAACGTGATGGCGATATCTCTGAATTCGTGACGAGCTTTGCCTCGACTATTTCCAGCAATTCCACTGCTTCCGTGCTCACCTACTGCATGTCCTCTATCAGCATGACCCTGGTGAACAAGTACGTCGTTTCCGGAGCCAGCTGGAATTTGAGCTTCCTCTATCTCGCCACGCAGGTGTGTGTTTTCTTGAGTCGGTACCTTGAACAGGATGAACCCTAACTTTACAAGTCTTTCATTGGTACAGTGGCCATATTGGCCTGCAAGAAGACGGGACTCATCCAGAACCTAGCCCTTTTTGACTTGAAGAAGGCCCAAACTTGTACAAGAAACACTCCACCCCCCCCCCCCCCAAAAACACCCCGGCGTGCCTAGGTCTCATCGCATGCAAATACCAACTAGCTAACCTCCAATAACAGGGCTGCCGGTTTCCTTGCTGCTGGTCGGAATGATCTATACAGGCAACAAAGCGCTGCAATTCCTCTCCGTTCCCGTTTATACCATCTTCAAGAACTTGACAATCATCGTCATTGCGTACGGCGAAGTCTCCCTGGGCGGTGGCAGGGTGAAGCCTCTCGCCCTGCTGTCTTTCGGCTTAATGGTGCTCAGTTCCGTCGTGGCGGCCTGGGCTGACGTCCAGCACGCGACAACCGCTACATTAGGAGCTGGTTCTGACTCGACCGCCGCGGCTTTGTCAGCTCTCAACGTCGGTTATGCTTGGATTGGGATGAACGTAGTCTTCTCTGCCTCTTACGCACTGGGCATGCGTAGAGTGATCAAGAAGACGAATTTTACCAACTGGCACGGTGCGTTTACTGGTTCTACTCAGAGGCATCTTCACTGACGACGCGCTGATTTTCAGTCATGTTCTACAACAATCTGCTTAGCATCCCCATTCTGCTGCTTGCTTCCGTCTTTGCTGAAGACTGGTCTTCCGAGAATCTGCAGAGGAACTTCCCTGCCGAGTCGCGACAACGTTTGTTTATCGGAATTCTCTACTCTGGCGTAGCCGCCATCTTCATCTCGTACTGCACGGCCTGGTGCATTCGAGCCACCTCGTCTACAACCTACGCCATGGTGGGTGCTCTGAACAAGCTGCCTCTAGCTGTAGCGGGCATCGTCTTCTTTGCGGCTCCCGTCACATTCTGGAGTGTAGCTGCCATTATGCTTGGATTCATCAGTGGCCTCGTCTTCACGAGGGCAGAGAGCAGCGGTGCATAGAGGTCAATAATCCATGCCCTACGAGCTCGTATAGCCAAGACGGTTGGCGCATACCTATCCAGATTCACAGCCGGCTGCAGTTCCCTCAGAGGGCAAAAAGCGAGCATAGATGATCTAACGGGTTGGAAACTCTTGGAAATAAAATAGAGATATATCGAGCTCACCTGCTTTTCTTTCTTTTTTTATATATTTATCACGGACTACTGCAATGCATCTAGACGCGTCGAAGTGACAGCTAATATAACGCCTCCGCGAGACTCGTTCGCGCGGTATCTGTCAGAGAATAGTAATCAAACCGGTCCACGCACAGTATCTATAATACGGTTGCACTGTTCACAGTCATGTATTCTCAGGAGAGGAGATCAATGAATGACAACAGTAGCAACTAGTTGCTACTTGCTACTGCACATTGTCTGCAATGACATACACCAACTTCCGGCCGCTGATCTTGTTGTCCTTTAACTCCTGTAGTCCGTCTAGAATTCCCTTCAAGCCACTCTGCCCACGTTGAACAGGAATAGTCCTCAGCTTGCCTTCTGCCCACAGCTTCTCCGCCAATCCAGCCCACTGAACTGCAAAATTAAACTCGGCTGGCATGGCTGGGATGACCATGCTCTCAGGGCCATATTCGAACGGCTCCCCGGTGGTTGTCCCAGCGTCAGTAAATGCAGATACCACATCGGACCGTGGAACCTGCACTGGAAGAAGCGCGTGGTATCTTCCGCCGGCGGGATGGATCGCGTCCGCACAGATTTTGGCAGAATCAGCTGTGGCGACAGTGTCCAAAACTATTTTGAGTGCATTATCTGTGGCTTCACGAATTCGTGCGCTGCACTCCGGATCATGGTAGTCAATGATAATGTCTGCTCCGTGCGCTTTAACAAGGCTGTAATTGTGAGGCGAGCATGTCGTAACCACTCTGTAGCCGGACCTTTTCTCATATCCAGGTCAGTAAAGAACTCCCTCGTTATGTGGAAGCTGGTCATTAACAAACAATTTGGCAAATTGGATTCCCCAGAGTCCGGAAGCAGTGCTTCCACCATAGATCAGCACCGCCTCTTCCTTAGGCTTCTCTTGTCCGATCTCAGATAGCTGTAGTCCCAATCCAGACGGGCCATAGAGACACTGCCCAACGGACGTGATGCCAACTCCTGCGGTCGCTGCATCAACAAAGTTGACACTTTCTGGAATTTTCATTTGGATATCGCCCTTGACGACGATGTACTCCGCAAAAGAACCATTATCGACCTGTGTGCCATCACCCCCGTTGACCAATCCGCATACCCTGTCTCCCACTTTGAATCCTCGGTTTATTGAAGCTCCAACTGCAACAACCACGCCAGCGTAATCGTGGCCCATTGTCGCGCCGGCTGCCGGCGTATTCTCCAGTCGTTTCCAATCGATGGGGTTCAAAGCCACTGCAACAGTCTGGACGAGGAGGTAGCCGTCACGGAGCGTGGGGATGGGCCTATTAGAGACAAGCTCAGCCTGTCCTAGGCTACGAGTGATGACTGCCTTTTGAAATTGGGCCATTTTTTGATGTTATTTGATTGCAGTATTGCGATTCCTTGTTTTCCATGGAAATTCGGGCAGAAAACAGAGGTATATATATGTGCTTGTACCATCTCTACAAAACACATCTCCATTCCCGCGATAGCCATACTGTCAAAGATTCTGAATCGGCCCACAAATCGCCGCATCCTTGTGACCTCGCTGAGAAATCATATATTTTTTTTGGTTCGAGAAAGCCATCATCGTTGCGCGGGTTATCCACTTAAATCCGCACGGCTGTGGCGGAGAAAGGTGGATCCCCGCCAGAAACAAAGTGAAATGAGACACAGCTAATGCTTACTGCATTCAAACTTGAACTTTGCCCCTCCCTTTCCGCTTCTCTCTCGTCGATCTATTGCATTACCGATATCTAAAGACATGTCTCTCCGCAAAAGAGCCTGTTCCTCATGCGTGGCGGCGAAGCGAAAATGCGACTCCGCTTTCCCGGCTTGCCACCGCTGTGCCCAGCGTTCATTGACTTGTCATTATCCGTTCCCACTTCCGCGAATCTTCCAAGATGATGAGCAAAATGACCTAAGGGTGGAAGATATGCTGATGCCGAGCTTGGTGGCACTCCGCGACCTTCAAACTGACTCTACGATTGGGAATCCCGCGACAGGATTCTGTTACACCGAAAAGAGCTTGTTTGAGAGCCAAGTTAGCTCGATTCTTTCCGATAATCTAGCCAGCTCGGATGAGAGCGTTGCCGATGAGCTTTTTATTCCGTCCACGACGGAAACGCTGAGCAGGTCTGGATATGATCACAGCTGTAACGGTACCCAGTGGCCCGTTTCGTTCGACCGAAGGATCCTAGAGTTCTACCCACGGGTCGATGATAAGAAAACGTGGGCGTTCGGCGTCAAGACACTGCTCAATCAAGTCGATGTTTTCCTTCGCACCGGGTCAGCCTTCTTCATTCACCCCCAAGCACAGACGGAAAACAATCTTCTACCTCCCTTGCGAGTCGCTTATGGTGTCTGCTCGTCTTACAGGTTACGGGCTGAGTCAGAATTCCCGTTTTTCCAGCAGCTTCTCGAGAACGAGATAGAGAATCTGATGACACTGAGATCTCCGGATACACTCCAGGAACTAGTAGCAGAGCTCTGCGCGATGCTCTTATACTATGTCATAATCCACTTTGGCGGAACACAGCAGCGAGGGAAGCTGGCAGACAAGTCAGAAACTTTTCTAGCACAACATACAGCCCGTGTCGAGAGCCTGGAACTCGCGACTCGTCAATCAACGGCAACCCTGATTGAAGCTGAATTATTATCTGATGAAGAGGTGTTAAACCTGTGGCATCTATGTGAAAGTGCCCGTAAGGTCGTGATGGTCTCTTATCTCGCGCGGGAGATCCGCCACGTCCTCCGGTTCAAGACTTGCTATCTTCTTCGACACATAGTTGCGTTGCCGGTTTCAAAAAAGCTTATATTCGTACCTGGGAACAAATATGGTACTGGGCATACTTCGTCTGCACAATGGCAGGATGTCGTTTCATATGACCGGTTCGTCCGAGACTGGGAGGATGGTAGGCGAGGCGTGGCTGATGAGTTCACGTACTTTCTGATTTCGATGTGCAAAGGTACAGAAGAGCTTGAAATCAGCTTCAGCCCTTCATTCTCTCCATTTCTTTCTTGAGGTCTATTTTTCATGACGCGAAGCCGAGTATAGCGACTTCACCCTTACATGAATTCTTGGCAGTATCTTGGACTGTAATCAATGATGGCCTTAATTAAGTTTGTGTTGCTTAGGGTCGCCATGTGCATATTTCCAGAACTATAAAGCGTAATTATTTTCAATAGGTATGACCGGCGCCTGGTGTCTTGTTCCTTTGCCCAGCCAACGACGTCATCTGATCTTCGGTTCTCGGTCGGAGTATTCTGTCATCGAATCACGTCACCCCAGCAGACCATGGACGAACTTCCCTCCTCTTCCCAAAGTCTGGCAACCTTAAAAGTACGAAACATCAGACGGACTACCCTTCAAAAAGCGAGTACCATGTCTATCGAAATGACTTCCGGTAGTTGCGCTTGTAACTATATTCGCTACGTCGCCTCTGCTCCACCTAGCTGCCTGGTCAATTGCCACTGTACCACCTGTCGCAAACAAGCGGGCGCGCCCTACCAGACCTGGGCGATGTTCTCGACCAACAGTGTTCAATGGCATGTCAAACCCACCGAGTGGCGGTCAAGCAACTCTGCTACACGAAGCTTCTGCCCGCGTTGCGGTTCGACCCTCAGCATGGTCCTGGATAGCAGCCCGAACGAGGTGGGTGTAGCTGCGGGGACAATCGATGACCACGGCCAACTCCCACAGCCAAGCGATCATATTTTCCTTCAGGATAAGGCGTCTTGGTTTGAGGTGCCGGAAAGTGATAGAGCCAAGAGGTGGGACGAGTGGGATCACAATGACAACATGTAGACACTTATATCCGGTGGTCTAGCTTCGGATTCTGCCTCTAAAGGACATCACCTAGTCATCGAGTATGCTACTAGCTACAGTAGTAATCGGGAACGTGTATGAAGGTGCTATATGTATGATAGAACGAAGCCACTATGGAGCGGAGAGCATTAAGATGCGTGATACAGACTAGTAGTTCTCGGCATTAGGGTTCGAGAAACAATTAAAAAGCTTATATAGGTTGTGACACCATTATCGGGATGTACTGTTGGCATAAAAATGGGAATCATCATCGTCATCATAAGTCTATGGGTTGTTATCATCCATATCCACCAGGCATTCAGGCCTCGCACATGAGCGAATCACCACAATTAGTACAAGATACTCGCTATGGAAGAATCATAAGAAAAAAAAGAGAAATTCTCAGGCCAGATAACCACCTCCACATGTAAAGAAAAAATAAATCCGGTTCCTTAAAACAGGGAGAGACGACACTAGAACAGCAGCAATCACCCCGTTCGTATCTTCTACCTCGCCAGGCAACTATTTTTGTTGAGGTACGATGACCATTACCACGAGATGTAAGCAATAGGGCCCTTAGGAAACAGACGAACGACCACCTTGCGCAGCTCATCCATACAAAGAATACCCAGTGCCAGACCGAGCGGGATGAGCCAGAACTCAATAGGAACGGAGGCGGTTCCGAAGAGCTTCTGCAGGCCGGGGACTTCCGTGACGAAGATGGCGATGCAGAGGGAAATGAGCATGGCGAGGGGAAGCCATGGGTTGCGGCGTGCAGGACGGATAGGGTCGGCTTGTAAGAGAGACATGCGCTTGCTGCGGACGGAGAGGATGTTGCCCCATTGCAGGATGACAAGCGTCACGAAGTATACGCACTGGCCCGTGTTGTTGAAGTGCGTGAGCTGGTCCTCGGTGTAGCCGTAGAAGCCGGCGGAGTAGCTCTGGAAGGCGAAGAAGAGGGAAGAGATCGGGATGCCGGCTTTGCGGTACATGTAGAGGAAGAACATGGAGTGGGCGCAGATTGTTTCCATGACGCCGATGAAGCCGTAGGCCTGGGCATAGATGCGAAGGTTGATTAGGTGGTCTTTGCGAGGGCGGCGTGGTGGCAGGCTAAGGAGGTCGTATTCTTCTTTTTCCATGATCAGGGACAGGGACAAGAAGAGATCCGTGAACACGCAGATGATGATCATGAGGAATGAGCTGAGTGGTAGCGGAACACCGAAGAAGACATTCAGGATCACAGGCCAGATCTCGGACCAACTACCGGCTGGCAACAGGTAGGCGATGACCTTCTGTAGGTTTTGGAAGACCAGCCTGCCGAGGCGGATGGCTTCGACAATCGAATCGAATCGGTCCAGTAGCACCAGGTCAGCGGCCTCGATGGCGACGTCGCTGCCGCCACCGATGGCAATGCCCACATCCGCTGCCCGCAGCGCAGGGGCGTCGTTCACGCCATCACCCGTCACAGCGACAAAGTTGCCACGGCTTTGGAGCTCAGACACGATCCTCAGTTTCTGTTCTGGACTAGTTCGTGCGAAAACAATCTCGTCATATCCGCAGACATTCTCCCACGCCTCCGATGTCAACGAGGAGAGAGTAGATCCTTCAAGCAGCAGGCTGTGACGCGAGCGAAGGGTCTTTTCCTCCAGCAGCTTTTCTTTCGCTGCATCAGAAGAGCATGCCCGCACATCGTCGATGGTGTCGGGCTCAGCCGCTCCGTCATAGATGCCAATATCACGAGCAATCGCCGACGCAGTAAGACCGAAATCACCAGTAACCATGAAGAACCGAATACCCGCACGCCGGCACGCAGCCACCGTATCAGCAGTCTCCGCGCGAGGGGGATCGATGATACCGAAGATACCTAGAACAGTCAGGTCCTGCACGCCAGAGGCCATGATCTCGTCACTGAAGTCATTGGAGCCAGGCGCGGCCTTGGGCTCGTAGTGGCGCTGGCAAAGTACGATGACACGCTCTGCACGACGGGAGAGCTTGGCCTGGAACGCGGAGAACTTCCGGCGGGCCTCTTCGTCCAGCGGGCGGATCTCGTTGTGGACAGCAGACCAGTAGCCCGAGCAACGGTCCAGGAGCACATCGGGCGCACCCTTGACGTAGATCTGGTACCCCTTGGACGAATTGGGGTCATGGTGCATGGTGAGCATCCATTTGTTCTTCGAGTTGAACGGAATCTGGTGGATACGCTCGTAGGGTGCGAGATTCTTGGTCGAGGCGGCGCCTACACTGTCAGCCAGTCGCAGCACGGCAGCATCGGTGGCATTGCCGTTCACTGTGCGGTCATGAACTGGCAGATTCAATGTGGCAGGGTCGAAGAAAGCGTCGTTGCAGAGGACCGAGGCGCGCAACAGGTTCCAGAGCCCTTCGGGGACGTCGGTCGTGCCGAATTCGCCGGGGCATAGGTCTTCCAGGTTGTACTCCTGGTCCACGGCGCCGAGCGACTTGACATGCATGCGGTTTTGGGTCAAGGTTCCGGTTTTGTCAGAGCAAATGACGTTAACGCAACCGAGCGTCTCGACGGTGGACAGTCCCTTGGGCAGAATGTTGCACTGCTTCATGCGCCGAGCGACCATCATAAGGGTCAGCGCGACACCGACAGGCATTCCCTCGGGAATGAAGGCGACGACACAGCCCATGACGTTGTTCAGCATGGCGACCACACTCATGTAGGTTGGATGGTCCACGCGGAGCCAACCCACCCAGGTAAGGAGGATAGTCAAGGCCAGGACAATCGTGAGACAGATAATGATGGCCACAAAACGATTGATCTCCTTCTGGATCAGAGTCGTTTTCGGCTTCACTCCGGATGTGATCTTGGCAATACGTCCCATGACAGAGCTACCTCCAGTGAGAACGACGACACCGATGGCGTTGCCGTTTGTCACGAGCGTTCCCATCAGGGCAATGTTGCGGGTCTCGAGGAAGTTGGCATCGGTGCTTTCGGTAGCACCCTCGATCTCTTCCGCTTCGCCCGTCAGAATGGCGCGGTCAAAGCGGACGTCGCCCGAGGTCTGGAGCAGACGCATGTCTGCTGGGACCTTGTTTCCAACCACGATCTGAACAATATCACCGGCAACAAGCTCCGTCGCCGGAAGGCGGATCTGCTTTCCTTCCCGCCAGACCAGAGCTTCGGAGGGGAGCAAGTCTAGAATGGAGTTCATGACGCGCTTGGTCGACCAATCCTGGAAAGCAGAGAAGCTCGCCTGCAGTGTGATGACGATAATGACCAGAATGGCCATGGCGAGGTTGGTGGGCGAGGGCGGGTTGCTGAGAGGTTTCCAGCAGACGAAGAAAATGACGACGCCTACCCACAGGACGGAGCAGAAACCACCAAAGACATACCAAAAGATCTTTTTCAGGTAGTTCTCGCGGTGGTGGCTGATGACGTTTCTGCCATCGCGTTGGAGGCGCAGAGCAGCGGCAGAGTCGCTCAGCCCCGTCCGCTGGTCGACGTTGAACTCCTGCAGGAGCTTCTCGGATGTCCGGTTGTGGAAGTCGAGGCTCTCGAAGTAGTCGGCATTGGGCTGCTTCTCTTTCTTCGGAGCTTCGGTGGCCACCTCCTTGGGAATGGTCTGGGACTCGGTGACCTGGATGGAGAGGGTGCGAAACTCGATGGGGATGCCAGCATTGGCGGCCGCGGCATTCTGGAAGCCGCTGCGGTTGCTATCGCGGCTCATTGAACGCGTGCGCCCAAACGAACGAGAACGCTCAAAGGTAGGCGGCGAGTAGATGGAGCGCATGCCCTCGGCAGCGGCGGACTCCTCCTCCCAGGTAATGCGCATGGCGCGCCCAGTCCGATCGGTATTGTCCTTGAGATGCTCACTCTCAGACTCCTCCACCTCGTGGTCCGACTTGCTTTCAATGCTCTTGGGGTCCATGGCGACGGCTGTCAGAGGAGTACAGGAATGACACAAAGTGCAGACGCCTGGAAAGAGCACGAGGGAGCAAGAAGGGAGATGGGTGTGACAAGCAGAAGACGGAAGTGACTGGCCCTGGGACAGTGCGACCTCTGGGTCTTATGTAGATACTGGAGGGCCCTACAAGTTAGATCCGAACCAGGTGGCTCAGACTGATCGAATCCACCGACCAAGACGATTTAGGAAACTCCAAACCACAGAAATCAAAACAGGCGGAGCTAGAGGGGCGAGAATGAGATGCACCGGTGGATCAAGACATGGTCACCTCTGCCAGGTACATAATGATTGCATGTACCTGACACAGTCATCGTGAGGCAATGCTCTATAGTTTGGTATTGGTGGTATTGTCATATTACCGCACACACCCAACTAACGCCAGCCTTAAAGTGCGCTCGGGCCAATTATAATCCTCCGAAAAAGCTTGCCTGACAGGACGTGACGTCCGTTGACCGAACCGTCCAGCCCTAAAATTTCCCATGGTCTCAGGACTCTGTCGGTAGTTCCCTGGGAATATTTTTGCGCGGGAATTATTTTTTCTTTCTGTCTGCTAATAGAAACAACAAAAATGGCGCAGGCAAATTTTCTCTACCGGCATGCCAAAAACAGCCCGGAAACAGCGACTGGCCGGCCCAGCAGCCAAAATTCGGGTCCAAAAGGCTGCGCGATTTTTCCTCACCAGACAAACCCAGTGCCCACAACCAGGCAGGATCCCCAATTTCGGCTGCTCCCACCTTCCTCTGCCGCAATGACATCCATGACAGCATGAGAAAAGAAATAAATCCCTCAGTTCCCGCTGATGCAAATTGGCGAGCAGCGATCATCGTGAGCGGTTTGCTCAGCCCAATCACCGAACATTGATCCGAACCCCCTTCCGCAGCGACGAGGCGGTGGATTTTCCCTTGGCAAAGCCCAGTATAGTTGTCGAGCTGTCTCTATCTGTCTTTTCTTTTGTTGAATTTATACCGCAAGAGAGGAGTAACTAGGAGGATGCAGGGTAATCATCATCATAATAATTATAATGGTCTCTTTTCGAGGGGAGGCAAACGCGCTATAAATAAAAGGGATACTTACACCTCCCGCCGTGTACAACTCTCGACTTGACTATTTTCTGCCTTTCCTCACTCTGTAGCGGTCCATGAAGTACGGACGTCGTCACAGTCACCCCGACGATCGGGCAGCCGTGGCAGTTCGGGGAGATGGCCATCATCATCATCTCGACCGAAGCAAGCTGTCCCATGGTGCTCGCGATGTCAACTATAGCGAGGCGATGAATGAAGCCTACAATAAGCTGGCTCGCCATGCCTGGCCGGTCTTCAAGCACGACCAAGCTCCCCTATCCTCGGTCTCAACAGACCGCGAGACCTTGATGTCGGCATCTACCACAGTCAATAATGATCATCCTCTCTCATCGTTCACAGACCGATACGCCCGTTGTCTGGAGATCATCCACTACGGCACAAACAGCACAGTGCGTTTGCACGAACGCAGAGCCAGCCCAGGATCCCAGTCCAGACAGCTTCTCGCCATCAAGGTATATCGCCACTCGATCGTAAGCTCGAATTCCGTGAGCAACAACAACACAGCTACAATAACATCGCCTTCCTCGCTCAATGATGCACACCCGAACCACCCAAATATCCTCCCGATCCTCGACCTCCTCCAGAATGAGCGCGGCGAGCTCTGTCTGGTCATGCCCTACTGTGCCGGTGGCGACCTGCGCACTCTCCTGTCTCGGAATAACCCACTTCCAACCACCGATACAGACTGTATCGTTGCACAGGTCTTGCGCGCGCTGGCATTCCTGCATGAGCACGACATCGCCCATCGTGATATCCGCCTAGAGACCGTTCTCCTCACAACTCACGGTGCAGTGAAACTCGCTGGATTTGGCGACGGCCATATTAGACGACTCTGGGCTGAGTGCGCTGTACCGACAGCAGAACCAAAAGACCATCCTCCACACCCCCACACCTCAGGCTCAGCGCCCTGGTCCTTCTCTCTCCCCTGGCATTTCTCTCCATTCTACCGCGCAACACCCAATTCCAATTCCAATTCCTCCAAACTCCTGGCCTGGATCTCGAACACATCAACAGCCTCCATCCCCGGTCTGAGTCTCCCTTATATCCCTCCCGAGGCATTCAACAACCGCCACCATAAGTCCCACCACACTCCTTTCCATAGAAAGAGCTCTAGCCCCTCCAGCTCCGGAGAAGACGACGAACAACGACCACGACCACCACCAGACCCCCGCCCAGCCGATGTATGGGCCACAGCCATGATCTACATGACACTGATCACAGGGCGGCTGCTGTGGCATAGCGCGCGTCCTCGCGGCGAGGACGGCCGATATTTGGAGTATATTCGCTGTCGCGGTGATGAGGATGGGTATTCGCCGATTGAGGCGTTGGGAAGGGTATGTTTTGAACAAAGGATGAAATAGAGTAAAGTAGAAGAATTGCTAACTTTGGATTGTTGTTGACAGAGACGACGAAATGCTATCTACGCAATGCTGCATCCGAACCCGCGGAAACGCATCACGGCGCAGGCTATGTTACGATCTCAGTGGATGGATGGTGTTGCGGTTTGTGAGGCTGGCGAGAGGGGGTATTGATTCCTTGTGCTTGTGGTGATGCTAGCTTTTAGTATGTGCATATTTTCAAATATTGCGTGGAATAAGATATTGAAGAATGGTTCTTTCCCAGTCGATTCTCGATCGCTATCCTCGACAGCGTGTGCCGGTTCTACAGAGTCAGAGTGACGGCATGGCAGCCATCATGGTGCAGTAAAAAGGATGAAGAGGCAGCAAAGCGGATAAAGTGAAAATGATGGATAAAGGCACAGTATTAATGTGTTAAAGAAAGACTGGTTCTGGTTGTCCTCGCATCGGAGACAGGAATGTCCAAAGGAGCGTCGGAGGCGATACCTACTGGGAGAGGGGGAGATGAGGGAGGGAGTGTTGACTCATGGGTAGGCGTACAAAGTATCCTAACACTATTCCTGGCTTACCACCTCAATCTCTAGAAAATGGTCCACCTATAGTTGCGGCGTTAGGTGTGAGTAGTTGAGTGGGCTTGAACTTTTCGGATAGTCCGATCCACATGTAATACGCTCGGAGATCGGATCCGCCGAAGAACACAGGTTCCCGCCAGGTAACAATATGCTTCTGTGTCGAGGATATGAATTAATACATAATGTTATGAACGATATACTAAAAGTGGCTTCTTCTATGATAGGCTTGTTCATCGTGCTTCAAGCCATATGTCGTAACCTAATTTACAGTACGGTAGGTTTGCTTGGTGTAGTTGCTGGATCAGGACAGGTGAAGAGAGCCGATATGGGTGACTATTCTTTAATCTCTTTTGTATCTTATCTAACTGCCTTGGTGCTTCAAGGTTATTAGATGCTCTAGCAAGGTGAAATTTTACTTTCACTTGTCATTTGATCTGGAGAAAGGTAGAGTATGAAAGCCTCGGACAGATGTCAAAGCCCAGACTACAACTAAAGACCCAATTAATAATCTCGCATCTGTATTTACAGCTTTGACGACGAAGAGCTCGTAGTCTGACCAGTGCGCCCCGTTCTGCCACCGAAAGCCTCTGTTGAAGATGTATCCCCCGCCAGCTCAGAAGGCGGCACCCAGAGCGCAGGATTCTTTTCAAAGAAATTCGATGCCCGTATCATCACACTGACAGGCTCAGCCGGCATAATGGGAAAATCCTCTGTGCGGGGGAAATGTGTAAGCCCAAACTGGACATAGCAGACGATATCGGCATTGTCAATAGACTCGTTGCGCGCAACCCAGTCGGTGATCGTGAGGTTGTCGGGGTGATGCTCTCCACTAGACTGGCACACGTAATCCCCAGCGGGGAAGAGTTCATAGTCTCGATAGGGAAGCACCCAGAGGGCCTTTTGGGCGAATGCGCCTCTCTTCGCGAAGATACTATCCGGCCTCGCTAAGAGCGCTGGGCACTGCGTGTTGACGATTTTATACCCCACAGGTTTCTTGGAGATTGGCCTGACCTTGCTGGGATTCACGATGTCCCAAGTCCGAGAAGTTTCGTGGCAATAGCTGGCCGCGCCATCGATGGCTGTTTTGAATAAGGTCTTCTTGGCGACGAATCCGTTGCCATATGGGTTTTGATCAGTTGAGATACCAGCAGCGACTGCATCATTTTGGATGACACTGTTATTTTGACCATCAATCTCCGTATCGACACGCAGGGAGAAAATATGTTGATGATTTTGTGCGTCAAGCCGATTCGCCACTTCCGTGCCATAGGGAGCCGATTCTTCGCTGGAGTGGAGGCAGTAGGTATTCAACATGCCCGTCAACTTGACTTCGAGCTTGTACGTGCCGTCTAGAGTAAATGTGTGATAGAAGGCATACTCGTAATTTGCCGCTGTCAGGATCTGCGAAATGACCAACTTTCTATCGCGCGCTGAAATGACTCGCCCATCACGGAAATCGGTGTGTTTGTACAGAATCCCGTTATCCTCCTCGTGGATACACACTGCGTTTTTGATGAGAAGCGGAGCACCGCTGCCCGAATTTAGAACAGCGTCTAAGTAGTGAATTGCGCCTTTGCAGTCACAGCCGAGTTTGAGGGAATTGGTCATGAAGCCTGCGCCGTATTCTCCAATGTCGAATGCATGTTTCTTATGATGCGGTGTTTTGGGAGACCCGTATGGGACGAACATTTCGACGACACTCAGCCTGTTGAATATGCTGCGGTAGTTGTCGCCGTTTCCATGAACATCGTGTGGATCCCGCATACGAATATCGGACAGGACCAGGCCCTCCCGGTAGTTGAAGCCTATATGCATTTTCAAGTTGGCCCATTGGATTTCCCTTCCGCGCATGGTAAAAGAAACCCCATGAGGCTGAGTGATATGGATCGGCTTGAGGAGGTCGTGTTGATAGATGTTCCTGTCCACTAACTCAGGGAGATAGTTATGCCCTTTCACGGGAATAGGCGTGCGCTCGCCATTGACGGTCCGGATATCCACCGAAAGTACCTCTTCGCGCTCCGTATCCGCAATAACGATAAAATCCAGTGGGTGGGCGTATTGATTGTCCGACGGTGATGCGCGATAATACGGAAGTGCCTGCTGCAACCTTCTCTCGAACCCCCAGCGCTCATCGACTCCAATTGCCCATCCATCAAAGAAGACTTTTGACATATCTGTAATTCCAAGCCCTCTGCAAGCCTCTATGACTTTAGGATGAACTCTGGCGATTCGTTCAATGACATCCAGATCTTCTAGGGTTAGTATAGGCATGACGTTCTTAAGGTCCTTCCAAGAATCGATCTTGCGCGCATTTAGATTAACAATGACTTCTGATACTTGCTGCGTGGCACGGGAGATGATAATTGACAGAGAACGCCGAGTTGGACGCGATCTGCCAAAGTCGCGGAAAGCGACATATTCAGCTTTCAATGGGTCGAGGAGCGTGATGCTGTTGAACTTGAGCACTATCTGGGCGGAGGCGCGGATGAGGTCTGCCGTGGCTGAAATTTCGGCAGCGGATAATGGATCTGTGCTAACAATGAGATCTTCGGCTAATTAGTCTGCGCAAGATGGGTGTAGGTTACCTAAAGGGTGCGTTGAGTCAACTCCGGGTTGTTGCTCCCTGGCACCCCAACCACAGGTGATTTGGTTCGCTTGGATGTTGGACATTTCTTCCTTCGTATTAATAAACCACTATCCAGTTGATTTTGGGGCATTTAAATGTGAGTTAAATGGATAGGAGCTCTTATATACCTTCGATATTCAAGACTGAAGCGACCGATACGCCAGCCAGTGTGAACAATTCTTACCAAATAGCAATCCAAACCAACTTTGTTTCCCGTTAAAGGCATCAGTTAGAGTTTCTCGGTTCGGCGTGTCCGAATTAAAATCGTTTCGTGCTGTTTATAGAATTATGTCGGGGCTCCCGACGGTTTCAAAAATACACTTTCCTTTTATAACACCTAGCTAATAAGGTTCGAAAGGTCAGGAAATCTCGCAAATAATCTGAATTGTTATTTATTACCTAGAAGAAGTGCTTGTTTGGCATTGTTAGTTTTATCCGTCGGTTCTCCCTGGCGTGGCCCTTTACGTAGCTCAAGGGCTTGGTGCTGAGCTAAGTATGTCTCCGGTCCTATGTTTCTTACTGTGATAGCCCATAAGCGGATATCAAACGGACCATCTATGTTTTATAATTTTCACAAAATTGATATAAGCACGCTAAGCTATCGGCGCAAAACTGGGCTCATTCAGGTTGCTTGTCACGAGTAGTCGCATTTTTTGGGTCCGGCCCAATCTGCATTTCCGGTACAGACTCTAATTGCAGCGCGTGTTCCATTTCCAGTATTGCAGCATTGGTCTGTAAATATGTCTTCTTTCCTCGGACAACCCAGAAGAATATTGCCACTACTATCATAACGGCGAAAACAGCAATGGCATAATTCATATCTGAGGCGGTAGGTCGTGGCGAGTATGGAAAGAAGAAAAGTACCGTAGTTACAGAGCAATAGATCAAACTGACCCAATTGATAAGAGGTCCCCAGTGGCCAAGTTGAATGCTTGCTGGTGGCAACTTGTCACGACCCACAACCACAAGCGTGAGGATCGGGATAGTATAAGATATTGTTAGCGCGATCGTACTGACGCTCAAGATAGCCTGCAAAACGGTCGTCGAAAACATATAGAGAACTCCGACCAGCGAAATGATTACTCCCTGAGCCCAGAGAGCTCGCACGGGAGCTCTCCAGGTCTTATCAATGTGAGCGAGGTAGTCGCTCCATGGCAATCCTCCATCTCGAGCAAAGCCCCAGGTGAGTCGAGAAGCAGCCGTCAGCATAACTGTGCCTTGACCAAGTCCATTGAATATGAACAAGGAAATGAGAGACAATGTGGCCTTTAATCCAACAGTTTGTAGCATCAATTCAACAAAAGGCAGCCCTGTTGGTGGGTTGATGACTTTGTCTGTGTTTTGAATGCAAAAGAGGCAGATGACCATGAAGCATATGCCGGACGTACCACCAATGATAATCGACAGATTAACGACAAGGGGGCCGTTCCTCCGCGGTCTCGGGAGTTCTTCGATCATGTGTAGAGTCGAATCATATGCGGTCAGTCCATAGGCGCCTTGGAGAAGTCCGAGGAAAAAGACCAATCCGTCACTCCAGCCGGTGAGATTAATCCATTTGCCAAAAGTGAACGATGCTGTTTGAAATTTGAGGTCCGAACGGACTCCAACAGCGATGAGCAAGGCAAGACTGAAGACAAAAAACAGGACGACGAAACAGCCGCCCACGAAGTTATTCAGCCAAGGAAGCCACCAGTCCCGACGACATGACACCACATTGACAGAGGTGAAAAACAACGTCACACCAACATACATGAGAAACTGGACATATCCGGTATTTGCAGGCGCCCACTCCTGATCAACAATAACCTTCATTTGTAACAAGAATTGCCCCATGAAGGCAACTTGCGAAGCGGTTATTGTCCACCACCCAAATGTAGTAATCCATGCACACATGTAGGAGCAAAATCTACCCCATGTGCCCTCCCACAATCGATAGGTCCAATATGCTTGGCCAAGAGTTGTCGGCATACTGCTGCACATTTCTCCCAATGAAAGGCCAACGCAAAGGTTGCAAAAGCTGACAAGGCAGACTCCCCAGATGATATCAATAGGACCCCCAGTGACTAGGCCACTGGAGAGGTCCTGTGCAAAGGCCGACCATGTTCCCAGAGCACAAAATGACATAGCTAGCATGCTCCACACGCTGAACTTGCGGGATAAGGCTTGGTCATGACCCGTTGCCGCAAGGTCAAGGACATCTTGAACACTCTGGTCTACCCCATCGAAGTCAATGTGTTTTTCCATAAATTTATTGGCGTCCATTGTTGTTGGCCAGCCCGGCTGGCGTAGGTTAAGGCAATGGAAATTTGCTTTATAACCAGCCAATACACGATAAATAGCATAGAATTATCTTCCGTGTTGCATAGTGTGCACTCAGGAGATGTATTCCTTTTTAAGGACAGCCGTAGGCCCAATGTAATAAGTTTCAGTGTTATAGGGGTCAATAATAACTAGTCTAGGAAGACATCCTTGTCGGCCCGCCCGACAAAGGTGCAAGGATCTCACGTACATTTTTTGTCAGAATAAGGGGCTCCCTTAGTCGTATTCCTAAATCACCCCGCAACTTGATGAGTCTTGCGGGGGTTAGAGACATTAGGTAGAGAAGCAGCTAAGGCTTTGTTTTGCGGATCAAATCGGCCAATGAGCAATTCATAATGATACAACTACAACAGACATTATGACAATAATACGGCCCAATCGCGAATCCCCAACTAACCTTCCACCCTTCCCAAAGAAACGTCAACAGCTATTGCCATATTCAGTACAAGCTTCCACGCCTATATGCGCATCCTACAGGCAGCTGTAAGTACAATCCCTCACGTTGAGTACACAAATTGATACTCACATAGTTGTCATCTCAAATGTGAAGACTTCGTTACTGAACTAGTTTGGGCTACGCACTGCTTGTATGGCACCGATGTCTGGTTCTTTCTTTCAATCCCAGCTGGGTGCGGCGCCCGTTCAGCGTTCGCTCTTTCTCGCTGCTTTGCGTTGTGTTTTTTGACGAGGAAAGCAGTAAGACACATGTTGTTGCTTCCTTTGCAGTCTGCTGCCGAAGTGGTTCTCGATAAGGACGAACCCGAATGAAGAGGATGGATATGTAAAAAGCTTCAGAGTGCTCAAAGCTTCCAGTGCCTGAAGGATGAAATAATTCGAAGATTCGTGCAGAAAAATGGAGTTTGGCCTGGACTATATATATAGAGTCGAGAATCATTCGCTTAGTCGACATGTGCACTTGAACAACTAGGAAAACAATGCGAGGCACACCTTGGCTCTTCAAGGCCCCCCATTTTCAGCTGGCTACCAGGAACTCAAAAGCGCCTTGATTTCTACTATCATCACAAGGGAACGGAAGGAGGCTAACTAAATGCGGTAATACATTCGAGCTATGCTGTAGATCCACTTTGTACTTGTACAAGGAGTTTTACTACCTAGGTCTCTTAGTCCATATAGCACTTAATTAGTAACTATATAGTGATGATTTAAACATGAACAAATTTCTTTCGTCCAGAACCTAATACAATGCTCCCGAACGTATAGATCACCAAATCCACGATGGATCACGTGCCATACTTAGTCAGATGGACGATCCTGGGTAAACACGGGCTCGCGCGGACACTTGTCACGTCCTGTTGGCTCGGTCCACCTTTCTCTTCGATTGACTTGGAGCCATTCCGCTATGCTTACTCGCCTCATTCGGATATTTCGCCGACTGCTCCGTTCTCGCATCGCCCGATTTCTCTTATTGACAATCGCAGTATGGAATATAGCCGAAGTCCTGCTGGTTAACCATCGATTGTATAACGCCGATAATGCTCAGCCCGACCTTTCAAGGAGACATGAACGCATTTACATCGCCAGTATCCATTGGAACAATGGACCGGTCCTTCGCGATTATTGGAACGATGCTGTGATCAAGTTAGCGGAGACAATAGGCCCGGAGAATATCTTTGTTAGTGTCTTTGAGAGCGGAAGCTGGGATGACTCCAAGGCCGCTCTTTTCGAGCTAGACAGTGCGCTAGATCGCATTGGCGTACGCCGGAACATCACAGTTTCAGATGTAACACATGCAGACGAAATAGCCGCTCCTCCAGCAGAGCATGGCTGGATTGACACGCCGCGAGGCCGGAAAGAATTGCGACGCATCCCGTATCTTTCTCGTTTGCGGAATATATCGTTGCAACCGATGTATGACCTACTACGTGAAGGGGTGACGTTCGATCGTATATTGTTTTTGAATGATGTGGTATTTACAGTATGCGACTCGATCCCTCAACGAATGGTATTATATGTACAGTCCACGAATCTAATTGGCCGCAATTAACCCAGACCAACGATGTGATGACACTTTTAAACACCAACCACGGTGAGTATGCGGCAGCATGCTCGCTGGACTTTTCCAAGCCGCCACGCTATTATGATACCTTTGCATTGCGAGACTCCGATGGCCACAAGCACTTGATGCAAACATGGCCGTATTTCCGATCATCAAAATCTCGGGCCGCGCTGAAAAGCATGTCGCCTGTCCCTGTGAAGAGTTGCTGGAATGGCATGGGTGAGTGGTCTTCTGTCTCTTCAAGGCCCAAACAGTTTTGTTTGCCTTGGGGCAATATCCATCCCGCGTCAGTCGAATTGAATAAGAAAGCTAATATTAGTCTTGTATCTAGTTGCCATGCCCGTGGGTCCATTTATTTCCGATCCCCCTCTAGAATTCCGAGGCGTCCCAGATAGTCTTGCCGCGTCTCACGTGGAGGGTTCCGAATGCTGCCTGGTACATGCGGATAACCCACTCTCGAAGAAGAAAGGTGTCTATCTCAATCCTAAGGTACGTGTTGGCTACAGTGGCCCCGCGTACTCCGCTGTCAACCCAGCACAACGATGGCTCTCTCCTCGAGAAATCTTTCTGTCTGGATGGGAGAACCGTTTCCGGCGCCTGTTTACAACGCCCATGTTCGAAGACTGGGCAATACAACGCATCGTCTCAAAGTGGAAGTCGCAAGACAAGAGACATGAGGAGCCAGGCGAGTTTTGCTTAATCAACGAAATGCAGGTTTTGGTCTGGAATGGTTGGGCTCATGTATGATAAATGGGTTTGAGGCAAATAGAATAATTCACGTACAGTCGGCTGGCTGCCATTTTGTAGGATTCCTGCTCGACATTATAGACTGCCCCACACCTGCGGTTTGCATTGTTTTCTGTTTACAACTAATGAAGAGGGAGAACACACTTAGTTACCCGGTCTAAAACAAACTCTTATTGCTTGTTTCTCTTCGGTCAGATGGAAATACACGAATCAATGTTGCCAAGGACACTATCGGATCCACTCTAGGACTCACCCCCGAGAACCCACGGTTTTCCGTCATTCCGATCTATTCTTGTCATTCTATTCGACGCCCAGCCACCTTCAACTTTTTCAACAACCGCTAATAATTACCCGTGTATTGAAGTCGGGAAGGGTCGGGCAAGCAGGAGTATGATCTATCGGACCTGAGAGGCATGGACTCGGTGACTGTCGCAATCAGCAACTCAGGCGACTATATACACTAATTTCTGGTAATTGATCGGATTCAATCTCACTTTGCCACTACTATAAGGAGTTTGAAGAGAGACAGCATTGAATTTGTTGATTTCTATATATGATTATAGGTCACCCTCCCACACCGTGGAAAATGCCGTTGAACCAGGTATCAAATTCAAAACCGACATCGGATTCCAGATTCAAATGATCATACGTTTCAATGTTGTCTTCGACCGAATCTCCCGATACCCCATAAAGGTGCAACTCGTCAGAAGTCGACTTCAGCGTCAAAGTCGAGAATTGTGCACAGGCGCGATTGAAATCGATCAAGTTGTCGGTATTTGGGCTTGAATCTTCAGAATAAAAAATGGTATCAATTAGCGCAACGCCTCGGTGAGCAAGCACATCGCCCTCCCGCATCGCAAGTCGAGACCGAGCCGCAGTGATGGCTGCCTTGTAGGTTTCGGTGGTAGTGGTTGGAGTATCTGAGGTTGCATTCAATTCAAAGCAGAGAATAACCGCTGCGGTGATGCAAAATGCCGTGTGGGTCCAAATCGAAGGGTTATCGTCTTCTGTTAGCTTTGCGTGTTCGCGCAGTATTGTTGTTGCGGCTGCCACGCAGGTACGTCTTGTATAGCCATACAACCGCGAAACAAAAGCGTGGAAAAGGAAAGGCCGATGGACCATGATGATTTTCTCGGCTGTTGTAATGGCAAAGCTTCTTCGAGCAATTGGTAACCATGGCACTTGCGCGTCTTTCTCCCTATCCGGCCGGAGTAGAAATGACGGTATATCTTTCACAATAGCCTTCATCTTCTGATCAATTCTCATGACATGAAGATACTGTTCCTGGTGTGGCTTTCGTTGTCGCATCGGACCCAGTCCATCGGCTAGCTCTGGCATCAGAGCCGCTAGCTTCGCCAGAACGCGGGCAAATGAACTGACTGTGGGAATATTTGTTGGCATTCCCAGTAGATCATGATCATCTGCATTCAGCGGAACGCTTGTGGAGAAATGGGCTGGGGAGATGCTGTATGTATCAGTGAAAGGGATGGCAAAATGGTCTTGGATCACCATTTGACACCAGACCCTCTTGCCGACCTCGCGCTCCACTCGCTCAGCCCACTGTTCTTCTGTTTGCGCTGATGAAGTTGGATGGTCCTTAATCTTGTGGACGCCGAGGCATTCGGCGATGCGGACGGCAGCGTTGAATAAAGTTGCGTTGAGCTGACTCAAACCGAGGATATGAGCCGCCTCGGTTGAGATGACAATGGCTTGCAGGGCATGGAACGATGTATTTTGAAGAAAGTCAGAGTTGTACAGAACTTGAATCATGTTGAAAAAGGGTGTTTTAGAAGATTGCAGAGCCTGGGAGTTGAGACCAAGGGAGTCTTTTACTTGGTCGCTATTCTGAATCGAGCAAATCGTGGAAGACAAGACCGAGAAATAAAGTGCCATCCACAGTGGATGATCGCATCTCCCGCTGGTCCAGAATATTTGACACTGCCCTAGAAATGTTGGACCATGAAGGCAGTTGTGATGCCATCCGAGATGGGAGATGTGGAACCGAACCAATTTCTCCGCAACTGCGGTATCTGGGACTTGGACAATTGACATCAAGGCCGAACCCCAAAACTGAAACGACTGGCTGTTCAGCGATAAAAATGGTTCACCATGCCGCTGATAAGGGCATGCGCACGTCCTATGAGGAAAACAGTCGGCGGAATTTCGACCCCACGCAAGATGCTCAATAGCGGTTGGCAGGGACAGGTTTGGTTCGTTTGAAGCGGCATTTCTCGAGTCAAATCGTATCGTTTTTCTCCCTCGTGTCGCCGACGAGCTTCGTTCTGGTGATGTCTCGAGGCTCTCTGTTTGCGAACGATCATTACCTGAATGCAGTTGAGAAATTCGATCTTTCAACCTTTGAATGGTCGAATGCGATGACTCTGGCGAAGACTCTTCTAGATCCGCCAAGATGGAGCTTAGAAACTCAATTTCTGCTTCGTTTTGTGGGGCCTTTTTGCGAATTTGTACTACCTCCCTTGAACAATGAAGGTTCCGTTGTTGGCATCTTGAGCAGGGAATTTTCTTGTCGCATTTTCTTTTCTGTCTTGAACACTCTGCGGAACTGTCAGCAGGGTTTCCTTCATCATGCGATCATCGGCCTTACCTTGACAGGCAAGTGGTTGACGCTGTGAGACCCGCATCTCGACAGCGACCGCGCGAGATTAGCAGGTGGATAAATGTATTAACGTTTAAAGTCGCTGCGCGGTCAATTCTAGTTGATTACCTAATGTCACACAAAGCTTAAATGCGGAGCCCCGAATTTCCGGATTTCATGCGGGCGACTTTATGAACTCGGCCGCTGCCGAGTTAAGAATATAAAAGGGACGCGGATGGCTGCTTTTCAATCGCATTTTCCCTTTCTGCTACTGTTACATTTACGATCTGACCCTTCAAGTCCTTTCTGAGAATGATCTATCATATATAATATTCTCCCAACACTGTCTTTTCTCACAATTACCTCTTCGGGACAAGTCCTACATCTCCACCCAATTAATAATTTATTGAGACCCAAATATCAAAGTCAGTATAACCCACCAACCTCTTGCTACCTGACACGAATCCGGAAATTGACGAGCCATACATAGAACATGTATATCGCCAATTTTGGCAGTCTCATGCAAGAGAGCTCCATTCTCTCTGCGAGATCAACAAGCTCAAATTCCAATACCGGTCTTTCCCAACCAGAAAAGATCACGCTCTGTGTTATAGCGGCATTAGCAGCAGTCGCGGCCGTGGCCGGAGTCCTAATAGCAGTTTTTCGTGTACGTTATCAGCGGTCGCTGCTTCGCAGTCCTCTGTTGGCCAAACAAAGTCGAGTACGGGGTATTTCCCGGTCAATGTTGGACACGCTTCCCATCATCCAATACGACGATACCGATGAAATTCCTCCAATCAGCCAGTGGACAAGCTTTGAGGGGTCCGCAAAGTCTGCTGAGGCTGGACACGAATACTCTCAGCGAACTGCTACTCCATGCGACACAAAACCGTCTGAGACGATTGGGGCATGCCATTCGACTTGTCCCATTTGCACTGATGATTTTGAAAGGAAACAATACTTGCGCGTTTTGCCCTGTGGCCACCAGTTTCACAAGGAGTGTGTCGATTATTGGTTGCTCAGAGTGTCGGGTACTTGTCCTGTGTGGTAAGTTTCCCTTCAACTTTGACAAATTCATGCGACAAGAATTTTGCTGATCTCTTCTTGATAGCCGTGTGGATCTCAACCCTTACGAAGAGACCAATATTAGCGATAAAGGCGACCTTTCACTAGATCTCGAGGCAGCACCACATATCCAATGCCCCAGTCCTGTACATCAGACCCCCTGAGGGGCGATTGAATATTATGTGCAATTATGACTTCTCTATATTTTAGCTGCACTCTTGACTTGCCTACGAGCTATTACTGGCGACCTACTTGCCTATTTGCCTATTGTAGTCCATCCTCATGTCATTTCTGACGCATACCTAACGCATACCTAACGAAGAGTTATAAGCACGCCTCACTTGGAATGGCTATCATGAAACAGACCAAAATGACCGATGTTTTCGAACATGTATGCCCCTGTATATTCTATATTTTCTCTGCCGGGTGGGGCTAGGCGGCCATCCCGAATATGATTATACTATCGTCGGAAAGACACTTCGCCAGGACTATAGGAAGAAGTCTCCGGGAAAGCTCAGCTATGCTAAATCTTGCGGGAGGCTTAAGGTTCAGCAGTCCCTGTCTTCCTCGGTACAATCAATTTAGCTAAAATATATTTTCTTTATGGTGCTAGAGAAATTCGCCCATAGGTTAGTCATGGGATGATTGTCGGCACGGCCATATATGAGGAAGCGGCCGCCGATCCTCCACGTGGAGTGCCCCACTGGGAGACACGGACTATCTCATCTTCCGGTCCACTCCTTTGATTCGGGGTCTGCCATCTAACTAAAGTTACTTCCTTGTGATGTCATTAAAAATGACAACCCAGCAAATTCATCAGATCGACCACATAGTTGGCTAGCGCAGCCATCGCCTCTTTCCTCTCATTCACCCGCGGCAATAAGATTGGAAATGTCTAACCAATTTGATCAGAATCAAGGGCAAACTTGGGCGCAATTCGGCCAGTTACTGGTAGCTGCCGGGCTCTCAGCCACAATCGGCACCGAACGAGAATTGCAGCATAAGAGCGCTGGGTTGCGTACTAACACCCTTGTTGGGATAGGCGCCGCTCTGTTTATGTTGATATCGAAATTTGGCACCCTTGATGTCCTGAATCGTTATTTGGTTGTACTGGACCCATCGCGGATTGCGGCACAGATTGTGTCTGGAATCGGGTTCATCGGTGGTGGGATCATCTTTAAGCAACGGAACGAGATCCGGGGCCTTACCACAGCAGCCGCAGTCTGGTTGAGTGCAGCAGTGGGAGCTGCATGCGGTGCCGGACTCCTCAGGCTAGCGTCCGTCTCTACTCTACTATATTTTGTTACGGTTATTATCTATCCGACATTCTGGCATTTTGTGCAACGACGCTTCACTCTACGAACTCCCATGGAAATTTCTGCGGTGGTCCGTTACAGGGCCAGAGCCAACGGCCTACAAGCTCTTCTGCAAACCCTAATGGGAATTGACTTCCATGTGCGATCAGTGACACGTTTAGAAGAGGTGGTGACAGATCAGGCGGGAAGTCCTTCATCAACCGCAGAGGATCAACAACGATCTGTGTCGAGCCGGGGAAGGACACAAATGGGATCTCGAAGAGATGTTGGAAAGCAAAGCCGAATCTTTGATGTCCACCTCACAGTAGATGGCCTCAGGACGGCAAATGACTTAATACATGCTCTTTCCCAATTGGACTGTGTCATTTCGATCTCTATTGGCGATGACCCGATGTATGAGGTACGAGAAGGAAATTTAGCAGTCTAAATCTAGGGTACGGTTTTCAACCATCAATACAAAGAAGGATGCACCGCAGAGCTGTCCGCGACGGTGTTCACCGGCTTGTTCCTGATAGCTAGAGAACTGGTGTCTCTGCAACAGTTGTTTCTATAGTTTGATATTGGGAGCCACCTCAGTATTAAGGCTCTAGCTAGAGAAGCTTGGTATAGGCGTTAGGAGCCAGTTAATGCCAACGCACAGGTCTGCACGCGCAAAGACTGGATAGAAAGGTATCCGAGATGGTTGTTCTCGACGATCCTCATACCATTACTTATATGGTGTTCTCATGGCTGTAAGGCCTGGGTTTAGCGTGTCACGACGCCAGCATTCGAAATTTCTCTCTACTAAATAATGACAGTGCGGGTGCGGGGGTGGATCCGCTGTGGACCTTCCCGTGGGCGGAAGAATACCACCATGAGTTTGTCAGAATGCACCACGTCAGAGACGCGGGTTCGGTTACGCCGGAACCCTTGGGCTCTAGGTGGCACATCTTACATATACCTGCAAATTTCTGTCCCCGAACCTCTCCTCCAACCTCCCATCGCAGGTTCAAGATGAAAGTCATCATCACTGGCGCCACTGGCTTTGTGGGTAGCGCGGTAGTGCGCCAATGCATTAACAATCCCGCCATCACGAGCGTTTTGATTCTATCGCGGAAGCCTCTAGCAACAGACATCTCTGACAATCCGAAAATAACTGTTATCATTCACGAAGATTTGGGAAGCTATCCAGCAGAGCTCTTAGCACGGCTTAGCGGTGCGGAAGGCTGTATATGGTGCGTTTACACTAACAGTCACTGGTCGTCGAATACTAATGCCGATGAACAGGACGGTCGGAGGACCAGCTTTCCGTTTCCCTGACATAGAAACGTGTCAAAAGGTACACGACTTCGCACTTACTGCTGCAAATGCCTTTGCGAGTACCTTAGCCCCAGCACTCAACGGGAAGAAGTTCAAGTTTGTCTTTTGTAGCGGAATTTGGGCGGAATGGGATCAGAAGAAGCCCTTGTGGTTCATGACGGACACTAGAAGGATTAAGGTTGGTGACATCCGATTACCATCGTACGTTGATTTTTAAGGCTGATAGCAATTCAGGGTTACATCGAGAAGCACTTGTCTGAGATTGCAGAAAAGGAAAGGGACGTATTCGCGGTCTCTAGCGTCCGGCCAAGCGTGATCATATCCTCCAAATCCAATATACTGATGAAGCTGTGTGGAGCGGCATTTTCCTGGATTGAAGACGACCAAGTTGCAAAGGCTATGATCAAGGAAGTTCTGGACGAAAGTTCTGGGAAAATCATCGAAAATAACCAATTGCTGAGGATGTAAAGAGGCGCCGGCTGCCGGTCGATCTACACTAATAGGTATTGTCAAGAATTTGACCCCTGCCGCATTCCATATCTTGTGCCAGTTTTCCTATTTTTTAATAGTCCATTATCAGTTAGCCCACCCCTAAATTGTTGGGCATTCCTGGATTTATTCTAATCAGACATTTATTCATTCGTGATGTGCACTTCCATTTTGGGACGTCGTACGTGCTAGATTTGACAGGGACGTATCTAACAGATCTATGTTTCGCAATTTTGCCCTCAAGACCCACAATCTAATTTCACTCAATTGAAGCCTGATAAGGAGATGTGAAAGTCACATTATTCCTGGTTCCATGGCTTCCAGAAAAGGCCAGTAGGATCCCAAAAATTCGCCAATCTCTTCAACTGTCCGACTCTGCCCCCAGTATGCAGCTCACTCAGCTTGGTGTCGGGGCCAAAGTTGTTCAGAATAGTCCGCGGTAGTTCCGAAGCCGAGCTACCCTGCCTGTACAAGGCTTTGATTCCTTTAGCAAAATCTGCTGCGGCCAACTTGGTCCTTTCTTCCGTGAACCAACTGATGATCAATGCCTGGGTTCCTCTGTCACGGTGACTGCAGTATCTCGCCTGCCCTTCTGCCGTGTTGCTGATCTCGATTTGTTTTTGTGTGTTGAAGCTACTCAAAACTATGGTGGTACGTCTTGCATCCTCGTGCTGCGTGGTAAAATCAAGCCATTTTCCAAATGCGGCCACGATAGTCTTCGAATGGGTCTCCTTAACCCAAGCAGATTGAATATCTTTGAATCCACCGTGCACGTCAAGGTGTGCAAGGCTGTCGTTCAATTTGGACATTGGTGTCAGTACTGTTTGTGCGCTGATGGTTTTGGCGACGATTTCCTCATCGAATAAGACGGGGACGATTGCTTCCGCATGATCTGGCGGGCCGTAATAGGTCACTGTGAGGATAATCATTGGTGCACCTGGCTTTGGTGCACTCGGTGGAGCTCTTGCGCAAACCATAGCTACAACCAAAGGTGGCGGAGGAGGTTGAAGTTTATCAAACACTCTGGCCGCAAGCTCAATCGCCGACTCTGGAAAGATGAGTCTGCGGATCCAAACCCCTTGCTCCGACAGTTGAAGATTGTTTAGGGGAAATATCCTCATTGTTAGTGAGGTGATCACTCCAAGCCCGTTGCCTGCTCCACACAGGGCATTGAACAGTGCAAGATCGTTGCCAGTCGACGAAGGGCTGACTTCTACAGGTCTCCCCTCGGCAGTGATCAAACGGACGGAAAGCACATGGTCGATCATCATCCCATGTAATCCGCCCATGGTCGGCTGTGTGAGCCTGTATTAGTACTTCACAACGAGCGCAACCCTCGATAAGCGACATACGTTGCCTCCGCCCAATATACTCCCGACAACACCAACCGCATTGCTGTTGACCCATGTGGTGTAGAATCCTTGGTCAGTACATGCCTTAACCAGCTGACTAGTCACAGCTCCACCTCCAACGGTGACTGTCTGAGCGTTACCGTCCACTTCAACCTTATCGAACCTTTTCAAGTCAAGATATAGTGTCTTAGAGGTAATTGGGACAAATGAGCCATGCCCACCGCCAGCAGGCAACAACTGGAGTGCATTCTTTGTGGAGTAGTCTATGGCGGCTAGAATATCGTCCTCGGATTCTGGAACAATGATAAGAGCAGGACGTTCTAGAATGCCCGTGTCAGACCATCTAGAGACTGAGCGGTATAGTGGTGTAGAGGTTTTCGAAACGATGACATCGCCTTGCAGCTGCGGGAGGTCGCTCATCTTTGTTGGTTTCTATTGGTTTCGATCGAGGATATTTTCAGGAATGGAATGGGCGAGGAGGTTGAGTTGAGATGGATGTCAGCACGGATCGCTGCGGATCAGTGTGAGGACAAGGCCACCAATAAACTTGTGGCGTAACGTCGATTCATCTTAAGCATTGGCATGACCGGGAGAAGAGCCACAACGCCACTTGCCATGGAGCGCCTGCTAGAGATAAGAAGAATAACTATACAGTCTTAACTAGGTTCCACTAGGGAAGCCAGTTTGGAGCGATGGCTTCTTGTTCTGATTTCAAGCAGGCAGGTGGCCACTGTTCCGCAATGAGTTAGACATTATCTGGTTTATGCAGTGATTCGGAAAAATCCGATGCCAGCGGTGTCGAAAGTTGATGAAATTACGCGAAGGCAGTTTGTGGAATGGCCCGATCGGAGAGAGCGAAAGATCCGGGAGCCGACGAACTATTCTTAGTTTCCGTGAGAGATCTGCAGGTCTCGTGGTCGTTCAGGCCAACCATCTAGCGGAGAGGCGAACAAGATCGGGCTAAATCACCCATTCTGTAAGACCTTGTTGTGTCCCTATTACCCTGTCTAGTCAAGCAACTCGTTACGATGGGTTCTTCAGGGACTTTGTTGACCCGCAACGTCATAGTAGTGGGTAACGGGTTGAACTGAAGTGAGACACCGCCATACTAGCACCAATTGCCCTACCGTTCATGCCCCCGCTTAGCAAGATCTCCAGGCGGGGGAACGGAGGCCAATTCCCTAAACAGCAAATCCCCTAATGTTTGTCAGCGTGATGTCTCACATCCTTGGAACCGAGCGCAAACTAGACGATAGCTTCAACCTTGCCAAACTAGTACTATAAAGGGACAATCTCACCTCCCCAAGTCACATTTCTTGCTCCCATCCACATAATCCAATTATTTGTCAGCGATCAATTCAACCATAACAAACCCCCTTGGAACTATTATTTTTCGCAATCACCGCAAAGATGAAAGTCGCCGCCGCTTTGTCCTCCCTGGCACTGATTCACGCCGCCGCCGCCCAGTATATCCAGTCGAAGCCTTTTGAGCTGGTGGTTTACTCTTCCAGCAAGGAGATCCACGGCAAGAAGATTCTCGCGTCGTGCCACGAAGGCGCCGCTATCGAATCGCTCTGCCTGGCCGGTGACGCCGGCTCCCATTTCTTCCTCAACACCTCCAAGGGAGAATATGCGCCCCTCAAGGACTATACGCCCGATGGCACCCTGATCTGGAACTTGCCCTTTGGAAATAAACGTACGTGCTTCCCATCCCCCTTTGAGTGCCACGTGCATCTGCTATGGAGGGCATCACTGACGTCTGTTTGTTTTGCAGAACACGAGTCCGAGCCTATGAGCTTCTACGTCGACCCATCCACCAACGTTGCCCTGCCTCTGTTCGTGCCTGGCTACGAAACCCAGAACGTGGCGTTCGAACACCCGACCGGTGAAATGGCCGTCTTCAGCTACCTCGATGATACCGTGACCCCTCCCACGGGTGACAAGGTCCGCGCCCTGAAGAACTGGTATGTCTGCGAGTACTACTACTCTGCATATGTGTACCACACCTTGAACTGGGTCTTGGGCGATGCCTCCGCCAAGCCGCAGAACCCTAGCTGCGTCAAGGTCTCGGTTCACCGCAAGTTTGTTTAGATCATCTAGTGTCGGGAGAACTGGGGGTTTGGAAAGAGGGCAGGTTAGAGAGCCATTAATGAAGGAAGCGTCACGGCTCAGTTCGAATTGTGTGTCTACAGTGAGAACTGGAATACTATGTAATTATCATCTTGCGTCGAAAACGATTACAATGAATGTTCAGCTAGTTCATATACAAGATCCTCCACAACCATCATGACTACTCTCTGAGGAAACTTATCAACCAGTGTTGAGGAATGCCGAGACAGTGCAAACCAACGTTCCCGGCTCCATCATCTTGCTGTCCACGAGGGATTTGCAATGATTTACTTTGTCCTTGACTCTGTCATTGGCCACGAGGTCGTCTAGCTTTGCTGACCACAAAGGTTTCCACGTCCTCTGTATCTCCATACTCGATGAGGCGCTCATCCCACCAATCAGCACCTTTGTTCCTCCGTAATTAGAAGCTCGAACAATCAAAAAGCCGCTGGAAAGAAGCATATAGTTTCTCTCTGTCCCGGGTTCATTTTCTGCTAGGTAGGGTTTGTATGGTCGGATGCAAAACCGGTGCGCACAGCAATCTATGTGAGTGTCTCTAATGGGATCAATAATAGCGTAAATGGTAGTAAGAAGGCGTTGATTGCTGCCTACTAATGAGTAAGAGTAACATGCTTTGCAAAGGAAGACACATCAAGACGTGAGAGTGGTAATGCACATTGTCGAAGAGGTACGTAGGGACAGAAAGGAGAAAAAAAGGTAAAAGAAGCGTGCAGTTCAAAGACAAGACATGAGTATTGAGGGATCTATCTGATGCGATGTATAATGCGAGCGATCAACTAACCAAAGTGGCTGAGTAACGAGGGGTGTATAAAGCGAGTGAGGAGAATCCAGTGCGGATTCGACGAATCAAGGGGCTGAGACCGTGAAAGCGAGAGATGCCGGGAAAAGAACAAAGTAGAATGACGGGTTCCAGGTTACTTTTGCCTGACTTTGCCCGCTTCCCGCACCTCAAGCATAAATCCGTCCTCGTTGCCCGCAGCTGTGAGAACCCAGTAATCACCGACGCCGGGGTTAACAACCTGGCCACCACCAAAACCCGCCGCGGCGGGGGCACTGTGACGCTCCTTCGGTTTTTGGGTATTAGTGCCGAGCTGACGGGGGCCCCAGCCGAGGATATCCCGGACAGCTGCGCGAGACTGGTCGTCCGACTGTTGGAACGAAAACAGCTGGGCCTGGAGACAGCCCAGGAGAGCGACGGCGGCGCGGATCATGACGCGGTCGCCTTCGAAGACCCAGCAGTCCCAGACGCGGGAGATGCGTTCGAGGTCTAGGCCGTTGGTCAAGAGGGAGCGGAAGATGGGTTCCCAGATTTCGTCGTCGGATAGCTGCAGTGTCTCGTGGAGGTGGACGGATAGCCGGTTGAATTTGTATCGCAGTGTGTCCGAGGCCAGTGTATATGTGCGCGCCATCGCACCGCGGTCCCATGTTAAAAAGGCTACGGGGAGCGGGCGATTTAGGGCGTTGGCCATGGCAAGGAAGGCAGAGGGTGGGGTGGGGAATTGGAGGACGAGCAGAGCGGCGATTGTGTGAAGGCCGTGTATGTATCCCACGTCGCTGCGGTACATCGAATACGCCTGCAGAACATCAACAAGGGTTTCTCGGAGCGGTCCGCCTTCCTGGAAGAGGTTCAGGTCCGGAAACGCCTTAGAGACGTCTGCCTGGATCGCATCGAAGGATTCGAGCATTCGTTTGTTGCTCTCAGTGGGCTCTGCGTCGGTCTTGGCTTGCAAGCTCTTGGCACGCTGTAATGCTTTGAAGAATGTCTCTTCGGTCAATTCCAGCTCGTTGCCAAGGGCGCGTTTCCATATGGCTCCACGATTCCGGGGAGGGATCCCTCGCCACCACAGCTCGCGAGTGCGAGGCTCGCGCAAGGCTCGGTCCCAGTTGGGAAACACATGCTCATCCCAGATGCTCTGGAGCGCATTGCGCGTGCTGTCCTTCTCACACTGGGCGGATGCAGCCCGGGAAGCTCTGCGTTTTTCTGTAGGCGACAGTCAGACAAAGGATAGCACAAGATTTATGAGAGGATACTCACCAGCTTCGCGTGACTGCGCCATCATCTGCTTGTACTCCTTCAAATGTTTCTTTTCTTCATTCTGATCCTTGGGCGGCAACCAGCTTGGGCGCGTCCGCGTCAACACCTTCTCCTTCTCCTTGCTAATGGGCAGCGGATCAATCATGATGTTGGACTTCTGCACCGGCGGAAGTTCAATCGGGCCGTTGGAATCCTGCTGCGAATCGGAGCTCGACTTCCGCGAGGACAGACCACTCTGCACGGACTCCTCGCGCTTGCGGTCGTTCTCGTCCGCGTGGTATTCCAAAGCCTCGGTAATGATCTTCGCTTCTTCCGACAGATCTGACAAGTAACTGTTGTACGAGTAGGCACGAGGGTTGCGCGGCGAGATTTGCCCACGCTCCGGCCCGGCGGAGCTCGACCGCTGCGTTGGGCGCTTCATCCGGGCTGCCCTAGAGGCATTTTGCGACGATTGTGACCTCTTATTCTCAACCGTATGCCCAAAGGGCAGCGGGCGCCGGCCTGGGCTGCGACCATTCGGGCTTGGATTGCGGGACGGCGGGCGCTCCTGTACCGGCCGGGGGGAGATTGGCACATTCCACAGACTTGCATCGTCTGGTAGGTCATCATCGGAATCATGATATTCCTCCTCCAAGTCACGAAGAGACTTGCGATTCGGTTGCCAGGGTTGCTTAGAAACCGGTCCTCGCGCAGACAGAGGAGACAATGCCAGGCTGGTCGTCGATGCTGAGCGGCTGGACACTGGCCGCAATGGCGAAGTGGATCGTGACCGGCGAGGCTGAATTGGGGTGAGGTTGGGCGAATTGACGGTGCTAGCTGAGTCCCCTCTGTTCCTAGTCTTCGCGCCCAGGGAACCCGAGGACTGAGGCGTCTTGGTTGCTCCGTTGATCTGGCTGTGCATAGACGGGTAGGGCCTCCTGGGCTTTGGCGTAGCAGTCAAATGGCGTGTTGTCGCGGACGGACTTTTGCTGACCAGTCTAGCGGTGGACGAGGGCGCGATCACGCCCGCCCGGGCATAAGCGGCCGCTTGGTCGACGTCGGGAAGCTCGGCATCGTCCCCCAAGCCGATCTCCTCGAAATTGGAAACATCCGTGAAGATGCTATCGGGCTCGTCTATTTGGGAGGAGTGGAAGGAGGACGATTTTGAGGACTTGGACCCCGACAGCTCGGGTGGGGAGTTGGGCGACGGAGAAACAGTGGTCATGATCTCATGAGGTTTTGGGTTTTTCCAGAGACAGTATTCCTCCACAGAGACTCTCTTCTCATCGGTGTTCCATACACAAGGCACGGAGATCGAGGGGGCGGGCAAAACAAAGCAAACCACGGGGCGGTACCGGAAGGGGTTTTGGCGATCACACGCAAGGATCGATCGAGCGTGGAAGAAATTGGGGGGGCGTTCGGTGAAAAAGACAAAGGGCTTATTAGCCTGCAGACCCCTCGCTGGAAGAGTGCTCGATTAAAGAAGTATATTGCAGGCCCAGCTGCAGCCTGATGGTGGCCAGATCAGGTCTAGTTTTTGTCGCAGAATCAGGAGGCGGCACTGCAGACGAGAGCACGGGGGGCCAAGGAGGCGGGGAAACGAAGGGGTTCAGACACTAATGAAGGTGGGGAGGAAAAGGAGCAAACGCAAAAGCTGAAATGGAAAAGAAAGAGAAGAGAAAAAGGAAAGACTGTGGGGGAGAACACTCAAGGAGAGAAAAAGAAGGTTGAAAGCGAACAAAGGCCCCAAGTCACGCATCCGGCGAGCCTCAGGCACCGAGCGTTCCCGGTCTGGCCGAGAACAGGGGCTACACTGGGAACGCTTATCGTCAGGGACGATCGGGTTGGGCACACTCCAAACTACAGGTATCGATCGCTCTTGATTTGGATTCATGTATACATCCTACCATACTGGTAGAGTTGAACCACACATCGCGCCTCGATCGGATTCCTCCAGTCGGATCGGCATCCAGTCGCAGGAGATCCGCGGTCTGGCCGCACGCGGATGACTCAGCTGGAGTATACATGGATTTTCATGGGATTTAGGGGATTTTAGGGTTACGGCGACACGAACCTTAAACCCGCGAGAAATAATTGCTAGGTCGGCAAATATTTTACAAAGGGTGGAATTGTCCCATGGAATCATACCCACACAGACTATCTCCTTAAAACCGCCATTCATCAAAAACGGCATTCCCCTTTCGCACCGCCTGCGCCATCCGCAGAGCCTCTGCATCCGAGGTCGGGCGTGCCTGTATCGCAAGCTGATCCAGCCACCGCAGCACGGTCGCGTACCGCGTTTGCTTGCGGACCAGCACAAACCGGAAGGCGGCAGCCGTGAGATACTGAATGTGCCGGCGCGCCACGAAGCACGAGAACGGAACCGAAGAAGAAGAGGGGTTGGTCGCAGCGCTGCGCGCTTGGATCATACGGGCGGTTTGTAGAACGAGGTCGTGGATGGTGCGGATGATGACGGGGGCGCTGGGGTGTGCGCGCCCGCGGAGTGATTTCATGTGGCTGTAGGTCTTCATGGCTGAGGCGACGAGGCTGGTATAGAGATTGACGAGCACGACGGTGCGCGAGTTGTGGATGTCATCAAGATACATTGGGTGCATTTGGAGGCGATATGCAGATAGCACTTTGCGGCGGAAGGCATGACCGGGGAGCCGCGCCGCCTCAACGGTGAGGGTGTTAGAAATCGTGGCGGCGGCTGAATCGCCGGGCTCTAGCATGCGATCGTGGTCGCGATGGATCTCCAGCGTGTGTGTGTCAATGAGGCACCCGCAGTATGGGAAGAGTGACGACCCTTCCAGCCGGGGAATATGTATGCCGTTGACGGCGGCGGTGAAGTTGACCAAGCTCTTGGCTGCGTTGACGGAGACGCCGTAGGAGGGCTGACCCGGGATCATGACTTGCGCAAACCGCATGGCCAGGCCTGTATCTGGGGTGATGAGAAGAAAATCATCTATTAGGCGAAGGAGCAGGGCATCCTCGTGTCGCAGGAAGCCCAACACCTTTCGTTCGAATTCGGCGTAGAAGAAGTTGCAAAGCAGACTGGACAGTACTGACCCCTGTGGGATACCGTTGCGCTGACGAAAGTACTTGTTGCCCATCTTCACCAGGTTATTCCGAACATGCTCATCCAGAAGATCCAGCAAGTCTTCCGCACCATGCGCCTTTTGGTTCACCGTGTCGACAAAGACGGCGTTTTCCGATCGTCCCTGAACACCACTGGTGATCAGGTCCGGCAGACTCTGCGGTTGCATGGCAGGCGCAGCGCGGCCCGCATATTTCCTTGAGGTCTTCCATTTGTTTGTAGGAAGATCAGATGGCCGTACCTCGACGTATCTTGTGATGTGGTAGGATTTTTCAGAGACCAGAGTCTCGATCAGATGAACCAGCTTTTTCTGGGGGATGGTATCGAAGCAAGCCTGGATGTCCAGTTTGACAAAAAAGAGTGGAGGAATTTCCGATTGAGCACCTTTGCCTTGACTTGATTGGCGTTGTGCAAGTTGTCTCTTGAAATTCCAAAGGCGATGGTACATATCCCCGATGGAGTGCAACGAGGAGCCCATCTTTGACGGAGCTCGCTGCCTCTCATAGGTCAGCATGTTGTAGATGGGAGTGATGCTCGAATTAATGCTGGGAGCATAGTAAGCCCGTTTTCCACCCCAGCCCGTTGGCTTCAGGCACCGTTTGCGCAGATTCAAAATGGGCCGGAGGCCTGTTGCCTTGGGCAACAAACGCAGAGCGCCGAAGCCCAAAGAGCTCTGTGCCACCACGGCATTCGCTCGCTCTATAGGCAATTCTTCAAACATAGAAGCCTTCAGTTCGGCAAAGGGTTGCTCCGTCAGCTGCTGCCAAACGTCCTGGCGGAAGTAGAAGAGACGATTGCGATGAGTCTGTGACTCGGTGACATAGAAGTTGGTGCGGATGAGGGGGATGAGAATGGAGTCAAATATGTAATACACGAATTCATGAAAAATCTCCATTCGTTTCTGGAAGTCAGACAGTGCAATGTTGTGCTTGGTATCCTGAAGTCGGGGGGTTCCAGCCACGGTATGCTGGTTATCTGAACGGATGGCGTCAGTGTCTCTGATGAACAATAAGTGTGGCAAACCAACCTTCATGCCTTTGCATACTTCATGCAGGCTGAGGCTCTCGAATCGACGCATCTTGATAAACTGGTCGATATGCTTGAGCACAATTCTCCGATTTGCGAGACCGTCTGCACCAACCCCGTAGAATGTAGGAGGAATGAGTTTCTGGATAACGGCTCGACAAAAAGCCGAGACGGATGAGACGGGGGTGGCATAGTCCATCATTCTGGTTTTGGGCTTTTGGATCATTTGTTGATATCCGGTCGTAGACTCCTGAGAGGCAGCTGGGTATTCTTCGCCGTCCTGATGTGGCGGGTTCATCTTCACCTGGCTTACCGGCTTGTTGCCAGTAGAGGATATAGGATCATCGGCGGCGCTTGTAGATTGTGTCTGCGAAGCTGGGCCGAGCCTACCTGGTCCAGTTGCCTGCTATGGTCAGTGAAGGTGTGAATACCAACCGACAGTTACTCACATCAGGAGGGCAATAGTGTTTGAGCAACTCTCCATAGGAGCATCTTGCGTGGCGATTTCGCAGCCTTTGAACAAGTTCGCCGGCTGTCCCACGAAGCCTCTTGGGTAGCTTTGGGGAATCACAGTCTTCGTTGACCGTGAGAGGAGACTTGAGCTGGGGCTTGCGCGTTTGTTTTCGTGCCTCGAGTTCTGATATTTCATCTTCACGGTCCATGTAGTTTTTAGAGTACTCGATGTTCTCGCATGTGAAGATGTTCTGCAGGCCGAATTGTCTTGGAAAAATGTACTTCATGATATGTGCTGATTGTTCGGCCGAGTTCCGGGACGTGCAGCGATTGAGAACGTCTAGTAGCAATGAGCCTTGCCCCGTTGATTTGGATTAGGGGTTTGGTACATACGAGCGCTTCCGAGTCCTAGATGAGACTTGCTGTCGGACTTACCGGTAAGGCGGGCGTACAGCATGCGCCGCCGAAGGAAGGTAATGCTGTTCAAACCACGGCCTTGACGAGCTTCGTGCTTTTGTCGTCCCTTTTCTGTACTGGGGTTCTGCTTGCAACCATGGGCCTGTTCCTTTCCAGTAGAGACAGCTTCACTGGGTCGCGAACCGGCCACAGGCTCCAGCTTCGACAATGGCATTCCTGTGCGATTCAGCACTAAGCATGGAACATAGTATAGGAGCCAGAGTGCATACCACTGAGCTGGTAGAAGATGCCTTTGCGGTTGTCTACACATGTGAAAACGCCACAGTCGAACAACAACTGCATCATGGTCTCCTCTCCGTTTTCGCCTAGCAGACCCAGGGCATCCGTCCACGGTGCTTGCTTGAGGGTCTGAACATTTTGGTTCGGGAATTGAACCGACAGGCCGGGGATGTCGGACTGCAGCACATTTGCGCCAGGGCCCGACCGTTGGAACCCCTGCGCGAGCAGATGTTGTGGCTTCTCGGTCACATTTCGTTGAAAGATTCTCCAGACCACAAAATCGACGACCTCTGATTGGGGACAGGTGGGCCCCGTGTCGGTGCTCACGAGAATGGACCGCGACTGCGACTGGGAGAATGCCAGATAGTCCTGCACCCGAGCCGAATCGAGAGTGGGAGACGACTCCTGACGCACTCCGACCAACGTGGAGTCGAGCAGATGTGCCAGGCCCGGCGCATCTTGCGACGCGAGCGACACGATCCGGCGACGACGCGACTTGGACGAGACGGGAAGGCGCCGAAGCAGGTACTGGCGCAGTGTCACGACCTCCGGGTAGTACAGGGAGATGACGGGATGGCAAGGGTCTTTGACTGGAGATATGGGTTGGGGGAGTTGGGTTGAGGCGCCGGGCCTCTTGCGTTTTCTGCCCATGGTGTGGTGGTGGTGGATGAGAATGAGAGCTGTTGCCGATCGGGGAGATCCGACACGAGCGCATACTACAGGTAGCTACCATGTGAGATGTTCTTTGATAGCCCTACCACGATTATGTCATTTCGACTCCTACTATACTCCCTCGTATATACTCTCGAGTAAATAATGCCTCAGATTTACTTTCCGTATCTCGGCACTACCCTTTGTTGCACGTTCGTTGACCCACGGAACGGCCGCGGTCTAGAAAAGGCCGTTGGTATTGCGTCTCCACTGCGTCAGGCACACAGGAACAAAGCATAGAAGTAGTCAAGTAGGAAAATAGGATCAAGGCAGGTAGTAGAGAAGAGAAGATAACTATGCCTACGAGACCACTCGACCGAGGACATTGTGATCCTTCCTCCATCTCGACTTCGCCCTCATTTCCTCTTTCTCTTCCCTCTCCACCGGCCCCCAAGATCCATCCATTTCTCCTCTCCGACTCTTCTCACTTCTCACCCTCTCTCTCTCTCTCCTACTTCTACCCTCGTTGAGCTCACGATCTGGCCCGTCCAGCAGGATCCGCGGCCCCTCTCTCGATCATAACTAAACTAGACGCCGGCCAAACGTCAGCCGAGACGCTACCCACCCTCATTCGCCCGCTCTGCTCGATTCTCCATCTCCAATTCACCTCTGTCCGCCGATCCCCCATCCTGCTCAATCTAACGACCCCATCCTTCTTCCACTGCTCCGTCGTGGGGGAATGCTTCCCCCCAAACCCTGGTCAACGCTGTCTTGAACATGAGTTTGATCGGGGGCGCACCACGCAGCTCGATTGCTTTGTAGCCTGAGCCGTTTCACCTCCGCCATTCTCGTTGGGTGAACAACTCGGGACAACTCATCAGACCAGCCCACCACGATCAACGGCCGCCGCCTGAAGCATGCAGGATGTCTGGCACCGACATCGAGCAGGCTTCTGGTGACCGGAACAGCGATCCGCCGTTTGGCCAGTCTCCCGCGCCAACCCATGCCCATGTCCACAATCCCAGTTCGTCCTTTGATGCCTCACCGACCGCCGCCTCCCTCTCCCCCTCCGCTCCTCCTCCGACCTCCACGTATCCTCCGCCCCCATCGGGCACCTTCGATTACCAGACTCGTTCCGCGTCGGCGAATCATCGTTCGGGGACCAAGCAGCACCGGGACTCGCCTGAACCCGATGAATACTATCGCCAACGTGGGTCCTCTGCGGCGGTGCATGCTGCGAGCAATGCCACAAGCGGTGTGAACATGGACCCGACCGGATATCCAAGTGCGGGCGACAAAGTGTCCCCGTCGCCAGCAAGCGTGCTGGGCCTGTCGCGCACCAGGTCTTCGACGTACCGTACCGCGTCTGCATCTGATTCGCCCACGTTGGGAAGCTCGTCCGCTCGTGCCCATCCGCCCGCCGCCTCGGTCGCCAGGTCTCGCCAGACATCGTTCAAGGACCTGATCAACAAGTTTAATAACGCCTCGGACGAAGTCCTTCCACTCCCTTCCGCCACCCAGTCGCGCGAGACATCGCGAGCAGCGAGCCCAACCGCCAGCTTTGACAGCCCAGAACGACCTCGTGCGCTGCCTCGGCGGCAGAACGTGGGTGATTCCACACAGTCAATATTCACACAGTCTATAACGAGCGCTCATCCCTCGCCTCTGGAACCACGAGGGAAATCGTTTCCAGCACCTCTTCATTCAAGCACTGCTATTCCGCCCCCTCTCTTTAACCGCATCCCAGAGTCACATCCTCGTCGAGCGCTGTATGGCGAGCTTTTGTCAGTCAACACGCAAGTCCAGAACTCGCTGTCCGGAATCCCGTCACATCTCAGACGTCGCGGTTCAGACGGGAGCATCGCCAGCCCGAACCCGGCATTTGTCGACAACCCCGAGTCAGCAATCTCAGGTCTGTCGCCGCTGACCCCGACTGCGTGGTACCTCGGACACACAACCTCTTTGGAAGCAGTCCAGCCAAGTTTCAAGAGCCATCGACGGGCGAGGAGCGATTTGGCGGTCAACACGGCCATAACGCCCCTTGCGGACCCTTGGAATCCTCACATGGCGGTTCCAGCACCCTTGCAGCAGGTAAAGCCGGGCAATGGCTCCCCAGGGAGTCCAAATTCGAGGTCTCGCATTCCTGTCTCCGCCAATCGTGCCAACTCTGCTTTCGGCCTTGAGAGTCCCTCTCCAACCTCCAATCCGACCTTTAGCAGCCGATCTGCCTCCATTCCTGTGCCCCCAAAAGGGACGAGCCGCCTTCCTAAACCGTCGCCGAAGAATAGTCCACCCCGCATGACGGAAGATGTGCCCACATCTCCCACATCGTTTTCGATAACGTCGCGTGGCAGGCGGGACCTGACGATTGGCCGAAGCCGAACTCAGGTACCCGAACGAAGCCAGCGACTCCAAGCTTACATTACTACGCCGCCGCCCCAAAAGTCTCCGCCATTGCGCAGTTCCAGACGACAGTTTTTCTCCAATGGTAGTCCAACGTCGCCACGATCGAGAGTTGGTGATACGTTATCAACCTTCCAACGATACAATACTGTCCACGAGTCCGGTCCGCGCTCACGTCCTCGGCAACGACAAATACCCGAATTGGGCAACGTGGATTTTGAGACTCGCCGGCAGCGCATCCAGCAAGCCTTTAATCGGACTGTCCAGGAGAATGAGAGAAAGGAAGAAGCGGCGGCGGAGCTTCGACGTCAAGCGCGGGCAAAGATTCGGAAACACGAGGCCGCCCAGTCTCCGACGACGGACCATACCGCGACACCTACTACAGAGCAACCCGCACGCCAGCCGCAAGGCGAGATGGCCACTACTACTGTGGAAGCGTCAGTTGGCGCCGTCGCCGACGGCGAAAAAGAAAATCGCGCCCCTCCTCACGGTAACTTCGAGACGTCTCCTCCAGCGCCGGAAAAGGAGCCGCCCCGAACGGCAATGGACTCTCCCACGCTGGGACTGCCGCTTGAACGGCCACCTGCGCAACAAGAATCTCGTTCTGAGGGCACTGCCGCCCCCGGCTCAGCTGCGGGATCGGAAGATACCCACGTTACTACTTTTGACCCCGAGCCGCAATCCGGACCGGCCCAGCGAGCCGGAGGTGCAGCTCACCGGACTTTGTTTAATCATATAATGCAGATTCGCGAGTCTAGCTCAAGCGATTCGTCCTGTGATGAAGCGGAGTGCAGCCTTTCAGAGGCAGATGACAAGGAGTCGATCCAGGTCATGCTTCAGAAATCGACATACTTTGATTCCTCAAGTAGCACTGACACTCAGGAGCCTCCAGCATTACTGATGCAACAAGCTCAGGGTGGTGACACCGTGCTCAACCGATGGAGCATGAGCTCATGGTCTTCGTCGGGACCCAACCACACAGCCTTTGATGAAACGTGTGACGAGAGCAGCGATGATCTTCCATTACAAAGACCTTCATCTCGGCATACGAATGAGGCGACCACTCAGTCGTGTTCAGCCGCATCAACGCGCCCCGCCTCCGTCGTGGTTGACGAACCCTCTACCTCTCCAGTCCAGGACCATGGCGTGCTGGGCCCTCAGACTCTCTTGGGGGGACCAGATCAGCAATGGAAGCCTTTCTTGTCAACTCCTCCGAGCTTGGCCAGAAAGGGAAGATGGGACTCGAAGCGGGTGACTGCACTCTATCTGAAGGAGTTGACTCAGGGAAGAGGTCACAATATTCCCCTCCCACAAGTCCGAGCATCTCCGGAGCCTCCTCGTTCGTCTGATTCTACTAACCCACGCAACGATGGGCGAACCGACAGTCTTACGGACGATCCAGTTCTCGTTCCGCGAGCTGAAGACGTCCCGATATCAGAACGGCTCACGCATAGTGCGAGTCTCGTCGGGCGAGAAGATTGGCTGCATGCCTCGCCTTCTATTATGGATTGGATGCAGGTCGCCGCTGAAGATGAAACCGTCACCCCTTCTAATGACCGGCCTGCATTCGTGTCGGATATTGCGACTGTAACCGATGCAGATTCTTCTCACAACCATGGAGCAGGCCTCGGATTATCTATCAATGTCCAAGCTCCTACCTCAATCCCTCCTGAGTTCCAACCAGCGCCTGGTGGCATTTCGACCGGAAACGAATCCACTCCTGTTCCTGCTGCTATGAAGCATCACAGCACTGGAAGCAGCGAGAACTCTTCTCTTCGACATCTGGAACCTACACCATCCCCACAGGCAGCTGACTCTTCTGTCACCTCCCTGGTACCGTCCACTGAACAACCCCCGCGAGTTGAGGCAAACAAGTCTCCTTCTCCCGAACAGCGGCGCCTTCGAAAACGACGTCATATTATTAAGGAGCTTGTCGATACTGAATACACCTTCGGTCGAGACATGAAAGTCGTGGATGACATCTACAAAGGAACCTCGAGTTCATGTTTGGATCTCTCTGCAGATGATGTGAAGATTCTTTTCGCCAATTCCGAACAGATTGTGCAGTTTTCTATCAGCTTCCAGGATGCCCTCAAAACGGCGGCGCGAAGCGTATACGTGATGCCAAAGTCGCAGCGATGGGGCAGCAAACGCACTGCTCACAATGGCTCCTCAACTGCCGAAAGCCCTGAAGAACCGTCACACATCCAGACCGCCAAATCGGATCTCGAGAAGGACCGCTCAACCTTCGTCGGCCAGGCTTTCATAACCCATGTGAGCTCGATGGAGAAAGTCTATTCTGACTATCTCAGAAATCATGATGCTGCCAACAAAAAACTACAGACTCTGCAGCGTAACCCGAAGGTGGCCATCTGGTTGAAGGAGTGTCGAGACTGGGCAGCCGATCTCACGACCGCCTGGGACTTGGACTCGCTGCTGGTTAAACCTGTTCAACGAATCTTGAAGTATCCTCTTCTTTTGAACGAGCTTCTCGAATCAACACCCACCGACCATCCGGACCGGGCTGCTCTTGCCAGTGCTCTGCAGGAAGTCACGAACATTTCTGTGCGCATCAATGAAATGAAGAAGCGAGCAGACCTTGTCGGACAAGTCGTTGGCCGGAAGCGCAAGGAGTCTGATGTGCGCACCGGCTTGTCCAAGGCCTTTGGCCGTCGTACCGAGAAGTTCAAGCAAAATGTCGGTCTTACGGATCTGTTTGAAGACAAAGAATATGATTCTTTGGCGATGAGGTTCGGTGACGGGTATTTCCAGCTGCAGTTGGTCATGCGCGACGTGGAGGAGTACATCAATGAGATCCAAAATTTCATGGCTCGTTTCAACGAAATCGCTGCCTCGATGGAAGCAGTTGTCGACGTGTCCCCGTCCAATTACCCTGAGCTGGAAGGCAAATGGCGTCGTTTCAAGAAGACCGTGTGGGATATCATCACCACCGCCCTGCCAGAACATGTAGGTTTGCCTTGTTCTGTCTGTCGTTTGAAGTCCTAACACAGTTCTAGCTCGACGTTATCCGCAAGAGTGTTATCTCTCCGATGGTGACACTCATCAAGCTGCACGATGGGCCCCAAAAGGTCATGAAGAAACGGAACAAGCGCCTCGTTGACTACGCAAAATTCAAGGCTGTCAAGGATCGCGGTGATAAACCCGACAAGAAGATAACCGAACAAGGGGAGCAGTTTATGGCCTTAAATGACACCCTCAAGGACGAACTCCCCAAGCTCTACAACTTGACGGCCAAGTTGGCGGAAACCTGCTTGAAGAACTTCGTCCAGATTCAGACCACTTGGTGGAATTTGGTGCAGACGAAAATCGAGCCTCATGTCGAAACGTTCCCTGATGATCTCCAAAAGATTATTAGTGACTGGTCCAATGACTACTCTTTCTCGGAGGCCCAAATCCTCTCGCTCGGCATCTGCAACGGGTCCTCGGCAGCCGACACCGTCAATCTGGTCAATTTCAACGCGCCCGGGTCCGCTCTGAACTCGCCAAGTCGACCTTCCAATAGCTCTGCTCGTCCGGGATCTCTGATGGATGAGTCCTCCCCCAAGGTTTCGCATGATTACAGTATCCCAAGCACGTTCTTCCAGTCCCCTTCAATGGACAGTGGTCAGTCGACCAAGAGCCGTCATCGGACCAATTCTTCCATGTCTGGTCGGGCTGTTTCCAATAGTCAAGAGCTGCAACGGAGTCAGATGCTGCAGCAGGTCACCAATAATCCAAGCCCCTCCCAGGGCACCAAAGCGACTGTTGGACCGACAGAGTCCTTCCCCAGCCTGCCTATGCTGAGCCTGGACACACCTTTCCTTGCCGATATTCTCAGCGGCACGCCCGAAGAAAATAATCCCGCAACCTCTCCTGCCGGTCGCTACTCGGGCTTTTTCTCCTCTGCCTTGCCGATGGATGCCACTGACTCGCAACCCGCCGAGCAAAGCAGCGCAGCCACAGCACCGAAGGTGCTGTTCCTCGCAGCTAGCATCTACGAGTTCAATATTGACCGCGCCCGCCGCGAGGCTGGATACCCCTACCTCACCTACGTTGCCGGAGAGATCTTCGACGTTATCGGCGAGAAGGGTGAGCTCTGGCTCGCTCGCAACCAGGACGATTCCACCGGGCAGGTGGGATGGATCTGGAATAAACATTTCGCCAAGTTGTCGACATAGACAACCGTCGTGGATTGTCGTGATCCTTCTTCCTTAATCCTTCTTCACTAGCTCCGTGCCCGGACTCTTCCATTCCATATTTGTTTGTGTTTTCGCCTTGACTGAGGAGTCTCCTTATCTGCCTCTTGCTATCGGACATTTTCTTCCTTTTATGTCTCGCGTCTGATGGATTTGCTACCGGAGCATTGGAATGTACGCTTAGATACCCCGTTTTATGGATGGATGTTTGTTCTTTCATTTCTTCATTGTAGTTGTAGCCCTAACCGTATTCCTTGGCTAATCACGTGCCTGCGCCGCATGTGACGCATCGGCCTAACGTCTTGGTTCGATCGCAGGGATTCATGTCCCTCACTACTTCCATGTCTCGGTCCACTTTGCAATTTTCCTTTTCTCTCGCATTGCACTGCCTGTTCCCCTGATCCTGGGCATTCTTTCCATATCCCACTCTCGTGGTGGCGACCTTGCATCATCCTCCAACTTGCCCCCCCTCCGTCCCACCGCGACTCTCCAGCCTCGGTCGGTCGCATTGACGATTGCGGCGGGTGATCTCCATACCTTCGATCTAGTGTCCCGCGCCCCGTCCTTCTTGCCTGTTGAGCCTGCCTGCCTGCCCTACCCCCGTGTTCTGCCCCCGACAACAGCCCTCAATTCTATAATCGTGAATGTTCGCGGCGTTCCTCGTTCAGGCCGCCACTTTCTAGACCCGGACGGCCTCTCCGGAGTTGTATCCGGGTCGTTCGTTCCACGGAACGTTCTTAAACCGAAGGCAGTGGCAGAGAGACTCAAACAGTTATTCGCGGCTTCCATATTTCCCGGGGGTTTACAACTGATTTGGCTCGATCGCTCGACCTAGACGGTTATCGCGGCACGGTCTCTTGGCGTTGGAAGCAAGGTACTTACTGTACGGACGACAACTGGTTGCGCGTCAAACGCCTCGGCAGTGGCGCTGTGGATATTCAGACGCCGGGTTTTTCTTCGGCTTTTCTCCATATACACGCATCGCATTGACATATTGTCGACATGTTGGACGGCGGGTTGAACAAGCTGCACAAGCGGATGCGGGGGCGGTTTGGTGATACCGTAAGTTTGCATAGCGGTGATCTTATGCAGAGGACGTACTGACCTCGGGCACAGTTGAATCCGGACGATGCCTTCTTGAGCTGTGAGTTACCCGCACTTGATTATCTGAGCGTCATTGTCTCGAATGATATACTGACCAGCCGCGTTTTGGAGTTAGACTACGACGTGCGATGTAGGGCTTTGTGATCTCCCGAGTACCATGCGACAGCCCCGCTAACAAGAAGCTCAGTGACACGAGAGGACATGCAAACCCTTAAGAACGACTGGCTCACAGACAACGTGGGTTCCAATTGTGAAAACAATTCTTTTGGATAAGGCACCTGGGCTAATCTGTTACTAGATCATCTCGTTTTGGGAGGAGTAAGTCAAGTCCCCTCGATATGGACGACACGCCGCCCCGAATCCTGACACTGAAACTGACGCCCGTCTGCCTCAGATATCTTGAACACGAGTTCCTCACCAAATTCAAGTCGTCCAACATCGTTCTCCTCCGTCCCAGCATGTCCTTCATGATCCTCCAAACCCCCGATCCTCGCACTCTCCGCGAAGCACTCCCCGATTTCAGCCGAGCTACGCACGTCTTTCTCCCCATCAACGACTGCCGCAACGTCTCACAAGCCGAAGGCGGCACGCATTGGTCATTACTTTTGATCTCGATTGTGGACCGAATCGCGTTCCACTACGACTCGCTGTACCAAGGAAACGTCTGGGAGGCTGACACTGTCACCCGCAAGTTCGGGGTCATGCTGAACCAGCCGATCCGGTTTATGCATCTGAACGATTCCCCCCAGCAAGACGGAGGCAGTGACTGCGGCGTTTTCGTGTGCTTGAACATGCGCCATCTGCTCATGAGGCGGTTACTCATGGCCAGCGCGCACGAGAAGGTTAGCATGAGCCTTGGAGGGCGGAAGGTCGATGCCCACGCTGGCCGTAAAGAGATGGCCAAGATTATCGAGGGCTTCCGGAAAGAAGGCGAGCGACGACGATCGTAAGTGTCAGGTCATTGCCTCTGTCTGTTCTATTCAAGATCCGGAAGCAAGCAAGCTAACGCACATCCACCACAGCACAAGCCTCAGCCCGATGGGGAAGAAGTCCCGCAGTCCACCGCGCGTGGATTGATTTTATGATTGATTACTGACATGACTTTTCTATGGCATTTTGATTTCGTCCTTTGGTTCTGTTCTGTTCTGGGGTCCGAATTGGGGCTCAATGGCTTGTTACTGATACTCACTGACGATGACTTCACGGCCTTGTTTATTCATCCCGTTCTCGTCCATACGTGGCATTTATGTTCATTGAGAAACAGATCTGCTCCGTTCTGGTGTAAGACCGGCGAGTTCCGTGTTCCGGCGTTGTAATTCGAGGTGGCGGTGGGTGGGCGCATGGTGTCCTCGAGCATAGCAATGAACAATTCGCATTCTTGTTGGGGTGTGTAGGAAGAAAGAAAGTAGTGAGCACATCAACATCCCGAGCATGGGGAATCAATTGACTGCCAAGTCATTGCCAAGTCATTGCCAAGTCGTACTACGGTTTATTATTCCCCGCCTAGTCTTTCTCGATCTATCTTGATCCCCCGGGAAAGATCGTCTCCAAGGGGGCCCATGTCGCCCTCAGGTTCACGGCGGACGCAGACTGAGAGGGCGGGATTATCGCTGCGGCGGAGTTAATGTGAGCAGCTATGGATTTGAAGGATGGTAATTATAGATTGTAACTGTCAAATATACTTCCAAGATGGTGGCATGTGGTGGTCCAATATTAGGCCCTGCGCAGCTAGCCCTAACTCGGTCCACCCAGCCGGATCTAATCTAATCTGATATTGATATCGATATTGCATACTCGGGGTCAAAGGGAGATATTCAGTCTATATAAAATACATCACACATCATGCCTGGCTTGTAGCAGTTGTATGGCTTCTTCCAATCGATATCCATACTGACTGGGATGGTGTTCTGGTTCTGGCGGTCCTTCCTCCTTCGAGCTTGTTGTTTGCCAGCCAGTCGCTCCTTCCCTCTGCACAGTGCTGTCCTCTCCTGTTTCCATGGAACCTCGTGTCGCGTTGTTTATATTCGCCTGTTTCCCTCTTTTCCCTCTTCCCTTCTTCCTCTTCCCTCTCCCACACTGTGTATGATCTTGACATGAGTCTCTAGCTTTTTATGCTTCTAGCGTTTCTCATCATCATCATGGTGCTTTCCGCTTCTTCCACGTTTTGCTCCTGCTGCCTTTTCTTCTCTCCGCTCCCCTTCGCCGTTACAGAGGCTCCTCTTTCTTTCTCTGGTCCCCTCCCTGACCACTCGCCCGCATGCCCGGCCACGCCACACGAGGAGGTGGGGCCTCCCGTCCGGCCCCGGCTGCGTCACGCCCGGTCACCTCGCACCACTCGCTATGTTCGAGTTCGTGCGCGTTGCGTGGATGCTTGGAAAGGTTTCAGCCTTCCAGTCCGCGAGGTGAGCCCTCTGCCCTCTCCCGTTTCCTCCCCCGAGTCTTCTGTCACTTGCCCCCTCCCTGGGTCTCCTCCCTCACCCAGCATGTGTTTCTTCCCTTTTGTTCCACCTTCCTCTGCGCCTAGTCCTTCACTTTTCCCCATCCCAGCGCTTCTCTTTGCTTTGACTACGCTGCCTTTGCCTGTCTCTCGCTCTGTCTCGTGTTCTGCCGCCCCTTCCAGCCCCATGGTCGATGAGCGCATTGCTGCAATCGCTCGAGGTGAGAAGATTGCGGTCCATTGGGCCAATTTCGGACCGCCTAAGACCTGTCCTCCTCTCCGTCCGCGAAAGCGTGTTACCTTTGGTGACGTTACTGTTGCCGTGGTTTCGCGCTGGATCGTGCGTGAGGAGCACGTCCACTCGTTTCCCCATTGCCCTGCCCCCGATCCGACCCCTATCACTCCTTCCCTTGTCCCCCGTCACGAGACAGGCGGTCCCTCTCCCTCCCACCATGATGATGTCGGTGCGGTGCGTGTACGCCGTCTCCAGACCCATCCTTCGGGTTGGATGGAGCGCCCTATCGTATGGGTTTTTTTCTTGAGCCTTCTTTGGGCCTTTCTGTTCGTTTTGGATGTCTTTCTCCCATCCGTGAACTAGCGACCTTACCGGTGAGGGTGAGGTTAGTGTTCTGCCACTCCTTTTTTCTTTTTTTCCTTTTTTTTTTCAAGACGAACCCATACCCTAGCCGCTCGTTTTCTTCCGTCCCGCCCGCCGATTTTTGATCGAGCACCGGTCCTGCGAGGCCGGTGCCCTGTCTCTGCTGATTTGGTCACAGGTCTACTGCCGAACCGATCCGCGAAGAGGAACGTCCCGTGTCTCGAGGGACCCGGAATCCCGCCAGGACGTATGGTGGCGTGGTACAGTTAACCACCCCGTAAGTGCAATCCGTCCGAAGTTTGACCGTGCTGACCGTGTTGTTGAACAGTGCTGTGTAACGACAACGGCCTGGTCTCATGGTCAGCGGAGGCCAGCCAGGACGGTGGTGGCATGGTCCATTTTACCACCATGTAAGTTCATCTTGTTCTGCCGCCTTTGGCTTGGCTCAAGCTGACCGTCTTCTTATACAGTTGTTGCTCGGAGAAGGCGCCTTCTTCGTTTGATTTCATCGTAGCTCTCGCCGTGCGAGGGGTATGGAGAAGTGACCGGGCTCGCAATGTATTCTAGAAATCAATTGCATCTTCATCGCTCTCTTTTATCTGTGTTGTAATGAAAATGAGTATGTGTCCAAGAACACCCATAGATGAAGTAGTTCGCGGACGTTGGGGCAGGATTAAATAAAGTGTGGTCTGTGCGAGAGTGGAGAATGTCACGGGGTGGGCGGACAGGGTAGTTATAACGACGTATGAATGGCCTGATCTGTGAAATAAGCACTCCGTCATCCAGATTTAACTTGCGGCCCTGAAAGAAGCCATGGAGCCATGCAAATGAGTGCAAGTCCGGACGCAAATCATTCGAATCTATATTTCGAGACGGCAGTATGAAGAAGGAAGAGATTAATTCAATAAAAAGGTAGGTATCGTATCCACTGAAAGTGTCGAAGAATGAAATCCATATCTATAAATGCGCCTGACCTGACTCCAGTTTAGATGGAAGCCAAGGCCGAAGAGGACAAAGGATTCGACATAATGGACACCTCATCTCGACAAAATATACAACCCGCTCAGGGGCTCGTGACGCCGGTCATGATATCATTCCAGACACGCGCAGCCTCCTCGCCCCGGAGACCCGACACGGCAGTTTGGGCCTGGTAGCACAGATCAAGAGTCGACTGGGGAGCATTGCATGGGCTGCGCAGACGATTGCAGATCAGGCCCGCCACCGAACCGATGGACGTGTCGCTGCCGAAGGGGAAGTCATTTTGGTTGTTCGTCGTGAATGCGTATTCGTTGCGTCCATCCAGCCCAAAAGCCCACTTGATTGTCGGATCGGAGCACCTGCCGTAGTCAATGTCATTTGTGGTGCTTGTGCAGGATGGGTCCGTGGTGGTTGTGGTGGTGGTTATGAAATGTGTCTCCGTCCTGGTGTGGGTGATGGTGTCTGTGATCGTTTGATAATCGGTCCAAATAGTAGTGTCGGTCACTGACACGGTGACCGTGTCAGTTTCAGTGACCCCGGGCTCGGTTACGGTTGCGCCGCCAGTCGTCGTGGTCACGGTGGCGGTTACTGTCGGTCCCGGCTCAGTGATGGTATATGTCGATGCGTCCGCCGTGATCGTGGTCAGGTCCGTAAATGTGTCGGTGCAGTCGGTAACCACGGATATGACAGTATCCGTGATTGTGTCTGTCGTGGCTGCACCTTCAGTGGTCACGGTGGAGGTAATCGTCTCCGTGATGGTGGCCGATCCGAAGTCACCATCAGTAGTGATAGTAATCGTCGTGGTGGGTTGCGGAGGGCTACATGGGTTTGCGTAAGTTTATGGTTGCTTTCTACAAAAAGATTAAGTGGACTTACCAGTCGGAAGTTACAGTCACTGTCGTGGGAGGACCACCACCAACCCACTCACCATCACACCCATTACCACCACCGCCATGACCACCACCTGGTCCCCCCCAGCCCTTGCCCTTGCCCTTCCAGCCACCACCGCCACCTCTATTGGCACCGTGGCTGACAGCTCCGTTACCGCTGCCAGCCCAGTTGCTCGGCCAGGCGAAGGCGCTGGGAACAGCGCCGGGGGCAGGGTGAGCCCCGGCGAGGGGTAGCGCCTGCACCAGCAGGGCCGAGAGAGCAATCAAATCCGAACGGGCGGGCATGTTGACTGCGTTTGAAGGGGAAGACTTGAGAAGAATTGAGAAGGGCGGAGTCCTAGGGAAGAAATCAAACAAGCGGACAGAGCCTGGTCCGATATGAAACAATTAAGTCTGGGCCAAAATGTGTTCGGAAAATTATCTCCATCCGTTGCGGATTGCAGGACTAGGTTCGGCTTAAATATGCCCTCTGTGCCCAATACATTGACTGCAGACTACTACTACTACTACTACTACTACTACTACTACTACTACTACTTGCTATATTAGGATATCACAGAGGCTCCTTCAAGAATGCATGAATCCCAGTCTACGGTCACAGGAATGACAATAATCAGTGTGGGAAACACCCAGTCTGGACTATATGTTCTCCGGCCAACACTCGGTTGCTCATGAGCTACCATCCCAGCTAACCCGTTCTGTCCGCATTGTGAAAATTCATTGGCTATTGTTCCTAATGTTTGGAGAAAGTATCCGCCCACTGAACTGCCAGCATTCCGGGACCGAGCGTCGCTCGGCATTGGTTATTGAGATGTATGTATTAAGGGCAGAACTACTTTCTTCGCTGCCCCTTGCTACAGGATGAGTTTTTGCCAAACTACCCAACAGAGCAGAGAATGCGTACTTCCGATCCTGGTACCGAAGGGCTGGGAATACATTCTTCGAATCCTGGCATTCTTCAGATCTTCGTTTATTCCTTAATACAACGCTAAATCATGTCACATTGCTCTTTTAACTATTACCCCCCGATTAGAGTAGTCAATAGTTCATGCGACCCTTTTCGTTGTTATTCGGTCAATTGGACAATATGGTTCTCACCAAGACTGATGCACTATCAAGGAATTAGGATCCTATTGATCCTGAGAAAAAATTCCGAATTGCATGTAGTCTTGATTAATCCTGTTCTACTTTGCGGTCTGATCAATTGCCTAAAGCAAGCCAAAGTAGAGAAAAAAAAAACAAACGAACTTTCAGGAACGCAGTGACGATCTCGATCCGGCAAGGGAGGAACAGGGATCGTAACGTAGATCTCCGGATTCCAAGGATCCAAGGATCGACGTGCCGCTGCCGCGAATTGCGTCATTGTGTATTCTTCCTCCGATCGATCTTGCACTTTCTTGGGCAAAGAATAGAAGAGATATCGGCTCCATCGGGAAGTGTCCTCTGTTAGCATGATCCCATTTGTTACTGGACAGGCAATTTAAAACCTTCATCAGAAATTACAGACCTAATTGAACCTGCCGCCTCGGATAGATCGGGCCTGAGCCGCTTGAGTGATATATATTGTAACCCCAATGTCATGTTGATCCACCAAACATATATCTCTCGTCAGGACCAACTTTAATATGGATTATTAACGTATGTGACGTCCCTTGTTCTCCATTCTTAGCAAATCTACTGCATTCAAGTGCGTATCTGGTCAATATATTGTGATCAGCCGATTCTCAAGGGAGGTCCGTTGGGCGTGCTTATCCTCGGGCCAACAACCAGGCACGCCACGTTACATATACATATCGCGCAAATCAAGCTAAATTCAGCGGCAGAGCACGTAACAGTACAAGTACGCAGAATGGGGGAAAGGCCAACTACGAAGCTCGAAATAAACACAGATAATGAACGTTTTCATAAAAATTATCGCGCCGCCGCACAACGGCAGGCCTTGCCTGTCCATGTAAGGACTGCCCGGACAGAAACTAATAAACATAATAATTCTTCATGTATAAAGGTGCCACCTGGGGGAAATAGCACAACTCGGCACGCGGTCGACTGGCAACCGAAAAGAAAGAAAAACTAAAGTCTATACAAGGTCATGAACGTGAAGATGCGCAAATCGGACGGGGGCTTCCAAACAGACAGAAACAGGTGAAGTGCAGCTGCAGAGAGGGTATGTTGACGCCGACAACAGATAGAGACAGACAGACAGATAGACAGAAAACAACCAAACCAAACCAAACCAGAATGGATACACAGCAGAGAGAAGGGCCGCTCATCATCACATTACATCGAAACAACAAGAGACTATGCACGTATGAATCACTAAAACTAGAGGATTCCGCATGACAGCACCGAAAGCCGGGAGAGGTGCGGAGCTAGGGCGGAGTGGGGGTCTGGCCGACGCCCGGATGGCTGCGTGGTGGTTTGTCGGAAGATCGCATGTACATTGCATCTGAGGAATCGGTCGTCGCTGTGGTCGAGGCCGTCGAGGAGTCCATGGGTCGTTGCTGCTGCTGCTGTTGCGTAAGAACCTCACGCGCGTAAAACTCCACGAGCATCGTGCCGTAAGCTTCAAGCTCCTCGACGGGGATTGCGAGGCGGAAGTCGTTGAGCAGGAGGAACTGGAGTTCAAGGTGGTTGAGCTCCACCAGCGGAAGGCCGCCGACCTGTCACGAAGTCAATTTTGTGATCTGTAGACCGGGCCCGAAAATACGAACCTTTGCATATCGGGAATTGGTATAAAACACATCGGAGAAGAATTTACTGGCACAGGTCACGCCCGCGATGACCAGCCGATGAATATTAAAACTATCGACCACGAAGAAATGGGAAAAGTTCTCGTCCTCCCCTTGGGGATAGAGGGCAGGCGATATAGACGGACTGTTGGGGTCTGAGGGCGCCATTCTCGTCGACGAGGGCGGTGTCACAATAGCAGCTGGCTGTGTCTGGCGGGCAGCCGCCCTCTCCAGCGCCTGGACGGTAGCGGAAGGAGAATCGGCGTGGGCAGTAGGTTCCCAATCACGTTGGACCAACTTGAGCTTTCCGCGGTTGACAAGCTCGGTCATGCGGTCAAAATAGACCAGCAAGCTCAGGAATACTTCGTACGTGGTCGGGCAATATTTGTGGATGCGGGTGAGATAGCTGAGGATGGTGATGCTGGGGACATTCTTGCCATGGAACGCGAGCACACTCGTGGCCTGCGGAGTGAGGCTGCTAGTCCCGTCTGGTAAAGGAATATGGCGATGGACACGTTCATGGTGCACATCGTTGGTCGTGGTGATCTTGGTGAGAAGGCCTGCCACCATTTCGATGATGTCCGTAACCGGCATCGAGCTGATCTCGAACTGCCGGTCCTGCGATGCTTCTCCTGAAACCTGAGATCGAGAAGATTGCGCCAGGAACTCATCGCTAGCAAGGCTTTGGATATGTGACAGACTGCGCACTCTGATGCGACTTGATGGAGAATTGGCCTCGGAGCCCGCGAGTGACCGCATCGGCTGTAAACGGGGTGACGCCGGTGACGGCTGCACCCCGCCATCAGGCTCGGTATTCATAGGATCTGGCATGCTGGTCGCGTAGCTGCTGCTCTGGGAAGGCTGTGCGGCGTACGTCGAGGAGGAGGAAGGATGTGAAGGGTAGGCATAAGCGGACTGAGTCGAGGTCATGGACGAGGCAGGTGGATGGAACGAGGTGTTTGATGTGGGCTGTGCGAGAGCGTCGGGAGGGGTCTGTTGATTAATGTAGGCAGGCAAATCATTCTGCGACTGCGCAGGAATTCGACCAGAGCCCACAGTGGACGTTGACGGCGGGGCGTTGATCGAGGTGGGGGTGGTGGTAGAGGAGGCGGACCTGGAGCGGGCAGTCTGCAGCGGCGTCTGCGAAGAGTGCGGCGAATGGCGATAGACGGAATCAGAGGGGTTGGTCGTCCCTCCTACCATCTTGTAATGGCTGTCGATATACTCCGGCGGCACGTGGTTGACGATAACGGAGCCCATGTCAAGCCGATCCAGCGCTAGTTAGCTGTCCTAGTTTCGGCGCAGCCAGGGCTGGAGTGGGTCAGTCGGGCGCAACACGGCATTGAAAGATGGAGAGAGCAGACAGAACAGAGAAGCAGGGACAGGAGAGAAGAGAAGAGAGAGAATGCGATGATGGAGGGAGAGAGGGTGGAGGGGGGAGGGCAAGGAGGGAGGGGAACGATACACTCGATGACGAAGAGCCGGATGGCTGTGGCCAGACCGGAACCAGGGAGGCGATCAGCGAGCGCCGATCGGGTCCATTGCAGGAAAGAGGACAGGGAAGAGAGACGGAAAAAAGAAAGAAAATGGAATGGGAGAAAGAGCAAACAGATGAGAGAATGAAGAGACAAGCACGAGTGGGAGAAAGAGTGGGAGAAGGAGAGAAGGAACAGGAATCGGTGCCACGGTGACTGAGGTCAGGCAGTGGAGCGGGAGCGTTCGGACAGCCGGGTTTCAAGAAAGTAATATGTAGGAGGATTGTTTCCCCTGTTATATTATTGCAACTCTTCCTATGATGTTTATACGAGTCCAATCCCAACGAGTAAAAGACGGTGTATACAAGGGTCCGACGAATGACAGCGCGATATGAGCGCACAACCCCGAGGATTCCAGCCCGCATTACTGGGCCGTATAGATCGGATGTCTTTTCACCGACTGCCAACTTATACCGCTTCGGACATACTGAACTCCCATCACTTAGGTATCCCAAGTGTCCTCACGCCAGATAGCACTTGGGTCCATCCATACATCTCACCCTGGACAGCCATGATGTAACCGACGTGGGTCGTGGATAATGATCCCTGTTTTCCCTACAGAGAATCTACACTGGTTCGAAACACGCTCGCTCGATCATGAAACCCGTTCATTCCTAATCGACCCCCCGATATTCGTACACAGATTAATTCGTCGCCCCAGGCCCCGTGTAGCCGTTATCCGGCAGGTACAGATGCCGGACGGCGCCGTGTTTGGTGAGCACCACCAGCCGAATAACACCACCAGAGCTGCCATCCCACTTGATCGCCTCCTGCAGCGCGCTGCGTACGAAATCAATGCCCTCTTGCTCCGTCATATTCTCTCGCCAGTGCGCGTCCGTGTAACCGTAGATGTAGGTGGAGCCGGAGCCGCCAATGGCGAACGACTGCTTGTGAAGGGAGCCGCCCAGCGGGATCGAGTACACCTGGCCTCCGTGTCGCGGGTCATATCCGGCAATAATGATGCCCGCACTGTGTGTCCGTCAGCATTCAGCGCCAGCAGGGATCTGTCGGGGTTGGTTGGGAAGAAAAGCCGACCTCAGCATGTTCTTGTTCTCATAGCACAGTTCCTGGAACAGCGACGCCGCCACCTGTGTGGTCGGCGCTTCGTTGTTGGTGACGCCGTACATGTTCAGATGGTAGGAGACGATGTCTGCCACGGCTTGGGTGTCGGCTGCCGAGCCCGACCGGCAGCACCAGATGGTGTCGTGCACCTGTGTCAGCTTGTCGGTGACTCGATTGGCAATGTAAGCACCGGTGGTTGTTCGGCTGTCTGCGCCCAAGATGACGCCGTCTTTGAAGTTGATTGCCATGCTGGTGGAGGTTAGTGGGTGTTGGGAGTGAGACAGACCGAAGAGCTTCAGTTCACTCACATCGAGGTTCCTAGGCTGTCGGAGAAGGCGCGAGTTAGCAATTAACAGAGCAAAGATCGGAGCAAGCTTACTTGACCTCTCCGGACTTGAGGTGGTTCATATCGATGTGGATGCCATCTAGGATGATGCTTAGCTGTTGCTCAGACGATGACGATAGCTTGGCTCACCTTCGCCGAGCATCCCCGTGGTGCCGTGGCCGATCATTTTGAGAAACAAGCAGAAAACAAAAAGAGAACCAGCTGATGGAGGTTATGGGAGAATGGCAGGAAGGAAGAGAACGAGGGAGAGAGGTGTGATGCTATCGGGAGCTGTGTTGAAGGCAGAAGCTCACCAACGCGTACCGGAGAGGCGGTGAGAATGGCTGGGAGTTGTGATTGGCGACTGATCCCCTCCTCCTGAACCACTCGGTCAGGCTGCTCTCTCTTTCTCTTTCGTGACACGGTTTGTTGCCTTTCATTCCCATCTGCCCTCCCGCGTGGCCTTGGCCGCGAGCCACTAGCCATCCCATCCATCTCAGGGTTTCACCACCTCCCGGCCATCATGTCCGAGTCCCCACCACCTCCTCCGTCTTGGAGTATCAGCAACATGGCCAACGGCGCAGTGCAGTTCCTCCGCCTGCCTGTCCTAGCATCATCGGGTCTGGCCGTGGTCGCCAGTGGCCTGCTCTACTTCAAACAGAAGTAGGTTTCCCTTTCAACCCCCACCCCAAATACTTTTGATTGACCGGATATCCAGCGAACTGATCTACCCCCGGAACGTCCCCGCCGATGCGCGCACGAATGTCCCAAGCCCTCGCATGTTTGGCATCACCGACTTTGAAGACCTGCAGATTCCGACGCCGGATGGGGAGTCGCTCAATGCGATATTCCTGCGACAGCCGAAGACGCGCCGGAGCCGCGATATCACCGTGTTGATGTTCCACGGAAACGCGGGTAATATCGGCCATCGCGTGCCCATTGGCAAGGCTCTCCAAGAGACGCTACGTTGCAATGTAATCTTACTGGAGTACCGTGGCTATGGGATGTCCACGGGCACCCCCGACGAGGTGGGCTTGAAGATCGATTCGCAGACGGCTCTTGACTATATTCGGCAACGCCCCGAGTTGAAGGACTCTACGATTATTGTGTACGGACAGAGCTTGGGTGGTGCGGTGGCTATTGATTTAGTTGCTAGGAATCAGGACTCGGGAGATATCGGGGGGCTGATTCTCGAGAATACTTTCCTGTGTATCCGGAAAATGATCGCGACGTGAGTTGTTTCTTTCGGCTTTTTTCTTTATGGGTACTGATTCAAAGCAGGGTGTTACCTCCGGCACGTTATGTTGCGCGTTTGTGCCATCAAAATTGGGCAAGTGAAGACGTACTGCCGAAGATCACCAAGGTGCCGATTCTGTTCCTCAGTGGACTGAAAGACGAGATCGTCCCGTAAGTGCAATTTACCTCCGGCTTCAGATTAATGCCGATTCTGATGCAAGTTTTAGACCACCGCACATGACCGGGCTCTTTTCCCTCTGCGCAGCCCCGACCAAGATCTTCCGCACTCTACCTAACGGCAGCCATAACGACACCGTTGCCGAGCCGGGCTATTTCGATCACATCCACTCCTTCGTCGCGGAAGAGGTTCTGGCTGATGACGAATGAACTGGAACATGTTCTGTTGATTTGACAGTTGGTTCGGTCGTGGGACGAATATCCCCCGGCTGAATTCGACTATGATACCCCATTTGACTCACGCTTGAGGACAGCTGAGGTGTGCTATTTCTGGGATCTGCTTTTGCGAAAGGAGTCTGGTGTCGTTCGATTCTTGGGTACTGGTGTTCGCTAGCCTGTATTTCTTTTCTTTTCTTTTGTCTTCTTGTACCATTTTTGATACACTCAAAGGCCCGTGCCTGGCTCGATTCGCCCCCCGTTGTCCTGGTCTCCTTGCTCCTGGAACAGTTTTACGGCCGCGTTTGGGTTCCACGTTGCTGTAAAGAGTTGATTTCGAAGCATCATTGTTGCCAATCTACATCAAAGACAGAACATGAAAACTGAACTGTACAAGATCGCCTTTATTCAGTAGGCAGGCAGTATTCTAGCTTCCATTTCTATATATATGGTACAGATCATGTCATGACATGATTTAGTTGACTCTCTCCGTCTCCTCCAGCAACTCTTCAACCTTGAAGTTCTCAACATCGCCGCGCGTGAACATGCGCACTAGCTCGCCCTTCCGGCCGCTCGCCTGGCCGTCAAAGTCATAGAATCGCTGCACGCAGCTAACCAGCCAGGTCGCCTCCGTCGTGGAGACGCCGGAGTCTGGCATGACCTGGCCGTGCATGAGGACGAGACCCTTGTCATCGGCGAGATCGAGATGGTGAGTGACGGTCGTGTGCGGCTGCGCGAAGGAGCCGTGCATCTTGTATGCGCCGAGGCCGGTGAAGATCACGGTGGAGGTGTGGGTGTTGGCCGTGCCGGCCCCAGCCTGAGCCGTGGCGGAGCCCCCGCTGGAGGGTGGAATGCCCACTGTAGAAAGTGGATGTCGGCGTTGGTGGTGGCAGTCGCGCCGTCCGGGGTTTGCTGCGGCTGGTCTGGGGAATTGGGGTCTGTTTGCTGGCGCGGCAGCGGGAGGATGAATTGCGGGTTATGGCGCGCTGCCTCGGCGATGCGCTGGTACGTTTCCAGTGGAATCACGGCGCAGATGGAGGTCGGGTTGTTCGCGTGTCGCAGACGCCAGAGCGCCTCGATCTCCTTTGGCGGCAGCTCGCGGATCTTCTCCACGTCCACGAATGAGTCGAGCGGCTTGACTCCGCTAGAGCTATCGGAGGCTGCTGCGCGGGCCGCTTGCGCGGTGGGGGATTGCTTGGGCGGGGGAGGAGGAGTTTGTGGAACGGCATTTTTCGGTGACGGAGCGCCAGTCTCTGGGGTTACGACGGTTGAGGCTTTCTGGCGGAATTCTTGGATCTTCTCGCTGTAGGCATCTTTCAGGGATTCGATCGATTGGTGGCCCTCTCTGCAAGGAACGGGATAATTGTAAGCAACATACTCCTGTAATAGGCGAGGCGGCTCTCCAGGCACTTACTGCTTAGCCTTCTGGTCCAGCTTGGACCGATACTTGTCCAGCACATGGTTGGGGTCGTGGTGTGAGGCGAGGAAGCGCGCATCGTGGACTTGCGCCCATCGACGTTGCGTGTTGCGCAGCAGGCGCGATTGACCTCGAAGGAGTGATGGAAACCCTTGGAGTCGGAGGGAGGCCATTCTCAGAAGTTGAGTGAGTTGTGCAGAGAACGATGGAAGAGTTTGGAGACATGTTGAAGATAAAAGGCATTAAGTAAGTTGAGTACCTCAGGCATTCAATCTTTGCCTGAGGCCGACCATCGGTTGTATATGATTTGTTGTACAGGTCCTCGCAAGTCTTCTCAGGAAGCTTCACCCTATCTCAGCGTAGGATACAGGGTAGTTGACTGAATATAATGGTATAGAGGAGAATACTATGGTCAACTATCTCCATGGACAATGAGATCACTGCTAATTCCCGAATTATGTTCCTGAAGGTCCATTCCAATGAGACTGGGAAGTCTGGCCCAGGGGACCCATGAAGAATTTCGGCTTCTCCGACTTTCCACGGAAAAGTTCTTTTTCGCGTCGGCGAACTCTCCGGCTGTGCTCCCTGATATGGCGTTTTCGCGCTTTCTTCTCCATTTTCGCTTTGGTCCTTTCCGGATCTTTTTCAAATAGCCTCCTCAGCCAGGCTATCATCGTCAAACGTGTCTTTGCTTGAAGTGTTGTAATAATTGCGTCACGGCAGACAGCCAATATTTGACATAGCTGGGGGTGGACTTTGGGCCAGCCAGCGTAGGGAGAGAACGCGGACTAAGACAGTTCATCAGTATCGGAATTCCTTTCTAATCGCGATGCGAGATAGTCAACTAGGGCAGTAAGCTCTTACCGTAATGCTCTATGTTTGAACAAAACACTAGCTCTTCACAGGCATGGCAGAGAGTGCGCAGTTGAAAAATATGAGGGCCAGTTCGGCGGACCTTTGCAAGTGGCTGTGCACTGTCAGCGATCGGCCCCAGGCTTAGACGGGTTGAGCCCTGCGCTAGTCTCATTAGAGGCCGAAACACAATATCAACATATGCCAAAGTCCTGGCACACTTGATTTTCATCAGGATGGAAGCCAGAACATTCAGGCCAATGTAAAAGGGTTCGTTTATTCAGATCGGATTGTGTTTGACAGGACATACGCGAAAAAGAAAAGCGGATTTGCTTGTCTCTCGCACTGGCCTTGATTCGCCGCATGCAGCTCCATGCCCGAGTAGTTTTCACGAGCTTGAGGTTCTCCCTGTTGTTCCTATCCTTCATGGTTTAATGGATAAGGATCAATGCTTTAAATGAGAAATACTCGCTGGGAAAGTAAATGAGTCTTGTAGAATATGCAGACTCGTTAAACAACAGCACAGCTCAATGCAAATACTCGAATATTATACAATCAAGTAGCCACGGAAACAGGACTCCCTTCCTGAACAGGGGAGCCACTATCACCACCCGGTTTATCGGAAGATCCCACATCTTCAACCGTATCATCCTGATCCCGCACCTGAGCATCCCCATTCCCATTCACATCCACATCCACATCCTCCTTCTCCCGCCCAGGCTCAGGCTCAAGAACAGCCTCAACCTCCTCTTGTTCCCGCTCAACCTGCTCCTCCTTCTCCTCCGCTTCCTCCCAACTATCCGCAACATCCACATTAGCCTGCTGCTGCGCACGCAAAGACTTCCCTGCCCCAATCCCCGAGCGCAGAACAAGCCTTTCCTTCTTCATCCCTCCCCCCGTATTATCCGCCGCGAGCGCCGCAAACATGGTCCCGCCATTAAACAGGCCCTGAGACGCCGGAACGGGAGTCGTACTCCTTGTGCTCGCCGAGCTCGTGCCATCCTTCTTGCCACGCGAGGCAACCTGCGCCCACCCGCCCTCCCCAGAAGCAGACTGCGTCCTCAGGGCATCACGCGCGGCTTTTGCTTCAAGGGCAGCAACGCGGCGGGCCTCGGCTTCCTTGTTACGCTCACGCTCGCGCAGCTTGACGCACTCGCGGACGCTCATGCCGCCAATTCCGACTGCAGAACTGCTGCTGCCTAGACCGAAGACCGGGGGTGTCCAGGAGAGGGGTTTTAGGACGAAGACGTGGCGATGCGGTTCTGGGTCGTGGCTTTCTGTTACGAAGCCCCAGTCTGTTGCGAGGGAGTGGGCGAAGGCGCGGAGGGTGGATTTTGCGGGCTGGAAGCGGAATGAGCGCTGCGTTGTTGAAGCTGCCAGGGAGTGTAGACTTGATTCGTAGGTTTGGAGGGTTGATAGTGGTGCTGAGGAGGCGAGTTGGATGTATTGGTCTAGTGTTTCGCTGGAGTAGGGGAGGTTCGCGGAGGTGATGGTTTGGATTGTGGTCGATGGGTTAATGTCGACGCCGAGGGCGGAGGCTAAGGAGCGGTTCCGCTCGAGACGCGAGCACTCGTCGTCGCAGGTCAGTGGGGAGAGCTCGGGCATGCGCTGCGGTTGTTGCACTTGGCCCTTGGATGTGACTGCCTTGGCGGCGTTGCAGCGTTTGTCCTGCCGAAGTCGTCCACAGCTACATGTTACTGTGATGATGGACGAGCAGGGCGTCTTCTCTGGGCACGGGTAAGGCGCGTGGCAGGGCTCGGCGCAGGGATGGCCACAGAGCGTCTTGGTCTTGCCACACGTCTGTTGGCAGGGCTTGGTGGAGTCTTCGCATTCACCAGGACGGTGACAGTCTTTCCGACAGGAGTGAGAGCCGCATTTGAGTGGCTGACCGCATACCTGACCGCAGTGCGCGTCTGTCAGCCAGCAGGGAACATTTTTCAGCACCTTCTTGCCGCATTGGCACTCCTTCTCCGTTAGGAATGGGCATTTCGGACAGCCTTCGTCATCGGCATGGCAGTTGTGCGTGGTCTGGGGGTGACCGCATGGCTTAGGACGTCCACACTGGAACGAGCATCGGGGAGGCTGCGTGCCACAAGGCTGGGGAGGAAACAAGATCGAGCGTCCGCAGTTACACGCAATCTCCTCGAAGATCGCTTCCCTGCAGGTGTTGCAGGCACCCTTGTGGCAGAGCTCCGGGCAGGTGTGTCTCCCGCATTTCAGCGTTCGACCACAAACCCTGGTGCAGATATGCTCTGCCTCGATGTCTTCGTCAATGGGACGGAGGTGTGGTTTAAGCTTGCGGCGAGCAGCTTGGCGTTCAATGGCCCTCTGTTCTCCGGGACAGCATCTTTCAGAGCAGGCGTGGCGACCGCAATGCAGAGTCGTCTTGCATACTCGGAAACACTGAGGAGGCTCGTTGTTGCCTTGGTGGCATATAGTCGTAGATGTCGTGCGGCCACACTGGCATTGAATCGGGACGCGGCGCAGGCATGGCCCGCAAGGGCCGGTGTGACAGATTTGATCGCAGGAATGGCCACATGGCAGCATTTTCCCGCATGGCTCGCTGCAATTAGGGATGGGGTCTTCGCAGGAAGACCGAGGGGTAAACCCAGGGATATCAGATAAGACAGTCTTGCCACAGGGGCAATGTATCACCACGTCCGGTGACCTGGGGCAATGAGTTGGATGCGACTCTTGTGGATGGCAGCCCTTCTGACAGGAATGCACGCCACAATCGTAAGAGCGGTTGCATATATCCGTACAGCCGAAGCAACCCGTCCATTCTTCCTTAGTCCCATCATCGTGAACAAGAGTACTGTCCTTCTCTTCATCCTTGGAGCTACACAGCATTTCAGTCTGTACTTTTCCACAATAGCAGCGAGCATCGATCTTGACTTCGCATGCCCCACACAAGCCTTCATGGCAGGGAAGAGGGCAGGTATGTTCACCACACGGCAAGAGATCACCACAGATCTCACCACAGCTCCATCCGTTCTCATAATCCGTGTCTTGGCATCGCTTGGTCGACGAATTCCTGCCACAAAAACAGTCCTGCGTCGGCCCCATCGAAGTACAAGGTGTACACGGCCCAGCGTGACAGGTGGCATCACAGGGATGCGGACAGCCTTTGCGCGGCCGCGAACACGTCTGACCACAGGAATGCGGAGGAAGACCGGGAAGTGGTCTGGGGTCGACCTCTTTCTCACACCAGCAGCTGTACACGGAGGGAAAGATATCATGGGAAAGATTGCAACCAGGACAGCGCCATGCGCGCGGTGCAAGCGGATCTTGACCATTTTGTTGTTCTCGGGAAGCATTCTGCGCTTGGTTCGTGGACCATTTCTTCACGCAGCTGAGGTGAAACACCGTCCAGCATAGCCCACACGACCAGATGCGGGATCTGCGACCCAACTCGCTGGTGCAGATGGGGCATTCGTAGAGGTTGTGGGCGATATCTTCGTGGATGCGAGTGGCGATGTCGCCGGCGGTGGATTTCGTCATTACTTTTGGTGGCTGCTGTGGTGGTGGTTTTGCCTTTGCCTTCCCTTTCCCTTTGGCAGCTGGGGCGGATGATGCAGCTGGTGGCCGTGGCTGTCCCGGTACAAAATCCGGCGCATCAGCCCGGAGGTTCTGGTCACTCTGCTCTGCAAGACCCCCAACGACGTCAGCAGCAGCAGAGTCCTGACCTGGTCTCGTCAACCTGGCTTCAAAACCTCTTGCCCTCATCCCACGCGACTGGTCTGCTAGCACCAGCCCGTCCAGTCCGGCCGCAGGGGCCTGACCCCGCCTCGGTCCTCCATTGCCGCGACCTCGTCCACGACCTGCAGCACCTCTCCCATCCTTATGTCCTCTGCGCGAGCGCGATGCATCGTTCGGGGTATTTGACGACGGAGCAGAAGCAGGTTGTGCAGGTAGCAACTGCGTAGATGTAGAAGACGGGTTCTCTGCCGAAGTGGCGGGTCTGTTCTCTCGTGCTTCACGGTTCGCTTGGCCCCTCCCTCTGCGTCTGTTTCTGGGGCGCGGGGGGCTCGACAGTGTGGGCGTGGACGCTTCGGAGCTCATCATGCTATGAGAAGGTGGAATGGATCGAGCAATAGCTGATGCAACGCTCATCTGAGTTTATAACTTGGTAGATCGGTGACTGGGAAGCGAGGTTCAATACTGTAAGGCGGAAAGCAACAGCTGAGACAGAACGTGTGTCCACTGAATGCAGAAGATGCGCAAATCAAGCCCCGAGGGCGTGTTAGTTGATGTTGTGTTTGAGGAACGAAATGTTGCGCAGGCGGTGGGACCGGGCAGATAAAGCGATAAAAAATGTCTTATCGGGTGGGATGTGTCAGCATTCATGTGGGTGAGTCACTTTGAGTCAATGTTTGTATACATAAATGTCATTATGAACAGATTATGGACAATGCAACCATTTCCCTCAAGACATATCGCGCTATGCAGAAATCCCCCTAGACCAAAAACCAAAAAAGAACCCCCAAAAAGACCTCATTTTGAAAACCCCAACCAACTCGGAATGATCCTCATGCAGGCTCCATTCATCATTCATACAGAGACAACAATTTCCCCACGATCATTGCGCCGCAGCCTCAATGCGCGCCACAAGTCCTTCTCATCCTCAATCCTCCGCTCGCGGTCCGCGCGACTGCGGCCCTGGTCGCGTCCACGGTCCGCATCATGCTCATCCGACAAGTCGCGATGAAAGCGTTTGAGAGCTTTGTGAACGGAGCATCCCCGCTCCGAGTCCCTGCTAACAAGAGACAGGAAGTGGTGGGCCATTTCGCGCTGCAGGGCGACATCGCCGACTGCGTCCTTGGAGTGTTTGTAGACGGTGACCTGGCGGTCGTGGTTGCGACGGGGCGAGTGCGAGTGCGAGCGGTCCGAACCGCGGCGTTCGTCAATCTGCTTCTGACGGCGAGACGGGCGGTCGCCGTCGTCGATGGGGTTACTGCTCTTGCGCTTCGACTTGCGGTTCTCGGCGGCGTCGCGGTGTGATGACTTCTTGGGTTTGCGGACCTCAAGCGCTCGATCGTCGCCGCTGGAGGAGCTGCCGCGTCGGGTACGCACCAACGCTTTCGAGGTCACTTCAGTGCCGCCGTTGCTGCTGCCCGAGACGGCAGGCCCGCCGAACATGGACGAGACGAATCGTTCCGCGCGGTTCTTGATTGAGATGCCGAGGCCATCGCCGTTGGTGTCCTTGGTTCCTTTGGGTTCCTTGCTCTCCTTGCCGTTGCGACGGGTGCGCTTGATTGGCGACGAGACGTCCTGGTATTCTCGGCGCCCATTCTCATGAGCCTCCTGGGCATCCAGCGACGGGGAGCGCATCATGCGGTTCAGCCCGCCAGTTAGACCGGAGTGGTTGAGTTCGATGGGTGTGCCCGCGTTGTTGAGCACACTCGACGGCGCATCCAACATAGGCGTATCAAGTTCGAGGTGGGGACTGCTGAGCTCCTCCCCATGGCCGCGCTTGCGCTTCTTCTCACTAACAGTCCCGGGGGTCTGGAGACTCTCGCGCCGACGATCCTTGAGCTTCTTCTTCTTGGGTGCAGGGGTCACGAATTCCGTGGAGACATTAGAGATTTGACCGGGGTACATGGACGGGGGGATGGGACCGGCGCCGTATGAAAAGCCGTTCTCTTCGTATGCGACATCGTAGTTATTGCCTTCGTCATCTGTTTTGTTGGCCTCCACCTGGGCAAGCGCCTTGCTCGGCTGGAACAAGGACGGCGCTCGTTCCACCATGGTCATCTGCTCCTTGGACCCGGGGAGAGTCACCCTCGACGCATTGGGGGTCTCGTCGGTGACCAAGTAGTCGAACACGTTGACGGGCGGTCCGCTGTTGGCGATAGGTGCCTTGACCGCGCCAGTTGGAGGGGGCGTAGGAGCCGGCGGAGGTGGACCGTTGGTCCTGACATTGTCCGATTCGGACGCGTCCTCGACTCGGGCCTGCAGTTGGCGGGCATTGGGGTTGGACTTGTTGTTCTGCTGACCCTTTTTGTTGTTCTTTGCCGGCTTCTCTTTATAGAGGGCGCCTTGATACTTCTGCGCCTCGCTCATGCAGGACTGCGGACAATCACTGAGTGTCAGCCTGGATCTCCGCCAACGACCATGTTCTCTCTCCATTCATACCGTATGCGAGCGATACTCGGTGCCGTGGAAGTGCACCATACAGTCAATGCAGGTGAAGGACGCACCGCGGCATTGGCCGCGGTGGGGGTCGAGTTTCTTCTTGGTGAGGACATCGCCACAGTTCTAGAAAGCGATCAGAATGGGTTGAATGGAGGATGAGAAATTCTTTTCACCCACCTCGCAGGAAAACGACACCATGTTGTCAGCGCAAAACACCCCACTTCCCAGAAATCAGATCAGGGGCAGCGCCTGTCCAAGAGTTGGCAGCAATCAAGAAGAGATCGACAAATGAGCAGGGTCGGGTCTGCTCGTCGGATGCGCTGCGACAATGGGGGGCGCCGTTGGCAGAGAGATTTATAAATAAAATGTGTGCGCGTGACGAGACGAGGGGAGAAATAGAGAAGAAGGTTATCCCTTGAAAGCGAAGGACAGGGAGCAACCCGGACGATGTGCAGCAGCAGCAATGCAAAGTGCGGCGCTTCGGTCGTTCTTTTCTTGGTCCTGCGCGTGTCGCGAAAAAAGAAAGACGCTAGCCGGATTGGGTAGAGGCGCTAACTGTGTTGGGTTGAGTATTCAGGTCCGAGGATCGGTAGAGGACAAGAAGAGAGTAGGTAATAAGTATTGGAGGATAATAATCAGAAAGCGAGATCGTCAAGAGTGAGTGTAAACTGGAGAAGATGAAAAGGGGCCCGACTGAGAATAATAAAGAAAGGGGGCGCGTCACAGGTGTGTTTCGGTCAGGCGCTCTGATGCGATCGGCGCGGTCCCAGAGACAGCCCCATTATGTCCTTCTAGGCTGATACGACAGTATGTACGATGATGCTGGCTATGCCATGTATCGATGCTATAATATATAGTACAGCATTCCGTGCCACACGACCAGTTAGTGTACGACGGCGTGCGCTTAGCCTCTACCACTACCGGGTCATGCGCAACCCTAACCCGGGGATCACCCGATATGCCAGTGGACGGATGACTACACATGTACAATCCAGATGACAGGCTTGACAGGGTATAATATCGAGGAGGGACTATGTACTAGTATACAATAAGAATAGTAATAATGAAAAGAATCCAACCAGCTCCGACGTATGCACAAAAGGGGTCGACCGGGTCAATCAACCGCGCGTGGTCCTATATACATCGCAGAGTGTGAGAAGGGGCGGATAGACACGAATAATGGACGGACTGAACTTACGCTTCCCGCGAAATCTCCACGCTGAGGCCCTCATGCTGTTGACTGCCGCTACTCTCCGGTTGCGATGCAGCATCAGCACTGCCCTCCTCCTTCTTCTTCTCCTCTTCATCCCCACACCCGCAATCATAGAAATCGCCCAGGTTCGTGCAGTCGAACTCGGGCTTGTCCAGCATGGCGTTGATCTCGTTATGGATAAAGCACGCCCAGCCGGCCGCGGCGTTCCGCGACGATACCTGCGGCGGGTACCTGGCGAGATGCTGCTGGAAATGCGCGGCGCATTCGCCGCTGTTTCATAGTTAGCCCCCGTCTTTTTGTGCACTGCACGCGCGTAGGAGTAGGGGTAAGGGGCCGTAATGAGGATATGTCTCAAGAGCGCGGGTGGGGGCGAAAAGAAACGAAGCGACTGCAGTGTTCTTTCTCTTCTTACTTACCAAGGATAGAGCCTTGCAAACAAGTGAATATACGAGCGCAATGCATCCTGTTGGTCCGCAGTTGGTTTTTCAGGAAAGCGCGCCATGACGGTGTGGAAGTATTTCCAAGTCGCACGACCGAGTTCAGCTCTAGAGATGGTTGGGACCACGCAATCAGTAATTGTTTCCTTTTTCTTGTGCTCTCCATTAGATTGTATGACATACTTGGCTGTCGCATTGCCCAGCTTGGGCATCACCACCTCCCCCTTCAGTGTATCGTCGTGGATGGTGATCCCCGGCGCGGCCGAGTGGTCGATGTGTCCTGGGGCGCGGACCGCGGGACTCGGCGGGCCGTGGGGCCGGATGAAGAGGAAGAAGATGAGGAAGAGGGCGATGGAGGCGCTGATGGCGATACGCCGTGTGATTTGGCGGTTGGCCATGTTGGTCGGTCGAGGGAGGGAGTGATGGTGGAGGGCTGAGTTGGGTGGATTAGGGAAGGGAGCTGGTTAGCTGTCGGTTGGGCATTCGTAGGGGGAGGGTTTGGAGGGAATGGTCGAGCGTTAACGGTAACAAGGATAAGAAGAACGGTTCGAACGCCAGGCCAAGAGAAGGCGAAAAACCAATTCTGCGTGGAGACAGAGTGTCTGGTCTAGCCATCCTGAAGGAAGACAGTTAGTACACTTCACAAGATTGGGTGGCGCATCGCCCGATAGGCTTAGTCAGGTGGGCACTACTTGTGGTCGGACTACACGAGGTAAATGACCTTGTATATAACTACTCTCTATTTGAAATAATACTAATGATGCTGGACTCTCATATTCAATATTCCATATTTTGGCCGTGTCCAAGACCATCAATGCTCCAAGGGATGTACGCCGTCTTTCTTGGCAATGTATATTCTTTTTAAACAAAGGACCAGTCTGCATAGTAGAATAATACCAGACCACTAGAAAGAGTACAATAATTGAATATGAAGCACCCAAGCTACCCACTGTGCATGTACGTACACCCTATACCCAATGTACACCCATCCCGGCCACCGCATCGCTCAAACTCGGCGGCAGGTCCTCCTTGCGTGAGCCCCAATCACTCTCCGTCTCGCCGAGGGTGAGCTCGAGGGTCATACCCTGAGTGAAAAACTCATGCCCGATCCAGCTCTTGGTATAGGGTCTGCCATTCAGCGTAGCATTCTGAATGTAAATATTACGATACGAGCTATCGAAATTGACATTCCGAATCGTAGCTGTGTTATTCGTCTCCGGATGTGTGATCTCGACCGCCTCAAAGAAGGGCGGGATGATCAGGTAAACATTCTGGCCTGGGTTTGGAAAGAGACCCAACATGCTCCAGGCCAGGAAGGTGCCCATTGCACCGGAGTCGTCGTTGCCTGGTAGGCCGGTTTCGGACGCATTGAAGGAGGACGGGATGTAGGTGTGCGCGCGGGCTGCGGAGAGACCCGGTCGGCCCGCATAGTGGTACTCGTAGACTGTGAGGAAGACGGGTTCGTTGCTGATGTCGGCGAGTCCGGAGGTGTGGAAGTAGTCTAGTCGGGAGACGAATGATTCTGGGCCACCGAGGAGCTTGATCAATGTTGCCATGTCGTGGGGGACGTAGCTAGACAGTGTTATGTTAGCATCATCACAGAAAAAAAATCTGGGCGTCGTACAAAAGATACTCCCACACACTGGACTCGAATGTCTCCGACGGGTTAGAGGTCAGCGAGCACCAGGAAGCCAGCGCACTGCACGCAATTGGATCCTGATAGCCCCAAGTACCATTGAGATACTTGGGCTGAAAGAATCCCACAAAGCCCGTGTCCGTGCCGTTTTCCAGGTACGATGTCTGGTCCTCTTTGAAAAGGTTCTGCCAGTTATTCGACCGCGACAGATACTTGGTATACTCCCTTTTCCCGATTCCACGGCCCAACACAGACAGGCTGTAGTCATTGTACGCGTACTCTAGAGTGCGCGAGATACTGCGCGAATTGGTGCCAAAGCCGAGATAGTCGAAATCTAGGTAGGGGATGTAATTGACCCGTTTCCAGCTCTGAAGCCCTCCTCGCCCTTCGTATTCCCACTCCAGTGGCTCGTTCTCGGCATCATTGACCATTGCCTTGTATGCCAGATCCCAGTCAATACCCGTAATATTCTTGATAAATGCATCCGCGAGAACCACGTCCGCGTTGGACCCGCCCTGCGTCCAGCCCTTGCAGAGACTCATGCGGCAGTCAGGAAGCCATCCTTCATGCTCGTAGGTATCAAGCAAGCTGCGGACCATCCGCGACAGCGCAGAAGGGTCCAGAATCGCGAGGAAGGGCATCTGGGCTCTGAACTGGTCCCAGATGCAATAAAAGGAGTCATAGTATGGTTCGCTACTCTGCCACAGCGGGTTCTCACCCGTCATGTCTTGCGGAGAGAGCATGGCTCGATAGATCCCACTCCAGAAACTGGTGAGCAGGGAACTGCTAACACCTCCAGGGGTAACCTTGATCGGGCTCAGCTTCTCCGCCCATGCCTCTTCGGCCTCTGTGCGCAGCCGCTCAAAGTCGTCAAGCGGGCTGGGGATTTCAGACTCGGCATTCGCGCATGCTTGATCGGAGCTAATATAACTGATGCCTACGCGCGCAGTCACCTCTCCGCTATCGGGAGAATCAAAAGTAACCCACCCTCCAGCTTGGAGATAGAAATTGTTGAATCCTCGCGTAACAAACAGCTCTTTTGGCTCTGAGCCCGCCCGATCGTTCACCCAGATGCCACTGTCACGCACCTTCGCGCCTGCGAAGTCGGCGCAAAAGTACGACATGTAATAACCCGCCCCGAAACTGGGCAGAAACGTGCCGTTCCCCTTGATCCGGCCCGTGTGCGGGTCGATGGCAATAGACGCATTCTGACGACTCTCCCACAGATCCGTCAAGTCCAGCAGTATCAGCGGGTTAAGAGCATCGCCATTGCCTGCGCACTTAGCGGGAAAGGTAAACCGATACAACGCCGCGCGATGGGCCGCGGTCATCTCGGCGTGGATTCCATTCTCAAGGGTCAACGCAAAATACCCCGGCCGCGACACCACGGTATGGTTATTGTGATACACTGCGCGTGCGGTGATGGGGAACTTGCAGTTATCCACGACATTGTCCGCGCAGTACTGCGGGAACAAGGGGAAATTGCCCAGTGAGGGGTTGCCGCCCGTGCCACTGTCATGCATATGTGAGAATCCGGTGACTCTACTGCCATCGGTCGAGAAGCCGCCTGTGTTTTGGCCTGCTACGTCGGCGACGGGCTTGGCGAGGCCGTAGGGCAAACTTGCTCCTGCGAAGACATTGCCGCCGTTGTCCGTGCCAATGAGGGGGTTGACATAGTGGAGGTCTTCCTTGGCTGCGCTTGCTGTCCAGAGTAGGTGCAGGAGGGTCAACGAACCGAGTATGGTTCGATATAGGGTATGCATTTCGCTCTCGATGCGATTGTTCAGGCCATGCAAAATGACGTGTTCCTCTAGACGGGGGATGAGGATGGGAAGAGCATCCTTGGGTCGGTGGGAGGTTGCATGGGATCGACAGTCCAGACAACATTAGCGGCCAAGGCTGGAAGAAAAGGGACGCAAGGGTGAAAACATGCGGGGTTTGGAGATGATCGGAATGTGACTCTGTTTTGTGCCGGCTGTCAAATACTATAATTAGGAGAATGCATTGTATGTGTTGTGGATGTAGACATTGTCGAGCAAGGGATAGCTAGCCACTGTGATTCGTGATGCGAATACTCGCAACTGAGAACATGTGCGCTGTCGGATAATTACAATAATTGAATGTACACAATGGTTGATTTTTGCCGTCCGAACCGGGAGCAAAAACTCCATAATCAATAAGAATAGTGCCACATCTAAAGCACGGTGCCCTTGTTTTGCTTGCGGTCGACGTTGTAGTTCTTCCACACGGCCACCGCGGGGATTGCCAGAATGAGAACACAAGTCGACGCAATGCAGTTGGCCCGCTGCGTCCAGCTCCAGGCATAAACTAGAGCATCTCGGATGGGAGTACCGGGAGCATACTTCATCTGCGTTTCCAGGCCGTCGATGGAGATTTGCATAGCCTGACTCTTCATGTCATCAGGTAGGTGGCGCTGCAGCGCGTCCACCCACACGTTATTGTAGATGGCGGCCGTGACTGCGAGACCGATCGCGCCGCCGATGTTGGAGAATAACCCGATCATAGCCAGCATCATCGGAATGCCCTCTCGGTCTCCGCCAGACATCACTGCCATATCTTCGCCGATGACCAGCGTGCCGCCGCCAAAGGCGATGAAGATGGCACACATCACCACGTAGCCGATTCCGTGCTCCTGTCCACGGAAGTAGATCATCAGGCCCGAGCCGAGGAGCATGACAGGTACGCCAAAGTACAGGCAGATGGGTTTGAAATGTCTGGTCTGGCGAATGAAGATACCCACGGGGATGGCCCAGAATGTGGATCCGACGTTGTAAATCTGGAGCATGTATCCAGCGTCCGTGATGTCCACGTTGTAGACCACTCGAAAAAAGTTCTGGAAGTAGAAGTCCCAGAGCTCAAAGCTGAAGAATAGAATGAGAGCCAGCGCGCATGCGCCGAGGATGGTGCGCTTCTTGAAAAGTTCCCATCGGATGAAATGAGTGCGAGCAAACCACTTCTCCCACGCTGCGAAGACGAAGAACAAGCAGAACCCAACCACAAGCAGCACGATGAATGTGGGGGTATCGTATGCCGAGCGACCGTACGACACCAGGCTGAAAGGAAGCAGGAATAGAACGAAGGCAGCCATGATGAGCAGAGCACCAACCACTAGACTCTAGTTAGCCTTGGGTTTCAAATATTAGAGCCGGAGAATATTCTTACCGTCGAATTCGTGCATGTAGTGGACAATGGACTGTACCGTGGTGCGACCGCTCGGCTGTCGGTAGTAAATTCCCATCTTCTCGGCCTTCTTCTCGTAGTACTTGAAGATGATGGCCAAGGGAATAAAGACGAAAAACTGGACAATGGCAAAAATACCATATCCCCAGCGCCAGCCAGCCGTATTCAGCACGGAAGATGCAGCCAAAGACGAGGTAAAGGCGGTACAGATGAAAGGGGTCTGAATGAACGCAAAGGCGAAGGCACGGTTGCGCAGCCCGGATGTATCGGCCACAAACACATCCATGAGCAGATACAGACAATAATATCCAATCCAGTAGAGGGTATAGCCAGCCGCAAAGGAGTTTGGCCCTGTACAAGCGGCAAGAATGATCATCCCCAGCAAGTAGATCGCCAGAGAGAACATCAGACCCTCCGCACGACCCCACAGGTTCAGAGTCTTGCCCAGAGGCAGTTTCATCACTCCACCGATGATGTTCGCCAGCATGTACGCGGTAGGAAGCTGCGGGGCCTTCTGGAAATCGGAGTAGACATATGGATTGAGCAGATTGGTCATTGTTTGGTGAAAAGCCAGCATGAAAAAGCAGACCCAGATCCTACGGTCATTCGATCGCCGTTAGATTTCCGACGATTGACCGGATTGAGTCCAACTCACCAGGCATACGTCCCGAACACCGCCTTGCGACTCCAGACCAGGGCCACCGCTTCGGCTTTCTGCAAACCGGCGTAGGTGCCTTCCGTGATGGAGCCGGGGTGTGCGGAGACCTCTTTATCCTCACGAGCCTCCAAGCTGCGAGTTTCGGGGTCGGCGTTTAAGGCATACTGCTGATCGCCATCTTTGACCCCGGACGCGGCCGTTGTACCTTGCTTCTCGTAAACGTCCGTTTCCGTCTGCGCAGCGTTATCTCGGCCATCTCGACCCCGAACGGTATCGAGAACGCCCATGACTGCGGAATAGCCGTGGCCGTTGTCGATAGTCGAGAAAACAGAGGAGGAGGAAAGAGGAGGAGAAAGAGAGTGAGAAAGAGGCACGAAACGGAAAGAGATCGGCGAGTCCGGCCTTTTCTACATTTGCTACAACTCACGTCCATTAGGTAAGATCAGATAAAATCTGTGCGCCGACCATCTGATAAACGTTCGTCCAATCACGGTGGTTCCGCCTGTGGCTGAGGCTGCTGATTGGCGGCAATTGACAGGCGCCCTGACCATTTCGGGTCTAGCGCTATTTGACCCACGGGTCGCCCCTGCCCGAGGTCGCATCATCCATCCTCATTGCGGAAGGACCTGTTTGCGGCAAGGACGGGTGGGAGTGGGGTCATTCGATAGAACAGTATTCTTATGGGTCGTCGAAGCACTCGATTGACTCTACCGGTCGTTGTACGTGTCTCTATGCATTTTTCCACGCGACGCCAAGCCCGGCGCTAGGGCCGCATGGAAGCAGAAAAAGGCAAATTCCACGAGTGTGAACGAACGCTAACCGTGGACCTAATAATCATATCCATTCACATCACCCCATTCTCAATAACGAGTCTTTTTTCTTCCGAAACTGGCCCAATTCCAGTCTTCGAAGATGGAGGCCCGGGATCTCACGATTATGCATGATTTTGTTACACTTTCTGGCCAAACGGACTGAACCTCTACCTGCGTGCGTCTGTTGGACATGATTGGAGCCGAGGCAGCGCCTCATCTAAAGCCTGAAAAGAAAACGTTCGGCTCCGCCGGCCTTGGCCCAGCCCCCAATGGCATGCGATCTCACGCACAGCTTGCTTTGTGGGATTCGGAATGCGCTTGCGTGGAGACGGAGCACGAATCAGGATCTTGTAAGCCACTTCCTAGCCTTCCGTCGTGCTGATCAAACCACGGTTGGGTCCGTTCACTGATTAGATTTTCTCCTATCAATCTAATCTGATGGTTGGTCTCAGCCTTGCCACGGTGTGATACTCGCCGACTGTGCCCGACAATGTCAGTGTCCTTTCTATCCCAGAGTTTCCGTGCTCCTTTATGGTTGGTCGGTGCTGTCGAGTCACCTGTGTGCCGCTTGGTTCAGAAATTCCCATGGTTCGCTTTCTCACCGGTGAAATTTGAAGCTCGGCGACTTCGTTCTAGATGCCTTCGGGTGGTGTCGTCGGATGTCGGCCCACGGGTCGTGTGAGACAACTACTTGCCGGAAGAAGCCGTTACAGTTGCCGCCCAACTACAGTTGATACGAGGAGACCGTCATTCAGCCGAATCCCCTTGAATTTACCAGGTCTATCGAAGCAAGTACATTTCATTCAGTCATCAATTCGTTATTTTCACAAGATTTCTTCAAGATGGTCCACAATTCCCTTGGTCCAAGATAAAAAGCGCGTATTGGTATCTCAAAAGAAACAGCGTTTGTCAAAAGGAGACAGCATTGCTCATAGTATGTCCATCTGTGGCATGGCAGCCCATTCGGTTGGTTCGTTCGCGGGCTCTTCAAAGCTACATCGGTCACAGCGACACACAAACCGGAATGATTTTCGAAGATGCTCGCGGCGGGAGGAAACATCCGTATATTGTGTGAGGTCAAAGTATGAGATGCAGCACTCTTCTCCCGGTAGAATATCGCGAGACGCGGTAAAGACCATACGTCCTTCATCATCAGGCTTATGAATGATCTGAACTTTCGTTAGCATGCACTAATTTCACAATATGGAAAATGGCTACCTACATTCGGCGAACACGAATGGTTGGCCATTGCTGCCGTGGGATACACGGCTGCAGCAAATTGCTCCCCTCGGTCAATTGCAGGGTTCGGTAGAGGAAAAATGCCTGTCTCTCGTGGGTAAAGACCGAAAGAATTTGCCTCTTCTTGGCAGATGAGATGAAGGATGCGATCTGTGCGCATCCCATGTGGTAGTGCTGCGCTGCTCTGGAGATACTTCTTCACAAGTGTATTCCAGGATCGAACCTTGTCGTGAGACCAGGTGTCGGCAGATCCGCATAATGAGTCAATGCCATCCCAACCATGTCTCCATTGCCGGGAGTTCGATTGGACAACCCCATCACCGACGGAGGGATCTTGATTTTCGACCTGCCGCGTAGCAAGCAGCCGAACAATCACCCACAACATGCCGAAGTCGTATTCGCCCCATTTGGTCCGGATCGTTCTCGCGTACCTCTTCAGCCATGTGCATTCGAAGGCATGTCGAGTTCTATCGGTGTCTCTGCAGGTGCTGCTGCACCAAACCACATCCGGGATGCAGGCATTCGGGCACGGACATCGCCCTGTATTATGTTGAGGTGCTCGACGATTACAAGCGGGGCTGCTGCAAATGAGATTGTCGTTCACTGCTGGTTCATCAACGACGGGAATGACTGCATATGGGCGATCGATGAGGAGACAGGTGCCGTCGGGGACGAGGTGTGACACGCGCAGCTGGCGGCCCTTGACAGGGTCGGCGCTCTCAATTAAATGTGGGTGGATCCAATCAGGCTGCGTCTGGGCGATCCCGTTTACAGGAGTTGGTTGCGATTGTTCGACAGTGATATATACGACGTCAGACATGGCGTGGTGGATGATGCCCGGGGGAATCCCGGGGTGAGTCTTTAGGGTTGTCTTTTTTTTTTCTGGTTACGGAAGTTGATTTTAAGCGGCCAGGGCCCAGCGAAAAATTTGCTCTGGATTTTGTGCTTATCTGAGAATCCGCTCTGAAGAGGGTTCCGTTTGGTTAGAGTGGACTGTGGGTCCCTTTTTGTCGCCATAATGAGCCAATGCCGGCGCCATCCGGGAGCCCGAGGTGAGGTTATTCCGAGCGACTGCGGATGATTGGCGGTACGCATTATGCCACAGCATTGGCCGTATATTATTGGCCAAGCATATCCTCGGCTCAATATTTACTCGGTCTAATAATTAACCCACCGCTCACATCTAATTGAACCAAAAAAAAAAAAACTTTATAGACCGGCAATTCGTTTCATTGTGCCTGAATAGTTTTAAAAACTTTCTCAAGCTTGGTTTGACCTCATAAAGCTAAGCCCCACTGTTTTGATCGGTTCAATACCCACAGACCTTCGCTCGACTTTATTTTTGATAGTATTCCGCCACCCATTCCTTGATCTGTGCAACTTCAGCATCAATCACTGCCTGCACACCCGCATTCACTGCACCATTTTCAAGAATGAGATCCGAGCAGTGAATGCCGTCTGGAATAACATGAACGGGTGCCGAAGGCCGGGATTGGAGTGGCCCGCCAGGGCGGAAGCCTGAAGAGACACCGGCCTCTCTCCAGGGATCATATTGCCTATTGAATTTTGTTAGGTACGGTGCAAATGTTGTCTTGAACAAAGAAAAAAAAAGAGAACTTGATCATACCCATTGGTCCAAGTAAGTCGAGTTGTATCAGTAAGATCCCAGCCTTTGGTCCACGAGTTGACCTGGGCGGCCGTTTTGCCCTTGGCGCTACCGTAGGTGTGGCCGTTCACCTCGGGGAAGTACAAGGGGCACTGCCTTTGGTAGTATTCGCCGGTGACAGTGCGAGAGACCACGCTTGGGACATCGGACGGCGCACCACTGGAATATAAGTCAGATCAGAGGAACGAGGCAGCTCAAGTAGAAGAAAACTTACTCTTGCCAGTAGAAGAACGGCTCGTTGCACAGGAACCACTCCCATTGCCTATCAACAGTGTTGTTCACGGACAGGTCCGTATAAATAGGGCTGTCAGGATCGTGAGTGTTATAGCATGCAGTTGTGTAGTTATCACTCCAGTAGCCGTAGGACGCGCAGGCTAGGGTTCATTATCATCAGCATGGTCAATCTTTTGAATCCGGAAGGTGCTATCTCACATCCAGGAAAGTAAACATTCTTGAACCACTCTGAATAACCGTGAAGCGCCTTGTGGAGGCCAACACCATCGGGTCCGGCAACGGTGCTGTTGGCATTCTAGGAAAGTTTCAATATTCGCCCTCGCTGAGTTTAATCGAGCGTGAGTTGTTGCATACCTCAATATAGTCGCAGAATTCATAAAAACCAGAGTAGCCTGTGTAGAACGTATTCTCCTGCCACAGCCATGGTCCGTTCTCCAGCGCACTAATAATTCGAGTAAGCATCTCTGCCAATTCCAAGCTGAATCAGAAGGGTGTGTAAATACTTTGCAAAATCATCAAAATACTCCAGATCGCCGAGCCCAAACATATCTTTCAGGGTCTGTTGCTGTCTGTCTGTTCCATTTTTATTGACTTGATCAATGAAATCAACTACCCGAGAGACATCAAGACTGCAGTTCTGCGGCATTCCCTCCTGGACAGGTTTGAAGTATTGCCACTTTCAAATGTTAGAACGCAAAAATACTCTTCAGAAAGGCAATAAAAGATTGGGGAAAGACATACGTAGTCGAAAATAGACTCAACAGGAGCACTGGATGCATGGTAAGCCCAGAAAGTGCCTGGGGACATCGACTCGGTCCAGGCCGTCAGAGCACCGCTATAAGATCCTCCACTGAGGACCCAGGGCTACAATTGGTGACATCAAAAGTCAGTCAACTAGAGAAGACTGTGAGTGAATCATCAAAACATACCGCATTTTGAGCATTGCTGCTGCGTTTCCTGTCGAAGGGAAGCTTCACGTTTTTGGCAAAGTATGTAAGGTCAGCAATAGAATTTTCCAAAGTCAGGTACTGCAGATTCTCAGTTGTCAACTCGCTATATGGAGATGATTCTCCCCAGTAGCGGTCTACCAATGTCTTAGTTTCATCGTAACTCATAGGCCTGAAGAGAACATACGCTCAAGCATGATCACAGCTCCCTTGATTTCCTGCGCATAAAGCCCAGTAATAGTCTTGTTCGTCAAGTAGCCGACATATCCATCGGCTGCTTCCTCACCAGGGGTGAAGAGGACCACCTAGAGTTTGGCAGGTTAACATCAACCGCCACAACACGTATGGGAAGTGCAAGTACCGGTGACCCCTCTCCGTTCCACCATTCCGCGTTCCACCAGAAGCGTTGAGAAAATGTTCCGAGGTGTGGATTCTTGTGATCAAGCAGCTGCTCAAACGTTGAATTGCCAGCTACGGCATGTCTGGTGAATGCGGCCCTGAAAGGTGGTGCAAGAGGTCTCCGTAAGCCTACGGCGTGGGCAACGGAGACACAGAGTAGAGATAAGGTCACTGAAGAGAGATGCATGTTTGCGAGACCTACGGGACTAAAGACCAACAGGTAACACCATATCCTTTAAATACACAGCCCACGCGGCCTCCTTTAGGCGTTCCTACGGCGTCCGGGAAGGCCGTTGCACTACTACTACCACACTCAAAATTGCAATTAGCCTCCGATCGAATCACAGCAGACGAGGCTTAATGAAGCGATCGGAAGATCAATTTTCAGCCAAGTGGAGAGTCGCGATAGTAACCATCCCCGCTCTGTAGTCTCTAGCGCGAAACCTGATTAGACCCATTGCATCCCGAAGGTTAAACTTCGTCGAGACTTTGCTATTATTCTCAAGAGCTTTTACAGAATGTAGGAATCGCAGCATTTTGGGAAATCTTTAAATCGGGTACCTGCAGTTCATTATTGAATGAGTATGGATGCTTCCGCTTCATTGTTGATCATCGGGGGGTGGGTTTCAGGGGTCCGAGTTAGCGTTGCAATGAGTACAGCGCCCTAGTATGAATTTGCCGCCGGGAGTCCGACATGCATTGCAGGAAAACGAATATCCTGGTTTCCCCGCTTCTAAGTGGCCGCTGATAAGCACCAATTAGTGTTAGTCGCCTTCCTTCAAGGAACAGGCCCTGGGGCGAAGCAAAATTCGTTTCCACACAAGGGTCAACAAGCTATGTCTGAAGATTACCTCCGCATTAGTCACAGGTGTCGCAGTTTCACCAGTCGGAATCTCCGACGTGGATTTCCATCATCGTGGCACCGTACTTAAGAGTATGCAGGGGATTAAATCTGGCCCAATGGCTAACGGGAAAGTTTTCACGAACCATTGATGGGTGATGGCGCTTGGTCCTTCGATATCGGCGAGCGTGATGGAACCCCCGGGGAGCAGGGCACAAAGGCATCTTCATCTTCATTAATGAGGCCCTTCTGATCCCAGCTGGCCACGAGAGCACTGCGGGCTATTTCCTTTTGGCCATGCTGGCCAGCAACTCACTTCAGATAGGCATTTTGGGGGATATCGCCAAATTCGGAGCAAAGAGAAAAGTGAATGAAATAGGTTGTGGCAAGCAACAACTAGGACGAGGCTCTAGGCCGCTTTAATAGCCCCATGCCGTGATCAATAACCCGAAGAATAGGTAGGTCTTGGGCTGATCGTGGATAAAGGCGTACAGAGTGAACTGATGTCTCCGCGAGGGAAGCGTCCGTATGTCCTACCGGTATCGCGGAGCACCGCCGGTCATCCTTGATAAGGTAGGTGCATGGTCACTCATGCGAGAATTATCCCAGTTCAATAATTGCGTATGCTGAAATCAGCACTTCTTAAACAGTTTTTGCCTTCGACGGGCGTCTATTCTATAATTTTCTCTATCCTGAGTGATTTCAGGGGTCACCTGATGTGTTCGTATAATCCTTTTCGGTAGTTAGGGATATCGTCCAGTTTAGGATAAAGATTGTCGGCGGGTTTTTCCGCCTACCCATTAATATTAACCAGTCGTTTCGCCGGTCGACCTACACATTATTCCCTGTCTACCGCGCTCTGCCATTCTGTTTACACTTTACTTTCCTACCCCTATCTGCAATCTACCTTCCTAGTCTACCTCTACGGCCACTTGCTCAATTGGTCCTTGTACAAAAACACCAGCTTCAAGTGACTGAGCGAAGCGACGGTCATGACTTGTTGGTTTAAGCTCTTGGTGGTGATAAATCGGGTTGCGGACGTATAAGTTCCGCAATAAAAATTCCCGTAGAGGTCGGGTAAATCCGTAAGGGGAAGGTGCTTAACAGCCGTAGAGGGAATTTCAGTGATACCTTCTATGGTTCAACCGAGGCTACTCTGTTTATGTCTGACTACTTGCAGAATTCGGGTTCGGTCATTTTGGGGTTCCCTTAAGCTATTATGGGCAGTTCAGGGACCCAATTAGGATCGGTGAGGGTTCACGGAATACATGATTTAGCTTACATAGGGTTGCCTGTTAATCTCTTTATCTCGACCGAATATGATCCTTTGCGTTTAGCTAATGTGACGTTGCCTGAAATGCGGGGACCGTGGGGAAATTCATCGGAATTCTAAGCGAAGTGTTTCCCCTGTATGCTAGTAGGGTTGCCAGAAGGTAATGAACACCACAGATTTAAATAGTTGACGTCCTACGGGCTTTTTTTCTTTCTTTTCTTTTCCCCAGTTGCGAATAGTTTATCTTTTCTGCTTTATCATGCAACTGACCCGCGTCCTATCTATTCTAGTTGCCGAATTGGCCTTGGTCGCGGCGACAAGCAGAACAGATGTCAGCCCTGTTAAATCCGGCGTCCAGGTGCTTCTGGAGAACGCGAAAGAGCTGAAGTCGCTGCAAAACCACCACGGCGTGGGAATTGTGACAAACCCGACTGGTTCACTGCCGAACCTGATCAATGATGTTTATGTGCTCCAATCCGAGAACGTAACTATCAATTCGATCTTCTCGCCGGAGCAAGGGTTCAATGGCGCTCAACAAGCGGGAAGCTCAAGCGGCGGTTATATAGATCCCCAGAGTGGTGTTCCTGTTCAGACGCTTTACGCCCTGACACCACAACAAATGCTGGCTAGCTTTCGGAACCAAAGCGTGGACACCATTTTGTTTGATCTTCAGGACGTTGGAGCTCGTTTCTACACCTATGTCTGGACCATGGCTTGGATTATGGAGGGCATCGCGGGAACCAACATCACATTGATCGTGCTGGACAGGCCGAACCCGATCAACGGCGTTGATGTCGATGGACCTCTGCTGAACATGAATTACACCAGTGGCGTTGGACTATTCCCGATTCCGCTGCAACACGGCATGACAACCGGTGAGCTGGCGCTCATGTTCAATGATAAGTTCATTCCCAACCACACCGGCGGCCGCAAGGCGAAGGTGGAAGTTGTCTGGATGGAAGGCTGGACTCGCGACATGTACTACGACGACACGGGATTGCCATTCATCTTGCCGTCAGCGAACCTGCCGACTCTCGACAGCGTAATTGTCTACCCCGGAACAGGCCTGATCGAAGGAACCAATATTTCAGAGGGTCGCGGGACAACGAAACCGTTTCAACTTTTGGGTGCTACATGGATCGACTGGCATCTAGCACAGGCAATGCAGTCTGAGAACCTGCCTGGCACTGCCTGGCGCGAGGCAGCATTCATGCCAGAGTTCGACAAGTACGCGAACCAGACTGCGACCGGTGTTGAATTATACATCACGAATCGGAGCATCTTTAACCCTCTCCGTACAACAATTGCACTCCTGGTCAACGTTCGAAAACTATACCCGAGCAAGTTCGAATTCATCCCCGACGACTTTGACATTCTGAGCGGCTCATCGTATATTCGCACCGCAATCGAAGCGGGCAAGAATACAAACGAGATCGTTGCTGGATGGCAGGAGGAGTTGCGAACCTTTATGCGGCTTCGGGCCAAGTATCTCCATTACTAACAAGCCTTTGGAGAGTTTCTCAAACGTAGGATCGGTTATCACCGGATACTGCTGTGTATCTGTCTGAAGTGTCAACCTCGTTGCGAATGCAGAAAAAGCAAGAAAATTCCATTAACAGAACTTTTCACAATGAGTGTCCTTGATCAGTCTCAAGGTTTACACTTCGAGGCTGCGTAGATATATATCCTGGTAAAAAAAATATGGCCCTCACCCTCATGCTCCAAAAAAGCGAAGGCTTTTGAAATGCGAGCTATAACGGTTCTATTCAAAAGAAAACAGTTTTACATGGCTGCTTCAGAACCAGAATCTCCGAAACCCTACTTCACTGCAATTCAGTTAGAAACCTTGACGGCGATTCTATCCCAACTCCTCCTCCGCTTTATGCAGTCTTATTAATAAGGGTCATCCGTCACTCCTTGTTAGTAGCAGCAATGGCCAATTGCATCATAGCAAAATAAAGATTGACAATATCGAGCTCAAAATATAACTGGTGTTCTCCGATGTGAAGACCGTATCGTGCATTCGGCATTTCCCTTCCGATCGCGTGCATGAACCAATCAGGTGGGGGCGCTTATGCAGTTGCCACGAGCAATGCACGCGGGCATTGCATAAGGGTGTTTTCCTCTTTTTCATGCGTCAGCCATGAGAGAAGCACAAATACAACCCGCCAAAAGGCTGTGGAGATACATTCCCCGGACTCGCTAGGTCTCCATTTTCCCGCCTTTTACCCACGGGGGATTCCTCATCTGGTCGTTTCGGGTCGCAATTCAATGGATTCCGGCCAAAAGCTTGGCTTTTAAACTCGTGGCGCATTTCTACACAGAGAAACGAGCCCCAAGGGTCTTTTATGCACACGATATGTACCGGAAGCCGGATGGAGAATCTGCCGACAATCTGAGCAGAACCCCTATGGTGGGTAGCTTCGAAATCCTACTCGGTCGCAGACGCAGGCCGTTATTAATCGGTGCTAAAGTCCGTCTCCACCATTAGAGCCCGGCTCTGCATTAGTATTATTCGGTATTGCTCATAAAGCTGTTTTCCCGCACTGTCGCAACTAACTCCTCTTTTCGCCTTCTCTCTGGCGACTCACCAAGCAACCAGCACGGTTCCTTTTGTACAACCTTTCAGGCAGAGGCTGTCTGGTCGTCAAAAGCTTGAACCGGCTTACCTGCATACTCTAATTGCGCAAGTCGCGCACCAACAGCTTAAGGTCCCCCGCTTCAAACTGCAAATCAGGTCCGAGTTGCGTCAGAGCGTGTTTAATCAAGAGTTGTCATTTGGGAGTGAGGCCTCTAACAATGGCAGACGGCGAGAGTAAGCCCCCGTTTATTTCTTAGTCCTTTTTCTGTGGGGAGCATTTTCCCCACTGCGAAAAACAACCTTGCTGAACCCACTCTATAGAGACTTCGTCCGTCGACGCACCTACCTCGGAGAACAGCAATACGGATATTGACTATGCCAATGAGGAGAAGCTTTCACAACACGAGGTGCAAGGCACAGATGTCGAGAAAGGACCTGTTGAGACACAGGATGGCGAGAACCAACAGGAAGAGGAAGAGCCGCGCGATCCTAATATCGTCGGTTGGGATGGCCCAGATGACCCGGAGAATCCGTTGAATTGGACGACGAAGCGAAAAATCTCTGCGACACTCTCCATCTCCTTGATCACGTTCCTCACGTATGTCCCCTGCGAAACCTTCCAACTCTTACAAGACTAACCATGAATCTCCATTAGGCCCCTGGGTTCCTCAATGTTTGCGCCCGGTGTCCCTGAGGTGATGAAATCGTTCCATCTAACCAACACCCAACTATCCTCCTTTGTTGTATCGGTTTACTTGCTCGGCTATGTTTTCGGTCCACTGATCATTGCCCCTCTGTCGGAAATGTACGGGCGCCGAGTTATCTATACTGGCTGCAACCTGCTCTATGTGATTTTCACCGTGGCCTGTGCGCTCGCCCCTGAGATTGGCAGCTTGATTGTTTTCCGCTTCTTTGCGGGTTGCGCCGGCAGCTGTCCTTTGACCATTGGAGCCGGTTCGATCGCGGATATGTTTCCACAGGAGAGGAGAGGTGGCGCCATGGCTTCTTGGGCTATTGGTCCTTTGATCGGACCTGTTATTGGTCCTGTTGGTAAGTTTTTCTCTTTTGTATTCTGGGATGAAAGACTGAACCAAAGGGCTAACCTTTGCATAGCTGGCGGATATCTCACCCAAGCAAAGGGCTGGAGGTGGACTTTCTGGGTCCTCGCTATGGCAGTAAGTGCGAAGTGCGACAGAGAGAAAAGAAGAATAGTAGCTAACTCTTCTCCAGAGTGGTGCCGTCTCTATCAGCTCGTTCCTCTCCATCCGCGAGTCCTACCCCCCGACACTTCTGGACCGCAAGACGAAAAAGCTACAGAAAGAGACCGGAAACCCTAATTTACGCTCCGCCCTTGACGACGGCCGCAGTCCGAAAGATCGCTTTTGGTTTTCAATTGTGCGCCCAACAAAGATGCTCTTCCTTTCCCCGATTGTCTTCCTGCTCTCGCTCTATGTCGCTGTGATTTACGGGTATCTGTATTTGCTTTTCACTACCATAACTGAGGTCTTTGAGGTAAATTACCACTTCTCAGAGGGATCAGTCGGACTTGCATACCTCGGCATTGGAATCGGGTCTATGATCGGCCTTCTCACACTGGGCCTGACTTCCGACCGGCTGCTGAAATACCTGACGGCCAAGAACGGCGGCACTTCAAAGCCGGAGTACCGCCTCCCTCCCATGATCCCCGGCGCGTTGTTCATTCCACTGGCGCTGTTCATGTATGGTTGGACTGCCGAGAAACACGATCATTGGATCGTGCCTATTATTGGAACTTCGTTCCTTGGTGTCGGCATGTTGATAGCCTTTGTAAGTGCGAATCTAAGCGCGACACGCTCTTGCATCGTTCTAACTTCACCCCAGATGACCACTAGCACATACTTGGTCGACGCGTATACCGTTTACTCCGCTTCCGCCATGGCTGCGAACACCGTATTCCGGTCTCTAGTAGGGGCAATCCTTCCAATGGCCGGTCAGTCAATGTATGCCGCGCTCGGTCTCGGATGGGGCAACTCACTGCTTGGGTTCATTGCGCTGGCACTTGCCCCGCTGCCCATCTTATTCTACGTGTATGGTGAACGTATACGGAACAGTAAGATGTTCCGTGTTGAGTTTTAGGCGAGCTATATACCATTCTTCGGTTTAAAAAAATCTCTCACCTCTGCGGTTCTTGTTTATTTGGCATCTTCCTCAAAACAAATTGTTGGTGTTTTTCAAGTCATTGCGGATGCATGGATTGGGCGCTCTCATCGATATTGTTGCTATAGTTCCGTTAGACCGACGAGTCACTGCTCGGAAAGAATGTTGATGGTTCTAGAATCCAGCTGTGTATTATCCATGAAGCAGATATCATCTTTTTGACCCTAATCCAGTCCACTATCTACCGCCCGTTATCTGATCTTATAATCAAGAAAGTCGATGCTGTTTTACTCTTCAAACGGAGGAAATCGACCCATAACCGCCTCAGCGTCTTCCAGCTCTTCCCTCAAAACCCGCCGATGTTCCTCGCTCCTCGCCCGAATCTCACATTTAAATGGAAGGGGCCGTATATTGAACCCCTGCGTATAGGCAAAAGTATCATAGCTACTCTCAGATCCATCGAGAGTTTTCGCTGGCCGAATCTCAAATGCCCACAGTAGGCGCGCCAGCGCAATGAAGAGGGAGTTCTGCGCCAGTCCGGCACCAGGACAAATGCGCCGGCCCCATCCGAATGAGCTATGGCCTTCTTTAGCAGGGTGAGACTTTGGCGGTGATGCCTCAGCGATGTCTTCTTCTGGCAGGGGAGGAAGATATGGCAGGTTGGCCGGATCGATGGACAGGAAGCGGAGTGGGTTAAAGTGGTGTGGGTTCGGGTAATAAATTGGGTTGAGATTGATGGCCCATGAGTTGGAGAGAATTGTCGTGCCCTTCGGGATTGTGTAGCCCTTATATGTGTCGGCAACAGAGTTGGCATGTGGTGTTCCCCCCAGTACGGCGACGGGGCGGATTCGAAGCGTCTCATTGCACAGTGCCTTGATATACGGCAGAGTCGCCTCATCACTGAACCGCGGTAATCGGGAAGTTCCAATAATGTGATCGAGTTCCGCATGCGCAATGGCTTGAACGCCTGGGTTTGTCACTAACATGAGGATGGCGCTGCAGAGCGTACTAGCCGTTGTGTCACTGCCAGCCCCAAAGAGCGATGCAGGCACAAACGAGAAGTCCCGTTCACCGAGGACATCAAAAGCAGCGGGGTCGGACTCGCGTGCTTCAAGAAGCAATTTTGTCAGGGAGTCGGGGACCAGGTTAGAGTTCTTGAGTTCATCCTGGACACGGCGTACAAGACTCATATTTGTAGCAGCCTCTTCACGACCTCGGCGTTGAATCTCTGCTTTCCATGGCGCAATAATATTTGGCACATGCTTGAGCCAGGGAATTGTCTCAGCGAGAAATCGGCCTGGCACATTGAGGGATGCCGAGTACTGCATAAACCCAAGTCTTTCGCGAATGACCTTCGAACTCATAGAATCTATCCTATGGCCGTAGGCAATGCTGAAAACTACACTTGCCGTGAACCGGTCGATCAGCATCTCGTATGATTCCGGCCCATCAAGTAGGGCAGCACACAACCTCGTGGCCTCGGCTTCTTGCACGGGCTTGTACAGGCGGAGAGCGGAGGGATTCAATGCCTGATGAAGCATACGTCGTCTAATTTGCCATTCCTTTCCATAAGGCTGCACCAGAATGCCTGCATTGTCCCAGTATAGTTCTCCCATTACAACGAACCGGGGGCGGGAGCTGAACTTAGTGCTCCGCTTTTCGAGGAGGTCTACCGCCACATTCGGATCAGAAATCACAATTGTGGGACGGCGACCAATCCACAGTGTGAATATTGGACCGTACTGTTGAGACCATTTCTCGAATTGGACCCATGGAGCTGATGTTGGGATTATTAGTTGGTTGCCGAGGAAGGGAAGAGGTATTGGTCCAGGGGGAGGCGAAGGAATAATAAGATGTCGTGGACAAGCACTGATAGTATTGGAAGCGCGATGATTGCAAAGGCGAAGGTGTATGGTTTTGCAAGCAAAAGTTGATGGAGGGAGGATATTGCAAAGCTATCCGTAGGCGATGTGAGAGTCATGTTTGTGGTGTAGTTATACATTTGGGTGTTCTCCGTCTCAATTATGCAGAAGAATATAGTTATTGCAGCCAATTTCTCATGGCATATCGTAGCTTTCTGTCAATCTCCAGAATGATCATACCTCAACATCAGTAGATGGCCGTGCATTCGGTGTTATAACTGCCGGGAACCGGCCCCACGACTCCACATTGGGGGAGGGGAACTGCGGGGATGGGCAAATTTGCACAATAAGGATCGCAACTATATCTGCATTTTGCCGGAGCAGAAGTTGGTATGATGTGGGGCAGCTAGAGGTGCCTATTACTATCTATTAGCTGTGAATTTTAGTTATTCGTAATGCTGATCGGTCAGGGATATATGGTACGATCCGGGAGGATCGAGACCCCTCGTAGCCAAAAATCATTATTATTATCTGTTCTTTTACATGATACCGGACTTTTCTTTGCTCATTAATTCGGACCTAGACGGAAGCTGTTCCTCCTACCAGTTCCATCACTCCCAAAAACCCTTTTCAAACTCGAAAGCCCTACATGCTTACCTCAGCACAACGTCCCAATCAGGGCGTATCATGTGCTGTCGATCTCCCCCGGCCGAGGAATAATGTGGACGGTTTCTTTCTCTGTCTCACTTCCCAGTTCAAAGACCCGGCATCACCACCATCTTCGATGCAGCGGGAGCAGCATATCCTGAGTTGATGGAACGTACCGGGCGTCGATGCCGTCGCGTCGCAGTCATACCAAGTCCCGGAAGGGCTGTCTGGAGTGTAAACGGAGACATATTAAGGTAGGTTCGTTCATGTGCAAATTGGTCACTCAGCACGCCGTGTGTACACCCGCGATTGAAACCCATAGTTTTGAATTGCAATATTTTTACTCTCCTACAAAATATACTGCTCTCAGCAATGTTAAAAGCCCAATCTAACATATTGCCAGTGCGATGAGGGGAGCCCGAAGTGCTCGCTATGCAAAAGGCGAAAACTCGAGTGTACTTATCCACCCCCAAACGAAGAAGACAGCCCCCCTGAGACATCAACGGCTCATGATGGGTCTGACAATGGGTCTCTGACGCCAATTACGGGAGATCCGTGGTCGACCCGCATGCTGGAGACAAGACTGCTACATCAGTACTTAACCTCGACGTACCACACTTTGTCCGAAGATGATATATCGGCCCATCATTTTTCTATCAGCATTCCTCGTATGGCTACTCTCTTCCCATACTTGCTTGACAGCATGTTCGCACTTTCTGCATTACACCTGGCCTCAATCGAGGCCGTTAACCGTCAACCATGGATTAATGCTGCCTTGCGCTACCAGAGCCAGGCGTGTTCTGGGCTCGGGAAGGTTCTCTCCAACATCTCACCGCAGCATCAAGAACCAGCCTTCATGTCGTCCGTATTCATCATGTTGTTTGCGACCGGTCTTCCGAGTATATCCCCTGAAAACCGCCCCACAGATCCTCTTTCTGCGGTTCTCGAGGTCCGCACATTGATCACTGGCTGCGCCATGTTGTTCAATCAGATCAACTCGTTTGACAGTGAGGGCGAGCTGAAGGGCTGGCAATGCTTTAGTGACCGACTCGAAGACCTCAAAAAGAGAAACCTCAATAGGTATGCAATTTCCTTCCAAAGTATGCACCAAGTGCTAGGCATTGACATCTTTTGCAGCGATGGATTATTAGATGCACGAATGTTAAAACTGCTGGAGTTACACAAGTATGTCCCCTTGCAAATGGAGTATCCCACACGGTACTGATTATTATAGAAAAATCATGGAATCGCTCGGCCGATTGCACACCACCATCGACAAACTCCAGGGCCCAGAAAAAGTTACATATCAAACGACTTGGCAACTTCTTTACCGGGCCGTTGAGCCGTGGCCCAAGACTGGCCCATATGGAGGCCCTATTGCATGGCCGCTCTTCATCAACGAAGAATATCTATCGCTTCTCCAAAAGGGCGACTGGTTAGCCCGGATTTTATTCCTACATTATGGGGTATGCATGCGCCTTCTGTCCCACCGATGGTACGTCCGTGACTGGGGCTGCCAGCTTGTTGTTGCGACATTGGAACCACTAGAAGAGATCCCGTCGGAGTGGGTCGAGAGTGTTGCGTGGATTAGACAAGCGGTAGATGCTGATAGCTAGTCTATACAATTAACAATAAATGCTTGTCACGCAATTAGTAGGTGCACAGTAGAGTATGTCAAGGACACTGTGCTGCGATTAATGGCATCTAGTGTAGTTATCCATTTACGCCGAGGCTTGGCAATTAATAATTAGCTTATCGGCGGGGTCTCGTGCCCCTTCCTCGTACCGACGGAATCGTTGTTATCTTCTTCTTCCATTTATAATCAACAGAAACGCTAGTGATAACGGAACAAAAGGGATGTTTCAGCACTCTCTCTCTCTCTCTCTCTCACGCTACGGTTGAAGACACGCAGTTGTGGACTTTTCTAGAATCGCCAACCCCAAATCAAACCTTCCTAGCGGGTCTTGGCCGCCAGGATCCCTGCCAAGTGGAATGCCCATGCCACACCCTTCAGCGATCGGCACACAAGATGCGGAGAAATTGGTAAATAAGTACCCTGCTTCTTGCCCTATTTTACCCCTTTACTGCTGGCGTGGTCATTGAGAGAATAACCATTGTAATAGCCCCTGTTGCCCTCATCCACACCATCCTCCCTTGAGTCGGGAACAGCTGTTGGAACCCCTTCAACATCACGTATTGGAAGGTGGGAAAGGCTTGCAAGTATGGTTCGACCGATGAAATTCCGCTTCTTCGCGGTACTGTCCCTGGTCTTGGTGGTGGTGCATTTGCCTAATGTTTACACGTCGCCGCTGGAACTCTTGGATCGTGATCTCGATGACCGCGATGCTTCCCATCGGGGTATTGGACCTGGCAAGCTGGGCGCTGTTGCTAGTGAGAACTCGATCTGTTCACGCCATGGAACAGACATTCTGGAAAAGGGCGGTAATGCCGCTGATGCTGTCGGTCTTCTTCTCTCACACTATATAAATGCTTTTTACTTACACGGATTGTAACAGTTGATTACGACCCAATTCTGTGTTGGAGTTATCGGTCCGTTTCTGATAAATCATGACTTTCAGTGCATTGCTAACGCTGTTTAGGGATGTACCATAGTGGTATCGGCGGAGGAGGCTTCATGCTCGTACACGCACCCAATGGCTCCTACGAGTTCATTGATTTCCGCGAGACAGCCCCGGCAGCCGCCTTCCAGGAAATGTACAGAAACAACACCGACGCTTCGATCTTCGGCGGACTGGCTAGGTAGGTATGGCATTCTGTATTGGGAAAGATACGCTAATGCCAATGTAAGCGGTGTGCCCGGCGAAGTTCGCGGCCTGGAGCATCTTCACAAGAACTATGGGTCCCTGCCGTGGGCTACACTCTTGGAGCCCGCTATCCGGACCGCCCGTGAAGGCTTCCCCGTCACAGCGGACCTAGTCAATTACATGAACTCGGCAGTCGGCGACGGACCTGACTTCCTCGTCAATGACCCCACATGGGCCCTGGACTTTGCCCCGAATGGCACGCGCTTGGGCGTGGGAGACATCATCACCCGGCGGCGCTATGCGGATACACTCGAAGTTATTGCACAGCAGGGCCCTGATGCTTTCTACTCAGGCCCCATTGCCGAAACCATGATTAATGCGCTGCAGCGCGCAAATGGCACAATGACCCTAGAAGATCTGCGCGACTATGATGTTGCTATCCGCAATATCTCTCAGATCGATTACCGTGGCTACACAATTACTAGTACCAGTGCGCCTTCTAGTGGTATTGTCGCTATGAGTATTCTGAAAATCCTCGACACTTACAAGGACTTCTTCTCGTCTGAGAAATCAGTGGATCTGAGCACCCATCGTATGGACGAGGCGATGCGCTTTGGCTACGGCGAGGTAAGATTGCTCTTTCCGGCACTCAATGCAACTCCCTAATCATCATTTGCACAGAGAACGGAACTCGGCGATCCTCTGTTTGTCAAAGGAATGTATGAATATGAGCGCAGCATGCTGAACCAGTCCACCATCGACGAGATTCATTCCAAGATATCCGACCTTCACACACTGAATATATCCGCTTATGACCCCGCGGGGCTGGAGAGTTTGGACACGTATGTCTCACTCACCTGCTTGATTATCCTTTGCATGTATGATTAACTCTGTGCTTTAGCCCGGGAACTTCCCACATCGCAGCAGCGGACCACTCCGGTCTCGCGATCTCGGTCATCACGACTATCAATCTCCTTTTCGGCAGTCAAGTCATGGTCCCTGAGACGGGAATCATCATGAATGACGAAATGAATGGTATGCATCTACCCCTCCCAAAAATAGTCCATTTGTCTCATTGGATTGCTCCAGACTTCTCGATCCCCGGATCCTCCAACTCCTTTGGCTTCATCCCTTCCCCTGCGAACTACATCCGACCCGGCAAGCGACCTCTCTCATCCTGTACACCTGCCATTGTGACCCGACCCGATGGGTCACTCTATCTGATCACCGGTGCCGCAGGAGGCAGCCGCATCATCACCGCCACGGTGCAGAATATCATCCATGTCGTCGACCAGGGATTGACTGCTGCGGAAGCGCTGGCCAAACCGCGGCTGCATGACCAGCTTGTTCCCAACCAGGTCACCTTCGAGTACGCCTATGACAACTCTACTGTTGCATTCATGGAGTCACGGGGTCACAACGTTACCTGGGTTGCTCCTGGGCAGAGCACGGCGCAGGCAATTCGTGTCCTGCCGAATGGCACTTTTGATGCTGCGGGAGAGCCGAGACAATTGAGCTCGGCTGGATATTCTGTATAGAGTGATCGTGCGAGAATATATATAGAGAGCGTGGATTGGCATAGATGATTCTGCTAGTGGCACAAAGGCCCGGTAACACATTTACACCCCAACGCTAAGTGACGGTAGACTGGGCACCTTTAGAGCCCTTTTAAGCCTGTATCTGCTTTACTCACTGCTCTCGTAGCCCTTCCTAGGGAGACCAGAGGGGAAATTTAATAATGTGGCAGGTGGAATACGTCGAAGAATAGACTCCTGTACATCGTTGGCTTTTACTATACACCACGTAGAAGCGGCATAGCATAGCAAATGAAGTTGCTATCTCTCGCTCTGGCCTCGGAGAAGGTTCAGCTCCACGAGCAGTGGAACAACTCTTAAAGATAGCGTTCGAAAGTCAAGATACTTCGCTAAAGAAATGGCGCGATAGTGCCTAAAGCTACAGGAAGACCATCAAGTCGCGATGCCAGGCGCGTTGCATAAGGGTCTAACACCAAATATCGAGCTCTTCTACCTGAAAGACCTAGTAGAAAATGTGATGTCTTTTGTGTCATCATCCAGTTTCATAATCTCAAAGGTCAGCCAGAAGTCGCTGATAGGTAAGGATACTGTTCATTTTTGTTCTAGACACATAGCAGTGCTAATGCTGATCCTTGTTCGTAGAACCAAACCCTTCATGCACGACGATTCCTAACTGTATACTGCCCGATCGTTCAAATTATCGAGTATATGGTTTCAAAGCCATTGCACAGCGGTACTAACTAATGGCGAAGATATGTACCCACGCATTATCTCAACGGAGACAACGCCTTGGACGAATGAGTACTCTAGTTATGATTGCGCAAAGACCGAAAGCGGCCCAGCATTTCGAAGAGCAGAATGAACTGCTCAGCTCGTATTACTTCCACGACTAGGAGTAGATTACTCTGTGTGTGGCAGCATTGAGATTCTTATACTAAATCCTGGTCCCCTAGCCTAATAACTGGAAACCCTAGCTGATCCCGGCGGGCGAGCGTCTGTTTCTTCCACTCCCTGAATGAACATAGCCGCACTTCAGAGTCCAAATGACCAAACGTATGCTGCGGGCTAGTAAACTGCAAGCTAGCCAATTCACCCGCGAGATCGACCTCGTGCTTCAAATCACCATCAACAAGTATGCGAATCGTCCCGATCCGCTCGTAGAGGATCTTCCCGTATAAAGCGGTATGATAACCCATGCGAAGGAGTGAACGAATTTCGGATAGGAGGAATTCCGCAAGCCACTCTGGGCGCGTGGTATACTGTTCGAGCTTAATGCCCTTTCCGGAGCTATCCCGGGCGGAGTTCCAAGATAGCCATCTCCGATAAGTCACTCCGTCTGGAGGAAAGGAGAGTTCGGGCTCCGCAGACTTGAAGTCAAGAACAAGTCCTTTAACGGTCACGTCATGATCTTCAAAGTTTAGGCTCCTAGAGCTAGGTGTAGGTCTTTCGCACTTTTCTTTCTTTTCGTCGACAGGCCCATATCGGAGAAACCGCTCAAGTAAGGCGTAAAAGCTCCAATGAATTCCATGGCGGCCCCCATCACCAACTTGGTAACGGGCTATATCTTTCGAGATAATATGGCCAAAGAGACGTACGTCCACGTAGAGAGTGGATACACGGTTTGTGATATGCGGGACTGATAGCCAGGTAGGGAAGAGATTAATGTCGTCTAAAACAGAGATGTCGAGAACGTATGTTGCTGATCCCATATGGTTAAGGACCGCCTTTGTCTGGGCAGCTAGTTGGCGGCAAGTTAGGAGGAGCCAAAGACAGTTAGAAGGACAGTGCGTGCTGCGTCGTTCGTGGTAGATTCCGCACAGGGCATGGCGCCATGCCTTGTACTCGATATCTTGGAAATCGACACGATCAGATTTAGAGGGTGTTGTGGGCGGCCTGCGGTGGCCACAGAGAACATGCTGGATAATAGTTTCGCGAAGCTCTTGGGGCAGATCCAACAAAGAAGGCATGTTGAGGTGGGGCGTTGAAAGAAATGGCTTTGGACTTACCAGCAGGTGTTTATATTATTAGACGCCCCAGGCTCGTTTTGTGTACTAGTAACTAACGTTACGTAACGTCATCAACACCCATCAACTACGCTCCTGAGTGGCCAGCAAAAATACTCATACTAGGTTACCTACTTAACGGCCTGTGCCCCACAAGATATCTTATACAGCTAGTTTTATGTACCTACTATGCGACACATCATCTACAAAACGTCATGGTTTATCTCTTTCCCTTCCTGCTGCGCTATCAACCCGTTGCTTTACCTTGTCGGGCAGCCTACGAGTGCCTACTTGGAACACAGCCTATTGATTTCTTTTCCTCATTCAGATAGTCGGCCGCAACCGACCGCTTCTATCAGGGTCCCGAAAGCTAGCCCCCGAAAATTGGGGCCCGACAACTAGCCCAAGCCGGTGCCGAATAATTGATGGGGAGAATGAGTGGGCGGCCCTGAGTGTCTCGCAGTTTTTATATGGGACGGGCATGCCCTTAGTTATCTCTCGAAACATCTTCAGGTCTGAATTCACTCACAAAACCAAGATGGTCAGGCTTTCCTGTTTACTACTACTGTTGTCATCTACAGGGCTGCCAAGTGCTCGGCCGACCGAATCATCCCTCCAAGGCGCGGACGATAGCTCCTTTTCTGACTTTTCCTTCCCTCCTGCTTCTTCCAATGCCATTGGTGCTTTGAATTCTCCCTTGATCTCGCGTGGCAGGCTTTATCCTCGCATCGGCCGCAATGACAATTTCATGAAACACTTTGTGAAAGGCGCGAAGTTGTGGGACAAGTTCCAACACGACCTCCAAGACCATACGGGCGCGGCACCCAAACCAATCAGTTTGGTCTACGATGACCACACCGAGGGGTGGGAGGGCGAAGGAGATTGTGCGGTGCGAGTGCCTGTTCCTGGCAAAGATGGATGGAGATTTGAACGTCAGGAGGTCGAAGAGAGTGTCCAACTGAGCACTGTTTTTCAGGAGATCGGGCTAGACGGACAGGTGCAACTGGAGGGGCTTTACGCAACTTTATGGAAAGATCCAGAAATTGTCGTCTCTATCTACTTTGATTGTGCGAATGGAATCATGGTGCGATATTTGGCCTACCTGAGGTATCATGAGAACGGCCAATCGCACGATACAGATGATCATTGGTCTGACGTGTCATGGGCCCTATACGAGAAGGCTTGTCCTACCAGTCTTCAGGAGCTGCAATACGTTATTGTCACGCTGGTCAAAAATCCCGTCACCAAGGTTATCCTTGAGGACGCCACCGCGGCCGCGGGCCATTGGAATAAAAAAAACGCCAAGGAGAACAATTTTGTTCTTACCACCTGGGAACCATCCAGGCTCACCACGCCAATCTCAACGAGCAGCTGTTCGCCGGAGAGCAGAGATTGCGACTTTTTTGCTTTGCTCCACACGCCGAACGCTGTTGGGGTTCTCTATCTTCTCCGAGACCATATGCTACAGTTGAACTTTAAGAGTATCAAGAGCATCTCCGGGTTCCACGATTGTATCTATCAAAATGCAGAAGGGTCTGCATTTGTCAAATGGACCATGTTTATGAAACTGACATAGAGTACATAGGTAATGATATGAGGTCGCAACCAGGGTAGAGAGATCCACCGCACTCACTGTACTCCGTATACTTCACCGTACCTGGCCGTGGTCCGTGCGCATAATTCTTCGTTGGACCTTCTCCGCCGCGCCCATGATGTTTCCCTCCTCGTTTCTTCTTGCTCTCCAGCACTCTTGACCAGATCACCTGTCTTCCTTTCGGTAACTGACCGGACGCCCACCTGTCAGTGCACCATCCACGGGCCATCGCTCTGTCAAACCCGTAACTACGCCACGCGTCGTCGACGTGACTCACGTCTGGGCCATGCGGAAGCTGGTTGCCCATGGCTTTCACGGAACCCCAGGCGTCTGAGCGACCTTGAGCATCCGTGAGCCAGCCCTGACGTTGTCTGGCGCGCGATCTAACTAGATCCCTTTCCATTTACAGCCGAATCCTCAACCGGACCAAGCCATCTGCCTGCCCTGCATATGCGTCCCGCGCCATCGATTTCTTCACTCGCCGAACCCAACGTAGCCCAGTTTATACCAAAGATAGATACACGAGATGGCTTCCACCAACGGAGTCTCCGTCGTCATCTCGCCTCCATCAAACTTCGACCTCGATTCCTACAAACTACTCAACTTCAACGAGTCATTTGAGCAGCTGTTCGACCGCACCTGTGACGATATCCTGTCTGACCAAGCAAGCCTGGAGGCATCGAAATCCGAAGATACCGGCGTCGAGAACTTTTCAATTACGTCCTCTGATGGCGTGACGGATGAACCAGACCCTGCTGGCTCGGCGTCCAAAAAGTCGCGCTATGTTTATGTGCCTTCACCCAGGAAGATCAAGTATACGTACGGAAAGAAGGGTGTGACGAATCGAACGATCACAATGATTGATATTTTGAGTGACAACGAGGACGAGGCTACCCAGAAGCGTCGGAAACCGAGTGAGAGTAATGTCGATAATTTTGCAGGGGCCGAAGCCCCACTAGTGGACATGGACAACTCTGCTTTATCAAGTGATTTTGCCAGGAATTCTTCAAGCAGCGATGTCGATGTGGTAGAAGCAGAGGAAATTGCCTCGTTGGAGCCATCCAACCAGGATGAGCTCGGGCAGGGCGAAGACGAACGCAGTGAGAGCTCTGCGATAATTTCTGCGGAACCCGAAGAATTGCAGATGGAAACTACTGGAGTGTTGGGTGGATCTACCGACGACGCCCCGGATCGCGATGTCAAAGACGGGGTGGCGATCGAGGAAGATGCCATCTTGGCTGGACCAGCCTCTCCTCCGTCGTGTGCGTCCATGGCTTCAGCGGTTCCTCAGGTCCAGCCTTCTGCGACTGCGTTATCTTGGCAGAATAAGACCGACGCGTTGTTTGGCAAGACGACGCCTGAGAAGAAAAGCGTGTTAGCTGCTTCATCGGAGTATCTCAATCAAGACGACCTGATGCAGAGCGAGGGAGAGGACGAGATCAATCAGCAGGTAGACGGGCCGGACGAGAGAGCTAGCGATGTTTCAAGTCGCAATATCGGTGCGGCAGACGCAGAAGAAGATGCGAAATCCGAAAGGAATTTTGTTGACATTAAAACATTAACAGTGGACAACGTTGGATTTTCAAATGGACATACCGACGGTGCTTTGAATGGCGATCTCAAGGACGAGGCAATGGAGGAAGATGCTATCTTTGCTTCATTGGAGCCTTCCAAGCGAGACGGGCTGATGCAGTCCATTGTATCTCACCCATTCATGCAAGAAGGTGGTTACCCCGTGGTACGCTCCGAGCGGAGTGAATTCATCGACCACATCAGCACGGAAGCCACGAGCGCTGGAATGGACAAGATGTCCATCTATCTCCTGATCAAATACGTACGCAAATTGTACTTGAGTATGAATAGCTCGCTGTCCGATGCCGATATTGATGCTTTGGAGGGGTTTGAATTTGGCGATGAGCGACGGAAGAAGCGGAAGAGAAATCCGGATAGGCCCACGAAGAAGTCAAAGAGAAAGAAGCGACTCCTCGACAACGATGACTTACCCGAGAACACCGGACCAGACGAGAGCAATGAAACTCCTCGGAACTCCCAGACCGACATGCCGGATGCTTCCTTGGAGGACTCTACCTTGGTTCCAGACAATCTGCTCGAAGTCGAGGTCCCCGATCACCATTCTTCCAGCAAAGCCAAACGAAACAAGCGCAAGAGAGCGCGCCAGAAAAAGAAGAAGGCCGATAAACATCGCGAAAGCCTCTCGAAAGCAGCACTTCGCGAAGGTACTCCCCCTGCAAAGGACGTGACGCTGTCGACTCCAACGAAATCGAGAGGAACTCCCTCCAAAAGTCCCGGAAGCAGTCGCAAAAGCAGTCATGGTGAACTCCCAGCCGACCCAGGGCTCTGGGATGTGGATTTTTGATAACCGAGGACTCGCAAGGTGTGGCCTCCAGCGATGAGGTGATATCAAAATATTTCTCTGTCGACCGTTCTCCCAACAACAACAACCCACCATGCACACTCCGGCTGTACAATATGTCTATTCCTGAAGAGACCCGCAAGATCTTGCAAGAGTTGGATCTGCCATCGGATTTTCTGTTGTCTGATTCGTCTTTGAGCGATGTACCCAGCGATTTCGAACCTGATTCTCCCTTGCCTCCACCTCCAACGCTTTTCCCTGGCCAACGCACTCACCTTCCACCTCGGTATTCAACCCCCCGCCAAGATCACCTGCCAAATCCCCCACCAAAAGTGCCTATTTTCTCAAATCCGAGAATGCGACTCCATCGCGAACCAAACCGCCCAAAATCTCACCTTACTTCCCCTCGTTGTTAGGTGATCCCGGATCATGTCTTCCTTTTCCCCCGACCGATGCGCCATCATTTGGCCTCATCCAAGAACAGCTGGCACACGATCCTTTCCGACTGCTCATCGCGACAATCTTTCTCAATCGGACTCGAGGCGGAGTCGCCTTGCCGGTTCTTTTCCAAGTCTTTGAACGTTATCCAACCGTCGAGGCGATGGCTACTGCTGAGCTCTCTGACTTAGTGTCGATGATACACTGTCTGGGCTTTCAAAACCAGCGGGCGAAGAAATGCATTGGATTGGCACAAACCTGGCTTTCTGCTCCCCCGACCAACGGCAAGCGGTATCGCAAGCTCCACTACCCACAGAAATTGGATGGCCGCGATATTGGCCGCGATGAATGTGTCGACAATGACGACCCGCGCGTTGCGTGGGAGATTGCACACCTGCCCGGTGTCGGCGCATATTCCTTGGATAGCTGGCGAATCTTCTGTCGCGACGAACTGCGCGACCTGGCCACGGACTGGAAGGGGACTGGTGCTACAGCGGCTGATTTTGTCCCCGAGTGGAAAACTGTGCTACCGCAGGACAAGGAGCTACGCGCCTACCTGACTTGGATGTGGCTCAAGGAAGGCTGGCTGTGGGATCGCCATTCCGGCGACTTGATCCCGGCCAATGACAGGGTCCTACGGGCGGCGCAACGAGGCGGCGTAGCCCATGAAGAGCATGGGAACTGGGTGTTGGAGACCTCGCCTACCAAGCCGGCGAATGGGCTACATGCCGTGGAGTAAATGAATGATAAGCTGTACAGTAGTAGAATAAGTAGAATGATACCCTGATCATGATTTCAATTCTCGCCTAAATCCTAGTTAGAATAGTAGAGTTGTTGGGGCGAGAGGGCAAGCAGTCGTTGATGAAGCAGGGCAAACCACGTCACGGGGCGGGGAATTAGTACATCTTGCTGCGTCGGTTTCTTGCTTCGTCACCGCCCACTCGCCGCACCTACATGGTCCCTGAGCACACGAGCTTATTCCTTTGTTTCCTCCATTATTCGAAGTTATCCCATCGCCGGAGCTCGTCCTCGTGCTCTCGCGGAATGCTGGAACTCCTGCCCCAGCTTCCAGGGATTCGATAAGCTGCCGTCCACCAGTGACAGCCCGCTTCCTGCCCAACCTAAGCGCCAGGCAGACGAGCATCTCGGGGAATTGGTGGCCCAAAATAGCATCCCTCCGTGGCGGTGCAACCTGCTGCTCCTCTGAGGTAAACCGACCGTGACCGATGAACCCGCGGGATTCGATCCTCGTTCTTTGCTCTCGCCGCCCACTAGCCCGCCAGCCATGCTGCCGTTGAGAATTAACCGAGATCGCGACAGGAACGGCTACACTCGCAAATCGTCCTCGACCTCCAAAAACAAAAACAAACAGCGTTCGTCACTGGCTCGGTCCGCCCGTCCTTCAACCAAGGATCGTGCCCGCGACCCCCCCACGGCTCCCTCCTCCACTTCTCTCTCGTCCTCCTCATCCGTCACGTCCACCACGTCCTCCGATCCGGACCCTCCCCACCAACGCAGGTCCTCGATGCCGAGCGTCGAAACCGAGCGGTCGGGGACCACCTCGTTCCTGAATGACTCCAGGACCAGCCTGCCATACCCGACATTTTCCAAGGCCCACAGCAAGGAGGCCGTTCGCCAGCCGGATATCCCAACACCGGACCCGACCGATCTGACCGACCGCAAAGAAAGTGGAAAGACAAACGGCAACAGCCATGACCGTACCGAGAACCATGCACCTCCCAGCCCACCGCTGACAGGTGTCGATCAGTCATCATCGCGAAAAGGCACACCGGTCGATGAGCGGGATGCGAAGGGGACGGAGACGGAAAAGCCAAAGACAAAAAAAGCAAGCATCCGGATCAAAACCGGTAGCAACAGATCGTCGTCAAGTCTCTGGGCCAAGAAAGAGGATGCGATCAAATCCAGCAAGACCGCGCGATCGGAGACGCCCCCGAAACCCAAAACGCCCAAGGATGAGAAGGAAGCATCGCCTAGAGCGTCGCCTCGGACAACGACTCGCAAGACATCCAGATCCAAAATTCCCGACGAGAAGAAAATACCCAGAAAGTCCACCAGCCAGTCCACGATGTCCCCTTCGCGATCCAACGTTACGGTCCGCGAGACGGGCGCAGAGTCTATCGACGGAGGGTCTGATGCAACCTCCATTGCTCCCAACCAGCAGTATACAGCTCCACGCAAACCCATGACACCGCCTGTAAATCCCCCATCTCGGAACCAGATGCGGTCTTCGATGTCCCATCGCCACACACCGAGTGATGACTCGTTTGACTATGGACGACCCATCATGACAGGCCCTGCATATGGAGCCCCTCCGCCACCTCCGCCTCCGCCCGAAGTACCGGTTTCCATTCCGAGGGTTGATTATCTTCTTCAGCACGGTGGTCTGGACCACAAAGTACCGAAAACACTGCTTTGGAACCTCGGCGTAGCAGATCCTTTCTCTCAGCAGCAGCCGCAGACTCAAGTCGCAGCTCAAAAGCTCTTTGAACCATTCAATCATCTGCTGGATGACTATCAAAAAGTTATGAACAAGAATGGCTCGCTGGCGGTGGCTACAGGGTACCGATCAGTTGCTCGGCGCCTACTCGATCGTCTCGAGGCTGTCTTTGCACGCGACATCTCATCCGAGCCCTGCCAGTGTCGGATGTGCGATAACTCAGAGACAGAGGAACGACCAGAGGGTGTAAGTTGGGGCGAGGTGCTCGAACTGGTGTCAGGACGCCGAGAACTACCCACATGGCCACCTTTCATCATGGCACCGACTGTCGAGACGGCGATGCAGGGCGACGAGCATATCCCAATGCAGAAACTGGATATTGACGTGCCGGAAGAATATCGCGAACACTACAGACGACAGTCCCAAAAGACCAAGGTGGCTGTCGATAAATGGCTTTCGGAGCAAACGGACCAAGTCAGCAGTGCGCCCAACGAGGTCGACGATGAAACTTTGACATTCGCCATGTTGACGCATCTGGAGCAACAAGAGCGCTCTCTTTTCTGCACCTTGCTTGGTATCAACTCCTCTACTCCCGTTCCACGGTCAGACGACGAGCCCCGACCTAAGTCCTCTGCACTTGTATCCTCGGGAATAGCCATTCAACGGCTCTACCGACTTTCGTCACTACCTCGAGACCCTGAGATAGCCATGTACATGTTAAACAATCGGGAACTGCACCATGTCCTGGCCACACTTGCCGCCATCAGTGATGACGAATGGGAGATTCTCATCTCCGGCCGATTCGATGGATTCCTCCGTAGCGGAGCTGAAGACGGCATTCCCTCTGCCACAACTTCCGGCTCTCGCTGGAATAGCAACCGTTCCAACACCCCCTTCAGTACAGGCGGAATCTCCCGTGGTACTACTCCCAGCCACATGGACGGCAGTTTCCGGCCGGCGAGCCAGCCGAATGGCGGTCCATCCTCCCCCGCCTCTTTTGGCGGCCCCATCGCTCTAGACGAGGAAACCGAGATCGCCGCGTTAGCCGAAGTCGAACGGGACATTTTCTTGGGAATGGAGGCCCTGGAGGACGCATTTGAAGCTCTGCATTGCAAAGCCGAAGTTGTGCGTCGGGCTCTTCGCGAGCGTGGGGCCGGCTTGTCAGTGGCCAACCAGAGCCGCCGCGGCTCATACGTCGAGGCGCGTATGGGCACCCCCTTCTCTGCGATGGGCAATACATGGGAAAGTGGAACGGAAGACGACTTCCTCGATGATGACCGCTCCCTCGCCCCGGATGACTCGGCCAGTAACATCAGCTCTAGCCGTCGGCGTCGACCTAAGAGACGCACTGAGCGACGCACCCCAGCCCCCGTAGAGGAAGAAGATGAAGAGGAAGACCGGTCGTATGTGAATCGTCGCGATGGACGAAATGCACGGCGAAGGTAGTTTCGGGGTTATTTGAACAGTGAATAGCATGGAAAGATGGTTATAGCATTGTACCGGATCTGATTTCCTCACCGATGATGAATTGATACCCTCCTTCATATGCTCTGTTCTTGTTATTTCGTGGATTGTATTCTTCATGCGCAGATTGGATACCGTAATGAGCGATTTTGTCCATTTCCTTCCATATTTATTAGATTCTAATGACCGCGGAGTGCACACAACACGGCTGTGAGGCTCGCTCAACGTTCTGAATGGGCAATGCCGTTTTTCAGCCCCGAACCCACCTCACGCCAACAATTAAGTGGATCACTTCTCCGTGTCTTCCTTTCTAATAACCAGTATAGACGATATTAGCACTCCTTCTGACTCCTTCCCCCATATAAATACTAAGTGTGCCGCGGCGTGCCAGGTCAAACGACCCATGGATGGTCGAGCGGTTGAACGAATGGATGGCCGAGCGACAAATGTCTCGTGAGCTGGTCTTTAAAGGACTCACTAACATCTTATGCTATTCAATCAAAATGCAAAAAGAGCTAGAGAACTCTTTTAAATCTCTCTCTGTGTCCGACGACGACAGCACAGAGCACGTCACCGAAACGGCCTTCATTTCATTCCTCACTCAAACTGGAGCGATCCCGCAACCCATGCCGGAAACCGGACCCATTCCCTATCGAACCCTCCACTATCTATCTGGTTACCCACTGCATCACTATCCGTTTCCAGCTCTATCATTAGATGGTCGGCTTTGCGCTTTCGGATGGTTGATCCCATGGAGAGATGGGATCTGGTACGAGCAAGGCCCGGGTGCACACAGGCGCACGCCCGCCGATGCAACGCGCGCAATTTTCCAGAGCATAGCGACAGGCCGCGAAGGCGAAAAGCTTCCATATAATCCGGATGAATGGAGCAGACAAGCTCTGAGAAGGGCTTTTGAATTTCCCGAGTCGAATTCGCAGTATCGCGACTCGGCCAATTGTATATGTAAGCCAACCGTTTTCAAGCCCCTGTCACCCGCTTGGACTATCCAGGGGGGTGATCTTGCATCTGGAGATTCGAACAGTGGAGTTGACCTACTATTGAAGAAGAATTCTCCGCGGGCAACGTTTGTTCAAAAGCTTCATGGGGAGGATGAATCAATCTATATTCCTACTGTTTGGAAGAGGCAACCGACATGTTGAATTGGATCTGGATGGAGTTGAGATGTGGGCTGAGAAATGAAGATTATTCTTGGCACAATATAATTCTGGGGCAAATTTTTACATTGCCACCTCTCCGTGACCAAATCAGGAATAATAGCAGAGAAATACCGAGTATTCTACATTGGAAGTTTTGACGGTATGATTACTTGCTCATGGACGACGCCACTAACTGGTAAATTCATATAATAGTCTTGTTTTAGCCTGAACGGCGACATTATGAACCCCGATATTTCACTTGGCACTTACGCGAACCACACTTGCATTGCCACTTATTACAAAGCTAAACAAGGCTCCGATGCCCATGTTGAAAGCTGGACAGCACGCGAGGCCAAGTTACATCGTAGATGGCAATGGTAGCGATGTCTATGATCATCAGAGCACGCAAAGTAAGCAAAACAAGGCAGGGACAATTGAGTCAGACACGGAATGATCGGGGCAAATTACTCGTAAAGGTTTGACAGGCACGATATTCCAACAGGACTATTGACAGTTTGGAGTCGCGTGTCTGGGGCGTGTCTGGAGCATTTGCACTTTTTAAGAAGACGACTAAATGAGAACAACCGGATCCGCTCCAACCATAATAATACGTAATAATGGCGTTTAGCAGGGCCTGATGGGTGGAATAAAATTTACTAGTTACTGAAAGTTAGTCTAGATTATCAAGTCGGGCGATGGCCGAGTTAATAAACTAACTAGTCCACTATGATCGGCGGTCGTTGACGGAGTCGCCGACAGAATAGGATTGGACAGTCAGTATTATTAAACAATCAAGTTCATGGCGGATATTCGCGTGGAATAAATGATTAATGGTTTTCCGGATCGTCGGATACACCCGACCCAACCAACAAATAAAGCCTGGATCGAGTTTCGCGGCGGTCATATGCTCTATTTCCTGATGTGCAAAATCCGTTGCATGGAAAGTAACCCCTGAGATCGCCCCTAGCGAAAGCGAACGCGACGGCGTAGTGTTTAATCACCCTGGGATTATTTATCTTCTTGGTCCTGCCTGTATCTGTCTTATACTCACCGAGAGTCGTCCTAGTAGCCTGTAATTTGTCGTTTACCGAATCGTTGGCACATGTCGGAAATGATGTGCAGGTCACCGCTGCTCTAGAATCGGCTTGGCAGGAAAAGGGACCCGGCAGGCCCAGGCGAAAGGCGTACCCCACCCGCGGCCGGGTTCTCCCCCGTTGACAGATGATGACCAGGTACCGTGGTGCAGGTTCCTTCTTCACCGGGCGAATTACACCTGATTCAATATCTCAAAAATGATATTTTGCCGCAAAATGCAGGAACTCCGACAAGAACGCCGAGCCGATGACCCCTGACACGGGCAACAAAACACATGGCCGCCAGCGAACCTTGCGGGAATCGAGCAGCCTGTGGTTGAACTGTTTGTTGTGGAGCGTATCATATTATGACCCACTGGAACGGCTCAGGAATCGAGCCTGGTTATTGTTAAATCATCCTTTCAGGACCCAGAAAAAGCCAGCAAGATCGACATTGTTGCTCGACCCGTCGGCTTGGCCAACATTGGCGAAAAGAATCTGCCCTCAATAATTGGTCTCCTCGGATACCACAACTAATTGTCGGCTACCGCTTAATGGACGACTTGTTTGGATTGGCCAGGGCTTCTTGGGTCCCCGGTTCTTGCAGCCGCACTACAGCATTATTGCTGACCACTAGTCTCAAATAATACGAACAAACGAATCCATGAGGTGGCAAACACAAAGGTTGCCCCGCCTGTTGATGCAACTCGGAGGGACTACCGTTTTGATCCGGGGGTTGTGTGCCATGCTGGCCGGAACGAGTTGACCGTTTGTCCCCACTCGTGTTCCAGAAGTTTACCCCTGCAGCTGTAAGCAGTCTCCACTTGCCCTGGTCAAGGCGAGGCTTACGCGGAGAACACACATACGGATGGAATTCGTTACTGAGACAAATACGAGGCAGGTAATGTGAACCCTAGAAGTTCATAATTGCTCACCACAAGACGCAGGGGTTTCTTCGGTTCCTGGCCGTTATTCTTTTTCATTGGTCCCATGCACAGGCAATGCCAGCCACGGTCAGATCGGGGTCACAGTGAGCAATGTCGCCTAGATGGGTCCTTTTGTGCGTTGATTCGACATTCTAGCCAGAAAGTTCGAAGATTACCCACACGAGTCCCATAGCTGAGAGGGTCCCGGGCCGTTTGGGGTGGAGTGGATTTGAAGGCATGAAGGACTATGGAGTCCATGCCTCGATGGCCACAGTGTGTTGAGCCTAACCGAGATAGGCCCAGGATAGCTAGCTTAAGTGAAAGTTCAGTCGTGGAGGCCCGAGTCATACCACAAAGAGGCTTGTATGAAAATGACCATTGTCTGCCTTTCACTAGATGGAGCTTAGAGTTCTTTCAACCCACACAATACACTAGTGGATTCGTCCCACCCTGTCAAGTTCATCCACAAGCCTAATAATCCTGCTCTGCTATTTATGTTGGATCCTTGCCTCTTTGCTTTTTCCCTGCCAGGACACTTCTGAGGAGAGAGCGACTGCGTCACTCCTTTCAAAATATTCCGTTTCCATCACATTTACCGGCCTTGCCCTGTTTCTCGGAATTGTCCTCTCTATTGGAATCATCTTCCCGAACCCGATTCACGCCCAAGAAGAGTTCGATTCTTTGCTTCTTTCACTCAAGCAATGATGACGATTTGTTTTATAGTCTGATAACAGCAAGCACGAAGCACAAAATGCGTGGGCTTCTATTATTGGACATGATGCGCAGTGTCGCAGAGGAGGGAAATACACTGGTCCCGCGGTCCACTGGCAAGGTTGAGCTGGACATCGATCCTCTACCACTCGCACAACGTCGAGGACTCATTGCAGTTACGGTCATGGCATTTCTTTCTCTCATTGCCACGGCAACTCTTCTCATCTTCATTACCTACCGCCTGATCTTCTGGCGCGGAAAATACACCAGATACATCGGGTACAACCAATACATTATCCTCATCTATAATCTGGTCCTTGCAGATTTTCAGCAAGCACTGGGATTTTTGCTCTGTTTGAGATGGATTCTCACGGACAAAATCCAGTCTGGTACCGCTGCATGCTTTCTTCAAGGGCTGTGGCTTCAAATCGGTGACCCCGGTAGCGGCGCTTTCGTCCTGGCTATCGCTTTTCACACATTTCTACTCGTCGTCTTGGGGAAAAAGATGTCTTATAAGGTGTTTGTTTCCTTTGTTATCGGTGTCTGGGTCTTTGTGGCTGTTATTGTCACAATCCCGTTGGCAATGTACGGAGTCGATGTCTTCATCCCATCTGGTGCCTGGTGCTGGATCAACGAGGAGTATGAGACAGTTCGCTTGTGGACTCACTATTTCTGGATCTTCCTTGCCGAGTTTGGAACTGTTTGTCTCTACGCAGTAATGTACTTCCAACTGCGCAAGCAAATCGCACAGTCATCTATTCTCGGAAACAGTCAACTTGAGAGCCTGAAGCGTCTGCGACGAGTGGTCGGTTACATGACTATCTATCCAGTGGTCTACATTGTCCTTTCTTTGCCCTTAGCCGCTGGACGAATGGCCACCCAGAATGGCCAAACTCCCAGCGTGACCTTTTTCTGCTGTGCCGGTGCCATCATCACCAGTTCCGGATTGGCAGATGTCACTCTCTACACGCTTACTCGTCGCAATCTTATCGGCGACTCTGAGCCGAGCGAGGATCGATCTTACCACAAATTTGACAAGAGCCGCAAAGGTGAAACACACATGACAACTATCACAGCCGAGCAGAGGATGAATCGGAAGTTTGGAATCGGCGACGACGATCTTGATCGCGATGGCTCAACGGATAACATTGTGCAACCCATGGAGATGGATGATCTCGGCAAGGTTTACCAAGAAACCACCATTGAGATCACACACGAAGCCGTATCCTCGTCAGAAGACGGTGGGCGCACGAGCAAAGACTTTCCTGATCCACCATCGCGTGTCGAATGGAGGAGATAACAGTACGTTTGAGTTCATAGTCGGTTGTGCTGATTGCATGTTATTGTGCCGAAAAAAGAATAGGCTACCATCAATAGGGTAGACTTTCATAATATTTTTTTGGAATTTTCTTGCAACCCAATTATTACCACTTTCCCCAAGTAAGATTGGCCGTCTACGGCCCCAGAAATCCTGGTTCAGGATCTATGTTGATCCGGTGCGACTGTTGACTGACCTGGGCGCCTAACCAGAGATGAGAAAAGCGCTCGTCACAGGACCTTAGAGCCATCGCCATCGCAAAATCAACAAGGGAGAAAGAGCAAGAAGTCTACACACTGCTTGAGTCGACCTTAGGGAGCACCCACGTCCAGTCCCATCTGTCGCCCCGCAAAGCTGAACAAGGATCGGGGGAATCGCCAGTATTACGGAGAATTCTCAACCCAGATCTCCTCCACTCGCACCCGACGTGGGGCCGAATAGAAGATTACATAGGACTGAACATCGCCTGTGCGGAACACCATTTTCACCAATTCGGTTGTTTTACACAAATGGAAACAAAAATGGGATTCGGAGCGTACGCATTCTGCCTGGCATTAATATGGCTATTGCAGGTAATTCTCCCTGCCTATAACTAATTAAGGTGAATTGACCACAAACCACAATAAAAACAGTGTCTATATAGGGCCATAACATCACCTCTGCGTCGCATCCCAGGCCCATTTTTCACTACCTTCACACGGCTACCCTTGAAATTAGCAACCATAAGCGGCCAACAGCTTTACTACATCCATCGACTTCACCAAGAATATGGTCAGATTGTGCGCATTGGTCCAGACGAAGTGGCGGTGTCCTCTTTAGCCGATTTTAAGGAGATCCACCGTGTGGGTTCGGGGTTCATCAAGGGTGAGTGGTATACACAGGTTACGAATGGCCGACTGGGGATCTTCGCCATGCGAGATACAAAAATGCATGCCCAGCGTAGGAGGCTTTTCGCCAAGCCCTTCTCCAAGTCGGATCTTCGACGGACTTGGGAGCCTATTGTAAGGGCTAAGGTTCAGTTGGCGGTCTCTCAGATTGTAAACGAACTCCAAGACAACGGCGTGTCCGACATCCTGAAATGGGCTACTCTCATGGCAACAGATGTCAGCACGCATTTGATGTTTGGAGAGTCTTTCGAAATGCTGCGCGTGGGAGAGGTATGGAGCGTATTCAGTGGGGAAAAGACGTTACAGGCTAATGAATCGACAGAAAAATGAGTACATTCAGACCCTGGAGTCTGCTATGATGGGGAGCGGACTCAGTGTGGAACTCCCCTTGCTCAGAACAATTGGCCGATTTGTCCCATCCGAGTCATTTCGGAGGCTATTCAGGGCGGGGGATTACCTCTTCGAATATGGAAAATTAGCAGTTACCAACGGCCGCCAAAAGGGTGATTCCACCCGCAATATCTTTTCGGGTATAATCAGTGAGAGTGAAAAGAACGAGGCAACGTTGACTGATGAAGATGTGGCCATGGAAGCCGGGAACTTGATCATGGCCGGATCTGATACCACGGCAGTCACGCTAACGTACCTAATATGGGCAGTTCTATCGCAACCAGCACTACGCTCACAGCTTGAAAGTGAGTTAGCTAACTTGAGTGACGACTACCTGGATACAGACCTCGAGACACTTTCGTTACTCAATGCGACCATTATGGAAACTCTGAGGTTATATGGCGCCGCCCCCGGATCTCTTCCTCGATCTGTCCCACAGGGAGGTGTCACTTTTTCCCAGTATTATCTACCACACGGGACGACTGTGACCACGCAGAGCTACACAATGCACCGTGACCCAAATATCTTTTCCAACCCAGAGAAATTTGACCCTACACGCTGGCTGCAAACGGATCACGAGGTCTCTGATGAAGTCAAAATTGCTTTCTCGCCTTTTGGTACTGGTTCTCGTGGCTGTCTTGGTATACACCTCTCGTGGATGGAGCTGCGGCTTGCAGCGGCTGAATTTTTCCGCCGGTGTGGTAACGTTCGGCTGGCACCAAGTGTGAACAAAGACGGCATGAAGCCAGTTCACTACTTTCTTATTGCACCTTCTGCCCATAAATGTGAAGTGGTCATGGATGTATAGTTAGTATGTGGGCATAGGTGATTCAAACTTTATATTAAGAAATGGAGCACAACTTCCATAAAATCATTGAATTCATTCGGCTTGCAGTCGTAACTCCCATTGTAATTTCCGGGAAATCCAACGAAAGTCTACGAAGCAGCCCCTTAAAGCTGTCGTAGAAGACAACTTTAAGCAGGGGGAAGAGCAAGGCGCTCAGGGTTCCAGGTCCCCTTGTTCCACACCCATTCCGAGATGCCAGTAATTTGCTCCCCCTTTTGGAAGTAGACCCTCATGTTGATATTATTTCCACCACCCCAGCTGAGGCAAGACATTTCGGTTCCCGGAATGCAGTTAACGTGGAAATTACCGTCGTTCCACCTCTTCCCATCGAAAGTCATTTCGAGGAGGCGGTTGGACGTAGCATAGAACAGACGAATTCCCACCTTATCTGATCCAATCATAAAGCTGGTACAAGCCATAGCAGTTCGAGGAAACACGTCTGGAAGATTGAACATCCCGCTATACCAGCCCCTGTTGTTATCGTAGCATTTTCAATAATGCCATCGTTCATGTCTTGAAAGTAAACACTGAGAGACATCAGCTAATATCCCCTTCTATTCGCTTAGACGACGCATACCGAATAGACATGTCCGACATCTTGAAAGACGTGCAGCAAATTTCTGTACCTGGCATGGCAGTACCCAGACTTTGCATCTTCTTCCAACCAGCCTTGTCATCTGCAAGACAGACATCGGTCAGTTACATCTATACTTACACTCAGGAGAAACTTACTATCATAACCGAACTCCTGAATGCTATTATCCGGCATTTGACAGTAGGCTCGGAGCATCATATCCTGTCCCTCCAGGTAGCAAGCAGCAAGCTTTGAGTAAGGCGCAACCGTAATTTTGCTTTTGCCCATGCTACCCTCGTACCATTTATTGCCATCATCGCAAGCGACCTCTTTCAAAATATTATCCACGGACAGATAATACACACGAAACTTCAGTGAATTAATCTCTGTTGTAGATTCTTTGCGATGATATTTCAGAAAGGCGACAAACTCACCATCTTCGGTTCTTTCGTGGCACAGCATATAGGAGAACTAAGTTTCGCGGTGGCAATTGAATCCTTATCTGTTCCCTTCGTCCATCCATCATCGTATAGAGTTTCACGGATTTTGCCTGATACATCTTGCATATAGGCACGCAATTGTGCGCCCGATTTGCAGGGCGCAATATCGGTCCCTATTTGAAAGATCAGTCAGTGCTTGAGGGATGTCAGGAGAGGATCCTACTGAAAGCAATTTCATGTGCCCCCTTATGAGACATCGAGACTGAAGTGGAAAGAGTACTGATGAGAGATAGGCTGAGGATGCTAAACAGCCTTGATCGATTATCAAGAAGATTTGGCAGTGGGCTGCTTGGCTTTATATGCTGATCATCCCGAATCTATATACACTTATTCTTCATATTGGCACCCTCTTGCCAACAAATATTCCAGCCATAAAACCGGCCACGGTAGTTGTGCAGACTTGTTGAGATCCAATCCGCTAGCACTGTAGGTCTTACATACGCTTCCAGATATTCCGCATCGAGCCACTTGTATGCCAATGGGCTCAATCCTCTGGATATCATGGTGGTGGTTGTTGTTGCACCAAGAGCACTGGCGATTTTGATTTCAGCGTGCTATGGTGTAATAGTAGACTTGTGGCGAATGCTTCCATGTATTCCAAAGTATCGCCAGATTATATTTTCAATATTAAAAGTGCTCGTCCCTAAAGGAATGGGAGTTACATTTAAATCCCAACGTGGGGTGCCTAGCTATCTTGTTTGCCGCGGATAACCTTAACACCAAATTATCCTTTTGAGGCCCAGGGAAATACATGCGGACTTGTTTGTGCATAGGAATTTTGTCGAATCATATTGATTCCAGCTTCCTGGCCAGCTATGCAGTGTTGCTGATGAGTTAGGTATGTGATCTACCAGCGAGAAATGCCTGTTGCCCAGCAGAAAATCAAGATATTGAGGTTTATTATTTGATCCACTACATTGTTTGCGGATTTACCAAGGATAAGTCCCGTTCTTGTGGACAAATAACCCGACACTGTCATCCCTCTTTCCCAGAATAATGTCCATGATCAACTTCCCAGAGACCAACGGGTCACCAGCAGCACCCCCAGCGCTGACCGCCGCTTCACTTTCTCCTCTCAATCGCGACCTCACCAATCCGGGACAGACAGCAAAAACTCGAATATTATCTGCCGACAGCCTTTTATGCATCTGAAGAGTCATCATGTTCAGGGCAGCTTTGCTCATTCGGTACTCATCCCAAAGAGATTGGTAAAGAGGACCATTCGGATCCGCTGCCATCCCCAATGAGCCCAGGCCGCTAGAAATTTGGATCAGATATGGTCGGCCTGATTTCAGTAGAAGGGGCACAAATGCTTCGGATACGAGCATGGCGCCGAAGACATTAATGTCAAATATAGTTTTTAGTTTATCGCGACCGCTTTCACTTGGAGCTGCAGTTCCCGCATTGCTGATGAAGATGTCAACATGTCCAAAGTCCCTGTCGATTTCATTCACTGCCGCAGAAATTGATGATTCGGATGTAACATCGATTTGGAGGAGAGAAAGTGTTCCCCGAATGCCGCTGGCTTGGATTTCGGATAGAGCCTTTTTTCCCTTGTCGAGATCCCGACAGCCCATGACTACATGATAGTCCGCATGAGAAGCAATAACTTGGGTTGTGGCATAACCTATCCCGGAGTTGGCGCCTGAAAATATTGAGCATCAGACCAACTCCTCTCGATCCATTATGAAATCTTACCAGTAATAAGAATGATCGATTTAGACATGTCGTTAATTGAGCAAAGTTTGCGCCAATTTGTCTTTTTATCAATGATGAGAACAGTTTATACAATCTGCGACAACCGAGTGATGGCGCAATCAGTTAGAGATGGATCGAGAATTCGATGAGGTAGAAACAGCCGCCTACAGCGCTTTAATGCCCATCGTCGACAGTATAAGTCAGCCATTATTTCCTATGTCCGAGTGTACGAAAGTTGGAGTAAAGCGTAAATACCTAGAAGTTGAGTGGCAAATCCTGACTTGTAACGGAGATAAATAATCTTATCGCCGCCATGATCGCGTTGGAGACGACATCAAAGGTGGAGTTGGATGTGCCAGGCTCGCTATTCAAAATGACCTTCCCATCCATTTACCTAGAAAGGAGCTGTATATCCTCAATTTAGCGTACTGAATATATATATTTTCTGAATGCCGCACGGCACAAATGCATGCCAAGCTTCGATCTGCGATGCATCCAGGATCGTTCCCAAACCACGTTATCCACTGGCTGTTGATGTGTGTACTGGATTTCGTTTGCAATTTCCCCCGGAATAGATAGATCGTTCCTCGGATTATAGCATCTATCCTTAGCGTGTCCATGCGACTAGTGCTGCCCCTTGAAGCACCGGAACTGAAATGCAGAGAAAGTCCGCCGGTACATAGTGGGAACAAAGTCCGTTCCTGTCAAGGAATCATTGTGGAAGATCTGAAGGTTAAGGTATTCCCATGTTTCATCCGTTTGTGTTCCAGCATGGCCGAAATTGGACTCGGGCTAGTAATAGCCGAATATTAAGCCACAGTTGCAGTCGCGGGATTCTGGTCTGCTGCGTGTATAACAGCTGAGCTCCAACTGACCTGCAGGTCTAACCGTATTGGAGAGGATCTGTTATGGGATCCGAGCCTCGGCAATAGCAGGAATAAGATAGGGGAAATGCGCTTGTTCCGTTGATGAGACACGCAGTGCAAGTGAGGATGACTTAATGCGAACTACTGTTCGTAGACGTAAGAAGCCGCAAAATTTGGATCATTTATGTATTGACCAGAGACAATGTGTGTCTTGTATGTCCCGGGCTGCTGCATATTTAATATGAGGCAGAGACTCAGCTGCACTGGACTCAGAGACCACAGTCTCCATGCCATGCACGATTGCAACTATGCATTGTTACTATATGCTGCATCCTCTCGGCTGCGGGAGGAGAAGGACAAGTTATTATTGATGAATATCGGCTAATTGACAATCCAGCATCTTGTCTGCCCCCACTGTAACTTCCATTAAATATCACACTACAATGTGCTCAGACTAGGTAGCTAGCAAGTTCAAAATGGCCGGATAACAACTCCGAAAAATAAGCCTAGGTTGCATCCCGTTGTATCCTTGTCATGACTCCAGGCACACGACCCGTCTTGCAAGGGGCTTAGCTCGGGTTTCACTCTCACATGGAGTTACGAGAATATCGTGGGTACTACTGCGGCACGAGTCATCCCTTGATAGATCAGGCCAGTTTTCAAGTGGCCCGACCGAAGTCGAAGGAGTTCCGCCCCTGCAAGGCTGGTTCCTGAAGTGACCGACACCCATTTTTTCTTTATAATGCGCCAATTGCAGATCTGATTCATGCATACGTGTTGTCGATCCCGCACGCCCATGTTTCGCCTGATCTGTGCATGTGGGTCTGTTGGCGAGGAGCTGAGCTTCGTAGCCAATCAAGGGGTTGATGCAACAACAATGTATCTTTATTTTGGCGCTTGAATTATGCGACTAGGAACTCGACGGGCTACGGTATGGACAGAGGTGTAACATATAAAGGAAGAGCAGTCGCGCTATCGTTGACTCCGGGGAATTGGTTGTTTCTTCGGTATAATTTTATCTCACCATGTTTTTTTCACCTAATGCCCTCGTGGCAACAGTACTCGGATCATTGCTAATAGCCCGCGGCACTTTGGCTGATGATCCAACGCAAAGAGCCGAAACTGCTCTATCCACCCTCCAGAAATGGTACAATTCCACGAGTGGCCTCTGGGATACCTGCGGATGGTGGAATGGTGCCAACTGTATGACGGTCATAGCGGACCTAGCTGCAGTTGATTCGTCTGTGATGAACACGGCGACCCATGTTTTCAAAAACACCTTTCAGGTCGCGCCGAGATCAAACCCCAATCCTAGTTCTCAGAACACGCGCATCTCAAGGCGTTCGAGGCGTGTCATTTCCAATGCTGCTAGCAGCAGTGTCTCGCAATGGCTGGATGGGGCGAACGATGACGACGGGTGGTGGGCCCTTGCATGGATTGCTGCATACGATGTCACAAACGAGCCGAGCTATCTGGAGCTAGCGGAGGGAATATTCTCGAGCCTGGTACGCAGTTATTTCCCTGCATAGACTCAATTCCTATGCAACATCCTTGAAGAATATACTAAATCGAGTGCAGAGCTCAAACTGGGGCACTAACTGCGGCAACGGCGGCATTTACTGGAGTACCACCTCCAACTATGTCAACTCTATTACAAATGAGCTCTTCCTGTCAATTGCAGCGCACTTGGCCAACCGTGTGCCTGCAAACAAAGACCAATATATTGACTGGGCGCAAAAGCAATGGAACTGGTTTGCTGCCCAAGGCTTTGTCAACAAAAATGGAACCATCAATGATGGACTTACAAGCAGCTGTCAGAACAATGGTCAGACCATGTAAGTCTAGCTAAAAAGTTATTTCGGTTTTTTTCAAAGTCTGACATTGCTACCCAGATGGTCATATAACCAAGGAGTTGTACTCGGCGGCCTCGTGGAGCTGAACAAGGCTGCCCCGAATAGCTCCTATCTCAACTCAGCCAGCAGAATTGCGACGGCTGCTATCAAAACACTCGCTGATTCCAACATGGTCATCCATGAAACATGTGAGCCTAACAGCTGTGAGCCTAACGGCACTCAGTTCAAGGGAATATTTATCCGGAACCTGCAGATGCTACAGAGCGTGGCGCCAAACAGCCTGTACAAACAAGTTATCGATAGCTGTGCGAACAGTATTTCGGAGAACGACCAGAACTCGCAAAAGCAATTTGGTGTGGACTGGTCTGGCCCAGTCACGTCGGTGGACGCATCGACTCACAGTTCAGCCATGGATGCACTCGTCGCCGCGATCTCTTTTTGATGTTTTCATTCGCCAATCCCTATATGGTTTGTCTGAAATGTTTACGGAGGGAGTTTTTTTCGTTCCGGTTTGCATGCACATGAATTTGTCTTGATGTATATACTTTTCACTTTATGACTTGACGGGAGCAAAGTCCGCATGGATATGACTATCTAGAACCTGACTCTCCTAATAAGCCCCGCTTCGTGGTGTCCAAGTTGGTTGGGGCGCTGGGTCTGGCCGTATGTAGCCAGACCGAATGATGGAAATCGGCACCAGATCCAACCCTCCCAACCTTGCGCCTTGTTTGTCTTGGGCCCAGATGGTGAGTGCAATATAATTGTCTCCCTGATGGTTGAGAATCCCTTCTGGAACAGGGAAGGATGTCTGAGGGCCAATATTATTGACTATGTGCTAGTCAGTAAACGTCCAGCGTAGTATTGTAAATCTCTTCTTCAAGAACCTACTGTATTTCCCAAATTGGTAGCCATTGACAAAGAGCTGACATCGATAGTTGCGTCCGATATCGTAACCGTTGATAGTTTCGACGGAAGAGCCATTAAAGGTAAAGCTCATGGGCACATCCCATCCGTCCGGGATCTCAAGTCGGAAACTTGTCGTGTAAAACCCGATTCCAGCTTGCAAAACGCCATCCGTTATGGGATTTGAAGCCTTCCAATTGGCATCCGGTGGCTTTGGATAGTGGTATCCTTGCCTTTCCGCATACATGGCACCTTCGTTGAGCGGACCACGGACCAGATCTTTATATTGCTCGCCGCCAAGATTTCCCGCCAGCCTCCAGGAGACATCAGATTGATCATGGCCAGACAAGCCATAATTTAAGATACCTTTGGGAAATTTTATCACATCGGTTCCTGGAGCTTCCTCGTCCTGACCCATGTTGTCAATTAAGATTGACAGAACGTATAAGTTGTCGACAGACAGGGTCTTTGGAATCGATACATTGTGAACAATGGTTTGATCAGATGCAGACCCGGTCCATGAACCCAGGAACGTATTGTTCAGCCAGACGGAATGTCCAAATCCCGTGCCGCCGGATACATTCAACCAGAGGTCAGATTCGTGCCCATTAGCAACAAAATGGCCACGGTAGATCAGAGAACCTGTGTGATATCCATAATCCATGGCATATAAATTCATGGGTGTACTCAGCTCTCGTGGGTTGTGGGTCCAATCTTTGGTGCAGGTTGTCCAGGCTGAATCGTTGTACGACGCTTGAATCTCAGGCAAGGAGTTAATATACTTCCAGTTCAGGCCTGACAGGTTGGGAATTTGAATATTGGGAGGCTGAAAGGGAACGTTCCCCGACAGTTTTCCAATGTCAGTTTTTGAGACTGCAAGCCTTTCACCATTGAAAATGATTCCATTCAAGTTCTTTGCTGGAGTTGAGATAACCTCGATCTCCGTGGTCGCATTGACATCGCCGGTAAGTCTGAGCTGCTCATCGACCAGCTCTGCAGTGCGAAGTAGATAGCCAGCCTTCACAACAGCTAGACCCTTGGATGGAGATGAGAAATTCCCGATCGGTGCTGGGCCTGGCAACTCCAGAACCCAGTAGTTGTAAGCGTCATTCCGCCACAGAAGCAGTATCTCAAGACCACCTAGTCGAATGACACGACGTTTTGGTGCGACCTGCCATTGTACTACCCATGCAGGCCCCCTTTTGTCGACTGTGACGTCGTCTCCTTCGACCAAGATCGGTGTCTCAAGATGACCCGAGAGAGCGAACTCATGTATTTCGTCTGCACCACCGTAGAGGACTAGGATACGTGCGGGCCCAAATCCACGAGCCCACGTGAATATTTCTGCAGAGGAATAGATCAAATTGATGCCGTCCATATCATAATCTGTGACATGGAACTTCGAATCACGGCCGTTAAGCGACAGGCTTCCTCCGAGCTGAGGAATAGTCACGTTTCCGATGCTGATCGGGACTGTAATCTTATACTGGGTACTGTTGACAGAGCTGAAATCGGCGTGCCGAATCACATAGAAGTTCGTCTCTGTGCCATTTCCATTGAGTGGAGTTACCGCGATCGTGTCTGGAACACCGTAAGATCCATTGACTCCAAGGGCAGGTGTTGCCGTCAAATAGGCAGAAGAAACTTTCAGGAAATTGGCTTGCAGCTTTTCCTCGCTGTACTTCTCACGCCAAATGGCCCTTTCTTCAGTCAAAGCTGCGCCGTAATCGTAGGACGTGTAACCGTTCATGTATCCAAGATTGCCCCAGTTGGTGCCACCATACGTCTAGTTTTCCGCGTGAGATTCATCAATCCTCAACAATCGAATTGTTTTAGCTTACCATATAGATGTTGAAGATCTTCACACCAAAACTGTAATTGTTTTTGTATACGACCCGGATAGCCTCTTCGTTGATCAACTCACCACACAATTCCTCGGCCACTCCACCCCTGTAATTATTATTAGCAAGGAAGATTCGTAATCGTGACCCACTGGTTTACATACCATCCCTCTCCTGATCCGCCCTGAAACTCGGCAATCGCGAATGGGGTGCTTGGGCTCTCTTCCTGGTGAATCATCTGCCAAGTGTGCGGAAATTCGTAAGTTGGCCACACGCTGGGATTTGCACCTTATTCATTGGTGTCAGCCGTGGACAGCCTCATGGTGATTTCGATGGTTGGAGATGCAATAATATACTCACAATCGTACCGCATTGGATATGCGTCGATTCCATAAATATCCGCTGCCCCCAGTCCTGATCCAGGAGCCCAGTACCCCTTGACTTCGTTGTCATTTACAATCAAGGGAACTGTTATTCCGGTATCAAGGAGCTGGTTCTCCACGAAGGCCATATATTCTCGATTCATTTCAGTCGGAAAGTCCGTGACTCCAGGCCAAGTCGAAAACTCGTTTTCCGGCTGCACCATTATCACTGGTCCTCCATGTGTTATTTGGGCTTTTTCGATTATATGACCAATTGTGGACATGTAATTCGCCGTTTTATTCAGATACCCGGGGCTGTACGACCGGATCGTCGCTTCGGTTCGCAAAACCCATCCCGGGATTCCTCCTCCAGAGGTTTCCGCGTTGATATATGGACCCGGACGTGCAATGAGATAGATCCCTGCTTGTGTAGCGGCGCGGAAAAACTCTTCGAGACTCCAAATTCCATCGACCACGACGTGGCCTGGATTAGCCTCGATCAGGCCCCAGTCCACGTAAAATGAGACGCCTGTGAATCCCATGCTTTTGATCTTTTGAAAGACATCGAGCCAGAGGCCTGGCACTGGGAGTCGGAAGGGATGAAACTCGCCGGAATAGATCATGATTCGTTCCCCACGAATCAACAAGGAGTGCTTATCCCATGTTACCTATAGAAATGACTACTTGTTAGGTGAATTGCAAGACCTAGTAACAAGACGGGATATTTAAAACCAGCTTTTGTAGGCCATTTCCTTCTGTGGGGAGCTGACTTGAACGTGTCTCACTGGATCCCCAAACCAATGCTGTAGGCAATGAAAATATCCCCAGCCATATAGGGACAAAGAACAACATTTTCGGAAGCAGCATATTGAAATTCTAATGCCACCAATTGAATTCGGACCGACTTCTTTTGGAAAAAGATATCAATTGAATAGACAAGCACTGTGAGGAGGGTCTTTTGCAGCTCGTTTATCTTCCGGTCCAACCCCGCATCATAATTACTCCTCCGCAAAAGAGGCTTGCCTAGCAGGTCCCTTGGCTTGAAATGCAAGCACATGATTGAAGGAAAATATCTAACCTAAATTTAGCTACCGGTTTTACGGTAAAAAAAATATCCTCGGTTTCTAGTCCCTAAGCAAGAAAGGGAGGCAGCTGCAACATTGCTAACAGATCAGCCTAAACAAGAAGTAAGCTTCCTTATTTCTCCGGGTTTTCGCCGAATGGAATCGGTTGCCCATTACATCATCGCGGAATCATAACCCAACCCCCCACTATCGGTAGATGCCAATCGTTTTTAGTAAACCATCCCTTAACACACCAGATATCTGAAGCCTCAATTTTCCAAAGAAATGGCAGCCCATATAAAGCCTGTCATTCTACACGCCCATGCGACGGGCCCGAATCCGATCAAGGTGGCGATTGCCTTGGAGTCACTGAAAGTTCCCTACACAATCAAGATGTGGGATTTCGGCGATGACCCAAACACCGGCGTCAAGGGAACTGCGTTTCTGAAAATCAACGAAAATGGCCGAGTGCCGGCTCTGGAAGACCCAAATACGGGAGTTGTCTCATGGGAATCCGGGGCTTGTATGAATTACATACGCCGAGTGTATGACAATGGGAACACAATTGGTCCCCCTGGTGAGTCGGCACAGGATCTGGTAGATTTCGAGAAATGGGAGTATTTCTTGTTATCGACGTTAGGTCCAATGACGGGTCAGACAAATTGGTTCCGGTTGGTATATCCTTCCTTACGTGCGGCTTATTTTTTTCCGACTGATTGCTTTAGACACTATAACTCGCAGAAGAACGATGACGCCCTCCAGCGCTATACTGCTCAGACTTATCGATGTTATGATGTTCTGGAAAAACAGCTGGACAAGTCTAGGGGTCAAAGCATTATTCCGGGCCGAATCACGGCTGTCGATTACCACTTTGAACCTTGGGTTAGACAACATTCATTTGCTGGACTTTCTCTGGAGAAGTATCCTATGATCAAAGGATGGTTGGACTTGATGGGAACTCGGGAGGAAGTCCAGGAGGCTTATCTCAAAATCAAGAATGCTAAATGAGAAAAGCGGTGATTAGTTGACAACGAGTAAGGGGTATTTATTTGGGTACTACGAAGACAGAATGGATGATCGGATACATCAGGACACTTGTGTGGCTTAGCAGTTGACAATTGTGGACGACTTTCGAGTTTCAAAGGAGCAAAATATCTCTATCTCATGTTGCCTTTTCCATCCGCTGCTGCTGGTTAACCTTACGTATTTATGATTATCGCTCGATTATCTCGGAATGCCGAAAGAACCAAACTACCTTCAAGAAAAACTGACAATAGATCATCTAAAGTTCTGCATTAGTTGCGCTGTTCGCCGTACATAGAATCTGAAGATTCATATGCTATTTGTTAGGAAATTGGAATAGCCGCTCGAACAGAACCCATTATTTGCCTCCTAGCTTCTTCCTGGCTATTTCAAGATTCTTCGCGTTTACCTCCTTTTTTGAATTAAACAACCTCCGTTTTCAATACTCATCAATGTTGCTTATTAAACGAGACCTGTTAGTAGTAGTCGGGACTGGACATGGACAGCCATTAAGGCAGACTCGCATAGGGTTTGTTGATATTAGCCGAAGTAGATAGTGCTCGGGGAGGTATCTCCTGTAGAGCTGCCGCTGGGGGAGAATGGATCCACGTCAGGATGTTCCATGGGCGTGACCCACTGAGCGACCTGCAGATCAAGAGTGTGGGCACGTTGATTGAAGCGGCATTGCCAGCTCTTCACAGCCTTACAGCCAGGTTTCTGGCACATGTGGCCCAAGTAGCACTTTATCGATCGACAAGCGCGGCCACGAGAGCAAGGATGCTGAAGGAGCATGTGTCTAAGGACATCGATGATCGTGTCGGAGACATCGCTATGGTCGAAAGGGCAGCTCATATCACCACATTCTCCGGAAAGATGATAGCTGTTGCAGACTTTGTGGAGCTTGGCCCGGCGGTGGTATTCTTCAAACGCTTCCTGGTTTGGAGGAGGACAATAAGTGTCGATGCGATCTCCGTCTTTATTCACGGGAATAAACTCCTCCGATTTGAGGCTTGGGAGAGGTAGCGTGGTTTGAAAAAATTCCTCGGAGCGACCGACAACCGATGGGGCGGACCATAGCTGCTTAGAGGCACTTTTCTCTTCTTCGTGAGGAGGGGACAGCTGTTGGTTGGGCATGATGTGCTGTTTGATGCAACCATTGCCAAACTTGCAGATGCCCTGATTCTGTGTCAGTCATAAATTTTGCAGGCAACGAGGAGCCGGAATACTACCTTCTGAAAGTGCTTGCACACCGGCTTAACCGTCGGAGCAGTCGGGACAGGCTTGGGCTTGCCATTAATTGAGGCAGCCGGTTTGATGCTGCCGTTTGTATTGGCTAAAGGTGCTGAGGTGAATACAGAGGGCAACTCCCTGATGGGAAGGCCTAAAGATTCAAAGTCGCGGTGGAACGATGCAGCTTTGATAAGGGTGATACGGTCGCTACCCCTATGGGGAGTCAACAGGGAGCCGTATCCAGTATCGTGACATCCAGCAAAATAAATATGCCGGCATTGGTTGAGATCTGCAAAGAGTCGAAACATTTCTGTAGGAAGGCAAGATTTAGCAATGCGAAAGACTCCAACGCTTTCGACAAGTCACTGGAACTCACCCCGGATCTTGAAGTCACTTCCTTCCTTCTTTTCCGCAGCATCTACAAAATCAAATAGATCCTGCGCTCGGGTGAACGCAGCGCAGAACGGAGAGAGGGATCGAGCCTCGTGCCCCGACAGCCCAGCGCGAGCGAATGCTTTGGACAATCCGAGCAGATTGGCGTAGACACGAACCATAATCCGACACTGGTCTGCCTGAGCCCCCATTGTCGAATGCATGAGTTCCTTGATCGAGTCACTCAGCTCACGAGCTGCATTAATTCCGCCTTCACTCCCGGCCTTGACGAAGTGTTCCTTGAACTACGTGGGGTTGTCAGTACCCCTGTCATTAAACAAGTCCATGCTAAACTCACATGATAACCATCGCCATCAACAAGAACAAGCACGAACGGATTGCGCTCCTGTAGCCGCATTAGCTCTCCATACCTGGTTTCGCAGCTTGGAAGCTCCTACCTGACCGCGGGCCTGCTTTTTGTATTTCTCCCTACCATCCTTCACTTCCTCGTAGTCGCTCTTCAAAGCACTGTAGTCATCCAGCAAGCTCCGAAACTGGGTGAGCAAGTCTTGGAGGCTGGCATGGTGCTGCTCGTTTTCCCGGGACAGGGATGAGACGTGGCTGTTCAGGGCATCTATATCCGCGTCCCGCAGCATGTTGACAGAGGATGGGAAGGCACGCGCCTGTCCCAGAATCCAAAGAAGGGTGCAACGGAACCGGCGAACATCAATAGTGGACCGAACAGGGCAGCAGCGAGAAAGAAGCAAGAGGTCTGGCGCCTGCCCTTTGCGCAATTATAAGAAGGGGAAAACAAAAATAAATTATGTTGAAAAGACAGAGAAGGCGGTCAGCAATTGTCCCGCATCACGTGAACTGATACTATATAACAAAGGTCCATGAATAGTATTCGCTTTGTAGAAAGAACCATTGAAACTACAAAGAAAATCTGTCCCAGATACTGTTCCAGAACTGGCTAAGGAAGATCTGGAAGCATTTCCAGCTCAACAAACTCCTCCACTACGCGGAGTATGGACTCAACCGAATCAACAAATCCGAAATACCCCATCTTTTTGGCCTTGGTCGTGCTAATTATGCAATGACAAGGGTTAGCAACCGTCAGGTACATTGAAGGAGAGGATTGTGTTCTACCTTAGCATAATTGGCTGACCTGAGATAATGGCCAAGTCCGTGAAGCCAAACACCCGGTCGATATCTCGGAGTTTTTTCTCCCGGAGACCATGCCTCTCGGCGATTTCGGACCAAGCCTTCTGGATTTCGGGCTTTTTGGCCCATTCAGCCAGGGTAAACCGATATCGCGACTTCCCCGGAGGACCATAGCCACGCGGAGGTCGGTCCGGGGAGGTGAGGGTCTGATACTGAGCGTCGTCGCTTGTATCGGGACCTGTCCAAGGCATCTTAAACCGTTTGGCCAGCTGAGGCCAAAACTTGGCCCATGTGAATAGGCAGTCGTCAGATGCATTGAAGCTTTCATTTTCGGCCTGTTTAGTTAGCACGGTCCATTCGGCGAGGTACGCATTGGCCTGTGCGGACGAAATAGTAGTATGTGTTTCCCACGCGACCAGGTCCCCAGGATACTCAAGGGGCTTGTTGAGGTACTTCTGTACTGTGGCATAGATGGCCAAGGGATAACATAGATTCATGGCAGCATCGGGCACTGCACCGGCGATATGGGAGGGTCTAGTTGTGTTCCAGCCTATCTGATGCTTCTTTGTGAATGATTGCAGATAGTCCTCCTGGTGGTAGTAAAAATTCGATCCCATTAGAACCCGAGGATCTGATTCCTCTTGTGGGGGAATGCCAGGGCCGTGGTGTAAGCCATAGTATTTGGCGCCCAGCTGCAGTAAGATACGCTTGGGGATTGTGTTGTTCAGCTCCAGGCCTTCCAGAAAGTTCGAGAGCAGACGCTCTGCCAGATGTTCATGAGACTATGACTTTGTGATCCTTTTCGATTTTTTGTCACTCACTATTGAGTCTGACCAACTCATCTTCCGCACTCCATATGCCTCGTCCGTCCGCGGGTACTGGCTGGATGTAGGCGAAGAAAAAGACATAGTCAGCGCGAATGTTTCTCTCCGCTAACTGCGCTGCAACCTGTTCTGGTGGCTGCAAAAGATCAACCGATACGTGTTCAACATGGTCTGGCCATGAGCCATGCGGAGGCCGCCGAGACAATGCATAGATCTTTTTCCACCGACGAGGGGATTCGCAAAGGACTTTGAGCTGGTATGTGCCTGAGATGCCATTGCTACCCGTGACAATTGCGGTCAAGCCTTTAATGTCACGGGGAAATATTGGAAGACCATGGTATATTGATTTGGACTGGATTTCTTGGGACATGATGGGCTGGCCTTGATTGTCCAGTTCTTCAGGAGAGTCTTATCCTCAAAATATATTTCTTGTTAACCCCGCCCGCAAGGCGACATCATTAGCACTTGATTTCTAATCTCTCCGACCGTCAATCCAGCGGCCAAAAATTAAACCGTGCCTACCTGTTTCTTGTGATTTTGCATCATGCTGGCTACAACACATCTCGGCATTCTTATACAATGTTCTACAGACCCCGGCCGTGCATAATGTGGTCCGAGCTTCCGAGTATGCCGTCATAACAGCCGGGGTTCGAGTTGCAGTATAGACTTATTTCTCTCCGCCAAGAACCTACTTATTCCATGAGAGGAATTGCGGAATGGACCAAGGCATGGCATGTAAACGCGGACTCGGTTGTTCTTCTGATCACCAAATGGCCCGCTAATACTATCTCGGTATGCAGTATGTCAAGACCCCACATCTGCCATGTGAAACCGTCAGGGATCGACGGGGGGATCGGTTACATCAAATCCGCCCGGGAGCTGCGGCTCGATCCAAGCCTCGGTTGGTCGCACAAGCCATATGATCCCTGCGACGGACATTTAAACGTTCCGAATTCCCACAATTGTCGTTTAATGAGCAGATGAACACATTCTTGCGACCGCCACCATGAGATACGTTCTGTTTTCCCTTAGCGCGCTCGTATTTTACGCCATCTTCTACTTCTCTTTCGTCAATGGACTCAATGCCCTCGCCGAGAAGTCTGTCGCCTCCGGGAAACTTCCGGGCGTCAATGAGCCTTTGCGCACAGTGTATACTGGCGTTGAGCCAGTAGATCGTCTGCTGGCCATATTGACGACCTTTTTCTATCCCGCTCTGGACGGCCAGAATGCCACGCTGTTGCTGCATAGCATTGGATTTTCCGGAACTTTCGGAGCTGCTTGGACTCTTGTTGTCCTGGAGTCCTGGAGAAAGGGAAATACGGGAACAATCGCTGCTTAGTATGTAACACTTAGAGTGGCTTTGCAAGCTCAATTGCTGACCGTATATGTAGTCCCGCCGTTTTTGGCCTGATGGCGCAGGTTTTCACGTTCGCTTTTGCAACTCCCTTGATTTGCGGACTTCAGCTGGGTTGCTCCATCACAGCAAAACGGCCCCATGCTGACAACATCCGCGTTCCGCGTGCTGTGTTGGCTTCTCTGCCTCTAATTTTTGTAATTGGATTTATGGTGCCAACCAACGCGATGGTGCTGCCCGCTCCAGCGTTGATCTCCGTGGATTTGAAGCAGATTGCGATCGCAATCTGGCAGCCCTGGCCAGCCTATGTCTCCATTTTGGCCACTCTTTCGTACTTCGTTTTATCACCGCTCTTCCCTAATAACCACCGTGCCTCCATGTCCAGTCTGCGATGGGTCTACGCGTTTGCATTTTTCAATGCAGCCGTTCCGCACCTGGTTTCGTGGACTGTGTCTCTATCGTCGGTCCTTGTCCCTGCCATATACAATGATCGATTCCTTGATGCTCTGCACCCGGCGAACGTGTTTTCAGTTCCGCTCCCGTGGTCTGGCCAGACGGTCGATACGGTGGCAGAGGGAGTGCATTTCTTCCTGCGCTGGGATTATATGATCGGATCCGCCGGCATCCTGCTCTGGGCGTTGAAACTATATACCGTCGCTCATAAGCAGATTTTGAGCACCGTGTGCTGGTCAGGTCTGCTCCTCAAGGTCGGACTGCTGACGGTATTTGCTGGTCCTGCCGGAGCAGCTGTTGAACTGATGTGGGAGAGGGATGAACTAGTGTTCAGCGAGACTGGAGGCACTAGACAGCAAGTCACAAAGGCCAAGAAATCTTCCTAGGGGAAGAACTAGCCGTACAGAGATTTTGGAAAGCGGGTTAACAACCCTTTAGTTGATCATGGACACTCGATGATCTATACCCCTTTCAGGATATCGGGGATTGCAGTCTCCGAGATCAATAGAAAGAGCATCCAATGCCAAAATTTAATTCAAATCGCGTGCTCAAAATGTATTGTTCTGAAGAAATTGTGAATGGCCCTGGAGCTGCTTCCATCCTTTTGAACGCGTTTTATCGATAAGCATCCATGACATCATTCTTTTTCTTTCTTTCTTTTTTTTTTTTTTGCGACAGATTGTCTCTGCAAGGGGCTTTGCTTTTCCAGAAAATATCCCTTGCAACCATTAGAGTAGGTCTGGCAATGATAATTCTGAATCTATAAGCCTTGAGAACCAAACCCAATGTCAATATCTTGGTTCGACCACTAAAACGGACCAACCGGGGAAATGGTCACTTGATGACGCTGTCAACGACCGACTCGGGTGACCAAAATGGGACCTCCAGGTGCAGAGACCGGGTTACCCGGACGCGGATACACTCCGATCAACTGTCCTCAATATCCGCTACTTGCTTCGCCCCCAGTCCATGCCGTCTGATCCATCACCATGGAGCCAAGCAGCTCCTCTCAGCCCGGTCATCGCGAGACTAGCACCAGTGAAAGCGATGAGCTGAGTACAACAGCCACTCACACAAGGCGAGGATCCGGGTACGAGACCGTTCGCTCCGATACCCTCAGTCGGCTCGCGACCAACCTCAACCAAGTCGAGCTAGAACGCATCAACACCTACCGACTCCAACATCGCTCTACTGTCGGATCAGGCCCAGGCCCTGCACCACGCGAGGAATGGCTACCTCTCGGGGCTGGCAAGCCGTATCCCCCCGATCTACCGGACCCTGAGCAATATATAGTGGAGTTCACTGATGCCAATGACCCTCTACATCCCCAGAATTGGCCGTTGAGACGGAAAGTTCTCATTTCGGCTGTGTTGGCATATTCCACTTTTGTAGCCTCCTTTGCCAGTGCTATTTTCTCCTCTGCTGTGACAGAGATCGGGCCTGCCTTTCACGTCAGTACTGAAGTGGCCATTCTTGGAGTGACCCTGTACGTGTTGGGGTTTGCTTCGGGCCCTACCCTTTGGGCCCCTGCAAGTGAATTGATTGGTCGTCGATGGCCAATATTTGTCGGTCTATTCGGTTTTTCGATCTTTACTATCGCCACGGCGACCAGTAAAGACGTCCAGACTCTGATGTTGACTCGGTTCTTCGCCGGCTTTTTCGCAGCCAGCCCGCTCTCTATTGTGCCAGCAGTATTTGCCGACATTTATAATAACCAGACCCGTGGAATTGCAGTTGCCATGTTTGCTATGGCAGTGTTTGTCGGTCCATTTGCATCACCTTTTACTGGTGGCTTCATCACAATGTCATATCTGGGCTGGCGATGGACGATGTATATTGCATCCATCATGGGATTTCTGGCCACTGTCCTTCTTCTTCTCTTCCAAAGAGAAACCTACGCCCCTGCTGTTCTCGTGGAAAAGGCTATGATTTTGCGAAGGCAAACACATAACTGGGGTATCCGCGCGCGACAGGAGGAAGTTGAACTTGATTGGGAGGACTTGATAACGAATAACTTCAGCCGACCATTCCGCATGCTCTTTACTGAGCCTATTGTGTTCCTAGTGAGTACAACCAAGTCGAATTTACCCTTGTCTTGAAGAGACGCTAATTTCAATCTAGATATCCCTCTGGATGAGTTTTGTCTATGGTCTCATTTATGCACTTTTGGGTGCTTACCCGGTTGTGTTTCAAGGCGTGCATGGCCAGAACCTGGGAGTTGGAAGTCTTCCATTTATTGGACTGATTGTCGGAGAGCTTTTGGGGGGAGTCTACATCCTGTACGACCAGAGGGCATACGCCAAAAAGCTTGCCGCCAATAACAACGTTCCGATTCCCGAGTGGAGACTGCCGCCTTCTATTCTTGGCGGAATCTGCTTTACCATCGGACTATTCTGGTTTGGATGGACCGGATGGACAAGGTCGATCCATTGGATGGCCCCAACGGCCAGTGGTGTCGTAACCGGCTTCGGGATATATGTTATCTTCATACAGTGTTTCAACTATTTGATCGACTCATATTTGATGTTGTAAGTCAACCTATTATGCCCTGATGCTGACTCAATCCTAACCTCCTCATCAGTGCTGCATCCGTTTTCGCCGCCAACACAATCATTCGGTCTGCTGTTGGAGCAGCGTTTCCTCTCTTTTCGAAACAGATGTTCCAAAATCTAGGAATCCAGTGGGCGGGAACTCTTTTAGGCTGTCTAGCCCTCATTATGGTGCCTATTCCATTGGCATTCATAAAATGGGGGCCTGCATTGAGGAAAATGTCCAAGTTCGCGCCTACATCTGGGCCGATGGCAGAGAAGCGGCCGGAAAAAGAACCCCGGGCTACCGTTTAGCATTTCAACACAATGCAAGATATCCGCCGCTTTATTTGTGTCAGTCAGTCAAATGAGACTTGTCGGAACTTCTACGTACGATATTCGGTGAATTTCTAGTTGTGGTCACGACATTCATACTGACTGCAGCCAAGACATTTGCCTTGCCTACTTTCAACAGCGAAGGTCGATTTAGCTATCTATATTTAGTTGCATCCTTATTGAAAGCACTTCAAGTCTGTAAGTAACACAGAAATAGTGCCGGAAGAAAACTGTGGATCAAAATTGGTCGGCTGGCTCCGTCCGGTTCATGCCAATCGACCTGGACCCTGTTCATCTTCAGAGGCCAAGATAAGATAGCGCATCCACATGACTCGAGCAAGAATTTATTTTGGCGTTTCAGGTCTATATATATATATATATATATATTTTTTTTTTTTTCTTTTTCAATATGACCAATCTCTTATGAACAAAGTCAGGTCCTACAAGTTTGGCCGTAGCTGTCACGATTTTTTTCTCTCGTGGCCCACCGGCTTGCCGAGTCCCCATCCATGGAAATGGAACTGTCGGCAAGTCGGCAATCACCCCATTCGGCCTCATATTATTGAGTCCCGCCAAGTCCGCCGAGCCCGCCAAGGTCGGAGGCGGAGGGCGCGGGTGGGCAGACATGGGCAAAAATTTTTTGTCTTATCGGGGGAATATGGTTGGCTATCTTGATTTCTTCTGTTACTGGCATTCCTTTCCTTTATAGAATCTCTGCTTTAACAACTTCTTAGATACGCCTCTTCGGCTGTGAGGCCATTTTGCAGGATATATGAAAATTTGACCGTCATCATGGGCTTCAAGACTTGGATACATGACACAAACTTGCGCGTTGCCCGCAGCCCCGTGGGGAGATGGTTTCGACTAGAAAATTCAGGCCATGTGAGTGATCTATGGCGTGAACTTGCTACTTGCTAATATCACATAGCCAATGGAGAGAAAGGGTAGCTTTTTCTTCACGGAACTTCGCGCCGGCCTAGCAACATTCTTTGCCATGGCATATATCATTTCCGTCAACAGCAACATCACTTCAGAAACTGGCGGTACCTGTGTTTGCCCGCCGGAAGGAATGGCGGACTACTGTGCAACCAACTCCGAGTACCTCATTTGTGTGCAGGAAGTCAAGCGTGATATCGTTACCGCCACTTCTGCTATAGCTGCTCTTTCGACGTTTTGCATGGGCCTATTTGCTAACCTACCTATTGCACTGGCACCTGGTATGGGATTGAATGCGTACTTCGCCTACACCGTCGTCGGTGTTCACGGATCCGGCATGATCCCGTACGATGTCGCGCTGACCGCGGTGTTTGTAGAGGGTTGGGTCTTTTTGGGCCTAACCTTGATTGGCATGCGCCAATGGCTTGCTCGCGCTCTACCAGCGTCGATTAAACTTGCGACCGGTGTTGGGATTGGACTATACCTTGCTCTAATCGGCTTGACATACAGCGCGGGAATCGGATTGGTGCAGGGTGGTTCAGATACTCCGATTGAGTTGGCCGGCTGCGCATCACAATTCATCGACTCTAGCACCGGAGAGTGTTTGAGTAGTGAGAAGATGCGCAGTGCCACCATGTGGGTGGGCATTTTCTGTGGTGGTGTTCTCACGGCCATGCTCATGATGTACCGCATCAAGGGTGCTGTGATCATTGGCATTTTGCTTGTCTCCATTATTTCCTGGCCCCGTACCACACCCGTGACCTACTTTCCCTATACGGAACTGGGAACAAGCATGTTCGACTTTTTCAAGCAGGTCGTCACCTTCCATCCGATCGAGCATACCCTTGCTGCTCAGAAGTGGGACATCTCTGGACATGGCGGCCAGTTCGGACTGGCGTTCATCACTTTTCTTGTAAGTTATCTTTTTGACGCTGACTTGGAAAGATACCAACTAACATGAAATTTTAGTACGTCGATATTCTGGATACAACTGGCACCATGTATTCAATGGCCCGCTTTGCTGGCGCTATTGACGAGCGCACGCAAGATTTCGAAGGCAGTGCCATCGCCTATGTAAGAGTCATTTCCTCTTCTTTCTGATACTGCCATGAATGCTAACTGGAATACTAGATGGTCGACGCCATCTCCATCTCGATCGGTTCCCTCTTAGGCAGCCCTCCGGTGACGGCATTTGTCGAGTCCGGCGCCGGAATCTCCGAGGGAGGGAAAACTGGATTGACCTCGTGCATGACTGGCTTCGCCTTCTTCATCGCTGTGTTTTTCGCACCAATTTTCGCATCCATTCCTGCATGGGCGACGGGTTGCACGCTCGTCATCGTGGGTGCATTGATGGCCAAGTCTGCTGCAGATATCAACTGGCGATACTACGGCGATGCCATCCCAGCATTTCTTACTATTGCTATCATGCCTTTCACCTACAGTATCGCCTATGGTCTTATTGCTGGAATTCTCAGCTATATCACCCTAAACGGCGTCGCATGGATACTAGAGACGATCAGTGGTGGCCGCATTGTCCCACCTAACAAAGAGGAGTCCGACCCTTGGTCTTGGAAGGTACCTGGTGGTTTATTCCCGCCGTGGGTGAAGCGTGCAGCTCATGGCCAGAAGGACTTTTGGCGCCGAGATGAGGAGAGTGTTGGGTCGAAAGAAGTGGCTTCGTTCGCATCTTCTCAGGAACGTGTTGCTGTTGTGGATAAACACGCTGATGGTGCCAAGGAAGGAGAAAAATCGATATAAAAGGCTTCTAAAAAGGATGGGAGATGGTATTCTCGGGTGTTCTACTGTTTCTAATGTGTCATAGCGAATGTGACTTTTATAGCCATCTGGTTTGATATCATCACAGATGCTACCAATTATAATACAAGACAAAGAAATATAGTCTATATATCTCTTGGTTTGCGTAGGGCGTCGCTTAAGATCAATACCGTTGGGCATACTTAGGGTCCAATCAGATATCCCGTGAGGCTGAATGAGGCCCAAGTGATCTAGAACTCCCGGATGATACTTATACCCGACAATAACGGAGGTCACGGACCTCGGTAGTTCAGTAGTTCAAGAGTGGTGAGAGATCAGCACCTACTAATGAAGTCATAATGTCGGTAGTTGTCAGGGTGCATAAAATAGCGCACCCGCCAAAATGCAGATCGGGGTTCGTGCAGTCCCATATCTTGGGTTTATATGTATGGCAGCAGAGGAGCTGCTAGACCGGATCTCACCGCTGTCCGAGAACTGGACTCGTCTTCCGCCAACCAGATCATGGACCGTGTTCAGAGTCAAGCGTCGTTGAGTGAGGCCAAGATGCATGTTGATGATCTGCTAGAGCGTGGAGCACTAGCAAAATCAGAAAAGTTGATTGAGATTTACAATGAGGTTCAACGACTGCAGGAATTCGGGGAAAAAGCCCAGCGCCGTGAGGATGTCATGGAAAACAATGGCTTTGTATCCCATCTCCTTTCTCTGGTTCACCAGGTCGCATCTGTACTTGAACTCGATTGACGCAGGGTCTCTAAGACATGCAATCCGGAGAACTAGTCATGCCTTTCCTTTCGCCGTTTCCGGTGATCGTGATCCTTGCAGATGGATACATGAGTGGTTCCTCGTACTTGCATATGATTTCTTTAAGGCATGCACTAACCTTGACCAGGCATTCCCCGATAATCCCAAATCGTCCGATGTGCCGGGAGGCCCACCAAGCTGGGGAGTTCTTTTCTATCGGTCGACCAAGCATCTCCCAGTCCGCAATCCATTAGACCTCGGTTACTGACGCGCGGTACCACCATTGAGAATGATATCCCTGTCATGTCAGAAGGGCGCAACAGTTGGAGTCCCGTAAATGGGCATGACTGCAATGAAGATGGTCATGGGACGAACAAGTCTCTGCCATATGTGTTGAGCCTTCAGTACGTTATGCCATTCCCGCAAGTAAGACCTGTGTCCAACTAACACACTGGTTAGCCTCAATTATCACACAGTCATCCTGACCGTTTGCCGGTTTTCTCAAATACCTTCCAAAGATGAAGAGTATGGGGAAGATGGCGCAAGTCTGCAGGAGGCCCGTCAACGAGCCTGATAGCTTTTGTGTCCAGCCGGACAGTCATAGTACGGGGGTCCTCCTATCGATGGCCACATGGCATGGGCTTGCTGCGGCTATGCCAGGTCACCTTCAAGCAGATGGGAGTGATTCTGCCTCCAGGGACAGACATTCTGTCCCTGACTTTGCGATGAGGCAGTGGAGCCCTGAGAACCCTGAGGATCAGAAATCATTGAACAGCCAGAATCCCACCTTTGCGCATTCATGAAATGGGGCCAGGTGGAGGAAATCGTCATGAATGTGTCTCAGGGAAAATTCGATGATATGGATATCGCTGCTAGTCGAGACACATCCACCAGCCAGGCGAGGGTGAGTCTAGGAACGCCAGGAGTGTAGATAGGGCAACACACCGAGAAGACATACACTGATATCTTGTTCGTTTTGAGCCAGTTCAAAAACAATGAAGGAGATATTCAATCAGCCTACTGCTGTTGAAGAAGGAGAGTGGAAGGGAAGGGGGAAATCACAGTTGACACCCGCGTGAAGCCAAGATTATTGCCAGCGCCTGGATTCTTCTCCGGTCACGGGGCAACAGTGGATCTCCAGCCGTAAACCAAGTCTATAAAAAGATGGAATTAATAACCGCGAACTCTTGGTTGCGTAAACCAGTTCAAACAAAGTCAGTCAAGGAATCATGGAAGAGCCAGAGCATGTTGCGTGCGCAAGAAGTATTATCATTACTATTACCTCGTCTGCCATAGAACTGCCATAGAAAAGAAAGAAAGCGATATCCTTGTCCTCAACGCTGCGTTCAGTCGATTCCGAACCCCGTTCCCCTCTCAACCACCATGTCCATCCCTCATAATAACATCACATACATGGGTATTCATAACAACAAGACTCGCGCCGCACAAAAGCTGAGCAAGACATCCAGCAGGAGCCAGCCTGCGCTGTTGAGTTGAAGCGCGACGGTCCCCGCCATAAGCAAGATCGTGGGCTGCACATGGTTTGCAACATGGACGATGGAGCCGAAAATAGTGGCAATCGCACGTCTACCCGGTGGTTTCGTAGGATTCCTTCTCGGCTTTCCGTTTCAGCCAGCGCCGGTAGATGAAGAGCGAGATGATGCCACAGCCGACCAGGAACACGATGCAGAACACCAGGACCACACCGGGGTTCTCGGAAGCCCAGTTCTTTCGCTTGATCAATGAATGGATATTGGGGGATGGAGAACGTTCAACCAGACCGATCGCAGCCATGGTGAGATAAACGTGCGCGTGGAATTTGGGGATCAACTGCGTCGGCCTGTGGTTAGAGATCAAGACCTTTTGTCAGGAAGCCAAGAGAGCGTACAGAAGATGGAGAGGGTTTCTCAGTGGAAACGATAGAGGAGATGATCGGCAGTCTGTGGACTGTGCAGAGCACGGATTAACACGATCGTTCAGGTGACCGGGTAGATGATAAATGGATAAACGACGGAGGTGTGAAGGGGAAAATGCGAAGGGGAAATGGAAGGAGGGAAGCACATACGGTGACACCGGGGTCCAGAAACACAAAGAAGCTAAGCACCAGCTGCTCCAGACAACATCCACCGTCTCAGTATTGCGTAGGAGGAGGGAAATCGAGGAGTGAGTAGCTGTTTCCCTGCTTCGGCAGCCAGCGGAGATCAAGCTAGTCGATGATGCTGCCATGCTCCCCCGGTCGGTGTCTACAGCACCCTTGCCAATACGGCCCGTGATTGGTATCCAGCAAATCTCGAGCCATGGTTACACCTTCCGTGATGCTCAACCGCTAAGGAACATTGCAGTCATGGACGTCAGTGTTCGAAGTATACTTACTATGTGGGCATAGCTCCCCACATGATCAGCGTGATCGACACATACACTGCACGCCACAGCTGTGATATACTATATATGTCTATCATAGGAGCCAAAGCCACCTCTGCTTTTCTGGCGATAAGCATTTGCCGACCGAGCCGGGAGACAGACAAGTGAAGTGAATTTCTTGACGTCATCTATATATGTATATCACGTGATCAACTATACACTGTACATTGTCGTGCAAGGAAATCAAGTCAACACGTCCAGGAAACAATGTCGCCCAAATAGCAATGCGACGTTATTCAAAGACCTCAGGAACCCCATGCCAATCCCCTGGGTGCTTTGCCTTTCGCACTGAATCCTTGGGCAGAATTTTTTGAAGATCTTGGTTGTGGGTCAACGTCGCCAACGAAAATATCGTCAGCCCGGAGCTGTCTACAAGATTTGGATCTGCCCCTGCCTTAAGGAGGAGCTGCGCTACTTCATAATTCGACCGCCAGCATGCAACGAACAGAGGTGTTGAACTGAAGCGTCCACCCCGAGCATTGATATCGAGTTCCGGGTCGGAGGCAAGGATGGCCTTGACAACTGGCACCAATCCGAATGACGCCGCGTAGTACAATGGCTCCGTGGACTGAATACTCTCAAAGCTCACATCTCCGACGAGTGTTTGCACCCATACTCCGAAGTTGCCTCGATTAGGAAGATGTCTGGAATCAAACAAACGCTTGACGAGCTCACGATCATAGCCGTCGAATTCACACGACAAGCCATGTGTGGCCCAAAACTGCGCCGCATATTTCAAAAAAAGGTGGGTTTTTTCGCGCTCGTGAGTCATTTGAGAAGACGGCGTAGCTCCAGGCCGGAAGTTCTCCAGACAGAGGTAAGTGAGACATTGGCGCATAATGATTTGGTCGGCGGTCGTAGGGTCCAGACTAAAATATTTCACCCTGGATGAACTAATCCACTCAGATGTGAGGAAGTCCTTGATAGAAGCGTGGGCCAGGACCACAGATCCAAATTTGTCTTGCGTGATGAGTCCCTGGCAGATCTGGAGCAGGATCCGTGGAGACACTAGTTCCATATCATCGTCAAAGACAGTGCATGTCTCCTCCAGCACAACTGCCACGTTGAGCTCGCGCAGGGTGAGCGTTCGCTTGGAGAAACTGAGCCAGAAAAGCGCCGCGCGGGCGAGCTCCCAGTCACTGGGCTCGATTCTTTCCAGGATGTTGACATATGTTTCGCGCAGTGTGCCTGGTAATGTCTGCAATGCTTTTCGAATTGCCTTGGGAGTTCGCTTTGTACTGAGGCTGTCTAGAGATAGTTGTGCCCAGCGGAACCTGTGAAGAAGTCAGACTGCGCACATTGTGGTAAACATCTGGTACTAACGATCCGTCGGCGCCCTTGACCAAGGTCCTCCAAATTTCGTCTTTGAGCTTAGCGCTTAGGTTTCTCAACATGTCGTCATGTTCCAATCTGTAATGTACAAAGGTGTCGATGTCGTTTCGTATAATGCTAGCATTCATATAGACTATGCTGGCATGGCGTTCGGAAATCACCTCGGCCGTACCAGTCACCAGAATACGGATATTTGAAGACTGGCTCGAGAGCTTTAATAGAGAACGTTTGATGTATTCCATATGAGAGCTTTCGTTAATTGCATCGATGAGAAGTACAATTGGTCTTTTGCCGAACGTAGCCTTGACGATGGCATCCTCGAGGGTAGAAAGATCGACCGGGTGCCTGTGTGATTGATTCTTGGCATTTTCTTCGTAGAGTGGCCAAATACTATCCAATATCGAGGGTACCGATTCAGAAAGCTGGGCCACAAATGATCCTAGAATATTCACTGGGTCCTGAGACGCAGTGTCGCCGAAAGTGCAGTAAAAGTAAGCGAAATTGATCTCTTGGCCTTTTGTAGTCATAGAAACCAATTCATCAACAGCGTGCGCACTATGAGCCATTAGTGGAGTTAAAGTATACGAAAGTAATCAAACTTACAAAAGCGTTGTCTTTCCGGTTCCAGCTTATTCAGTCAGTGTGTCAGTAAGTGGCTTGCTATGTTCGACTGTCCAAAACGTACATTTGCCCAGGAGGAAGAGAATATTCCGGTACGCGCCATGGTTCCATAGCCAATCTTTGAATGTGCGATCAATAAACCATGCCCCTGTTTGACTGCCGCGTCCCTTGGAAGCTCGCATGTGAATATGGTTCGGACTGACGGGAGCCAACCAGTGAAAAAGATCCTTGTGGGCTGTCTGGATCCGTTCGTCCTTTCGAATTTTCAAGTCATCCTCGAGAGAGCTCGCAAGATTCGTTATTTCTTTGTGTAAGTCCCGTTGAAGGGCAGCACTGTCACTCGTAAGAACAAGAATCAACCATGACTTGACTCTTTCTAAGCGGCTCAGGTAGGCGTTGAATTGATCTTGAGTGAATGGCCATTCCAGCTTCTTCTTCAGTTGCTTGAATTTGCCCGCTGGTTCTTCAAGGTCATGAAGGAGAGACTTTAGGAACTCATGGGTGGTCTTCAGGGTGCTGCTTAGTAGCTCGGGGTCAAAAGCCATAGCTTCTGAGTAAGACGGCAATTTTTCCGAATCTTCAGGCTTGATGTGTACTGAAAGATGTTCCAGTATCCCTTTAAGCGCAAAAAGCTCCTCACTCAATTTTTGAGTGTCGGACCTTGCATCTCGTACTGCTTTTGCGTAGGTTATGGTGGCCGTGATTATCATACCGACATCCACGATCAGTCCCGCAATTGATATTGGATCGGCCATGGTTGAAAAAAAAGATGCACTCGAGCCAGCTACTATATATGGGTTGGAGATTCAAGCAGTCACTACTGGCACCGGCGAATCACCCGCGAGGAACCGTGGAACGATATGCAAATCTGATCGAGTTAGTTTTTAGGGGGCGGGGTAGTTACGTAGTAGTAATTCGTTTGTCATGTTCTAAAGTTGTCCTAAGCTGGCCTAGTGCCTCCTGCAAGTGTTTTATGTACAACAATTATTCCGTTCCCGTGTGCCTCGTATTCGACCCACCTACCACCAATCAAATTGTTTTATGATGATCGTCTTTGGCCTGATTCTGAACTCTGAACCCTGTCGTAAGATACGACGGGAGCTGGTTAAGACGTGGCTTGTTCCTTGAAGTCCTCTGGCTCGCTTTTCAGTCGATTTACGATTTATTCGCCTCATTTCCGTGGCCGTTGTGTCTCCTGCTTTAGGAAGTTTATTTCTTGGCTAGCCACATAGAGCATTCTTGTTGGCTTTGTCGACGGGCAGCGGAATGAATCAACCTGCACGAGCCAGCCGGCTCGTTGATCTTCTGCCCCTCCTAGTAGGGATCAGCTAACATAGCCTGTACAGTGTCGCCTACTGTCACGCTTACTGGCTGGCGAACACGGCTTGTCACAATGGAGCGTCGAGGCTTGTCGCAAATACGAGCTTAATCCTTCTTGCTGTGGTGGCTGACGGGTCCCATGCTTTGACGTGCTTAAAACCAGGCCGCAGCCCATTTTGAGTTGGTTGAAAGTTTCAACGGATTAAATTCCTCACACCCACTAGCATGATTACCGCAAAGATGCTGCTAGTATACGCCCTCTCCTTTATTCCATTAGTGGACGCATGGACCTTCCTTTGGACCAACGCCACGGGCAAAGCTACCATCATCCACAATAGTACCCAGCACCAAAAGTGCACACAGATCAGTCTCGCACAAGGCAAGTTGTTTGAATGGGATCCTGAGAGTGAGGGAGTTTGCGTCGGCATATACTACGATACCGAGTGTAAAACGGCCGGTGGTCTTACGTGTGGTGCGTGGGACAAGAATGCCAGCACGAACTTCGATGCCATTTCAATCTTCCCGTCAGATCAGTCTGCAGCTGTGACAGTCGGGCCTGCTCCAACCACAACGGCGGAATCCTCAAGCTCCCCAGCATCGACTGCCGCAACTACTACCTCCTCCTCCTCCTCCACCTCTTCTTCCTCCACTTCCTCCTCCACACCTCCTTCGACCAGTGTTGCAACGACAGGTAACAAGTCATCGTCGTCTGGCTCGTCTCTCTCGGGCGGAGCAATAGCAGGCATTGTCATCGGAGTAGTAGCCGGTGTCGTCCTAATCGCCGCTTTATTCTTCTTCGTTGGCCGACGGAACCGCAACAACATAGCTGCTGCTGCGAACGCGCAGGCAGATTCCATGCCTCAGGGTCCCTATGCACCACAGGGTCCAACGCCAGATGGAAAGTATGCACAAACTTCATCAATGGATAAATCTGAAAAGCCGCCAACCTCATCGTCTGGTGTGCCCTTAACCCATCCTGCTTTAGGGTCAAGGGTGGCGGAGATTAGTGGAGACAAACCGCCTGCTGAGATGGCTCACACTCCGGTAATGACCGCGCTTGAACTTGAAGGGACAAGTGCCGGTAATCGACAGTTTTACAGATGATTCTGGAGTATTGGCTTCTCTGTGTCGAGTTATGTGGCTTGCTCCCATTTTGGGAAGGGGCAACGTGTATAAAAATAATAGGTTTTCCGGTTTTCTGTTTAGTGGTAGCAAGCGATGATGGGTCTGCTTCTTGATCATTGGGGTTCGGGGTTATTTGGAATTTGGCACTTTCTTATGCAAATATTGACTGTAGTGCCAAGTCCTGGCAGGCAGCGGCTCTCAACGAACGCCCACTTGTTGTATTTCAGCGCTAGAATCGTATGCGGTACGTTATACTCGTCCGTATTCATATCAGGACGACATCGACTGTGTCTGAGGCGCAGAGCTCTTCCGCATTCCCCGTCACGTTGAGCTGGTAGCCTTGCAACATTTTAGCGCAATCCACCAGGACATCTTTCCCCCGCTCCGACAGTCTATGCAAACTCCACAGAAGTGTATGCCGACCCACTATTATTTCCGCTTGCGCTTTTGCTGCTTATTGTTATTGAAATCGTAATATCCTGAGTCTTCTATACATCTAAATTCACGGGTGAAACCCGTGCACGGACCAGGCAAAAGGAACGGCTCAGATCGGGTGACCCTGCGTCACCACTGACCCCAACCCTCCGGGCAAGAATACAAGTTCACCTGTAACAGGTGCCCTCGTCAAGGCAGATAATAATCATGCTCCGCCATGCTATAACAGCAACAGCTCTGATCACCGGCTCCTCGGCCGTCTATTTCTACATTCTCCACCTCAAACTGTCGTCCCGCGTGCAACACGAATCCCACTTCGAGACGCTCTCAGCATCATCTCCACGGCCCACAGCGATCGAGTCGGTTCCCGAGAAAGTGTTCACAGACCATAACTATGCATTCTACGATCGTGCGTCAAAGACAGTCCCACGGGACTCGCTGCCACTAGCGGAGTCCCTTGAGAGCCTTTTCACGAAATACGTCCGTCGCAATATGACGGCATTCTCTCATCTACCGGCTGCATTAATGCTGCGAGCTGTCAGTAAAACTCCAGAACAAAAGCAGAGTTTCAGGACATCGCACATTGCTTCCCTGAACTTCCAAGAGGGGGATCTTATCTGTGGCGCTTATCGGGTCAAGGTGCGCCATGAAAATAAAGTGGAGTTTGAAATGAAGATGCAAACGATGGATTTTGTGGAGGGTCGATTAGCCTTGAACTGCCGAGAGGAGGACGGGGAAGTCGTGTTTTCTACGGATGTGATGATGTGGAAGCCGGCGGATGAGAAGAGGACCATGCCCATGGAAAAGCCTGTTGCTCGCTGGATGCATGAGCTGGCTTCATGGTGGCTAGTGGATTCGGGAGTGCAATATTTGATGGACCTGTAATCATAGTGGTGATATCTTTCTTTGTTAGTTTTGTCTTTCAAATCAAAGTCTTGGGGTAAGATTAAATCAGATGGAAAGTCCTAGTAGTCAAGGCGTTGGCCCTGATCTGGGTTGTCGTAGATGTTGAAAGGAAATGTCAACTCCCACTGCTTTGAATGTAAAACAGGGAGTATATCGAGGCTTGTGTTACAAGGACGATTGGCCCGGTATGGGATATTTCACAACAAAGGGAGAGACACGAGACATTTCAACGGACCACCTTGAATGTCTTTGGTTATTCCCTTCTTACAATCCATTGTCTACTCAGAACTCGGCTTTATACTCTTTTGCAGCGACTCTCCGTCAGATTCACAGCACCCGGGTAAAGGGTCCATATAAGTTTTCGGGATCAAGCCCAGAATGAAAGTATTCACAACTGCTGTGGCACCCTCCAAACACTCCGGTCAACATGTGTCTCCACACATACCACCACTACCCAGTATGTGGGCACATCTCCAACTGGAGCGTGACCAGCTGTCTCGAATTCACCAACTATGTGCGCCAAGTAGCAGGCACCGGTCAGACAGTTTCCTGCAAACAAGTCGAGATAACGCACAATCTCCTTCCCACCACACAACCCAGTCTCTGTGTCCAATGTGAGATGGAGTGGAGTGGAGCCGTTCAGCAAAATGACCGCTACCCGCTACTACCGGACACTTACCGAATCATCGAGGGCTTGGATGCAAAGAGTCCGATCATCGAATTCGATGCGCGGATGACCCTTGATGTGAGAAAGACCTCTTCTAACAGAAATTACTATGTGCGCCCAACTGACAACGATCAGTGCGATCTCTTCGCCGACGGCCCATTGCACGAAGCGGGGCTTAGGAGTTGTCGGGCTTGTCGTCCGCCGAAGGGAAAGGAGCGGTATTCCAGCTCCTCCAGAACTGTGAGTCGCTCAACCCAGACTGATGTGAGTGGCATCGAGAAAAGCCGAAAGAAAACATTTGCCGACTGCTTGACGCAGTCTCCCTTGAACAGCCGGTGTGACGAAGCCAGACCATCCGCGGGTGAGAATCCAGCCAAACATCGCCACTCCCGTCGACGTGATCTGAGGACTGATATTTGTGAATCACGGAAAACCGCTGATACAGCTAAGGACCTGATCGACTTCGCTTCTATTACTTGCAAGCCGAGTTGCGGCGCTTGCTGGACTAGCTCGGACGACATGAGCAAATTGGGGACCCTCAACAAACCCGCTACCTCTCTCGACAGTCTGGAGACCAACGGGCCATATTCTGTTCATTCAGATTTACCTTGCGACGAACTGCCTATCTTCATGTCTACCAGCCCCTACGACTGGATTTCAACTCTCAGTCTCGGCTACAGCTTTCTCGAAGACGCAACTCCGGTGCTTGCAAAACAATTTGAAGGGCACCAGGATGAACTTGATGAGAAGTCTACTGAGCAGTCTGACTGGTCAGATCGGAGTTCTGCGTGCCATTCTCCAGCGCCCGCCCTGAAGCCAGTGAGAGGTCGAAAAGGAACACCCTACACGCGGCCTCTGCCTCACTTCCAGCGGTTTCAGTCAATGCCTTCGGACACTAAGGCAGATGGACTGGGTATGTTTCTTCCTCCGGAATGGGAGAGCTATTTTGATTGTTTCTTTCGGGATCGATTCTGTTGAGGTGTATTTGTTGTGGCGTATTGCCGTGTCTGGTTGTTTGGTCACTCTTGTCTCGTTGATTTTCTTAGATATGACAGTAATAGACTGCAGTCATTTCACATTATCCTACCTATCCGGAAAACATCCCTAGTACGCCGGCCCGAGGCTACCCGTATGGCCCAATTCTGGCTAAAGTCTGGCTGTAGATCGGGACTCGGACTTGCGCCGACCGGCTTCCCTGCTTCCCCACCATAAAACCTGCACCCCCACGCGGATTCTGGCATTGGAACAAACGCCTTCGCTCGTCGTATTTTCATCATCTTTCCGTCGCATCCAAGTGTACACAATCATCTGCATTTTGCGACAATCATGTCTAAGCCAACTGTGGGCTTTGTCGGTCTAGGAGCCATGGGCTTCGGCATGGCTACCCACCTCGTCAAGGAAGGATACCCCGTTCACGGCTTTGATGTGTTCCCCGCCTCGGTCGAGCGCTTCAAGGCTGCGGGTGGGATGCCCGCAGATTCGCTGCAGGATTCTGCTAGCGGGAAGCAATACTATGTCTGCATGGTGGCATCGGCGCCCCAGGTACAAACGGTGCTCTTTGGAGAGGGAGGAATAGTGTCTGGTACGTCCTAGACCATTTTTCATTCGCAGGTTCGCTTGCTAACGATTCTCGATATTATGCACAGCTCTCCCTCAAAATGCGACTCTCCTTCTCTGCTCTACTGTCCCGGCATCATATGCCCAGTCCGTCGCCGCCGAACTGCAATCGCGCGGTCGGGGAGACATCCACTTCATCGACTCCCCCGTATCCGGCGGCGCCAAGCGCGCCGCTGACGGGACGCTGTCAATCATGGCGGGCGCACCCGCTGCATCACTCGAGAGCGGCCGGTTTCTTCTCGAGGCTATGTCGGATGCGAACAAGCTGTACCTAGTCCCAGGAGGGATTGGCGCAGGAAGCAATATGAAGATGGTGCATCAGGTTCTGGCGGGCATTCAGATTCTCGGTGGTAGCGAGGCGATGGGTTTCGCGGCCCAGTTGGGACTGGACGCAACTAAGACGGCGGAGGCTATCAAGTCGTCCGATGCGTGGTCGTGGATGCATGAGAACCGCCTGCAGCGCATGTTGGAGGAGGATTGGCACCCTGGTGCTAGTGCGCTGACGATCATCCTGAAGGACGTGGTATGTATACATCTTTGGTTTGTTTCATTATGCATTTGCTGATACGCGGTTAGGGCATCATCACCACCTCCGCTCGTGAAAATCAGTTCCCCACTCCGCTCTGCTCCACAGCCGAGCAGGTTTATCTCTCTGCCCTCCTACAAGGATACGGGCCAGTCGATGATTCTTCTATGGTCCGCCAGTATTTCTCCGAACCCATTATGAAAGTGGCCTGCACCAAGTCTGCCGAGGAAACAGCCGAGTCCCTGCAGCTGGTTCTTGATATGATGGAGGTGACAAACACTGTCGCTGCAGCCGAGGCTATCGCATTTGCCCGCTACCTGAAAGTCGATCTCATGCAGTTTTTCACGCTTGTCAGTGATGCGGCGGGGTCCAGTCGGGCTTTCATGACCAAAGGCCTAGAAATTGTTGAGGGTCGGGTCGGACAGAACACCGAGACGGTCAACGATGCGATCCGGCGTCTGGAAAAGGCGGTGCAACGGGCTCGGGACTTGCATTGTCCGCTGCATCTGGGCAATGCGGCGATGAATGTTCTATTTATGGCTAAGAAGGCCGGGTTTGGGGCTGAGGGTAGCACGAGTGTGATCAAAGTGTATGGCAATTAGGATCTAGTCGTATATAGTCTCTCCTATGTCATTATTATTCGCGTAACCCCACGTTCACGGAGTGTCTCCGGCCCCACACTCGGGCGGGATGCGATGCTCTGATCCGTGACGGATTAATTATAAAGCTGTGTATTCCGGTACAGGCCAGACAATCCCCCATTTCACTATATCATCTCCCCTCTCCTGTTCTCAACGATGACACTCTCCAACAATCGCGCCCTCAGCATCCTTAACCATGCCGCCACCAACCGGTACGGCGTGCCAGCGATGTGCTGCTACAATGTGGAGGGCATTCTCGCAACGGTGCGCGCCGCAGAAGCGAAGCGGTCACCGGCAATGATCCTCCTCTTCCCATGGGCGGTGCACTACGCCGACGGGATCCTCGTGCACGCCGCCGCGGAGGCGGCCTCCAAGGCCTCCGTACCCGTCACCGTACACATGGACCACGCGCAAACGCCCGAGATCATCCGCTACGCGGCTGACTTGGGTGGTTTCGACAGCATCATGGTCGACATGTCGCACTACGAGAAGGCGGAGAACCTAGCCCTGACGCGGGAGCTGGTTGAGTACTGCCATGCGCGCGGGATCGCGACGGAGGCGGAGCCGGGCCGCATCGAGGGCGGGGAAGATGGCGTTGCCGACACGGCGGATCTGGAGGGACTGCTTACGACCCCTGAGGAAAGCCAGGAGTTTGTCGATACGGGGATTGACTGGCTGGCGCCGGCTTTTGGAAATGTGCATGGCGAGTACGGGCCGCGCGGCATCAGGCTCGAGTATGACCGACTACAATCTATCAACAAAGCTGTTGGGGACAAGGTCCGGCTGGTTCTGCACGGCGCGGATCCCTTCACCAAGGAGATTTTCCAGCAGTGTATCGACTGTGGCGTGTCCAAGATCAATATCAACAAAGTCTTGAATAACGAGTACATCAAGGTGCAGCAGGAAAAAGCCGGCAAGGTGCCTCTCACAACCCTCCTGGAGGAAGCGACCAATGCCATGCAGAAGGCGGTTGAGCGGTGTATTGATATGCTGGGATCGGGGGGCGATACCCTTAAGCGTGAAGATAGAAAGCAGCGCGACAGTCAATTGCATTCTGTTTTACCATATTTCCCGCGTTCGACGCACTGACAAGACAGAAGCATGCTTGTATGAATTAAAAAATTTTGGATATCGGAACACCAGAACCGCAAACAAACACCATTCAGAATATCACCATCCCCAGAGGAATTGAAGTACAAGAACGAGCTCATTGGTCACTTGAACATCGTGTCAGGCTCCAAAACAAGATCTTACTATTCGACAGGACAATACTACTGACTAGACTCATCCGCTGCCTAGTCCAGGTAGCTCACCGAGAAGACCACCAAGCAGCGGACCGACGACTGGAAGACCGTTAAGTGGGTCAGCGGCCGCAGCGGGCGCGGCAGACGGTGTCGGTGTCGGTGTCGGTGTGGGAGTATCCGACGAGCTGGAGTCCAAGGCCTCGGCGGAGCTCGAAGAGGCGACCTTCATGTGCTGATGGTGGATGCTGGCAGCCTTGGCGGGATGTGTGACCATGGTCTTAACGGCATGCGTGGCATGAGTCGCAGGCACGTGGGTCTCGACGGCGGTAGTGTCATGCATTGGGGCGGCGTGAGTGGCAGTCGGTTTCATCTCAGGCTCCTGGGAAGACATGGGCTCATGCTCATGCTCGGGCTCGGGCTTGTGAGTGGGCTTATGCTCCGGCTGGGCCATGGGAATATGAGACGATTCCGGCTTAATAGACGCCTCGGGGATGGACGGCGAGTCAATCACAGCCGAGGACATGGGCATCTCAGTGCCATCCGGCATCAGAGGCAGGGCAGGCATCTCCTCCATATTATAGGGCACATCATTGCCCGGGTCATTCTTGGGAGAGTCCATCTCCAAGCTGCCAACGCCGCCACTCGGGTTGAAGGGGAAGCTGTTGAATGGGTTGCCCTGCCGGTGAGGGGCCGAAGGGGCCGCGGTGGCGGCGATGGCAAAGAGCACCAGGGAGAGGTAGGCGTGCATCTTGGTTTTATTGTTGTGTTGATAAATATAGTTTGTCGGCAGTGGTGGGGGTGGGCGTTGAGGGATTCTGGTCGGCAAAAAAAGGAAGGAAAAGAATACGATGAGGAAAAGGAACGAGTTATACTCGGGAAAAAGGGATGCGCGACTTTTATGGCTAACATGGCAAGGAATTCTTGATGTGCTCTGTGTTGTGATCCTCGCCCACCGCGTCGTCCATGCCGCCGGATACATGCGCGGATATGATCAGCATCATGTGTTGCATAGCCAAAGGGGGCTCCGTGCTCGTACATTGTACTGTAAGTAGCAGTAAATGACAGGGGAAAGGAACACCACGCCCCGTGTGTTGTGTGGAATGATCACCATGCGAATTGCCCTTGCCTACTCCAGTCGACACGCGAGAAATCAACTGTTTGTTCGATGATGACGATCGCTCGCTCGATGCCGACTTAAAGCCACTGCAACCCTGCAGGTTCCTGGAGATGGCCGGTTGAAAGCTGGTTATGTACATGCCTCACCATTGTGCTATGCTTTGACTTTGATATGTGCTATTTCTTTCATTAAGATACAAAGTTCACAGACAGGACGGCTTTCTGCAGAGTGCCATTAAGAAGTGCTAACTCGACGCCAAAAGCAGAACTAAAAGACTATCGATCTCAGTTTTGCTCAGTTAAGGGCTAATCGTTCTCAAATTTTCGAAAGATACCGACGCGTTTACACCTTCTGAAGGAGTTCAAACGCGGGACTGTTTCAGTATGTAGGGATACTCGGAGAATATGTACATACTCGGGGCTGGATCGCTCATTCCCGTGACAACCCTAGCTGCCCCTTGCAGCCAATCTCTCACTGTTAGCTCTACGGTTTGCTTTCTACTTTCACCATTCAGCCTCGCAAATGAATGGAGATTTCGTCTTGTGTCGTGGTGATGATGCCATTCATTCTGATCATTTTCCGGCTGTTGCTTTCTACCATGCCCGTAAACCTGTAAAACCGTGTTGGACAAGTCACTCGTGAAATAGAAGTATCCAAATGTATGATCCATTGTCTCATATCAGTGTTCAATTAGTTTGCAAGAAATGCATTTGCTTCGAGCAACTTTTCAACAGTCAGATTGCAAGGGTAACCCAAATCTTATCAAGCACTCCAGACACCAGACCATGTAGAAAGTACCGGGGGGGAAACCCTTCAATGTAATTGTTCGTATTTAGCTTGCTAATTCGCTTCGAAGACATTATATGGGTTCTTGGTTGCCAAGTGATGAATCGTAGGATTGGGCTGATATATATCTTGGCGCGGTAACCCTAACTCAACACTAAGAACTCTATATATATCACCGCCAATGATAACCAAACCTACAACACAAATTGGAGACTATGCATTTAACTCAACTTATAAAAAAAAAAAAAAAAAAACATTCAAACCATGTGATCAACCAGCATTTACTTATGTAGCGTGCCTGGATCAACTCGTTCGTCACGTCCCGAGAGTGTACATCGACACCACATCAACAGGCTATGCGCGAAAATGCTATGCAAAAGATCCCATCATACCAGATCACCACAAACACATCCAATTAGCCAAGATTCATCCGAATAATTGTACCCGAACAATATGAACCCAAACATCTACAAGACTCACTCCTCTACAATCGCCAACACAGTCGCCCGGACCCCAAAGCGGCCTTCCTTCGGAAACCCAATCCCCAATTCACGCCAAACACTAATATTCGCAACGGTGGTGTCATACGGCGCGAAGTCAAACCGGCGCACGATATGTGCTAGAGCGAGGTAGATTTCTGCGTAGGCGAGACTTTTTCCTGTTAGTGCCGTAACTATTACAAAGACAAGGACATTCCTGAGTTGGAAGGGATATTTCTTCCAAAGCAGGGGACCTGAGTGAGGGATGTGACAGAAAGACTTACTTGATTCCGAGACACTGGCGACTCCCCTTGGTGAACGCGACAATAAATCGACTCAGGTACTCACCTTTCTCTGCTGCGCGGATCCAGCGCTCGGGATCAAACGTGCCTGGGTCAGGGAACAGGGTCGAGTCCATGTGTACGAAGTAATTGGACTGGCTGACGGGTGTCTAAGGGCATAAACGAGTCAGTCTACTTGACCTACACTTCGTACACTGCTATGGCTGGTACTTACACCTGCAGGTATGACCCAGTCCTTGTAGAAGAGAGGGTCGGTTGGCGAAATGCGCGCCAAACGAGCTGTCATGCCGTGCGCTAGACGTAGACCTTCGTTCACGACTCCAGTCTTTGTGAAACAGTGAGGTCAGCATCCTCCTTGGTGGTGAGTACAGCCTCACAACGTACAAGGTACGGCAGCTTCTCCAGATCAGCCCACGAGGCCTTGGAGGTGGGCGTCGACAGCACTGTCTTCAGCTCCTCGCGCAGCGTATGCATGAGCCCCGGACGGCTCATCAGATGAAACATGGAAACCGTGATCGCTCTAGCCGTGGTCTCCGTACCAGCACCCAAAAGCAAAGCAGACTCATCCTCCAATCGGTCCAGCGTTCTCTCCTGTGCGGGGACATCCGAACTAATCAGCGAGTCAAATATGGTACTACCACCTCCAGCGTCGAAATCCACCTTCTCCACCATCTTCTTCTGGATCGTATCCGTTGCCTGCTGACGCAGTCTCGCCTTCAAATCAAACAAACCAGCCATGTTCGGCTGCAACCCGCGCACCAGGGCTGGCGGCGCAGCACGGAAAACCGTGATCAGGAACGGCATGAAGCGATTAACATGAAACATCGACATGACGCCATTGACAGCATCAATGAGATCGTTGCTGCGGGAGCTACTCTCATTATCCAGGTATCCGTAGCTCCAGCCGAAGGAGTAGTGAGTGATCACGTCGGCAGTCAGAGCCGCGAACTCCAGCTGCAGGTGCAGCACAGTGTCGTTGTTAAAGGCCTTCTCAAAGCGGTGGATGAGCTGGTCGACTTTTTCGTGGATGTACGGCGTCAGACTTGCAACCGAGCGGCGCGAAAAGTAGTTACTCAGGAAGCTGCGGCGGAGACGGTGGTGGTCGTGGTGGATGGTCTGGACGAGCGAGTTCGGGGAGCCGTAGGCCATGGCATACCGGGGGTCTTTGGCTCGTTTGCGAGAACTGCCGGCGTGTATGTCCTCGTAGAAGTATGGGTCCATGATGTGCAGTTCTCGAGGGTTGATGCGTACAATGGGACCTGGGGAACGTAAGTTCGGGATATTTTCTTGGGGGAGGGCTGTAATTCTCACCGTAGATTTCATGCATGCGCTCGATTTCCCAGAGATACATGCCTCCCTTCAGGACGTCGTAGTAGAATTCATACAGGAAGGTTGCTGCAGCAAGTTTGGGACCGGGGAAGCTGGCCAGAGGATGTCCATTCAGACGATAGGCAATGCGGCGTACGGGCAGGTACAGCAGCAGGGCTATCACCAGCACTGTGTACAGCGCGGGCGAGTTCATTCTGGCGGTCTCGAGGAGGGGAGAGCAGTAGGAAAACACAGACGCAGCCTCAGGCGAAAGAGGACGCTTTCAAGGTGGTAAGAGGAAGAAAGTGAAAGGAAGGACGAGGGCCATGGCGTGATGATAAGGATGGCTGTTGTTGCTGGGGGTGTTCGTCTCTGCTGCACTCGATATCACACCCGATCCCTCCCTATACTATGCCACCTAAGCCGTGCCATCCACCAACGACAGACGCGAATGCATTCCAAGCGCCTATGGAGTGTTCGGACCCTACTATTGGGAACAATGGACGATTCAGACAAAGCATCAGATCGAGCACGGGTCACTCGATCGAAGGGTGGCGACCAGGAGGCCAAATCAGGTACTCGGACGGCGGTCAAGATGCCAACGGCTGCGGCATCAGCAGCACATAAAACAGCCAGCCAACAATTACTGGAAAGAAACTGAAATAATAAGAAAGGATATGCCAACAGGTGAACTCCTGGCTTGCAAAATACTACCAGGTGATTAGAGAGAATCGAAAATCACCATCAGACGATAAGAAATAGTTATAATGGATTCATGTGGAACAAAGGAAAGGTCCTCAATTTACACCTATTGAAACATCCGTGAAAAGAAATCCTCGGGAAAGTAGAGACACAAAAAGAACAGAGGAAATAGCGACTGGCGAAGACACAGATGGGGAAGCGGGTGGGACAGAAAGAGAAATCCATGCTACTCCGTTTTTGTGGTCTATGTCTAGTGCGAGGCCAGCATCTTCTTGACCTCAGCAATGGCACGACCGGGGTTCAGGCCCTTGGGGCAGGTCCGTGTGCAGTTGAGGATGGTGTGGCAGCGGTACACGCTCATGCTGTTGTCGAGGGCCTGCTTGCGCTCGGCAGTCTTCTCGTCACGCGAATCGGCCAGCCAGCGGTACGACTGCAGGAGAATGGCGGGGCCCAGGTACTCCTCGCTGTTCCACCAGTAGGACGGGCAGGATGTCGAGCAGCAGGCGCACAGGATACACTCGTACAGACCGTCGAGCTTGCGGCGGTCCTCGGGACTTTGGCGGTTCTCCAGACCCTGCATCGAAGTCAGAAATCGGTATCATGTATAACACACAGGGGTGAATACTCACATCCGGGGTGGGGGTGTCATTCTGCAGATATGGCTTGATCGACTTGTATTGCTTGTAGAAGTGGGTGAGATCGGGGACCAAGTCCTTGACCACGTAGGTGTGAGGCAAAGGGTAGATGCGCGACTCCTTTGTGGTCTCCGTGGGGATGCGGCCTAGAGACGATGGTCAGTAATGAACACTATTGACAGACAATGGCCACTGCGAAGAAACATACACAAGCAGGCCAGGGTGTTGACGCCGTCAATGTTCATGGCGCAGCTGCCGCAAATGCCTTCACGGCAACTCCTCCGGAAGGTGAGGGTAGGGTCGAGCTCGTTCTTTATCCGGATGAGTGCATCGAGCATCATGGGGCCGGTCTTGTTCAGGTCCAGGTCGTAGCTCTGCATCTGCGGCTTCTCGGACGGCTTGTCGGGGTTCCAGCGGTAGATCTTGAAGGTCTTCATCGCGGGCTGCTTGGAAGCATTGGGGTCCACGGTGCTGGACTCTACGGTCGCATAGGAACGAGCCAGGGTCGCGGGCCGGAACATCGGCCGCGAAGCGGCGAAGAGGCGGGAGGTGGTGCGAAGGGAAGCCATGGCGATTCGGGACAAAGGGTGTGCAAATCACGGGCCGCGACCGGGTTAGGGGCAGCTGATGGTGCGGGACGACAGCGGTAGGTGGGACTGGGAGAGGAGATGGGCCAAGGAAAGAGGGCACGCAACTGCAGTTCGCAGGGGAAACAAGAGCCTCACGATAGACGAAAATAAGGAAGTCAAGGAGTTGCTTTGTGCTGTCACTCACTAACCTCGGGTCTGGCGGCGCGGATGGAGCTGACTCAGCACACCCAGCCAATCACGGGGGATCCAATTGTCACGGCGAACAAGCGGATTCGGGCCAACACGGCTGTACGAAAAGCCGGGAGAAGAGAGAGAGCCACGTAGGATAGTTATATTCGATGATCATGTTGACATCATGGATAGGATTCCATGGTCGTCTTCATTTCTCCAGACTTGATTTTCTCCGTAGTAGTATTCAGGTTCTGTTGGAATGCGTTGTCCCAATTGTGGGAAATGCCCCAGGCACCAACAGAACCCGGCCGATATGCCGAACCGGTGCCCGTGATCCTGTTTCCGTTCCTCAGAACTCACCACATGGTATGACGGTACTCTACACTCCATCCACAGTCCCGACACCCTCTCTCACACACACTCATCCCCGATTAACATAGTTCTGATGCCACTCATAATCCCGATTGTCCTTCAATAGTGCCCGAATAGCCTCGCGCGGCGGCACCGGCTGCCGGCCCAGCACATCCGCCATGAGCGGATCGATGGTGCTAGTATCGCCCTGGGAAATGGCATCGTACCACGATACCAATTTCTCGAAGAACGCCGCTGTTTTCCCCCCTCATCGTCGGCTGCCGTCAACCGGACATACTCCTGCGGCGGAACAATCTTCACTTGAACCTGTCGGCCCGTGGTTTCATTGATCACATCCACGATCTCGGTGAAGGTGATGGTTTCTTGTGCCGTCAGAAGTACAATCTCCTTTTCATGACCGCCTTGGATCATCAGGCGAGCGGTGGCTTCCCCGAGTTCGGTCCGCAGGGTGAAGGCGACGGGGCCGTCCGCGGGGAGGTACACGGTTGACTTGCTGGGATACCAGCCCAGGAAGATGGGGAAGGCCTCGGTGTATACACCCTCCCGGATGGAAGTGAAGGTGATACCAGAACTGTCTGGTGTCAATATCTGCTGCGCGATGGGCAGAGAACAACTTACTCTCTCAGCATTTGTTCCGTCATCAGATGCGCCTGCTGCACATCGGCTTTGGAGTCCGAGCGGAGGCCACCAAACGCGAGAGACGTATACCACACCTAGCGAGCATAGGTCAGCTAACCATGGCTCTTGGTCGGTTGCCGGTTCAAGAAGAACCTACGTGTTTCACACCCGCCCTTTTAGCCGCGTTGACGAAGCTCTGGTGCTGCTTGCGCCGTTTCTCGACATCAAAAGTATTTGTGCTAACGAAAAAGAGGTTCTCCACGTCCCGGAAGGACGTCTCCATGCTCTGTGGGTCATCGTAGTTGACTACGCGGAATGCAATGCCCCGGTCTTCGAATTGCTTGCGATTTGTTTCCCGCGAGGACGCTGCTGCGTATTCTGAGGATGGGACATTGGCTACCAAGTACGAGAGTACTCCTGCGCCGAGGCCGCCCGTGGCGCCAGTGATGAGGTACTTGAGTGTCATGGTGCGGGTATATAGTAAGTTTTAGAGAACGCTGCGAAGTAGACCGAGACCAATGAATGGAATGTTTTGATTGGAATGTATTCAACAATCTAGCACGGAGCGGCCATTTATTTTAATCCCTCCTACCGGTTTTACGCGCGCGCATTGGGGACCCACATTGGTAAGCACGGTGTTGGTAAGCAATGACCCAAAATGAACCGTCATAGGTTGATTGGCTTCGTTTCATTTAGCTATTTGGTAATTAACAGGGCTGTAACTCGCCTCGCGTTTCCTCAAGCCCCGAAACCCGACAATAATGGACGAATTGGCCGCGGTCTTCGGACAAAGCTGCGTTTCACGAGGTTAAGACATCATCAACTTCCCCGCAACTCATAGATCTTGGGTGGAAATATTATTTGCAAATAAATAAATCAAATCTATATTCTATATTTTGTACCAAGACATTGAACTCATCAGAACCAACCTAAGTAAGCCCAGACTCCCGCGAGGTCATGGATAAAGCCCTCTCCTCTTCCCTCGAGATATCGATCTCATTAGTAATCCTAATGCCAGGACCCTTCCCTGCATCCGGTGTTGACGGCGACCTCTGATCGGGCCTAACCGAGACTTCAGAACCCATCATCTCATAATCGTCACGACCATGTGTCGACCACTGCAGCAGCTGCTTGCTGTCGCGGGTATTAGACCCGACAGCACTCAGAGGTTTCGAGGTGATTTTTAATCGTGCAGATCGCGAGCGTGTATGGCTGGACGTGTACTCGGTTAACCGGGAGAAAACATTCCCGAACACGGGTTTGAGAGCTGGCACGGATAGCGCGATAAGCGTGCCTGCGATCTCGGCATTTTCGATGCCTAGCATAGGATTGTACGCCCAGCTGCCGTCAGAGGTCCACTGGCCTTCAGCCACGAGCCAGACGCGGATGGCGGAGATGGCGATAACACTGGGGTGGATCGATTAGTGTACGTCGCGGAAGAGAGTGGGATGGAATAGAAGGAAGGGGTGGACGAACAGAACACCTGGGAACATGACCAGGGAAAGCTTGATCTTTTTCTCCCTTGAGATCTGAAGCTGCTTGATGAGGATACTAGGGATGATAAACATCAGAAGATCACAGGCTAGCGAAACACCCGAGTTCACCGAGTATACCAATCCCCATGAGAGACATTTGTAGTCCGTGGTCTCGTGCTGCCATTCATAAGGCCACAGGCCCGTCACAGGACGGCAGTGGAACAGCAGAAGAAAGAACTGGGGCAGGTAGGTGGCGAAAAGCAACGGTACTGCGACGATGATAGCCTTGTGCAGTTTGCTGGACCGCGGGCAGAGCCGGTAGTAGAAGGCTAGACCGGACAGTCGGCATGTAAAGAGCGCAGTCGTGTATAGAATATGTGCGACGAAATCGAGGACTTCGGTTTGGCGGACAGTGGTCATTGATAGGACATGCTCGATGTATTCGATATGTCGGCCGCTTCCTAGGTTGATGAGGATGATGCAGAGGACGACGAACGCCACGTAGAGTGTCTGTTATGAGCATTTTTAGTGTCGGTCTTTCTTAGGTAGGTAGCTTTGGATCGACATACCAGAGTAAACGTAGCCAATGCATCGTCTAGCCCAAACCTCTTGACAAGAAATATCCGAGCGTATAGCCGCATACTCATCAAGACACCCGTGAGGCAGACCAGGAAGATAATTCCCGCAATAGCTGGGCTATCGCGGGACTGTGCTAGATACTCAAGGGAGACATTATCAGGAATCCTCCCCGCTGCTTTTGCAGCGAGAATATCGGCGGGGATAGTCATAGCACGGCCCTCGCGCTCAAGAACATAACAAAGAGTGAAGAGCAGCGGAAGCTATTTTTCTTCTTTCTTCTGCGATTCTTTCCACTCATGTATAGCCAAGGATCCATCTGACTAAAGCTAAAAGTATGAGCATTTCTAAGAAGGAAAGTAGAAGCGGGTCTCTTTTCCGGAATCTCATGGAAGTTGACTACCAGTATCCAATCATATCACGGCATATAACTCCGAAATAACCGCGGTGGCAAAAGCTGAGGACGTACCCAGTGGACGTGGAATGTATGATCAATAGGTTGAATCTGGATCTCCGCGAACCGTAGTTCGGGGTTCGGCACAAACGCAAAAAGTCTCTGTACTCAAGATCGCGGCAGATGTCATGACCATGTGGAACCGCCATGACTGCCGGACTATCTTATTGTGTTGCATTTCATAGCGAACCCTTGTCGGACGAGTCCACTGGATTGATACCGATTAGGCAATTGGCAAGAACCGCCACATCCCGTCGGTGGATCTGAGATCCGCGTCGGTTGGGTCCGATCTCCTCCTCGATCGGACCGGGTCTAGGATTTCAACCGCGGTACCTGGTTCTGCAGGACGAACTGCAGAACCGTGCAAAGAGGCAAAAGCAAAGTCTTCAGACTATTTTGTGAATTTTTTTGGCGGAAATAAAGCGCTTGCTGGCGATGCAAAGAACTGGAATGTGGGCCTGTCTCCCATGGTGGAAAGAATGATGGATCATTAGGTTCGAACGCGAAATTCTTGGCAGAGTATTTGAACGTTCCAACACTCCCTCCCTGCCCTGCGTCTGCCACATGGTTTGTGGGGGTTTTCTCTCCTGAACATCAACTCATTTCATCATGACCCCTTGGTTGCTTCAAGCTCTGGCCACGGGCCTGGCATTGACAGGCCCTGCGGTTGGTTTTCCGCAAAACCACAGCGATGGCGAAGTGGACGGTCTCGTCGCCTCGCAGATTCTGACAGACCCCTATGCCTTTGACTTCCCTCGCCTGGGCTCTCCAGGCTCCTCGCTATTCCCCATGCGACGCTGCCACGGGTTTAAGCTAGAGGAAGCCAGCATCGACGAGATCCAGGAGCAGCTTGGCAAGAAGACCTTCACCAGCGTGGACCTCCTGGCATGCTACCTGGACCGTATTTCGCAGACCCAGCCTTATCTCAAGTACGTTAGATTTTTGGAAGCTTCAGTTCGCGAACTAATATAATCCAGTGCAATCCTGCAATTCAACCCGGATGCATTCTCCATCGCTCAAAAGCTGGATGCCGAGCGCGCCCAGGGAAAGATCCGTGGTCCCCTTCATGGCATCCCCTTCATTGTGAAGGACAATATCGCCACCAAGGACCGCATGGAGACTACCGCCGGCAGCTGGGCACTTCTGGGTAATGTCGTGCCCCGTGATTCTCACGTTGTCCACGGCCTCCGCAAGGCCGGTGCGCTGCTTCTTGGGAAGGGCGCTCTGAGCGAGTGGGCTGATATGCGCTCCAATAACTATTCCGAGGGCTTCTCGGCCCGTGGAGGCCAGTGCCGTAGCGCTTACAACTTCACCGTCAATCCCGGTGGCAGCAGCACGGGTCCTGGTGTTGCTGTTGGTGCTAACCTGGTTCCATTTGCCCTGGGAACCGAAACCGACGGAAGTGGTATGTCTGACATATAAAAATGCCTCCGTTTTACATACAATCCTCACTAACAACTTCCTAGTCATCAACCCTGCCCAGCGAAACGCTATTGTGGGCATCAAGCCCACTGTCGGCCTGACCTCCCGTGCAGGCGTCATCCCAGAGTCCTTGCACCAGGATACCATTGGTACATTCGGCAAGACTGTTCGTGACGCCGTCTATGCACTTGATGCTATCTACGGGGTCGATGCTCGGGATAACTACACCCTCGCGCAACGCGGCCAGACTCCGCAAGGCGGCTACACGCAGTTTCTCACGAACAAGGATGCTCTAAAGGGCGCCGTCTTCGGTCTGCCATGGAAGTCCTTCTGGGCTCTTGGCGATGCCGTCCAGATCGCACAGCTGATAGAACTGGTGGACCTGATTAAAGAAGCTGGAGCGACAGTCATCAACGGCACCGAGCTCCCGCACTACAAGGAGATCGTCTCACCAGACGGCTGGAACTGGGATTACGGCTCCACTCGCGGATACGCCAATGAGTCCGAGTACTCGTACATCAAAGTCGACTTCTACAATAATCTGCGCGACTACCTAGCCGAAGTGGACAACACCAACGTCAAATCCGTTGAGGATCTGGTCCAGTATAACATCGACAACTACGGCTCTGAGGGTGGCTACCCCAGCATCCACCCTGCTTTTGGCTCCGGCCAGGACGGCCTAATCGCGTCTCTGAATAGCAAGGGGATCATGAACGAGACTTACTTCCAGGCACTGGAGTTCTGCCGCCGTACAACCCGTGAGGAGGGCATTGATGCCGCGTTGAAGTACAAGAACGGCACTCTAGACGGCCTGTTGGTACCTCCGGATGTCGCCCAGAGCATCCAGATCGCGGCCCAGGCTGGGTATCCTGTTATTACTGTACCTGCCGGCACTGAAAAGGCGTCGGGAATGCCATACGGTCTCGCGATCATGAACACGGCCTTCTCAGAGCCGACATTGATCAAGTACGCTAGTGCCATTGAAGACCTTCAGAAGACTTCGGGTACGAAATGGCAGCGCACCCTTCCGGAATGGCGTGGCTACCTGGAGCGCAACCTCCCCGTTATCATGTAAGACGGCCACTTGGGTGGGTTATTGGTATGGAGGGCGTGATCATTTCTTACATATACATTGTACCTCTGTACCATCCTAGATAGACTACTGTTCATATATCGCATATTCCGCTACTCACGAGGCAGACGAATGATCTCGAAGGTATCCAGTGCAAACACCATAAGGCTGATTGTATGACAAGTAAAAGAATGATCCATCGGCGTCGACTTATACTTCTGTAGAGTCGAGTGTGCTCGCCAATGCAGGACACGGGAAATCGGGGTGACTTCGATTTCACAGAAGAGCAGGGGAATTTATATTTACTTGGATGGGCACTTGTGATGTAGGAGCAATATAGAATGGAAGAAGGATAGTGTATTTAGGTCTCCGCCAACTCTATGCTAATGTTGGGTAATGATAGAAGGTTCTGGCATGACAGTCAATCAGTTGACGATGATGAGACCCGGTCCAGCGACCGTGTCCGCGGCCACCGCGTATGCATTGCTGAAAGGTCCACGGCTCTTTGTGATAGCTGCAATAGTAAAGCCGTTCATCTCATGCTCGGTATAAGGAAAGATTGCCTCTGCAGTGACGGTGCCATGCTCCTGGGAGAGGATGTCCAGAGATTCGACAATTGGGAGGTTCTGCTGGTTGATGTAGCTGATCCATAACTCATTTCGGTCGTTGAAGCCAGGGTCTTTGAAAACAACGGTGATATTCTGCGTCTCGGGATCAGGAGATGTGGCGATGGTCAAGGGCTCGAATGTTGCCAAGGGGATTTCCTCGATGTTGGGGCAACTGCCCGGGACGACAAAGCTTTGGATAGCAGTGAACGCGAAACTCAGATCACTGGTTGTCAGGAATGGAAGCTCGCTTGGAATCTTGCCCTGAATAACGCGATACCAGCCCTGCTGCTCGCCCTCCTGCCCTATTATCGAGGAAATCTGCCGTGCGAGGTCGAAGTCTTGACCATTGGCGAATCTCTCCACGACGTCTTGTAGTGTGCCGAGAACCAAGCCCGTGAAGGTGGAAGCCAGCACAACCGCGGACTTAAAGTCCTCGACGGGGAATTGGTATCGGCATGGCTGAATTGGGTCGACGCCAAAGTGGCTCAAACCGCCATTTGCGCTGAGCGCATGAAGCTCCTCTTGCTGTAGGTGTTGTCAGTATAGAAGAATCTGTGGGGAATAGTTACTAACCGCCAAGATAGCTGTGAATGCCTCGATGATAAAGTCACGGTCCTTGTCATCGGAGAAGGTATAGCCAGTGACGTTGGTGGTGATGTTCATGAGCAGCTCGTTGAAGTAGGCGACCTCGAACAGTTCGTTGAACGCGATAAGCTTCAGGTTGGTGATGCCCATTTCGCTGATAAAAGGCGGAGGAGGAGAGTTTGGGAGGGTCCCACGCGCATTCTGCTCGATTTCCGCCAGTTGCTCTTGGCTGGGGTTGGGCAGTCCATCCGGCAGTGGAGTCTGGCCGTCTGCGGTTCCAGTGGGTGCCGCACAGACAAACGCGGTTATACCCAACAGAGCGATGGCGACTCCGTGGAAACGCATGTTGATATTGTGGAAGAGTAAATGCTGTGTGGTAATAGAATGGAGTGGAACGGATGATGGTGATGATGAGAAGACAAGGAGGAGAGAAGAGGAAATATGAAGGAAGGTGACAACAAAGACACAGCTGTCATTGTCTCAATGGGCAGGGGCGACCCAAGCAGCCTCCCATCGTGTCCGTGTACTTAGGTCGCACAGGTGAACTGCCAGTACCCCGGCAGTCATGTATGTGAGTAGGGGATGTGAACCAAGTCAGGCATGGGATGTCATGCCAGTCAGCTGACAGGACTGTGATACTCGAGGTAGGAATTATCTGGAGTGTACAGAAGCATATATGGGCATAGAGTACGGTCAAGGGTTTCCCTCTCCCTGCTGCATACTCAGCCTCATATAGCTTAATGTCTGACACTGACGCTGTCCCGATTATCATATTGACGGCCTTGGCATGACCCGAAGATTTCCAGGTAAAGGCGACATTAGCCATGATTAACCATACTCTGCAGCGTGTTGGGATGGTTCGCGCCGAGCTTTGTCTTGCTCATCTCCATCACCTGCACCTGGAGCTGCTCGGCCTCTTCCCACCGGCCCTGCTTTCTATGGATCGCTGCTAGGTTGGCCATACTGGTCAACGTGGAGGGGTGGGCCGCGCCGAGCTTCGTCTTGCTCATCTCCATCACTTGCACCTGGAGTTGCTCGGCCTCCTCCCACCGGCCCTGATTCCAATAGGTCCACGCAAGATTGGCTATACTAGTGAGCGTGTCGGGATGATCCTCGCCAAGCCTCGTCTTGCTCCTCTCCATCACCTGCACCAGGAGCTGCTCAGCCTCTTCCCACCGGCCCTGTTCCCTATAGGTCGCTGCTAGGTTGGCCATAATGGTTAGCGTGGAGGGATGGTCCGCGCCGAGCTTTGTCTTGCGAGTCTTCATCACCTGCACCTCGAGCTGCTCAGCCGCCTCCCACCAGCCCTGCTCCCTATAGGTCGACGCTAGGTTGGCCATACTGGTCAACGTGAAGGGGTGGTCCACGCCGAGTATCGTCTTGCTCATCTCCATCACCTGCACCTGGAGCTGCTCAGCCTCCTCCCACCGGCCTTGATTCCAATAGGTCGCTGCTAGGTTGGTCATAATAGTCAGCGTATGGGCATGATCTTTGCCAAGCTTCGTCTTGCTCGTCTTCATCGCCTGCACCTCGAGCTGCTCGGCCTCTTCCCACCGGCCCTGCTCCCTATAGGTCGACGCGAGATTGGCCATACTCGTCAGCGTGTCGGGATAGTCCACGCCAAGCTTCGTCTTGGTCATCTCCATCACCTGCACCTGGATCTGCTCAGCCTCTTCCCACCTGCCCTGGTCCCTATAGGTCGACGCGAGATCGGACATACTCGTCAGCGTGTCGGGATGGTCCGCGCCGAGCTTTCTCTTGCGAGTATTCATCACCTGCGCCTGGAGCTGCTCGGCCTCCTCCCACCGGCCCTGGTTCCTATAGGTCGACGCGAGACTAGCCATACTCATCAGCGTGGAGGGGTGGTCCGCGCCGAGCTTCGTCTTGCTCGTCTTCATCACCTGCACCTCGAGCTTCTCGGCCTCCTCCCAGTGCCCTTGAAGCGACCATGCTCTCGCTAGCATCGTAGTGCTATCGAGGGCCTCTTCATGTTCTTCACCTAATAGTATTACCCTCTGCTTCCTTGATTTTAATGCCATATCCTTCCCATCCGCGAGGATACCGCTCCACAATGCATACCATGCACTATTATAAAGTAGCGTAGCCCAATTCCGTAGAGATTCCTGTGATTTGGGCCGCTCCGAAATCGCTGCTTTAACATGAGGAAAGAGCAATCGGCATATTTCCCAGTTTTCATATTCACCGGTCGGAAACTTGTAGGAAAGGTTACTGATGAACCTCTCTTTCCATCGCTCCGTTTGACCATGACTCTTCAGCCACATACGTGTAGTTAGTTGTACTAACCTATGCATCGTAAAGAAAACACCGTTTTTGCTAACAGAGATAAATGAAAAATCCCTCAGCGTTGTAATATCATCTTCAAAATCGTCGAATGTGTCGGATTCAGATACCTCCCCGTCATCACTAGAATCATCTAAAAGCTCCGACCTTGACATATGGTTATTCTCAGGTTGAACTCGGAGAAGTCCCGCTGGGATCCCTTGCCGATCGAAAAAGCTCATGAGAGAAAGCAAATCCACAGCCGACGGCTTTCTTTGGCGAATATGATCGAATGATATTTGCCACGTCACCAAAATCGAGTTCTTTGCCTCCCAATCCCGGTAGAGGTCACCCGCCTCAGTTTTCAGAAGCTTTGTTGCTTCGCGGTCACTGTTTTGGAAGTCTCTTAGATACTGCGATACCGAACAACGAGGCGCCCTGTTCCTAATATAGCTTGCTGCCTGTACGATCGCTAGTGGTATAAGCTCGAGCTCTTCCACTAATTGTCGACTTTCTTGGCTGTCCCCTGGTTGTTCAAGCTTTCTTTGGAGAAGCTCTAGCGCCTCGGACCTTTCCATCGGTTTAACTTCAATAAGGTCCTTGTAATCGACCATTTTCAATGCAACCTCTCGAGTCCGACTCGTGATAATGACAAATCCATTCAAGCTTCTTGGGAGGTATTCCAATAGTGGCTTTGTGGAGGCGTTCAGTAGACTGTTCTTTGGGTCTCCCGGGCCTGTCGCCGGAGACTTGCGAAGGAACTCATCATCATCGACATTATCAAGGATAAGAACCCAACTTCCTCTCTTCTCATCCCGGAGCCAGTTTTCGACCAGTTTGAATATATTAGCGTGTGGATCGTGGCGCCCCGGGATCTTAACCTGGTCGGCTATATCTCGGAAACTTTGCTCAAATCTGGTTGCGTTACTCGCATGGACCCAGAAAACCCATGTTGCCGGTGCCTGAGATCGGACTAGGTAGGAGTATTCGATGGCCAGTTGTGATTTTCTTTTTGTTATTAGCACTGGATCGCGTACTGGTTGCTCTACACTAACCCGACACCGCCAAGGCCAACAAGCGCAATCCTCGACCCAAGGACTAGGCTTTTGTCGCGAATCTGATTGAGCAGTGAGTCGCGACTGACAAAGTCTGGATCGCGTGCGAATGGGACAGTTGACAAAGGACTGGGCGGGGTTTCCGACCGCTCTAGGATGGGAAGCCGTGGTTAGTCAGTCGATTCTGACCCTTGTTCGGTTCCGTTCCAGACTTACCCGGAGGCAGGTGGAAGTCTGCCGTGAATGTGCCATAATTGATTCCCACCTGGGCTCCATAGTTGACACCAGAGTGGCTTGTCGACGCCATGATCGTACAAGCGTGCCTGTTTGTAGTTCGTTACAAGCTCTAGCTCTCAGCTGAAGGAGGGGCACGTCATCAGGTGACTCGGCTCCGAGGCGCTAAGACAGGAAATCGGTTAGGAGGCCACCCACATCGAGCAGTGTGTTGGTCTTGTGGGGTAGGATTAGCACCCTGGAACCAGATCGACCCGAGCCAGAACACTCAGATCAAGCGCAGCACGCGATAATCAGGCTTCGGTGGGTTGGCCGAAGGTGGCTCGACAGAGAGCAAAGGAACAGAGCGCGGATTTGCGAGATTTCTATTTACACTACCTGTCGGATTTTCAGTCATATCACTTGGTCTATTGGATGAGTCTGGATGTGATAAACGAATTGGATTCAGACGCACAGGCTGGTCTCTGTCAGACACGGCGCCATTGCAGGTAGCCAACTTCTACCGCGACTAGCGGTACCGGATACTTGCCCCCAGATGGAATTGTGCTCTCTCGTATCTTTCAGGGCTTCACGGATGCTGCTGTCTTCGAGGACTTCACTGGTCAGCTTCTTCGGCATTGTGGAAGACAGCCTGAGCCGAAGTCTGTTCTGGTTATGGACAACGCCATCGTTCTGATCGTATCGAGGAAATGTGTACTGAAGCAGGAGTAAAGCTAGTGTATCTGCCACCTTACTCGCCCGACTTGAATCCGATCGAGGAATTCTCAGAATTGAAAGCATCCATTAGACGGAACTGGGCGCGGTATGAAGAAGACCCAGAAAACGGCTTTCAGGCTTTCCTCGAATGGTGTATTGAGGTTGGGTCTTGAAAACAGAGTGCTTTAGGTCACTTCCGACATGCTGGCATGGTCATTGGGACTCACGACTAGTTGATAGGGTTGAAGCGTTAGGCGTTCGGTCTTACATTGACACAATATAAATACATCAATAGTTACCAAAATGAAACGATTCTCTGCTGGCTCTACTTTTATGTAGCCACGACTGTGGCTTAATCATTTACTGAAGGAGTTGTATCAAACACAGGTGATTCATAATCTCAATCTAGAGTCTATACTAAAGCTTGCTTACGCCTTCCTACATGTTCAAACTGCAGCCTTCGTAGCTTGATCGACGGGCAAGACACTCACACACTTAACCCATTTTCCAATATCTCTCACAAATTGGCGTGCGATACTACCATAGGGGACAGAGTAACCATAGTGGCATAGCGTGTTTCAAAAGAGGGTTCGAGAAAGAATCTTTGTGAGTAAATGGTGAAACTGATTTGGATCCATCCTGTATGCGGATCTTGCCGTCGAATGTTGCCTTGCCATATCATCACACTCGGCAATGACCTAGGTACATGTGCCATTTCGCCACCGCCAAGACGAACGAAGTCATCAAATTTCACGTAGAACTTCCACATGCTTTTCACCTAGCTCATGATATTGCATAATACTTGAAAGTTCAGCAGTGCCCTGTTGATTATGCGAAGGGGCTTCGTATACATCGGTTGCGAGCGCTTCATTCTGGGGCTCAGGATGCCAAGGCATGCTAGTACTGCTAGCGCTGATTTAATCTTCTGTCTCCCCACTGTAGGGGACGCGACGATCGGCACGATAGCTGGGGAAATTGCCGAAGAAAGAAGGGCGGAGGCGTAAAGTTAGAATTATACACCTCGGTCTCTGTCGTGCTGGTATTATTTGTTTAAAGTTTGTATAAACTTAGTGCTATCCTGTCTTTCTGACACTTGATCCAGATCTTCGGTAACACCCCTTCCGTTCAACTCCCACGCGATGAATGACTGGTCAGACAAACTTTATCTTCAGTGCCAGCCTGGCAATCTTATTACAACTTAAACAACTCTTGTGATTTCTACTTTACATTGAATTGGACAGATTCAATAAATCTATTAAGCCCCTGAAATCCTACCAGGTTAGAAGCATCAGGCTTTCAAATCCCAGCTGGGGAAGAGATGAGAGTAATATTTCGTCATCATGATTTTTCAGTTGAGGCTCACCTAACAGTAATATTCAAGTAGAGAGCTCCCATAAATAGGTTTTCTACCTAGTGCTATGATCTAGTTGCGATCTGGCTAAATGCTTTTGCTGCAGTCAAATGACCGGGGTAATTTCCTGTGCGGGGTAAATATGGGGTTGATTGGCTAAAGTCTAAAGCCCGAGACGTCCAACGTTCGTAATTTCCTCTTGGCAACCTATAATACCGGCAATTGCCATGAGAGCTGTTACCGTGCAGTGGCTTTTAGGGAGCTAGACCCATGACTCTGCTTATGCTAATATTTCAATATATATGGCTTCTAACCTCCTGCTGGGCTTTCGTTTCGTGACACTACACTCACCTTATTGACTCTTATGAGCCCCTGAATCATGGCCGCTGTGGAAAGCAAGCCACATTTTGTCGAAGGCGAAGGAGCCCAGGAGCTCCTGGAAATCGAAAACACACGCCAAAATATTATCCCAACTTCTGGTAAAGAAGACCGCGATGGAGCAATGCCTGCGGTTTATAGCAATGACGACTCCCCAGAGAAGATCTCTGCATCTACGCTCATGGCTGTGTTTGTTAGTACCGCTCGCAGTGATGGCCCCGTCATTGCAACGACTATGGCCCAATATTTCTGACCTTTCTCTTCCGCTTACAGTTCATGGGCATCTCTTATGTGGCTGCAATCTCTAGTGGACTTGTCATGCCTGCCGGTATTGTTGCTCAAATCGGTACGGCGCTCGGTGATATGGAAAACATAGGGTGGATTCCCGGTGGCTGGGGCATTGCTTCAGCCATGTCGTTTTCCGTAGCAGGCCGACTAAGTGACATTTTTGGACGCCGATATGTGTTGATATCGGGACAGGTTTTCACATTGATTGGCACGGTAAGACTCCGTAATCAAGCTCTCGTTCTCCGATTCATGGGATTAATAAAATTTCTCGCTCTATTCCCAGATCATCGGTGGAACCGCCCAAAAGACTACAATTGTTGCGGCCGGCTCTACCGTTACTGGCTTTGGTGCTGGCATAATATTTGTTTCCTACCCAGGCATCTCCGAGTTACTGCCCAATAAATACCGGTAAGTTGCCACCTTCACTCTCCCCCTGTAATAAGCCTCAGAAAGATAACGGGAATCCAGTGGCATGGGAATTGCGTGGACAGAATTTTGCCTCAATCTCCCTTGGGCCGGATTTGGCGTACTCATCGCTCAATTATTTGTTATCCATGCAACCTGGCGCTGGGTCTACTATATCGGCATCATTTACGCGACCATTTCTATTATAGGAACTGCCATCTTTTACTTTCCCCCCTCACGGCCCCGCAATGACTGGGAAAAATCGCGATGGCAGGAGTTGAAAGAGCTCGACTTTGTCGGCCTCGGTCTTTTCTCTGCTGGGATTACTCTTTTCCTGGTTGGGATTACATATTTGGGGAAGTCCTCATACTCTGTTCCTCTTGTGGCCTCAACAACCGCGATTGGTGGCCTTCTCTTGGTAGGCTGCCTTGTCTACGACTTTACTGTTGCAAAAGACCCTATCTTCCCATATCGTCTTTTCAAAATGTTTCGCGAATTCACTGTACACCTCGTTATCCTCTTCATTGCCGGCATGATTTGGCAGGCTATAACAACGCTCGGGCCCCAAGGGACGTTGTACATGTTCACGAATGATCCTCTTCAAATCGGATATCTCCAAATTCCTAACAACATATCGGGGTTGTTAGGAGGTTGGATCATGCCTTCGTTGGTCCATAAGATCAAGCATGTCCGCGAACAGATCCTTTTCGCTCTCCTTATGCAGACGGTTTTCACTGCTTGTTACGCAGCAGTGGTGCCAAACCACAAGACTGCCTGGTCTATCATGCAGCTTTTCGGCCAGTGCTGTTTTACTTGGGTTACGCTGCTGGCATACGTATCATCAGGGCTCTTTGTTCCGCACGAAGATCTGGGTGTTTCTGCTGGTCTGATCGGCACCTTTCGAAGCGCTGGCAACAGCGTTGGCAACGCTATTTTTGGCACAATCCTGACGTCGATTGTCAAGACGCAGATGCCTAAGCGTGTTGCGGAAGCTGCTATACAGAACGGATTTCCTCCTAATCAGCTCTCCGCACTTATTCCTGCTGTCGTGGAGAACGCGGTTGGCGTCCCCGACGTCTTTGCCAAGATCCCGCGGGCCACGCCGCAGGTAATTGCTGCCGCTTCACAGGCCTTCAAGGAGGCTTATGCCTACGCATTCCAACGAGTGTTCTACGCCACTATTCCATTTGGTGTTATTGCATTGGTGCTGGCGTGGTTTGTCAAAGACCCGAGCCCCTTGCTAAACAGCCACGTGGCCGTACATCAGGAGAGGGAGGTCCTTTCTGGAAAGCGAGCAGAGAAGCCTGGCAAGTCTATCGATGAAGGCGGCCCTCCAGCATGAGGAACCAGAGATGCCAACGTGATTTTGATCGAAGCTAAGAAATGTAATGTGGAAGCCCTGCCAGATAAGAAAGAAAAATATCAGGGTGACTATATCACATGCACAATCCATACTTGAAGCTATTTTATATTGTTTATCTCGTTTCACTGCCTTATTGTTCTAGCTGCATAACTATATGCACGGTCGTATTGGTTAACGTAATCGATAAGTGAGCTGCGCACTAGCCACTACCCGACTACTTTACAGCGATTCTACCGAATCTCTCCACGTAGGCCACGCCGTAACTCCTCAAGAATATTAAAATAATTGATCAACACTGCGTCCTAAGATCATCCTGACTCACAATATCATATACTGTAATACATTAAACCTCCCGAGTACATAATATAAAAAAATCACCCTGCATCAGGGCATTGGGGTGTTAAGGGCCTTTTCCGGGGTATGTTGTCAAAATCACAAAATAGAAGAAGTCTTACATCCTAGGGATAATCCAACTATCCATTCTATAGTACAAGGCCCACAGTAAGCGAAATGAATGCACAATATCAAAAATGTCAAAAATCAAAAGCAGTCTAGTGTGGGACTTTAGTGACCTGGCACTATAGAGTCTGTGAATCTGTGCTTGCTTATCTCCCATTCCCCCGACACAAACGAGCAGGACCCGCAAAGTGTCACGAGAACCCATGTAAAGGGCACCCTGGCAAGGAAGCTCTGGGGTTTCAAAGGCTCGAATAGCATTGGTAGAGGCTTGGGATCCCTGTCGAAAACCACCGTCGGCTCGTCGTTCATGAACAAAATTCCCACGGCACTCTCTTCGGTGAAATTCGTAAATCGACTTTGAATGGAGGGAAAGTGCCTGTGGACGACTCAAGGACGCCGAGGCTCCAATATTTTTCGAGAGGAAACACAGACTAGCACGGGAGTCCAAAATCTCCCCGAGGGTCAAACGTGAAGGGTTGGGAGGAGGTACAGTAAACGAAGGCTCCCCTCTGTACGCTAGTGAGCCATAGACACCCAATTTGATGGCAACAGACAGCCCTCCTCCCTGCAGGTGTTGTTGAAAAAGAGGACAAATTCCTTGTCGGAGCTTGTCGCTTACTTCTGGACGTACGTGGCCAGAGAAAATAGGCTTTGGTTTGGAACCGGTGAACTGTCAGACGATTGTTACTGTCTGACGCCAGACAAATATTGAGAACTAGGAGGTCCTCATGTCTGGCATTTCATCATAATCGCCTTCGTAGTTATGGGTGCAGCGGTTCCCGGGTGCTGTCGAAGCCAGCCAGAGGGATGAGTTGGGGCTGGGTGGCTGGTTGCAGCCGTGCTGTATATAATTAGCACGTGCGGAGTAAATTCAAACAGTGGTCTAACCGGCAGCAGCGGGAATATTGTCGATAAAAAGGCCGGAGCGAGGGCCGAGTATGTCTGGTATTGGAATCCTCCATATAGGTCGAGCTTATAGCCTAATTAGAACTGAAGGAACAGCCGCGAACACGTGGAGATGTTATCTTTGCTATTTCACCCAACTAGAAAGCAGTCAGTATAAGGTCCGGGGTGGTGTGTTTTAGCGCTGACATACGCAGGAAGAACCATTTGCGAGTGTCCAGGGATATAGATAGAGAAGGACAGCCAGCCATGTGATATATTTGAAATATATGTCGAGAATAGTTTGGATGGCGTGGGCGGAAGAAAAAACTGCAGCGTTGGGGAAGGGAGAATGGAAAGGGAGAAAGAAGGAGGTAGCGCATCTATATAGGTTGATTGGCAAACAAGGACGTATCTGCCCGACCAGGCAGACAGAAAACAAACAAGCAGATACGAAGCTGTGTGGGAGAGCAAATTAGATTTTTATTAACTGGTAAAGACGTAAAGAAGATAAACATTTTGAGATCCCATTCCCACCTTAAAGATTGACACTTATCACCTTTAATCGTCGTCAATTTGCTTGTAGACCTCAAGTATATCCACATGTGCCACCGCCGCATCATCCCCGTCAAAGATCTTGGCCAGTTCTTCCAAGGTGGGGCCTCTTGTTTCGACGTAAAAAAAGTAGACGAAGAGGAGTTCCATGAAGATCCAAACCTAGTACAACGACGGCAATTAGCACGGTACACGAAACGGGTGATTGTTTTGAAAGAAGTACGTACTGTGTAAATCAAAGATATATTCCAGTGATGAGGCAGTCGGTTCCAGGCAATAGCGTTTGTATAACTGCAATGTATTAGCCGATGCTGTATACAAACAGAACTAATGTATACGTACTTTCCCAAAACCAGGGAGGCCTGGACCGTCAAGTTCATGATCATAAGCCCTTTAGCTCGCAGGCGGTATGGGAGGATCTCAAGCGCGTATGCAACGAGAAGACCAGACCAGGCGATGGCGTAGAAAACGGAAAACAACCAGACAAAGACAACTTGGGGGTACCCTGCTGATTTGATGTCATGGGTCTTTTCATAAAAGGCGGAGACAATTGTCCATGAAAGAAACATCAGGACCATGCCTAGAGCAAGAACTGTTAGAAACTAACGTGGCACCAATAACAATCGATATAGTCACCTGTTGTAGATATGAGGAAGAGTGGTCTTCTGCCGATACGATCCACAAAGAATGCGCTCGACACACTGACAACCAAGCTCAGAAGGGTATTTCCACCATTAAGCTAGCAATAAAGAAGGTTAGAAGACCATACAAAAAATCCGGAAAGACAGCAAGACGAACCGGAATCTTTTTTGACTGTTCAGTAATGCCCATACTATCATAGATGAGGCTCGTATAGTTGGTGAACAGTGCATTGCCACTATACTGCGAGATGATGCCTAGGGAGACGAGAAGGGCAAGACGATATCGATTTCCCCGAGTCTTCATGAAGTCGAGGTAGCTGCTGTCCTTCTGTAGCTGCATCTCCAGACGGATAGTCTCCTTAATCTCACGATACTCAAATCGAACAGTCGTGTTGTTCGGGTCGCCGTTCGCGTGGTAATAGGTAAGAATATCCAAGGCTTCGTCGTAGCGCTCCTTGGATACCAGCCAACGAGGCGACTCTGGGACCCCTAGAAGTAGTCAGGCAAATGTAAAAGGTAGTATAGACAAACTGGGCATAATACTTACACCAAATAAAGATAATCTGGATAACAGCTGGGAAGACCTGAAGAAGAGTCAAGCTTCTCCACGACCAGTCGTTCTTGATATACATAGTGCCCCAGGCCATCCACGCGACAACTGCTTCAGCATTAGGATAGTTTATTTGTTCACTGGATTTGACTTACCCAGCGCTCCCAGGTTCCACAGGCAGTTATAAATGGTGGTGACCTTTCCACGGTGTTGCGGGTGGCAGATCTCGATTAGCAGAACAGGCGATGACATCTGGGCCAGACTGTTGCCGAAACCGAGGAGCAATCGGCCAACAACATACACTAGTCTAATAGTAAGTAAATATTCAAATGAGTCCAAGTAAAGATGAACTTACTCGGATAGTCCTTGCAGAATGCACCAAGTAAACCCCCCAGGATCATGAGAACGCAGCCGATGATAATAGGAACTTTCCGGCCCCATAAATCAGCAATGAAGGGGCTAATTGATCATTAGTATTTTCAAAATCCTCTAAAATTATTTATTGTAACAACTCACACAATTGGGAAGCTGGCCAAACTGCCAATCTGATAGATGGCATTCATTAGCCCTAACTTGGAGCCAACTGGGGTTCCAAAGTAGGTCTGCCACGCGTCCAAATTTTGAGATGTGTTCAGCATCATTCTAATAGAGGTCATTAGTAGGGCTATATAGCACGTGTGTGTGTGTTTTAGGGACTAACCCATCGTAACCAGTCGTGGCAGACGCAACACAGAGAATAGAAGCCCAGAAATAGAGCCTTCGCAGACCAGGCTCCCTCCACCACTGTACCTCTTCTAATTCCGGACTTTCAGCCTGGGCCACCTCCACCTCTGGCTTGAGGCCCGGTCCTCTTAGTCTAGTAGGCATTATGTCCTAGACCTCTGTCTGGGGTTGGCACAATAAGTTAGTTCAGGCAAGGTGTCGCGTGCGAAGTATCAGAGAATGAGCGAACATCACTGTTCACACGGAAGCGGATGACGCAGACCAGCCTTGCGGGGAGGGCCTTGCGGCATATAAGACAATTGGATTTGTTATGCCGCATTCTTTTGAGGGATGGATTTGCCGGTGAACCGAGGACGATCGTTTGTGGTGGCTGTCCTAGTCGAAAGCTTCCCCAGTTTTTGCCACAAAAGGGAACTCTAGAATTCTCGCATCCATGCAAGGCCGAAGGCTACCAGGATAAATTCGAACCGGTGGATGAGCTAACGCCTGAATAGGGCCCTGTTAAACGAGCCTTGCCCTACATCCCCCTGGTCGCCTACAAAGTTGACAAGGGTGCAAGGCCCGCGCTTCGCTTATTCTCATTATGTTTCAAGATTCTTCGGCTTATTATTGGTTATGCAAGCCATCTATAATGCTGGCGCATGTCCCTGCACCGTCATCATTCGCTTGTCTTGTGGAGATTGAGAATAATACAAGTGGCCGTTGTGTCGCTCCACAACGAATCCTGGTCGGTCCCACGAGCAGAGGCCCACCAGGCGGCGATCAAAGCGATCATCTAGAAAGAAGAGAAGGTGATACCCGTTTCACTCTGGGATCATCACGGGATTAAATCTGTCATTCGCTCGTGTTGGATATTTCCTTGGATCTCGTTGGCCATTTCATTGTTTTCTGGGGTAGAATCGAAGTTTAGCAACGAGGCTCCGTGACGAGATAAGTAAAGTAACGCGGGCTCAGCTGCGCAGAATGCGGTCGCGAAACAGAAATGGCAAGACGCCAAGCAGCTAACACGGGGGCTTGTTCATTTCCGACATAGTGTGATTTGGTGTTGGTCTCGATAGGTGGGCAGCCCCTGTGGCTGTCAAGGTTAATGAAGTGGAAATTAGCCGGAATGGTGCCTGGACCACGCGCTCGTTCGCCTGGTGAATTTGGAAGAGAGACACAACACAGGCTATTGTGCTGACGGCGTTTGATGGGGGCGATGATCCCGTATTCTCAACCGGCCCCCGCCTCGTACAATCCATTGTACATTTAGACGGCCCCAAGGAGAACCCAAGGGAAAGCACTTCAATTATAATGAATCGAATCCCCGAGTAGCATGTACGTGATATCCTTACTCCTCATAGCAAGAAGGAAAGACAACTCTCCGGAACGTTCGGTAAACACTGCTGCCATATAATAATACGAAAGCACGCCGCTACAACAGTCTTCGACTCCGCCGAGTGGCTATTTGCCAGACCCCGGCACGGATAGAGGGAAAACGATCTTCGCTCAGCCCTGGTGGGCTTTCAGTTCGGCAAATGGGTTAATTACACCTCTAGTCAAACTTTCTCTAGTGCTCTTTCTACATTCGACTTAGGCTCCGTGGCAAGAATAGTTCTCGTTCGCGATTTTTGCCTCGCTGAGCTTTAGAAATTGTCGTTCAATACCAAGTAATCGGGTATGCTATTCGTTGAACAAGTGAAAAGAGAGAACCATTGTGCTACAGAGCGTTGGTGCTAGCACAGGGATGACCATAGTCGACAAGGTCACCAATTAAGGCTCATGAACTGTTTTAGGATGTCTCTAACACTCCGAACCGAACAGAGACTCGGACGTGCGCATCACCTGAAAGTGATCCTCGCCTTCACGCGGCTCCATCTCCCGTTTCTCCAGCTTGACCACCTGAGCCATGCGGGGACCCTTGTTGATCTGCTGGAGGAACTTCTGCACGGTCTCATCACTCCCCTGGGCCTCGCCCTCAACCTGCAACCATTGGTCAGTCCGGTCGCGAAGACAGTCTTGCACCCAGGGAAGAGGGCTACGCACTCTTCCGCATGTGGTATTTCTCACATAGCCGTGCAAACCAAGACTATTAGCAGATTTCTGAACGAAGTCGCTGCGACGGTCAATATCGACATTGATGATGTCATCGGTTGATGATCTGGGGATTGTTCCCTACCGGAATCCGACACCTGTAGGAAATGTCAGTAAGAGAGAAGTTAATTCTATTTTCAGACCGGTATAGTATTGACCAAGCTAGTTGGTTGTGTATAGGGATGAGGGACAGTACCTTGCACGGTGCCGTGGACCTTGAAAGCAGTCTGCGGTCGAGTGTCAGCCTTCCGGGGATCTGGATATGGCTTAAATGACTGCTGTGGATGGGGGAGTTATCAGTAGTAAACTCTGGAGGATACTGACACGTTTGGTTGCCATGATGGATAGGAGTGAGGGAGAAAAGGCGAGGGAGTTGATGACGAGTGGCGCTTCACCGCGTCGGAGATTTATACGGACGGTTGTTTACAAAAGTTTGAATCACGACGACAGTCAACCTCGCCTACAAAAAGGTAGTTATAGCATCGAATATTTGTCAAATTTATCCTATCTCTGTGAACACTTTTTATTTGGAACAAAATCAGGGCGGTGATTGGTAATTCGCTTCCCAGGGTCTGACGGTCATATCGTCCGAGGCCGATGCTATTAGTTTGCCATCTGGAGAGAATGCCACTGCTCGGATCGGGCTACGATGGCCCTCTCTATTACCTTGTGAGTGAGACCAATGGTCGCATCCCACAGTCTGTTAGTCATATCGTTAGAGACAGACACCGCCAGTCGCCCATCTGGGAAGGGTCTTGCGTCCCAAACCCGACCGGTGTGGCCTTCCAGCGTTCTGAGTAGGCTGAGATGCATATTTAGGGTCGCAAGTATTAAAATAGGGTATAGAAAATAGTGAACTTAGGATGATGCTTGACTGGGGTTTTCGGCGGGAAGGAGGTTGGTTGATGAGAAAATGGGGGCCGCTGGTTGGAGGAAACAATTGATTGCAAACAAAGGGATGGGACAAATAGATATAATACACTAAAAACAAAACGAAAAAGAAAAAGATAGAAGACAGAAAATAGCAAGGTCGAAATCTAAAGCCCTATACAGTTTCATTAGTTGTACTGTGAGAGGTTCGTCAGTTGACAACCCCCCTGAGAAACAACCGCGGTTCTCCCAGCTTCCTTTCTTCCACTTTCCACTCCCTCCTCCCTCCCCCGCCAGCCATGCCACTGCGCGTCTAATAGAAGATGCCCTCCCTCGTTTCCTGGCTGCGGCGGCTCTACTCGCTCGACACCCTTGACACTCGCTTTACTTCCTCCGCCTCTGCGTCTGCCCAGACCGCCGCCGACACGCGACCTCCCGCCGCCAAAGATGCCCGCGCCAACGCCATCGCCCAGGGCGCACGCGCGCCTCTTTGGCGCACCCCCGAGTTTTTCGTCTACTACCTCTTCTTCATCACACTGGTTCCATTGATGTTCAAGACGGTCGTGGATGCTTCGAAGGGTGGGTGTTTGTCACAACGGAGATGGTTGCAATGGGATGCTGATCCAATGCCTCTACAGAGAACAACCCGGTCTATGCCAAGTACTCGCATTTGTTGTCTCCAGGCTGGGTTCCTGGTCGTTTGATGGTGAGTGGTAGCATGGCCCCAAAGTCTGCCAACTGAGCTTCGGCTGACTTGCGCTGCTTCCCACGACTAGGACAACTCCGACGCCCAATATGCGAGCTTTCACAACAACATTCCCTACCTTGTGGCGCTCCTCGTTGCGCACCCGCTTCTCCGTCGTTGTTATAATCTGCTTTCGAATCGTTCAACGCAATCCTCAACTTCCTCAGCGGCTGCCGCCGGTGATGCTCAGCTCGAACAGCGCATGCGATTCGATTTTGGATTTGGGTTGGTGTTTTTGGCAGCCATTCATGGGCTATCTGCTCTCAAGATCCTTTTTATCTTCAACATTAATTACCGAATTGCCAAAAACCTCCCTCGGTCTTACGTCCCCGCTGCCACATGGGTTTTCAACATCTGCACCTTATTTGCCAACGAGCTATGCCATGGATACCCTCTGGAGCCGATTGCGATGGCGCTATCTCCTGGTAGCGGAACACCAGGAGATAAAGGCACGCTGTTGGTGCAGTGGGCTCGAACACTGGATGGGTTTGGAGGGTTAATGCCGCGATGGGAGGTCCTCTTCAAAGTTACCCTCCTGCGCCTGATCAGTTTCAATATGGACTACTACTGGAGTCTCAACTACCCATCGGCAAGTCCAATTGAAGTAAGTCGTCCACCTTCCCTGTTTTTCCACCCAACTGACCGGGCTCTCCAAGAAGAAACAACTCGACCCTGCGGCTCTATCCGAAAGAGATCGCGTCAGGATCCCGGCAGAACCGGCTGCTTTCAACATGCGCAACTACATTGCGTATCTACTCTACTCTCCCTTATATCTTGCCGGTCCCATTGTCACATTCAACGACTACGTCTCGCAGCAGCGATATACACCACCATCGCTCAGTCGCACCCGCACCATCCTCTACGGCATCCGATTCTTCCTCACCCTGCTCTGCATGGAACTTATCCTACACTACATCTACGCAGTTGCAATCTCCAAATCCTCCCCGGACTGGTCGATCTTCAGCCCGGGCCAACTCAGCATGCTCGCCTTCTTCAACCTCCATATCATATGGCTGAAGCTCCTCATCCCCTGGCGATTCTTCCGTCTATGGGCTCTTGTCGATGGCATCGATCCCCCAGAAAACATGGTCCGCTGCATGTCCAACAACTACTCCGCCTTCGCCTTTTGGCGCGGCTGGCACCGTTCCTTCAACCGCTGGATCGTGCGATACATCTACGTCCCACTGGGAGGTGGCGGTGGTGGCCAGCGTCCTGTTAACGGCAAACCCACCGCCTCTCCTCCGTCAACCGGACTCGGCGCAAAGTTGCAGAAAATCTGTAACTTCCTCCTCGTTTTCACCTTCGTTGCGCTCTGGCACGACATCAATCTCCGCCTGCTAATGTGGGGTTGGCTGGTCACGCTGTTCGTCTTGCCAGAAGTGCTGGCTACGATGGCGTTCCCGGCTAAGCGTTGGAGCTCCCGACCGACGGCGTATCGGGTGCTCTGTGGTGTTGGAAGTGTGGGCAATATCCTCATGATGATGGTTGCGAATTTGGTTGGCTTTGCGCTTGGTCTGGACGGGCTGAACGACTTGCTTGCTAGTCTGACGGGCTCTTACATGGGACTGGCGTACATGGTCTCGTGTTGTGTGGTGCTCTTTGTCGGAGTGCAGGTGATGTTCGAGATCCGGGAGGGCGAGTTGCGCGCGGGCATCAACTTGAAGTGTTGATCAGCTGTGTATTGTCGTTCTTGGAGGCTGAACTGCTCTCAGCTGCGCCCTACGTATTTGCAATGAATATAGTATAAATGCAAGTTCTTGTTTTGCCATAGATGCCAATTGAGGGCAGTACCGAGTAAGGTAGTATAGTACATGATGTTCATAAGTCATTAAACAGGCTCTCTCATATCACTCAAAAAGCCCTGCCAGCAGAGGCTTGTCCTGCACTGATTCCCCAAACCACTTCTCCCTTTTATGAAGCTCAGAAAAACGCCCCACACCTCGAATCCTCATGCACCTTATAACATTCCAGCCCACAAGTTCGCAAATAGCAACTCTTGCACCGGATCTTACCCCAATACCCACACATGCAACAGAAATGCCTCGGCGGCGCTGACAACGAAGGCGGCCCTGCCCGCGACGCGTTATATGACAGAGGCGGTTCGGCAAGGAGGCGCTGCATGATTCGTTCTGAGGGCGCGGTGGGCGCATATGAGCGAAGAAGGGGATCATTGTCGTATTCGGTCTTGAGGAGCTTGGGTTTGCGCGCGGATTCGTCATCGTCGGCTTCTTCTGCCTCTGCTGTCTCGGGTATTGAGGGCGCGGGTGTTGCAGATGCTGAGGTTGTTGCTCCTGCTGCTAAAGGACGTTTCCGTTGTGCAGCATTGCTGCTCTTGCTCCCCTTGGAGGCTATCCCGCTCTTCGCTTGCGCCGCTCCGCCGCTCATTCCAGCCACACCCGTACCCGGCGCTGCACCTCCTCCCCCTCCTCCCGATGCACCCGCCGCACCCAATGAAATAGCAGCCTCCTCATCATCAAGGTGATTCCGAAACGTCTTCTGCGACTGCAAGATGCGGCGCACATTCGAGGTTGTCTTCGCGCGCGTCCCGCGCGCACCCGCCTCCTTAGCCTGCTTGACGGGAACGGGGATCTGCACGTCGCGCTGGTTCTCGCGGTCCAGCTCGGCGAGGTGTCGCACGATCGCTGTGTTCTGGCGCGACGTCATGTCGCCGCCCTTGCCTGCGTCGCGGATTCCGCGTTTTCGGCCCAGCGTCGGCGCCATCGCTGCTTTGGCGGGGTCGAAGCCTCGGTCTGGCACGTAGGCCCAGCCCGGTTGGGCGGTCGATTTGGTGTCCGTGAGGAGTTCGACGCGGAACATTGTTGCTTGGTTGTTTGTGTCTGAGGGGTGAGTGGAGGGAGTTTGGAAAGTCGGAGTTTAGAGGAGCTGATAAAATGCAGTTTGTCTTGTTTGCACCGCCTGCTGTATGAGCTGCTTATTTTACGAGGATTGGAACGGAGGTCCAAGTAATGAGTTTGTATTTGCACAATATCCCTAAATGCCTCCTGGAGTAAATCCACAGCGCCGAGGTCAGAGACAGCAGTTTCGTGTCCAACGCAGCTTGCTCCGATCTCCCCATCTCATGGCAAAATACATCCAACACCCACACAGCTAACAAAGGATAAAAAACAGACAGCTTTTCATTACTTCTTGTGCAGCCGATCCACCTTATCCTCAAGTTCTTTGATATACGACTGCAGCTTAAGTGTAGCCGACTGAAGCGCCTATATGTCCATATAGCCTCCCCCAAAACATGAGGGGGATATTCTGATCAGCCACCTGTGCACGCAAGAAACACGAAGAGCTGATATGGGAAAGTAGGGAAATACCGTAATATCTTCTGAGAGCATCTCGTTCGCAATCCGGTAGTTACCCAGGATATACCAGTACACCGAGGCGCCGGCGACGACGGCTCCAGTGAGGAAGCCGAAGAGACTGTCGGATGTTTGTAAGCTTTGCTTTAAGAGAACCGGAAGCGCAGGATGCAAATACATGATATTTCATCATTTTAAAAATAGGCATAGGGAAAAAGACAAAGGGAAGAGAAGATCTACTTACCCGCCCCGAAACGCGCCAACGGGTTTCCGCGACGGTAGAGGCGGCGCGTTCCATCGGGCGTGGGAAATGGAGAACGCGCGCGCGGCGAAGTGGCCTCTTCGCGGGGGAGAGAAGGGCGATCTGGTCATGACGACGACACACAAACCCACGTCCGAGGTTGAGTTGTAAGTCAAAGACAATGTATGTGTTTGGGTGGTGGCGAGGCGTGCGGTTGGCAGGTGATGACGAAGGGGTGGCCCGGGCGTCCGCGGAACTCGACTTGGGTATCTATACATAAACAACCACAACAAGGAGGCACCATCGATATGAAAAACAAAGAGGATATATTTGATGGCAAAATAAAACTACATGATTCTGGAAGATATCCTAGATGCCGACAACAAAAATCTATCTATACAGCGGCCGGGCGACAATATTACTTAGTTGGCCATCGTGCTCTCGTTGAATAGGTCCGCCAGGAGGTCGTCGCGGCATACGCCCATGTCCGGACCTTCCAGTCCGTACGTACTCTCGAAGAAATAGATGCTCAATCGGTCAAAGAATGGCCGCAGAATCCGCTCGACGATCTCATCTTTGGCGGTGTCGCGGATCTGGTCTGAGACCAGCCACGGCCGCTTGAGGCCGCGCGAACCGGTCTCAGTGGACTCGCCGGTGTTGGGAACGGTCGGTGAGACGTCACCGCGGGGACCGAGGCCTTGTGACACCTCGTCTGCCAGGGCGACAGGTTCCCAGCGGGAGGGTGGATAGATGGCGTCGATGGTGTCGGTGACAAAGAGCCACTCGAGGAGCTGGAAGTCATCCGGCGCGAGGACGAGGAGCGTGTCGAGCAGTTTAGATGCTTGCAAAAGGGAGTAAGGGTTATAAAGATCTGACTGTGATCCCTGGGGTACGGACGCGATGGCTTCCTGTAGCTCAGCATTGATCAATGGCCAGAAAGGCGCCATGGTGGTTGACGACGTCTTCAACGCGAGGGCACGAAGGACCATGAACACCTCTGCTCGCGTAGCAGACGACGGCGACGAGGAGCTGCTGGCACCCAGAAGATCTTCCAGCTTCTGGAGCAAGCTCGGCAGCTCGCCTACGAAATAGTCGTTATTGGCGGAGAGGATCAGCAACGCAATTCGCCGGAGGTTTAGTTGCGCCTTACGATCGGCCTCTAGCCGGGCTGCAGACGCCCCCACGCCAAACATAATGCCCGCGGCGCTGGGTGGTGGAAGGCGGCCTAGAATTTCAGACATGCGGTCTTTGTCCACGAGAACCCATTGTCGCAAAAGGTCCATCCAGCTGTCCTTGGCCAGATTGACAGAAAATCCGAAAAAGCGAGGATCATTAAATGCGTCGGCGATATCCTTCTTCCACGTCTTTGTGGCAGATGGTGCTTTGGCCATGTGCTGCAACAAGACCATGACATTTCGGTTGAGATTATTAGGAAACAGACGTGACCGAATTAGAGGGCCGATCACATTAGCAGAGACGTTCGAGATAGCAGTGCTAATGCGATCTGAATCGACCAACGTGGTGATAAAAGCCGGCATGGAAAATGCGAGGATGCTCAGCATATCATCTGGTCCAGTATGCGAGACCGAAGTCCGATCATAGTCCAACGACGATCTAGCCAAAAGACCGCCATCCTGGCTGAGACCCAGGGGCTTGCTGGTGAAGACTGCTGTGAGCAGTCGCACCAGTACGTCCTACAGCCAAGTGGTCAGTACACGAACTAAGATCAGTGAAATCGAAACTTACGCCGAGCTCCCTACGCATCCGGCGATCTTCACCAAACGTCGTATTCTCCAACTTCGCTCCCAGAATTGCAGCGAATTCAATCAAGCGAGGAAGAATCTGGCGATGCGGGAAGGGGTTGCTGAGAACATCTCGCAAGAAGGTTGTGCAGTCGCTCCAGATCTCATCGAGAACATCATCGTCCAACGAGCGAGCGTACGCAACCAAAAAGCTAGCGAGCTCAAACTCGGAAAGATTGGAAGTTAGGGAGGACTTGCGGCTCGCATCCAGCGCGGCTGGGTTGGTGCGGGTGTAGATCGCGTTGAAAACGGCAGGAATGGTGATCTTCGGTTGGGATCCGTCAAGTGTGTGAAGAAGGTTAAAGATGAGCGTCGCAGTCTCGGTATCGGACTTGGTCCACATCTCGACGACCGTCTCAAGACACTCAAGAGCCTCTGCAGCAAAGAAATGCTCCAAGATTCGCCGTGCTCGGTTTCTCATCCGCAGTGAGGTATACTGGTAAGACGCAATAGACTCAGTGTCAGGGGAGCCACTTCGATCACCTACTCCCCACTCCCAGATGGCAAAGCAAAGGCGAACGGCATCTTGGAAGCAGAGCAGGACGGTCAGTCGGTCGTTGGCAGCATTAGAGCGACCTTGAGTGCCGTCCGAGTTGAACACCCCAGATACCATGTTACCGAAGAAGCCGGGCGGTTGGTCAGGACTCTTCACGGCTGCAGCATTCGCCTCTTGATGTAGCAGACGCTGGTGGGCGTTCGCAATACAAGTCTCCAGACCAGTGAGCAAAGCGATAGTAACGTGTTCTGAATGGTCCTGCGGCCAGTCTTCTGTCTGCTGAAAGGCAAGCTGAAGTCTCCCATGGGATGTGCGAATCTCCCTGCAGAAGCAAGCTACCAGCATTAACATGACCTGAAATATCGAGCCCGAGTACAAAGGTAGCACCTCGCAAAGTAGCTCGATCCATTTGTCCACGATCTCCCGGGACTTCATCGAACTGATACCTTTCAAAAGGCAATCCAGCAGGCGCTCCGGAGGCTGAGGCATCTGAGGCAGCGACGGGCCTTTGTCTCCCTTATCGCTTGTAAATGATAGGAGAGAGGGACTTGTCAAGCGATCTCGAGAAGCAGCTCTGTGGTGTTTGGGCCGAGGCGGGGGTGGTGGCAAGTAGGCCTGCGCAAACCGCACCTTCAACGCAGCAAGGAGAGCATCAATAATGGCCGCCTGCACAGTAACGCTGCCACCCTCGTCTGCGGCAACCAGCAGGCGATCAACCAGAAGCTCATCGATGCCAGAGTCAGCCAACTCTTCAGATCCGGGGCCAAGGAGAAGCTGTCGCATGAGGTGGAGAGCCTCCGTTTGCAATTTCTCTCCTTCTGGACCCAGATCCGTTGGATCGGGCGCTTGCCGGCTGACTATTCGGAGAGAGATCTCGAAAATAGCGCTGTGAAGAGTTTTTCTTTCGCCGCCATCCTCCGATTTCGACGTTTCCGAACGCTTTTCCACCTGAGCCAACATTTTGGTAAGAATAGTAGCCCACCCATTATGCGAGAGCGCAGACAGTATATTCGATGACGTTCGGAGGAAGTAGTTGCATTCCTTGTAATCGTCTGGGGAAATGGTTTGATTGCTTCCGTCTCCATCATCAGGACCATTGCGCTCAAAAAGCTCCTCAAGTTTCGAAACAACAAGAAGAAGGACCCTAAAGGCGAATCAATTTAGTATTCTGAGAACATTAGGGTACCATAGGACTGATGGACTGACCGGTAGATGGATGATAAGTCCCCGAGCCACCGCTGAACACTCTGGGAGACGTCACTTGGTTCTTGAGACAGGAGATCAAGAACAATAAAAAGTGGGCGTTCAAGCATCGAGCACTGGTAAGAGAACAATGTGCCCCCGACTTCTAACACTTGTTTTGGCGGTTGGTCATGCGAGCTGTTGTGGCTATGGTTCCAAAGCACATAGAACCGTTCAGCTTGTTCTTCCAAAGCGAGATGATACGACCCTGCTGGTGACATGCTGACCATCAAAGATGTGAGAGAAGCCTCAACAAGATGATCAACCCAGGATAGCGAATGCAAGAGCCACAGGCATCGAACAGCTTCAACATGGAACTTCGGGCTCATTGGCGACAGATACTCCCACAGATAGCCGACAAGCGTGGGTATAAGATCAGAAGCGTCTTCGTAGCTGATATAGAAGCCGGGAGTGTGGATAAAGTACAAGCTGGTTATCGCCGAAGCGATTGTGGAGATAGTGGCGAAGGAGGCGGTGGATGGTTTGCTCTTTCCAATATCCATTCGCCCAGATAGCGCCTCATAAAAGCGCCGATCTCGAAGCACGCGAGATTTCGGGATTTTTTGGAGCAAGGTTACCAGGATATTAATTTTCTCGTGAAGGGAGGAGACATCGTCATGGCGTTCCAGCGCCGACACTGCCAGCTCATGTGCTTCGCGAAGGATCATCTCTCCAGTGTGCTTAGAAGCAAACGGCAAAGGAGGAAGATCTAGACTGTTCTTGCTGAGGTCGTAAAAGCGATGGATCCTGTGTAAAATGTCGGAGCCCCGGTTCTTCGAAATGCCATTGCTGGCAACGTTCTTCTCGGAGTTGGTTTTCCTCGAGAATGCTCTATCTGTGAGCAGCCCAGTCAGGCAGTTTAACACACTTGCTAATGCCCCTGACACGGCCTGTCTGTTGGCATGACCCGCGGACTGCATAGATGAGATATGGGTCATCTTGACCAGGACAGACAAAGTGAGCATAGGAACATGGACTTGAATCATGTCTTCTTCTCGAACGTTGAAGTTCTCGAGTATAAATTGAGCCAGATTCAAGTCGTTCACAACTTTTTCGTTGTCACTGTCCACATCACTGGACTGGTAGTCAATCAAGTCCAGCAGCTCGGAGAAAATAACACCACTTTCAACTCCGTCAAAAAAGGCACTGGCACTTCGGAAAACATCTTCGAACTGGCCCCTGGATGCTTCCTTTTCAAAGGCTTGAACGTTCCGCATTGTCGGTAGAAAAACCGCAGGAACAATGTATCCACCAATTTCCCAGCGGTCCATCAGCGACAAAGCAATCCTGAAGGGCTTGGTCCGCTCCGATGGGACGGGAGATGCCTGTTTGATCATATTCAGAAGGCCGGTAACCAAGGGCTGCCGACCTACCCGACTAAAGTATTCAGATTGTGAGAGCTCTTTGCCATCAGAGGGATTCCGAACAGCGTCCGATGACTGCTTCCGGCCATCAAGTGATGGGCGTTCATTCACAGGGTCAGGTCCCAGGAACCAGGCCCAGAGCCGACGGTTGAGGCTCATGTCTCGCCGCGCGACCACGCCCACTCCAGCGATAATCAAGGTTCGAAGATCGTCCCCGGGGATTCTGGATTGCAAGATTGGAGAGTTTAAGGGTAGATGAGTGACAAGTAAATCGAGAAAATTGCGCTGGACCAGGATCTGTTCGTCGGATAGACCAGACGCAAAGCACCGAATGAGCAGGCCGGGCTCCGGCAGAATGACGGCGTCCGCAGCGGCAAGCATTTCGGACGGAAGTTCTTGCTCATCAGTTGTATCAGTTGTACTTCTGCGACGGTTCGCAATACCCAGTCTCGGAAGATAGCGGTTCAAATAGGCCAATACGCCGAGGCGTCGACTGGGGTTCGTTATCGACGCAAGGAACAAACATTGCCAAAAGTACTGCCCAGATGCCCCTGCATCCGCTGTTCGCTGTGTTTCCATGCGGCCACCGACATCCCGAAGCTTGTTGATAATGCGTAGTGTTGGTTCGAACTCATCGCTCGTCTCCTCCTCAAGACCAGGCAGCAGCGCTAGAAGGATAGACTTAAGCGCCGGCCGTATAGCCCACAACTCCAGATCAACGACATATCCCTCCACTAATGACAAAAACAGCGGGCGAACGGTGAGTGACGCAAAGGTCAGTGTGGGCGCAAGGCCGGGGAAATACAATGGCAGGTCTCGCGATAGTCCTTCGAGCTGATTGCGAGTCGGTATGGATCAGTCCGGCTTCTTGTGTTCAATAGCAACAGATATGCGCACCTTAATGAGTCCGAAAATGTACGTGTAGACTTCCAGAGCCTTCTGATGGACGCCCGCGGGCAGCGATGGGTTCATGCATTGGGCCAGACGTTTCGCGACGACCACCTTATGGGGCACGATTGGTTGATCGGGAGGGTGTGTTTGGAGTGCCTGGCATTGTGACAATCAGTGAGAAAAATGTCGGTAACGAGTCCGCATCGATTGGACAACTCACCTTCAGCAGACGACTGAGAAAAGAAATGTAGTCAGCCCATTCTTGCAAAGCGTTGTCGAACAGGGACAGCGCTCGCTCGACACTGGACGCATATCGACGGTAGTTCTTGTCTTTCTTCAAGGATCCTATACCGAGCGGTCAGAGATAGACTCTAGCGACGTAAAGACCCAGGCACCGACCTTGTTCCTTTTTGCGCGTCAAGCTGTCGGAGCTTGCAGGAGAGTCCGACCTCGGAAAGGTACTAGGATCGACGCTCATGCTGCCAGTATTGGAGGTAGGATAGATGACAGACTACCTCCGTCATGCCTAGAACTCTAGCACATTGGAGAGAGCAGTGAGTTAGGGGGTGGTAGTTGGGAAAGGGTGTCAAGTTGGGCGAGGTGTGAAGGGGAAGAAGGAAGGCCACGAATTGTTGTTTGGGAGTTGCCGATCGATCGACGTCAGCCAACTTGCCCACCTCCTTCTCCCCCACATCTTCTTCACACCAACAAACACCCAACGAGCCTCGAACTATGCCAACAAACTGATGGGACCACTACTGCGAGAAGCGCATGTCCCCAGCGCGCACCCGATATGAGCGCGCAGGAACCGTCGCGCCCCCAGAGCGACCACCGGGACGTTGACTCTGCCCATCATCAAGGCCGTAGCGCCAGTCCAGAGGGCGAGCGCCCTCCATTGCCTCCGAGACCGAACACGCTGAGCTTGTTAAATGACGAAGTGTCATCACCCGCGACCTTACAGGCGGAGGCCACAACTGCGGTGTCACGCACGGAAATTGGGACTCGGTCTCCAGACGGCCGAACAAGCGCCTACTCGACCCTGGCAGGGCGTGGGCTTCCCCGGGGTGTGAAGGCGAGAGCAAGCTTAGGTCACCTGGCAAGCCCTCGAGGCAGTGAGGCGGGCGACTCAGCTAGTATTCGAAGCTCGATCCAGAACGGGGATGTCGCGGACTCGGATGCATTGTTCAAGGACTTTGTCGCTACAGCCCCTGGGGGCCACCTGCAGGATACAACCGGCTTGCTTCAGTTCCCTGAATTTTCGGCAGACAATGTGGACGATGATACGTTCCTGGGCGAGTTTGAACCAGTGGGCGAGCTGGACGAGAAAGGCGACAACGAAGGTATGGGCTGTAAAGCCAAATCACTCGGCGGATGCGATGCTGACGTCTTCAGAATTTCTTCTCCGTTGCTGGAAAGCGAAGCTGAAACACTTTCTCATTCTCTCTGCGGCGGGAAAGCCAATCTGGACACGCCATGGCGACGGCGGATTAATTTCATCATATGTCGGGGTGGTCCAAACCATCATTTCGTTCTACGAGGACTCTGAAGATCGTCTACGAAGCTTTACAGCCGGTGACACTCGATTCACCGTCGTCACCAAGGGCCCCCTGCATCTGGTTGCAATCAGCCGCATGATGGAGAGCGAAACCCAGCTCCGGCTGCAGCTTGAGGCTCTGTATATGCAGATCTTATCTACCTTGACCCTCCCTTCGCTCGAACATCTGTTCTCAGTTCGCCCGTCAACTGATCTGAAGCGACCCCTCCAAGGCACCGAGACCCTTCTTTCTACCCTAGCGGACAGTTTTACTCGAGGATCGCCTTCCACGCTACTATCGGCCTTGGAATGCCTAAAAATTCGCAAAACCCACCGTCAAACCATTAATAACGCTCTAATGAAGAACAAGGTCAGCAACCTGTTATACGGCTTGGTTGTGGCCGGCGGACGACTGGTCAGCGTTGTTCGGCCAAGAAAGCACTCGCTCCATCCGGGTGACCTGCAGCTACTTTTCAACATGATATTCGAGGCCGAGGGTGTCAAAGCCGGTGGTGGCGAGAGCTGGATCCCCGTTTGTCTCCCTGGCTTCAACAGCAATGGTTACCTATACATGTACGTCAGCTTTCTCGACCTACGAGGCGATGCCGACAACAACGAAGAAGACCCCACTGTGAAAGGCGAATCTGTCGCCATTGTTTTGATCAGTCCCGACAAAGAAAGCTTCTTTGAAATGCAAGGGATGCGCAATTCTCTTGTAGAGGTAATACTGCATTCATTCCTTTTAGCATTTTGCTTGTTACTGACCTGATCCAAAGCAAATGGAGAAAAACGGCAGCCTCGAGGTCATCAAGGCCGCGATTGACACCGGTCGACCTGCAACCACCGACATCGTACCAGGAACAGTGCTGCATCACTTCCTATATAAATCACGTCGGAATGTGCAGTTCACTATGTCATCGTACGCTCCGGAGTTTTCTTCGATTTCTCGCTGGCGAAGGTTGGTACTCTTCAGCTCAGTCAATTTATATTTTGTGGATCATGAAACTCACTCTGTCTGCAGATTGATGTCCATATACAACAACCTCCACTCAAGCATTCACGCCAAAAACACCCATGTCAAAGTTCATCATTGTGTCTCCCGGTCAGCAAGCTCTTTCGGCTGGGTCACCTCGGAATTCGAGCTCTACTGCGTCGCTGAGCCAGATACAAATCGCAATGCGCTCGCACAGAGTGCTAGCAAGGTTGTCCAATGGGTGCAGAAGGAGGAAGAGCGGCTATTTATTATCGGTGGCGCGGTATGTATTTCCTTCATGACTTGTTGCCTTCGGGAACTGACAGTTATCAACACAGGTTTTCTAAACTGATATCGTCAACGCTGGCCGTGCCTTTTTCATGAAACACGATGCTCTCCACATGTCATTTTGTACATATATTTCTACATATTATACCCACTATGAGATCACCAATATATATCGATTTATTGCACCGAGCATTCACGTGTACCATGTATAGTAGTTTATCGTTTCTCAATGATCTGTGCAACACTTAAGACAGATTCCCATGAAGCCAATAGACTTGACCTAGTCTAACGAATCATCCCTCAGATTAAAGAGCTGCTGGATCACATCGCCAGACTTGCTGCGCAGGGCATCATGGTACATGGTATTGGTAATAAACTGCTTGGTCCCGTTGATCCGGGAGGCAGTATTCGTCGCCAGATCAAAGTGGACGAACATGTCATCGAAATAAGTTGCAGCATAGACCGGTACCTCGTTCCTGGCAAGCTGCGCTTCGTCATAGAGGGCGGGCCAGTTGTCAACTCTGGCGATGATATCGGCAGCCTCCCACACTTGCTTGAGTTCCGTGTACGACTCGAACATGTCCTTGTAGATCTGGAGAAGCAAAAAGAAGTTAGAAACAAACATAGAAGCATGGGCGGAGGCCATTACCATCTCGCCAGTAAAGAAAATCTCAGCCGGCTCCGAGTCTAGTTGAAAGCGTGCATTGCCGGCCCGTTGTCTGTCCGCAGACCAAAGAGATGGTCGTCTATTTTGGTTATTAGCGCAGTACGATGAGAGTCTGCGAGGGATATTTCTCACCCTTGACAATAGAGCGCTTCATGCAGGACAGCATAGAGGATTGTCTTGTCGTAGCCACCATAGCCGTCAATTGTACATAGAGTCGGGTAAGTGAGGGCGCCGAACACCTCTAGGTCATTGGTGGCTCGCACGACGATATCTAATATAATCAGTTTTCTGACGTTTCTTCCGAATGAAGAGTATTTCTTTACCATGCAAAGCATCGACCCCACCTACTATATGTTAGATATCCTCCAGAACTCAAAAGGATGTTGTCTCTACTTACCATGCAACCCAAATACGATGCCTAACTGCTGGAATCGAGCAGGGGTGAGCGTTCCGGAGGGCAAAGCCGGTCTGTTCTCCTTCAGATATTGTATGATATTCTTCACGCGTTCAACGTCTTCGGGGAACTTGGCGTAGTACGCCGTGTTTCTCTCTTCCACCTTTTCTGGTATCGGCTTAATGAGCATTTTGATGATCCAACTGTGGCGGGGGTATACAAACCGTAGGTTCGCTGGTAGACTGGGTCTGGCCCGTCGACCAGCGGAGCGAGTCCGCCAGTGATAAATGCTTCCTTCAGACCTTCCGGGCTGTGGTACAGCAAGAATGTCAGTAGCCACGCTGGAATAAGCAGAGGAAGAGCACGAGTCACGGCCTACAATTTTGATAGATAAGTCACGATGCAGAAGCCGCCAAAACTTTGGCCAAGGACACTCCATTTGCGCTGGTCCGCGGGGTAGTCTTTCGTCAGACAATGACGAACCGCCTCGCAGTCACGAACAATATTGTCCGCACGGAAGTTCTTGAGATACTCCGCCTGTTTAATGGCGTCACCCTGGAGAGCGAGAGTGCCCGCCGTGATGGTTGAGCTAAGACCGGTTCCACGTTGGTCCAGGAAGAGAATCTGGTGATTTACAGTCAGGCACAGCTCACATAACCAAGATGTTCATTTATTGAGAAGGAAATTTATTAGTTTCACTTACTTGGTACCCCTTGTTCAGCACCGGTTCAATCCAGCCGTAATTCTGCGGGGCAGCGCATCCATGTCCCGGTCCACCTTGCAGGTAAAGTAGCCAGGGAAGTTTAGTTTCCTCCTTCTGCGCCTCAACGGGCTTGTTCAACCGACTGACACTACGGGCAAAGAGCCTCAGCTTGTCCTCGTTGGGTTTGCTGTAGTCTACGGGGACGTCGAAGAACAGCTCGGCCACCCGAAGTTTGCCTGCGGTTCCGGTCAGACTAGGAGTCTAGGGCTGTCACCGCTATACACACCTGGGACATTGTGGAATCGTCTATCGATCAGCTTCGCGGCCATCGTTTCTTTTGGGTGATGCTGTTGTTGACCCGGGGAGGAAATTTGGGGAAGTTGGAAATTCAATTCTCCACTGCGGGAGAGGTACGTGTCCTCGGTCCGTCTTGGTCCTGGTTGGCGTCGCACTTGCACTTTTCCCCAGAATCCACTCGAGTCAGTCCTCCATAGAGATAAGCTCGAGGCAAGGCTGCTGACGCTCCACAATAGCTGCTTGTGGCAAGTCCAGCCGGATTGTGCAATTCAACAGCATCTACGCCATGTCAGCTCGCTGAGTCAAGACCTATAAATCGACACTGATTTCCTGCTATCTTTTCACAAATAATTATACAGACCATGGATCCCACAAATGAACTCATCTCACCTCCAGACAAAGTCCTCCGGGATTTATGGGAAGCCGCACAGGGGCCCTGGCAGTCCGGCGTGTTGCCCAGCGCCGACGAATTAGCTCACGCCAGGGCTTCTCTTCCGACTACACTACCAGACACCGGTGTCGGGTTTGAGTCCATCCAAGAACACATCATCCAAGACATTGTGCCTGCGTTCAACGCCGGCAGCATCAGCCCCAATTACTACGGCTTCGTCACCGGCGGGGTTACACCTGCAGCGCTGTTCGCGGATAACGTTGTCTCAGCCTACGACCAGAATGTCCAAGTGCATCTCTCGAATCACTCCATCGTGACCGATGTCGAGTTCAATGCCCTTGGTTTGGTTCTTGATCTCTTGAAGCTCGATCGTCCAGTTTGGCACAATGGCACTTTTACTACGGGTGCCACGGCGAGCAATATCCTCGGTCTAGCCTGTGGCCGGGAATATGTTCTTACAAAGGCCGCAGAGAAGAAAGCGAGCCTAGTGAAAAGTGCAGCAGAAGACGGCTTGTTCGAAGTCTTGCAGGCACTGGGACTCTCTGGGGTTCAAGTCCTTTCAACACTGCCGCACTCGTCTCTGGTCAAGGCAGCGGGTGTGCTAGGCATTGGTCGTTCAAATGTGCACAACATTTGTCGCGCAGATAATCCCCTTCATTTTGATATGGAGCGGCTCGAAGCGGAACTAGCAAGAACCGATAAGGCTAGTATCGTGGCTGTCTCCTGTGGAGAAGTGAACACCGGCCGCTTTGCAACAACCGGTCTAGAGGACCTCAGTCAAATCCGTCAGCTGTGTGATAAGTACGGCTCTTGGTTGCATGTAGACGCAGCCTTTGGCATCTTCTCCCGAGTGTTGAACGACATGCCCGAGTTTTCAACCATTAAAAAGGGAGGCGAGGGCATGGAACTAGCCGACTCGATTACCGGCGATGGACACAAGCTGCTGAATGTTCCCTACGACTGCGGGTTTTTCTTCTGCAAGCACCCCGACCTCGGCGCCCAGGTCTTCCAAAATGCGAACGCAGCCTACTTGACGGCTGGGAGCTCAAGCGGGCCTACTATTCCGTCGCCGCTCAATATTGGGATCGAGAACTCGCGCCGGTTCAGGGCATTGCCTGTCTATGCGTCTCTGCTTGCGTATGGGAAAGAAGGGTATCGCGAGATGCTAGAGCGTCAGATTCGATTGGCAAGGATGATTAATGGCTGGATTTATGATCATCCGCAGTACACGGCTTTGCCTCAATCCGGATCCAAGCCTGAGTTGCTGGATCAGACATACATGAGTGTTTTGTTCCGTGCTAAAGATGACGCTTTGAATCGTGAGCTTGGGGCGAGGATCAATGCCACCTCCAAGATGTTTGTCTCAGGCACCAGCTGGCAGGGAATGCCGGCTTGTCGGATTGCAATCTCGAATTGGAGAGTCTCTGAGCAGCGGGACTTTGCGTTGGTGACTTCGGTTCTGGATAAAGTGGCCATATAATGCAACTCGTGAAATGTATAGATCAACATGACGGAGTATATTTGTCCTAGTATATAAAATGCACCCAATACGTACTCCAAGGTATTTTCTCTCCATGTACTATTGGATCACCGACGACGACCGGCGCCTCCCATATTCTCTGTTCGGTCTGCCATGCTGACCACTTCACCAATACCGGCAGCCTCCTGCTCATCCTCGAGCGCGGTGATCTCTTCACGGCTATCCCACCATTTCTCTTCCGCCATATCAAACGCAGCCTTGCGGAGCTCCTTGACTGTCTTTTCAGCAGAATCTCCCTTATGCTTCATCGTCTCGATCAAAAACTTCTGCCACTCTTCCGAAGTGCGACTGAAGAACTCTCGCAGATTTTCAAAGGGACGAGGAAGTGGTCTGCTGTCGTCGGGGCCTGCGTCTTGCTCTTCCACCTCGAGCTGTTCCAATTCCTGAGTAACAGAAGGAACTGTCACCTCTGTTGGGGCGGGCGACGATATATCAAGAGACATAGTATCGTCTTCCTCATCCTCGTCCATGCCGTCTTCTTCTTCGTCCTCGTCCATTTCCTCATCGCTATCTTCTTCATCCATAAGACCCCAGTTCTCAGGCTCACGGAAGAAAATCTCTTTGACACCGTCCATCTTGACCAGATCGATCGAGTACATGTCATTAAAGGTGAATTCACGATCACCTTTTTCAAAGGTCCCACCAAAGATAAAGAGCGTGTCTTCTTGCACTGCTAACTGGGCATTGAACCGCCTATGCGGCATCTCGAAACGGATCACAGCAGGCTTCGCAGGCTCGACAGGCTCATCAACCTTGGGCGTATTCAGCTGCATTGACTCATCCACGTCGTCCTCATCATTCGCAAACACGCCCTTGGCCTCTAGAGCTTTCAAATTCTTCAAGAGCTCCTCCTCATCGGCCTTGCCGCGGTTACGAGATTTCATGGCCTGGTTCGCTTGCTGTTTCTTGCCTGGCGCCCGCGAACGGCGCAAACTCAACGGAAAGAAACGATTCCGGTCGGTGTTCCATGCAAACAGCGTGTCAAAGAACTCGCTGTCAATGCCTTCCTCTGTAAGTTCCACGTCATGGACACCACCAAACATGATCCCACGCCCCTTGTGGTAAGCCATGGTAGAGCCTGCACGTGCGGGATTCGGAGTGTTGGCGGGCTTCTTCCTCCGCTCCCAGCGCACAGTTGGCCCGACGGACATAGGTGCATCCGCCGCGGCGGGTGTGATGCGAAGAAACCAGGTGTCTTGGTGGACCATGGGCCGCAGCGTCATGCGCTGAGGTTGTCCCTTGACCTGTTTTCCGCCAGCACCTCCGGCTGCTGCTTTGACGCGAGAATATCCCCCGTACAGAACAGCACCAGTTTCGTGGGGCAAGAGAGAAAAGGAGGAGCGGGGATCGGGCTTTTGTGAGGCTATGGTCAATGTGGGATTGAACCAGGTGTATTTCTGGCAATCATATATCCACAAGTCCTGCAAATACTTGGTCTGCTGAGACGTATCTTGAAATCCGCCGAACAAGATAATGTAGTTCTTGTAGTAAGTCATCCGGTGGCCGCTTCTAGCCGGAGGACCCTTGCCCTTGGTCTCGAGACGAGACCATTCTCTGGTTGCAGGATCCAGGTGCCAGAAGTCGTTGTAGTGGTAGAAGGTGCCTTGCTTGGGTGACGAAAACTCTCCTGTTTCGTAGTCAGATCATTATATGTCTTAACTATCCAGAAGCATATTTTCATACCTCCGAACAGATATACACCTCCGGTATTCCCTCCTCGACACCACGCATGTCCACTGCGCGGAAGCGGGCTGTTGGGGCTCGTAACCTCTTTCCATTCGTCACGATCAAGGTTGTATATAAACAGGTTGTTGAAAAATGTCGCATGTGTGCCGTCATAGTACTCGCCGCCAAAAAGCAGCAGCTCGTTCCGGTTGGACGGAGACGCAAGCACCGTGGCAGAGGACCGGGCCACGGGAGGTTCCGACACAACCTCGGTGACTTTCAGAAACTTGGCCTGTTCCTCGGCGTACTGGGCGAGGATCGCGTCCAGGTCCGCGTCCTCGGCGTCGCTGTCTGCATCGCGGCCCTTGGCTTTCGACTTCTTTTCCTTCTGCGCGGTCTTCTTGGATTGCTTCGCCGCAACCCGGTCCTTGTGTTCGGCAGACTTCTTGTTTTTCTTGCCCATGTTGACTGTCGGAGCTGGCCCAGCCTGTACAGGGTTGTCCGAGGCGAATTGGAGGTGCTTCGAATCTTTCAGAGTCGCTGGTTATCGCGGGGCAAAAAATGTCGGATCCCCACAGTCGCTTCTTATCGCATATCGGCTAGTCCACATCCTGTATGCGACAAATTGGACCAGATGAAATATGAATAAGTACATGGAGATATAATATTCCAGCCGAAGAAATCCAAGGAGAAGAAATATAAAGGACTATGAATATAAACTGCATTCGTCCAAGGTGTTTGTTTCATTTCAGTCCAAGCCCGTCTACATAGTCCCCATCACACCGCCCACGTGTCTCGACGCGACCCGTGTTTGTCGCGAGACCGAGTGCGTTTGTTCGCCCTCTTGCTTGCTTGCTTGAACACACCGACCGGCTACCAGGGGAAAAGCTTCAGCCATGAACGACACCCGCCTCTATGACGAAGAATAACTTGGCTGTTCATCTTAAATGGCTGCTAAATCGAGGACCATCCTTGTACCCGTCTTTGGCTCCGGACACCCACCCGCGTGTTGAAGATCGCGTGTCGCAGCAACCCACGCCGCCCGCCGACGAGCTAGGCCTCCTTGATGACGATCTTCTGGACGACGTCGACGATGTAACTACGGACGAAACAATGGCACGACTGCTCTTTGCTCCCGAGTCTGCCAGCAAACCTCGCATGCTCAGCCGCCCCGACTCTCTCCCACAGAAGACACCGTCAACATCCAGAAAAAAGTCTCCACCGAAACAGACCAGTGCCGTCCAAGGTGAGTTGCGAATGACGACAACCTCGAATGGATATGAACAAACTAACAAACGCGTGTGACGATCAGGAAGCAAACATGAGCCGCCATCCTCGTCCTACAAGAAAAGCCGTTCTAAAGCGACACCTCTTCGGTCAGAGCCTGAATTTGGTGGAGACTCGCCATTTGGCCCCGTCGAGTCAATTGACTTGACGGGAGATGTTGAGCGGGCTTTGGCCAAAACCGAGTTTGGAGAACCTCGTCGACTATGGACCGAGGAGGCCGTATCACGCGCGACGCCTGTCGAGAAACGAGGAAAGAAACGGAAGAGCGACGAGTACAAGTCAGATCTCTTATCGCCATCAAAGCACGCGTCGAAAGTGCGGACACCCTCGAAGGCGGACAGAGCGCCACACTCCAACGGCTATTCCCCGTCAGTCTCCCGTACAGCTGGCAAAACCAGTTCTTCCAGTACAGTGGAAGCACCTCAGACGGGCTCTCCTGCTCCTCCACGAAGCCATAGAAAGCGGGAGATTGCGGATTCTGACGATGAGGATGATCCATTCGACAGTTGGATTGATGGTATCGACGAAGACGATGAGATGATGGCGGATGCCATATCATACCCAAAACTTCCAGAGGTTATCCCAACCGGCAATGGGGCACCCAACGGACCTTCGGCAAGTGCATTGCCTGGAGACACATCCCGCAAACCACTGCCACGCCCACACTCGTCAGACCAGGTAAAGACAATTGTGGTCGCCAAAGACTCTAGCGCTCCGCAACCAACCCCGTGGCCGAAGCAGTCAAGCTCTCAAGAGAAACCCGAGGATCTTGTAAGGTTCTTGGCTCTTCCGCCGGACTCCCTCGTGCAATCCCTTACGCAGGGGAAGAATACTCTGCAAAAGAATGCCGAGGTCGTTTACCAGCAGGCAATGGAAGGCCGACCTGCCCCGGAACTCATTGCCGAGAACAAAACGCTGGTTACCCAGATTCAGGCCATTGAATGTTTACAAACAGAACGAGATGCGCACAATGACTGCATATCTCGCAGGGAGGGCCTCAAGCGAACGCTCATGACCGCCATCTCTCAAGGCCTTGACCCAACAACTATGCCAGAGCAGCTTGCATCAAGTCGAGCGGTTGAGACAGAACTCGAGCAGATCGAGACAAGGATCTGTAGTCTTCTTCCCCAGGCCAATTTGTTCGAGTCCATAACGGGCTCGCGGGTTACATACTCTGACTCGCCGTTGCAAAGTTCTCACAAGGAGCCCACTCGACCAGTGAGTTGTGTTCCAGACACAAGTTTCAGTCGACCCTCGCAACCGGCCTCTTCATCACGGACCACTTTCAAACCGTCGACACCCCGTAAGAGCCAGTCATCCTTCATGCAAGCCAAAGAGACAAACGTGGATACCAGCCTGTTCGACTATGACAATGGCTGCATATCTCGAAACATGGGATCCCCACCGCTCGATAACATGGACCTTGACGAATTCGATTGGGATGCTGGTGACGACGACATACTTGAAGCAGCAGCCAGCTTTGAGGACCACTCCGCGCCAGTCCGCGAACGAGAATCCCAACCCCGCAAAGTCTTTGCAGAAACGTCTGGCAATACCCCGCGGGCGCCAACGGTCAAGAAGTCCCCCGGCCGCAGCGCCTTTTGGTCTAACCACCAATGGTCTCACGAAGTGCGGACGGTCCTCAAGGACCGATTCCACCTCCGAGGGTTCCGTCCAAATCAGCTCGAAGCGGTGGATGCAACTCTTGCTGGCAAAGACACATTCGTCTTGATGCCCACTGGTGGCGGAAAGTCCCTGTGCTATCAACTTCCTGCTGTTGTCACCAGTGGCCGCACGACGGGAGTAACCATTGTCATCTCCCCACTTCTCAGTTTGATGCAGGACCAAGTGTCCCACTTGCACAAATTGAACATCAACGCTTTCTTGATCAATGGAGAGTCGGATAAGAATGAACGCCAGTGGATCATCAGCCAACTTTCCAATGAAGGGGGTGACGGTATGGAGTTACTTTATATAACGCCGGAGATGATCAACAAAAGCACGGTCTTGGTGAGAGCACTGGAGAAGCTTCACCGCAGGCAGAAACTCGCACGCATTGTCATCGATGAAGCCCACTGTGTTAGTCAATGGGGCCATGACTTCCGACCCGATTACAAAGAGCTTGGAGAAATTCGCGCCAAATTCCCAGGTGTTCCAGTTATGGCCTTGACTGCAACCGCCACGGAGAATGTGAAGGTGGACGTCATACACAACCTCCAGATGACTGGGTGCGAGGTGTTTTTGCAGAGCTTCAACCGCCCGAACTTGACCTACGAGGTGCGGGCCAAGGGGAAGAACGACGCGACGCTCGCCAGCATTGCAGAAACCATTACGAGATCTTATCGAAATCAGTGCGGCATCATTTACTGTCTCTCACGGATGACTTGCGAAAAAGTTGCCAAAGATCTGAATGACAACTACAAGATCAAGGCCAAGCATTACCACGCAGCAATGAAACCCGACGAAAAAGCGAGAGTGCAGAATGAATGGCAGATGGGCAGGTGTCATGTTATTGTCGCAACCATTGCTTTTGGGATGGGAATTGACAAGCCGGATGTTCGATTCGTCGTCCACCACAGCATTCCGAAGAGTTTAGAAGGGTACTACCAGGAAACCGGTCGTGCCGGCAGAGATGGGAAGCGCTCAGGCTGCTACCTCTACTATAGCTACGGAGACACGGCCACGCTCAAGCGCATGATCGATGATGGAGACGGCAGTTTCGAGCAGAAAGCACGTCAGAAACACATGCTTCGGAATGTTGTTCAGTTTTGTGAGAATCGCAGTGACTGTCGACGAGTTCAGGTCCTGGCCTATTTCAATGAATACTTCCGTCGAGAAGACTGTGGCTCCTCTTGTGACAATTGCAAGTCTGACTTGGTGTTTGAGGTTCAAGATTTCTCCCAGCACGCATCCTCGGCTATTAAAATTGTGCGGCACTTCCAGGAAGAATTGGCAGAAAGGGTTACAATGCTTTACTGTGTCGATCTACTTCGAGGAGAGCTGAAGAGGGCCAAAAACGCATCACACAAGCAGATCCCATGGTATGGAAATGGCTCTGATCTGGACCGGGGTGAAGCAGAACGACTCTTTTACCGCTTGCTCGGCGAAGATGCGCTCGCTGAAGAAAATGTCATGAACGGGAAAGGTTTTGCCACTCAATATGTCAGGCTCGGACGACGGGCTGCAGATTTCGAGTCTGGTCGGCGTCAGATGAAATTACAGGTTCGCGTCTCTCCGAATGGCAAGACCAAGGCGGCTCGGCCAGCGCAGAAGCCGGCGACTGCCAAAAGTACCCAAGGCTATCCGCAGTCGACAATGGTTTCTTCGCCCATTCAGTCGGCAAATGATCGCCGCGCCGCCCGCTTCAAGAAACCCACTGTGCAAGCGGACCATTATTCAGAGGATGACGAGAGTGATGGATTCGAGCCGCTTCGAGTCGCTGGGAAACCGAGTGCACAGAAAACCCGCGAATTAGGGCCTCCGATTACCAGAGACCAAAAGATGGATCAGCTGGACCACCTTCACCGAGCTGTCGCTGAGGATTTTGAGGTGACTGCCAAGCGGTACCTACAAGATGTAAGAGGCTCTTTTGGTTGTTTTAACAGCTCCATGGAAATGCTAACATACTCAACAGATCGTCGTTGAAAAGGGTCTACGCTGCCAGCCGTTCCCTGACCATTTGCTGCGCGAGATGGCCATATCATTCCCCAAAGGTAAATAACATTCTGCCCCTGTAGGCGTTGCGTCGAAACTGATCATTCTGTAGATCTGTCGGAGCTATCTGCCCTCCCAGGCATCGACCAAGACAAGGTGAAGCGCTATGGACACAAGATGCTCAGATTGGTGGAGAATGCCAAACGGCGGTACCACGAATTGAAACAAGAAGAGGAGACCAATGGCATCGTTCCGGATCCGAACCATCACAACGTTATCAATCTCAGTAGCAGCGACGAATACAGCGACGATGATCTTTTTGGGGATGACCCCTCGGCTTTCGATCTGGATACCCCTGTGAACAATAATACCACCGGCGACATCACCAGTCGCTATTTCCCCCTCCGCCGTCTCCAGGCTACGACTCGGGTGGTGATGTTGATCCTGGTTCCACAGTTTCTGGTGGTGCTCGGTCTCGCAAACGTCAGCCCAGCAAGCGGCCGACACGACGGAAGAATGGCTCGTCGGGTGGCTGGAAGGCAAAGGCTCCAAAATCCAGAGCCAAGACTGGTGATCGTGCCCCGAGAGGCAGCTCTGCGCCCCGAAAGACAACGGCCAAATCCAAGACACCAAAGTCCACCATTGCCATGATGCCTATCTGAGCCTGTTTCTTGTCGAGGTGGATGATGTTTTGATTGGGCGTTTTCAGCGCGAAGCATTCTGTAGGCGTTTCCTCCAGTGAACCGATTTCATTTGCGTACTAGCACACATGGTTTCATAGCGTGGGGTTCATTATTTGGTTCATTTCTTCGATGCTATGAAATACAGACAATAGATATCCAGAATACCAGGGTTGAATTTATCTCATTAGTCCCTAAGTCGCCCACTCAATCTCCAAGGGAGCGCCCAAAATCGATCAACCGCAGGCGTCGTGCATCCCGTGGATGGAATTGGGCCACTTTAGCCCTCACCAAAAACCTGGAGGCGGCCGAGTCGCGCGGGACCTCGACATAGGAGATGCCGCTTTCCAGCAGCGCGTCAAGTAGAGAATGCATTTCTGTGGCTGCTGCTTGCCGTTTGTTCGTGGGAGGGGCATCATTGTCTCCATTGGTTGTACTGCGGCGCACAAATTGATCGATCCGCTGCTGCCCGCCATCCTCTTCCTCGGCCGACTGCTTTGGTTTCTTTGGTTTCCCATGTGCCGTATATCCCGCCCGCAGAGTAGCATCCGACACCTCCAGAGCATCGCCGACTGTCGGCCCGCCAAGGTCCTCAGCGGCAAGCATGGGCGCAAGCGTTTCGTCCACGAACTTATCCAACGAGGCCTTGAGATCAGTCGACGCACGGTCGAGCTGCTTGTTCTTCTTTTTCTGCTGCGCGACTTGTTCCCGTGCCACCTGCGACGGCGTCTGTTCTTCCTTCCGCGCATTGTCGTCGCGGATTCGCTTGATCCGCTCGCGCAGCCCGCTGGCTATCGAGCGAGAGTCGCGCAGGTTGGCGTCCTCGATGCGCAGGCGCTCACGGTCAGCAGACAGTTTCTCGGCTGTCACTCGGACCGAGACCTTGCTGTCCTTGATGAGCTGGGTGGTCTCTCCAATGGCCAGTAGTGAGGGAATCGGTGACTGCGCGTCCGGAAGCTCATCCTCGGACTGCAGCAGTGAATCATACGCCTTCTTGGCTCTGCGCGCTTGTGAGACGCGTTCCCACGGATCTGTGTCTGCATTGGAGACTTCAAAGGAGTTGGATTCTCGCAGCTTGGATGCAGTGTTAGCTATCACAGCTCTGCAGGTCTCGCAGATGGGTTGGAAATACCTTTTTCAATTCTTCCTCTTGGCGTCGAACTTGCTCTTGCAGTGATTGCAGCGTCGCATCTAGCCTTCGAGTATAGGCTTGCAGAGTCGTTGCGCTGAGGGGCTCTTTGACATACTCAGCCTCTGCATCCTGGCGGTTATTGACAAACTGCTGGACCTTCTTCACAGTCTCTTCAGCCACATCCATTGTCCTGCTGGAAGTGCTCAGTACAATCACAGACGAAACACAAACACCGCGTAGAGTGGCACAGGGCACGTGACTGACTCCTAGTGGCGCACGTGACTCTCCTGAGTTCTTGTCACCTCCACGTCGTCTTTTCTTCTGCGACGTCTGTCCAGGTATTCACTTCGGTTTTCGTGGCCCGTTACATCTTCTCCTTTCCCTGTCTCCGTCCCTGCTCGGCCGTCTCAGCCCTCTTCTCCAGCACTCTTCCCCCGCCCCTCCAGCCCTGAGGTTTCAGTGGTACACCAGGCCCAGTACCGCCGCAGCTTGAACATCTTCCCTACCCGATTTCCTACATTCCGGTCATCTCTTTTTCCCTTCTCTTATCGTCGCTTTCGTCACGGCTTTCATCACCCTCACTCAATACCCTCCGCCTCATACCCTTTCCGCACATCTGCACCGGACACCCGTCACCCTTCACGCTGCTATCTGCTTATCCTGACCTGCACTTCTTCCCGTTCCGTCACGGCACTCCCTTCCAGCACCTCAAAAAGCACCAGATTCTCCCTCTCCCGTCCACCGCCAGCACCAGCAAGTTTTCTTCAGAACCTCTGGTGTACATAAAACGATCATCATTCAAGAAGAAAGCAGATTGTCATTTTTGACACACCTTCGACCTTTCACGTAAAGAATCAAAGCACAAACAGCCCTGTGAACGACCATGTCGGCTTCTCCAACCAACCTGCAGTCGACCAAGCGTCCTCTTGAGGACCCGTCTTCGCCCTCGGGCCCCAACGACCAGCCCGAGGCCAAGCGTCCCGCGTTGGACAAAGTAGTCCGGAACGACGGTGACGCCGAGACCGAGAAGATCCCCGCCGTCGATGGTTCGAAGGATGCCCAGGAAGACACCGTCGTCCCTGACGCGCCCAATGGCAAGGGCCCTAGCACCGAGACCCAGCCTATTCAGTCGACTGCCTCGCATGGGGATCGCGCCGGCTCCCAATCCGATCAGCAGGGTCCACCCCAGGATGAGACGAATTGGGTGCATATTCGTGCCGTAATCTCCAGCCCGGAGGCAGCTACCGTCATTGGAAAGGGAGGTGAGAACGTGTCCCAGATCCGTCGTCTGTCGGGTGCCAAGTGCACCGTCAGCGATTATTCACGGGGTGCCGTGGAGCGTATCTTGACCGTGAGCGGCCCCCAGGATGCCGTTGCCAAGGTAAGTCTCTCTACTCTTCTTTGTCTTGATTCCATCTAACAGGACATCCAGGCGTTTGGTCTTATCATCCGTACCCTGAACACTGAACCCCTCGATGCCCCTTCCACTGCCCAGTCCAAGACGTACCCCCTGCGTTTGCTAATGCCGCATATTCTCATCGGCTCCATCATCGGCAAAGGTGGCAGTCGCATCCGTGAGATCCAGGAGGCGTCCGGTGCGCGGCTCAACGCCTCCGACGCCTGCCTTCCGCTCTCCACCGAGCGTTCCCTGGTCATTCTCGGCGTGGCCGATGCCGTGCACATTGCTACCTACTACGTCGCAGTCACCCTGGTTGAGCAGCTGACAGAGCGTTTCGGCGGTCCCGCGGCTTCAGCCTACGCCACCCGCAGCGGCGGTCCTGCTGGCGCCGTGCCCGGCGGCATGCAAGTGGTTCCATACGTTCCCCAGCCGGCCGGCGGCCAGTACGGCCACCCGGACACCTTCAAGCGACACCACCCGCACCCCAACCGCGCCCAAGCCGGCGCCTACGGTGTCCCCTACATGCACGGCCAGCCTGCTCCCACTCCCGTGGGCCAGCCGGCAATGCCTTATGGCGCTGCCCCGCACACTCCTTATGCCGGAGCTGGTCCTCACCAGCCCGCGCCCTACACTGCTGGCCCGCAGCCGAGCCCCAACCGCGGTGCCCCACAGCAAGCTCCCCAAGCTCCAGTGGGCGGCGCCATGCCCGGCCAGCCACTGACCCAGCAGATCTATATCCCTAACGACATGGTCGGAGCCATCATCGGCAAGGGCGGCGCCAAGATCAACGAGATCCGTCATCTGAGTGGCAGCGTTATCAAAATCAATGAGCCCCAAGAGAGCAGCAATGAGCGTCTGGTCACTATCACCGGTACCCAGGAGTGCAACCAGATGGCTCTGTACATGCTGTACTCGCGACTGGGTACGTGTCTTTATTCCCTGTCTATGATATGAGTCCATGCTAACTTCCCTCCAGAAAGCGAGAAGCACCGAGTCTGATGGGATCGTGGAGATATAGGTTTGCTCTCGTTTCTTCCATAAAAGCTCACGGTGGTCTATGTTTTTTTTCGTTTCTGATCATTTTCCCCACGGAGTGTGTCTTCTTTTCACCTTCTTGTTGTATCTTATCTGAGGCCAGCGATCCGACCCTTTGCGTCCTAATAGTGAGATCTGATCTTTTCAACCCGAAGCAGTAGTTTTGTCATTTTTCTACCCATATTTTATTATCCATCATCCTCTCGTCTTCTCCATTAACCAACGCTCTCAAAAAACCAACCCACCACTACCGTCATCCAATCAAATCTTCCGAAATCTAACATGCTTCAACTCCAACCCAGGAACAGGCCCGAGGCCCTTCTCCCGAAGAGGCGCAATACTCCTCCCAAACTCCTCCGTCTGCTTCGCATTCATATGCGCCTCGACACTCTCCCACCCAACAGCCAGCAAATGCAGCACCGCCATCCCGGAGGGGCTCTTGCCATGCTTCACCGTACTCGGTCGATCAACATGGCCCATTGCCCAGGACCGCGGGCGCACGGTTTGCGGCAGCTGCTCAACCAGCGTCGTGCGGAAGCTGATCAGGTCGCTGTACAATTGCTTTGTCTCTGCCGGGGCCAGCGAGCTCGCGAACGGCAGGATGCACAACTCTGTCACGGGGTTCTCGGTTAGAGTATCCGTGCTGGAGATTGGTGGCGTTAGCGTTGTGTACAGCGCTGTCGGCGGTTGCGGGTTGCTGGGGTCCAGGAAGGGGGTTAGGCGGTCGGGGCTTATAGAGCAGCGGGCGTCGGTCCACTCTGTTTTTGTTGCGGGGCGTGGTTAGCTAATTGTGCTAATTGTAACTATACATATAATCACCCGGGCGAGAGAGTAGTGTTTGCGTGGATGGGCAATATATATGAGTGAGGATGAGTGCGATACGGGGGTTCCGAGGGTTTGTTTAGAAACAATGAATGTATCGGCAAGCTAAAACGCACCGATAACCCAAACCAAAATATTCTCGTCTTCGACGCTGCGTCCCCAGGCAGAGCTCTTGTAGCCGCTTTGAAGAGACACAGTGCGGAGAGCATGGAGCAGGGCCTCGCCTTCCGCGTTGGAAGGATCTTCCGGTTTGACGGTGGGCTTGACCTTGAAGAATATGAACTCGCTGATGGTGTCAGACATGATGGATTGATTGATCGGACATAGTTGAGGGGGGGAGAAGAAAGCGAGGTTGATAGAGCTGATGTCACATCGATGATGTCAGCGTCTACACTCGATTGTTTTTTTGTCGTTGAAGAGCCAAGAGTCAATTAGCAGAAAGTAATTTTATGTACATGCTCCCAGACTGGTTTCGCTTCGCTTTCCAGTTCGTACAACACAACACGCCTGATTAAGAATCACAAAACACCCCAAGAAACCAAATGCATGAACACACAAGCCTCTAAAGACACCACCATCACCACTATAGGTCGTCCACACCTCGCACTTTCGTCTTCTTGCTATCAATTGCCTTCTTCAGATTGTCAACCAGCTGGTGGCGGCGCTGACTCTTGGCCTTCCACCGTGCGCTCTCCTCCTGTGCAAACACGGGCACAATGGCCCCCTCCGCACTGCGCAGGCGACTCGCCTTCGCGGACCCGTTGATGCTGACGCGGAAGTTGGCCTCGCGCGATGCAGACTCCGGAGTGTGGTAGGCACTGCCGTCCAAAGACCCGCGGGAGCCCGGCGTCGTGGGGAACCGGCCGGCATTCTTGCGTGGAGTGGTGAAGGGAGACTCGTCGCGGCTCCCGGGGACGGCGGTAATGTCTACACCGAGCTTGCGCATCTGGGCCTCCAAAACGTCAATGTCGCTGCTCTTGTTTTCAGCCATGCTCATCATTGTCGCAATCGTTGACGTGACGGCCTCGACGGTGGGCCGCTTCATCTTCTTAGAGTCACCATCGGCGCCTTCTGGGCGTGGGATGTCGGCGATCTTAGCACGCAGAAGCGACACACCCTGCTCCAGGTCGGCCATCCGGGCCTGAATCCCCGTAAATGCGGTCCGCAGGTCGTGCTGAAGAGTAGCTTGTTCTGCAGATAGAGGCGCCGCGAGAATAGCCCCAGTATCGGTGTGCGCATCGAGAGTCTTGCGGATGCTAGCACACTGCCCGCGCAACACCACGATATCCTTGGCCAGAAGGTCCCGGCATTGTTCCAGCTTGTCTTCGACACCCTGCACGCGCTGTTCGCTGAGGGAACGGGCTAGAGCAACCACTACTTCATCAAGAGTGGCGATGTTATTCAGAAACAGCTTCTGGTCCAAAACATTAGCGGGCTGGTCGCCTTGGAGAATGCCCACCAATTTGGCAGCATCGGTTGTTTGCGCAGGTTGCTGGAACAGGAGGTATGACTCCATGGAACGAGCGTTGATTCCCAAAGTATCGACCATGGAATTGATGTCTCGGTACAGTCGTTCGATTTGGCCCGCGATGCCGGGTTTGGCCGTCTCACCCATATAGTTCTGGTGAGGCAGGAATGGATCAAGCGTCGAAACGGGCTCCGCAGGACGGGCCAGGTCAGCACGCAGGCGTTCATCTTCGTCGTCATCCGAAAGAACAAGTTCTTCTTCTTCCACTCTCTGCCGGGCAGCAGCACTTGCACGGTCCTGCTCCTCACGAGCGATGTCGCTGGGCTTTCGGAGCTGCCTATCGCGGGTCTCGCGATCCGCGAGTTGAGTCAACGACGCCTTGCGAGCAGACAAAGCACTTCCTATATCTTTGCGCGTCTCTGGCTTCGAGAACAAGACACTCTTCTGCGAACTGACTCGGGTAGGACTGGGTGACCGATCAGGTTCACGTCCCCCTTGAGCGACAGGTCCAGGAGGCGGAAGAAGGGGCTGCTTGGGGATTTCGCCAAAGAGTTGCCGTGGTTTTTGTTGTTCCTTCTCATCCTGTGCGGTCTTCGAAAGGCCGCCAAAGAGACCACTGGTAGCGCTCTGCATGGACGGGGCACCGAAGGAGCTTTGGGCGGACAGCGCCTTCGACTCGGTTTCCTCCGTAGGGCTCTCCTCATTCTCAATTTCTTCGCCGCTATCGGAGAATTCAGATTCGTCCGGCTCTTGCTCCGAATCCGCATCCGAACCATCAGGTATGGGGATTGCCTTCTCCGGAGATTTGGGTCTGGCCTTGGAAGCGACGGGGTCTGGGGGCAATGGTGCATCCTCGGGAACAGCCTCCGTCTCTGTCTTCTTGGGTTTGGTCAAGAAATCAGGAGGAAGAGGAGCATCCTCAGGTTGCGAAGTAGGCTTTTTCTTGTTCATAAAATCCGGAGGAAGCGGCGCATCATCTTCCACCTTGGTCTCCGACTTCTTTCGGCCAATGAAATCTGGAGGAAGAGGTGCATCTTCTACTGAGCTTTTTGATACGTTCGAAGAGGCCGACGTGTCTCCGGGGGCATAGGAGGCTCTGCTCGTAGGATCGGGCGGTAGTGGTGCCTCGAGCGCTGAGAATGGAGGTGTAGTTGGGAGCTGTTCTTTCATCGGCGTGGCAGTCTTATCTGACGGTTCCGATACAGGGCTAGTCACTTGGTTCGGAGTGACATTATTGCCAAACACTGAGAAGCTTGGTTTGCCGGTCTCGACCTCGGTCGCTGTTTTGTTGGATTGCGGCTGTGCACCAAAGATGGACGGAGTAGGCTGAGACGCAGGTTTGCTCGCTGCGCCGAAGATGGAAGGTGTCTCAGTCTTCGCAGGCTGCGCCAGCTGTGATTCACCCGTATCTTCCATATCGTCCATAGATTCAGTCGGAGGGCTGGCTTTGCTCGGCGACGAAATCATTTCATCGAACGAACCGCCAAAGGAGAATGCACCTCCCGAAGGCTTGTCGGGCTTGGGGCCATCATTGGCAGCCGTCCCATCGCCCTTGAAAGTAGACCCAAGGGCAAAACCACCGGGTGTAGGGCCAAAGGGATTTTTCACTTCGGTGGGTTTTGAGGAAGTACCAAAAGCGGTGTTGTTCTGAGTGGAAGCACCAAATGGTGACTCTGACCCTTTGGCGAAAGCACTCTCGCCGGTTTTCGCGAATGGCGAATCTCCGGGCTTGGCCGCAGCAAATCCACCAAATCCACCTCCAGTCGAGAATGAACTGAAGCCGCCTCCACTAGCGGCGCCACCGGTTCCCAGAAGGCTCTTTCCGGGGGTGCTTGGCTGCCCAAATGTTGAGGTTGAGCCCATTGTTCCAAACCCGGACTTTCCAAACTGCGCCCCGGTTTGTCCGGGAGTACTAGGAGCACCAAAGGCGGGCCCAGGTTGAGAGGGGGTTCCGAACGAGGGACCAGGGGCAGACGGTTTTCCAAAAGCTGGGGCTGTGCCTCCACCTAATTGCGAAGGGCTTCCGAATGAAGCAGCAGCAGATGGCTTCCCGAACGCTGTGGCGCCCATAGTGGATGTGCCCATGGTGGATGGACTACCGAAAGTGGCTCCGGATGGTTTTGCAAATGCCGATCCGCCAAATGGTGATGGGGTGCCGAATGACGGCTGGCCAAAGGAAGGCTGCTGCGCCGGTGCCGGTGTTGTGGTGGGTTGCTGCGGTTGTGACTGTGCTGGGTTCGCTGGGGCCTGGCCGGAGTATGGAATTTTCTGACGAACAGACTCATTGTAGATAAACCACCAAGAGGACAGAATGCCGTCATTATTGAGAAGAAGCAGATTGGGCAGAGGCGTCGAACTCTCCTGTATCTCCTCACCGGCAATGGGTTCAATCACACTCTCAGTGCTCGACAGATCAGCCGAGAAACCAATGACCGATGTGTCGTCGCTGGAGTCTTTCAGTGGTATAGATGCACGTTTAGTGTCATCATTGAAGTCAGTGGTAGTAAATTGCCCGACGGCATTTTTGGCGGCGTCATCGTGTGCCAGAGGCTGGTCGGATCGAGTGATGAGACCAACATCAGCAGACGCAGTTGACGAAACAATCAATGCGTCCTTCAAGTGAGGCTTGTAGTCTCTCAACCGGACAATGAACTGGTAGGCGGGAGTGCGCTTCATGGCGAAACCAAGGGTCGAGCAAATTTCGGGCAATTTTTGGATCAGGAATGGCGCCTGTTTGCGTCTCGTGATAATGTAGTAGGTAGATGGTGGATTCTGTCCCATATCATCCTCGAGAGCATTGGGGGTATACACCACGAAGAAAATATCATTTTCAAGCCAGGCGATGGATGAGACTGTGCGGAGGTATGAGCACCCATTTCTTGAGCAACTAAGCAAGGGCAGAAAAACTTACCATGACATTCACCTTCCAAATCTGATGGCCGTGGGATCTCATCTTTCTTTGTTCCATCTGGAGTCATCTGGTATCCGGTTCCATCCGCCAGTCCGGCCACAAGCTGCTTCCCTTTGTTGCTCCAGGAAACGCTGCTGACACCAGTCTTGAGAACAGGTCCATTTGGTCCTGAAACGAGATTTCCAGCTTTCAGATCAGCCATGAGTAGCTCGCCGTTGGCAGTGACCAGTCCGACAAAGGTCGAGTTAGGATCAGGATTCGGCGCGACAGTGCGCAGAGTCACGCCATTGGTCTGGATCGAAAAAGCCGGCTGCCCATTTCCTTGCATAAGGCTTGTTGTCTGGAAAACGGAGATCTGAGAGCCATTCTCTGTTGCGAGCACCAAGGCGTCGTCGCCTGATGTGAAGGCCACATGTGTCGGCCGGGCAGGAAGGGGAATCGTGGCCTGTGGTTGGAAAGGCTTGGTTTTGATCTTCTCCGCCCCCGTGGGTGCCACAATCGATTCCCTCACAGCATTTGTGCTAGCGACAACAAGGGTGTCGGGGCCAGCGCCGACAACCACTCCCTTTGTCTGCGCGACAGCTAAAAGGGAGGATGTTGGGGACGGGAGTGCGTTGTCGGGCCAGGGGGTTGGGAGGAATCGAATATTTGCGTCGCCGGAGACACCTTTGAAACCAACCTCCTGTGGTGAATGTTAGAGAAGAACTATCAAGGATTAGTGAACCTGGCGGGGTGGCATACATCCGTGAAGACATCTGAAAGCTCCGGCCCAAGCTCCGCTGACGCGCTCCCAGCTGCGGGGGCGGATGCCCCAAAGCCGAAAGACATTGTGAGCTGGTCGAGTTCGGGATGAGTCGCCTAATGGTGCGCTGGTCCTGGAAGCATTGAGCGACGAGGAGCTTGACGGCGTAGGACAGAAGGATAGTCGGGCTGCCCACGGACTCCGCCTAACGAGGTGCAAAGTACGCGCAAAGACCCTGGCGCCGCGACTTTTGAAGAAAAGAAAGAGCGTGACAAAGAGAAAAGGATGCGGTTGATATCGATGATGGACTGAAATCACGGTGGAAGAAAGAGCACCACCGCGAAGACGGATGGATGTTGTTGGACTGGAAAATAACTTACGGACGGCAAAAACACCAGCAGAGAGCTTTGTATGCCTTGGCGCCTGACGGTTCAGGCCGCAACCAAGTTAGGCTGCGGGAGCTTCGTCACTCCAAACAGCTCGACTTCTCTTTCTCACTTCCATCACCAGCTGCCTTCCTCATCCCTTCCCCCTCCACCTTCGCGTCTACTTCGTGCTGGTCCGTCACTTGCTTCAGCACCATCTGCATTCCCGTTTCATCCCCCCCAGATCGTGCACACCTGCGCCGCCAGGATGCCGGGTTTCGACTTCTCCAATTACAACCGCAACGCGGCCCTCCACGCCAGGGGCGTCCCCCTCCCCAAAGCTACCAGCACCGGTACAACAATTGTTGGCTGTATTTACGATAATGGCGTTGTGGTATGGTTCCGATGATTTCCAGGCTGTGTAGCCGTCCAGCGCTGACTAGTACGGGGGGATGGACAGATTGCCGCAGATACCAGAGCTACCAGCGGTCCTATAGTAGCAGACAAGGTATGGACAGCACGCTTTTTGAGGGGTTATGGGTTTGTTTTGAAGCTGACACGGATCCGATGGTAGAACTGCGAGAAACTACACTACATCTCGCCGAAGATCTGGTGTGCTGGCGCCGGTACAGCCGCCGACACCGAATTCACCACCGCCCTCATCAGCTCCAACGTCGAACTGCATTCCCTATCGACGGGCCGCGATCCGCGCGTCATCACCTGCATGACGATGCTCAAGCAGCACCTGTTCCGGTACCAGGGTCACATCGGCGCGTACCTGGTGGTTGCTGGCGTGGACCCGACCGGCGTGGGTTTGTTCACTGTTCACGCGCACGGCTCAACAGACAAGCTGCCGTACGTGACCATGGGCTCGGGCTCACTGGCGGCGATGTCGGTGTTCGAGTCGATGTGGCGGCCCAACCTGGACCGCGAGGGGGCCATCGCGCTCTGCTCCGAGGCCATCAAGGCGGGTATCTTCAACGACTTGGGGTCCGGCAGCAATGTCGACGTGTGCGTTATCTCGAAGGATAAGCCCACCGAGCTACTGCGCAACTACATGAAGCCCAATGAGCGCGGCCTCAAGGAGCGCAACTACCGCTTCCCCAAGGGCACCACCGCGTGGCTGAACCAGAAGATCATCAGCAAGGAGGATATGAAGAATTATGTGACCATCGAAAACTTGTCGGGCAGTGACGAGCTGGCGACTGGGGAGAAGATGGAGGTGGATTCTTAAGCTACGTTCGGGCTGATCTGTTTCACTGCTATATTGTACGATGGTAACCAATGCGGCTGTGGTTGGCTTCGTTCGTGGAGTTTGTGCCGGGGTTTCAAGTATCATCAAGGACACACCTAGAACACACGAAATCAAGACAAGATTGATTTGATGAAGAAAAATTGTAATTTGGGTATCTCTATATACTACGCGGCCTTTCCCATTTATTAAGTGCGCGCCACCATTGCCGGTCGGACATTATACCTGGCTTCGCGGCCTTGCGAGCAGCCTTCCTGCTCTTGTCGGCGAGAATCGCGTTGATAGAAGCAGGACACTCAAGTCCGATTTGAGAAGGCGGATTAGGGTGTCCAAGCAGATCAGGCCATTCGAACTTCGAGATGGCTTTCATGATGTACTCGTACTGCGTAGGCACAACGGACCGTCCCTCTCGACGATACCGCACCACCCCAGCATGATACATAGCCCGCACAAACGACGGATACACTGGTGCACCACACTTGCGCAGATAAGCGTACAGCCAGCGGATAAGATGGAACGAGCGCGACGGCTTCAGCTGCTCGGAGCAGGAAAACGCAATAGCCAGTTGGTGGATGAAGTCCACCGCAGCGCGCGGATCGGGGTAATGGCTAGAGCGGGGACCCGGATGGTATCGCACGAGAGCCTTTTCTCCCGGATCGACGATGGGCAGCCAAGCCTTGTGGAGGGACATTTTCAACGGGGTGTGTATGTCGAGAAGCCGGGTGAGGATCCAGACGCTCTCCGAGTCTCCTGCTCTGGCCAGACGCAGGCACTCTTCCACAGACGCAGAACTGGTGAGATCTATGTGACGGACCATTTGTTCAAAGGCACCGTAGAAAATGTTCCGGACCCCGTTGTAAGCTACCTGGTTATTCCAGACATCGTTCAAAGAGATCTGAGAGGTTTCCAGCAGCTCGAGGGTTTTGCGATTGGCTTTGTTAACCAGTTTTCCCAGCTTGAGATCGACAGCCAACAATAGAAGGCTATTGTAAGGAAGCTCTAGATCGAGAATTCCACGCATCAAGTCTGAGAGGAAAGACCCATCACTTTGGGTTGTCGCGGTCTCATAGAGGTTGAACAGCAACATGATTGGCATGTCTGTGATTCGGGTGCTTTGGTTGTACATGGCCCCAACCGACTGACATAAGGTCCGTAAAACCCAAAGGCGCATGATGATCTGATGCTGTGCCGATAGATCGGACGTGCTGGAAGCCGGCTTCTCTCCAAGCCCATCGGTGTAGGCATCGGGGAGATCCAGCCAGACATGTGAACTCGCAATGTTCGAAACGTTTGGCACATTCAACAAGCAATCCCTCCACCGCTCGAGCAGTTGATTCCGGTGAGTCTTGTCCTTGGATGACATCAAGGATTTGGTCACTTCAATGAGACACTTGGCTGCGGAGTCCGTGTCCAATTGGGTAAGCAGGTTGCTAGGATATCGTAGACCCGTATCTGTATCGAGCGGCCCCATGACCTCCAGCCAGCTTTTGATCAAGGTTGAGGCCCAGCGACTATCCGAATCGGGGGTATGCGTAGCAATGATTATTTCCTCAGCAAAGTAAAAAGTGCGCGTCTTGAGGAGTTGTCCTAGCCAGGCATCCACAACTTTCGTGTCCAGGTCACGATACCCAAGAACGTTGCATCGTCCGATTGCTGTCCACATTGCGCGGTAGTGTTTTCGAAGCGTCTTGGGATACCAGTCCCCCAGCCTGTTGTTCCCCTCGATGATGGTTTTTGGTACAGTCTTGACGATGAGACAGAGTTCATCAGTCGGGATTAACCCCAGCTCCAGAGCACGGTTAATGGTGCCGAAAAACGCAGTTTGCTTAGAGCGTTTCGTTTTGGTTCGTGTGAAGGGTTCCATGGCCGCAAGGAAATTTCCAGAGCCACAAGTGTTCAAAAAAGGGTCCTGCAGAAATGCAATGGCTTCTGTTATGTCGGAACGCTGGCGCAATTTCTCGAATATCTGCCGGCTATACCGTGGCTCCCGCTGCAGATCAATTCGCACTCGACGGACAAAATCCCTGACATCCTCAATCCCCCACTTCTCTTTTTCCAGAAATTGATCCAGGAGCGCACTGCGCGTGGCTGTTCTAGCATCAAAGGAATTCGACGACTGATGGTCTGGCGCATGGGATTCGCGGATGTCGGGATTCTGCCCGTAAAAAGGGAAAGGAGCCTCGGGGGTATCTAGTGAATAATCGACGAGGTTTTCTGGGCCTGTTAGATCAAGAAAAGCTCATCTTCTGGCCCGCACATACCTTGAGGTTCCAATTGCGCTCTCTGCCACGGATGGTCCGTCCACTTCATATGCTCCCTCCCATTGCGACCAAACAGGCACGCAAGATCGTCCGCTGATCCACCGCCCATGCTCGCGAGAACAGTGTTCCGCCGCTTCGCAAGGCGCCTTCGTGCCTCAAGGGGCCCGGGAACGTAACTGCCATGTCGTCGCTGACCGTTCACGAAGCGACGGAAGGTCGCGGCGAGCAAATCATCACTGATCCACAGGTGGTCGAGAATCTGCGCGGGGGTGGCTTTAGAGCATGCCGGTAGGCATGTCTACCAAATGACATGAGGACAATGTTGGCATACGTGAGCCAATTGAGGGTTGCAAATGTCGCAGCGGTGGTTGGTGAAAGCCCGAAGCTTCAGGGTTAGGCGGCCTTGGCGGTGACTAAGCAGGATTATATAAGCCCGATGACCATTGGGGCCAACTATACGGAAGTAAACAATGAGCAATAATCAATGAGAAAATACTAGTAGTAAATAAAAGTAAGGTATGCTGGTCAAGGTACAGAAGAAAGAAAGGAAAGTGCAAATGCAATCCCCCCCCGCGCCTATGCAATGCTCGCAAAGTCATGGTCGTTCGTCAATGGTATCTCTCATGCGAATCGTCTCGGCGATATCGAACGATGGGTAAAAATCAGCGTGACGAGGGCGCTGGAGAGGGCGTTTCGTTGGAAAGGGGCTTTCGTCCGGTGACCACATAGTAGTCCATATAGGCGTGCACACTGCGGTTCTGGATACTCTTCCTCACATCGACAAGGAAGACTTCGATTTCCGGTTTCGACCAGCCTAGTGCAGTAAAGGGCTTGTATGACCATCCTGAAAGGGCCTCGAGCCAGTTACTCTCGCTCCACGACCCTATCCGTTTCAGACGGTCGTCGGTGTGCCAAGGATTGGTGGGCACTTTGTAGACACGCTGCTGGACATCCACAAAACCCGTTTCTTTCATCCACTTCTCGATGCGGTGTGCTATTCGGAATTGCCGCGGTGGATCGGAATCCTGGCTTGAGCGCATGTTGAGATCGAACCAGTCATGTAGAGCAAAGGCGCTGTAGCCGTCAGGGTTTTCGGGAGGCATGGTGTTGTCATCGCATTTTGGCTTGGGGTCCATCTCCTGGCATTCGATGTAAGCCCCGGGTTTGAGGTATTTGTAGGATTGTCGAAGGAAGTTCTTGAATGAGGGCATTGCGCCTGTCATGTGAGAAGTATGGATGAAGTCGAAATGGTTTTTGTCCCAAAGCCACTCTTCCTCGGTAGCATCATCAACGAGGAAATGGACGTTCTCGGGCACTTCTGTTGGCTGCACCGGCGAGAGGTCTGTTCCTGTAATTTCAGCCTTTGGAAACAAAGCCGCTGCAAAAAGAAAAAGAAATTGTGAGTATACTAGTACTACTTTGGGAGGAAAATGGTAACATACCCATTTCGATTGGCCATATTCCAGAGCCTGTGCCAACGTCGAGAATGTGCTTTGGCTTGTCAAGCGGGACATGATATAAGTTGCCATTTTGTATCATTTTAAACATGTGGTGCTGCATATCTAGACGATCCAGCTCTTGCTCGTCGTTGGGGTAGAGATAGGCTACATGTCCAGTCAGCCATACTGGTCAGCAGACCAAAAGAACGCAAAACGTACCCCCTTCATGGTACCTGTGATACCGTCTTCCGTTTTCAATAGGGTAGTCCGTCACACTGTCAGTCAGTGACTGCGTGTCACTATTGGCACCCAGTCAGTCATGGCTATTCTTCATCGCCGTTGGGGCAGCATTACCAGTCACGGCCAGGGTCCTGCATATCACTACATTAGCATATCTGAGTGGCAAAGTTATGGGGAATATGCACAGGGCATGCGGGATAATAGTATAAGAAAGTGCTTACCGGCGGTCTCGAAACCATCCTGACGCCTCGAGTTGCACCCAGCGGGCCAAATTTAAGGAGGGCGCAATGAGACAGTCAACGGATGCTGATCTTGTAGCAAAGAAGACGTGAACTGCGAGATGAAGTAGTTTAGAAGCTGCATCCTAACAATGGAGTATGGCCCCCGGGAAAAAGTCAAGAGAAGATTACCTAGTTCATGGAGAGGACCAGATCATCTGGCAGTAACACCCCATTTCATGGCCCAATCCGAACGACCATGTCTTATTCAAATCGAGTCAAAATTAAAGATAGCAGGGATGGTGGTGGCGGAATGAAAACCTCTGCTGTAGTTCGTCCCTTGAGCCCGACAGCTTGGGTTAAGTTATAATTTGGCAGGACGGGAAGGCGATCCGGACAACTACCCAAGAAGAGAGATCGACAACCGGGAGTCCTTTTTCATAAATCTATAGCCGGGGCGTCTAAGGTGGTGGTCGGGGTGGAGTCCCCCATGTGCATGCATGGACGGGGGGACAAGGTTGAAGCCAGTCGATGAGAGCGGTTCGGGCGGACACGCAATAATCCAAATTTCAATGCGCGGGTCGATCAAAAGGGGGTCTGACCTTGCTAGGTGAATATTAGTGATTATTTTTTTAGGCTTGGCTTGGAAGGAGGGGCAAGGTCAAGTATGATCCGCACGGGGTCCTGGTGTCTTCAGTGCGGAGCCGGAGAGAATTACAGAATTACTGTACAAAAAAAAGTATTGAACGAACAAACCCTGTCCTATTTTTTTGTTTTCTGTTTTTCGCCTACGAATCATAGTCGATCAATTCGTCCGCCGACGTTCGTGATTGGCATTCATTTCATCCATAAATCCGATGTGGGCGTTCCAGGGCAGCGGGAGTATTGCGCCCGAACAGTTGGGGGAACCTGGTGCAGTTCAGTGGACTCCTTTTTCGCCCCGAAATAATGAATCTGGTTTGAATCCTGTTGACACTGAATGCCAATGCGCCATGCCGTCATGCACCAGCGCCCCTTTCAGAGAGTCCTCGCCCACAAAAATGATCTACAATGGGCTGTCGGACCCATCCTGTTGGGAAATCCCGACCGAGCGGCGGGCCGCTTCATCCTTTCTGCTGGGACTTGCTTGTTTTATTCTTGACTAGACTGGTCCGACGAGAAAGATAGCTGCAGGGTCATCCCCGGGTGGGAAGCAACCCTTACTTTCCAGTTTCTCTGGGGTATTCGGCGCAACTTCGGGGTGTAATAATACTAGATTAGTTGAGCGCAAGCGAAGTAATAGTTGTTTTAACAAGTGCTGGCTGATCGACCACTGAGTTTTCCCCTTCGGCCCCACAGGATGGCCGAAGTAGTGGGCGCAGCTGCCACCGGAACCCACTCACACAAGAGGCACGTACATAATAAATACACAAGACGCCGGCTGCTTTTCATTCTCCGGGCGCCAAGGAAATTCTGGTAAGTGGACAGACAGTACGTAACGGGGTCCCCGATGCATCTCATCCAAGAAGGGACTGTCGCCAACGCTGAAACAGTTTACACTTCGAGTGCCTAGGGTTCAGGACGGCGGAAGGGAAAAGACTCCTGCCATTTCCAGGCCGTGCCTGCGCCAAATGAGTGATCGGTCAGACATAGCGTGGCACCGGAATCCGACCTGTGGCGCAACGCCCCTGCAAATGCCTCGCCTGCGAACGGTTTACGGTTAGGGCAGTATGATACTGTGCAATCCCCCAAAGTCAAAAACCTGCCTAATCGACCGCCGGAAAGAACTCGGTGCAATCAGGAGCCAGGATCGTGGAACACTATGGAACCTGGAAACGTAGGACGGACCTGTACCCGTCCTGCCTGTACTGCGTATACGCGCACCAAAATCCACGATCCAGAAAATAATAATAATGCATGACGATTCTCTTCGCGCTCGCCAGGGACTCCACTCTAGTCGTCCCTGAACAATCGTCTTGTGTGTCCTCTGTCTCGTGCACGCAATTATTGCAACCGTCGATCCGAGCTGGCAAAGCACTATCCAGAACGGATCGACGGAGCGCTCCGCGATTGGTGGTGGACAGCAGCCCGTCCCACATGTCGCGTTGCATCCCCGCGGCTTTTTCCTTCCCTTTCGGCTCTTTCGCACGCATACACTCGGTGTACTCCGACATTAGGCTACTCGAGACAAAGCAGAAATTGAAATAGAATACATAATAATAATAATGAAGATGGCAGACAACTTTGTAGACAATGACGCCAAAAATAACACCCCCGTGATTTTATTGACAATCGGACGAGTCAGAATAGTTGGGTCGACCCGGCTGCTAGGAAAGTATCGGGTCCCAAAGTATCGGGAACGCCGGCGCGAGAGCCAAACCCTGTACGCTTGGGGTGCTTCCAGAATGGTGGGTGCTTCCAGAAGGGTATGAAGAGCGCAGAAAATGGTCATTCTATACATAACAAACTTGTCGCGGACCGGTGCATAGGCAAGTCGCTTCGACCACGGAACAAAGACAGTCTGGCCAAGCAAGCTGGCGGAGCGTGTCCTAGAAAGGCATGGATTCCAGGCACTACTGTATCGTCTCCGACCGTAGACTCGGAAAGATTTGGGATAGTGAAACCGGGCCAAACCGAAATTGGCTCATCTACAGTCGAGAAGCAAGTGATTTTAGACATGCATATGGAGGATCCCAGCGGGAGGGCTCCTCCCGACTCCGAATGGATTTAAAAATGCCGAGCCATGTTACACTGACCGTCAAGGTCTCGACGATCAGATATGCCCTGCAGGACGCGTGTTGAGGAGGCTGAGAGACTGTGTGATGATGTACTGCAAAGTGGTCGGTGCGACAGCCGCATGTATCCTCCTGTTCAGTAGGCATTGGACGGAAGTATGTAGAATATACAATATTTGTTTAGTAACCCAACGATATTTCTGTCTCAGTTACTCCTTTATTCTTCTGTCCCGTTTCGGACCTCATCTGAAAGCCGCTGGCTAGCTCAGCGCTATTCGCAACAACTCAAATCAGCGCCCTTCCAGGATTCTCGTGTTCGGCTCTGCCTATTTCGGGTTCACGCATTGTCGCTCCCTACCGAATACCAGACTGGTCTACATCTATTCGCCGAAGACCTGGCCAGGCAACGCGCTTGCAGATGAAAGTTCGGCTTTGCTGACATTGACAAATTCTGATTCTCCACCAACAGCCCTTTGTGCCGCCACTGACTGGGGTATGTTTGGACCATCCGCCAAACAGAGTTCGTGTCTGAAAGCGCTAGAAATGAGTTGAATTGCATCACCAACAACCCAATCCAGATTTTGGGAAGGTGTTCGAATCATTTGTCATTGCGATTTGCGTAACTATGTGAATGCGGGGTGATGTTTGATCATCCTGATCGTCTCCGGAGGCCCACCCGCTGAACCTGTTAGTAGAAGTCAAACAGCTGGCGGTGTATGCGCAAAGACAGAAAAGGTATGTATTTGGAATTTTGCCGGGGTAAGATATTAACCCCTCGCTGGCAGAGACCCCTGCGGACTGGTGATCAGCACCAATCGGAAGCGGAGTTGTATGGGTGCAGACTGTCAACTGCAAGCCCTGTAAATCGAACTACTGCCTCTCGAACATCGCTAATGCGTAAGTACCAATGATATCGCCCGGTTACGAGAGCAGCTAGGAGGGACTATGATTCTACCTTTTTCCTATGACGGATAGCTTCGGGGCTAAGAAAATGGCGGCGCTGTGAAATCCTCGGTTATTTGTCATTCTTGGTCCTCAAATTGTTTTTTCTTACTCCCAAACACAGCTAACATCAATACCTGCGCAAGACGCCCGTTCAGCAAGCCACCGTGTGATTCTATTCCCCCCCATGAGGCGCCCCAGTACTCCAGACAGGTCAAACCAGCAAGTTCAAGCGGCAGACAGAATCCTCTCGACCGAGGCGACATTGCCCTCCATTGGTTGAACTTTATCCGTCCTGTCAAACCCATCAGAAATCAGGAAGAAAGACGCAGGTCAGGGTGTGGTCGTAAATGCGGCCCTCATACCTGGTTTGGATCCGAATGTCTGTCTGGACTCTGGCGATACCTTGCTGATGGATGAAAGTGTGTGCGAAGCCAATTAACTGTACCACCTGGTCCCAAGGTCCTTCTGTGCATGAACAGTCAGATCACGGGATCTAGGTGTAGCGAGACTCTTGGGGAAATATACCAATTGTCGTTCCCGTGGCATGCATCTGAAACTTCAGGCCGGACTGCTGGACCAGGCGCTGGACATCGGCGATTTGTTGAGAAAATGATGCATTCTGGGATCCAATCTGCCGGATTCTTCAGCATTCTTGGTCAATGTTCCATCTTCTACAGGATAGACAGACCGGGATCAGTGAGAAGTCGGCTGTACACCTGGAAGGTGTCGCCAGAGCCGGGTTGGTATAGGCCATGGCCATGCTATCTATTTAACCAGAGGTAGGGTCACTTGGCAGATATACAATTGTAAAAGAGCGAAGACGCAGAGAATACTTCCAGATCTGACATGGAAGTGACTACATTGTGACGTTCGTTGGTGGAAACCTATCGATGGAAACCGAATGCATTTGGCCACCGAGTCCATACTGTTTATTTGCTGATGGAAACTGCAATCAGAAGCACAGTCGGTGTTTATGATACTAGCACAAACTCTCTTCGAGCGTCCTTCCACGCCTCTGCAGAGGCGCACTGCCCGGTACATAGATGTCCTTGAACAAAACACCAAGTCTAGGTTCCGGGACAGGCATCTGCTCAGCTTGTTGAACCTCATGTTTGACCACTTTTCGTACTTCTCTATCAATATTCTTCGCCTCGTCTTCCGTGATGATATCCCAGTGAACTAATTTCGTCTTCAGGTTGGTAATTGGGTCGTTGGCCCGTTCAGCCTTCAGCTCTTCGCGGCCCCGATAAGCCACGCCTGGATCAGAGATAGAGTGGCCAGCGTATCGATATGTGACAAATTCATAAACAAGGGGACCATTACCCGCCTTCACATAGTCACGGCCGTGTCTGACGGCTGACATGACAGCCAGTACGTCCATTCCATCTACCCGAAGGCCGGGTATGTATTGGCCGCGTTTGTAGTACTCTGTCATGGCGGAGGCTCTTTCGGCGGAAGTTCCCATTCCGTATTTGTTGTCTGTTCGTGTCATATTAGCCCGTCACAGGATACAATGGAATATGCAAGATAAACTTACTTTCGCAGCAAAATATCACGGGCATATTCCACAGCTTCGCCATATTGAACGCCTCATGTACTTGACCTTGATTTGCCGCTCCATCGCCATATACATTCATGGTGACATTGGTCGTGTCGTTGTATTGCTGGGCAAATGCAATGCCAGCTCCCAGAGGCACATTGGCACCCACGATGCCATTTCCTCCGTAGAAGCTTTTGGCGTACATGTGCATCGACCCGCCTTTGCCATGTGCGATGCCATCGCGCCGGCCCAGCAGCTCTCCGATGATTGACCTGATCGTCCCCCCGCGCATCAAAGTAAAACCGTGGGCACGATATGCTGTAATCACTTGGTCTTCTTTGCTGATGGCGTGTTCTATACCTACTGAAACAGCTTCTTGTCCGGTTGACAGGTGACAAAATCCTCGGATCTTTCTCTCCTTGTACAACTGGTCGGCGGCCAATTCCAGGCGCCTGTAACCGTTTAGCTGTAGTTAAATATATCATTTCTCACTACTTACCTGACCTTTGTCATGTCATAATACAGCTGCTTCAATTGATTCTTGGTGGTTTCGATGGAGTATGGGGGCGGGTCGAAATTGTATGTCTCGAAGCACTTCTCTGGTATAGGGACAGAGAATGGCTTGTTATTTTCCTAGAAGAAGTTTAGTTTGAGTCATGTCTGCTTCAAAGAAAGTCAACTAACCGCTGGAATGTCTTCCAGGCTTGCTATTTGAGCAAGTCCTCGAGAGCTCTGTGACCGGTGCGATGAAAGAGTCGGGAGGATGGGCTCGCCTACCCGAGAAAGAAAGAATCTTCCTCGACTCAAAAACATGTTAGTACTAGATTGATTTCAGAGGTATCATATATCTTCTAAGTCGATTTCCTACGGTGAGGTATTTGTAACTTTGTTTCTCGTGATCTGTTGTGACGCAATCATGAACTCATAGGTAAAGAATTTCCAGCCGAGATAGTAAAGTGCAACGATGCAGGGAAACCACGTTTGAAGCACGGCAATCCTCAGCAATACAGTATTGTTCTGCTGGCTCAAAGAGGCACATTAACTTTGGTTCACTGGTTATATAGAACCATGCTGTGACGATGTACGCTATATGTCGTATCTAACAAGGAGTGTAGATACCAGCCAATATAAACTAGAGACTATGCATTCTCTCATGTTTCAATATCCTAGCCATGCCAATCATAATGCACGTTCATCAAACACACTGCCTAATCGGGTTATATAGGCTGACCTGCTCGGATCAACCGATTATCCGACCCCGATGACGCATCCCACCAGAGAGACAAGATCAACAATTGTGCTGCACAACGTCTCGGCTTCTTATTCATAGATCAAGTTTGCATCTTTTTGGTTTTGTTCATCTATCCACTGTCATTCATATGGTGTGACCTTGAAGGATATCGCAACACAATCTCCATCAGCAAAACTGCTTCCAGCGCGTCTCACCCCACGCGTAGCACCTGCACTGGCCTGAAAGCAAAGAGAGTGAGACTGCCTCATGCACTTCAAGAATTCAGCCTGCCATGGCGCGTCATACCCCAGCCGGCTCCGGTCGGAGTAGGGCATCGCGTGGCCGTGGCCCTTCTCGAAAGCGTGACAGAGATGATGATGAAGAGCTCCCCGACGTCTACCAGGAGATGCTGCAGGAGGCGGAAACGCGAGATCCTGCCCAGTTTTCTTCTGATCGGCCGATCAAAAGACGCAGGGCTGGAGACATAAAGGCCATACCTGTTGATCAAGGACGTATCCGGGCAGAAGCCGACGATCAACCAATTCAGACCATCTATGACTCTTCTACAGCGGATGAATCAGACGTGGAATGGGAAGATGTTGACATCACACAACATAGGGCAAGCTTGCCCAGTCCGATCTCAGCAGCTCATGGCGGCGAGGACACACTCCAAATTACTTTCGATCAAGGCTCTGGTAAGCCAAAGAAGAGCATTCAGCGGCGAAAGCCAGTCTCTGCAGCCGAAAGGAAAATTCGATTGGATATACATAAAGTTCATATTCTTTGCCTGCTAGCCCATGTCCATTTGCGCAATCTCTGGTGTAACGACCGGGAATTACAGGTACGTCATAACTTCTCAGACCTCAATTATAGTCTGTAACCCATTGATAGGGATTCCTTTCCAAAATGCTTCCCAAGAATGTGAAGAATTTGCTGCACCCAAGCGAAGACAAAGCGCAGTACCTCAGGTCTACCACATTCATGGATGGGCTGAATCAAGCTGGCGATATCTTTAGTCGAAGGTTTCGAGTCACAAAGCCGGGTTTGAAGCGTGCCCATTGGGCCGAGAGTCAAGATCAGTTGAAGCAGAAATTGGTATGTCTCTTTCCGACCTCCTTTTCAGAAAAGCTTCTCTGACAATGAACAGGAATCTATCATGTCCGACGCTGAGGTGTTTCTGTCAAAAGCAGACTTCATAAGTCAGGCCAAGGCCTTAGAGGGCTCTCGAGATTTTGGGGCTCAGTTGTTCTGTGCCCTACTACGATCTGCAGGCGTTGAGACGAGGCTTGTTTGCTCCCTCCAACCTCTGCCGTTCTCCGGCACTGTCAAGGATATGACCCCCGTGAAGACAGATCGAAAGTACATCGTGATATCCTCCGACGACCACGAAACGTCCACGGATGAGCATATCCGCCCGGGCAATTCTCCAACTCCTTCTCGAGCTCGCCGAATTGGACAGCCCCAGTTCACTCCGTCAAGACCATCTCAGCCATCTGCACGCTCCGGTTTGTGGCGTTTGTCACCGATTACTCTGTGTAGTTTTGGCAAAGCTAATATTCATAGGTCCTCGCCCGAATCTTCGAGAGTCCTCGTGCCCTGTGTTCTGGGTGGAAGCCTTCAATGAAGCCGTGCAAAAGTGGTTCCCGATCGATCCTATAGTAACCAAGTCACTCGCAAAGGCTGTCAAATTCGAACCTCCCGCCAGTGATCCGTACAACTTCTTGAGCTACGTGGTTGCCTTTGATGACGACGCTTCTGTCGTAGATGTCACTCAACGATACACCAAGGCTTACAATGCGAAGACCCGCAAATTTCGGGTTGAATCTACCCGCCACGGAGATAGATGGTGGCAGAAGGCGCTGGTCGCCTACGAGAAGCCGTTTTTGCTGGACCGAGACGAAGCCGAGATCAGTGAACTCACATCCAAATCAGCTGCCGAACCTATGCCACGCAATATTCAAGACTTCAAAGATCACCCAATCTATGCGCTTGAGAGACATCTTCGTCGCAACGAAGTCATTCACCCAAAACGCGTTATTGGACATGTCGGTCTCAGCAAAACAACGTCGAACAGTGACCATTTGGATACCGTGTATCGTCGATCTGATGTGCATGTCGTGCGCAGTGCCGACAAGTGGTATCGCCTCGGACGGGATATCAAAGTGGGCGAGCAGCCTCTCAAACGTGTCCCTGCCAGCCGAAGCAAGGCGGGGGTTCTCAGTGATGAAGACGATACCGAGCCCGAAGAGACGGCTTTGTACGCCGGGTTTCAGACTGAGATCTACAAACCGCCGCCAGTTGTCCAAGGAAAGGTCCCCAAGAATGCCTACGGAAATCTCGACATTTATGTTCCAAGTATGATTCCGCCTGGTGCAGTCCACATCAGGCGACCTGAGGCGGCTCGAGCAGCCCGGATTCTTGGAGTCGACTATGCAGATGCGGTGACGGGGTTTGATTTCAGAGGACGTCGCGGGACAGCTGTTTTGCAAGGTGTTATCATTGCGACCGAATACGAGGAGGCTTTGAACGAGGTTCTGAGAAGCATTGAAGATGACCGACTGCATGCCGCGTTCGAAGCCAGATCCGCAGAATCACTTCGTCTCTGGCGACTATTCCTGGCAAAACTCCGAATAGCGGAACGCGTAAAAGCCTACGCAGATGATGATGCACAGTCAGAGATGAGCATTGATGTTGAAGCAGAAGAAGCGGGTGGGGGATTTATCCCCGAACCTGGCCAGCGGCTTGACAGTCGACCCTTGGTGCTTTTGGGAGGAAAGGATTTGGCCCAGCGTGCCGTTCCGCCCATTCCCGAGACCAAAAATGGTCCGGCTTACGCATCGAGCAAAGACTATGAGTTTCCAGGCGGAGGATTCAACCCTGGTGGGCCAATTGACCAAGACTCGACTACAGCGCCTGCTGCCTCAACGAAAAGCCTACCGGCTGGTCTCCAACGGAACAAGGGAACCCGACTCCCACCCCCACCGCGCTATCAATTGGTCGTTGTTCCAAATGATAGTGTCAACAACAGTGGCAATTTGGAACCCGGCATCATATTTGGCAATTTGCCCACAACTCCAGCAGCAGCAGCAGCCGAGCCTAGATACCCCGAAGGGTCATCTGAACAGGCTCCCATCACCGTGGATTCATCAAATGAAGGTTCAAAGTCTGTCAGTGTTGAACTTACATCCAAACCATCTTCTCCAGAGCCGCAACGTCAATCCCCCGTGCCAATGGAACAGGATTCCGACAGTGAGATCGAGAAGGGGTCGTTAATGTCAGAGGATCCCGAGGATGAAGATGCCATTCCTGAATGGCTTGTGTAATTAGTATCTGCATCATGTCGAGTCGGCAATGAAGTCTTGGATGTCCATTTAACTAAATATTTTGTGGGAACTTGTCAATAATAGATCTGCCCTAATCGATATAGATCTCTCTTGGGGCGGTCAGATACTGCCGATGCGCGTCGACGCGGTCAGCCTCAGGCACCAGCACTTAAGCGTCAATTGACTCGGAGCAACATCCATCAACACTTTCAGTGCGGCGCCAAATGCCTGTGTTGACGTTTTACATTCCGGATTGCACACAGCTGTTGCAATGATACCACAGCAGAGTTCTGAACGCCCACCAGAGACCGCTCGCCATCAATTTCGCACACCCAGCAGACCCGCCTCTCACACTGGCTCCATATCTACGACCTCGAAAAGCACTACCTCGAAGCGAGCCCGGTCTCCGGCATCATCAGTGCTCTCGAGAACCCACAAGCGGAGTTCGTTGTCAAACCCCCGGGCCCAGCCCACGCTCACCCAGATCGACTTTGTCACGCAGCCTGAGCCGGATAATGATCAACTCGCATACGTCAATGAACCCATTCCTAGAGATGATACCCAAAACACAGCTGCCTCTACGGTAGACGATGGCTCAGACGACGATCTCGACTATCGCCCGCGGCCGGCTCGACCAGCCCGCGCTGCCAATGAACAAAGTGTCACCCGTAGACCAAGCTCTGGGGTCAATAGCCGAGATGCAGGTCGGAGCGGTGTACGAAAAAGTGCAACCCCAAGGGCAAGTGCAAAGACCAGAGGTGGTCGAAAATCCGCGGAGAAGCCGGGCACGAAACGAGACAAGACCCTCACGCAGATGGACTTTGTACGGCGATACATCACAATCGATGATGACGAGGACGATGCGAATATGCGATACATAGAACCATTCCCGCAGAGGAATGTTGGTCAGGAGGCACAACCTCCTCCATCTGTCGAAGCAGAAACTGAACGTCGTGCGCCTGGACGGGCTTTTCCGGAATGCAAGGGCAGGGTCCATGACGTGGAAGTGGATCTGTCCACAGGAGAGCCTATATCAGAATCAGGTGGTACCCATGAAACAAGTGTCAGTGATGTGCACAACGACGATCCAGCATCTGCGGGTCCGGTTACACCGCAGAAGCCTCGGAGACTCGAGATTCCATCCTCACAGTCACCAGAAAGCCCTGGACTCGCAATCATTACCTCATCCCAATTTCGCAGCGCCACACGTTCTCCTCTAAAACAAAAGACTTTGGACCTTACACAGCAACCCCCGAGCCCATCAAGGAGGAATCTCCTGAACCCCAGTTCTTGCAGGACGAAGGGAGCGATTCACTTGCCAGAAATTTGACGTTTGACTTTCCCAAAGTGTCGAGCTCTCTTCCACCACAACTCCCTACACCTACTAAGGTTAGTTCGGCTGCTCCGTCCACACCCCGAGAGGACGAACCCCGAATTGAACACCCGAAGAGCGAGAGGACCGTGGTTTATGAAACAGACGCGGGGTCCGACTATGGCGACTTTGACGATGACGAAGGCTCCTTGAAAAATGAAGCTGGGATGCCTTCTCAACCAAATGAGCTCTCAAAGGACGATGCAACAACGCAAACAAGCTCAACATCTCAACAGGACGACTCCCAGGAGTATCCTTTGCCCACCATGCCGCCTAATACGGACCGGGACTTCGGTTCGGCGGTCGAACCCTCATCAGATGCTTCGGTCTATTATCAGAGGCTGCATCCAGCTACCCAGTTCCCCCACGAACCTATACCGGCGCTGAATACGCAGAAGCTCTCCGAGCTGTTTTCTCACGAGGGTAGTGCTCGCTACCCGAAAGCTGGCCCACCGCGACCGTCTCCTCCACAACTCCCGGGACCACTGCCACAGACTCAAACCCAAACCCAAACCCAAAGTCAGGATGCAGGGAAAACATCAACTGAAGTCGTGCCCGAATCGTCTCCCATTCGAGGCCAAGAGAACAACATGGACTTGCCCGAACACTTCTTCCAGCGGCCTCCTGCCCCCGACCCCCTGGTGCAAGTTGAATCGTCGCAGGCTGTAGATCGGGGCAGCTCGCGGCCGGGGGTGTTGTCACGGAGCCAGCTGCTGACGTCCAGCGTGATGGAGAGTGTTCCGTTGCCGAATTTCTGGATGGGCAGTCAGGATAGCGTGGGCGAGCCGTACAGTCTGCCGGAGGGATAGTGTATGATTATTAGGAACTTGACGAATAACGAATCGACACCGTTAGCAATTGTCTACTTGATATAGTTAGTAACCACGGAATGAGTTCGTCCACCGCCCACAAGTGGGGCCAAACTATCCGAACGCGGCCATGCGGAACTTGACCTCGACAACTCCCCCCGACCGCCATGGACATCGCCTACGACCACATCCAGGAGGAGATCCTCTCAGCCAAGGAGCACAGCGAGGGTAGCGAGTCTAAGACGGACCTCAACGCCGAGCTCCAAGAGACTTTCCGTGCCTTTTCCTCCAGCCCATGGGGTACCCGCATCGGCGGCCTGTGGGACAACGTGCGCAAGCAGGGCGAAAGCTACTACGAAGGCGCCCGCCAGGAGTATGCCGCCGCCAGCGAGGAAGCCGTCAAGGGCTTCTCGGGTCTGCGGGATACCCTCGTTGATCGGACACGAGGGCTCTCCCTGAGCACGGCGACGCTCACGGGGGCTGCGGGCGAAGGACAGAAGGATGACGCGGCTACACCGACGGAATCGTCTGGGAATACCGGCAAAGGGAAGGAGAGCGCCAACAGCGAGGGATTTATCTCGCGGTTCAAGGCCGAGGCTGCGCGGCGACTCAAGGAGATCGAGAAGGCCGAGGACGCGGCCGATGAGGCCATCTTGCGCTTTGGGCTGAGCATCAGCCAGAAATTCCGCGACGCTGTCAGTATCGTTCCGCCCGAGACGGACGAGACCGGCAGGATTCTTTTCGAGAGCAAGGATGCTGATGGCAAGAGAGTTATTCACGCGACGCGGTTCGAGGCCCAACTGCATGTCATCCATTCCAACTTGGAGAGCTTCACCAAGGACCCCAGCAGCGAGCAGTGGCCCGAGTTCAAGAAGGAGTTCAATGTCGAGAGCAAGACGGACGAGATCGCCTCCGATCTGGAGAAGTATCCCGAGCTCCGGTCCGCCATGGAGAAGCTCGTCCCCGAGCAAGTGGAGTACGCCGATTTCTGGACCCGGTACTATTTTTTCCGCCTCATCGTTGAGACCGAGGAGAAGAAGCGCAAAGAGCTTCTGAAGGGTATGTCTCTACATCCTTTATATTTCTGCTTTTGTATCAATTATGCTAACCGCATTGTACTCCCTAGATGCCAATGTCGACGAAGAAGAAGAGGTCGGCTGGGATGACGATTCCGATTCGGACTCTCCCTCTACCCCCCAAGTCCGCGCCGGATCCCAGCATCTCGCCCCCAAAGATGCCCAGAAAGTCGAGCCGCGTCGCTCGAACGATCAGCAGTCCCAACCAGACAGCGAATCCAGCTATGACGTCGTTAGCGGCACTGTGAGCCGCAACCCGGGCAGCCCCAAGGAAAAGAGCCCGGATGCCAAGGGGGACGACAGTGATGAGGATTGGGAGTGAATAAACATAGCTGCTCTCGACAAGGGAGGGGCCCTACCCACTTCTTGCTTGCGCTTTGCGGTTCTGGATTTGCTGGAGTTTGGGTTTCGATACGGGTTTCAACGGCGTTGCTCTGGAGTATATCCCCCCTTTTGTTTTCTGTTTTTCCTCAACGTGCAAATTTCCTATCTTGCTTTTTGGGCCGGACTGGCTTCGGCGAATCAATCAAAGCCTTCTGCACTGTCTATTTTTGGGCCCATCTGATATCTGAATATGCACAACTTTCGCACTTCTTACATATTCCCCCTCTGGCAACTTGTATGTAGCACATCCGTCATTAAATCAATTTCAGGCTTTTCAAAATCATTATTATCCGCTGCAACGCTCAAATCTCCTAAGTCGCTGCACTCTCATTACACATACACATACATGGTCATAACTCATGCATGGCACACATTGCTATTACTCCGCCGTTCCCGATCCAGTGCCTTTCTTATCCTTGGACACAGACGCCGACTTCCTTGCTAGCGGCGACGACGCCTCCCTAAACCCCGAGTCATCACTATACGCAGGCGTAACACCGCGCAGCCCACTGGGCTGTCTCCGCTCCGACTTCACACCCGGCGAAGCGCGCTGCTGCTGCCCCACCCTTTCGGGCGTATTCTCCCGCGAGCGCAACCTCAGGCCCGCAGATCCTCCACCAGGCGAATAGAGCTCATCGTCTCCTCCTGGGTACCCGGAGGGACTACCAGGCATCCAGCCATACTGGTAATCCTCCCCGCGGCGCTTGACGGGGCTTTCGTCATACGGATCCCAGCCCACGCGGCGGCGGGCTTCGGAGCGGAGACGCTGGCGGTGCTGCTCGTCGCCACCGGCGCCGGTGGAGGAGGATTCCTCCAGGAAGAAGTTCAGGAGCTCGTCGCTGATGGAGAGGTGGGATTGTTGCTGGAATTGTTGGAGGGAGGTTAGCCGGAGGAGGGTTTCCAAGAGGGAGAGTGAGGTGCGGATGTTTTCGAAGAGGGGGTTGGAGACTGTCGTTGTTTCCGGGGCGGCGGATGGTTGGCGTGTGATATTTTTTCGGGTAGATGGGGATGGAGATGGTGACGGTGAAGAGGTGTGTCGTTTGTCTTTTATGGATAGCTTGGCCATCCTATCCGCTGCATTGTCGGTCGTGGGTGTCTGGGTTGTTTCGGATTCGGATTCCGAGTCGGACGAGGGGTCTTCGTTGTAAACTTCAAATGCAATCCATTCTGGATCTAACCCTGGCGGCAATCGCCATTCGTCAGGTATGAAGTCTTCGTGCAAAGAATTAAAGCTGGCGCTGGTCGGACCACCGGCTCCATTGAGTTGTGCGTCAAGCTGAGCCTGCTCCTCGTCTTCCGGCTCTTCATGCTCCGCTGGTTCCTCTTCCTCTTCCACTTCCTCGCGTTCCATCATTCGCCGTGGCGGCAGAGCGTTCAAATCTCTTTTCAGAAGGAGCACGGGGTTATTCGTTTCTCCATCAGTACTGATATTCAAAATCTTGCCCGTGTCGGCGTAAAAGATTTTAGAAATCTGATGAATTGGCAGAATCTCTCGTATTCCTGCCGTCATCAACCCCTCGTAACTCTGTGGCTGAGGTTCAGCGTCCTCAAAGGTATGGATTCGGCCGTCGTCCAGGTCCTCAATGATTAAAACCTGATAGGCGTATTCGTCAGTCCCGGCTTGTCCGGGGTACTGGGGGCGTTGTCCTTGGCCTCCAAGATCGTAATACAAGTCCATTGGCACACGTCGCACTTTCAATTTTGCCTTGTGCATGACTTCCTTCCACGTCGCCTCGCGCATTGATTCTTCGTCGTGGGGTCGCAAGTGGCTCGCAAACAACATGTACATGGACAGAGTGAAAGTCGGTCCTATTTGTACTGCCTGGGACGGCGACTGTGACATCGAATATTGGGTATCTCCGGCAGTAAGAAACGTGCTGGCCTGGAGAAGTCGAGAGGGAGACACAGTTGCTGGTAAGTTGGTCGACAGTTTTGCGCCGGATGTAGTGATGGCTAGGTTCATGAGCGGTACTGCGTCCTCAATGCGGACTAGCAAGGCCTTGATATCTTCGACAATGTGCTTGATCTCTGCATGGATTTGGGAACGATCTTGTGGAAATTTAGATCCTTTCTTCAGCTTTTCTTCGGATGCGGCTGCTTTGCCTATCCGTTGCCCCAGAGCTTGGATATCCCAGCGAAGAGATTTCGTGAGAGCAACAGCCGATTCCAGTGAAGTGTTGCCCCGAGCGGCACTAACAGGCGGTTAGGTTTTCGTGGTAAATATCAGAATGGGACGAGCTCACATCAGTTCAATCATGTCAATTGCAGGTGAAATGACTTGGATCTTGCTTTCCAGGCGTTGCTGCAATAATAGCAGCTCTTCCCGCTCTTTGCCATCTACACTCTGGGCGAATGAAGGCATATATCAGCATATCATCCCTCCATACTGGATCGCAGAGTAGATCATACTTTCAGCAGACGCGACGACTGGTTCATGGCATACGTCGCCGTAATCGCAATGCCCGAGCTGTAAGAAATTGTATTAGATAGGCGCTTGGTTCGCCGGTTGAGTGCTTACCGAATGGCATAGTTCATTGCCTGCTGTGTGAGCTACTCGCCGGGTACAAGTCAGATATCTGCGATAGGACGGCCAGCTGAGGGGAGAAAACGCACTCGAGTGAGAAAGATGTCCATTGTGAAGGCAGAAGACTGGAAATTGTGGCCTTCGAGCCTTCCAAAGGGATATTCTTCTGCTGCTCAAACTGCCCCTGAGCAATGACCGGCGTTAGAGGGGAGATTGAGCTTATCGATAACCGGCAGAGGTTGGCGTGCGGCAGCCCAGGTGTTGATAGTGACGGACGGCCAGACGGGGCAGCGCCTCTGGCTCCGAAGAAGGGTCAAACCAACTCCCGAAGTAATTGGATTCAAATATGGAGCGAGGGTCTCTCTGCGGACATAAAAAGAAAGAAAGAAAGTAAGAAAGAAAGCAACAATGAAAAGGAAAGCACGGTCCACGTGACCGCGTCGCGGGGCGCTGAGTCAGCCGTAAAAACCAAGCGAATGCTGGGCCCCTCCTTCATCCATCTTTGTCCTCTCATTCCTTTTGTGTGCCACCATGTCGAACCAGACTCCCGATAATTGGGAGGATGAGCTCTCCCAACAGACACAGGGTGTCAACCTGAACGCACAGGGTCGCCCTCAAGCCCAGGCGCCCAGCTTTCAGCCCGGCACCGCTTCTTTCACGCCAGGTGCCTCTTCGTTTGTCCCCGGCCAGCAGTACCAGCAGTATGGCGGACAGCAGTACGGTGGCCAGCAGTACGCTCAATATGGCCAACAGTACGGTGGATATCCTCAGCAACAAGCGTACGGCCAGTACGGAGCCGCATACAACCAACAGCCCGGTGGCTATAACCAATACTACAACCAGCCGCAACAGCAGCAATACGGTGGTTACAACCAACAGCCCCGTCAGAATGTTCCTGTAGCCGCACCGCAGCAAGCTGCCCCAGCTCAGTCCGCTCCTCGACCTGCTTCGAACGCCGCCCCTCCCAAGGCCAAGGTCCTGTCGATCGGCGCTACTTCGTCAAGTGCCGCCCCCAAGACTAAGGTCCTCTCTATCGGCACTCCCTCCGCCGCCCCTGCCGCCAGCACTTCGGGAGCCAACACACCAAAGGATACCAAGGGTGTGGCGGCCGCGGAGGCTGGTGCTAAAGTGATGGCTAGCAAGGCCATCGACAAGACGGAAAACAAGGCGGATGCGAAGGCTGCTGCCGCTGGTAACACCTCGCCTGCTCCATCTTCGGGCCGCTCGAGCCCAGGACGCGCCAGCCCCTCTCGGGTTGAAGCGGCCAAGGCTGCTCGTGATGTTGATGCTGTTGCCAAGGCGCAACAGGCGGATGTCGACGAGGCAACGCTGAAGGAAATTTATGGCGAAAAGAGAGAGCACGTCAATGTCGTGTTCATCGGCCACGTCGACGCTGGCAAGTCCACCTTGGGCGGCTCCTTGCTCTACTGCACTGGCATGGTGGACGACCGGACAATGGAGAAGTACAAGAAGGAGGCGAAGGAGGCCGGTCGAGAGACCTGGTACCTCTCGTGGGCCTTGGATTTGACCGCCGAGGAGCGTTCCAAGGGTAAGACCGTTGAGGTCGGCCGTGCCTTCTTCAAGGTCCAAGTTCCGTCGCCAGATGGCCCCATTGAACGTCAGTTCTCCATTCTAGACGCCCCCGGCCATAAGTCCTATGTGCCCCACATGATTGGCGGTGCTTCTCAAGCAGATCTTGGTGTCTTGGTTATCTCGGCCCGAAAGGGTGAATATGAGACTGGTTTTGAGAAGGGTGGCCAGACTCGTGAGCACGCACTTCTTGCGCGGAACACTGGTGTTGAGAAGCTCGTGCTGGTTGTGAACAAGATGGACGACCCCACTGTGGACTGGAGCAAGGCTCGATTCGACGAGTGCACGGTCAAGGTCCTGAAGTTCCTGGAGGCTCTTGGCTACAAGAAGGCGGACGTTTTCTGCATGCCCATCTCCGCTCAGCGCACTATCGGAATTAAGGACCGAGTGCCCAAGGATCTAGCGCCATGGTATGATGGACCCTCGCTGCTTGAATTCCTTACGGAATTCAAACTTCCTGAGCGTAAGGTCAATGCTCCCTTCATGATGCCGATTAGCGCAAAATACCGAGACATGGGTACCATGGCAGAGGGTCGCATCGAATCGGGTGTGATCAAGAAGAACGGCACTTATCTGATGATGCCCAACCGGACGGAGATCCAGGTCTCCGCTCTGTATGGTGAAACTGAAGACGAAATTCCGACCGCCACCTGCGGTGACCAAATCCGTCTGCGGCTGCGTGGTGTGGAAGAAGACGATTTCTTCCCTGGCTTCGTCCTTTGCTCGCCGAAGCGCCCTGTTCACTGCGTCTCTGCTTTCGAGGCCAAGATTCGTATCCTGGAGTTGAAGAGCATTCTCACTGCCGGTTTCAACTGCGTGCTCCACGTCCACTCTGCTATCGAAGAAGTCACATTTGCTGCCCTCCTTCACAAGCTTGAACCCGGCACCGGCCGCAAGAGCAAGCGCCCACCTCCCTTCGCCAGCAGGGGCCAGACGATCATTGCTCGCCTCGAGGTCACCAGCACTGCTGGTGCGGTCTGCGTTGAGAAGTTCGAGGATTACCAGCAGCTTGGACGATTCACACTACGTGACCAGGTATGGGTTTATTTGTCTCTCTCTTTTGCGTTTTTACTGACAACTTTGCTTTCCAGGGACAAACCATTGGTATTGGCATGATCACTAAGCTCATCCACAGCGATACCGACACCGCGTAAGGAATCTGTGGAGCGTACATAGCCCAGCATTCACTTCTCCAACAAAACACTCTCTGAAAAAAAGTTCAATGATATCAGCGTTTGATTTCTTGTCATGTCGTTCGTGCGGTCCATTTTGCCATGAGACAAGGGCTTTTGGTCCCGCAAAGCCAGTGGACATATACCACGGCCCGTCTGAAGCGATGATGATGAATTCTTCTTTCTGTTTGCCCCTCATAGATCTTTGCTCTAACCCTCCAATGAAAGCAGGTGGCCAATACTCGGGACGCTGTATCTTCTCCATTCTTAATATGCACGTAGTTTATACGGTAGTACACAAGGGATATCTATTCTATCCACGACGAAATGAGCTCGAACGTAAAACCTTCAACGCCTCTTCCCCACGACCTTAGTAAACCCATCTTCATCAACCTCCGGCTCAACCTTCTCCCTCGGCGCCCTCACCAAAGCAGGCGCATCGTCCATATCAACATCCATCCCGTCAGCACCATCACTATCCTCCTCATCATCCGTCTCCTGATCCTCATCCCTAGCCTCCACCTTCTTAAACATCTCCGCACCGCCACCAGCAGCCTTCTGCTGACTCTTCTGTTGATAATTCTCCCACATCTGCCGAATCGGCCCAAACTCGCCGCGTGCCGTCTGCATCTTCATCTCCATGATCTCCGCCGCAACGTTGCCTGCGCTCTCGTCGTCCACCACCACGTCGAACTCGTCGTTCATCACCTGGATCAGCACGTCCTCCAGGTCCTCGGCGTCTGTCTCCGGCCGCTCGCTGAGCATATCGGAGATCGCACCGCAGAGCCAGTCGCGCTTGTCGCTGGACGTTGGTCCGCCCCAGTTTGATTGCACTGCTAGCGAAAGCGCCGGCCAGCTGTTCAGGGCTAGTGTGATTCCGAGATCGAAGTAGGAGGAGGCATTTGCGGCCGCCGGGGGTTGGGCGGAGGGTGTGGCCATTGTGAAGATCTGCGAGTATGGAGATTGAAAAAAGAAAAAGTTTCTTTCAATCGACCGGGCCGTTTGAAAGGCGCGGAGGGAAGGTTCTGGCGTTTGCGGTTGCAGAAGCTCCGCGATATTCAATGGAGAGGACGGTCGGGCTGGTTAATGTATGAGGAGCGGGATCAATTATATGAGAGTCTCTTCGGGGGAGTGTAGAATGCAATCGTTCTTGATGAGTGCGGCCAATTGATCTGATCATCTCAAAATTTGGCGATTAGATACGATAAGGTCATGTGATCTCTACTCGCCGACAATGCTCTCTTTCGACAGAGCAGTTTCATGTCGTTCGTCGTAATTATTTATCATGGGCACCAAAGGAAAAAAAAAACAAAAGAACCCCCAGGTAGAACACGGACAAATGCTCTTGAGGTGTTGGGGGAAAAAAAGAGAGTTTGAAAGTTTGCATCAGCGGGGAGTCGAACCCCGGTCTCATCGTTTCAACAACCGGTTAAGGTAGTTATGGAAGCGAAGAATGATAACCGCTACACTACTAATGCTGATTATTATGAATTCATTACCAGAACAACCTTTCAATGATTGAAATTTCCCTAAAAAAAAAGGGTCTCGAATGCAAGGAAATCCACGATAGAAGCAGAACTGGGGCTCTCTATTTAGGTTGAAAGGACAAAGAAATTAGGAAGAACCAAATGGAGAATGTGGGCTTAACTGAAGGGGCCTGATATCATTGTTAATTCTTTGGTTACTCACAAATGTTATCGCTACACCACTGCGACGCTCATTTACTGAAGTGCTACGATCACATACCGACACAACATCCAGCTGCCAACTAAAGTACTATGGTGGAAGATCATGGATCACAAGTCCTGTAGCTTCAGGAGATGCCCTCAAGCTTTACTGTAATTTCGACGTCGTCATTACTAAAATCCGCACTTTGATATATTTCTTTATTTTGTCGCCTCTAAATAACAAACCCTAAATCCAATATCTTCAAAGCCCGATTCCTAATGATTCCATGCTCTGCTCATTCGGATCGCTGACATGCACCACGATCTTCCCCCTCGCACGCCCCGACCGAAGCTTCTCAAAGGCTTTCCCTGCATCACGGAATTCATACACGCTATCCAGCTGCATCTGAATCGCGCCCGTCGCCAACCACTCCCCAAGCTGCACAAGCTGCCTCTGATTATTCTTCACCATCACAACCACATATTTCCTCCGCCCACCACCAAGAAAAGAAGGCCACCCGACACGTCCGACAAAGGTCATCACATCCGACGCCCCAACCTGCACAAACGCCCCCTCTTCCTTCAGAAAATGATGGCACTGGTAGTACAGCGCCAAAGGCAAGCCAATATGATCAAGTATACAGTCGAAAACCACCTTCCGCTGCACCAACGTCGCCACCAGATCCGTCTCCGCCGTATAATCAATCACCTCATCCGCACCCAAACGGAAACACAGCTCCATATTCCGCGTCGAGCACGTCGTCGTAACATGGCACCCCATCTGCTTCGCGATCTGAATTGCCAAAACCCCACAGCCCCCAGAGCCCCCATTAATAAACACCTTGTCTCCCGCCTTCACATGCCCCTTCAGGCTCTGATACGCCGTCTGACCCGCAACCGGAACACCAGCCGCATGATCCACCGCTGCACCATCCGGCACCAGCGCAATCTTGTCCGCCGGAATACTGAGATACTCCGCCAGCGACCCGAACTGCATCGGCCGCGCCGGACATCCGAAGACCAGTTGGCCCACTTTGAAATGTTTCGCGAGGGGGACCCGTCGCCGCGACGCGGCCACAAAAGTCCATGCCTGGGGTCGCGGGCATGCCGATGACCATTCGTGCCGGCAGGCCTATTTCGGGCAGCTTGTAGTCCACAGGGTTCAGGGCTGCGGAGAGCACTCGCACCAGGACCTCGTTGCCTTGTGGGGTCGGGGGTGCGCGGGCGCGCACGTCTAGGTGCAGGTTCTTTTCGAGGCCGTGAGCTGTGCTGGAGTAGAGCCAGGCTTTCATGGATTCCGGATGGTACGCAGACATGTCCAAGGGGGGCATTGTTGGGTTCATTTTGGTAGATTTGGAGCCCTTTTTGGGTGCGGCTGGTTGAATCTTCCTTTTTATTTCATGTGGCTGAGTCTGGAAGATTCACGCCTTCGGCAGCTGTGCGGTGAATCTTAATTGAGGATCTCTTTTGAAGGCATTCCTGTAGGATGGGAGTTGGGTTTTCTGGCTGATTATTGGCGGATACTAACCGTGGTCGGTTCAGTGATGTCGATCAAGGGCACGCTATTGGTGCAACGTTTTTATGCATCCAGCGTTTCCTCTACTACCGCGCAGGTCCAGTCAACTGGACCCTGTGGTCAATATACGCTTCTGCGTTCTAATTTAAATTGTTAGTATGTGTTTCGTCCATCCACCCAGCCCTCTCGATACGGCTAAGGGTACCGCTAGACGGCGGTCGGTCATCGGACCGATGCTTACGTCCAGGAATGTAGACCGGCTCGTAGAACGGGTTCTCCAAGTCCACATTGGTATCGAAGTAGCGAGCCACGCTCGCGACGGCGGCGCCAGACATGTCTTTCATCTCCCTAAAGGGGTTTCTGATGGGGACGGGCGGGGGCTTGTTGTCAATCTTCTCGTCGACCTTGCCCTTGGCGACGCGGACGGTGGTGTCCGTTAGACCTGCCCTGTGATTCTTGTCAGTACTTTGTAGTTATCGCATGTGGAAAGAGACCCAGGGAAAGAAGGAAAAGTCGAAAGCAGGAGAGGCAGAAAAAACTTGTTGGTTGATTGCAGACTACTTTACCTCCAAGCAAACAACCGACGGATGGACTCCCATACGACCATGGTGGCCGCCAGGAGGAACAGCCACGCTCCGATCCAGGCGCCAAACTTCCCTACGCGTGTAGAGGGCATCTGACGCTGGCAGCCTCGCGGGTCTCACGCCGATATAGATCCAGCGTTTCCTCTACTACCGCGCAGGTCCAGCCAACGGGACCCTGGGGTCAGTCCATGCTTCTGCGCTCTAATTTAAGTTGTTAGTAGGCGTTCTGTTCTTGACCAAATGAAAGGGAATCAAAGACATCGCTTGCATTTCATTTCTGTCAATTTACTTACCTCATTCTTTGATGTCTCGTCCATCTACATTGCCCGTCTCAAAGCGGCTCTGTGTCATTGAAGACCGGGGGAGTCGAGGCGAGTGCCCATTGCCAGAAGGTGAACAGGCTCGTAAAACGGTTCCCTTACGTTCATCGCGGTGCTAAAATATCTAGTGACATTCGTAAGGGCGCTGTCCCTCATTTCCCTGAAGGAGCTCCTCATGAGGTCGGGCGGGGCGTTGTGTCTGGAGCTGTTTGGACCGCCAGGATTCATGGGAACCTGGGATAATCGGAGGTACGATGGGCGCAAAGAGGTCAGCCTTGTTGATGGCGAAGAGATAGAGTAATGGTAGTCTTGGCGATGGTGGTTGGGGCACCCCTATGATAGTGGTTAGTACTAACAAGAAGACCACAGCAAGGGCTTTCTGGGACCTGCTTACCGCTTGTTGGCCCGAAGACAACAGTCCAGGATGAATTAGCAAGGAAGATAAACACATCCGTCGTAAGAACGGACGGCTCAGCCGTGGAATCAGTCTCGGAGATGTGTGATGAATGAGGAAGAAGAATGAGTTGGAGGAAGGGGAAAACAGGGATTTATAAGACGCCAGGTGCATTTGTCTATTCACTGTTGGGTCGAACAATACCAATGCTCTTGCCTTCCATGCTCCTAAAGGCCGACAGTGCTCTTCACACAGGCAAACATCTAAGCGAACTAATCAGAAACATTCCATTGCCTTCCTGTTCCGGCCATCTTCTCGTTCCTCAAGGCGTCGAGGAAGCAGCGTATCTTGGTGGCAGTTCCTCAATCAGGTGAAATGGGTTATCGGTGTTACCGGGCTTCAACCCCAGCGTGGCGGCGAAAAACATTCGGCAGGAATACCAACAACGTGGATCCTTCTTTGAATGGACAGGTTTGAATTTTTCCTGGAGATGTAGCTTTTGCTCTGAGTCGAGTTCAAAGCCTCGGGCTTGTTCGCAACAGGAACACTCCACCGTGCAATGGCCAGCGGCGAGTTTTCGGTCTGTCATGGTTTGGCGATTTGAACAACATCCACAGCCTCTTCCACAGCATCCTCCCCTTCCAGCACAATCCTCACTAAGCACTTGGTGCATATACCACTTCGGGTGCGAGCGCCACAAGTCGAACCCTCGGGTCATCGGGCAGTCCTTATATGCACTCCGAATTTCCCACCAAAGCCGTTCCAAAAGCCAGTATTGCTTTGCAAGCTTTGACAGCTTCCCCTGTAAGCCTTGAACGAGAGTCACGTTGCGGTTCCCCTTGCCTTTCTCGATATTTTCCCCGATGATCCTGTTGAGCTTGTCTCTGACGGCCATCTCGCGCTGAGCAATTTCACGAAGCACGACTTCAGTCTCGAGCAACGCGGAAAAATCAATCTTAGTTGGATATTCCCACCACTGTTCATACCGATATTTCTGAAGAGCATAGATATTTCCTGATTTTTCTAAATCAGTCTCGGTAGACGTTTTGGCCATGTGTAGGGGCCCCTCATCGCTCATCTTGAATATTCGGGAGCAAAAGTTGCTCAATGATCCTCGCTGAAAAGGGCGGTATCTTGACTAAATGAATGTGATTCCGAAAGGGTTGTTTGAGGTGCGATTGAGGAGAGTGAGTATAGAGGTCCCAAGGTCAACCAATAAATATGATGTCAGCCCTTATTCGTCCCGCGCCCGAAAAGGAATGGGTCCCTGTTGGGCATGGAACTTTGCCAGAGCCGGAAACCCGAGAATATGGACTAGTGCTATTTAGGATTCCAATAGGAAAAGGGTACAATGGGTGACCGCCACTAGCTTTTTATATACTAAATTAATTTCTGACCATAGCTCGCATTATTTTTCCATTCAATCAAGGACGGCATTCAATTAAGAAAAGGGAGTCAGATCTATGCTACCATGAAATACGAACAACGTTTTTTCTAGTCCTTCAGCTCATCTAAAGCTTTTCAAAAACTTCAACGGCCGCATTTGCGGTGGAAAGTGCGCTGGCAGGATTTTGGCCAGTCACCAGGCGACCATCAACAACATGGAAATCATCCCAGATGCCAGCAGAACGTTCATCTAGACAAATATCAGTAAAGATATACCAGGACTGAAGAGTGATATATCAACTTACAAGTAGCACCCAACCGCTGGGAGAGTTCTTCCACCATCTCAGTCCCCAGACCCCTCAATTCGCTCATAATACCCATGGTATTCTCGGCCTCCGTGGTGAACCCTGTGAGCTTCCTGCCCTTGATAAGAGGCTCTCCAGTAGTAGTGTCAAGCAAATTGGCAAAGATAGCAGGGCCATGGCAAACAGAAGCCACAATGCCGCCATTAGCCCAAACCTGCTCGGCGATCTTCTGCAGCGCGCTGGCAGTGGGATAATCGATGAGCGCGGCGTGGCCAGCGGAGGCATAGAACAGGCCGTACTTCGACCCGTCGAGGTCAGCTGCTTTGGTCATATTGTCGAGCTTCTTCCGGAAGTCGCTGTTCGTGTCATTCCAGATCTCCAGGTCTTCGCCGTTCAGGAAGTCTGGCTGCTGGGAGAGCCAGTCCGGCGTGTAGCTGCCAGTCTCGGATGACAAATCTACTTCGAAGCCGGCGGCCACGAGCACTTTGTAGGGATGCAGGGCTTCGCTGATGAAGAGGCCGGTTGTTTCTTTGCCATTGAACAGCGTGGCGCTGGCTGAAGTAATGGAGATGAGAGCTCGGCGGGCAGGCATTTTGCTGGTGTTGGTTGGGAATGTAAAGTGAAGAAGATGGAGCTTTAGGCTTGTTGTGTTGAGATGAATCTCTGTTTTTGCTGTTGCTGCTGCTGTTGGTTTGCTGCGGTTGTTGTTCTGGGTTTTACCGGGGGTATGAGCACCTTTTTATATTCCAACTGGAATCAATGAGTGAGGACATTCCTTTCTAGAACGTGAGGTTCCAGGTTACTGCTACATGGTGGCTGCATATAAGCTCCTAGACTCCGATTCCTAGACTCCGAAACTTGGACTACAGATATCTGGACCGGATTCGGCACGTAGGCTGTGAGCTAGTCTGGATCTGACTCCTAGACTCCGGCTCCTAGAGTCCGTCACTACGCCCCTAAACTCCCAAACTCCGCGACACCGAGACTCCGTGGGCACATATCAATTAAGTGGGTTCAGGTTTAGCGTGACGGAGTTGCGGAGTTGCGGATATGTGGGGCTGAAATAGGGCAGAAGTCCTCGCAGGTAGCCTATCACACTTCTCTCAGGCGATCTGACTCCGGAACTCCGTGAGTAAATGAATGGTATCATTCCGTGAAAAACACATTATTGACAGTCAGGATTTATAACTAACCGGAGACATATAAATGCGGTTCTTTGAACATATTAGGACTCTAAGACTGCAACGGAAGTCATTGGATTAAACACTCTCGCGCAATATATATATCTGACTACGGGTCGCGATCCTTCACTATTTCCCAACAACACTTCATACCCAAGTCAACATGAATTCGAACACAGACAAATACATCCCTTCAGAGTCCAGACTCTTCAAGCCGTTGAAAGTTGGCTCCTTCACGCTACAACATCGCATCGTCTTCCCACCTTTGACTCGCCTCCGCAGCGACGACGGCCATGTTCCTCTGCCGCTTATGCAAAAGTACTACGCCGACCGTGGCTCCTCACCCGGGACGCTAGTTATCTCAGAAGCCACAGCAATTTCACACCTTGAAGAGGGCAATTGGAATAATCCCGGATTGGCCAGCGATATGCAAACCGAAGCCTGGCGCAAAATCATTGATGCTGTCCACGCCAACGGGTCCTTCTTTTTTCAGCAGATCTGGGCTATGGGACGGGCATCTCATCCCGACTTATTGGCAGCACGAGGGTTCCCCTACAGATCCAGCAGCGCTGTGGCCATGAAGGGCTCCGCAATTGCACCCAGAGCTATGACGGAAAACGAGATCTTGGAGACTATCCAAGACTTTGTCAACACAGCGAAGCGTGCAGTTTCGGCTGGTGCTGATGGCGTTGAGATACACTCTGCGCACGGTTATCTACTCGATCAGTTCCTCACGTCCAGCGTTAACCAACGCACTGATAAATGGGGAGGCTCCATCGAAAACAGAGCTCGGTTAACGCTAGAAGTTGTCAAGGCTGTCGTCGGAGCTATCGGAGGTGAAAGAGTGGCTATCCGGTTCTCTCCATATGCTGGTTTCCAAGGGTCCGAGAAGACCGATTTTCTTGAGCTCTACACGTACCTCATCACGGAGCTCAAGAATATGAACGTGAGATTTGCCTACCTGTCTCTTGTCGAGGCAACTGGGGACCCTGGAGCCTTGATTTGGAACGACAAGAAGATCCATCAGGACAAGACACTGGATTTCATCCTCGAGGAATGGGACAATCTCTCACCTGTTATCGTTGCGGGTGGCTACCAGCCAGATACCGCAGCCTGGGCAGTCGAGAAACGTTACCAAAAGTGGGACGTGATGGTCGCTTTTGGTCGCCATTTCATTGCCAATCCGGACTTGGTCTTCAGGATTAAGAATGGTATCCCTCTGGCACAGTACAACAGACCGACTTTCTACAGCCACAAGCAATGGTTGGGCTACAATGACTATCCATTCAGCCCGGAATTTGTGGAGGCACACTCACATGCTGTGCATCCAATGGTTGAGCAGAAGGAAGAGGCAGTTGTCGCATAGTAGAATTTGTGGTTTAGTCACGTTGGTCCTGGAACCACTTGGCTTGATATATTTATAAACTTCCATAGAGCTTAGAACAGTATCTTGAACATCTAGAATTGAGAATTTTGTCTCTAGTTTTGGTCCAAGTTTCTGAATCTAGATCTATACTATAAGCAATCACGTGATGGTCATTGCTCGGTCGGCATTGGCCCGTCGGCCGGGTTCTAGCCCGAGTGGAAACCATCTGTCTTACACACCTCACCACCACGCGTCTGAGCATGGTTTACTGGTGGACGGCTTGACCCCGAATTGTGGGCTACTGCAATCGACATTTATTGACCTGCCATGCATGCACCGGCGCGAAACAGGATAGGCACGGCGAAGGCAAGCACTTCTATCAAACCCCTGCGGAAGCAAGTCCCACGCGCCTGCGACTGGTGTCGCGCGAGAAGGGCCAAGTGTGACAATGAACGCCCATGTAGAGCCTGTATTCGAAGGAATGAGCCATGCCTGCAGAGCGGATCGGATGAGCCTAGAACACTACCACAGGCGATGAGGTATGGAATTTCGCTTGAAGCAGTGTATAATTCCATCATCTAATGGTATCTTTATAGAGAGGTAGAAAGGCTAAAAGGGCACATTAGCCAAATCGAAGATGAATTGCTCTGGTACAGAACCCAGTACCCGTCGAGCTCCATGGCCAGCTCGATGCGGACGCCCAGTTCTCCTGGACAGACCTCTTTGGCTGGCCCAGCATGGTCGTCCAGTCGCACCAGCCATTCACCCCCAGACATGCACATGTCGCAAAGGCCGACAAAATGGGACTACGATCGACGCAGCCCTTGGGAGGGCATCGAGATCGGCACTGCTCGCTCTCCAAACTCGTCATGGTACGGGCCGTCATCGCTCTTTCATTTCATCGGCCGCATGAATAGTTACTTGGGTACCATCCTCCAGCAGACCCAAATGTCGAACCAAATGGTTCTTCATGGCTCCGCAAGTACACTATTAAACGGTACAACCGATAAGAACCCAGAAGACGACTCAGATCAGCAAGTCGCCGTTTCCGCTGGAGACCCCTTTGCGGCAGGGGAATTGCTGAGCCCAACACAAGAAGAGTACTTTCTCGATCTGTTTTGGAAATCTTACCATACATGTCTATTTCCTATCATCAACGAATCCGAATTCATGGACCACTATCGATCACTGTGGACCGCATCTGGAGACACAAGAAGGCCTTCTGCGCTCGTTGACATCGTGATTGCCATGTGCATGCAGTACGGTATTTCACAGTTAGGCCCTCAACGACAAAAGCCCATCATCGACGGGGACGCCAGTGTCGCCGGCCGTCGGTACTTCCAACGTTGTCAGCAGCTAGTTACCTACCAGCTTGAAAGCCCCACCATCTCGACGGTACAATCTCTTATCTTGTGCTCCATATACTTATGCAACGGATCTTTCCAAAACATGTCAGCTACCTGGTGTGGCACGGCCGCTAGAGCAGCTTATGCCGCCGGGCTACATGTCGCGCCCTCGGACGCGGTACCGGCACCGGAACGCGAGCTGAGGAAGCGTTTGTGGTGGGCTCTTTATGAGCTTGACGCCAAAGTTGGCATAAAACTAGGTCGTCCGTTTCTTCTCCATCGTTCCTCTGCCGAGCCGGGGCTTCCAGACGACCAACCTGAAACTGCGAAGCAGTCGGGGTCTCATTTGGCTCATTTGGGCGAAAACAAAACATGGCTCAGTTTTCACCTCTACAACTCGAAGCTCTTCATTGTTGCGCGGGAGATTCACGAGGCATTCTACACGAAGGATGTGAACCTTCTCCAAGGACAGTCCATTTGGGATGACCCCCAAGCTCTAGAGTCTCATGCCGAGTTCTTGCAGCTGCATGCAAGAAGCCTAGACCAATGGGTAGATGAACTACCACGTGCTCTCAAAACAAGCAGACAAGAAGATGGCATCCCCTTCTCCACAGATGGAACCAAACTGGACATCGAGCCGTTTGCGCCAGTATGGCTCCAGCGTCAACGCCTAAATCTGGAGCTGATGTATCACAATCTGTGTACTAACATCTATCGACCCTTTATCTCTTTTGTCCCGGGACCTCCTTCAAGTTTGGCAGAACACTTGGCCACGAAATGCGCTCTCCATGCTATGGCACTCACCAACATAATGCATCAAACGCTGTCATCAACAACCATTCTAACTGGTTGGCATGAGGCTTTCCAATGGCAGTGGAATGCATCCATGACCATTGTTGGTTTTGTACTGGCTTATCCGCGTGGTGCGCTGACACCAGAAGCCATCCAAGCAGTAGATCTGTCTATAGCCGTCTGCGAAATATTTGGAGAGCGCTTCTCCGTTGCGACCAGCGCTGCCAATATCTTACGGAGCCTCGGCCCCAAGATCAATTTTCTGCTGCAGTATCATTCGGAAACGCACACCGCACTACAGGAAGATCAGATTGAACAGGGAAATGCCACCGATGGTTTAATCAAGCCAGCAGCTACTACAGAATGGCTTGATAATATCATGGCTGGGACTCCTGGGTTTGATGCTTCTTTCATGATGCCGATGCAGGACGTGTTCCAGATGGCTTATTCAATTGAGCAGTGGAGTGCTTTGGATAACCTATTGCCGAATATGGAAGGTGACCTGTGGAGCTTGCAAGGTTTAGGGGCTTGATGAAACTACTCATAGTGGGAATGCGCAAAAGCTTTCCCATCATTTTCTTTCTGCTTGTACAGGACCGGTCCCGGCATGATAGCTACCTAAGTATGGTATGGTTGCCGCGCGGGAATTATGGATGACCTACTGGCCTCTATCTAGCTCCCAAAGCAATCGTTCGAATGTTGGTTGTGGAGTATCTCTCTTTGTCCTGATCGAGTAATGATGAAAGATCTTGATGTATCATTGGTATTTATGCTACTGTACCTCTAGACATGCGGTTTGGTTAGTCGGTCCTAGACATATGGGTTTGTTACGGAATGAAATCGCCAGGAATCATCGTGCATGCCACTTGGTAATTGAGAGTACCAGTTTTTATTTTGATTGCCATAGTGTTCTGGGAGTTAAGCAAGGGCACGGCGTGGTCTACCAACATTTGGTTGCGTTCGTGTCAGTGTTGTCATGACCTATATTGGGTGATCACGGTGCCAAATTCTCCGTTGCTTCGTGAAAAGAGAAAACCGTCTTGGACTAGATAGATATGAACATTGAGGTTAATTCGTTAGCACGCGGGACCATCTGCTGGTAAGACCAACACAAGTATAGTAGACCTCTTATGAGTGCCTTGAGCGTTCAACAAAAAGATGAGATAGAAGATCATACAACCCAGAAGGCAGCTCCGGAAGCTTCGGGGATTGTTGACAAGGCATGTACCCGGGTGGAACGCCACACTCTGGCATGCCCACGTTCAGAGGCGCAAGCAGCGCGATGCGAGGGCCCGCCTCGATGCGGACACGGCCCACCGATGTGCATGCATTGCAGCCTTTGGTCTCCCGGGTAGCAAGCCCTGATATGCACGGATCTCTCTAGGGCCGAACGGACAGGGAAGTGGATGTTGCATTAGCTGCAGATGGTAGCGCACCCCGGCCACGGGGTTCGATTGGACGACGCGCTCTACTGCATCCTCAGACGTTTTCCCCAGCTGGCCAATCCGTGGCCGCTGACCGGATACGGGGCGGCGGGCCCTCTCAACTTCGAATACCCCAAGGTGAATGTATCGCCCACCATTTGTCGCCTAGCACCAGCATGTGCGTAAATGGGTGCGGGAGTGTCCGTTAACTTGGAAATCACGGGATCTGGCGAGCCCGGCGCTGTGGGAAAGTGCATGCGGGTCTGAAAATTCAATTTCAACGTTGAAGCAAGCTGTTCCGGAGGGCATGGGGCAACAAAATGACCAAAAAATGGCACCGAATCATCTGAAATGACTCAAAACAACGCGTCTGGCAGCTACGCTGTTGGGCACGAATCTCGCTTGTGATCTCCTATTGCTTTTGGACAAATCCTGGGGGCCCAAGTCAAAGTCTGGTACACCAAGGGCAGACTAGGGAATTTCGGCGGCAAGACCGGGGGCTGAGGGGCAAAAAGGCAGGGGGGGTTGGGGAGTTCGATCGAGGGCCGCAGTGCTGATGGACAAGTTCGCCGCATAAAAGAACCGAGTCCTCCCAGCAATTACGTCCCATTGAGGCTGCTGGCCATCGTGGTCCAGGGATGTTGAGTTGGCCATGTCATGGATCGTCTGTATCATTCCAAGCCGCGGACGTAATGAGGTAGCAAATCCGACGATCTAGTGCCCGATTGATGAGAGATTCCTTAGGAGAATCGGAGACACGGATGCAGCCACTGTCAACCCATCCTGGACAAAGATTAGTGTCCGTTGATTCTTGCGAATGAAAATAGCATCTGGGCCTCTGGGTGGAACCAGTCCGATATTCGCATTTGGTGTCCTCTCGTTCTCGGATCCAACCGTCAAGCCCCGGGTACTAGGACTGGACATGGAAGACCAAAAGCAACGCGCCACGTCATAGTCCCTGAGCTCTTGGTGCGGCTGCATGGTGTTCAGCAGGATGTGGAAGGAGTCACGGTTCTTGCCGGCGAGGAACGCCGCGAAGCAATGATATCCTATCATTTCTGTAGGCGATGACAATGAACCATACACATGAGCGGGAACAAATGCAGGATCCCTCCTCTGCAGGTGCAAGTGATCAGCTGAACGAAAATGGATCTATCTCGTTCAGATTGTCTTTGGACCGGGCGAGAGTCAATTCAGTGGCTCATGTTGACGGATAAGGTAAGAGTCGGTGATGCGGGCCTCGGGTGACGCGACTATTGCCACTCGCGTGACAATTCATTGGCTCTCAGGCACGAAGCGGAAGGGTGCGGTAGGTGTGAAACGGGGATCATAACTGAATTCTGATACCCCTGCGAATTCAGAGCTCGACAGGGGAAAGTGGGTGTGAGGGGATTAACAAGGTATGGCCGCAGCACCATACGCGGAGATCAAGGCAGTAGGCCCGGTGAGAAAAGCCTCAACGTATCCAGTAGCATATGCAGATGCGGTAACGCAGAAAATATTGGATAGAAATTTCCGTCGTAGAGAGGTGTGGCTTCCGATAGACAATCCGTGTTGAAGTTCACGGCTGAGGCCATATGGTTGAACCAATCAATGGTCATTGTGTTGGAAAAAACATGGGATTATCGAACATTCATTTTGGGCAGTCAGAGGGGAACGTGCAGGCAGTCCCCACGCACTCGCAACAATAGTGCCTTCGGCTCTGCATGGAAACCAGGTAATCCTGGTTGGAGAGCCCCGAGGATTGCATCAGAGCGACAGCTGGCAAACGCCAACGGCCCTCCAAGGGGGGCTGGCTTCATGCGAACGGCATCCACATGAAGGCGGGGAAGGCGATTGACGGCGACATGACTGCAGTGGTCGTATCACAGAGACAGAGAGGATAGCAGCCATGCATTGCGGGATTTTCTCTCCCTGGTGCATCCTGTGGAGATAGGGCATCGCCACAGCAAGAAGCTGCATGCATTGATGAAGCAATCGTTTGATCCTGATAGTCCCATTCCGGATGTCCTGGGCATCGCACGGTCTCCACCACCCGGAGAACTGCTGACAGCCAACCGGATCGACCAAGAAAAGGAGGTGTGGATTCTAGTGACGGAGAGCCCATGGGTGATAAGCCGTCACACAGCGACGAGCGTCGATCAACAAGCCGATGACACGAGCATTGGGGAGCCAGACCATGGCATGAGAATCTTGTCCAAAACATAAATAGAGGAGTTGAGTCCCTCAACTGCTTTTTCACAATCAAACCCAGTTTCAAACTGCAAGCATCAGACCATCAATTGAGGTCAATAGATATTCCTCCAAAAAGCGTTAAAATCAAAAGCTGTTTCAACTTAATTGAACAACCCGCGTCGTTGGCCAGCTCTGTTAAAGGGGTAATCAACATTGCCAACTCGAGCTTGACAGTCACGTACCACCAATAGCGCTCGTGATCCAGGCTGAAACCACGACCATACCTGTGAGCCAGTAAGTTTCGGATCGGCGGTATCAGATGGGGCAGCGTTAACGGATCTGATAGGCATGTGTTTTTACAACCAGAAGCGATATGCCTGTGGAGACTGGAGCTGGACGAGCTTTGCTCACCGGTGCAACTACGAATACCGTACGGGCGAAACATGCGGCATGAGGCTCGTCAATATGACTGAGAACGACAACAGCAAGTGTCGGCTCTGCGAGAAAATCGAGACCAAATTTCGCCGTCGTAGCGCCGAGCTTGACCGGCTGGAACGGTGGAAACGCGAGGGAGCCACGCTGATAGCCTCGATGGATCGATCTCTGAAGCTCATCAAAGATCTGGATACAGAAATCCGCTCACTGCAGAAGGAGCGCGAGGATCGGAGGAGCACTCTCACGAGATAGGACGGGCCTCTTGATCCTTCAGCAGGAACATTTGGTTTGGTTTCGGAATGTTGATGTTTGCTTTTTCTTCTTCTCTCTCTGTTTTTTTTTCTGGGGAATTTCCAAGGCGTTTCATGTTTCACCATTCCACGGTTGACTTCTTATTCGAGTTGGGTCTTCACATTAGGGCAAGATAGCAACCCCTTCGGGGGGAAATGACGAAAAATCTCATTGGTCGAGTTCCTGAAATTCCCTGATTGATAGGCTGTAAATTCCCTTAGTGGCAAGTCTCCGCTGACAGGAGAGACTGTGGGATGGAACACCCCTCTGCTAAGCGCCCTGAGGTCCTGGGTGAGCGGTTCGCTGAGACGGTCTCAATCGCATGGTAGAGGGGCCCAGTCTCCGCAATTGAACAGGACGGAGAAGACCTGAAACACAAAAGAGTTGAGCTGCCAACCATTCGATTTTTCGTGGCGAAGAAATCCCCATAGTCGTTAGGGCAAAGGGAGAGCACAAGAGGACGAACGATGCCCCTCAATAATGAGAGCTGGCACGTGACCAAGCGGCGGCGTATGGGAATCAAACAATAACATTGACATTTATGATCTGTCCTTATTGTAAGTCTAGGAGTCGGAGAATTAAATATCAGTCGCTGCGAGGATCATCGCTAACAAACTACGGATTCTACCCGAGGGCTGACCGGGGTCACAAGCCATTCGGGCCCCCATAGATACGTGGACGTGCCTGTGTGCAGCGGTGGAAGTCAAGCTCGTCGAATGGACTACTCAAGACAACAATTGAATTGACGACCAGGACAAGTGGACGCATGCCACGTCACAGAGGGTGCAGGAGACGGACGGATGGTGGGAGAAACCCAGTTCGATTTCAAGTATCTGGAACAGAAGAAAGAGCGCAGAAAAGACCCCGTCTATTTTATGTCGCCCGCCTCAGGTTCATCATCGACCTTGGCAAGTCCTTGTTCCCGCAGCAGAGCATCAATCTCGTCGGCGGTCCATAGGTGGTGGTAGATCTTGCCATCCTTAGTCCTTCCCACTGTTGCAAACTCGACTGGGAAAGGATGGTCAGTAAATTGATCAGCATAGACGGGCAAGAGATATACTCACTCTTCTCGCTGCTCAGCTTTGTCGAGTCCATCGTCTTGCTCAGAACCTTGACCGCCATGGCACACGCCTCCTTCAAATCACAATCTTCCTTGTAATCCTGCTTGAGGAGACTCTGTGCACTAGCATTGTTGGCGCCCACGCTCGTCGCCTTCCATCCACCGTAATTCCCGCTTGGGTTGCTCTGGTACAGCTGGAACTGGCGGAGGTGGTCATACCCGGCATAGATGAACGACACACCGAACGGACGGAGACCACCATGCTGGGTGTATCCTTGCTTCAGGTCGCAAAGCCGGCGGACGAGCTGTTCGCAGGGAATGTCTTCGTTGTAGGTGATGAGGTAGCGCTGGGCGTTTTGGCGAGCGTAGTTGATCAAGATGTTGGCGTCGGCATTCATGCCCGCGACGGCGCAGATCATGTTACTGCTAGACATTAGCGGATCACATAACACATTATAGTAGAGGCGGGGAGGCAGGCGTACTCATTGATGGTGTAGAGCTTCTCAGCGGAGGTGTCCTGCTCCAAGAGCTTGCTGGTCACCTTCCTCTCGGCGGCGAGCACAATTCCATCCTTGGCAAGAATCCCCAGGGCTGTACCTGCATGGGAGATGGCTTCGAGCGCATATTCGACCTGGTACAATCGCCCCTCTGGGGAGAAGATGGTGGTCTGGTGGCATCAGTTAGCTGGAGCTGTTGGGGACCGACGGGATGACGGAATGGACACACCCGTGAATCATATCTCCGAGACATGGTGCATGAAGCAGAAGAAGGGGAGAGAGAAAAGGAATATTATAGATAGGACACGAGGGTAGAGGGAAGGTTGAGGGATGATGGATGGGAAGGTCAGAAGCTCCGGCAGCATGACCAGGCAGCTCGCCCTCGCGCGTCCTCATCACGTGATATATGAACGATATCGATTGGGTTCGAACTTACATTATAGACATTTACTTACTCTCCCACCACACATTGACCATGCTCAAGTCGACCTATACTCCTCCTCCCCCTTTACCCCCGGGGTGGTCGGAGCATCGCGCTCCTTCGGGTGGGTTTACGTCCATTCTGACCCTCCACATGCCATTTTCTAACTCCCCGTCGCAGGTCACTTGTACTATTATAATTCCGCCACAAAGCAGTCGACATATATCCGCCCACAAGTACAGGCTCCTCAGCCTCCTCAGCCTCCTCAGCCTCCTCAGCCTCCTGTGACCATACCAGATGCGTCTCAGTCTGTACCATCCTTTACTCCCGAGACCCTCCCACCGTTTTCCTCAACGCCGTACGGGCCCGCAGGCTCCGATCCCACGCAAATTGGAGCGCCACAGCATGGCCGTGGTCGAGGAGGGTTTCGTGGCGGAAAGGGCTACCATGACCGGGGCCGACGAGGCCCCGAAGACAGGCCAAAGTCGAAACACCCCATACCGGACTGTGCGCCATGGCTGCTGGTGAAAACCAAGCTTGGCCGGCGGTTTGTTTATAACCCAGAAACCAACGAGAGCTTTTGGAAGTTTCCCCAAGAGGTACTGAAGGGGGTGGTTGAATATGACCGCCTGGAGCGCGAGAAGCAAGAAAGAAAAGAACGAGGCGAGGAGCCCGAAGAACGAGTCCCTACAGAACAAGTGACAAATGCTCCGCAAAAGGAGGAAATTGCTTCTGCGGAATCTCATGCTGCTGTTGAGGGCGCTGAGGGTGCTTACGATAGTGATGAATACGAGGAGGTTGAGGTGACGGACAGTGAAGGGGAAGGCGACCAACCGTCAAAACGTGCCCGGACGGAGAGCGAAGGGGCCCAGGACCAGCCGGTAGAGTTCACCGAGGCGGACCTGGAATACCAATTGGCTGCCATGGGGGAAGAATATGGGTTGGACCCAGAAGAATATGGCGAACCCGGGGAAGATTGGGAAGAAGGTGCAGAGGGTCTTGCATTGACCGACGCTGATGCGGAGGCGCTCTTCCGGGATCTGCTCGACGACTATAACATCAATCCGTTCACGCCATGGGAAAGCATCATTGAAGAAGGCCGCATATTTGATGATAGCAGATACACCGCGCCTCAGAACATGAAGGCACGGCGCGAGATCTTCTCCAATTGGAGTCGGGACCGAATCCAAGAAGTCAAAGAACGCAAGGAGAAGCAGGAGAAACAGGACCCGCGCATCAAGTACCTGGCTTTCCTGCAAGAATACGCCACGCCCAAGCTGTACTGGCCCGAGTTCAAGCGCAAGTATAGAAAGGAGCCGGAGATGAAGGACTCCCAGCTCTCCGACAAGGACCGCGAGAAGTTCTACCGTGACTATATTTCACGGCTCAAGCAACCCGAAAGTAACCGCAAGTCGGACCTTTCAGCTCTCCTCAAATCCGTCCCGCTTCATGCCTTGAATCGCTCGTCCAATCTGGAGGCACTGCCGACCTCAGTAATCACCGACATTCGTTACATCGCCCTTGCGCCGAAAGTGCGCAACCCATTAATCGAGGCCTTCATATCCACTCTCCCTCCCGCACCCGAGGAGAAGTTGACTGCGGAGCAGCAAGCCGAGCTTGATCGGAAACGAGTCGAACGCGAGAAGCGTGAGAAGGCTCTGGCGGATCGAGAGAGGCGGGTGGACGAAGAGAAACGGCGCCAGCGTGGTGATCTGATTCGGGGCAAGCACCTCTTACGAGAAGGCGAGGCCGAAATCGAAGAGGCAATGCGAGTCGGAAAGGAAGGACTCCGGAGCTACATGGAGATCGACGAGGTGGCCGGCGACGAACAAGAGCCGTGATTAGCACCAAATATGTACACTACTGTATTAGATGGACAAATAATATGGAGGAAACAGTTCATTCAATTCCTGAGGGTATCATAGTAGACCAAGAGAGAAAAAAGTGTTCATCTCATCATCATTTGAAGCGCCAATCATCCCAGTCCTCGTCCACGTCCTCGTCACTATCGCTCTCAGCAGAGGCCATATCCTGGTCCTGCTGCTGGGGAATGCGATTCCGATCCTCAACAAGCTTCTGCCGTAGTTCCTCCCGCTTTTGCTTCATAATCTGCACGCGCTCTTCTAACTCATCCATCTGATCAAACTCCTCTTCCAACATCCGCGCCGCATCCTCCCGCTCGCCCTCCAGCTCGGCTTCACGTGCTCGCGTCGCACTCATCTCCTTTTCCCGATCTTGCTGCGCAGCCAGCTCCTCCGCCGTCACCGGTGCTGCTGAAATAGTAGCTTCAGCTGAAACCGCAGCCGGCACCATTCTTGTCGGGGCTGCGACCTCGCGCTCAAAGGCCGCCCATTCGTCTTCGTCGACTGCCGCTGACGATGTCTGCTGCTGCGCGGGCTCGGCCGTCGTCACTGGAGTCATTTGTTGCGGATCTGCCGGCGGCAGGGGACCGGCCATTTCTTCGTCTTCGTCTATAGGAGTCTCGCGGCCAGCAACATCCGCCTCTTCTTCTGAGTCTTCTTCTTGGGCACTGGGCGGCTGCGGATTTGGGGTGCTCGATGCAGAATGAACAGCGTCGAGGGTTGTGCTGCGCATCTTCTTGCGCATGTGGCCGTCCCCGCTGTCGACTTTGCGCTTCTTGCTGATTCGGTTGCCTGCGGTGTTGGGCTGCGATGTGCCTTTGCGGGTAGCTAGTTCATTGCGGAGGAGCGAGCGGACGTCCGCCATGGTCAACACGATGGTAGGAAAAGTTGTACTGTTGTTTAGAAGCAGGTAGATGATCCCAAGGACGCTTCTGAGTGAAGGAAGTGGGCTGTACAGGTCGTTTGCCGGCGGGGGAAATATGGAGAAGCTCGATGATGGCACAGGTCCGTTTCAGCCGCGAGTGGCTGGTGTGGCTCGGCAAGGCGGTGGCAGAGCAGAAGTTACCACGTGACTTGACTTGACCATCACTAAGCACGAGTCCGTCCCGTCCTTTCCTGCTCAACTCTCCATCTCCATTCATCCTCCCACCCGCTCTCGCCACTACCATCCACCTTCACCATCTGCTTGAGCGATCGTGTTTTCTCTTTTATCGGTCGCTCCTCACTCTTTTTCTCTTACAGGGCGCGTCCCTGGTGTCTCATACTCCTCACGCGACCCCGCTCAAGCTCGCGCACGCGCCGCAAGGGGACAGACTCTGCCAACACCACGACCTGGCGCATTCCTCGCCATCGCGCGTCTGGATAATTTGAGCAGACACCAAGTAATACCGTGGACCAGGCACCCGCGCTTGTGCAGCGCCTTCTCTTGTGTATTACTTTAGCGCCTTTGAGCAACCGTAGAGAGTCTTTGTTACGATCGCTGCTGGGCAGCGACGGCGCATAGTTTGAACCCAAGGAAGAGTCGTCCTTTTCTACAACGCGCGGTAGAAATCCACCAGTGACCTTCACCATGGCTGGTAAGCTCTTGTACACCGACCCCACGGGCCAATCGTCTTCAGGTCCCCCAGAGGCCATTGCGCTGGACTGGGGTTATTTGCTGGAAGGCACATGCTAACTGCAAGACCAGATGAACCGCGACGCTCCGGCCGGGCCACCAAGGGCCAACACAAGAACCTCGATATCGTGGCCGCCGATGCCCCGAAGAAAGGCAAAGGGAAAGGCCCAAAAGACAAGAAGACGTCCGCTGAACCTACACCTGAATCCCCCGACGGAGAAGACGAAGAGATCATTCGATGCATCTGTGGTCAATACGAAGAGGAGGAGGAAACAGAGCGAGATATGATCTGCTGTGATCAATGTTCTGCATGGCAACACAACGACTGCATGGGCCTGGTCTTCCCCAAGGGCCAGGAGCCAGACGAATATTATTGTGAGCAATGCCGGCCAGAGAATCACAAGGCCCTTCTCGCCAAGATTGCGCGAGGCGAGAAACCCTGGGAAGAGCTTGCTGAAAAGCGGCGCCAGGAAGCTGAGGAGAAGAAGAAGAAGGGCAAGAAGGGCAAGAAAGGCGCCCGGAAGAGTCGGGCAAGCGAAGGTACGCCAGCCCGAATGGCAGCCTCTGCGACACCCGTTCCGGCTGCTTCTCCTGCAGCGGCAGGGTCAGCTTCAGCCGAGCCGGAGAAGAACGGCCATGCAGGCGATTCCCGTCGTTCCAGCACGCAGAAGCGCAAGCTTGAAGACCACACAGACGCAGAGACGGTGAGTGCTATTTGGACGAGTGGCGAAATTCAGCTTGCTGACATATCTTTTCGACAGGGACCCCAGATCAAGCAGCAACGAATGTCTCCTTCCGCAGTTCCGGCGTCTGCCATTGTCGGTTCCGTCGAGGAGCTTACGATTCCCGCTCGGAGAAGCGCTGCCACTGCTCTAGTCAAGCTATTTGTAGAACAGATTGCTGGGGCTCAGAAGAACGGGACATTTACCCTGCCCGCGGGGCAGTCATCGGAGGAGGCGGCACGGCAACTCGGTCTTAGGATCGAGAATGCCTTGTATGACAATATCTGCGGGAAGACAGGGGAACCCAACGAACCATATAAACTGCAATTACGGACGATCCTGTTCAACGTAAAGAAGAACCCTTCTCTACGGGATCGTTTGCTCGTAGGTGGTCTCTCCCCGGACGCTCTGTCTAAGATGAAGCCAGAGGAGATGGCCAGCGAGGAATTGCAACAAAAGGACGCCGAGATCAAACGCGAATCCGAGCGCCAACACATCATTGTCCAGGAGCAGGGCCCCCGAATCAGACGCACACACAAGGGCGAAGAGTTGGTTGAAGATGAGACGCACAGTGCTGCCACCGACTCCGTCTTCTCTGCTGCTCCGCGTCGAAGCATGGCTGAGGCTGAGGGCAGCCCTTCGGCGCAGAGCCCAGTCAGTCCGAAGCTACAACATTCGACCAAGTCTCGCGCCTCCGGGCAGCACGCCCGTGGCCAGTCGCCGGATAGTGCGCACCACGATCACGTCTTCCCCGAGGTCCCCACCAACATCCGCGAGCCAGAATTCCGAGGCAAGGTCCAGGCGGATGCAGAGATCGATCAGCTTCTGCGCGATGAGGAACCGGACTCTCCGCCTTATTCACCCAAGGATTTCCAGGAGGAAGGCATTGTTTGGCGCGGCAAAATGGCAATGACCCCTGTTGCGGAATTTATGTCTTCCGCGAAACACGTCGGTGGTGCAGACCTAAGCGGACGAGTTTCATGGGACCAACTTGCTCCACCTACCTTGCTGATTGACGGACGCATCGATGTGCAGCTGGCAAGCAACTACCTCTGTGGGTTGCGCTTCAGCACCTCAACAGACGTGTCAGTGATTGCCGTCGGCAGCCCCGACTTGCCGGGAGAGCAAGCCGGGTTCAACAAGCTGTTCGACTACTTCCAGGGCCGTAACCGGTACGGCGTGATCGGCAAGCACCCGGTGCCAATGGTGAAGGACACCTACATTGTCCCCATCGAAGCCGGCGCTACAAAGAAGCCCGAGTTCATCGAGCTCCTGGAGAACAACTCGCTCGAAGGCCCCGCCACCGAACGCATGCTTCTCGTCGTCTTCGTCATCAAGACCAGCGAATCAAACCCTCCGTCCGTCCAGCCTCCCTCCCACCACCCCAGCCAGGAGCCCCCAGCAACTGCGAGTCCCGTCACTGCAACGGGAACCACACCCCAGCAATCCTACACGACCCCAGGCCATGGACCCGCTGCTCAAGTTGCGCCGACACCTCCCTCTGCCTTTGGTGGTTCCCCCGCCCAACCTGCCTCCCAGTTTCCGGCGTACCAGCAGCAATCTGGCGCCACCGGCTTGACCGCCGCAATGCAGGTGCTCGGCGCGCAGGTGAGTGCCCCGGCTATCCAGAAACTTCTTCAAACCGCCCCGAACGTGGATATGGCGCAGCTGAATGTTGTCCGTGATATCCTCGTCCGGCAGCCTGCTGCAGCAGCCAACTACGAGACCCTGATGCAAGCTCTGTTTGAGACCCAGGCGAACGGCCACGTTCTTCAGAGCTGATCGGAAGGAGGAATATTCCTGGCTTGTATTGTACAGCATTTTGTTTTATGTCTGAGTTTAATTTTCATGACTTGATTCACTCGTTTTTACCACTGGGGTGGTTTGTGAGCCGTGTCAACTACGGCCTGGTGTTATGGATGTTATGTCTTTTTTTATGTACCTGGGAGGGAGATTTGTACGGATTCGGACACACATGAGCGGTCGAATATCTTGCTGTAATATGTTCGGCCTGTTGTTCTTCCTCTCTAAAAGGGAACTGTTAAGTTTTTTCCATTATTAGTTATGGTCTTGATCTTTTATGCTTTGTTTTTCCTGCCTGATGACCTCGTTTTTGAGAGCCATGCAGAGGCATTATTTCACACAGTATTAGTTATTTGCAATTAAAATCACCCCGTCATTAGGATGGATCCTTTTTCTAACAGCTTCGTATCATAAAAAGAGAGAGAAATGTAGTTCCTTCTGTACAGTAATCATTACTCTGTTATCGATAATCCACTATCGCGGGTGCAAACCTGACAAACGCTGAGTCAGCCACAAAAAGATTGAAGCGGGGGCAAAAAGTTCCGATAGCAGTCGCTTGAGTCTTCAACTCTTTCCTTTTGCTCAGTTCTGCCGTTTGGATCCTGTGCACGATGTCGATGGATCTGGATGCCCCCGTCCCCATGTCGGGACTGCAGGAGGAGCCTGTCAGTGCGACGTGAGTGCATATCATCCAAAACCTATTTTTTTCATGCTAATCGGTGGGATGTAGGATTCTTTGCTGCAACTGCGGTGCTGCGATCGATGGAACCACTGCGGCCGGAGCATTGTGTCAGGATTGTGTGAGACTCACTGTCGACGTGTCCCAAGGGTATATATCTATTCTGCGTGCTGAAAAAATCGAAATCTGGTGGCTGACAACTTTTTAGGATCCAACGAGACGGAGTCCTCCATGCGTGTAGGGACTGCGAGCGGTGGCTGCAGCCCCCGAGTAGCTGGGTCGTTGCCGCGCTCGAATCGAAGGAGCTGCTCGCTGTTTGTCTGCGTCGACTTCGGGGCTTGTCGAAAGTCCGAATCATTGATGCTAGCTTCATCTGGACGGAACCTCACTCACGCCGGATCAAGGTCAAGATCACTATCCAGCAAGAGGCTTTCCAGGGCACAATCATTCAGCAGACGTTCGAGGTGGAATTTGTGGTTGCATCGCAGCAGTGTCCTGGTATGTTAATGGATCCCCCGAAGAATATGCTTTAGGTCGATAAGATTGGCTAACTTTTTCTCCTACTATTTAGACTGCCAGAAATCCTTTACCCATAATACGTGGAGAGCATCCGTTCAGGTTCGACAGAAAGTGCCTCACAAGCGTACTTTCCTATACCTAGAGCAGCTCATCCTCAAGAATGGCGCACACAAGGATACGGTTAATATCAAGGAAGCGAAGGACGGTCTAGACTTCTACTTTGCGTCAAGATCCCATGCGGAGAAGATGCACGAGTTTCTTGCATCGTGAGTGCACTGTTCCTACCCGTCTCTCTCTAGGTGATCGGCTCGGATCTAATTTTGCTATTTTTACAGCGTGGTTCCCTGCAAAATGAAGAAGTCACAGGAACTTATATCGATGGACACGCACACTTCAGTCAAAAGCTATAAGTTTACATTTTCAGGTCAGGAAAGCTACTGGGATTTTGCTCTCGATCATTTACTAACTCCATCGCAGTCGAGCTGATCCCGATCTGCAAAGACGACCTAGTTGCCCTACCAATTAAGCTGGCTCGCCAGCTAGGCAACATCTCACCCTTGACCCTCTGCTACCGTATTGGAAGCTCCGTCAGCCTTATCGATCCAACTTCCCTCCAAACTGCTGAAATTCCTGCCAACATTTACTGGCGCTCACCATTCAAGAACTTGGCGGATATCACCGAGTTGAAGGAGTTTATTGTCCTAGACATCGAGCCCATCGGCCAGTCGAACGGTCGATTCTTCCTAGCCGAAGCGACTGTAGCTCGTGCCTCGGATCTAGGATCCAACCAAAACCAGTACTTCGTACGGACTCATCTTGGCGGCATCCTTCATGTTGGTGATTCCGCTCTCGGATATTTCATCAGCGGCACTGTCTTCAACAACGATAACTTCGAAGCCATCGAAGCAAGTGGCCAGTACAGCTCGACCATCCCGGACGTTGTCCTCGTCAAGAAGCACTATGCCCGCAAGAAGAAGCCCAAGAACCGCGCCTGGCGCCTCAGGCGCATGGCCCGCGAGTACGAGGAGGAGGCTCTTGCTGGTGCTGTCCAGGCATCCCGCCGCCAGGAGCAGGAGCAGAACCGTCTCGAGGCCGACTATGAGATGTTCTTGCGTGATATCGAAGAGGATCACGAGATGAGGCAGACCCTGGATCTATATAAGACCCGGAACAAGCCGCAAGCGATGGGCGACGACGAGATGGATGAGGACGATGGCAGTGATGACGAGGTGCCAAAGATCAACATGGATGAGTTGCTTGATAACTTTGACGAGTTGAACATGGAGGATGGCGAATGAACTTTCTGCGAGTGATATCCTTGACGATCATGGCTGGCGTGTTTTTGACTCTTCTGTTCTCAATGGGTTTTCAATACAACAAAAAGTCCTGAAATAGACTTCAAAAATGGCGTTCACTGTTGGTACACAATTCACCAGCAACTAGTATCTGGGTGTAGAATATGAATTCGAGTGATTCCTACTTGATGAGTAAAAACGCCTGCGCTATGCAAAAGAACCGGTCCGGAGACAAGATAAAAGAAATCACCATCTGCCTCCGCGCCTCCTATAACCACCGCCGCCGCCACCACCATACCGTGGACCCCGGCCACCAGCCCGACCACCATTAGTGTACGGGTTATCATCCTCCTCATGGTGCTGCCGCACAGGCGGAGCCCGGCCCTTCAGCTCGGCACTCAGCTTCTTGTATGTCTTGCGCATATCCGAATAGCCCATGTGCATCTTCCCGAAGAAGTGATCCGCCAGCCGTCGGTCATTGTCAAGTCGGGAGAGGTAGGCGCCGCACACGTCGCAGACCTGCAGTTTCTGATGTCCCGAAGGACCGGAGGTATCCTGGAGATTCTTGAGGTCGCGCTCGATCTGCTCCTTCTGGAATTTCGCCGTTTGGATCTTGTGCAGTTCGTTCATGGCCATTGCGACAGAGCCCGTCTCGCCCAGAACCGAGACTTCGAGAAGACCCGTGTTGATGGTGTTGGTGAGATCGGCGATTTGTTTGAGCTATTTGCAGAAAAAGTTAATTAGTTGAGACATCTCGCTTCGAGCAGACCGGGAAAACGTACAAGATCGTTCGTCTGCCGGATCTCATCAGGCGTCTTCTCCAACCGACGCTGCGCCGTCTCGATTCTCCGGTCACAGTCGTCGATGTACTTTTGCATATCGCGCATATAGTCGAAATCGAATCCCCATTTTGCTTTTTCTGCTGGCGAGGCCGTCTCGTACTCCGTTTTCAGGCCCTCACTGTGCACCTTGGGGCAAGGTCCGAGATCCTGCTTGGTGTTGGTGAAAAGGTCGTGTGGGCAAGTACCCACGAGGTACGAACGGCAGACTTTGGGGTCTGTGATGGTCAGCTGGGAATTGCGACCTTGGGCGCCAGTGCCAATGAGCTGATCAGCTGTTGGGGGAAAAAGCGTTGTTAGTTCTGTTCGGCGAGCATATTGGGATAGATAGGCGCTCCGGATCTGGAGCGCGGTGCAGCGGACATACCTCCCATGAGCTGCTCCAGCAGCTTTCTCTGTTCCGCCGCCATGGTTAAGATGGATTGCGTCCGCAAAGAGAATGAGCGCAAAGATGGGCGTGGTGGGAGGAAGTCGAAGTCTTTCGCCGTAGCTTTTGCCGCGGAAGGCGGTGAGCGAGACTGTTGACAGGCCAGAGGTTCGGGGGTGTTTCTTGTTCTGATTCGTGCGGTCGTCTTGTTGTTGATTGCTCTGCTGCGTTCGACTGTCTGGGCTTACGGTGTTCAGAGCCTCCAAGCCCTTGGCAGCTCCAGTTCCAACTGCAACTGGTCCCAACTTTCCCCTGTCAATTGGTCTACGTCGCATGAATCGAGCCACCTAGACCGACCTCCGGCAAGCATGAAGTGATGACGTTCCTCTCACGATTCTCCCTGACGCTCCTTGCGCTATGGAGCGCGCTCGCTGCAGCGTCCTCTGACTACCATGAACGCCTCTTCCTCCACCCGCTTCCCCAATCGTCGCTGTTGGCGTCGTTCAACTTCCGCAGCAACACCTCTCAGCAATCCTTCGACAATCAACATTTCAGATACTTCCCCCGAGCATTAGGCCAGATTCTGCAACATGCTCACACAAAAGAGCTTCATCTCCGCTTCACGACGGGGCGATGGGATGCAGAAAGCTGGGGCCCTCGGCCGTGGAATGGCAGCAAAGAAGGCGGCACTGGGGTGGAACTGTGGGCGTGGATTGATGCGCCGGGTGATGAAGAGTATGCCGGCTTTCTTGGTAGACACCGGTTACAGGGCTGACTTTTTCCAGGGCATTTGCCAAATGGATTACTTTGACCCAGTCACTGTCTGGTCTATTTTGTGCCTCGCTCAATTTCATCGACTCGACCCGTACTACTCGGCCAGTTGTGTCATTTGAGCCGGCCGGCGATCATCCGCCTACAGATGGCCTGCATCTTCTACACGGAACCTTGCCAGGCGAGGTGGTTTGTACCGAGAATCTGACACCCTTTTTGAAACTTCTTCCCTGCAAAGGAAAAGCAGGAATATCAACCCTCTTTGACGGACACAAGCTGTTTGATGCAGCGTGGCAAAGTATGTCAGTGGATGTTCGACCGGTCTGTCCTCCAGAGGGAGAGTGTGTGGTACAAATCGAGCAGACCGTGGACATGGTCTTGGACATTGAACGATCCAAGCGACCTCGTGGTACGTATTGTTTAATCCTATCCCAAAACACATTTACTAATCGTCTTTAGACAACCCAATCCCTCGCCCTGTTCCTAATGACCAGTTGGTCTGTGATACTTCCAAACCGTACAACTCAGATGACACCTGCTACCCCCTCGAAACGACCACAGAAAAGGGATGGAGTCTTAGTGAGGTCTTTGGGCGGACGCTGAACGGTATCTGTCCCCTTACGGATTCGAAAGATCCCCATGAATCAACTGTTTGCCTTCGAGTCCCGCACGACCGGGGTGTGTTTACCTCAGAAGGGACGTTGGAAACAAAACAGACGGATGGCTTTACTCGCTGCTTCACACTGAAAGCATCAGAGCCGTTTGACCTGGTCATACCCGAGCAGCCTGTCACCAGTCAGGTCCCGCTGGAGGAACCCATTCTGAATGCCGAACGAACTATCGTCGGCCACGGCGCCGAGCGGGGTGGCATGCGCATCATATTCGGAAATCCGTCGGACACCAGTGACGTGGACTTCATTTTCTTTGAAACCCTGCCCTGGTTTCTGCGGCCTTATATCCACACCCTGCAGGCCACAATTACCGGCCGTGATGGGGTGCGACGAGAGATTCCCGTCTCGGAAATTGTTAAGGAGACTTTCTACCGTCCGGCTATTGACCGCGAGCGTGGAACGCAGCTTGAACTGGTGATGTCCGTTCCCGCCGCCTCGATCGTCACCCTCACCTACGACTTCGAGAAGGCCATTCTTCGATACACCGAGTACCCTCCTGATGCCAACCGCGGATTCAACGTTGCACCTGCGGTCATTCGGATTCTGGATTCGCCGCATACTCGCGACACAGCGCAAAATGCTCCGGTCTTCATTCGCTCCACCAGTCTTCTTCTGCCGCTACCAACCCCGGATTTCAGCATGCCGTACAACGTGATTATTCTGACTAGCACTGTTATTGCGCTTGGCTTCGGCACCATTTTCAACATCTTGGTTCGCCGTGTCGTCTCCGCCGACGAAGCCGCTGCTTTGGGTGCCCAGACCTTCAAGGCACGAATCCTAGGGAAGGTGGTGGCCATACGTGATAAACTTGGTGGCAAAGGTACCAAGGTGGAGTAATGGCTGGCATCGTACAATATGTAGCTAGTGCCTGTGGTCCTAATATATTTCTTTTGCCTCACTTTACTGAAGTGTGACCGCAGCTTCATAAATCATTCAAATTTCGTAAACATACAGGGAAAACTAATTCATAGGTCATCGAGATCAACACCCCATCTCATCTACCCTAAGGGTGTAGCCTGCATGCAAACCTCGTTAGCGACATTATCCAAGTGAACCCACCGCCAGAAACAAACTTACGCCCCAAGTACATCCTTCGCCTTCTCCCACCCAGGCAACGTATCCGGGCATCCCGGTTTACGCTGCATGAAAGAATGATCCTCGCCGGCACAAGTAGGTTCGCCGGACTCCGTCGTCGGCGGAGCGTCGGCAGCCGCCAAGTCCGCTTTCTCCATGAACTTGTTTTCGGCGCGGGTCTTCTGCTCCTGGAGACCGAAAAAGTTTCCGAAACTGGAACGAGGGTTCTCCGCCTAAAGCCAGCGGCAAGAATTGGACAGATGTCAGTGAACCGATCTATACGTAGTCTTGGTATATGAGATAGGGAATGGTCAACACATACGGCCACATGCCCCAGTCCCTCGTGCGGAGCCCCAGTCCCTTGCTGGTCTGAACCACCCTTGAAGAACCCTTTGTCCCCCCAGCCGGCCCCGCCGCCGACATTATTCGCTGGTGTAGGCTTGGCACTGGTGCCGCCTGCGATGCCGCTCGTGGGGTGGTTGCCGCTGCTGTTGGCACCGTCTTGGCCGGATTGGCTCATGGTTGTTTGTTTTTAGCAGAACTCGTATTTGATACTGGAAGATGTCTTGAACGTGATGGTTAGTTAGGAAATGATATTTGAAAGTATTGTACTGTTAATAAACAATCAGGTGTACTTACGGCGCAGATAAAACCACTGAAAGTCGAAGTATGGGTTGGAATAAGTGCTTGCTTATACAAAGCAAACAGAACCCCGAAGTCGTCGGAGATTTAAACTGGCTCTCAACCTTGACCTCATTGTTGCCCTCTAGCAGGGAACAATCGCCACCTTAGGATGAAGTCATCATGAAGACGGGCCTTTGGCGTTATTGGCTTGGGTGGAGGAGCTGAGTCAGGACAGAACACCTTCGAGATTCAAATCAAGATCTAAAATAGAGTTTGATTGAACATAATACCGGTGTGTCTATTCTATTTTACTTCTATTTACCGACACATCAGAAGTTGTGTTCGTCCAATCTCAGGGCTTGCCGCTTCAAAGGTAGATGCCTGGAATGAACAGCTGAAATCATACACATGAATGGGCTCACGATGGACGAGGGCGGTCCCTGTCATACCAAGTGATCTTCAGAGCCGGCCATGACTGCAAAATCGTAGCTCCGATCATTAAGCACCCTGCAAATATTTGTGCGCGCAAGAAGTAAGCTTGACCGAGATCCACCAGTGCCCCTGCGATAGGCGTGCCAGCCAAAGCACCGAAAGACGAAATGCCCCACATCATTCCTAGACGAGTCCCCAAGGAATTGGGATCTGGCGTGAGCACGGGATGCGCGATGATAGAAGTTGGGGCGGTGACATGGACACCACTCAGAATACCCCAGTAGCACGCCCAGACAATAAACCCGGGGGTGTTTGTGGCTGCAATCCAGGTGAACATGGCGATGGCCGAGGCAGCTGCGGCAAAAATCAAGATGTAGATTGGTTTAACCCAGGTGATTAGGAAGTACGGCCCGACACGACCGACGACGGATGATCCATTGACGATAGCGACCATATAGAACGATAGGTTGGTGGTCGTGTGCAGTGCGGTCCGCGCATACGAGGCGACATAAAAGATGGGCACGTAGTATGCAAGCATGACACATGTGAGAGAGAACGATAGCAGCATGAATGGAGGCTCGCGGAATGCCGTAAAGTCTATTAGACTTCTGGCGCGCGTTCTCTCGCCTGGTTTCCGGCATAGAATCACACAGGTTACGACAGCCAGGAACAAGCTGATGAAACCGATGCAACGGACTGTCCACGGAAACCCAATTCTCGGCTGCAGCTTGCGGAACAAGACGGGGAAGATAACGGCGCCGACGCTCGATCCAATCGAGGCGCAGCCGATGGCGAAGGGGCGTTTTGTGGTGAAATGCGAGGAAACAACGACAAGCGAAGGGATGTACGAAATGCCGCCGCCGATTCCCACACAGAAGCCTTGGGCCAGAAGCACTTGGTAGTACTCTGTAGCGAGGCTGGTCATCATCATGCCAAAAACGATCAAGAAGCTGCCAGACAGGATCAACGGGCGCAAATACCCTAAATCCACCAACGGGCCGGTCACCAGTCCGACCATGGGAATCATGGTGGCCTGGATACTGCCCACCCAGGAAATAGTGGACGGCGACATGTTGGACAACAGCTCCGTTTGATAGTATTCCTGAAAGGCGCCATATGTTGTCAACAGACCCCTGCGATGGTATGTTAACTTGGATCCCAGTCGGCGTGGGGGGAAAATTATACACACCAAGAGTTGATAAAGACACAGAAACCCGCGAACACACTCAACCACGCCTCGAGCCCGCCGTTGAGCCTCTTAGGAGCTGCTTCCCCATTTTCAGGGGATTTGGTGGTGGTTAATTGCAGCTGCTGGGGAGCGCAGTCATCCTCGCACGGGGGCAGATCCTTTTCTGTCGTCGGCATGCCCATATGCTCACATCTGTGACGACGATAGCACGGATATCGGGGCGGACCGCAATTTATGTTGTCCGATAATAAAAATAATCCCACTTACACCGATTCTCCGAGGTGGAGAACTGCATCTCCATGGGGTTTCCATTAGTAACGGGCAATGGTCGCATCCGGTTAACCACCGGCACTGTTAGCCGAGCTCTGCCGGAAACGATGCTTGAAGGTAACTACATCTTGAGTAATGTGAAGCTATGGGAAGGCGACGAAGCTGTGATCAGATAACTACGTCCTTCCTGAGTTTTCTATTCCTCCCACATGCCGTAGGTGGATACTGCGACGCCCGGTCACTTCAAGCGATCGTCATTCCGGGTTGTTCTTGATTTGCCGGACTATACTTTTAGTGGGAAAAATTGAGATAAAGTAGTTCAAAAAACATTAGCTTAATAGGCAGAAAACACCCAAGCGATGCTAATAAAAACGTGGGGTCACAACCTAGTGAGACCGAAGATCCTACCAGACAATTTATTAAAACAAAAGGCAAGGAACTTGTAAGCTAATAATCTCGTGGCTGAAATGGATATGGGGGATTTGATCAAGAAACTTCTAGATACGGTTAATGGTGCCTCAGTGGATCTGCCATCAGTGATTTGCTCCTCTGTATAATTCTGCTTATGCCGGAAGCGACAATTCTGTGATAGGCTTCGGATACCCTAAGCCAGGATTTAATCAAAATTCCAAGGAATGATTGCTGTCGTAGGGTGATTTAGATAGCTTAGAATGCAGGCATATTGTAACTCCATTTTGGAATCGATTGGTTCTCTCGGTACTAGTCAAACACTCAGAACATGATGGCTTGTGTTGACCTCATTGCATCCCCTACGGACTTTGAACTGGAAGCTTTGTCACCGACGCCCGAAAACTGAAAATAGTTGACAGCCGGTCTGCAGTTGTCTTTCAGAGGTTAAATTGTGCCGACGAGCCATCCTATGGACTTGTTTAGTCACGTGAGCTGCCCCAGTCAGCCACAGCCGTTGAACTGTGATCGGCATTCTCCAGAATCATTATTCTCCTCATTATTGCTCTCTCGATTGATTCATCTATAGGACTGATGATATCCTAGTGTTGATATATCTACCTCCAACGCTTCTCTGGCACCTGTACAGATAGCTTTTCCTGCCCGCCGAACTCCCCCATCCCAGTTTCCTCGCCCCGAAGAGCGCGTTGTATCGCGCCGTGTCTCCAATTCGTCTAGGATCATAAGCTTCTCACAAAACAAGCAATGGCGGATATACCCGAAATGGATGAATTTGCGCAGACCCGAGGCGCCGACGATCTATTCGACGACGAGATTATACCGGTCTCAGCGGAGCAGCAAGCGCAGACGGAGGTAGTTGTCCAGGAGGCAGAGCCTGCGCCACAAGAGGACCCCGTGGTCGAGAGAAACCCTGTCGAGAAACCGCCTGTGCGAGAAGACGCCTCGCAACGAAGTCGTGGCACAGAACGAGGGCGAGGCCGTGGCCGGGGGCGAGGAGGTCGGGGGCGCGGGGGGCGCGGTGGACGTGCCGAAAATGCTACACGGCACAAGACCTCTGCAGCTGCGGCGGAACCTGAGAGTGAGCGGGATTCTGTGGCTGTAGCTGAGGCTGTAGGCGCGCGAGAGGAGACGACCACGTCCGATAAGCCTCAGGAGGGGTTGAAGGAGCAGCCTAGCCCGAGCGAGGAAGCTTCTGCCGATGCTGCGGCTAATGGAGCTGAAGCGCAGCGTGTACCGGCTGTCCGTGGGGATCGCAGTGCCACTGGGGGAGTAAGGAAGGTATGCAGAAGCCTCTTCCTCATTTCCACGGATTGACCAACTAATTCAATGTCCAGCCAAAACTCACCGAAGCAGAATTGTCCAAGCGCATTGCAGCTGCCAAGGAAAACGCGGCCAAAAAGGCAGCTGCTCATGCTCGCGCTGAAGCAGACGAGGCATCGTTCCTGGAACGAGAGCAGGTCGCAGCCGAGAAGCGACGTCAGGAACAAGCAAATCGTCGGGTTATGGACAAAGAGCGTGAACAAAATCGCCAGCGCAAGCTTAAGGCTGTTGGTGGCCGGGAGTGGGACTCGCAGAAACAAGAGGAAGACTATAACCCGCGCGGTAGCGGGAGTCAGTTCAGACGGGGCATGCATGGCGGCGTGTCGGGATATGCGCGACATGACTTCGACACTCGTTCACCGGATGATTTGACAGGCGACTCGCCAAGTCGCCGCGGGCGTGGACGTGGTGGTGGTGGTCGAGGTGGACGTGGCAGAGGACGCTCGCCTTCCACAGGGCCTTCCAGAAAGAGTCCATTGCCCAGTGCTCCCGGTGCGAAAAATGAAGCAGAATTCCCTGCTCTTCCCGCGGAGACCAAGAAGCTGGATACGACCCCGACAACAGGGCCCTTGTTGACTAAGCTTGACAAGCTTGACTCCTTGTCACCGGTGCGCGGCAGTTGGGCCGACCAAGTCGAAGAGTAACAAGAAATGGGGACGGTTTTTCTTTTTGGTTGGTTTAATAATGCCTTTTGTTTCTTTTCTTCTTTACCGGCATCATTGACGACACGAAAAGCGTCCTGTCACCCCAGTTTGATATCCTCTGTCTAGATCAGGCGCAAAACCACTCTGTTAATACGTCGGTGCCACTATGGGCACTGGTATATATGCATTAATCATCTTACACTGTATCTGTCTTCCAGAAGCTGGGCCTTCGTAAGTTTACGGGAGTATCGGGGGTCGAGGAAATGATAGTTCCACTGCGGTTTTTTTGTCTGTCGTGCATCTACTGTATAATATCAATAGGCTTCTTCACCCATTACTCCGACTGTCATCTAAGTTGGTATCGCAACGATGCTATCATTACGCTCCTAGCCGCATCTAGTGCATCAAACAGATGACTTCGGCCTAAGAGCTAAGTAGTGGAGGGTCCGGCATGGGGGTGAGTATTTTCTACAGTAATAGGGCATAATCAGAGCTAAGTGGGGGGCGCTACTGGGACTACACGGGTTCTCACAACAGGCACGACGATCTCGACCAAGCTGTGTACAGTGCCGGTACTTGTCGGGTTGGTGACTCTTCTCCAACCTTCAAGCAAAGCAGGCCTTATTATGGGTTCAGCAGTTCATATTCGAGACAATTTTCTCCCGCCTCAAGCGCCCCGCACAGCTCGTGCACGAAAGATCGACTTTGCAACGTCGGTCCCGCCATTACCTAAATACCGAGATCTGTTTGCCACGGTAATCGACGACGTTCTCACGGATGCTGAATGTCAGGAGATGATCCAACTGGCCGAAGCCAGCTCATCGAATAGCTGGGAGCGAGCCCTGATCAACATTGGGGGTGGCAAGCAGGCGTTGGCGACGGACACGCGAAACTGCGGGCGTATCATATGGGACAGCCCCGTGCTGGCCCAGAAGCTGCAGGACAGGCTGATGCCTTTTCTGCGCGAGTTGGAAATCGATGAGTTCACAGATCGACCGCGCGTCACCGGTCTTGCCGGACGAGGGAAAACATATCATCTGACTCGACTCAACGAGAGACTGCGTTTCCTTCGATACGAAGGAGGAGAATATTTTCGGCCGCATTGGGACGCCAAATATCGAGCCCCGGACGGTGACATCTCATACTACACCATTCACCTTTATCTCAACGGCGAGGGAGACCAGGATGTCGACGAGTTGCTCAAGGCCCAGGAGAAGGGAGAATCAAATCCCGCCCCAACAGGCAAATTGCTGGGTGGCGCCACATCATTCATGCCCAGCTATGAAGACGCAGCCAATCAAGTTCGGGTCTTCCCACGAACGGGGTCGGTTCTGATCTTCCAGCAGAATGATTTACTCCACAGTGGAGATCCGATCTTCAAGGGAACTAAATATACGATGAGGACCGACATCATGTATCGTCAATCATAACATGAGAACCTAAGTTTGTATCGCAATGATGGTATCCTTACGCTCCTGGCCGCATCTAGTGCACCAAACAGATGAATTCAACCTAAGAGCTCAGTGATGTTGGAATGTGCTATAGCATCTCATGTGGTACAAATGTAGCTGACATGGCACCATTGATATTCCATGAACAGACTTTAGCAAGACATCCTGCTGTTCTCTGTTGCTTCACAAGTGTCATAATCCTGCAGCTATCCTGCAGCTCCCAGAATTGCTGGAATCCAAACGATTTGGCCCCTCCAGTCGACTCATACGCAAATATCAGTCTGAATGGGCATCCGGAGTCCAAGGACTAGTGTCAAAACGTTGATCATTGTCTGAGAATTTCAGAGCAGCTGTACTATCATAAAACAAGAAGCTAACATTCTTACTATGTGGAATAAATATTTTTTCAACTTTGCCAGAATAATCCATATCATTGCAGCGCGGACATAGCCCCGGATGGAGCTACTCAGCCCGAAATGTTGACAAATGACCCTCCCCAAACTGTAAGATGTAGCCCGGTTCAGGGAAGACGATTATCAGGGGATGCAGGCAGTACCTGACTAGTATCCGGGTGACTGCCATCATCGACTCGGCGAGGGTGCTCTTTACGGTAGATCCAGATATCGGCAACCTCTAAGAATATGCCAAAGAAGGTCGTTATGCTAGATAAATCAGGTTAGGATATTTCCTTCAATAAATGATAATGAAGGTACATACAACGCGAGGAAGATGAAAGCCTCGTTAGCTTTCTTCCGGCTACAGCCGAGATTTGGCGGGCTGTTAAGGAAACAGTCACCCTGGCTGTAATCCAGAGCGGCAAAAATGAAGGACGTCAACCACCTGCGAGATATGTTAAGAAATTCCACATCCATATAGAGGTAAGAGATGGGGAACGAACAGATACGAGAATATCACATCGATCCCTAAGACGAATTTGTCCACCGCGACGGGCAAGAACGGGGATAGGAGCGCAGGAAGAAAGAAGACTATGGAAACCACAGCCTAAAGCTAGTTAGAGAAGACATCCTGCGGTAAGATCTCGAAGTACGCACGATGACCTCTTGGTAGGTGAGGGACAGGCCGCGATGGCCATGTCTCAAGAGGTAGGAGGTCAGTCCCAGGACGATAGCGGTACTGATCCACTGTATGGAGCGGTTGACTAGCTCTAGAATCCACGTTTTTGAATAGGTGCGCATTATTAGTTTGTTGGTGACTAGAGAACTGAGGTGATCAAATCCAAACAGAAGGATGAATGTTGAGAAAATGTAGACCACAATAGGATTATTGGAAGGTGAGAGTAATTAATATAGATCGAGACCAGTCTTTGACATCATAAATGCGAAAGTGGGGCGAAATGAAATCTCATGTTATTATTGGACGAAAGGTTAAACTTAATCGGTAGGTTAAGTGAGCCAAGTCGCTGAGTGCGACACAATCACTCACTGCACGGGCGAGTTGAGATATACCAAACACATTAGCTTTCTTTTTCGGCAGAGTTTCGTATCGGCATAGGAGCACCGAAGGGCAGATTGACGTCTGGGGATTACGGCTTCCGTTGACACGTGGCTGCGCAGAGTCTATAGTACCTTTCCCCAGGGCTTTCCGCTTGAAAGTTGTAGCAGAATTAGGACTAAAAAAAAGAAAACATGAACTGCTTAGCTTCTCAGCAATACTAAGTGCAAGACCACACTGCACAGTTGAAAGCTATATATTATGACCAACGAAATGCTTTCGTTCAAGACCTAAAGAATGCACTGCCATGCATTCTCATCCGTCCACTTCCCAGGTCCCTTATAAACATTCCGACGCGGATACCTGCAGTGCTTGCGCTTATACTCCACTGCAGACCCAGGTCCATCGACGAACTTAGCTCCACGCACCGTTTCAGGCGGAATGCCTTCCTCAACCCATTTAACCATGGCCATGAGCACATTATCTTCGGGATCATTGCCATCGTAGGTACCAACTCCCTGGCCGATACCATAGGCGCCATCACCGGGTCCACAGTGGCCCATGCCGCTGATAGTGAAGAAGCGGTAGAACTCGTCTAGATCCGGCGGAGGCAGCTTCATTGTGTCTGAGACGTGGGCATAGTACAGCTTGGAGTCTTCGGAGCTGATCAGCTGGTCTTGCATGCCGTGGTAATGGAGCACTTTGCCGCCGGCGTCGCGGAAGGGAGATAGGTCGCCGTCCCACGTTTGGATGTTGTATGGGTTTTGGGCTAGTGCGACTGCAGCGTCTTGGATTGTCCAGGTGGTGCCACTCCAGGAGGGGTCGTTGTATACCACGTACCGGTACCAATCTTCGCTGTAGGAGAAGGGCTGGCCGTTGTACATGATTGGTGCGGCCTGGACCTCGGAGCCGGGCTGCATCTGGGGATATAGAAGGGCGCCATTTACACCGTACATTGGGGACATTATCTGCTGAGCGGTCTGCACCTGGGCACTAGAGAGGCAGGTGGTCTCGTTGGAGGTGTGGGATGGACAGATCAGTGTTTGCAGGATTGGGCGGCAGAGAGTTGGATCTTCTATAATGCCATCCTTGGCGCCGTCGATTGTGTCGCATTGCCGGATGACCTCGTCATGAACGACCTTCCACTTTGCAGGGGAAAGATACGTGTCAGAGGATGGCGGTCCCGTAATGGCGTAGAAGTGCGCACTCCACGAGATTAAGTTGACGAAGTTGATTGCCGGTGATCCAGCCACCACGCCGTCGAAATCATTTGGATATTTCTGGACTGACTTCAATCCCTGGCGACCACCAGTCGAGCAGCCGAGATAGTAGCTCTTCTTGAACCCCTCATCGTAGAACTTCTTGGTAAGTTCCTTGCCGACCACGACGCCTGTGTGGATGGAGCGATATGCGAAATCCTTTATCACCTCCGGGTGATGGTAAAAGGGCTCCCCCGACGTTCCGTTGTGACCATTGTTAGCACCGACAGTAGCAAAGCCCAATTGTGCCGTGTAGGCAAGATCGTAGTACTGGATGCCTGGAGCAAATTTAGCAACAATCACCATACAATTAGATTGCACATACATCCAGAAATGCCACCATTTCCAGTACTCAGGAAGCGGCCCGTGTATTCACGCGGGAACCAGGCCTCGAGCGTGATTTCACTGCTCTCGGACGTAGACACGGCCATAGCAACGCGACACAGATCAACGGAGACCGATTGGTAGCTTTCACCGCAGCTGGGCGGATTGTCGGCCAACGACAAATTCGTGCCTCCATGGATAAACTCCGCAAAATTAACCTTCACATTAGGTAGATTGATTTCATTGGCGAATTGCGCACATTTGGACTTGAAAGCCTCCTGGTTGGCGAGGGCGAGAGAGCCCAGAGCCAGGAGGGGCAACGCGCAAAGACGAGTCATCTTCAGCACTTGCGTCCAAGTAAGCAATTGAGTCAACTTGCACGGAAGTCAACATTGCAAGTTCAGGGGACGCTATATAGCTTAATTTAGCGGCATTCCCTCACTGACTTCATGGCAACGGAGCTTTCCCCAAAGGGTGGGTATGCCGGAGTTCGGCAAGCGTGCCCTCACTAACTCCCGATGTGCATTGCGATTGATGCTGACACAAAGCAACCTGAAAAACTCCGAAGATAACCCGGTGCCCGTGTGGGGCAAAATACGGGGGACAACCAACGAAATGCGGGATCCAAGGTGATCTAGGAGACAAGTCGACCCGACAGAGGCCCGGACTTTGAGACCCAAGTGGGGATAATGTCGATCATAAAAGCCTGATATACGATGGCTCTGATGCATTTAGGCTGGGGGGTTAAGTTCTCCGCACATGCAGGGGTACTGGCTGTTGAACGCGGCACTGGGCTGGAATAGAACGTGATCATCATAAAACATGCCTCGGTGAAAGGAAGCTAGCATAGTGTGCCAGAATGTAAGCATGCTAGAAGTGGGGGGTTTTCAGCATGATCTTCAACATCCACAAGGGACGGTTTGGAGATTGGAGCTTTGTCAAGAACGAAGTGGAAGCGAAGATAAAAATAAATTGGAGATCGTATAAAATAATAGCATGGTGCTAAAGCAGCAAAGTATCAAAGTGCGTAGGAGTCATGCCTCTTTCCGGGGTTTGGAGATATATGACGAAATAAGGATAGGGTATAAAGCAAATTGCACACGAGAATGCATCCTAGAACACGAAAAGAAGTATGTGTCGTTATTTAGCCGCCGATCCACGGGAGATTGGCCACGGAAAGTGCAAGAATATCTTGATAACTAAAACCACCGACGAACAGGAATTAGCGACAGTTCATATTTGGAACAGAAATTCGAAGAAACCATTGTTCATACCTGAGATGAGTAACAGTATAAGAAAGACGCAAAGAGTGCCTGTAATGCAGTCCCTGATTCCCCACAGAAATCCGAGGAAACTAGATGTGTGGCGAAATTTGAGGCTTGCTTCTTCGATCTTGGATTGTAAATCGGCGGCAGTAATGGCAGTTTGGTCAATTAGAGTCTTAGAATAATTGACGTTGAACAGGATGGTCTCTTGAGCCTGCGACTGGGCAAATATGGCTTCAGATTGCACGAGCTGAACTTTTTGCAACTCTCTGGCTGTCGTCTCGGATTGCTGCATAGATGTTTCCATATTTTGGAGCCGCTTCAGAATATTAGAAGGGGACTATACCAAATAAATCTGGGGTCATACCTCAAGCATCTTGTTCTCCTGTGAAAGAATCAGATGCATTCGGGCGATTAGCCATTCCTGTTTTCTTGGTTAGTTCGGGCACCTTTTTTTCTCAAGAAATTTCAGAGATAGATATTCACCAGAGCGACATCAACACTTTCAATGCGTCGGTAGAGTTTGACCATATCTGTTTCCGTTAGGGATTCCAGAGAGAGACTCAGGGAATTTGCAAGATTCTTGTGGATTAAGGCATTTTGTTCATGGGCCCGGAGTACATCATTGGACCTGACCAGGGCCTCATCATTCACGGTTTGAAGAGTCCTTTGCAGCAAATGAGCTTGATCCGACGTGCTTCGAATGCTCTATTAAAATGTTAGAAGTTGCAACTTTGACGAACAAGACAAAAAGAGAATTCCACCTTCTCGAGGGTTGCAGATTCGCTTTGCAAATGGTTCAAAGCCGTCGACACGGTACCAGTAACGGTGGTGATACCCGATTTGATAATCTGCAGCAGGTCCGCAAAAGTGCCTGTGGAGCGCAATTGCGCCTCTTCAAGGTCCGAAATAAACTGCGCCTGCAAGGCATTCGCGGACTCCATGAACTCTTGGTTCCGGACAGCCTGCGCAGTCGCATTCAACAGAGCTTCCTGCAGTCCAGTATTGAGCTTGACGCTGCTCTTCACTATTGATCGGTGCAAATCCAGCAGCTCTTCCTTCTCTTGTTCCATTCGCGTAGCTTGGCAGATAACCATGGCGTTCTGTCGACTGTTGCTATAGGAAGTCCACCACTGTGGCCGCGACTCTAATGCCTGGAGACATGGCTCCAGCAGCTCCTTTGGAATTGAGTCGCTGAACGTGTCTGGGGGTGCAGATTTGGTTGTGAATCCGAATCGACCTTTGCCAGCAGCCGGAGGCGAGACTGTCACCGGAGCACACGCGGAGGGAATCACGGCACCCGTGCCTTGAAGCTCGCAGATTGCAAGTCGTGCCGCGTAGACGGATCGTATCAGATCTAGCACCTCGTGTGTATCAGCGTCACTGCCCTTGTCATTGCCCACAATCTGGCAAGATGTGAGTAGTGTCATTGCTGCAATGCGGTTGCAGGAAGGAGAAGATGCCATTGAGTCTAGGATTTGCGCTGCTTCGGTAAAAATCGCGTCCTCCTCATGCGAGCTGGATCCGAAATATGAAACTATATCGAGACGCGCGGATAGATCATTAGGAGGAGTCTGGTTCTCTTTCTGAGCGTCAGTAAATGGAGGCAAGATTCATATATTAGCAAGCTTACCATTTGTAACTCTCCTCACAGCGCCAAAGCTGAACAGCGAGGCCGCGATAACGGGGCAGGACAAGTAAAAGAGCACGAGGAGACAGATGCGAGTCAATCGAGAGAGAGTCATTGTGTTGGAAGACGCGATAAACACGTCAACTGTGCGGTAAAGCTGTATGATATAGCCAGATTCTGTTTTTCGACTGACCAGTTGACTGGAGAGAAAAAGGAAGAAAGAGAATGCCAGACGAGATGGGTTGAAGGTGAGAGGGCAAGAGAGAGATGGGGGTCGAGGGTGGTTGAGGTCAGTCGAGTTCAAGTGCAGACACAACTTTCTCTCACTCTTGACTTTCGTCTTTTCTCTCTTGAAATCCTCGCTGTTGGTGAAATGCTATTCTGATTGAATTTTGGCGTTGGTAAGTTAACGGGCACGACGTGAAGCAAGAGAAGGAAGAGAGATCCGGGTTGAGCCCAACTCATGGTATCACCCACCTAAGTATTGCTCGACGTAATATCGAGAAAGTCACCAGACATGATCAAAAGCACCTACGACAAGCAAAAACAAAATCAGATCGACCCGTCTCTATACACCGTATATCACGTGGTACGCTAACCCAATCAGGCAACCTGCGGACAAAATCGAGAGTCGGACACTCATCATCCTCACTTCCAAAACACGCGCTGCCATGGCGACTCTCCTCCCCCAACGCTGCGCCCAGCTCCTTCGTGAGCCCAGTCGCCGCGGCTCTCTACCTCTCTTCCTGGCGCCAGCATTCTCGTCACTCCGGACACAATGCTTCTCCACGACCTCTCCGGCGCAGTCCCGAGTCGGCGGCGCGGCCATCTCTATTCCGCCCGAAGTGTCCATGTCCCTCGTTGACCTCCCCAAGTCCCTGTTCCGCTCGAGAGGAAAGGATATCCCCAAGGTCGCTGTGGAGATTCAAGGTCCTCGGGGTAGGTGTCCCTGTTCGGAGGGAGACAACGCATGAATGCCCAGTTAACGTTTGGTCTCCAGGGAAAATGACCCTTAGCGTCCCTTCCTTCCTTAACGTCAATCACGACGAAGTCGGTCGCAAAGCCACTCTCTCCGTGTTAGATTCGACGATTGCTCACCAGCGTGCCATGTGGGGTATGTTTTTTCCTTCTTTCTTCGTTCTCCTTACACCCAATTCAATTCGTACATTATGTCTAACCCCATTCCCACCATAACAGGAACAACCCGCGCACTCCTTCAAAACCACATCCTCGGCGTATCAGAGGGCCACATCTGCATCCTGAGTTTGGTGGGTGTCGGATACAGGGCGACCATCGAGACCACGGCCACGACGGTCAAGCCGGAGTACGATGGGCAAAAGTTCGTGTCCCTCAAGGTTGGATACTCGCACCCGATTGAGCTGGGTATTCCGCAAGGAGTCGAGGCTAGCACGCCCCAGCCGACGCGGATTTTGTTGGAGAGCGTGGACAAGAGGACTGTGACACAATTTGCGGCTAAGATTCGCGAGTGGAGGCGGCCGGAGCCGTACAAGGGCAAGGGTATCTTTGTGAATGGGGAGACGATCAAGTTGAAGGCGAAGAAGATCAAATAGATCTGTGGCGCATTTGTGGGGTTTGGGAAACGGCTTGTTTTCTGTGTATTCTATACTCTGTCATCGACATGTATTTCTTTTTTCACACTTTGATCCGGCCGTTCGGATTCTTCTTGGGGCCACTCAATTTCTATTCATCTACAATTTATGACCCGTAAACAGCAGTCACAGAATGGCTAAAATCTTTTATTGATCGAAGCACCAACAGCTGGCAGACATCTAGCTATGTACGTCTATCACGCATCAAGCGCGACTCTTTACAACTTCAACACCACCTTGACTGCGTCAATCACCTGGTCCTGCAGATCTTTCGGCGCAGCAACCACACCCTTGTTGGCAGCCAAGGTCCGGCCCTTGCTGAAATCCAACCGGGAGCCATAGATATCCGTCACCTGGCCACCAGCCTCACGCACAATGATATCACCAGCGGCGTGATCCCAGATCTTCTCCTGGTAGTCCTTCTTGACCGGCAGGCGGAGGTAGATGTCACCGGCGCCCCGGGCAATGGAGCAGTACTTGGCCTGCGAGTCCAGTCGCACGCTCGGAGCGGTGATTCCTAGGCGCTCGGCAACGGCAGCGTTGTCGCCCTGGGCCGAGTGGCCGGCCTCAACACCCTCGCAGAAGACAGCCTTGGCGATGTCGGGAACGGCGCGCATGGAGATCGCCTTGCTGGGGGCGAGGGCGCCGTTCGCCAGAGGGCGGGAAGTCGAGCCCTGGCCCTGCACGGCGGAGAAGAGCACTCCGTTGACGGCGCTGCCGGTCTGCTGGGCGCCTGTGCTGGCATCAATGGTGGCGGAGTCATCCACCGGCAGGTTGGGAGTGCCAATGGCACCGACCTTGACGTCGCCGTCGACAATCAAGCCAAGGCAGACGGCGTACTGGCCGCCACGCAGGAAACCCTTGGTGCCGTCGATAGGGTCCAAAGCCCAGATGCGGCCGGTGGCGCCACCGGCGCTCTTGCCCTCGTCAATGATATCCAGCATCTCCGCCTCGCTGGGCAGGGCCCCCCCCAGAACCTTGTCGCTCTCGGCGTCGTCCAGCTTGATGTCCTTGACCAGACCCCAGATCTCGGCGCTGAGGGCCTTGTCCTCGCGCAGGGAGCTCGCCTCCTCTTCGGCGACGATCTCATCGTTGGGGAAATTCTTGCGGATGGCCTGGATGATGAGGGCCTGGGCGCCGAAGTCGCCGATGGTGACGGGCGACTTGTCGTCCTTGGACACGGTGCCTTTGGCCTTTTCGAAGAAGACCTTTTGGGTGAGGATGGAGGCGCGCTGGACGGCCAGCTCGGCAATGTAGCGTTCTTTCTCGTAAGACATGATTGTGGTGGTGGAGGAGAAGTAGTGGGCGAGGTGGTGCGGAAGAAGAGCCAGGCGAGCGCGGGATTTCAGGGCGACACTGAGGGCCAGGATGAGTGTGGAGCAGATGGCGAGGCGGGACAGGACACGGATCCAGTGGGTGGATGTGGCAGCCAGAGTCATCCACAGGGAGCCAGTTGGCAGTCAATGGCTTCAATTGGCTTGGCAGGGGACTTTGGCTCTCTTTTTCCTTTTCCAACCGGGTTGATTGCAACGTCAGGGCAGATGTGCAGCGTTCGACTCCGACTGCTATCTGGTGCCTCAGGCAGAAACACCCCGCCCTAGACCAGATTGGGCAGTGCAGGCACCTGATAAGACTCTCTCTCTCTCTTTCTCTCTATTGTTGCTTTCTTGGTTCTTTCTTCTCTTGCAAACAACATTATTGATCTTGGAAATACCCACTGGTCTACCGCTATTACCCCTTATTAACCCACTCATATTGCCGAGTGAAGAACGGATCCGCCCACACTAGCGCGAAGCTCTCTGCGCTCCTGCGGCCTCCGACGTCACCGTTCTCCCCTGGTTGTACCTTGAAGCTTCGTCCAGGTGAGGGAGCAGGTCCTTCTGTCGCACTGACAAGTTGAGTAAATCTTCACACTCTTGTGTACACAATTCCTGCAGTGCTTTGTGTCGCCCAGCGTGTGCGGGGTTCTCTTCTTCAACCCCGGACTATCCCACGGCCGGCGAACACATTCATGGGAGAGGGTTTCACCGACATTCAACCACCTACACCTAGCAGACTATCTGCGCAGACGAGTCTATTACTATGTTTCAGTCACATGTACGCTGAGAGCAACCTCCACCTCCCTCTCGACCTTGTACTAACCAAGGGTCTAGAAACCCTACTCGGCAGTGACCGTGCAAGTCGAGGTGCTCACGAGCGAGCAGTATGAGGAGGACGACCCGGCTGGTATCGTTGACTTGATCGAAGTCATTCGCATACAAGCCAGCGGCCCTACCGAAGCCAGTCGAGCCCTGCGCAAGAAGCTGTGAGTGTCGCTGTCTAGCCAACAAATCCCTCCTTCAGTCCTGACACACGCATAGGAAATACGGGAACCTTCACCGCCAACTCCGTGCGCTCACGATCCTCGACTTTCTGATCCAGAATGCGGGGGACCGGTTCCTTCGCGAATTTGCTGATGAACCGCTGCTCGAACGCCTGCGCATTGCAGCCACCGACTCCGTCTCCGACCCGCTCGTCAAGCGGAAATGCCAGCAGCTCTTTGGTCAATGGGCTGTATCCTACAAAGACAAACGGGGCATGGAGAAGATCAGCGCGCTGTACCAGCAGCTTCCGAAGCGGAAACAGCCGGCCAATCAAGCCAAGGCGAAAGTGCTTCGCGAAGGAGCAAACACGAACAATGATCGGCCTATGGGACACAGGGTGTCTGTATCTACCGGAAGCGGCCCGGCCAGGGAATTAGCCAGTCCCAAGCAAAAGTCCAGCAGCAAGCCGAAGAAGGACAAGAAAGACAGGAGACTCACTCAGACCGGGACGTTCAATCTGGAGAAGGAGAGACCCGAGATCGTGCAGACTCTGGCGTCTGTCGCCGTCGCGAGCACAAATTTGTTGAATTCGCTCAAACTGGTGAATCGGGAGACGACGCGGGTTAGCGAGGATGCAGAGTGTATCAACCGGTTCGAGAAGTGCAAGCAACTCCGGCGCCAGATCTTGCGGTACATCCAACACATCGAGAGCGAAGAGTTCCTCGGCGGGTTGATCCATGCCAACGACGAATTGGTGAATGCGCTGATGGCATTCGAGGTGCTGGACAAGAGCGTGGATTACGATAGCGATAGTGATGACGAGTCGATGCACGCCTATTTGAAGCACCAGTGGGGACACGAGGATGATGAAGTGAACCAAAGCTTGTCTGGGCTGAGCGTCAATCCTCCCAAGCCACCGCGACCCAATCAGCCTGCGGCAAGCTCGTCTCAACATCCATCACAAGAACTGGAGAGCGAGAGTGAGTCGGAGGTGGAAGATGACGACGAGAATAACCCGTTCGGAGATCGGAATGCAATCAAGACCCCGGCGGTTGAGAAGTCGGGTTATAGCTGGTACTGTACACATCTTGATTGGTTGAACTATAAAACTGACAACTACACAGGAAAGAGGTTTGACGAAGGAGTCGGATTGTGAACAGACAATGATTACAGCGACGGATCAATGAGAAACTACCATGGCTCTTTTACTTTATTGGCGAGGTGTAAATATTATTCCCGAAATGTATCTGTTTCAGGCAATCCTCGATCTTCTCTCAAGGATCCTTGAGATCCAGATCCTGCTATTCTAGTCTGGACGAGCACAACGAAATGCTCCCCAGGCACATGACATTGAGTTCTAATACTTGTGGGGTTTGTGAGATTGATCACCCTCTCATTGTGTAGTCACTCTATATAGTAAATACTACTTGCGCGAGCATCCTCCTCAATCACGCCATATCTCAACGACCGAGGATTATAAACAGGCTTAGAAATACCATCACGATGGAACTGCACCAAGCCCGGCATATACACACATATATAATCACTACTCTCCATATTTAGAAGGTGAGGGTAGAGAAGGACCCTGACCCATCCTGTCCACAACATCACCTCCACGCGGTAGACACGACTCAATAACACGATGGCCGACACAAGTCCACCGAAGCACCACTTGCACCTCACAGCCTTCATGAGGCCTGTGTCATTGCACACAGGAGCCTGGCGCTTTCCGGGGTCCTACCCAGATGCCAACTTCAATATCAAACACATAACACACTTTGCCCAGAAGCTCGAAGCCGCCAAATTCGACGCCTTCTTCATGGCTGACCACCTCGCCGTGCTGAACATGCCCGTCGAAGCCCTGAAGCGCAGCCACACAGTGACCTCCTTCGAGCCGTTCACTCTGCTCTCCGCGCTCTCGTCAGTGACCGAGAAGATCGGGCTCGCCGCCACAGCTAGCACGACATACGACCTGCCGTACCATGTTGCGCGACGCTTCGCCAGCCTGGACCATCTGAGCAACGGGCGCGCCGCGTGGAATATAGTGACGACGGGAAATCCCGAGTCGAGCCATAACTTCGGGTTCGATGAACACATGGCCCACGGCGATAGATACAAGCGCGCGCGGGAGTTCTACGAAGTAGTCACGGGGTTATGGGACAGTTTCGCCGACGATGCGTTTACGCGCAACGTCGAAACGGGGCAATTCTTCGATCCGGCGAAGATGCATGTCCTCAACCATGTTGGCGAGGAGTTGAAGGTGCGCGGCCCGCTGAATATTGCGCGCCCGCCGCAGGGCTGGCCGGTTATTGTGCAGGCTGGGCAGAGCGAGCCCGGGCGGCAGCTTGCGGCTGAGACGGCAGAGGTGGTGTTTTGTAGTCCGAAGGATATCGATGGCGCGAAGGCGCTGTATGCGGATATCAAGAACCGGGCTGAGAAGGCTGGTCGCAGCCGCGAACACTTGAAGATCTTGCCTGCCGCGATGATTATCGTCGGGGATAGCAGGGAGGATGCGCAGGAGAAGCGACTGAAGCTGGATAGCCTGGTTCACTACGACAGCGCCATTGCGTCGCTGTCCATCGCGCTCGGGGTGGATGCTGCCGGGTTTGACCCGGATGGACCATTGCCAGCGGACCTGCCGGAGACGAATGCAAGCAAGACCAGCAGGGAGAGTGTGGAGCGGCTGGCTAAGCAGGAGGGTCTGACAGTTCGCCAACTTGCGCAGCGGTATGGCGGATACTCTGGACTGGCCTTCGTCGGCTCGCCTGGTGATATCGCAGAGGAGATGGAGACGTGGTTAAGGGAAGAGGCCTCGGATGGCTTTACGTGCACGTTTCCCTTCTTGCCTCAGGGTCTCGAAGAGGTGACCGATAGACTGGTCCCGGAGCTGCAGCGAAGAGGTTTGTTTCGCAAGGATTATGCGGGCTCGACGCTGCGGGAGCACTTTGGTCTGCCGAGGCCGGAGAATCGGTTCTTTAGCGAGGCGGCGTAGCGGCATAGTATAGAGCTAACAGGGAAGAAAGTCACCCGGGATGTGATCATTGGAATATCACGAGGTATACGAGGTACAATTTTGAATGCATATATTCGTGCTCCTCCATTTTATCAAACAGGAAGAAACGCACTGTACTGTATATTGACAGCGAGGCGAAAGAGCCAAATGGGGTATTATGGGTCATCTTCATCGTGATCATCAGTGAGAAAAAGCGCAAACCAACCAGACCCCGAAACATGGAAGAGAAGAGAAACAGAAAACTCCGAGGCCCCAACCACTCAAAGGACCTTTGATTTCATCCACTCGCTGGTACCCACACCAAGGTTCAGCCCATTCCGCTCCCACCAGCGACGCACACGGCCCTCAGCGCCGGAGGCCGGGTCCGCGTCCTCGAGAGCCTCCTCGATATCACAGGTCTTGAACTCGACGCGCAGCCCGCAGGTCTTCCACCACTGCAGGACGTGGTCGTGGCCGTTTTTCGTTGGGCCCACGAGCACCTGATTATCAAAGATCATCTTGGGTCCTTTAAGATGGTACCAGAACTCCAGCACGTGGACGTGGCCGTGCGTGCTGGCGATGCGGGCGACGTTCTCGGCGTGGCTGTATGGAATGCCCGATGCATCCCACCAGGCGAGGGACTGGGTGCGGCCGGACTGTGCAGCGAGCAAGACGGACTTGCCAACTTTGAGAGGGAGGGGAGACTGCTGCACGGGTGCATTTGCCGACGCGGATTTCCACCAGTCCAGTACCTCGACTCGGCCCTCGGCGCTGGCAGCCTCGAGGGCTCGTTCGCTATATCGTAGCGGGAGGCCCGAGTGGAGCCACCAGTCTAGAACATGCAGGAACCCAGCTCGGGATGCGCCGTCCATTGCGTCCGCCTTGTACTCCTTGTTCGGGAGAGCCGGGGCGTCGCGCCACCAGGTCAGGACTTTGGGGTTGCCGTAGATGGCTGATGCGCGGTAGGGGATGTTGGTGAGACGAGAAGTTGTCCAGAGAAGGTCGAGGTGGTTTTCGGTGAGATAGGTAAGGATATCGGTGCGAGAGAATTTGACGATGAGGTGGCACGCGAGGTCGGATAAGGGTTTCCACCGAGGAAGAGCTTCAATCCGCTTCTTGATGGAAGCAAAGGAGCCCCGTAGGATTGTATATTCAAGGGAGGCTGGCGTGGACATCTTAAGCAGGTGGCTCTGCCATTCCTGCGGGACGGGTAGATTGGATGGGATGCCCACGGCTTTGGCAATTTCCCAATCCCCCAGCTGGTCTTCAAAAATATTCAACCAGATCTCCAGGGGTAAAAAATGTGCATTCCCCTGCGGTTTGGGCCACTGTGCTTGCAGCTGTCGAAGTGTCGGGGCATTGGCGCCGCCGGATGCTTTCCTCGTGGAATCGGTAGGGTTAGCTGGCGCAGCAGCGCCACCTAGTGCAGCACTAGCGGCCAAAGTATCTCCCCACTGAGGCAATTGCAGTGCTGTCTGGAGGGTCTCATGCAGCTCCTGAAGGCCACCCCAGGGCAACGGTGTCAGCTCCTCTGGTCCGTTCGACTTCCAGAGTACGGGCTTCACGATTCGAATCCACGGGAAGAAGCGCTTGATCTCCTCGAGTTGCCGCGCACTTAACGGGTGGTCCCATTCAGACACGGTCATCCCCGGAATCAGAACAACCGGTTTTGTCGAGACCCAGCCGCGCAGTAGCGCCAATGTCAACGTATTGGTCAAGCCAGCCAACATCGACCCAAGAGCCCCAGCATCGATAGGCGCCACGACCAACATATCAGCCCATTCGCACAGCTCCGCCGTCTTCGCCTTGAGCCACTTCCTCCCGCCCGTCTTCTTATCGAACGTCTGACTATCCACCGTATCCATGTAATGCGGGATCTTATTTGTACCCGCCAGCAGCGCCAACGGCTCATCCGTGATCAGACGCAGTTCGAGGTATGGGTTCTGGACGAGACTGGGAAGCACGGTCTCGGCGAAGACGCCATCGGTCGTCAGGAGCAGTCGCTGGCGACGAGGTTGAGACGACGGAGGAGCAAGCTGGGCCAATTTATCGGAGCAAACCCGGTACCCTTCGTTGTTCCCTATCACCGCCGCCTCTGCGCAGCCGCCTTCCACCTCCATCTCACTGGCCCACGCCCCCTTTGCGACGGTACTTTGAATGGTCGATGTCGTCAGTTCGGGTCGGATGCCAACTGCCATGCCACGAAAAAGATGAGAATGTCGGGAGTGGTCGTTCACTCATAAGACTTGAGGAACGTGTGTGGCGAGTCGAACGCTTGGGGTCAAATGCAATGAATGGCAATGTCAGTCAAGTAATTGGGCCCCTACGACCGAGAGGTGGTTGAACAAGGTCTTTTTTTTTTCTCTTCCTCGAGCGTCGCAGAGGGGAAGTCCAGGATCAAGTCATGAATCATGTATGTACAATCACTCTGTCTGTGTAATCCGGGCAAATGTGAGCGGTGAGGGAGAGAGGTGACAGCAGGAAAAGACCGTCGCCACGACCAAGAAACGCAGGTGAGCGAAGGCCTGCGCCCCGCCAATCAACGCGGCTACCAGCGGACACGCCGGCACTAAACCCATTCGGGGAATCTTCAGATAAGAGGAAGTATACATAAACCGGTACTGATTGGTGGGTAGTCTAGTCTAAAGAACGAGCGCTTAAGTGCTATGTACTGCGGAACTATCGCCGCGCCAGGTTATTGTGCAGGGTATGCTCGCGGAGGGCAATGCTGCTGAGCGAACCCAGCAAACTAACCCCCAGCAGAGTAAGGAAGACCGCCCGCAGCGAGTCCATGTACGCATCGAGCACGCCAGGCCGCCAGTCAGCCGGCAGCTTCCAAATTTCATCTAGGTTGTCTCGAAGCCGCGCGATCAGCTCGGCGGCATGCTCGCGCCCAGCGAAGCGGGACCACAGCCCCAGCTTGAGGGTGTTTTGAAACACCGCCGAAGCGATGGTAATCCCGATGGTGCTGCCGGTGCTGCGGAAGGCGTAGGAGGCAGACGTGACCACGGCGTGGTGCTGATGGTCGACGGCCGAGATCAGGGCCACCAGCGTGACGGTCAGCATGCTCCCGTAGGCGGTGCCCAGGAGGAAGAAATAGACGAATGGCAGCCAGGCGGGCGTGGAGAGGTTGAGCGTGCAGATCAAGGCGGTGGACACGACTTGCAGAGACAGAGCGACATAGTTGAGGCTCTTGTAGCGGCCACTGGCGCGCATGATAAACCCAGACCCCAGGGATCCGATCGAGGTTCCCATCGCCTGGGGGGCCAGGCGCACTCCCGCGGCAGTTGCGGACAGTCCCTGGACCTGGAAGAACAGCGGCAGGTAGAAGAGAAGGCCAAAGACCGTCATCGTGAGGAACCAATTGATCAGACAGGCCGCCAAGACGGTCCGGTCCAGCAGAAGCCGCACGGGGATGATAGGTTCCGAGGCCACCTTGGCTTCAATGTAAATGAAAATCCCCAAAAACACCGCCGATAGAGGCAGCGAGGTCAGCACGACCGGGTGCGTCCACGGCACCTGGTTGCCGCCCGTATTGAGGCCGAGCAGCAGAGTGACCAGTGTGATCACCAGGGTCACGGCGCCGAGGAAGTCAACGCGCTTGATCCGAGCCGTATCTGACTCCTTGACGGGGACGTCCAGTTTCCAAGCGACAAGGATGCACGAGACCACCAGGAACGGAATCTGGAGCAGAAAGGCCCATCGCCACCCAATCGTATCGTTGATCCAACCACCAAACAGACCTCCGAGGCCACTTCCGGCGCCATAGCAGATATTGCCGACGCCTTGCCAGATGCCCCGCTTGCGCAGAGGCACCAAGTCCGAGGTTACAAAGGTGGAAATCACCAGCAGACCGCCGCCGCCCATACCTGCCACGACACGGCCAAAGATAAGCACCCATTCCGACTGCGCAAGGCCACAAATCAAATTGCCAATTGCGAAGAAAACATTCGAGAAAACTAGGCCCCAGCGGCGCGAGAAGATATCCGTCAGCCGCCCACTGATGGGCTGAAAAGCAGCGTTGGCGATCAGGTAGGAGGTCGCCAGCCAGGAGAAGAGCGAGAGAGAATGGAACGAGGACGAGATGGGTGCTGATAGAGTCGCGACAATGGTCGTGTCTACCAATCAATCAATCAGTCGTCAGCGCTAGTTGAAAATGGCCGGACATGTATCCGTTCGGTGGGCTTGATAGACGAGATAGAAAGCTTTCGGCCATTGGCGTTTAGTGACGGGAAAGGGAGGGAGGGAAGGGCTCATCTCATACCTAGGGCAGCCAGGAACACGCCTATCCAGATGGTTCCTAGAATCACGACCAGCTCTTTCGTGGTGGCCTCTTTACGCAGAGGGACCTGCGCATTATTCTGCGGCTGATCCTGGTTGGCGGCCGGATCATCACGCAGGAGCGGTGTCTGCTCTGTAGCAGGATTGGAAGTCTCGTCGTCGGACATGATGGTGGTGGTGGAGGAATGTTGTTGGGTCAGACGGGAGGGGGGAAGGAGGGTCAGACGGAAGCGGGTGTCTCCGCTCCGCACGCCAGTGTGGGGAATCGGCATATCAGTTGGATGGATGAGGGTTGGCACCAATACAATTGTACAAAGAGCATCTATGGCTTTGCTCGGCCGTCGATCACTTAATGGTCCGTTTCATGGTGAACTGCGACAGGTCCCTAACACCGCCCCGGAATTGACCCGGCCAAAAGGGGCGGACCAGCTCGAGGAAATTGACTGCTGGTCAATTCCTTGAGAATCGAAGAAATGAAGGAAAAGCGTAACGAAGAGAGTAGGCGAGTCACGTGGAAGTAATAGCCGTTGGCCATAAACATCGTCTGCTGCTTCCTTCCTTTCTCGTTCCCACCTCTCTCCATCTCCTTATCACACGCACATCCACCACCACCACTCCATTCTCTTCTCCGTTCCCAAAACATCTTCTATCTACCAACAAACAATCAACCCACCACCATGCCTGGCGTTCGTAAGTGGTTTTCTCTCCTCACCCGTTGATATGCGCGGCAAGGTGACGGGGGTCCCACGGCTAACCACCACCCGAGCTCTCGACTCGTACGATCAGGTGAAGAAGGGCGTGAAGAACCTCTTCCGCCGTAAGAAGAAGGCTGCCAAGAAGGACCAGGAGTCTGACGAGCCCTCCACCACGGCTGATTCGGGTGAGATGACTGCTCCGTCGGCCACTGAGGCCAACCCCGCCGAGCCTGCTCCTGCGCCTGAGGCTCAGACTGGTACGACTCCCTCTTTCATTCCCTTCTCTGGTCCAGTCTTGGACATGTAAGACTGATCGGACGGATAGGATCGGTCGCTGCGGGCCAGCCTGCTCAGCCCACCGTTTCTTTCCACGAGAACACTGGCGGAGCTCAGGTCACTGGTAAGTTTGGGTTCCCTTGAGCAACCGGATCAAGATTGCTGATCATGCACAGAGGAGTCATCCAAGTAGTCCATCCCGGCTTTGCTCCAACTGTCGCTTGCAACTGACATGCTCGTCACTTGTTTTTTCGATGGGACTCGCTCGGCCGCCGTGTTTGGATCTGTCCATTCCAGTCTTGCAGCCCATATCCCCGGCAGTTATGTTCCTCGCGTCGGATTGATTCTTGTGCTTGTTATCGGCGTTTCACAATACCCCAATTTTCTCGAGCGATCATGGTTATTCACGACGGGGTCCTTTTAGTCGCTTATGTAGCACCAATATCATAGGCCCGTCATTATTGAAAAACTTCTGCATCTCCGTAGGGATACCACAAGTAAGAAGATCAACTGTCTCCATCTTGAGAGGAGACATCTCCGTCGACTTGGGTTCCTGTAGCCGCGGCGCCAGCAGCCTTTTGCTCGCGCGCTTTCTGTCGACGCTTGATCTTGCGCTCGCGGTTCTTGCGATTTCGCTTCTCCGCCTCCGTCTCCCGGACCGCCTTCGTAACGGCAGAACGCTTGCGAAGTTGTATCCGGCGCTTCTTCCCAGGCTTCTTGCGAGACACGGGGCTTTTGGACGACGGTGCATCCTCAACCACATAGATTGGAACATCTTTAGAGGCTGGTGGCAGTTTCGTTTGATGTCTTTTGAGACGAATCACTCGCCATGGCAAATCACAGCCCGGCTACAATAACAGGTTAGTATATGCCAGAACATATATTGCCATTGCGACCAAAGAGATCAACCCACCCAGGCTTGGGACTTGGCCCAAGTCAGCATATGCTGTCCACTCACAGCGACATCCTCAAACTGTCGCTGTTTCTCTGCGATGATGTCTGCATCCTCGGTTGATTTTGGGTCCAATAAAGAAGGCGTTGAGACGTAGTACTGCCACCCGCGAAAGGCCTTCACAAATCGGCCTTCGGTGGGCACGGGAGTCGGCGACCGTAATCTGATCCGCAGCTTCTGGGGTTGTCCCTCGGTGGCCGCTGGCTTTGTCTCCTTCTCATCTGTGGATTTATCTGGGCCTTTCCCTGTTTCCACACCTTTCGGGGCGACTGGGGCACTGAACAGCCGGAACTCGAATTCTTGCTCTTCCTCTGAGTCGTTGTTCACGTCCGCTGGTTGAGTCGGTTCATTATTGTTTTTATTGTTTTGCGATGCATCTGCACCGATGAGCCCATCCAGATCTAGTAGCTTGCCTAGTCGCGCATGCGCGTCTTGCATGTCGGTTTCATCGGGCACTGGGGAGGGCGAGCGTGAGGAACCGGGCGAGAGAATCTCATCGCGACCGATCCTGGGATCGTTAGTCTATTGTGTACCCAAAGGCATTTCCAAGTGCTCTGGACATACCGTTTTGCACTCGGCAGGTCAAACATGGTGCGTACGTGAAGGAGAATGATGTCCGCAAGAGAAAAAACAGTCGGTGCGAGCCTTATCGGCTTGTAGCGCACGGACCTCTCTCCGTAGCCTCGTTCCTGCTCTTCACTCTCTCTCTCACTCTCTTATTGCCATATCTACGTCCTTTGCTTCACAGACTCCTTTGCATTCATTCCCACCTCCTGCACATTCCTTTGCATTTCCCTCCGTCCCCATTTCTCCGGAGAGAACCAGACACAAGGGGGTCCCACCACAGCACCAATCATTGGGGGGCGATTAATGCCTCATGCCCTCACCTCGTGCACCAGGGCCCGCTCTCCATCACGATAAATGGGTGTCTGTTCCTCGTGCCTGGGCGGTAGCCGCCAGGAAACCTCCGAGGTGAGTTCCGCCAGATTCAGCCATGTTCGAGTCGCATATCCTCCGGCGCATGCGTCATGTCTGGGACTCGGCCCGGAAGGAACAACAGCAGCATTCTAACATCCCTTCTTCTACCAAGCCTGAGTCTTCTCGTCTGTTAGAAGAGGATCCTTATCAAGCGGGTTATGGGTATGGAGCGTTCAATACGGCCCAGCATGCGAATCAGCCGGATCCGGAATCCGTGAGGCGTGAGCGAGAAGCTCTGGAGGCTATCTGCCAGCGAACATCAGAGTGAGTCTTGTATTCTTCCTATGTGGATGCCATCCAGCAGTGCTGACCCTGTCAAGTTCTGTCATCGACATCTGGTCCCTCCAACCCCAACCTCACCTCCAACCACGTGCAACCCTCCACGGCCCTACGTCAACATCAGCTTCTCCAACACCCGACGACGACAATGCCACCCTCACCGTCTCTGCGGACCGCACATCGCAAACCAGCCGACCCACCTCCGGCACTGGCGGCGCGGTCCCAAAACACTGGGGCGAAGTCGTGGTCAACCCGACCAAGAAGCGGTCTCGTCCGGACATGAAAATCGACGGGAACGGGGGCGCGAAGCGGGACGTCTTCGGTGTCTTGCAGGTCAACTGATTGATGTGATGTTCATCCTTGCACATGGCATGATCGATGGTGATGTACACACGATGAAGTATGATCTGTTGGTTGGTTCATGAGGTTATTATGTATGGGATGGATGACATGGAACAGGAGGGATGGTGTCATAAGTGGGAAAGGGCTTCGAGGAGCCCTGTAATATCTTTTCTGAGCATTCTTTTGATTGTTTCTTTTCGCATGGATCGCCGGTCGACAATTCGCACATACAATAGCAAAGTCCTCACTGCAGTCGATACCTAGATTAGTTAGTTTCCTTTGCAATGAACTGTTTTATCCCTCAATGGTTGCTGCTTATGGAGTAGACCTAGAGCATTCTAATTTTTCTGTCTACTTGTCCGTGGGCGTCCACCTTCGACTGTACATATACGGATATAGTCAAAAGAGGGACAGACCAAGTCTAAGTAAAAAAACAAATTCATAACTGAAGAACTAAAAGTTGCGAAGAACCGAAAATAAATTCATCATCAGCGCCCAAAGCTGCAAGAAACAAAGTAGCGCACGAGCTGTGATCCTATCCTTGACTCCTGTCACGACCATAGCAAAATGCTCAAGTGCACCGAAAGCAGGAAACAAAAGAGGGAAGAAATGAAAATGACGAGAACTCCACCGTGCACGAAACGCCCGCTGATCTTATTCTGATGCTGGGGTACAAAATATAGGAGTAGAGAGAAAGAAAGATCCGGGTGTTGTTTGGTTATGCAATATGTCCGTGTAGGTCCGAGCCGGGACCTAAATAGGACTCGGGCCGGGAAGGGAAGGGAAGTAGAAAAGTGGGTTGAATCAGACGTCGTCCATTGCACCCGCCGGTTCTTCACCGCCAGAATCGTAGCTGCCGGCGGAACTGAGTTCATCTTCGGACTCGGTATCCTCGCCCGCTTCGTCGACAGCCTCTTTGCTGGCGTATTTGGATACGTATTCTGTGGGGTGACTCGTTAATATCATGACATCTCAAGTTTTGATAAATACATACCCTTCACCTTTGCCTCGTATGCCTTGGGCTCCCGCATCAGCAATGCCGCGGCCTCGCCGTTTAGTGGGTCCGACGGGTTAGGGTATCGAAGAAGTTGCGGAAGGAAGACCTCGAAGATGTTGATCATGTCGTACATCGGTGACCATGTCTGGTTGATGACATCAAGGCAGACAGATCCGGATCTGTTTCAGGGAGGTGTGAGAACCAGAGACCCGATATCATTCGTTGATTGATTGTCACATACAGCTCATCGATGTTCGGGTGGAAGATGCGGTTGACGAAGCCAATACTTGGGCTTTTGTATGGGTACTGATCGGGCAGTTCCACGTGGATTTTCCAATGGCCACCGGTAAAGGGTGCTATGCCGGAATTAGCAAGGCCCAGCTTTTTGGGATAGCATGTACATACTCTCTTCTGGTCCTTTAAAACGGACGTAAAATTCTTGCCTGAAACCATTATTCGTATGCATCATTCGGAGTATGTTCCGGGGGAGGATGAGCGCATACACTAGATTCCTTGTTAGTATGCGCAGCGTACTCGGGTTCACTTGGTGTTCCTTACTATTGTCATTCACCAAAGTCACTTCGTAGTCGCTCATCAGCCTGTTAATCCCTCGTCAGCGTATATCCCACGCATCAAAAGCGGCCCGGAGAAGTCCAGCATGACTCAAGCGGCCAAATCGGAACGGATGGGGGAGTCGGTGTGCGTACATCCTAGTCAAAAGTCAGTAACCACATTCTCAAAACACTGAAGTAGCTAATGAGACATACTTCATGACCTGTATGAGCAAAAGGGGTCAGCATTCGCGCTTCCGGGTACCCTGGTGGCGTTCTGAGGGGAGCTGTGACTTACATCCGTCTCGATTCTCCGCTTGGGGCTGCTCATGATGACGGTTGAAATCGATAGTTGGGCCTGGTTCAGAGTAGTCCTCCAAGAAAGCGGTCAATTCAGACGAGCACCAGACGAGGTGGTGTTGCACGGGGAAGCTAAGTTCGTCGGAGCGGGGGAAGCAAAGGAGCGGGGTAGGTCGTCGGGGATGGAATGAGGGCAGGAAGGATGCGGACGTTGACGATGCTGGAACGGGTGGGATAGTGGAAGAGCTAGACGAGAGAGAGAGAGAAAGACCAAATTCGAGCACGGAGAAGGTAGGGAGGGAGAACAAGAACAGAACCAAGTGGTGATGCGTGTGATGTAAGCCAGGTCACGTGTGCCCGCTGAATCATGTAGCTGTAAAAGTGTCTCGGGGATTGTTTACTTCCGGGACTTAACTAGCTCGGGTGGGCCCAATAAGCTATCATATCTCTACGCCCAAATTCAACTTCTACGTCTCCTCATCCTCCCCATCCACATCGCCATCATGAATCCCTCATCACCCTCGGAGCGCTCTGCCAGAGGCTCTCCCAGTTCCAACCCACCCGCCGCAGCATCCAGCACTCTCAGTCATCGCCCCGCACCGGGCCGCAGCCAAAGCTCTGAATCCCCGTCGCCGCAGCCTGGCAGCGCCCCGATCCCCGATGACGAGCATGGCGCTGATCTGCCGATGAACATGACCGCGTCGCTGATGCTGACGGGTCTTCCACGCGATGCACATCTAGCTCTAGCTGACGTGGAAGCCATTGACACGGGGAAGAGTAAGTACCAACCAAAATTGCTTGTTCCTCTCACTCCACAAAGTAATAATATAAACCCCCTAGTTACCGTCCGCTTTCAGCCACTCCCATCAGCCCCGATTCTTAAGAACCGGGTCTTCAAAGTCAGCGCCTCTCAAAAATTTGAGACGGTAGTCAAGTTCCTGCGCAAGAAGTTAGACTGCAAAGATACGGACTCGGTCTTTTGTTACGTGAACAGCGTTTTTGCGCCTGGTCTGGATGAGGGTATGGGTGGTTTATGGAGAGTACGTCAGGTCATGCATGTTCAGTGACATTTGCTAATGAGCATCAAGTGTTTCAAAACGGATGACCAGCTGATTGTCGCGTACTCGATGACTCCTGCGTTCGGCTGAATGGGCCCCCCGCTGAATGAACTTGTCTAAAGACTATGTTTATGAACATGTGTGTGCAAATATTTTGCCACAGTTGATTGGAGAGTTGAAAGCCCTCCACGACTCATCACTCCGAATTGATGCTTCTCAATGAAGACTACCAGGCTGGCACGGCTTCTGGCTTCGACATGCCTTGTTTCATGGGATGATTTAGACACCGCCTGGAATTCAATTCTTGGCAGACATTGTCCATCGTCTGTTCAACTCTGTCAGCTCTTCTTTCGGAATGGGACAGCTGCGTTCATGCGAAGCGACCGCCCGAATGAGCCGGGGGTACTGAGCAACACCCCGCGATACCCCGCCTCAAATATCGGCGAACTACTTTACAAGCCCGCTGGACTAAGAGTAGCCTATCATACGGACCGGCAGCACGCTGAAATACACTACTAGGCTTTTTGAATCGACTGTGAACATTTGCCAAATCGTGGAAGCGGCGAAGGGACGCATTTTTTTGTCAATAATCCTGAATAGCAGTCCTTGCAGCCCTTGGCTCACGCACTTGCTCTTCTCTAACTATAGGTAGATCAGAACTGCCGAGCTAGCATTCATCGGAATAGTTCCATCCGAGCCAACTCTTTCCAAATTCACCTTCCCTGTAGCTTTGCCCTCGTAGTTTTCCCAGCTCTGGCCACCCCATGTAAGTCCAGCTGTCTTGGCTATTAGTGATTTTTCTCAAGTATATATAACGACCATGGGATACAGAGGTAAGAACACAGAGAAGCGAGAAATAATAAAGAGTGAACAAGATAAACTCACACAATGCACTCAGTGACTCAAACTCCAGTCGCTTGTATGTTGCCTTCGTGTGCGTGGCAGCGAGGGTAGGGAGATTGACGCTCATAACCGGGCGAGTTCCCTCGGAGCTAAAAAAAAATTGGTTGTCAACTGCAATTCAGTGAATGCAATACTGAATCGCACTTACAGCTCAGTCCATGGTTGCTCATTGAGCAGCATGATGCGTTTGAGGTCCTTCCCTTCCCAAATTTGGTATGCAGTAAGGTTGTCATTACCAGTCCAGAGTTCATTGATATACTTAACAACATTAGCAAAAGTCATAGGTTCGAGGGCTTATTTAACTCACCGTATCTCCCGAATTCCCAATGGTATCCGCCACAGCAAGATATCCATAGTAAAGAGGCATGACGTGTCGTTTGGCCGAGGGCTCATAGTCGTAGACATTACCTCCGATATGGTTAATCGGCTCCCATGCTGCGAATTGATTAGCACTTCGCAGCTCTCTTCTTCTCTCCTCATTGCAGACAAACCCACCACTGTAGTTATAGCCAACGCCCTGATGGTAATAGATCCCCGTCGCTCCAATGCTCGCTGCCTGAAGGCTATAGTCAATCATCCAGAGCGCCTGAGCTGCGGCATTGCTGACTCCTGGGGAGCCATGCCCAGAGAAACTGTTAGTCTCGCCAAGGACGAAAGGAATACCGGCCCTTTGCGCAGAGTGGGCCGATGCAGCGTATGGTGCGAGGTTGCTGCGGATGTTGGCCTTGTTGACGAGATCCTCGGCGTTTTCGGCATACACAGGAAGGGAAGTCAAGTTGTATTTGCTTCCGCTCTGGTAGTGATGCTCGGAAATGGAGTTGACAAATCTGCGGAATGCCAGTTAGAAAAGAGGTATGAATCGAAGTGGGACGAGAGAGATTTGGCTTACTCTCCCATCGGTGACTGCATGATATTGGTCGCCAGCAACTGCTCGCTTGTCCAGTACTCGGCGAAATCTCCAATCCTATACTTTCGTCCGTTGTTCTTAAGTTCGTTGTTGATCATATTGAAAAATTCAATTCTTCAAGAGAGTTAGTTTCGCGGTCTCCAGGATATCCTATCGTTATCATAGGTAATTGGGATCATACTGTCGAGTCTTGTAAGCCCAAAGTCCCCAGTGGTCGCCTAGATCTTGCAGATCCATCTCATTGCCAAGCTCGATATTGTACAGCGAGACATTTTTACACCGATGATCCTAGATAAACAGAATGAATATTTCCATTCCGAGCCTTTTTACAAGAGATAGTCTTGAACTTACGGCAAAAGCACTCTCAATCTCCCGCACCTGAGCCACTGCCTCGCTAGCATTAGTTAAAAAGTTGACGCCCCAGGTAAATGCCGTTCCCGCAGGTAAGTTGCATGAGGATAACCAAAAGTCAGGTCCCGCACCCACAAAGGTGGCTTCGGGAAAGAGGTCCGTTGTAATAGGCAGCGGCGTTGGAATTGGTGGGAAAACATCGTAGAAACCGGAACTGCCTGTTAGACTAGGTTCATAGTGGATTGCGTCTTGGGTGTCACCACCGACTCTATCCGATTGTGAGTAATAAAGTACAAAAATATAAATAAAAAGTCATTATTCTGACCTGATCCTTGGTGCAACGCCCGTCTTCTCCTTGAGATTGCTTAGCAACGTATAAGTAAACTCGTTCCTGTGTGTGCCGTTGCCCGCCCAATCTGGCCATCTATCTGGTTCAATGGAGAGTCCGCAGAGGTTTTGGGGGAGCGGCACAGCAACTTCCGGGCGACTTGAAGAATACTGGACTGTGTATTGGGTGCTTCCGTGGGCTACAGTGATGGTGCCGGCGAGGGCAAGCAAAGTGGTGGGAAGGCCGGGCATTCTGGTTTGCAATGGGCCTCTTGCAACGCAGGATAAGCTGTAAAATAAATAATGGTCAAAAGAAGTTCTAGCACTCGTCCGACTCCTCTTTTTAATAGAGTTCCCAAGCATCTTTAGCTCGAAAGATCTACAGAAGGCCAACAAAAGAGGCATGATGCGGGGTGATCCCCAAAATAAATCCCATCAATCAGCATTGTTACACCGTAAGGAGCTACATAGTATCTATACTCGGCTTAATCCGAATAATGTGGAATCCTGCGAGGAGAATGCGCCAATCGGGTCGCCGCTCCCGAGAAGGCGGAAATATAGGTAAACAATATACAGTGGATATTGTCTGGCCACGGGGCCTCCTATTTAGGCTGCGACCACCTTTTGTGATGGCGCTTAGGCTCAGGCTCCCTGAGTAGATATCAGCACACACTCAGACTCAGTGATCATGCTTAAGGCAGTCACCTAAGCCAGAGCCCAGTCAGTGCTCATTGGATGCTCACTGATTCCTTTGGTTAGGCTTAGGGAGCGATCATGGCCCTCTTAGTTCGTAGTTTATATCAGAAGGTACAAGCGCCTAAAGGGTCGTTTATTTCGTGATAGGTACTTCATTGATACCCCTAGTCCTACCCTCGCTTTCTAGTGTCATCCATGCCCATATTTCTTCTAAAAAAAGAAAAGAAAAGAAAAGGAAAGGAAAGGAAAAATGAAAGTACTAGCTAGCGTAGGAAAATAGGGTAACACCATCCATTCTAGGATGACTCGGTGAAATGCCTCTCTTCCTTCGTATAATGCGGCTTAAGCTCAAAACCTCAGATACAAAATGAGATCATGTTCCAGATTTAACACCCCACAATCTACGCAATTTCCTACGCAATTATCAGTTAGACGTAATATTTTATACTCTAGTTGTCTCTCCTATAGACATCGGATTTAGTTATAGGCAGAATAGACTTTCCGTTAGGCATAGTGATAGGGCCAAAGCCCAAAACCCACCACCCCCTTCCCTAGGGGATGTAGCGCCTACAATCAAGTTGGACATAAACGAACGCACTGCCCTAGTAGCTGGTCCTGATAGGTAGAAATTTGAAATTAATGGCGTTGGTCGTCTAATAAATCGATTTTGAATATTGGTGGTTGACTAGTTGATCGGCTCGTTGATGTGGTCTGCTCACTAGTGAAATACATTAGTTACAGTTGACGTTAACTAACTTCATTATAAATCAAATCGTCAGATGCTTTGTAACTAGTTATAGTTGGCTCGGTCGAAATCTCGGACGGACGAACTGTCCTCCGACCGAAGGAACTCACGAGTTGCATATCTCGATGTATATAAGAATACTACTGTCCCATATTCAAAGTGGTCAACGCAACATAGGTATTGCTCATTCAAGTTCTTCAAATCCGACCAAAATGGGTGCTACCAACAAACTCGCGAACAAAAACATCCTGCTAATCGGCGGAACCTCCGGCATCGGTTTCGCGGTCGCCCAGCAAGCCTTCGAGAGTGGGGCAAATGTGACCATCAGCTCATCCTCCGAAGAAAGGGTCTCCAATGCTCTCGACCGCCTTCGTGCCAGCAACCCGGCGCGTGCATCAGCAGCACGTAGCTATGTCGCTGATCTTTCTATCCGAGAGAAGCTTGAGAAAACAATCGAGGATCTCCTAAAATACACCGCAGAGCCATCACCCATCGACCATATTGTTTTCACTGCTGGCAACGTGCCCCCGCTCGTTCCTCTGGCGGAAGCGTCCTTCGATATTTTCGAGGCATTTCTCACCGTCCGGTTCTTTGGTGCAATGATGGTTGGCAAATTTGCGTCAAAGTACATGGCTCCTAGCAAGTGTTCGTCAATTACCTTGACGACAGGGACGCAGAGCAAAAAGCCGTCATTTTGGCTGCCCCCTGCTGTGGCTGGTGCAGTAGAAGGGTTGATGAAAGGGTTGGCGATTACGCTGACACCCATACGGGTGAATGCTGTTTCACCGGGCTTTATTCTGACAGAGCTGACAGAAAGAATGCCAAAGGGCATTCTGGAAAGGAATGTTGAGAAGCACAAGCTGCAGTCGCTGACGAAAGACGTTGGCCATCCCGAGGATACGGCTGAGGCGTACCTGTACCTGATGAAGGATTACTTTGCGACGGGCTCTACTGTGGCTACAAATGGAGGGGTTTGGTTAGTCTGATGAGAAAGACATTGTTACCTTGCATGCTCCTGGATACTAGCCCTAAGACGTTGAGCGTTTGGCTTCGGCCTCGCCATGCGCTAGTACTAGCGCAAAAGCCGAGACGTCGTAAACTCTAAGCAGGCTACTATTAGATTCACCTAGCGGCAACCATAATAGAACCTTAGTGGTCACACTTAAGCATAAATGGCTCCAACCACCCTAAGATAGGATACAACAGCAGAGCTTTAAACGAGTTCATTCAGTCGCCATCGCCCTCGTATCGCACATTTTGCCAATAAGGTATGAGGCGCACCACTAGATCCAAGAATGGTCACATTGATGAAGCTAAGGTTTTTGCTGATAGGAGAAATAACGCTGGTCACACTAAGAAAGTCCAAACCAACCGAGCACAGTATTCACGTCCGTAGGCACGAAATGTCCAACCCCAGCAGCGGAGTATCCCACCAGTTGGCTGCCGTCACCGTAAACAATCTGCGTGTACCCAGACAGAGGGGTATTTGTATTGTTGACAGTGTTGGAAAGGCCGAAGACCGTCGACCACTCCTTCAACTCCTCGCCAAAATCGTGGTAGCTCACAAATGTATCCGCTTCTCCATGCCAGATCTGTGTCCTTGGATACGTCCCATTGTATCCAGGATACGCATTTTTAACCATTGCTGCCCATTCCGCGCCAGACTTGGTGATCAGCCCGTTCGCGCAAGATGGGTCTGCGGTCGTGGGGCTCGAACCGGGCGATCCTGCAAGACATCCGTAGGGAACACCAGAGAACGCTGCCGCAGCGACGAAAACATCAGGGTATGTTGCCACCAGGACGTTGGTCATCATGGCGCCGGAGGAGGAGCCGGTGACATAGACCTGGCTGGGATCCCCGTTGTATTGGGTCAGAGCATATTTCACCATATTCACCAGAGAGAGCGAATCACTGCCCCCGTTATGCGTGAGTGTCTCTGTTGTCGCCACATCCCAGCAGTTGTTGTCGTGCGGTGCACTGGGGTAGAGCAGGATGAAGCCCCCCTGATCCGCCGGGGTGTGGAAGTCGAACATTTCAAAGTAACTCGGCCCATCCCCGCCACAAGGATGCAGCTAGTACCATCAGCATGGAAACAAGAAAATACACATTGAGACTTACTGCAAGTATGACTGCAGGTTCAGAGGCGAGACTGTCGGGTACGTAGATATACATCTCGTCATTTCCGGGGTTATCTCCAAAGTCGGAGACTTGAGTCAGGCTCGCAGCGCAAGCTGAAGTGATAAACAAGCTCAGGGTCGAAAAGAGAAATTGCATCTTGCCGAAGATGTTACAAGTCGGGTATAAAAGAACTGGACTGTTGGGTATCCATCACAGTGCACACCAGGACTTATATGTCTCTACTCCTCGGTTCTAGAGAAGCCCAACAACTGCCGTCCAAAACACGACATGGATATCTATGATGTCAGAGGAAGATCAGTACCCCAGCTCTCTGCCTATGAAATTCCAGGTGTGCTGCCGCCTAAACTGATGTTGACACGGCTAAATAGTGAGTGAATGTGCGGGAACTCCCCTGATTCACAATGTTGACACATGTTAATATAAGCTGTATTCTTTCGGCATTGAAGTGCTTGTCTACGTCCCGTCTTCAGTTCGTCAGGGACAGAATTCTGGGACTGTCAGCATGTCGATCCCACAAAAGAAACGCTAGATATTCGTGATCTTCAAGGCTTTTGACAAAGATAGTAAGGGGCCCGGCTGGCGTAATAATTAATCTAATTAGCCCCAGGTTTGTTTCACGAGTCGAATAAAGTTTATTCAGGTAACTAAGTTCCTTGCCGCCACGGAGCCACTCCGGGGCCAGGTGCAGGATCTAGCGCCCTCGATACAGGTGGATGGGATGGGGGAATGGGAGGTAGGGGAGACTATGGCCAGTCGCCTGCATTATGGTAAGCTACAGTATCGAGTACGCTGGATCGGCCACGATACAGACCTTAGATGGCGCATCTGGCCAGCAACCTACGAGATGCTCCTCGAACAAAAAGATTCGAGCCTGCTTCTTGCGCGGCGCTGGTAAACACATGATAGGTACCTTCGACTTCTTCAATGGAGAGCTCTTCAATCCGGCTATAATGCGACCGTCATAGGACATTGATCTACCATTTTGCTTAAAGAATTTTGGAAGGATGCAACATTTCCCCGCATTTTGCCAAGTAGTTATTTGGTGGATTTTGATGTTGTCCGTCTCCTAAAAGAAAAGGAATAACACCCGCTCAAAAACAGGACACTACGCACGGGATATTACTGTAAGTGGTAATAGGTGGTGACATTATTCTGCAGTGCTGGTGTCCGCGCCTCTTGAGATGCACACTCGGCAATTGGTCTATCCAGATAACTGCCGTTCTACGTATTTCCCATGTACTTGAATTCGAGACATGAAATTAGTTAGCGCCTTGCGTTAGAACTGTTTAGGATTTGATAGATATTGGAGATCCTATGCATCACCAATCGCCTCAGATATCTAGTCAATTCACAGAAGTGGAAATTTAAGTTTCAGGTTTAGGCAAAGCCCCCGTATAATTCTCAAAGCACGGTTATGCTGTCACAGTCAGTAAGCCTTGGCTCTAACTTAGTGCTTATATTACTCCCAGATAGGTGGGTGACTTGCATTGAGATGGCATAGTGCTTCTTAACTGAAGGAGCTGGAATTCAGCCAGGCAGTCAATTCTCTGCATCGCTGTCCATCCCCCTGTCGGATATTAACCTCCATAATGGCAAGCTTGAAAGGCTATATAAAGACCACTGTTTCTCCCTCGGTTGATCCCTAAGCCTTCATAGACTGTTCCTCTTTCCGCTTGTGACTCGGGCAGTCTCCAGCAGCTAGTTCTTCCTTACGTTGTGCCAAAATGATCCTGACTCGGTTCGCGACAGGCTTCTTGCTGCTCCCAGCTAGCTGGGCCGCAACCATTGATCGCCGTCAAGCTTCGCCAAGCCTGAATACATTGTTCCAGAATGCGGGCAAGAAGTTCTGGGGTCAGTGTGCTGACCAGGGCCGCTTGACAGAGAATTCCCAAAATCCCGCCATCTATGAAGCCGACTTTGGCCAAGTCACACCAGAAAACAGCATGAAATGGGATGCAACCGAACGTAGGTTACAATTAATGCTCAGTTCTGGATTCTATGTATCCATAGGCACCTATTTGGGGAGAAAATCCATGCCTGATGTGAGCGACGCTAACAACAGTGTAGCTAGTCAAGGCTCTTTCAGCTTTTCCGGCGCAGACTGGTTGGTAAACTGGGCGCAACAAAATGGGAAGATGATAAGAGGCCATAATCTGGGTAAGTATTTGAGCTATGGTCCTCGTACATAATTCTGGATACTGATCAAATATCATATGCTAGTCTGGCACTCCCAGCTCCCCAGCTGGGTATGTCAAATAACTGATAAGACGGCACTCACCAATGCAATGACCAACCATATCACCACGGTTGTAAATCGGTACAAGGGTAAAGTATATGCTTGGGTGAGTTCGCCCTCATAGACAGAACGAACTGTCCTTTTGCCTATGCGTCTGTATTCAAACTGATAATCATGCAGGACGTCGTGAATGAGCCTTTCAATGAAGATGGAAGCTTGCGTCAGGATTGCTTCTACAATGTTATTGGCCCTGACTACATTAGTATAGCCTTTAAGGCAGCCCGCGCAGCCGATCCAAACGCGAAACTCTACGTAAATGACTATAAGTGAGTATTTTCCGTCTTGCTATCTTGGCCAAGTCACGATACGGGTCGTCAGAAAGGCTCTGACCATTACTCTAACATTGATCCAGTCTTGACTCTGCAACATATTCTAAGACCATTGGAGTGGTCGCTCAAGTGAAGCAGTGGATAGCCCAGGGAGTTCCAATCGATGGCATTGGTAAGATGCATCTTTGTCTTTCCTGAAGATTACTCTACTAATCATCAAGCCTAGGTTCCGAGTCGCACCTTAGGTGAGTAGATCATTCATGTGTTTCAGAAGACCCAAAGTCTAATCACCCACTCATAGTGCTGGCCAAGGCTCTGGTGTTCAAGCATAAGTGTTCCATTTCCTATGTCTTTCTTTTACCAGGCAGATGTACTGACATACGCACACTGCGCTTGCGTTGCTCGCTACAGCTGGAACTACGGAAGTCGCGATCACCGAACTGGACATTGCAGGAGGATCAGCTGCCGATTATACTGCTGTAGAGTCTCCACACAAACTCGGTGAATGCTACAAACATCCTGACTCTTGTGAACCAGGTTGCCCAAGCTTGCTTGAATGTGCCGAAGTGCGTCGCTATCACGTCGTGGGGGGCATCAGACAAGGTAATATGCCCCCTCTTCTTTCGAAGAGATCCCAGAGTTTTTTATTATTTGTAATTCTAATTAAATGTTGTCCTTAGGATTCTTGGCGCGCCAGCGACACGCCTGACCTTTTTGATACCAACTACAGTGCTAAACCGGCATACTATTCTGTAGCAAGCCTTGTCAGCGGCTTTCATACCACCACATCTAGCGGCACTTCGACTTCCACTACTTCTACTGCTACGACCACTAAGTCCACTACTACGACCACTACTTCTACTACTACGACCACTACGGCGAGTTCTTCTACACAAACTCATTGGGGACAGTGCGGGGGCATTGGCTGGACTGGAGCAACTGCGTGCCAGTCCCCATACACCTGCCAAGCGCAGAATGCGTACTATTCTCAATGCCTTTAGGTTTTATTGACAGCCGGTTCAATGTTGTCGACATGTGAGACACGAGAATTCGGTTTCAACAACCTGATTCATTCACTTGGAATTATAATTAGCACTGGTCCAACCGTTTAACAATCTCTGTCGACATCTGAAATACGAAAATTCGGTTCCAACAACCTGATCCGTCCACTTGGAATTACCGCAGGCTTAATAATCTATTTTTTGTATGATAAATTCAAGGCCATGCTATGTTCAAGATCGGTAAAATAAGTTCTCCCACGAATGAAAATTAAATGTTTCTTCACAAACCATTCCCATGGCTCAAGGCTCGGGTGATTAGCTTCCACCCTGCATTCGTGGGCGTACTGAGTATTAAACAACCTTGATTACACTCTCGACGGTCTCTAATATTACAGTGGGCTATTGGTTTGTTTATTTGATGCATTGCTGTATGTGTTGTGCATGTATATGCTTTCTCATAAGGTTCAATATTAGAACCATCGCGGTCTTCCTCTAAAGTATCGCCACGCCTGCTATGCCCGGTTGGTAAAGATCAACCCATGAAAAACCACGGATCCAGTCCCTCCTTCAACTGCCGCGCCGGGGTTTTCATCACAACCGGGACAGTATCACGAAAGATCGCAGGTGAGAAATACCCGGGGGACTCTGCTCTATCGTGCATCATGTTCTGCTTCTCTTGGGTAGTAAGGTCAGACTCAGTGATAGGCACAACCACGCCGCATTCCCAGTTACGGCAGTTCAGCTTTGGTTGGCCTGTTGCTCGATCCTTGACTAGCCGACCCCTATTATATTGTTATGGTTAGTTAATTGTATCCAAGGAATTGTCTATCCAGAAGCTGGTGGATATGGGGAAACCTTACCAAGCACTTTCAGACAAATTGGCACTCCCGATGTAAACCCATCCGTAAGACTGGGTCTCATCTGGCAGGATAATTGCCTCTACCGGCGAGGCATAGATGATCTGTTTTGAGGTAACAGTCAGCAAAAGACATGCCCAAATATGGATGATTGAGCAAAATGCAAATGTGTATTCTGTTGACGTACCTTGTTGTGCATCAACACGGAGCCTCTCTCACTCTCGCAATCTCTCATAACATGCCGCGGGAACTTTGTACTGTGCCACCACTTTGACTGGAAGCAAATAGTGCCTGCCGTCATGGCAGGATTAGAATGCGCGCGTCTCACGGTCTGGTCAGATGGAAAATAGACGCGGAACCGATCACGCCATTCCTTGCCTGTCTCTTTTGTGATTTTTTTCTCAGGGTCGCTGGGGTGCGATGATACAGCTGAGGCTTTTGTGTTGCGGATTGTGTACTCGGCCAGGCCGTCATCGCCTGTTATTGGTTAGCAGGGTCTGGGCACATGGACTGATTACGTGCCTTGGCAGACGAGGTAGATAGCTCGAAGGAACTCGTCGGTCAGAGAGCCGACGGAAGACGTCTGTGGCCTTTGTCAGATTGATAAGATCTTAACTGGGCCTAGAGAACTGACCACAAACTCAAGGTTGATTGGTTTGGGCGACTGAAGTCCCAAGCTGGCCACCGCACGCCCTAGTCCGCAGTGCCCAGTACGCCTCCATGAGCCGCCTGTGTGAGACCCTCCACTAAGAAGTGGTCGTATCAGCATTTGCTTGCACCGGAATGAAATAAATTGGAAGCGTACACTGTATGCACAAATGCGTAACGGGCAGTCTTGCTGAAATCAAAGCCGTCAAGCTTGGAAATAACATTCTCGTTTAGGGTCATGGCCTTGAGGAAGTAAACCAACTCTTCGTAGAAGGCGGTCTTCGACCCGTTGGAGGAAGTGTCATCGGACTTCTTAGGGAGATCAACCAAAAAGGCACTCTATAATCTGTGGTCAGTTCCGTCGCAATAACCCAGGGTTGTTTACATACATTTTCCATCAAGCCGTTCTCGCCCCAGTCAAAAATAGTGAGGTTAGCTGTTGGAACTACGATGCGAAGGTAATCTCGGTGAAACAGAAGCATCAGTTTGGAGTGCATGCAGTTGATCTGGCCATCCATCGGTGGAAAGCACAGTCTAAGGTTCGGCATATCTGATGTTTCTTGCTGATATTGAAGTTTCTGTTTGCATAGGAGCCTCTATCAGTACCATGAATCACAGGGAGAAACTCTTTCTTACCGTTTCTTCTTCCTTGGCCTGCATCACGAGAATAAACCTCGTTCGCTGAGTGTCCAGCTTTGAGAATAGCCATTCCATATCCCACATAAACGAGCTGAGAACGGCAAGCTCCAAGTCAGCTCGCTGAAACACCTCTTCAATTGTGATGTCATTTCCCTTTCGCGGGATACCGGACACATGTGTCTTCTTGACAGCTCCCAGGGGCCACTGGGGTACGGGTCGAGCGGTTGGCTGCACACCAAATTTTGGTGAATTTGCTGCTGTGCTTTGGCAGATGTTCGAAGGTGTCGAGGTCAACGAAGGGCCTGGGAATGGGATAGCTGTGCCTCTCGGTACAGGCTCGGTTTTGGGAACCTTAGGTTCCGATTCTGGCAATGGAGAAGAACCATCGTCGGCTTTGCGTTTCTTAAGTCGTGCAAGACGCTCTTCCTCCATCTGCTTTCGGTTCAGCCCCAGGATACCCGGGGATTTGGAGGCCACTGGGGCATTAGGAGCAGATGCGTTTGATGACTTGATGGAAATTTCCTCTGGTGCAGAGGGCATCGCAGCTTGAGACACATCCTCCGTTGTGTTTTTCTCCAAGGACAGTGCGAGGGCTCGCTTGAGTTCTTCATCGTCTTCATCTTCTTCAGCCTCATCCTCAGTCTCAGAGCCAACGAGCGACTTGGACTTTGGGTTGACCTCTTCCACATCAGAATCGTCATCTGAATCAGCCGTCAGATCTACCAAATTGCGGCGAGTCACTCGAGACGATGACTCGCCACTGGGATCAGATCTTTGGGTGTCTCGAAGCGAGGCTTCAATGGCGGCTTTGAGGTCCGGATCATTCAGATCATCAAGATCATCTTGGTCCATATTGAATGGACTGATAATTTCAAACGACTCAATAAGACGGTATGGAACAAGTCAATCAAGCAGATTCCGAAAACCAGAGTTGTCCAGTGTTGAAGGAATGTTGGATCAGCACGATCATTGGTCACGTCCGATCATGCGCCGAGGCGATGGCAGGGCATGAAAGTTATCGAGAGAAAATATGAAAGGACAAGTAAAGAGACGAAAAGGACGATATGGCTCGCCCGCACCGGTGAGGAGTGTGAAGAGGACAGCCCCTGTTGATTGGTCTCGCTGCCTTTTACGGACGTGCACGTGACCACGACTGACCCGACAATGAGACAGAACAGTTTCCATGCACTGCCCTCGACAAGTAGGTCTGCTCTAAATTGATTTCAATCGTTTTTATGGACCATTTTCTGCCTTGATTCGATGGATAAATGACCCAACTCAACAGTCCTATATACATCGAAGAATATCAAAAGATTTGCAAATACAAAGCCCGGCTTGAGAACATTCGACCGTTTTATCTAATTCACAACATCAAGATGGAGTGTCATGTGGAGAGTATAATAAAGCCAAACAGTTCTCCAAGTTTAGTTGCCACTAAGAAACCATCCAGGGGAAGCGATAGGGTCGCCGGGGCAGCTTGCTTCGTTCAATAGCGGTAGTAGGCGATGACAGAGGCCTGAGAAATGTCACAAGCAAAGAAGATCCGTCATATATAGTGCGTCTTTCGAAGTTTAGCAAGGCATAAGACCTCGGAGTGGCCAGAATACCAGGATTGACGACGGGAATCATGACAGATCTGAATTTGCCACGTCCTTCTCCACTGAGAAGTCCAGGGAAAGATCCCCTATGGCGCCCAGTATTCTCCATGTCGCAAGAAAAAAGGCCTGGTCTGGGTCTCCCAACTTCACAGAAGGCTGTTCACAGAAGGCTGTCGAGAATTGGAGGGGAAGCCAACCAAGGACCAGTCTCGCAGTCTTGCAGTCGCGGGCAGAGACAAGCTCGCTCATTTTGCTCTGGTTAAGAAACAAAGTTCACTTCATCAGATACATTGCAAAACCAGGTCGATAATGGCAAAGAAGACATCTCGGTCTGCATCCGCTGTGACCAGTCCGAGGCCGAGAACAAGCAAGCGTTTTTCATCGGGAGTTTTGGTGGCAATGGCGCTTGCAATTTGGCGAGCATACAATTGGCCAACGGTGTCATGTCCGGGAGCATGGCCACCCAATAATGACGTTGCCGTCAAATTACTGAGAGGCAAAAGACCGTCGCCGTCAACCTCGGATATGGTGTGCATGCCATCAGTCCCTGGGTTTCGATTCTCAAGGGGCACATGCAGCTGAATCGTCATTAATAGAAGTCGTATGTCATGGTATACCCCGGACTCACCCAGTGCGCCAACCGGCCTTTCTGCGAGATGGTAATCATGATCTTATCGCTGAAGCCCATGACCATGACATCGGTCTGGATCCCCCTGACAATCCCCGCCACCTGCTTGGTGGATACAGGGAAAGGGAGCTGGAGAGACTCTTGCAGCTGGTTGATGTCGAATGCCTCGGCCATGGTCAATTGCTGGTTATCAAACAAGTTGGCGGCCCTTGTTTGTTTGAAGCTCCCCACGCGGTACGGCAGGCGATAGCGGCCTTGGGGTCAAAATGACTAAGCCCATAGTTAAGATTTCCATGTTCACCGCTCTCAAGCCCGCCTTCGGCACAATCAATTTTTTGGTCCGCGAAAGAAACAGCGAGACTCGCAACCATCGGTCGATATTTCGAATTGGATGTCTGGGGGCCGACAAGATGCCCAAATTTACTCCGCGTCAGCGGAAACAGAAACACCGTCGAAGGGAGCAAACGGCACCCGTGGACACCAATGTCGCCGAAATCCAGCCCATTTCCAAAGATGAGAAAGAAGCGAAAAGACAGAAACTTCGAGAGGAGCTGGGGCAGCAACATTCCAATGTGTCTTCGAAAAAGAAGAAGCGTCTGGATAAGTATATTGTATGTGAGACAGCTGCGT